GACTATTCTCCACCGATATGAAGTCTCTTGATCTTATTCTCAACGGATGATAACTGATAAGTCTGTTAAGCATCGATTTGGGCCAATTTATTTTCGGATGGCATTTTCGTAATTTTTTGGGCTACGAAAGGCCATTTTCTTTGGATATTGAACGCTACAGATCACGGATTCGGCCTGAGGCTATTGTCCAACGATGATTGAGTCCATTAAGCACCGATTTGGGCAGATTTATTCTAGGTCAATTTTTGGCAGATTCCAAAGGGGTACCATCACAGATTTCGGGCGATTTATTCGAAATGCCATTTTCTTTCGATTCTGGAGGCTACAGATCACGGAATCAGACCGAGGTTATTCTCCACCGATAATGAAGTATATTGATCCTATTCTCCACGGATGATAAGTCCGTTAAGCATCGATTTGGGCCAATTTTTTTCGGATGACATTTTCGTAATTTCTGGGGCAACGAAAGGCCATTTTCTTTGGATATTGAAGGCTACAGATCACGGATTCGGCCTGAGGCTATTCTCCAACGATGATTGAGTCCATTAAGCACCGATTTGGGCGGATTTATTCCGGGTCAATTTTTGGCAGATTCCAAAGGGGGTACCATCACAGATTTCGGGCGATTTATCCAAAATGCCAATTTCTTTTTGATTCTGGAGGCTACTGATCACGGAATCAGGCCGAGGCTATTCTCCACGGATAATGAAGTCCATTGATCCTATTCTCCACGGATGATAAGTCCGTTAAGCATCGATTTGGGCAAATTTATTTTCGGATGGCATTTTCGTGATTTCTTGGGCGACGAAAGACCATTTTCTTTGGATATTGAAGGCTACAGATCACGGATTCGGCCTGAGGCTATTCTCCAACGATGATTGAGTCCATTTAGCACCGATTTGGGCGGATTTATTCCGGGTCAATTTTTGGCAGATTCTAAAGGGGTACCATCATAGATTTCGGGCGATTTATCCAAAATTCCATTTTCTTTTGAATCTGGAGTTTACAGATCACGGAATCAGGCCGAGGCTATTCTCCACCGATAATGAAGTATATTGATCCTATTCTCCACGGATGATAAGTCCGTTAAGCATCGATTTGGGCCAATTTATTTTCGGATGGCATTTTCGTAATTTCTTGGGCGACGAAATGCCATTTTCTTTGGATACTGAAGGCTACAGATCACGGATTCGGCCTGAAGCTATTCTCCAACGATGATTGAGTCCATTTAGCACCGATTTGGGCGGATTTATTCCGGGTCAATTTTTGGCAGATTCCAAAGGGGTACCATCACAGATTTCGTGCAATTTATCAGAAATGCCATTTTCTTTCGATTCTGGAGGCTATAGATCACGGAATCAGGCCGAGGCTATTCTCCACCGATAATGAAGTCTATTGATCCTATTCTCCACGGATGATAACTGATAAGTCTGTTAAGCATCGATTTGGGCTAATTTATTTTCGGATGTCATTTTCGTAATTTCTTGGGCGACGAAAGGCAATTTTCTTTGTATATTGAACGCTACAGATCACGGATTCGGCCTGAGGCTATTGTCCAACGATGATTGAGTCCATTAAGCACCGATTTGGGCAGATTTATTCCAGGTCAATTTTTGGCAGATTCCAAAGGGGTACCATCACAGATTTCGGGCGATTTATCCGAAATGCCATTTTCTTTCGATTCTGGAGGCTACAGATCACGGAATCAGGCCGAGGCTATTCTCCACCGATAATGAAGTATATTGATCCTATTCTCCACGGATGATAAGTCCGTTAAGCATCGATTTGGTCCAATTTATTTTCGGATTACATTTTCGTATTTTCTTGGCAATGAAAGGCCATTTTCTTTGGATATTGAAGGCTACAGGTCACGGATTCGGCCTGAGGCTATTCTCCAACGATGATTGAGTCCATTAAGCACCGATTTGGGCAGATTTATTCCGGGTCAATTTTTGGCATATTCCAAAGGGGTACCATCACAGATTTCGGGCGATTTATCCAAAATGCCAATTTCTTTTGATTCTGGAGGCTACAGATCACGGAATCAGACCGAGGCTATTCTCCACGGATAATGAAGTCCATTATTTCTAGACAAAATACATATGCATGTGTATAATCGGGCGGGTTCGGGTTGGATAGTGAGATAACCATGCCCAACCATTACCCGCAACATTCGGGTTTGGGTTTTACCCGTACCCACAAAAAATGCTTCGGGTTCGGTTTTACCCTACCCGATTAGGTCGGATTCGGGTGGATATCCACGGTTACGGATATTTTTGCCATCCCTGGCATGCACCGATTTGGGCGGAGTGCTCTCTGGACTACACTCTAGAACCGCAAAGAAAGCCAATTTCTTTTTCTCCTACCGCCATCGCTCCGTTGCCTGCAAAATTCAAGAGATGGAGACGAAGCCAAGCGAGATAAGCAGCTCGAAGATGTTCGGAGGATACAACAAGAGATACAAGCATTACAGTCCAAAACTGGGTTGCTCCATGACCTTCCACATCTATTTCCCGCCGTCATCTTCCACGTCCCAGAAGTTCCCCGTATCTCCTCCATCATTCCTTTCAATTTCTCGTCTTCTCTCTTCGATTGATTCATCAAAATCGCACCTTTTGCCCTTTTTCCCTGCTTTCAGTTTTTCTGAAGGATTCACTATGATGAGTAATAAGCTATCAGTAAAAATTAATTGCTTGGAATAGGATTTAGGAGTGTTGGGGAGAGGTTCAAGCTTAAACTAAACTAAACCCTGAGTGGACTGATGATATGGAGTAGTTTGATTGAAGATCGGAAAAGAATTTGATGGCGGGGTCTGCTGGTTGTGTTGTCATTTTGCCTTGATTCAACTCGAATGGTGTGAAATTATGGTTTTGGGGTAGTATTATCGTGTTAATCATTTTGTTTCTTTGACTTAGGTGCTTTACTGGCTTTCCGGCCTTACTTGCAACGATGAGAACTTCATAGCAAAGTCAGGGGCACAGCGGGTGGCATCGGCTGAGGGTGTCGCGTTGATTGCACCCGATACATCACCAAGTAATACATCTGTAATCCCTTTTCAGATTTGTTTAACTTCTTTGCTGCTGTTTGTCAGAATGATCACGCTACCCTATACACCCTGCTAAGTGGGTTTTTTTTTGTTGTTGTCAAATCTCTCCTGTGCAGGAGGACTGAATGTGGAAGGAGAATCTGAAAGCTGGGATTTTGGCGTCGGTGCGTACTTCCTGCTGCTAATTTTGCATCAGTTGACTCTTCATTCATAGTGGGTGATGTTTGAAGTGGTTGTCAATGTTATAGAAATGTGACTTCTTTTAATGCTATTAGCTCTTCATGACAAAGTGTGCTGGTCATTTTCATCTAAGTAATAAAAAGGAGTCGAGCAGGAAGAAATGCGGAATGCTTTATCTGGTGTTCGATGTAGGACCTAGTGAGCACTGTCAAAATTTTGGCCGTGGAAATGTGGGTAAATGGATGTGGGAAATGACAGAATGCTGGAGATATCAGCTATAAACTTCTGAAAAATAGAAGCTTTTTTTATGAAGCACGAATGCAAGTAAATATAACCATCTGGAGATGATGACCATCTATTAGATTCTGCAATATCCTTTTCTTACAACTCATTCTCGCATATGCATATTGCTTTTGTCAGTCTTTTGCAATGGTGGTTGATATGTGCCTTAGAAACTAGTTTTCTTTCTGTACCATCCATAATTTCTTGTAGTTTCCTTTGAACTTAGGTGCTGGATTTTATCTCAATGCCACACAAGAGAAGTGGAAAAACTGGCAAATGTATGATTATGTTGTGAAGGAATTGCCGCAACTTCTGACTGAGAACTTCCCTCAGCTTGACACATCCAGGGCATCCATATCTGGTCATTCAATGGGAGGACATGGAGCGCTGACAATCTACTTGAAAAACCTTGATAAGTACAAGGTATGTTCATATATTGACATCTACTTTCTGAACAATTTTGAGTTTCACAAGTCTCATAATGCAGCATGTGTGTGTTGTTTTCAGTCCGTATCTGCCTTCGCACCGGTTTCCAATCCTATAAACTGCCCCTGGGGTCAGAAAGCTTTCACTAACTACCTTGGTGGCAATAAAGCAGATTGGGAGGTAACAAGATGCTTAACTGCATAATGAAAAGTTCATAATTGCATACTTGGCTACAGTTTGATGAATGTGGGTTATTGATTTATGCAGGCATATGATGCTACATGTCTCATCTCCAAGTTCCATGATGTAAAGGCTACCATCCTGATTGATCAGGTACGAAACTATCATATGTCTCCGTCTCGTAAACGTTTTATTTTTAATTTTTATGTAGTAGTAGTATCATTAAGATGTGTCTCTGGACTCTGGTTTTATGTTTCTATGTACGTGGTGGATCATTACTCGTTCCTATATCGGACAGGGGGAGGACGACAAGTTCCTGCAAGAGCAGCTGCTGGTAAACAAGTTTGAGGAAGCGTGCAGGAGTGTGGGAGTCCCTCTTCTTCTAAGAAGGCAGCCCGGCTATGATCATTCTTACTTCTTCATCTCCACTTTCATCGAAGATCACATCCGCCACCATGTTCAAGCCCTCAATCTGTAGCTCCCGGTCTTACCGAGAATCAGGTCGAGTTTGTTATTAACTGAGTTGTTTTCTCCAAATCCCCGACTTTAGAGCTTTGCTTTTCGGTCGTTCTTGTTTCCCTCCTTTCTGAATTGTTCGACACTTATGTTTTAAGCTATTTCTGGAAGAAAGTGAAGATGGATGCTGGTGGCCTTAGATGCTGAACATGATTATCATATTATCATTATCGGTATAATTGGTTGAACATTATCATCATTACGTTACAATTATGCTTAACCATGATCCTGAAATCCATATGCATGCAACGTTATTGTCTCTGGCCGGTGATCGAACATCGAAGTGGGCCGCCAATCGTAGAACTCTTCTACACCCTGAAATCATTAAAGACATGGAGATTACGAAATGTGGGGGATATTATATGGAGTAGCATCACCCACCATGCCCTCGTTTGAGCTTTGAGGTAACTGCATATCATGTCTATATGTTAGTTTTGTACGTACTCTTCAAAATAGATGTTGATGATGCCTTCCTTGGGGTCGGCGATCTGCGCGAAAGCTTCGTTCGACAGATCGATGGTCGCTTGGCAGCTGTTGGCCGGGCACATGTCGACAATCCTCACCGTCACGGTCTGGCCATCCTTGCAAGGCACGTCGACGCCGTCGTTCGTCCCGCTCATGCATCTCACCCTGTAGGACTTCCCGCAGGCACTGCCGCCTTCCCACAGGTACGTCTCGCTTGCTGCCGCAAACATCCCGCTCTGCTCCTCGAACCCGTAGCACGCTGACGCTGGTTAACAATAGCTCGAGTTATTGAAAAAATTCGCATGTCTCGTGCGCGACGACGATGAGAAAGTTGCTGATCGATGTGGAAAGTAAATAGGAAGCTTACGTTCATAAGGGGGAGTGTAGTAGCTGGCAGTGCCGTACCACTGTCCTGTGCCGCAAGGTCGATGGCACGAGAGCAGCGCGAGTGCTGCGAATGTGGCGACGAGAACAGCCGCCCTGCCGCTGCGTTGCACTAGCGACATTTGCTTCGATCTAGAGAAGATGAACCTGTAAAAAAAGCTTTAATATAGGGAGCTGACCGGAAGACTAGCTAGCTTATTTCTGGTCTTGGTCTGTACGAAACTGAACTCTAATGGAGATCTTATTTATTTATACACAAATGTGATATCAACTGTTTTCCAATTTCTACTCACTCATTTTAATTAAGGGCTAATTTTCAACTAACTATACTTAATGACCAACGTACGTAACTACATATAGTATCGTTCAGCCAAATTTCCATTTTTTGTCTCGTTCACTAGGGAGAAGAGCCAAAGTTTCTTCTAACCATCACGTTTGTTTGGAAATTAGTGGATGATGACGTTTAATTATGACCATGCTATAATTAAGTAATTACTATAGTCTAATTAATTAATCATCACCTAGCATTTTTCAAATGTTAAATCTTAATTCGTTTGTTTCTTAGTAGTGGGATTGGAATCAAATTTGCCGATTATCATTTTTGGTTACATAAGAGTTTGAGTTGGATGGGAATTGTGGAATCTCTACATCCTTTGTGTTTGTCACTTGTGACTTGACTATGTTCCTTTTCCAAAATGATGGGATTCAAGGTCTCTTGTTTTAGGGTAGATACAATGATAACGTGTGCCTTACGACATGTTTTAAGTTCATTCACCTAATACATGTCATAGTTGATAATGTTCGTATTAGTTTAAGTTGCGATTTTGTGTTACTAATTATAGTTGATAATGTTTGTAATAGTTAGGAAGTTGCAATTTTTTTCTTACTTGTATGGTTTACTGTTAGTTGTTTCTTTTCCAACACATCTCGTTGTTTCTTTTACGACACATCTCGAAGCTCTAACGTAATGAAGATTAGGAGTACAAAGTAGGAAGCTCTTTCCACCAAGAGTAAATTTGTAAATGTGAATACTACATAAAATGGTTTATACATTATAGTTAGGAAATGAGTAGATGACATGACACAATTAGGAATCAGCTTGTTTATATAGTTGGTTAAAATTAGAAGTCACTTATGCAAGTAAGACTGCTGCCTTCTAGACCAACTGTACATTATACATAAGCTAAAGCAGGCTATTTTATGTACCAGCCATTGCCACCCCAAACCCAACATCCTCAAAACCAATACTATCTACACCATATCCTCCATACAACAAACCACTAAACCAAGCTGCTGCTCGTCCTCTGAAAGGAATTCAAGGGGAAGTTGGAAGCCGAGCAAGGCGGACCATTTGTCGATCTGTCACTGGTCGTGGATTTATTCGTATCGAGTGCATAGTGTTAGGTTGGACCGAGTTCCGTGGTTGCTGGATACTGACTATGCGCTCCTGCGGAATCGACTCTAGGGGAAGCTGCTACAAATGCTGGTTCGAGGGTATCGTTTACACTCTTCTTAGGTCTCTTTGGCCGCTTACTGCCTCTTTCTGATGGTGGATCCGAACCATCCAGGTCGTCATCTATGTATGGGGAGGAACCTGACCCTGCTGTCGTCCTTGCTGGGTTTCTTGGCCTGGATCGAGGAGTCGTCTGCTGCTTATCACTCGTGGGGGCTTTCCTCTGCAGGAAAAGGACACAATTTATGCGTGAGAATCAGCTGCAAGAGATATGAAAGGATGTTCGGATGAAGATTTAAACAGAAAGACGAAAGTGTACCTTTTTGCTGCTACTGGGTTTAGATTTGTCGGCATCTTGAGAAGGCTCAGCTGCAGCAGCAGCAGCCTGGGCTACCGCAGCTGCAGCCTGGGCTGCTGCAATTTCGTTCAGATCTTCCAGCGTGGCATCACCTTCAGCGTCGAGCAGTATAGCCTTTGAAGCTTTCTTCTTTTGTTTCTCTTTAGTCTGAAATCAGCAAGCAAATGTAGTTAATAAGGAAAAAAAAAATCAGAAAACTTACTTTCAAAATGTTATTTATGATTATTTCCTGATATCCAAAAACTTAAAAAGAGTGAATCCCATTACAGGAAAAATCATTAAACAGGAGCAGCAGCTCGAACCAACCTGCAGAGGAGTTTCTCTTAGTTTCTGCTCTAGCTGAGCATCGTCCAGAAGCAAAGACACGACATCTTCAGGAGCTAAGAGATCACCCTGCACATGACCACCAGTCATGACAAGTTGCTGGACGGTGTTCTTCTGGCTCGCTCGTTGCAGTATTTTCTCTTCGATTGTCTCTTTACAGATGAGGCGGTAGACAGTCACCTGTATAACATGAAAACATTCAAGAGAATTTAACCCCTGCTCTAAAAAAAATAAAACTAACAAAAAATCTGACAATTTGAAAGATGAAACTGACATCTCTTGTCTGGCCTAACCGATGAGCTCGGTCCATTGCTTGTAAATCTAAGGTTGGATTCCAATCATTTTCATAGAAGATAACAGTGTCCGCAGCAGTCAAATTAATACCCACTCCACCAGCTCTTGTACTCAAGAGGAACACAAAAATATCGTTCCTGAAACACAGACAAAATAAATTTGAATAAAAAACAGGACGAAACAGACACCAGTACTAAAATCCCAGAATTTGAAAAAGAAATAAAATTTCACTTTGCAGACAGTCATCAGCGAGAAACTATTTCCTACCTATCCTGGAAGTCTCTGACCATGTCCCGGCGGTCCATAATGGTGGATGAGCCATCCAGTCTTAGGTACCTATACTTCCTATAGTTCATGTAGTCCTGCAATCATCAAAAGTTACCAACATCACAAATTCAGAGACAAAGAGCTTTTACCCAGGGTGACAATCAGTAACCAGAGAAAATACTGGAAAACATTTTTTTTCCACTACAACCGACAATCGTGTGACAGACAGCAAAACAATGCACAGGGACAAGGAGGAAGCATGAGCCTGCAACTCCTAGTAAAAATATGAAGGCAAGGTTTTGTTTTAGAAATGTACACACGATTATACTATCAATACTCAGCTTTGACACGAAATGAATATGAACTATTAAGTTAAGTACCTCTCAACCCATAAACGATCCTATTCTACAGACAGGCTTGTATAAGATACCCTAAACCTTCCCCAATGGGTCATTATGAATTATTATATATTTTCAACAGTTTCCAGACGTAACGGTGAAGAATACCTCAAGAATATTCAACATCTTTGTCATTTGTGCAAACAATAAAACTCGATGGTTCTCTGCACGCAAGCGTTTCAGCAATATATCGAGCGTCTGCAGCTTTCCAGAATCCTGAGAAATATACAAAATTTTAGCAATCCAGCTATCCGACAATACAAATTATTAAAGGACGCATGAGAAACCAAAAACACATACCGTGAGTAGCTTGGCAGGGTCAAAGCTCTGCATGGGAGGGCATGAACCAAAAATATCGTGCACAATTTGAAGAGCGGGTTGTGAAACTGGTAGTTCAGAATCAATCTCTTCTATCAAAGGATGTGGTCCTATTGGTTTTCTGGGACCGTTAAGTTCAGATGTGCGAGCAAACCCAATCAACAACCTCTTTAGCCAAGGGTGATGAAGTTCTTCAACCATCTTGTACGCAAAATTCCTATCTGAGCACAGGGCGGGAATCTGTGAAGCAGAAACATTGTCGATATCAAAACAATCTCTATGAAGTGTTGGTAAAAAACAGAACAAGAAGAATGAAAATTGATCCACAGTAATACCGGTGGAGCTCGACTTTTGGGGATGAAAGTGTATGTTGAATGAAGGACTTTAACATTAGACAAAAGCCTGTCTTGATGAGAGACTACCAAAGCCTCAAACGGAGCATCAACAAGTCCTGTTGGAAGTTTCCTTCTTAGTAGACTAGCCCGAGATCGAGATGGCATTAGTAACATCCGTGTTACAGCTCTTACTTTTCCTGCTTCTAGCCTACTGCATTGTGGATCATTATCCAACTCTTCCATCATAAGGTCGAGGGTTTCATCTAGAGATTGACGATCCCATCTCACCATAGAAAACAAAAGTTTCTCCATAAGCGAGCCAGTAGCCAGAAAAGAAACTTCAGAGGGGGACAAATCAATCATACGGGTAAAACCAAATGTCCCAGAACCATGAACATTTTCAGGAGAGAATATATTAAATTGTTTGAGAAATAATTCTCTGTAGACACCACGAGTTACGGTCGAACAAAGCACCCTCGAGCTTTGACCAGTCTCCTCATTGATTAGTTTTGGTATCTAACGCCACAAAACCATAAAAGTGAAACCAAAGATTACTCAAGTTGTTAAAAAGAGTAACAGACAGCCACAAATTTTACTACAAAGAAGAGAAAATACCTTGTACGTAATAGGATTCTGGCCACCTGGATAGTGTACATCATCCAACTCACCAAATGGAGGAGGTAGAAGGGTATTTGGAAGGTGTCCAAAATAGAGATATGAGCTTCCCTCATTCCTCTCAAACAACTCTGGATGGTTACACACCTACAAACACAATCAATGAATTTATGCGCTTGTGACTCGGAAACTAAACAATCCTTCACGCATATGCATAACGACTTAATAAATGGTACATAACTCTAGTTCTAAATTTCCTATTACAAAAAGACAGCAAGAAGGGAAAAGAGCCAATGACCACCTACCTTCCGGAGTTGAATCACTATGTTCATCAAATTCATCAGCTTCTTCTCATTAATATATCCCCGTGAGCCATCGAACAACTCTGACAGAGATATCTTATTCTTTATAGCTTGATAGAAGGCTTGTTGTCTTGAGCTCAACTTACAGTGAACTGTAACCTCTGTTTTCCTAGTTAGCTCTTGAATCACATCTGATTTAAGTCTACGTAGCATAAAGGGCTTCAAAATTGCATGCTGCCAAGAAAAAGTAGCCAATAAGTAAGGCAGCAATAGAAATTCAGGTCAGACAAAGGACTCACAACGTAAGACAATCAAGAAGGTTTATTCTTATTCAAAATCTAAGTCATTGAGATAAGAAAAGTGTCACATTGACATAATAAGACTAGTATCTAGTTTTTAGAAACCATAAAGGCTTTAAATATTATATTATGCTCTACTATCAGCAGTCCTCTTCAAACAACAAATCTCCAAACCTAAAGTTAGAACCAAGGCAATTGTATATATATATATATATATAGAGGCTACTTCGGTGCACTCACTTTTTTGGGTGCATTCAGTGCACCCACCTCTAAAAGTGGTCATAATACATCAAATTTTGAAATTTAATGGGTAGCATTAGTCTCATATGATGATATAACACAGAATCACAACTAATCAACCCACTACCCTAACCTATTAACATTCAATTTTGAATCTAAACCCAAAATCCCAATTGTAAACCCTAACCCTAAATTTCTAAACCCTGAATCATTCAAATTAAAGTGAATCTTGAATGATTTTTGTACAAATTCATGTGGTTCTTGTTCATCATACTACAAGGGATGATTGACATCGTTTTCACATGAATCGTCTGTTCAGAATGACGATTATGAGGCGGGTGCATTGAATGCACCCAAAAAAGTACCACGCCATATGGTTATGTCTTCGGTGCACTCACTTTTTTGGGTGCATTCAATGCACCCGCCTCATAATCGTCATTCTGAACAGACGATTCATGTGAAAACGATGTCAATCATCCCTTGTAGTATGATGAACAAGAACCACATGAATTTGTACAAAAATCATTCAAGATTCACTTTAATTTGAATGATTCAGGGTTTAGGAATTTAGGGTCAGGGTTAGGGTTTACAATTTGGGATTTTGGGTTTAAATTCAAAATTGAATGTTAATAGGTTAGGGTAATGGGTTAATTAGTTGTAATTATGTGTTATATCATCATATGAAACTAATGCTACCCATTAAATTTCAAAATTTGATGTATTATGACCACTTTTAGAGGTGAGTGCACTGAATGCACCCAAAAAAGTGAGTGCACCGAAATAACCACCATATATATATATATAAATATGCATTCCTTAATACAAGGATGCTTTTGTTTTTCACAAGTCAGCTTCAACCACCATCTGACACACAATTCCCAACTTATACAGTACCGTCACCGAAAAAGTGGCGACTTGCATCCAAGTGAAAAGACAGAAAGAACCTCCCTACGTGACCAGGAGGTATTGTGTATGTCCATACATAGACTGTGACCAATAAAATGGCTAACAATTTTGAATTCCTTGATCTGGGCTAATCCTTGTCTCCACTCTTATACCACATACTTCAAAAGAAATAGGCCAGACAGTCGAACCATAATTTGCTGTAATGAAGTTAATAAAAATACTACACTCACCAATCTGTTAAGCTGGTGCTCGTTCACCGTTCCACCACGTTCTGCTTGGTTTTCAATTCTGACAAAGGAAAATGGTCAATTCAGCATCCAACAATTACGGAAATAGTTCACATTACAAAAAAAGTACATACCCTTTAGAAAACCACTCATTGAACTGTTCATGGCTGTCGAACAACGTCGGCATTATGAAATGCAGAAGCGCCCACAATTCTGCCATACTGTTCTGGATAGGCGTGCCGGTAAGAAGTAGGCGATTACGGCAATTAAAACTGAGAAGTGTCTTCCATCTTATGCTGGAAAATATATCAATTGGGTTCAGAAGACAGCATACAGAGTTTGATAGAGATTAACATTAGGCAGCAACCCAGCAACACATGGAAACTATGTTTACGAAGCAACAAAGGTACACCACAAAATACAGTTTTGTATTCCGGAGATGTTCAATTGATACAATGCATCATACAAGCTTCGGCAATTTCAAGTCTCCTTTTAGAGACTTCCCGTTCCTCTGCCCTTGATGCATACACAAATAAAGGGGTAACGGTTTATGTATGAAGACATTGCATTTTGTATTGAGTGTTACTTCACATTACGAGCTGCCATTCTTAAGGAATGAAATTGCTCTAAGTTCAATTGCAAGAAGATGATGGTACAATATACAATGTGGAGACAAAAATCAATCAGACAAATATATACCATATAAGCAGGAATAATTAGAACAAATTGCTCTTCCAAGACATGCAATGTAAAGATCACAATTTTGACAAACTAATTTGAAGATGCGGTCCAAACCTGGTAGAGCTTTTAATAGCCTGTGCTTCATCTAATACCATGTATTGCCACTTCACACGGCGAAAATACTTCTCATCCAGCACAAGTAGTTGATAGCTGGTAATGAGAATGTGAAATCCTGCATCTCTGGACAGACAAAATCATTAATTAGAAGGAAAACTGAATAGGATATAATCTTGGGCAGAACAGTAGAGAAACCTAGGATGCCAGATCTTCATGATATGTCAACTCAAACTGTCCAAGGACAATGGACAGGGTAAGACACTAATGTGGCTGCTAATGTTATAGGATCGTTCATTCAGCATCTGAACCTGCAAAGCCCTCATAGACAGAGTATCCCTATAAATTCCTCTTAGACAAGTCCTTTACAAGTAGGAAAAAGGAAAAGCTATTGGTCCTCTTGGATAGAGTATTCTCACTAATGCTTGAGAAAGCCATATTAAATGTTGTCCCAATCAAAACTCTATATTTAATAAAGACAGGTTGCTAACTTGCTATTATGATTCTTCAAACTCATAACAATATTTCACCTCTGAAGACATTACCGATTCCCCTGTTTGATCACATTGCATAACAATGTACAGTAATATGATCTAACCAATCAATCCCACATTCTCACAGAAAGAGACCAACTATTCACATCATTCAAGGAAACCAAAAATCAGTAAACTGGAAATTACCTACGATAAAGCCGCTTGGGATTGATGTTCTTCCTAAGTATAGTACGCTCCTGGAGACCTCCCCAGTAAGGTATAGTTTTCAAGTCGGGGCAAAAACGGCTAATTTCATCAGCCCAATTGTTCAAGACTGAAGCCGGCGCAACAACCAGAAAGGGACCCCATATATTTTTTTCCTGCATGAGACAATGAGTTCAAGTAACTAGGAGTAGGGGTCACGACGACCACATTAAAGCAGAGCTGTCAGAAGAATAATCACCTCAGCCAGATGAGCTAAGAAAGCCATTGCTTGAATAGTCTTCCCCAGGCCCATCTCATCTGCCAGTATACCATTTAAACCCTAAACCCAACAGAGTTAGCTATTTCTAGGAAAGCTTGAAAAATATGTTAGGCATTGAACTATTTTGCACGCAATTATGATCCCTAACCTGCTCATAACAATTAACAAGCCACTGCAGACCCTTCAGCTGATATTCTTTTAGACTCCCATTGAAGAGTTTCGGCGTCTGAACGGTCGATGTAACGGGCATGGTGGAGCTGCAGATAACAGCTATATAGGTCAGGAAAACGTTTTCAAGAACATTAAAAAAGAAGTAGACAAGAGCGTCCAGTAGACTAATTTATCGACTGGGGAGGTAAGAAGGAAGGCTCACGGGTTATGTAAATCTATTTTGCCAGCTCCTGCCACTGAGTCATCAGTCGGCACTCCTTCAATATCTGCAGCTTCTCTCAGCCTAGAACATTCACTATCAAAAGCATTTGTCAAACTTTTCTGCTTAGAAACTGCATCTTGAGCAGCCTTCAAAGCTTCTTTTCTCAGTTCAGCATCCTCTGGAGTTTCTTCAGCAGGTTCGACTTCTGAAGAGCTTAAACCCAATTGTTCTGCATCCAGTTTCTCATCCCCCAGAGACAAAGGTTCAGATGACTGAGAACTTTGCTTGTTCTGCATGAAATGTCTGTACAGCTCGGTTTGCTGTATGAGAAAATTAAGGCGTTGCTGCTGTCTCTTTGCTTCTCGGAGCTCTTGTTCACGCTTTAAAGCTTCTGCAGCTTCCTTTTCCTCCTTTTTCCTTACCTCCGCCTATGACAAAAGCATGGGAATTGTTAGTTGTTTACATTCGAAATTTTATCGCATGCTAATAACAAACCCTCTGTTAGTGCATATATGGAAGCTCAGAGATGAAAGAAGCAGCAAATAAAGCTTTATGATAAAGACAAAACAACCAAAATCAGTCTATTTGAAGATGATGGCATCCGAAAGTGCATATCACAAATACTCATAAAGCTTTGATAGGTGACTTTACCATCTCCTTATCTACTCGCTTCCAGAAAAGCAACATATCTCTGGCCAACTTCCTAGTTCGAAGTGCTGCAGTCCTCATAAGTTTGAGTGACCTAGTAACCTTCGCCTTCACCTGGAATGATGATCAGAAAGGACGGACTTTAAACAAAAGAACACAGTGTGACGAGGTATTTTTCTAAACTATTAATGCAAGTAGACGTGAAAAAACCACAACATTATATGTGCTCACCTCTCTTTGACAGTTCTCTGACATCCTCTTCGCATCACATTGTTGTTTACGATGAAACGCACTGAAACTCTTATAATGTCTATTAATGTCCCTTCTTACAATGTTTGCCCAAGCCTTCCCAATCTTGTCCATTTCCTCCCTCTCTATCAAAGTAGGATCTTTAATTAACTTTGGTTTCTTTGGCAAACTCCGCTCAATGATCTGCATAATATGAAGCCCTCTATAGTCATGAATTGATAGAGAGACAAATGGCACTCATAGCTAAAAAAATACGAAATCTGACAGAAACGAACCTCATAAGTGTCTCCTTTCTCTAAAACTTTAACATAATAAACCTGCAACAAGCCAGCATCTGACAAGATAGAACGTGGTATATTTCCAGCTGCCCCCTCAGGAATGGCAGACTTCAAAGCTTCCTCGGATATCTTAAGGTTGAACTTTGGCATGGAATTAGATGCTGCCAATGCCTTCAATCTCGCCTGAAGAGATTCATACTTGGGGTACGGATCTCCCATCCCAGCTTGGTTTTTGGACCCGATCCTTCTATCATTTGCCACCATTTGGTCCAAAGACCCCAAATCAAGCGTACTTTTCAGATAAAATTCCTCCACCTGGATGTCTGAGAAGCTTGGCAAATTCAAGGATGTAGCCAGCTTGTCATAAGAAGGAGGAATCCTATAGGTTATACCATCCCCAATATCTACATAAGCAGGCTCATAAAAGATTCTGCAAAGCATTACAGCCTTAATGGAATTAGCAAGACCATAAACTCAATCCGCTTGTATATAAAATACGAATGAGAAGTGAAAGAAATCCAATATCCATATCACTATCTGCTTAAGTCAAAGAATGACAACTTACTTGGGTGTACAATCTGGGCCACGAGAGTCCCCACGCTTTGCTGTTGTGGTCTCATTCTGCCATTCAGATGTCACATCCATATCATGAACATATCCTCGCTGCTCGTTTCCTAACTTCCTGGTTTTTGAACTACCCATATTGGTCTTCGGGATGACTCCTGTTCGAGGAGGAGCGGGAGAAGGAGCTGGAGGAGGTGCGGGACTAGGAGAGCCCTTAAACCTCCTCTTGTACTTTTTAATGTGTTCTCCTAACATTGATCTATAACGCTCCTCTGTAATACGAGTGCCACCGTAAGATCTATCTTCCTCCTCACCCTCACTGTCAGCAGCCAGCTTCCTTCGCTTCCCCGAACTCAGTTCCTTCTCAGTTGCGCTCCCGTTGCCATACTTTGCCATTGCCCCGCCTGTATATTATTAGTTCAGTTAACATAAGTAATACTTCATCTACACCAATGCCTACCTCCAAATGTCTGGGGCATGGCCCATATCGTGAATGCAAATTCTACAGATGATAATGATACAAGGAGAGAATCCAACTAAACTTATGGAAGGGAGAAAAACGGTTGGAAAGCAGGGTGTACCTTGGCTACCTCTGCTCTCATCCTGACTACTATTCCCATAATAATCAAAATCATCATCTGGTTGTGGGACTTTGAAGTTCATCAAAGACTAAAAAACAAACCAAAAGAGAAGAGAAAAGAGAACCCAGAATGAAATTCTTAATCATGAACACTAAACAAAAGCAGGAAACATCCAAACGAAATTCAATCAACTACCCAACTCTCCATAGCTCGGAACAAAACCCTCTCATATAAAACACAAACAATGCAGGCGAAAATCAACCCAACACAGCCAATTGAAGAGGGAAATCGAGATTTCAGAAGCCGGAGATCACCAAATGCACTAACCTCGAGATTGAAGAGATTGGAGTAGGAAAGCGATTGATTTTCGTCCCTCCCGTGCTCCATGGATGTGCAGAAGCTAAGACGAACAAAACCCTAAGAACCGAAACGCGAGCCCGGAGACGAGCATGTGGAGGAATCTCTTCAGATTTTCTCGAGGACTGAATATAAATAAACGGCCGGGGGAAAAATCACAGAAGAAAACCCTTATAAGCCAGTGTCTGCGAGTCGAGAATGGAGTGGAGAGGAGGAAAGGATGACGACGCGTAGGATAAGGTGAGAAGGTAGGGAAGCAGGCAGAGGAGAAGAACTCTTCTTGGCTGTGGTTTGAGTTGAGACGGACATTGTGGAAACTCTGAGAAAGCGTCGTGATACGCTACCGTGCGCCGTGTGGGTGCCATCGCTGCTAACGTGCACTAAGGTACGACGGTCGGGACTTTCCGGCGGCGACGATCGAAGAGGTCCGTCAAAAAAAAAGAGCCCGTTAGTGTAGAGGCCGTAGCGGATGGGTTGGGCCATCTTGGACTCCGTCTTTCTGGGCCGACCGGCCCACTTTCGGTAGAGACAGATATGCATTTATTAATGGAAAATAACAGCATCTATTTAGTATTTAAAATAAAGATAAATATTATCTCTTTCCACCTGCCCCATTCTCGTTTTTCTCTCCCTAATATTACCCACTTTCCCGGGAAAATCAGGAAAGCTACCAAAGAAATCCCCACCGCCGATCATGTCCGGCTACCCTTACCGCCCTCCTTCCGGCTACGGTTACGGCGGCCCCCCACCACCGCAACCCTACGGCTCGTCCGGCGGCCCTCCGCCGCCACAGCCCTACGGATCACCCGGCGGCCCTCCGCCGGCACAGCCCTACGGCTCCGCTCCCTCGTACGGCGCTCCGCCGCCTAATCAGCAGCCCCACGGCGTGCCTTCCGCTCCATACGGCGCACCCTACGGTGGGGACAAGCCGCCGAAGGAGAAGCCACACGGTAGTGGCGGAGGAGGAGGATATCCTCCGTCGGCGCCGTACGGGAGCCCCTTCGCTTCCCTGGTGCCGTCGGCTTTTCCTCCGGGAACCGACCCCAGCGTCGTGGCTTGCTTCCAGATGGCGGATCAAGACGGGAGCGGCTTCATCGACGACAAGGAGCTCCAGAGCGCGCTGTCTAGCTACAACCAGAGCTTCAGCTTGAGGACGGTTCACTTGCTCATGTACCTCTTCACCAACAGCAACGTCAGGAAGATCGGTGAGCGATTAAATTTCCTCCTTTTCCTCCCTCGATCGATAACGATTCGTGATTATTTTAGCAACTGTTACCGGCGCTTTCTAATTTGCGCTTAGGGTGGAGTAGGTTCCGGTTAGGATTCTTGTAAGATCGATTACTTACGAAAAGTGGACCTGCGTAGAACTGCAGAAGGACTGGTTCTTACTTACCCTTGAACTTACCGTAGAAGTGAAAGTTGCTTGATTGTGTTCAATGATCATTAGACAAGTATAAGGAAGGAGAAAGAAGCCCATTTTGTGTGTTCCTTGTGATTCTTCGCTTCTTCTGCTTTGACGTGAATTCTGTGAATTGACAGGTCCAAAGGAGTTCATACAAGTGTTCCACAGCCTTCAGAGCTGGAGGGTAAGTAAGATTGTTAGAGATATGTGGCGCCATTTCTTTGCTGTGATGGGTTTTTGTCTTGTATGGTATAGACGTAGAGAGTATTGATACATGACATTGCAGGGCATCTTCGAGAGGTTTGATAGGGACAGGAGCGGCAAGATTGATACGAACGAGCTGAGGGAGGCGTTGTTGAGTTTGGGATTTGCCGTCTCTCCTGTTGTTCTGGACTTGTTGGTGTCTAAGTTTGACAAGTCAGGTGGCAAGAACAAGGCCATTGAATATGACAACTTCATTGAGTAATTAGCTTAGACCTCTCTTGCCCTCTTCTCTCTATCTTATTTTCGGGTTAAAGATTCGAAATTTCTTTCAGAAGGGGCTAATCTTGATCTAATTTCGACCTTTTCTTTTTCCCGGCTGGATCGTTTCTTCTGGGAATGCAATATGCAGGTGCTGTCTTACTGTCAAGGTGAGTTCATCTTCATAAGCGTATTTTAGTTGTTTGACTAAAAGCATTCATCATTGCCTTTGTGACTTATTGGATTCAAATCGGTTTGAAAATGGTAGTTGTTAACAAAAGAAACATTTTGAGTGTTTACTTGATTCTTCTTGATACTGATAAGCAGTGGTTTTGGAACAGGGACTGACGGAGAAGTTCAAGGAGAAGGACTCGGCGTACACTGGTTCAGCTACATTTTCGTACGAGACCTTCATGTTAACTGTTCTGCCCTTCCTTATAGCATAAGAAACAAGCAAAAGTTCTTCGAAGAATCGAAAGGCTTTGGTAACCCCGTTGAGAGACGGAAGCTTCTTGCATGCTACGGAAGTTAGAAGAGAGAAAATGTGAGGTGCTGTATTTTCTTCAGTGTGTTGTATGTTTTCATGCACCTGTATGTATGGATGAATGCTGTAAGTCCGTTTCCTTATGCCAGATAGCATCTTCAGACTTTCAGTAGAGTTGTACGGTGATGGCTCATGATAACGATGATGTTGCAATATGGTTGTTTTTGGAGGACTTCATTGCAAATGTTTCTGCTTCCATGGGCTCATACTCTGTATATTCCGATAAGAGGCCACACTTACACTAGGCCGATATGGGCCTATCTTAAGAGTTTAGGCCCAAGATTTCCCTCTTTCTCCAAGGCCCAAACCCTATCATAGAGGTTTTAACTGTAATTAGAATAATGACTTCCTTGATTAGGAAATGGTTAGATCCATGGCTTAGGTTAATTAATTATGTGCTGGCAATATATAAATTGCTGGAATAACTTGCAGTTTATAAGATCTTATATTTATGTCCCACTTCATGTTCATGATACTTAAAGACAGTTGACCCTGCTAACGCGTCTAGTTATTGGTGGCAGCTGCAATTGCATTTGAGATTTGACAAATTGATGCTGATATAAGATTAGTTATTGATTAATTATAACAAACTGACTAATTAATTATGATAAAACTGATGACAAGGTTTCTTTTACTTCCTTCCCCAGCTTCCCATCCCAAATAGATCATCCATAATTTGCTCAAATCTGAGATTAATTGCTAGTACTGTCATTAGCTTCCATCATCATGGCTGCCATTGTTTCCCAAGTCCTCGGCCAGCTGGGTTCCATCGTCACTGAAGAGCTCAAGCAACGCGGGAGGCTTGTCCTGGGCGCAGAGAAAGATGTCAAGAAGCTCACTTCTACTTTCACCGCCATTGAAGCTCTGCTGCTGGATGCAGAAGAGAGGCAACTGAAGGATGAAGGCGTCCAGGACTGGTTGAAGAAGCTCAAGGACGTGTCCTACGAGATCGATGATGTGTTGGATGAGTGGAGAACCGAGATCCTCAAGGGTCAACTCGAGGGAGACGATGATGCTGCTGCCTACGGCTGCTTGGAGTTGAAGCTGCTTCAGATCTCCTCTGTTCTGAAACGAGTATGTCCTTTTCTCCCTGCTTACTGTTTTTCCACGGGTGAAATTGGACTTCGTTATGATATTGCCTCGAAGATAAAAAGTTTGAATGAACATCTAGAGGATATAGATAAGGAGAAGAATATGTACAATTTTACTCCTAAAGAGACGACTTCATACTCGAGTTTGCAGACTAGTCCCAATATCAATTTCTCTGAGGTGAAAGGCAGAGAAGAAGAGATAAAAATATTGTTGGACATGTTATTGGATGATGGAAGTGATCGCCCGGGTGTGAGAAGGATGTCTATCCAAGGACCTGGTGGGTTTGGTAAAACCACATTGGCCAAAATGCTATATAATGACAAGGCCGTAGAAGCTCACTTCGACAAAAGAGTATGGGTTTGTGTATCCAATAATTTTGATCAAGCAACCGTCGGTAAAGTCATACTTGAATTTTTCGATCAATCTGCTTCTGGTTCATTATCATACATGTTGAAACGGATAAACATACATATGACGAACAAGAAGTTTCTTCTAGTTCTTGATGATGTGTGGGAAGATAGTCAGAGCAAGTGGGAAGAACTAATAACTTCTGTTTCTAGCGGATTACCAGGAAGCATGATCTTGGTGACTACCAGAAAAGAGGAGGTTTCCCGGGTGCTCGGCTGTATTGACGACGATATTCTGCATATACAAAAGATATCTGAGGATGCATGTCTAGCTATTTTCATGCAAATTGCATTTAATGGATGGAGGGTTGAGGAGAAAGAACGTGTAGAAAACCTTTGTGACAAAGCTGTAGAAAAGTGTTTTGGTTCCCCGCTTGCCGCAAAAGTTTTGGGAGGGGTTCTATGTTTGAAAAGATCTAAAAGGGATTGGATTCAACTTCTGAGAAGTGAAATGTGGCAAATGAGGGAAGGCCGAGAAGAAGTTCTTGCTCCACTAGCTTTGAGTTTCTATGACTTGCCCCCGGCAGTTAGAGAGTGCTTTCAGTTTTGTGCTATATTTCCGCAGGATTACAAGATGGAGAAGGATGAATTGATTAAGTTGTGGATGTCACAGGGTTTTCTCAAAACAACAACGAACCAAGATATGGAGGAAGTTGGTAAAGAGTACTTTCGGACGTTAGTTATGCGCTCATTCTTCCAAGATTTGGAAACATATGAGGAGTGGGATATGACAAAAACATACTGCAAGATGCATGATTTAGTTCATGATTTTGCCCGGCTCACAACAAAGAACGAGTGCATCAACATCATTAAGCAAGATACAAATAGTTCACTACTCCCGATGAGCAAGGAGGTCCGCCATTTGATGGTAGAACACTTGAGTGAGGAAACCAACAAACTCATTGCCTCCATTGGTTGTTCAGGCCTCTCTTCGGCAAAGGGCAATGGTCATCTGCGCAGTTTTATAGCAATAAGTGGAGGTGCCATTGAGCGTGATGTATATGCTCATTTACGAGGCATAAGGTCGTTAGTCCTCGTTGATTGCGATATGGAAGAAATCCCAGCGACAATCACCCATCTGATTCACTTGAGACTTTTGGATTTGTCCTACAACAGTAACTTGAAGAAGTTGCCGGAAGAAATATGCGAGTTGTATAATCTAGAGACTTTGATACTCAATCACAGCAATCTCCTGTTGACGCTCCCGAGTGGAATGGGGAACAAGCTAATCAACTTGAAGCATCTTGAAAACTACCACGTCCTAGCGATGCTGCCAAGATCAATAGTCAGGTTAGGTGATGCCCTGAAGACACTAACCACATTTAATGTGGTTTACGACGACAAGGCTGATTCAGAGGGAGGCAGAGGTACTAACATTGGAGATCTGGAGTGCATGAACCGAATTCAGGGATTCCTGACAATAAACGGGCTGAGCAGGGTGACAAATTGTGAGGAGATGAAGCGTGCACAGCTCGTCAGAAAGGAATCCCTGACCAATTTATTGTTGGACTACCAAACCTGGTTCCCAGGATACCATCAGAAGCAAGAACAAGTGTTGGAAGCCATAAGACCATCATCAAGCTTGGAAGGACTAGTTGTACAGTACTACCAAGGAGGAAGCATATTCCCTGGATGGTTACTGTCACTCTCCAACTTGACATCCCTTAATTTCAACTTTTGCTATTATGTGGAGCATCTGCCGCCGTTGGGCGCCCTGCCCTCCCTCGAAGAGCTGTACTTGAGTAACATGGATAGAGTGAACAAGATTGGCCTTGAGCTCTTGTTGGAGACCAGTGTGATACAGCAACAGCTGAGGATGAGCAACAACAAAGGTCGTGATATTAGTGCATTCCCCAAGCTTACGCTGCTTTGTTTTAGGAAGATGAAGAATTGGGAAGTGTGGGATTTAGAGAGCGACGACGATCAGGAAGCTGGGATGATCAGCTCGGCGGCGATGACGATCATGCCCCGCCTGCGTTGCTTGGAGCTGGGAGAGTGCCGCAAGCTCGAGAAGGTGCCGGATGTGCTGCTCCGGAGAACCACTCTGGAGCGGCTGGTAATAAACGAGAGTGGCGGGTTGGGGAGTTACAGGTTCAGCTATCTTGATCGCAAAATGGTGCCGAATGAGGTGTGGGACAAAATCTCTCACATCCCCACCATTCTCCTAAATCGCACGAACATCCGAACAAGATTTAAGAATGAGATAGGTAATTAAATTACATGCTCTATGTATATAGTGATGTTTGGTTGGTTCCCAACTGAAGTGAGTTTGGATATACAAATGACATTCTTGCTTTCATTTGTATAATGATGAAATGGCAGAGTCCATGTCGGGGATTGGCTGCTCTTACAGCAAACAGGATGAGGGAAAAGCAGGAGATATCATCACCATGAGAAGGAAAAAACGGTAATTGATTCACGTTTGATTCACTGCTCTGTGTGTTTGCTGTCACTCGATCCGCCCTCCCCCCTCTTCATTGGTGATAATGTTAGCTCATTCAATGTTATGATTGCTCGGCTGCTGCAGTTGAAAGCAAGGTTCCAGAGCAACGCATCTCATTTTACAGTTGTGTAGCTTTTTTGGTACTGCGGTTGAATCTTTTGCAGCAACAAGAAGATTTTGCAAACAGAACCTCTGCCTGGCGGAGGAAGTCTGTGTGTTAGTACGTGTGTTTCTTTGTTTGTTTTGTGTTATTCTGCTCCTCGGGCTGCCTATCTAGTGGCATAACAAACTTGATCTCGTTCTTCTGTATCGTTGTTTTTGCCTTCTTGGCTTATCTTTGTGCCTCTCTATTGCCAATAAAATCAAAGTTACAGTAGACAAGCAGTTAGACAAACTGTTTTGTTTGTTCCTGGTGATTCTTTGCTTCTGCGTTGACGTGAAATCTGTGAATTGACAGGTCCAAAAGGGGGTTCATACAAGTGTTCTACAGACTGCAACATTCAGAGCTGAAGGGTAAGTGAGATTGTTAGAGATATGGCCCCATTTCTTTGATGTTGATGAGTTTTAGCTTGTATGATAAAGAGGGTAATGTTAACTGCTTGCTGGTTATTCCATATACGCGCCATTGCAAGGGTATCTTCGAGACAGGAGAGGGAAGATAGCAGGTTTCAGTAGAGTTGTATGGTGATGGCTAATGATAACGATGATGTTGCAATTGGGTTGTTTTTCAAGGACTTCATTGCAAATATTTTTGCAATCCATGGGCAGCTGGGCTTCTCCCCGGCACGAGGCCACACTTACATTAGCCCGATACAGGCCTGTCTTAAGAGTTTAAGCCCATGGTCTCCCCTTCTCCAAGGCCCAACCCTTAATTTCATGTCGGTAATGGAAAAGGATCGTGTTTCTCTGAATGTTGGCCGTTGCTTTCTCTTTTTGGTTGGATGTTTTTCGTGCTTTTCGGTCGAAGGTAAACAAACGATAGGCGAGGATACGAGGTCAAGTCGTTTTAACGTCAGAACCTACAGTAGAGCTTCATCGGGACTTGCTATTTCTTGTATTGACGATTGGGACGACGAGGAGATCCATTACGTAGTTCGGATTCATTATTTGTTGTTTGGACTCAAATTGCACGCTACATAAAACCGGTGAGCTAGCATGCGAGATTTGTTCAACATACAATGTTTGTAATTGATTATGAGAGGCACGATTTGTTGGTGTGGGATTTCGGTTTTCAGCGGAGAAACATTGTACTTATGCTGATTTTTTCCTTTTTCAATTATGTAATTTGAGTGACCAAACATATAATTTAGCCATTATATCTATTTATGTAAAGAAGAAATCAAAATAATTTGTTTAAAATTTAAAAACATTATTTTAGCCCTACTGAAAAAAAAGGAAACGGAAAATTCGCACCAAAGACGGACAAAAACTAAAGAAGGAAAGAACCGTAGGAACGAACAAAGCAAAACGTTTTTCTTTGTCCTGCCGAGCTGAAAAAGGACAGGAGCGTAAGAAGCGGGGGAAACCCGAAAACTGAGCAAACGAACAGTGGGCGGAGACGTCGCTCAGAGACTAGGTTCCCTCAAGTCAAAGAACTCTTCCTCCCTCGAGTCTTCAAAACCACTGACTCCCTCGTCGTCTCCTTCATTTCCTTTCTCCGCCCTCTCCATCCCTCTGTCGCTTTGCCTCCTCTTCTCAATCCCGAGGCGATGGCGGCTCCGATGAAGATCATATTCGGCCTCCTCACTTTCGTCACCGTCGGGATGATAATCGGTAATCATCTGCATCCTCCATTGCCGCACCAATGGTTAATTTTGCCCCTTGCTTCCGTTTCGTATTGTGTATCGACTTCCTTAGTTTTTTGTTTGTTTGTTTGTTTCGCACGCAATTTGAATATATTGCAGCGACATTTCACGATTTAATGTGTTTTCCAGTAGATCGGATGTTAACACGGCAAGTAGTTGTAGTTGCTGTATTTATTAGGCTTTTTCTCGCTGCATTTTGGTCTGTTTCCGTTGCTTGCATGTCTACTGCCATTGCTTGCTTGAGATGCCTTCTGATAGGGGATCTAAATTTCGTTCACTTCTGTTTGTTTGGTTACCTATTGGCATTTAGCCCTAGATTCAGTTCAGCGTTCAATCTGTTAAATGTAATGTGAGATGAATTTCAGACCGTAGAACTCCATTTGACTTGCGTTTGAATGTTGAAGTTGGTTGAATCTTTAAAAGAAGAAAGAATGAACCATTTTGATTCACGCTTTGTGATAAGTGTCTGACTGGCCTTTTTTCGTGGAATGTTTGAATGAGTCATGCTTTTCGTCCTTTTCGTTCTGTGTGATGATTTTGCTTATTGGTGGCATGTGTAATGTGGCGGCAGTGATTGACTAATTTGATGCTTAACCACTGAAACTTCAATTCTAATTTGCATTGCAGGTGCTTTATGCCAGTTATCATTTATATGGAAGCTGGAAGACACAAATGGTAACCTTCCTTCTTTTTCTGGTTGTTGTGAATTTTGTTAAGCAGCCTTGACAATGTGGAGTAGCCTTGAGCGACAGATTAACCTGTGAATTTGAATTCTTACCTCAATCATACATGGTACCTAGGTCTGTTGTCATCAGTATCATCATAGATGATTGGACTTAAATGAATTCATTGTGGATTTGATTATCTCAGTCATGGATGATACTTCAGACTCAGCATTTATATGTTTTGTGAATGTACCCTGTTAGTGAAGTAGTATGTGATTAGAATCTTTAGTTTGAGTGTTAAATGGGCATGGAGTTGAGGTCTTACTAGGGCCGTACGGATTTTGATTCTATGTTTGGTCCTTTTATTGGATTTTTTTTTTCTTCCTGATTATGAGTTTATGATAACAAATACCCAATTCATCCATTAACATTTTCCAATATGTATGACTAGTTGCTTAAAATCTATCATGACCAGTTGCTAAGTCCCTTTTCATACTTATGGTTTATTTGACCACTGGACCTTGCATTGAGAATTTGGAGACGATTGTCCTGTCCTTTATTTCAGAACTGTGGTTCTTGAATCACATGGCTCTTATTTAGTTGTAAATGTCCTATTTGGATCATCTTTCAGGAATTCCTCATTGGTATAATTTTAAAGAAGCAGAGACCCTAAGGCTTGGACATGTAAGTAGCTCTTTCCAGTGCTAATGATTTCTTGAAATAGACAGTTTCATACCCATTTTCTTTTTATTCTATAGGTTAAAAAGAGCGGCGGAACATAATTAAAAGAAAAGAGCGGGAACAAATTAATTCAATGCATTTTAGTATACCTGAAAAATAATTGCTTCTGTTACCAAACACATGATAACTCTGCTTACGAAGAACTCTGCAATCATATATATTTTTATTTCAACAGTCATTCTTTCTTCAAACTTTGATGTGGAATGCTCAATGACAGTGTATGTTAGGTCACACTGTTCCAATGTTTGGTTGCACCGTGGGTGAGTTGCATTTGCATGCAATACTAGCAATTCCTTTTTCAATTTAGCTTAACACAACTGAGTTGGTTGTTTTTGTCAATATAATGGGTGTGTAAAGGGTCTTTTTGTTCTTTCTTTTCCTTTCAGATTTGCATTTTATCAGTGTCTAGAGGACAATATTTCTCTTGCTGGCATATGCATTCAGTTATCATTATCTGTTTCCAATATCACTGTGGTATTTCGTTCTATTTATTTTTTGTATGTGCATGTTGGGGTAAGCTATTATGAGCTTGGAACTCTTGCTCTTAACTTATATGCGTCTAATTGAGGCTATCTCGAGCCAACAAATCCGTCTTAAGATCTTCCTTTTTCCGTCTATGATAGGTCCAACCTGAAATCATTAGCTGGTCACCAAGAATTATCGTATTGCATAATTTTTTGAGCATGGAGGTACGTTCTTAAGAGTGAACCTATCATTTGATTGATGCTGGCCGAGGAAAAACTTTCCCTTGCACTGTAATCATTTTCCATTACTACTTCTTACACGGTAAACCTCAAATGAATCTGGGGTGATTCTTCCTGGCAATCAGCTTAAGGAATGTTATGATGGATATGTGTCCTTGAGAGATGATATTGACCGGCAATTTTATAACTTGCAGGAATGTGACTATCTTCGGGCCTTAGCCAAACCCCGCCTTCAGGTATCCACTGTGGTAGATGCAAGAACTGGAAAGGTATATATTACACTATTATTTGATTTCCATTGGATGGATCTTTTCCCCCCCTTTGTTACTGTTATTTGAGTTGAACTTGATAATTCACTTTCATGGATTGAATGAAGAGTGTTGTTTGAGACTGAGCTCTAGTACAGTAGTACTCCTTGCTTTGTTTAATGCATTGTTCACGTCACTTCTGATAGTTTTTGTTCTCTGTCTTCTATAGTTCGATTTAGCGAAACTGGCCACTTTTGCTTGCTGGTCTGTACTTGGTACTCTTATCTCATTTGTCTCCATAGAAGAGATGCTCCATTATGAAGTTGTTTCTCTATAAATACCTGTATCAATAGTAGAACGATGCATACATATGCTATTTAAAGAGTATAAATGACTGGATTTAGAAAAATAAGTAATGGATCTTGTCCTTCTCCACTTATGCTAATGCTAATAATTTTGAATAGAGTTTAGTGGATAATTTACACAAGTTATTGCAGTTCTTTGCTGTTTTCTTTATTCTTATGCATGTTTACTAGTGAGTAATTTCTTAAATGAACCATGGCTGCTGCCAGAATATTTATCCACTGATTGCTTTTGCATGAATAAGTATCCTTCTAATTTGTAGCTTTGTTCAGGGGCCACTTTGATTTCTTCTGAATGGTAATTAAACAGGGAATATGTCTTTGTGCAGGGTGTAAAGAGTAGTGTGAGGACTAGCTCTGGAATGTTTCTCAGTTCCTCAGACAGAAAGTACGGTTTGGTACAGGTTAGTCAGTTCTCGACTTTTCACTTCTAATCTTTCTTGATGGCTAGAGACTGGAGCTTTTCTGTTATTCTTGAAGCTTTTAAGAAGATCCAAATTCGTTGGACTGCCTTAAAGATGCAATTATAGAGTTTTCCTGTATAACACACTTGAAATCTGCATGCACACTACACCGGCGAAGTCATACTTGTACAGGAAAAAATCAGAGCACTGCCCAATCCCTCTAGAAGTTTTACTTACCTTGACCACAGCATTGATTATTGATGCCCTGTGCATATAAATGGTGCACCTGGAGTAGGCGGTAAAATGAATGTTTCATGTAAGACCAGATGGTGGTAAGATTCTGTAAAAAAAGAAAGATGACGTTCAGATAGGATAAGAGCAAGAGTATTATTTTATGCTGATAAGACCAGGATTCTTCCTTTCTTAACTTTCACAATCATCTGTCTTCACCTACTTTGTAATTTTTTTTTTACACTTCCCTTACATCCTAATTCCTTCTCTCTTTGTCAAGACTGCTCTCTTTCTTTTTCTACTCGTGGAGAACCTGGTTTCCCGTCTTCTTAAACCATAATGGAATTTAGTCTTGATGCTATTTGAACTTGTTCCATTTTGTGATCAGGCTATTGAGAAAAGAATTGCCGTCTTCTCTCAAGTTCCTTCCGAGAATGGTGAGCTTATCCAAGTATTAAGGTGGGTATCTGACTTATTTACATTTGAAGAATTATTCACATAAGGGAAGACTATTGTCATAGTCATGCCTAGGCTGACATCTGCAGCAGCGCAGGTACGAGAAGGGGCAGTATTACAAGGCTCATCATGACTACTTTTCTGATGCTGTAAGAACTCCAGTCCTCAGGTTTCAGATAGTGATATAACAGTCCATTGAATTCTAGTCATCCATCAGTTTCACATTTTCCTCACATGCCATCTTCACTCATTTTTATCTTTTTTTCCCCCTCAACAGTTTAACCTTAAACGTGGCGGCCAGCGAGTAGCAACAATGTTGATGTACTTGAGTGACAATGTCGAGGGCGGAGAAACATATTTCCCTATGGTACTCTTCCTTAAAGATCATTTTGACGCGACAAAACTACGTCTGGATGTCGTCTCTCCTTGTTTCTTCCTCTGAAAGTTGAGATTGCATTGCAGGCTGGATCAGGCGAGTGCACTTGCGGTGGGAAGCGGATGCAAGGTCTGTCCGTAAAGCCAATCAAAGGAGACGCGGTGCTCTTTTGGAGCATGGTACACTTTCTAGTTTCTAGACACTGCTTCTTACGACTTTGCAGCAATGACGATTCACGGAGAACCTGATGTTGATCTTTCTTTGATACTGTCAGGGGTTGGATGGACAGTCGGATCCAAAGAGCACACATGGAGGATGCGAGGTTCTCTCTGGGGAGAAGTGGTCAGCCACGAAATGGATGCGGCAAAAACAATTCTCCTAACTGCTCTTCTTCTGCAACTCACCCCTCATTTAACAGCTCAATACTGGGAAGGTACATCACATTTCTCTTAGAGGTTGATTGGTCAGCCATTACACAGCATATGGACGCAAAAATTAGCGAAAAGGAGAGAATAGAAGAGAGAAGTAGAGAGTTCCATTTACGTTTAGAGAATGTGTAACCTTGATGTTGTGCTTTGGCTGCCTTGCTAATTAAATCTTCATTGCGTCTAAATTGATCCTCAAGTTTCATTTTGCCACGTGGCAAGCTCTCGTGTCATAGGTTAGCCGAAAAAATGAATGGAGCTCGATAGAATGACCACATTTAGTTAGTGCAACGACAGGTTATTGTCTTGATTAACATCAAGTGCATGTGACATTTTTGTTAGGGATTCCAAATGCGAGTGATCAATTTACTTGCTTAACATCAAGTGCATGTGACATTTTTGCTAGTGATTCCAAATGCGAGCGATCATTTATGAGCAGTACCAATTAGATCGGTACACTGACACATGGCTTGTAAATATGGATTGTTCCCGTTGAGGGCTTTCCTAATGTGATCTCAGTCATTGGATCTATTCCGGTGAACCTAAAACAACGTCGATTCAATGGCTAAGATCTCTTGGAAGAAACCATTTCACATTGTTGGATATGTCGATAGGCTTTGTTAGTATCATAATTCATAATCAAATTGCTTGGGAAGGTTGAGATCCATTGAATTGACAACTAGGGATATGTGCTTATAGTTCGGCTATGTTCCTAACCTTCAATAGAGTTAAAAAGTCACGTGATCAACGATTGTGGATCTCTATTAGCCAATCGGTGTAAGAAATCCAAATACGTATTAAGGATGGGTGTGATATTCATGTACAATTTTATCGGATGTCCTGAAGGGACATATTCAATTATTCATGTACAGGTTCAGCTGAATACAAGAATGGTTAGTCACTAGTTTAGGTTTACAAAGCAAATATTTACAGGAAAATAGTTAGGTCAAACCCAAACATAGAACGTTCAGCATTCAAAGAAACGAAAACCAAAATTGAAGGTAAAATAAAAATTAAAACCGCGCGAAGAAGCACGTGGCTACCAACCTGTTTTCTCTCCAGTTCCCATAGAAACAAGCAAATCAGAAAGTACCGATTACGATATCAGAAAAGCATTGGAGACCAGCGCGCAGACCAGTTCTCTCTCTCGACTCATTCTCCGTTCAGAAAATCTCCGGGAATAATCAAACATGGCGGCAGCGTCGGCTACATCGAGCGGTACTCAGTCGCAGCTCTCTTGCTTCTCCTCAATCAACCGAAGCCTCCACCAGCTTCATCTCCACCGCCGCCGCTCCATCTCCTTCCCGTCCTCTCCCCGTCTCCCCAAGGTCCAATTATTCTTCCTTCTATTCTTCTTCTTCTCAGATTGCGCTAGTTTCTGGCGTTGATCCTTCCTTTCCTCTTTTCTTGTGTTTTGTTATCCGACAGTTTTCGGTTGTTATGAGCGCTGGAGGCCGCGCCACGGGGACTCCGGATTCGGATCCTTATAAGGGTTATGAATCGGCGTCCAAATCCATGCCCTACGGAGAAGAGACCAACGTGGAGGAGAATAGTAGGAGCGCTGATCTGGGCGTGGAGAAGAAGAGTGTCTATGGTTCCGCCATGATCCATGATTTCTGCTTTGGCATTCCCTTTGGTGAGTTTGAATTTCTCATTGTCGAATGCTACTGGTTCATAATTCCTGTCAGTAGTTATTGTTCCGGGAGGGAAATGAAACCTAATTGAGTCGATATGGTCTCAAATCTTCTCCTTCATAAGTGTTTCGTGGAGGCCCAGATTTCTATAGTGGACAGTAATTAGTAATCTTTACGAAAAGGTACTAGGTGATTGCAGTAATCTCTTGTAACTGTTGAATCTGGGAGATGCTCAGATGCAGCATCGAACGTAGTAATGTTTTGAGTCGAATTGGTTCATGTTGTTGCATTACGAGTTAAACCGATGCATATTTCATTTCACTGTCCAGTTCTGATTGATTCTGATGTTAAATTTCCGTTCAGGGGCTCTTGTCCTGAGTGGTGGGATCATTGGTTTGTTGTTCTCAAGAACTTATACAACGTTTAGTGGGGTGCTAATCGGAGGTGGTTTACTCGCATTTAGCACTTATAGCTTAAAGATCTGGAGACAAGGGAAGTCAAGCTTGCCATTCGTTTTCGGACAAGCTGGTAAGAAATTCTTGTTTCGAGACTGCAGATTGATAACTTAGAACCTTCTACCCTGATTTAAGATTTGACTGTCCTGCTACTGTGACGACTTGGTCTCTCACGAAAGAATATGTGGAATTGTTGGAAGCTTCTAATTTCGCCAAAGCAGAAGTTTCTTTATGAGTTCCGCAGTTCTTCAGTTCCTTCAAACACCTTGGTTGTTCATTAATAAAAAAAGAGAATGTTTTCTTCAGTATTCTTACAAACCCATTATTCGCTTTTTTCCTCCCAAAGATGTTCTGCTCAGCTTTTTTGGGATTGGCATCATTGGGTATATACAATAAAAAGATGATCATACAGATTAGGAAGTATAATTTATTTCTGGTGTTAGTAAGTATTTTGTTTATGCAGTCAATAATGCTTCATGGGAAATTCCATGGACATGAATCTGTTAATCTTTATCACTCTGTACAATAGTTAAGAGTTTCTACAATAAGCCAATGCTGCAGATGCTAAAAGTGTTTTCCTGTTATATCTAATTGGTGTTTATCTGTATTCTTGCAGTGCTTTCGGCAGCTCTTTTATGGAAGAACGTTGAGGTTTATTCATTGGTTAGTAATCAGATTAAGCATAAGGTTCTTGTCTGACCGAGTTTAATTTGCCCATGTGCTAACTTTGTTATGCCATATCGACGCAGACCAAGAGCCTCTTTCCAGCAGGATTTTATGCTGCCATTAGGTACTTCTTTTGAAATTGCAAGATTACTCACAACAAATATGCAAAATGTACCGATTCTGGTTGTGGCATATCTAATCTTGTCCCTTTCTGTTTTTTTTTTATAGTGCTGCAATGCTGTGCTTCTACATCCATGTCTTCATCTCCGGAGGCAATCCACCACCAAAGAAATTGCAATCGTGACTTGTCTTGCAAGAGGACATGACTTTCTAGGTCAGGTCAGCCATGGTTATATTTATAGGTGAAAAGAGTTGGTTCATTTTAAGCCTCTGCACTCTGCAAGGATCAGCCACGACAGTTTTGTGTGCGTACAGGATCTCTGCTGTAGTAAATCACGATTAATTAGGAGATCGAGTGGGGAGTTACATTATCTATGCGAACTGTTTACTCGTTAACCAGCTACTGAATTTTGAGAAAGAACTGAATTTTTTTTGGTCGACTTGTGTTGTGGGAGTATAAAGGGCGGTAGAAGATGGCCTGGAGGATTGGTCGAGGTTCTGTAACTCAAAAGCAAATGTTAGACAAGAAATATGCAGAAACCTAGCTGAGTTCTGCAAGGTAAACAGAGTCGGAAGAGTGAAAGAACTTGCGATCTAAGATTTTATGTTCATCAACAATGTTGGATGTCAAGGTTTGGAGCAGAGTTCTTTTGAATTTAGTAGACAGAATTTGAATGTTATAATTCATGAATTTTCATATCTTTGTGGACAGTTAGTCGTTAATTTTGCACCAAAAGAGCTTTGGTCTAGCAATACTCGAAGCACAACGGTAAGTCATGCAAAGCTCAATAAAACTTCATTAATCCTTCTTGGAAATCTAGCTTCTGTCGTCGTCCCATCGACGTGGCTAACTGATCGTATCCAATGTGAGCGCTCAGCCTTATGCTAAACCTTCTCTTAATCAATGGCGATGTTCATTTCATTACTACGAAGTGCGATGGAGGTCCCTTTGGTGTTTCTACGAAGGGGGCGATGCTTCGTTTCTCTTGACGTTCAATGTGATCCGTAGATTGGCAAGTTAATGTTGTAGCAAAGACCGGTAACGGTTTTGAATCTCTTCTGAATGCAGCCACATGAAAGCTTATGAAAATACCAATGCAAAAATATAATCACGAATTGATTTGTTCCTATAAATAGAAATGAACCACCCAATCTCATGGTTAATTAAGGAAAATGATCAACTATTACAGAGGCTTTCACTTTTGGTCTTCGGCCCAGCAGATTTGTTGGGTTTTTAAGCACTGAGAAGATTTCAGATTGGGCCGTCTAGTCAACTTCGGCCCAAACAGATTACGACTTACGAGCACGACCGAATCCACTACAAATCTCCACAGATAAAACCCTACTTAGAACTTCGAAGCGGCGGCAGCAACAGCAGGGAGAAGAAAGAAGAATCGGTCCGTCGCATCGTCGAAGTTCCACATTGCAGCAGCATACGCTTTCCGCCGGCAGCCATGAAGGTGGCCGCTTCAATAGTTTCCATTATTCATTCGATGAGATGAAACTCTAGCTCGTATTTGGTGACACTCATGATCTCACTGTCTTTTCTTCGGTTTTGCAGTTCAACATCGCTAACCCCACCACGGGGTGCCAGAAGAAGCTGGAAATCGATGACGATCAGAAGCTGTAAGCTATATTCCACCTTTTATTCGAACACTACTGTGAGCTCCGTAAGCTGGAGGTGTGATAGGTTATGTTTGAAGAGAATGGATGCAATGACAGATCGGATCATTAGAATGGCGTGGTTTTTCTGTTTAATTCTCTACTTGTTGAAGAACATGTCCACTTCCGTATTGCCAACTACGGAATGCTGTAGCTCCATTTCAAGAATTCAAGCAAATTGGTTTAGGGGGAAGGGTCTCAGTTTCCTTGGTCATATGTAAATTGTAATTCTATGGAATAGCATTGCAGCAAAGATGATTTAGATAGTTTACATGTTATGCGTAGCTATCAAGATACTTGCTCGCAGTGTCGTTTATCCACAAATCAGTCGTTTATTGCAATCTTAGTTTTTATTCTAGTTGTAGTGACTGCGTCGCTGATTGCTTATCTCGTATGCAGGCGTGCCTTCTTTGACAAGAGGATCTCCCAGGAAGTCAGTGGTGATGCGCTTGGAGAGGTATGCATATTGATATGGTGATTTTCCCCTTTCTTCTTTATGCACGGCTCTTCAAACTCTCATTGTTGATTATTGTTTTTTTTTTCTTTTTTGGTATAGGAATTTAAGGGCTATGTGTTCAAAATCATGGGAGGTTGTGACAAGCAGGGTTTCCCAATGAAGCAGGGTGTCCTGAACCCTGGCCGTGTCCGCCTTCTGCTTACCCGAGGTAGATCGGATCCTTATTTGTGCATAGAGTGAATGGAAATGCTTATGAGCATTGGTTTGAAAAGTACCCTTTTTGTGCAAATAGGAACCCCTTGCTTCCGCGGATATGGAAGGCGCAATGGGGAGCGACGAAGGAAGTCTGTGCGTGGTTGCATTGTGAGCCAGGACCTTTCTGTTCTCAACTTGGTCATCGTGAAGAAAGGCGAGAATGATCTCCCCGGACTGACCGACACAGAGAAGCCCAGAATGAGGGGGCCAAAGAGGGCATCCAAGATCCGCAAGCTTTTCAATCTCTCCAAAGATGATGATGTCAGGAAGTATGTCAACACATATCGCCGAACTTTCACCCGAAAGAATGGTGAGCATCCTTTGATATAATATGTGATCACCCTAGCATAATTATTGTAAATGCATTCCGGCTTGAATTTTCACTTATATGTTTCTGGGGACGCACAGGTAAGGAAGCGAGCAAGGCTCCTAAAATTCAGAGGCTGGTGACTCCACTGACTCTACAGAGGAAGAGGGCAAGGCTTGCTGAGAAGAAGAAGAGAGTTGCAAAGGCCAATGCTGATGCCGCTGAGTACCAGAAGCTCCTTGCATCGAGATTGAAAGAGCAGAGAGATCGCCGCAGCGAGAGCTTAGCCAAGAAGAGGTCCAGGTTGTCTGCTGCTTCAAAGCCTTCTGTGGTAGCTTAAGACTGAGGGGTTCTAGGTCGTGCTGAATTGTTGTTCCCGTCCTCGAGTTTGGAAGTTCCTAAATTTTGAATGAAGTTTTCGATGAACTGTTTGTACCCAACAGTTTTGTTATGATCAGTATTTGTGAAGTTTGAAGTTGCCTTCTGACTTGTTCTGTCCGTTTTTCCTGTGCCTTCTTTTCCAAGGATTCCTAGTCGTACTCGGAAATGGATACTAAGTAATGTGAATGTCAAGCATTCTATAATTCTATATTTCTATGAAATATGCTCGAGTTTCCCATGTATGTATGTTGGCCTAAAATTAATCAGTTGCTCTACCATTCATATTCTTTTGTCACAAGTCGACCAGAAGAATCTTCTATCAATTGTCAAAAAGTTATCTTCCGATCAGAAAAATCTTCTATCAGTTGTCAAAAAGTTATTTTCCGACCAGAAAATTCTTCTATCTGTTGCCAAAAAGTTATCTTCCGACCAGAATTTTTTTTATCAGTTGCTAAAAAGTTATCTTCTATCAATTGCCAAAAAGTAATTAGTAATATGAAATGGTTGGTTGAATTATTATTCCCGTACAAAAGACTTCTCATTTTATAAACAAAACCGTTAATCCCAATTTTCTTTTTTCATATAGAGAGAACTATTTTTATTTTATATCCGAGTTATAATGGTTTTTTTTTTTTGGTTGTAGGGTATCATACTATCCATTTCAAACTTTTATGTTGGTCCTTTTCATGTAGTGAGGAACATCATACCATATAAAATTTGTGTCTCCATTTGTTGTCAAACCCAAAATTATTGGAACCATATCAGATTTCCACATATCAAAACTCAGCACACTCTTTGTAGCTATGTGGTTGCTACCTTTCTAACATGTCCTATCATGTTCTCCACTAATTATATAACAACTGATAACTTGTTTGGTTTTTTTTTTCTTTCTTTTTTCCACTTATCAAGGTCACGTCTCTTTATATAGGAGGTAACTTTTTCATAGGTCTTTTGTTTATATATGAACTATGTTACCAATATAATTAATAGCTGAGGTAGTGAATTCACAAAATACTTTGAACTGGACACCCGTTTCTATAATCCGACTAATATGAAAGTCTGTTCATTTAGAATTTTGTAATTCGAAATATTTGACATGTATATCCTCTTTTTTGTTTTGGGTTGTTTCTGATCTTTTCTCGAATATTTGAACAACATTATAAGCATGGTTAATGATTTGATATATGAAATGTCAAGGTGTTGATTTTGATGGATTTATTTAGTTATTTATCAACTATGGTAGTTCTTATTGGTATTATCTTTAACCAACCAATAAGCCCATAATGCATATTATTAGATGCATAAGACCAACCTTTTGATAGCAACCACGCGTGTTAATCCTAATATCAAATCAACATTGTACTTGCATTCCTCCTTTCCTATCCAAACATTCTTATAGTCATGAATATTGATCATTCCTTGGTTTTGGAAACTTAGATGTGGTAGAGAAATCCACAATGCAAAAAAGGAAAGAATTTACAGATTTACGTGATTCACTAACACGATGTGGGCGGGAGAGACCAGTTTCACTATACTTGAGAATATACAGATTATAGAGATATGAGAATGTATATATAGCACCTTCTCCACAAGGCCTAACCCTAATCCAACATGAAAATGAAAAATGTTACAGACCAGACCCAAAACAGTAAAATAAACGTGTATTATTTGTCTTCAAGTCAATGATCAAATATTTTCACTTGATTAACCTTCATTCAACAACTCGAGTTATTGAGACCGAGCCAATTGGAGAGGATCTGGATGGGGAGAATAGACTATAATGTTAAATGACCTATCCCTCCATATTGTAATATGTCCAAGAGTCCTCCCCCCTGCTTTGTGCGCGTGCTATTTTGGTAATCCTTCGATGAATTGCTTTCTATAGTATTCGATGATTAGAAATTCAACGAATGAGACATTACATTTTGTGTTCATGTTCATGTCCCTCTCCCTCCACAAAGTGAAAGTGAAATGCCACCAAAGTCTTGATGTCATTTCAAACTAGTTCTGTTCCTAGCTCACCATCTATACATTTTCCCATGAATCCATTCTCAAAGAGATATGTGTCGAAAATGACAGAGCCTGGAGTTCATTTTGACTTCATTGCCCATTGATATGGACTCTTCTTTTCAATGGGAGGAAAACTCATGTATATGACTACATATCTTTATCAAAAGGGTTGTAGTAGTGTGAGGGTTTGGCATCAGAAGGACGGATTGGGACGTTCCGATCTATACCCTCTTCTCGAAGTGTCCTAATGCTAGAGAAATTTTTGTTCGTTAGTGGAAAGAGAGAGAGAAATAAGACATTTACCGAGAGTCGATGTGATAGACAGAAACTCCAATCACTGAGTAGCTACCATGGTAGTCATATTCAGAGAAAATATAATGTATTGTCCATTACAAGCTAGTTTATAAAAAAAATCGAATACCTATGTATCAAATGAGAGAACCCAATTTAGAATAAGTCGTATTCCATTAACCAAACTAAATGTCCACCACCTTAGGTACTTTTTCCATGTACCTAACTCAAGTGCACTCAACTTTTTACACATTTGTAAACAAGAATGATCGCTTGTAGAAAATATTGGATATTAATCGCCAAAAATGGCATGGGAAGCCTATATATATTGTTCAAAAAACTTCCTTAAGTGCAAATCTAGATAAGACTTAGGGATTTGTACTATCAGTCACAACTATATTCAAAACACTATTAGAATCGACCATGCACATAGAGCTATCTAGGGTTTCCCCATCCAACACAAACTAAGGACATGTTTGGTTATTACAAATTTAGAAAGATCACATAGTAATAGTACACCCTATTTCCAACCGATTGTTTGCAATATGCATAACGCGGTTAGGTTTTCAGTTCGATGTTTGGTAAAGGAAGTGATAAAAAAACAAAAGGCTGAAACAGTTGTTGTACAATTATGTGCTTTACCTAGATGCTCCCTATACACTACTACATGACCCATATATAGCCACTAGTTTGCTCAAAATTATGCTCTCTCTAGCTAGTTCCTTTCTAGAGTGAGTCTTTTTAGCTAAGCCAGCTAGAGTGAGTCGATGGGGGGCACAACTTTCTCTTTCTGAGATGGAACTTGCTATGATCCATGTCGATTGATCTCCTGTTCTAAAAGTGCTAAGAAGTTGGTTGGAGTTAGGTACGCTCTTGAGTGGAAGTTGAATGGGTTAAATCCATTTTTTTGCTTCACATTGGTTCATGTAATCATGTTCATATTTATACCGTCGGTATAAACCGGTCGTTTACAATTTGTAAGAAAACATAATTTCTTCCATTGTATTTTGAAAGCAATACGGAATGCAAGTACCCTATTTGGTCATGATATCCGGGTCGTCACTGAGAGATCAAAATCAAAGTTCAAACAAAGAACATTGTTTTCCCCGTTAAAAAGGAATTTTAAAGAACATTGTGCCACAAACGGACGGTTTGGCAGGTAACCGTCTAAACAAGCTATAAGCCGAGCTGACATAAGCTATTCCAATATGGGACTAACCGGATCACATAAGGTTTGGTGATTTCAGGTCGAACCGAAGGATGCAACCAACCTTAAACAATAGGGATTATTAGAATATTTAATAGTTGTCCTAAACCCTTCTATTTCTCAAGAGCCACCAAAAATTTCCCCTTGAAGGACTATTCTTTTCTTTAGGGACATCACATCTGCTAGAATCTAAAGACCAGAAAGCAATAATCCCTTCAAGGTGATTGGGTGAAGATGTTAGTGTGTTTCCCACATTCAAACTGTCATCGTCCTCACTACTCCTCTCCTCTGCCACTCCAAATCATGGGTCAGTGACATAATCATCACCATCCTCCTATCTGTGGGTGAGGGGGGAAACCAACTCATACGAGACTGAAGTTTGCACAGCTGCAAATACCATTTACTTAACAAACGAGGGTCGTCGAGATTCAAAAACAATAACCCTCGCCAATCAAAGACTCTGATACCATGTTAATGACAAGTTAATTGATCCTAACAACTAGATTTGTTGAGAGAAATTCAATTATGATCTTTACCATTTACTAGCTAGGGTTGCAATTCAGATAAGTTTTAATAAAGAATGAAGCAATTCAATTAGCTAGAATTCATGTCCAAGTGCATATTTTGTTATATCTAAATAATAACTAATTATGATATATCAAAATACGTGCTCCCACTAAGCATGTACATATGAACCGACCATACTTGAATGAAGCTTACCTAGCCTCGATTCAAAGTACGGTCCTCATACTCATGTGTTAGGACACATACTAACGCGTTAATGATCGTTGGATCGTGAATTCCGTGATCCACGATCATTCAATCTATGTGCCGAAGAGCTAGCCACGTGGGTTAGGCCGGCAATGTCCAGGGGATAATGAGACCAACGTACTACATGGAGCCCGCCGCTTTATGGGATATTGTCAAAGCAGCCACGTGGGTTAGGCCGGCAATGTCCAGGGGATAATGAGACCAACGTACTACATGGAGCCCGCCGCTTTATGAGATGACTTGCGCATCAAAAGAAAGATGAAACCCTAATGTAAGCCTCAATTTTGTCCCCTTCAAATTACAATGGCTTGATTTTTCGAACTAGCTAGATTGTCATGCTCAAATTTCAAGGTGTCAAATGTTATCAACTCTCGAGTTGATCGTTAACATTTGTCGATCCCACATGATTTCTCTTATTAGTAATCTTGTTGTGACTTATCTACATATATATGTAGCTAAAACATTAATGTTAAGCCCTCCACCACTTGTCAAGATCGATGTAACCCTGTATGACATACCCATTTGACTATTACACATGAATACTAGCTAAATCTACCATCACTATCGTTAACATTAATTGTTGGTGACTCTACTCTGACATATATACCTACTTTGAGGATGACCACTTTTCTGAAGTTATCTAGGATCATGGTCCTAGATAACTTCGGACCGCAACCCACCACTACCTAGCTAGCTTAGGATCATGGTCCTAAACTTCGGTGCATTGTAAGTAAGTATATGGTGAAGATGTGTGTTATATGGTGCAACCTCTACACACAAAGGTCACTCTCTCCCTCCCGTGGGAATATTGTTCAACAACAGAAGGGGGGGAAGTGGGGAACTTTCTCTTCAATCTTGTCATAGATGGGGTTTAGGGTTTGTCAAATCCCACTGTGTTGCACGGCCTTTACATGAGTGGCTAGCTGCTTGACGAAAATGACGACTTCTTTCTTGGGAGCAGAAAGAAGAGCAGAGGAAGAAGGAGCTTTGGTAGGGGCCGGCCAACCCCCTCAAAATCTGCTGCTGTTCTGCTTTCTGGCGCCAGATATTGCACATGCATGGGCACACAAACACAACTTTGTAGGCTAGAGAGAGAGAGAGAGAGAGAGAGAGAGAGAGTAATGGGTTGCATGCATCACCTTTGTTAGTGTTGCACTTATTAGATTTTGAAGGTAGGATCCACTATGTGCATATGTGTACTATCATTTTTTCCAATTGGTGGAAGAGATTAGAGAAACTCATTTCCTTGGTTGGTATGCTAATGATGAATATGAAATTGGCTACACGTGGATGTGGTGCTCATCAATGTTAATGAGTGGCCGGTATACGATTCATAATTTGAACATCTTTCAACAGCTTGAGTTATTGTGACCAATTCGACTTTGACGTTGTATCGGAGCCTTCTTTAACCGAGAGGTATTCTGTTCGAATCCCGGTGACCTCATTTGTTGTGCGCATGGTATTTTGATGCCTTTGCAAACTTTCATTCCTTCTGAGTTGGCTTTTGCTTGAGGGGGTTTGTTAATAAAGGGTATATGATCCGTAATTGAACCTCTATTAGCAATTCGGAGTTAAATCGACTAGTTCTTGGCACTCTAATGATAGGTTTGGTCCATAATTGATCCATAATTGTGGTAGATATCCGTCAGGGAATATGTAAGATCTGTTGTCTTGAGCTCTTATAGGGTCTGGATTGAACTCTCTTTTAAAACCCTCAAAAATTTTAAGTTCATGGGTCGAGAGTCGAAACGAGATAGTTCTTGATGACTTCCTTATCATGTTATTAAATTTTCGTATTAACTATCTAATTGTTAATGCCCGACATAGTGATGGCAATGAGACGGGGCGGGTACCTCAATACCTATATCCTGCCCCATGTTACTTCAGGTCGGGACGGGTCGACCAATTCCTACATGCTTGAATAAATACAGGTAAAAATTTACTTTTTACGATAACAAATTTCTTAACCTAACTGCCTAAGAGAAGTGGAAGAAAAGAAAGAATGTGGGCCGGCTTGTGTGTGTGGAAAACCAACACACAAGACTTAGTCCTATCACTTTTTCACTGCAGTAGTGAAAGTACATGTAAACTTGGCAGCAGCAGCAGCAGCTTAGTGAAGTAGAAAAGGGACAGAAACCACAATCGTTCATGACCTTTTTTCCTTGGGTGAAAAGGAAGAACATCGCCATTTCTCTTAGTAGCAACATTTTCTAAATAAAGGTTGCAAGACAGAAGCTATCTTTGGTGTCGACTGTAGCCTTCACACTTTCACAGAAGTCGACAGGTTAGGTATACTCAGCTATTTTCTTTACCCTTTTTTCTACATCATCCTTCCTTTCCTTTCCACGTAAGGATTTACTCCCAAAGAGAGACATGGAGATCTTGTAATGACTTAGCCCTAGCAACTTATGCTCAAGCTTTTGGGGGGATGAGATCGGTTGGTTAGCTCCTCGTGTCATCATCTACTGCAACCCTCTGAGAAATTGCTGAATCGTCGAGTGGCTCAAACGATAAGGCATGAGGTTGGAATGATATATGGTCTCGAGTTAAAGTCTTATCTGGTCATTTGTGAAGAAAATTCATCGATGACCAACGAGGTTTATGTTACGGGTTAACGTACGTAGTGCACCATTACCTCTTATTCAAATAAACTTATGGACATGCACATGATGATCATGACGGAAATTCTGTTGGTCATGTAAACATCGCACCTTGAAATCGCTCGATCTAGTCAACGGAAAGATCAATCGTTCTATGTTTCGGTCGATCTTCATACGTCATATTATACAGTGCTACTGATTTTTTTGTCTACCACATCTACCTCTGAACCGGATGGGCCTATGAAAAAGCCCGATAGACTGGTACAAACCACGTAAAGCATATACAATATATTCACTATATATCGAATCGATAAATCGATTCCTGAGTATCGATAGACTTTATTTGTTCACCAGACTCCACCTCAATACACTACTTGTAAGTTTTGAAAAGTCATTATAAACATACCAAAAAGATATCACTAATTTAGAATTTAGAAGTACGAAAGTGCATGCATTACACTTACACACCAACGAGTCTTTCCGGGTGGAACCCATAAACAGCTTCTATTATTTACTATGCACATTGTAGAAGCCACGTACTCTATCCATATATATATATATATATATATATATATATATATGTCACGTATTTTAATTTATTTATGCTCAACTTCAGTATATTATATGTAACCATTTACCTAACGATAAAGTTAAAATGCTAGGTTTGTAGCTTCAAAAAACACTACACTATTAGTTATGGTATAAGTAATGGTCGAGTCAGAAATACCAGCCAAGAGTTCAAGAATTTAAGCTCGAGAGATTGAATCATGTACTACAAGGCTAAAATCTACCAACGAATATATATATATTTCATAAATTTATTATCGCTTTTGTACATATTTCTAACTGAATTTGAAAATTGTAAAATTATTATAACCTTCCCTAACCTCAACATGGCTTCATCAATATTGAGCTTAACCTTTAAATGGGAAGATAATTATTTTTCGAATTTATAAATAACATAACTATATTCGAAATTTTAAATTATTCAACAAATATTACATAGCTCTTTAGTTGATTGTTAATTTTGATCTTCAATGACCAATCTTACATATTGTACGTTTCTCTAGTATGAATTCTCTAACATTTCATATGACATTTTGACTATATTTTGATGACAACGATTATTATTTCGAAATCAATGTAGGAAAACCGACCGTACCCGAAACCCATTTCAATGGAGGTAGCCCTCCCCTTTAAATTTCCCTCCCTCACTACTACTTCCCCACTCCAAACTTCTCAAAATCTCTGTTCCATTCAAACTTCCCTCTGTTTTTCCCCCTCTCGACCCACAAAAATGGCATCATCGTCATCAATCTTCCAACAAGCCAACAAATTCACCATTCTGCACCTCAGATTCCTCATGATCATGTTGCTCTGCCACACACCACACGAATCCAAACTCTGCTCCACCAACCAAAACCACCACCAACTGATCTTCTCACCATCACAACCTCGCTCCGCCTTAGAGACACTGAACCTCGACGGTTACTTCAGCTACCAAAACACGGCGCACGCCGCGAGGGACTTCGGCAACAGGTTCTTCTTCCGGCCAGCCGCCGTCCTCCACCCGAAATCGGTCCCCGACATTGCCTCCACGGTGAAGCACGTCTACGAAATGGGTGCCGGAACCGTGGCCGCCAGAGGACACGGCCATTCCCTGCAGGGCCAAGCGCAAGCTGACGGCGGGATCGTAATCAACATGGAGTCCCTGATTCGACCGCGTCGTGGTGGTGGTGATGGTGGTGGCAGATACGTGGATGTGTCGGGTGGCGAGCTGTGGATCGATGTTCTGAAGGAGACAGTGAAGCATGGGCTGACGCCGAAATCGTGGACGGATTACTTGCATCTCACCGTCGGAGGGACGCTGTCGAATGGCGGGATCAGCGGTCAGGCATTCCGGCATGGTCCCCAGATCAGTAACGTTCAACAACTGGAGGTCGTTACAGGTATACATAGGCTCTGTAGCTTGTTATGTATACGTAGCTTTACATAAGAACACACCTGCTCTGTTTCTATTTGTGGTAGCGAATAGAGGGACGTAAATATCGAGTTGTTTTTATCAGTATATCTGATTTTTAGAAGAGTGAGAACAGGAAGCTGGCCTGTAAACACCTGTAAGGGAAACCGAAACGGTTTAGCCGGTCGGTCCAGTTAACGATGATCTACAGCTTGTGTTGATTTGATTGATGAGCAAACAACTTTTATTAGGTAAAGGAGAGGTGGTTACCTGTTCTGAGAAGCAGAATGCAGAGCTGTTCTTCAGTGTGCTTGGAGGGCTCGGACAGTTTGGGATCATAACTCGAGCAAGAATCTCTCTTGAGCCAGCACCAAACATGGTAACTTTCCTTAACTTCCATTCAAGATGGAAAATGAGTAAAGAAGGCACCATACCAGGTCGAAACTGAATTCGGACCTTCTGGTGGTTTTGCAGGTGAAATGGATCCGAGTTCTGTACTCAGATTTCTCGCAGTTTTCCAGTGACCAAGAACATCTAATATCCCTAGACGAATCGTTCGATTACATCGAAGGATTCGTGATCATAAACCGAACCGGCCTCCTCAACAACTGGCAATCCTCTTTCCATCCCAAGGACCCAGTTCAAGCCAGCCAGTTCATTTCAGATGGGAAAACCCTCTACTGCCTTGAAGTCGCCAAGTACTTCAGCACACAGCATGACAGCAATGAAACCGTCGACATGGTATGTTCATTCATTCTCAAGAGAATAATACGAAACATAAAGCTAATTTCTTTATTACTAAACTGGATTTCTACCCTCCATCTGTTGCAGCAAATCCAAGGCCTGCTGTCAAATCTGCATTTCATTCCATCCACCCTTTTCATCTCTGAAGTATCCTACGTCGGCTTTCTGGACAGAGTCCATGTAGCCGAGATGAAACTCAGAGAACAGGGTTTATGGGAAGTTCCTCATCCATGGCTAAGCCTACTCATTCCAGGAAGCAAGATGGCTCAATTTGCAAGTGAGGTGTTTGGCAGCATTGTCACAGACAGTAGCAATGGTCCAATCCTCATTTATCCACTCAACCAGTCCAAGTACTGAATTCTTTCTCGTCAATATGATCAATTTCAACAAACAAATTAAAAAAAAGGATCATCTACTCAGGTCATGATTTGTCATTCAAATTCTCAGGTGGAACAACATCAAGAAAACATCATTAGTCACACCGAGAGAAGATGTTATTTATCATGTCTCGTTCTTGGCATCGGCAGTGCCATCTTCCACAGGAGAAGATGGTCTGGACTACATTTTAGCACGAAACCAACGAATACTAGACTTCAGTTCGGGTGCCGGCATAGGGTTGAAGCAATACTTGCCTCATTACACCACCCAGGAAGACTGGAAGGCTCACTTTGGGTCCAAATGGGAAGTTTTTCTAAAGAGAAAATTGACTTACGATCCTTTGGCAATCCTAGCACCTGGGCACAGAATCTTCAAGAGGCAATACCAAATCCAAGAGCAAACCATCACTGAGGGGCTCTTGAAGAATACATGAAGCAGTAATTACCTAAAGCTAGTTTGTAAATGATTACAGGCCAAATCTTATGTAGTAGGTTTTATTCCACAGAGCTCACTATTAGGACAGAACAGTGGGAATAACCGAAAACAAGACCGGTTTCACTAATTAACCTGATCATGTTTAACAAAAGGGTCCATGTAGAGAGGACATTGTAGTATAAGCTTCACCAGAAAAGTGAGCTTCAATTCCGGTACATCACAATTCACAGTATATTAAAGCTGATTACAAGTAAAATATTGCTTCCACCAGACAAGCCCTCAGTTTATAGCTTGTACAACAAGATAACCAACCAGATATGCCCACATGCCACAAAATCCCAGAAGGAAGAAAGATAGAACTAACTAAAGACAACTCACAGATTAGGGACGAACAGAAGACGATTTTTCTCCTTCAGATGCATCTTTCCAGCCAAGACCAGGTCTTCGTTGTTCCGCCTGTGGCCCTTCGTAGTCCTTAGCATTAAGGATCATCGCCTCGAAGTCGGTCGAGTCACTAGCAACAGGAAGAAGGCTACCTATATCATCTCTAGCTCCAAAGCCTCCAGCTCGAATGACATCGTCAGTTGATATTGCAGCCTCCATGTTTACTTCTCCAGAAGAGTAGTATTCATTACTTTCAGGGGGAGCTGAACCTTCCTCCACACCATGACTGTGAACATTTGGTCCCGTCTTCTCGTCCATAACATCCACATCTGCAAGATAATCAAAATCCCACTCAATACACAGGATCATGAGAAGACAGATTAGAAGTTCAGGCAAATAGCAAATTCCTAAGCGAGAGAAAGGGAGATTCTTCCCCTTAATAGGTACCAGGAAAAGGTTCAATCGACTTCTTTTCCATAATGGGCAATCCAAACTCCTAATGACTCTATCAAATTACGCTCCTTCAGCTTGCTAAGAAGCTTCGAACTCCAGTATAAGGATTGAGAAATTCTAAGCTTGAAGAAATTGAGAAAACCCTCCATTAGATGATTTCCAGAGTTCACAGTTACGAAGCTGGGAGTTGAATACAATAGCCAGAAGCGAAAGGAACACACATACCAGAAAAGAGTCGATTCCTGCCTTCCCTGCACGGCCGCTTCCTTTCAGATTGTATAATGTGTAAATTTTAGCTCTGCTCTGGTCTTGACGCCGCCGCCATGGGAGAACACCACCGCAAAAATCTGTGCTCGGAGTTTCGTAAACATGCTCAATGGGCTCGGCCTGTCGAGGAGAATTATGAATGACAGGCAAAGGCCCATCATAGTGACAGCCCAGCTACAGCTGATTGGAGGGCAAAAGTAGAATACTATTATAACACAACAAGGAAAGTTGGATGACCAAATCAGTAAATAAATAGCCTGTGGATCCTGGTGTGGTCGGTCGGAGGTGATTAACCGCCACCGCCGCCTACCTCGCGTTCTTAGCCTCCAAAATTTGAATACCTCAACCACCAAAAAAAACCAGGAAACCCACGCTAACAAATGGCGGGACTCATTCCTGCAATTCGTTTGAACTCCTTCGGAAGGTCTCGCTTCTACCCACTCTACCACCGCTTCGCGCTGTCACAGGTTGGTTCCAGTCTCGCTCTGTTTCTAACCCTGCATTTTTTTCCCGACACAGCCAATTCAAGTGATATTCGGGGGGGATTCATGGGTCTGTCTTGTTATTTTATGGGTTATTTCAAGTTTGAATCTTTCATTCTGCTGCGAAGTTGAGGGTTAGATAGTGTAGCTGGATTTTGATTGCTTCAATAGCTAGTTAGCTACCAGTGTGCTGCTGTATTTTCACTTTTTCTGCGCTTTACCCTGGCAGGATGGAAGAAGAGAATTGATACCTGGCCTTCGGCGGAGCGCTTCTGTGCATATGTGTTCTCTAGGTAACAAGATTAGTGGTGATTCTGTAGCTGATTAATCTTTTCTTCCTTTTGGGGGTTTTGATGGAAGTGAATTGGATGGGTTTTTGGCAGCTGGGGAGTTCGAATTTGATGAAGTTCCCGATGATGGCAGAGCGGCAGAGAAGCATTCTGCACTCCGCCTGGCTCTTTCACAGCTCGGTGGTGGTGGAGATAGCAGCAGCGACTCTATGTCGTACATGCAGCAGTTTTTCGGTTCTCGGAGTGCACCAGTGGTCTCTACTGGTTCATTGAAGCTGGACATAGCACTTGGAGTTGGAGGATTGCCCAAGGTGATTGAACTAACGCGCAATGGCTTATCTTTGTCTTTGTAGTAAGCAGCACTTCTGTGATTACTCATGAGCGAGTCACAACATAGAAGCAATTTAGTTGCCATGAAAAGTTGCTTTAAAGTTTGTTCAATGAACAGGAATCAAAGTGTTACCCTCTAGCATGTTGTGGGACGAGAAGATGTGTTGATATGTAGAAATTGCAGCTTTCAGTCATGAGAACTTGACAATCGACTTTCTGGAACCTCTGCTTGCTGTCTTTTCAGGGAAGAATGGTTGAGATATATGGGCAGGAGGCTTCTGGAAAGACGACACTTGCACTTCATATTATCAAGGAAGCCCAAAAGCGTGGAGGTTCAACCACCACTGCCATTCATATTACTTATTATGCAAGTGAATCATGTCAATCCCATTCAACTGTCTTTAATTTTGTGAACTCAATTGTAAAATGGTCATATGGTGCTTTCTTTCCAGGATATTGCGCGTATCTTGATGTAGAGAATGCATTGGATAGTTCACTTGTGGAAGCAGTAGGCGTAGATACGGATAATCTCCTCATTTCGCCACCAGATTCTGCTGAAAATATGCTCAGTGTGGTTAATACACTGACCAAAAGTGGTTCTGTCGATGTAATCGTTGTTGATAGTGTAAGTCATCAGCTCTTTTACTTAAATTCATTACCCTGAGAACATAACTATTAACATACAAACAATGTCATTTCTCACTGGTTGTTATTACAGGTTGCTGCACTTGTTCCTCAATACGAGATCGATGGGATGATAGGAGGCTGTGACGGAGATAGACAGTCTCGCATTATGAATCAAGCTCTACGAAAGATTCATTATTCTTTGTGCCAATCTCAAACTCTTCTCCTTTTTCTTAATCAGGTCTGGTTCATTTTGTTCATTCTGTTGTGAAAGTGCAGTGCATAATCCTGAAAAAGAAAGGCCCTTTACATTTCCTTATCTCATTCTTCGATTCAGGTTAGATCAAGCGTGGGACCCGAACTAGATCGTCGGCATGTAGAAGAGGTAACTTGTGGGGGAAAGGCCTTGAAATTCTATTCAGCAGTTAGATTGAGAATGAACAGAATGAGATTACTGAAGACTGCTGATAAGGTACAAAGCATCATCTAATAAGCCTGGACAACGTTCGGTCAACAACCTGATTTCAAGAATAGAATCATTCTCCTCTCTGAATTATTAACTTGGATTGTGATGAATTATGGATTAGGTGACTGGCCTTGGGGTACGTGTAGAAGTGGTGAAGAACAAGCTGGGGCCTGCATTGAGAAAGGCAGAGCTTGGAATCGAGTTTGGAAGAGGCTTCTGCCGTGTAGCAGAGGTCTTGGAATTGGCATCCGAATATGGTCTCATCACAAAAGAAGGATCCAGCTACATCATCCGAGGGCGAGTCTTCGACAGCGAATTGGCAGCACACAACCACCTAGTCAAACATGATGGCATCCTCGATGGCATTGTCACGGACTTGAGGAGCCAATTGTTTCCAGATAGATAAAACTGTGAGATTATCCTGTCTCCGGAAATATGAGCTCTTATTCGTAGTTTAGAAAATCAACAATGTATGTGCAGCACCACTCTCCACTCAGTCATATATCCTCCACGTTGGAAGAAATCATGGCGATGAGGGATGAGGAGGATGAGAAGGCAATTATTGTAACCCAACGCCCTTTCAGGGGCTAAAGGTAGAGTCACCAATTGCTTGTTTGTGAACCAGCATTTCTTATGATTCTGAGTATCGATTCCTGGTGCTGTGAATTTATCAACATATTAGACCATCATCTACCATACTTCTGCTTGGTTTTACATGACATGACTAACTGATGCAACAATTTATACAGAGACTACAACAGACAGATACACTGTGATCATTCGTTCTTCTAAGCATTGCACAACAGACAGATACACTGTGATCATTCGTTCTTCTAAGCATTGCACAACAACCCAATACGAAGAAAGCTCGATTTGTTCAGCAATGTCGCAAACACAGTACAATAGCTTCATCAGCAGATAGGAACATGTTAGATAGATTGGAAGAACCCAATTGGGGAATCGTCTGTTATTAGAGAGACGTCACCCTAAAACATGGATTTCCTATAATCGTGTCTCAATTCAGTGCGTCCAAAACAGGTTACAACCGGAAACACACACCCAAAAGGAAACCCAGAAACAGATCCTTGCTAAAATTGAAGAACAAAGATTCCAGATTTTTTCCATCTTCTCATTCCAACTCCTTGACGACTTTAATCCCCATGGTGTTGGCGGTGCCGATGACGGACTTGCAAATGGACTCGAGCGACATGTACTGGCAGTAAGGATCCGACTGCTTTACCTTGGCGATCTCGTAGACGTGCTTCAGCGTGACGGAAGAAGCCGCAACGTGGCCGGGGCGGCTGCTGCCGGACTCGATCCCGGCGGCCTTCTTCAGGTACCAGGTGACCGACGGCGACTTGACGGTGAACTCGAAGGTGTTGTCCTTGAACGCGGTTATCGTCACCGACATCGGGGTTTCCGCCTTGTACTTCTGGGTCCGGGCGTTGAAGTCCTTGCAGAAGGCCATCAGGTTCAATCGGTACTGCCCGAGCGCCGGACCGACGGGCGGCGCCGGCCGGGCTCCTCCGGCGGGGACTGTGAGTCGGATCGTGGCCGCAACGGGGCGCCGAGTCAGAATCTCCTTCAGTGTCGCCATTTGATCGGATTTGGAGCGAAAGCGGGGAAGGATTTTCCTCCGGTGGAATGGGGAAGAGAGATGAGAAGATGCGACGGCGGGGTTTGGGAGAGCGACCGAAAGGGTTTTGTTTAGCGTTATATTGGGCCTCGACTATGCTCTCGCGTTTTGGGCCCGGCCTCTTTTTTTCCCCTTATCGGGCCTTTTAGATAATCTTACTTTAAAGCTTATTAGGCCAAGTGACTAATATTACGGATTAGCGCATGTCTATGGAGTTTTTCAAGTCATTTGGATAATTGCCACATGTACAAAATTCGACTTTGTTTGGCCAAAAAATTATTTCCCAAAATAATCTATTTTTTTCTGATTTATTCGTTTTGTAATGAAAACTAAAAAGTATAGGATCTTCCCATTTCGCTAATAATCTCTTCATTCGGTAGGATATTTTTGGCTTAAGATGACTGATTCGATATATTTTGATTCCTACCTATCTACTAATGGAGTTCTTTACTTCGTCTTATTATATATAGACTCCATCTGAATAGATATCTACACCCAAAAAGTCATATGTGTGGGAAGAAACTTGTATAGTTTGTGAAGAGCTTGGCAAGAGTGGACAATAAGCTAGAGTTGCAGGTGTTGTAACGAAACTTATTTCAAAAAATCATCGCATTTACAAATACAGTCAACCCAAATGAACATACTTTCATTCAACCCCACATGATTTCGTCACACGATGAAGTTGGGATAGATGTGTATCATGCGGTAGGGTTGCACTTGCATACCTAAATTAGGAAGCATTCATCCCCTTTGGCTGCTAATTGCATCTTCATGACCTCTCCTATCCAATCATGTGGATTTTTAGTTTATTGAGCGACAATACACTACAAATTGGGAATCAAAGCAATTGGGAGAAAAGAAGTAGGGAAGCATCACATGACACATGGAGGTATTGGTGCCATCACTCCATCACTACCAACAAAAATGGTGATACCACATACAAGTTGCATAAGCAATTGGATTAAATAAAAAGATTAGTCTAGAATTTATCGGGTGATTACATACTTTCTTGGTAGACTAATTCTAATAATGTTCCAAAATTAGTCTCTATCTTATGAGTAGGGATTAGAATAATGTTCTTAATAACATTTATATATATATATATATGGTTGCGTCTTTGGTGCACTCACTTTTTTGGGTGCATTCAGTGCACTCGCTTCATAATCGTCATTTTAAACATGAGATTTATGTCAAAATGATGTCAATCATCACTTATGATGTGATGAACAATAACGCACATGAATTTGCACAAAAACCATGAAAGATTTGCTTTAATTTGAAGGATTTAGAGTTTAAAGATCTAGGGTTAGGGTTAGGGTTTACAGTTTGGAGTTTAGGGATAGAACTCAAAATTGGAGGTCTAGGGCTTAGGGTAATCCGGTAATTAGTTGTTATCATATGTTATATCATCATATTATACTAATTCTACAAATTAAAATTCAAAATCCGACTCCTTAAGACTAGTTTTTGAGTTGGGTGCATTGAACGCACTCATTTTTGTGAGTGCGCCGAAGTAGTCACTATATATATTATCAATTAAAGCAAAGCTTCTTATAAGTTTCGAATATTCACAATACAATTTTAGAAGGGAATTCAAACTTATACTTTACATATATTTAGAGAGGCGAACAAGATATAAGAGTTCCATATGTTGAACAATGTAAGTGTCTTCTTTGTAGAAGGTTTGGGAAATCGTTTAAAGTATAATATGGAGTATTCATAATTTGAAACACAATATTTTTGACATACTTGTTCGCGAATAAATCACCTATTCATTTAATGTATTTACTCGAAAGAGAATATCTTGAAGTTGTATGTGAACCGTAAAATTTCACGAATCATTTAATGCATTTACTCAAGAGAAAATATCTTGAACTTATATTGACAGAGTGAACCGTAAAATTTCACGAATCAAGTAGGTAGAGGGTAAACTTCCATGGCTAGTTTGGACAGCAACAAGTTTGATCAAATATGGTCCTTAAACAGTAATGTAAATTGTATTGTCGTGCTTCTTTGTGAAATGATTTATTAATACTTTCTTCTTCTAATAAACTCATATATATTGCAATAAACATAATTTGTCACCCTTGAATAAAACTAATGGAAAACGAAAGCTTAACAAAATCTCAATTTCCAAACCTACCATCTTTCAATTTCTCTCTTTTTTCATAAGTATACGTATTCTTCTTGAATTTTATCTTAACTAGTCTAAACAAAATAAGGGCAAAGATTGATCCTTTTTGCTTCTGACCTACTAATTCCAAGCTCTTCAACGTTTTTGTTCAAAGAACAAGTGAGGAAAATTTACAGAGATGTATAAGTGGTCATATCCCTAGCATTAGGCATCAAAGCCAAGAACATGAGCAGAACCAAGATCCCTATCGGAATCAGAAGCAGCAGAAACGGCGGGGGCGGCAACGGCGGAAGGATGAGAGGCAGTATGAGCAGAGACGCCGTCAGTCCAATTAACAGAAACAGAGACTCCAAGCTGAAATAACCAGACGGCAACAGCCTGCTTCTTGATGGACTACTACTGTTCCCGCTCTGTGATCTCTGACTGTACAAGAATCTCTTCTTCTCCATCTCCGACCTAAATTGGTGCGGGACTGGAATTGAACCGGATGAAGATGAGTACTGAGAAGGAGGAGCGGCTCTGTTTCTTGATGTCATCATCTCCATAATGCCGGTCACGCAAGGGCTCTGTAGATCGATTGGGATTCTCTGTTGTTCTGTTGAATCTGAATTGGCGTTCCCAAAGTTCATTTAACTAGACGAACGGTACCAAAATTGTCGAATCTGAAGCCACTTGTCGGAATGCTTGAAATGCTAGAGAAAAGAAGCTGGTTCAAGCGTGGAGGATTTGCAGCAGAGGAGGGAAACGATGGAATCTACTAACATTCTGTTATTGGTTCGCCAGAAATTCCTCGACTCATCCGCCAGTTTATTGTGTTCTCGCGGTTTCAATAATCCCAACAGCTAAATTGCGTTTTCCCGGAAAATCACAAGCCTGGAAAAGGGGAGAAAAAAACAGAGGAAGAGGATTGTTAGGTCTGTTCCCGCTGAATCGACAAAAAAATCAAAACCCAATTACAGAAATCACCAATCAACAACAACCCAGATCCTGAATTCGAAAACCCAGTGCAGAATTATGTATAAAGTTCGAACCTTGTTTCACTGGGATCACCAAAGAAAACCGAAACTAAAGACTATTAGAGGGAGATATGAAACGAACCTGTGAAGCAGCTGGTGAAGGGGAAACGGAGGGCCTGTTAAGTATTGGTTGCAGAATGAGAAGCCGGCAGTTAAGGAAGCAAAGAAGATTAAGAAAGATTAATCTTTCTCTCTATCTATCTCTCTGTGGGTGATTCCTTTCTTTTAAGAACAGAAAACAGAGGGGAGGAAGAGGATGGATGAATCAATCTTCCTTTGGATTGAGCTTAATATTTTTCCACCAGTTGGGTGAGCAGGAAATGGGGAGGTTTCCGCTTTAGGTGGGTTAAGAAGATTAGGAGGCTACTTGCAGTGAATAGAGTAATAATAACAGAGCAAGGAAGCGGCAAAGGTTGGGGTGTTTTTCGGTAGGGGGAGAGATGATTTTGAGGGGGGGAGGTGGATTCAGTGAATTTGTTCATCTTCCGGTTTGTTTCTTCTTTCAAACTTTCTTTTTTGGGTATTTAATTTTAGGCAAGAGGGAGAGAGGGGAAGAGGCAAGTTGTGGACTGTAGGAAGGTGGGGGATTGGACTGACATTCATTCATTTTGGGGAAAGCTTTCTCTTCCTTTTCTCTGTGTGCGTGTCTGCTAAGGTTCATCGCCCCTGGTCTCTCTTTCTCTCTCTAACCTGCGTTTCTTTCTTTCACTTCTTGGGTTCTTCTCCCTCTCCTCTTTGGTAAAACTTAAACTTCTCGACTTTTCCGGTCAATGGAATATCAATCCCAAAGATCGTCTGTGACCATCTCGATCGTGGGTTTGATTTGGTTCCGAATCAAACCAAATCACATAGGGATACCGGTTGTTCAGAATGAACAGAGGTACATTTAATATGGTCCGGTAAATTTTACGAATTCGAGAATCACAACACGATTAGTTTGTCAAATACAAAACGGGGTGCGAATTGGACGAACTATTGTTCACTCCTAGTTCCGTCGGATCTTCCCCATCAATGATATTCGATCAATTGAAGATCCTATATAATACTCGGTACGCAATTACAGAGAGTATTGCAGCAATGAAGTGAGCACTTGCAAATGTACAAGCTTAGGCTAATGTCTTTCACAACGAAAGCATGTGAGATTACTTAAGATACTATGGTAGAAACCATAAGATTTTTTTTTAATATCCTAAACGATTGAAATCAAAGTTCAAAACGAAGATTCAATACCTATTAGGATAAGGACTTCCTATCACACTAATAGTAGAAACATGTCTATCGTGATTCACAATCATTTGAATTTTGCTGCCGTAGAACACAACATGCGGAATCTACCAATCGTGAATCGAGTTGGACGTCCTAACCCCTAACATATTGCTTATAGACTTCAAATCACATTGTGCAATAGATGGTATTGATTATCAGTTTTCATTATCATGGGTTTTCATTATCAGTGGCGGATCCAGGGGGAGACCACCCCGGGCCACGGCCCAGCCCTCCTCTGGATCCGAAGTTAGTATAGCCCTTATTAGTTTATCAGTTGTAGTCATTCGGTCCAATGTTATTTTATAATAAGATTGTGTGTAATTAGGAAAATGGGTCTGATGAACATATTCAAAACACAGCTCTAAATTTAACCTGAAAATTCTAACTCCAAAGATTCTCGCCTAAAGAAAAACAAGCAATGAAACCTAAAATTCTAAAAGTAAAAAACGTAAAATATTAAAAGAAATATGAGGTTTGTTCACTTGAAAAATTACTAGAGTAACTGGTGAAAATAGGGATTGACACAAAATATATATATTGATTAGTCGATTGATTTGTCTAGTGTTGGCCTTGCTCGTTTCAACAACTACGGAGAGAACCTTTTCACAAATGAAATAGGTGAAAAATTATCTATGAAATAAAATGAGCGATGAATTTCTCGCCAATTGGTTAACTATTTTATCTTAAAGAGAGTATGTTATTGGTATGGATGTAGACTCCATTATTGATGAATTCACTATATTAAAATTTAAAAAGATCGACGTGTACAATTGATATTGTAAAAAAATTTATGATTTTCATACGGTATCTAATTTTATAATCAAATAATAAGGTGATACAACATTGTCATGGAGAAGAAGCAAAGAACGGAAGTAGAAAGAGTAGTCAAGGCTGCCCAAATAGGATTACGACCCAAAATGATAATAATGTGTGTGAAATTAGCCATCAGAAAAATGGATTAGGCAGCGAGAAAGAAGAAGACTGAGTTGAAGAACCAACTCGGCAAGTTCTATAGGACCCGAGGCCGAGGAGGAGGCAGCGACGTCTGCGCTTCCTTGCCCAATTTTGGACTTTGGTTCTCTAATGAACCGACGTACGGCCTCTCTCTCTCACTCACTGTCGGTCGACTTGTGTACCTTAGGCAAGCTCAACTAACCCTACGCGCTTCCTTTTCTTTTTCTTTCTACGAATACGAGGAGGACGACATCAGACCACTAGTCTAAGAGTCACGGCAACCCGCGGACTTGCGGTAACTCAATATTCATACTTATTTCATTTTAAATTAAGGACGAATTGTTGTGTAGTTTGGTTTGGGTTAGAGAGTCGGAAGAAGTTAATACGGCATTTTTTGGGTATGTATTTCAAAGGTAGAAAGAGAGTACATATCCAATTTCTTATTAGGGTATGGTTTTAGTAAAAGTGTGAATAAGAGAAATTTGGGTTAGGATTGTTACACCTGACATGTCGAGAACAAGCCAGTACAATGCGAGACAAGGGCGGAAGTAGAGGTGGCAAATGGATTGGATTGGTGGATTGGTGGATTGGATTGGTGGATTCATGGATCAAATGGATTGGATCTAATGGATTGGTGGATTCATGGATTGGATCAAGTGGATTGGTGGATTATCCATGAATCCAAATGACATCCTCAACCAATGACCAATATGTAAAATGTAAAAAATTTAGGTACTAAAATGTCATAATGAAAAATTTTAGGCACCAAAACGTAATTTTCCAATGATATTTTCGTATAAAAAATTAAATTTTAGGTACCAAAATGTAAAAAAAAAAATTATAGGTACTAAACCGTAATTTGCCAATGTTCCATGGATCCAATCCATGAATCCACCAATCCAATTGGATTTGGATAAAATGGATTGGATTTAAATGGATTGGATTAGGTGGATATTTTTAATGGATTGATGGATTGGATTGGATTGAAATTGCCACCTCTAGGCGGAAGGCAAGGGCTCGTTCGTTTAACATAGTAGCTAGACATCAACGAAATGAAGAATAATCAAAGATGGTTCGATCATAATACGAGGGGAAAAAATCATGTATAAAATGCTTGACAAGTCTAATGTACACCATAGATTTTGAGTGTATATAATATACCAATATTGTTAACTAAGAAATTGTAAACCTTAAAAACTAAATGTTCAAAATCTTTTTATGTAGATTTACAAAATCGTCGACCAATACGGACAAAACAACTGTAAATAGCGCGTGCACGATACATCCAAAATTAGAAGTGCACTCTAGACTTAGCTCGTGAAATACATACTTTAGGTATTAATAAAGGCCAAAAGATGTAGGCCAGCAAATAGCATATACACAACTGCACAATGTTGCTTGCCCCTTCTATGAAGCAATCTGTCTGTCTCCCACCACCACTGCCTTATTCCTCTCCCATTGAAGCAAAGCCTCAGAATTCACCTAATTTCAACATCACATCGGCACACAACCATATTTAGTGCTCTTGCCTGTTTGCCTGCCTACTTTCTTTCCCCCACCTGTAATGTTAGCGGCCCAGAAGCCAAACACCCCATCAATGGCTTTAAGAAAGTTAGGATCTTTGATTTGAGGGAGGCAATCTAACTCTGAAACCCCATTGGTCATCCCTCTGTTCCTATATCAGATACGATACCCATAATCACTCTCCATTGTCCCCCACCTCAAAGCAAAGCACAAACAGACATCAATTGAAAGAAGCCATTTTCACAGTAATGATCTCATACATCAATGTCATATCATATAACTCTCTGTAGTCTGTGTAACCACTGATAACAATGGGGGAATCAATTCCCAAAAAGAAAAACTAGACTTTGATGTTCCTAACCACATGGCCAGAAAAAAACAACAAAGGAAAGTGTATAGTGAGGTCTGTTTGTATCATAATCAAAATCTTCTTTCCTCAGCTGTGAAGATCTCATATATAGTGGGAAAATCAAAATGAAAGACAAAATTTCCTAAACCTAAATGTACAGGAATGACTAAAGGACCACCCACCATTGTTTTGCTTTGATCAAATCTAATGCCAGTGGAAATGGTGGAGAAGGACATACTTTGTTGTTTATAGAGGTTCATGTCGAGACTATTTCGATAATGTCATCTATACCAGGTGGAGAAAGCGGAGGCACTGCTGGCGGGTGAGAAGACTTGTCGAACAACCTTCTTCCGCCTGCTGCATGGGATTCTGCCGCCTTCTTCTCCTGGCCAATTTTTCTCGAATGCACCAAGCCGGTGGGTATGTCTGGACTACTAGGGTTGGTAGTAGTAGCATTCACTGATGATGAGAAGTCATCTATTGGGATGTTCCTCGTTGCTGCGGCTTCTGATATTACTGAGCTGAATACTCCAGCTTCCCTTAGTGCTTGAATAATTAACTGCGATGTGTAGTAGACTGTTGATCAGTAATATTTCAGGGACATGCTTGAGTGATTCGATACATGAAAGTGCTGGTGATGAACAAACCATGGGGGAGTAAATGCGAGTCAGGATGCCCTTTTTCTGGAGTTTGAGAATCAAATTTTTGTCTGTCCATACAACATGTTCCCGATACCTGATGCAATGAGATTTAGACATGATAAGCAAAAACTGTGTTGCGGAGGGCATCAGAAGCTATTCCACTGAATTTAAGATATCAATGCTGGTAACTATTTTCCAAATAGGGCATGCGTGGTCCAACCAGATCATCAACTTTTGTTTAAAGCTTTACTATGGCAATCTTGAAAGGTGAAGAAACAGAATAAGAAGTTTTAATTTTGTATCTTCATTACCAGCGGAGCATTTCTTCGTCTGTTGCAGTTGAAGCAATTATGAAGGCCTGCTCATGTGAAAACATGGTAGGGGAGTTAGCAAAATGAACAGAGCAGTTTATAGTATTACATTATTGGCAAACAGAAATTGAAAAGCAGCAGAAGTTTCAGAAACTTGTACTCAACTGGATAACTCAGAAATCAAACAAGTTACTCATTTCAAAGTGGCATGCTTGCAGTATGGAAAGATAATAGAGGAAACACATCTGTCTACCAACTTGATGACATCAGTAACTTCATAGAATCAGGATCTGGTCAAGTACAATTAGTTTGCTTTTCTACAGCTTCTTATGAGAATAACCTAATTTTCTGGGTGCTAGAACTATGCAAATGTAAACTAGTGCCTACTGCACCACCTAGGATAAGGTTTCTGTTTTCAATCTAAATATAATTTCATGAAACATTTGGAAAGTCTTGAGAAGTTGGAAGCTGATATCCAGTCATTTTCAAGTAGAAAACATAAGGATAAATAATCGAAGAACCAGGCATTATATATGAGAACTCACAGCTCTGTCAAATTCCAACATGAAACACCTCTTGACATCCTCTTTAGTGGGTTTGCATCCACAGCGATCCCTTCTTGAAGTCAGATCCGAAAATTTCGTATATGTATAATGCAGAACAGCAGCCTCTTCAAATTTGACTTCACTGCCAATATTTCCAGGAAGAAAAATTAAGAGTTTGCATACAACTGAATATAAGCAATACCGTCACTGCTTTGAAGATGCATGCTCAAATGAGTAGAAATCAGGAGCCGAACGAATACAAATCTGGCTCATTAGTTTTCCCTCAATTTACCATCATTGTTGGTATTTTGCTGTATTTTCCTTCTAGCAGACAGTAAGAACAAAATGGTTCTTTTATTTAATTAAAATTTTTTTGTAGAAAAAGCATATCAGTGCATTTTGTAAAGCAAACAATTAAGGAATAATCATAAAAGCTGATATTTCCATACTTGGGAGTCCTCCTATAATTGTGCCATCGATGTGCACCATTGGGACGAAGATCATCTTGAACTCGAGCAGCAGACTTGCCATTTCCATATGTAAGAAAGTAGTTTGGATTGCCACGGGTGGCTTCCCTGTAGCTTCCAAAGTATACCTCTCTAGGAAGATGATCATAATTTTTCTTAAACATTGAGACCTGCGTCAACACGAAGCCAAAGTCAGGAATAAGCACAATGCTAACCAACCAAAGATATGCATACAATCCAAGATGGTCTACAAGGAATAACTTAGTTTCAAGCTGAATCATAATATATATATAACAATATATGTATTTCCTGATAAATGGACAAATCACAGGTAAGAGTTTTTCAGGAGTATTTCGAACTTATAGATGCATAAGAATTTAATATTCACAAGATTAGTACACGGTAGTTTATGAAAATTACAAAAGCTTCTCCATGAAACCTAGATCAATTATGCATTTGGAGGAGACAAATCGCTATGGAAGATGCTGAAAAGCCACTAGAAAAAATTTAGAGAAGTTTCAGATCAATAAGTAAGAAAGCTACAAAAATAATAAATGCAAAGATCAGGAAGATTCTTTAACTTCAACTAGCAAAAAGGAAAAGAGAAGAAGGGTAAAAATGGTAATATGTGCACACTACCTGACTGAAAGGTTCCTTGATATCATCCCTCTCGACACTACTCTCCTGAAACAAACAGTGCTTTCAATTACATACCAAGAGGCAAGTTTATAAGGGAACAACAGCAAGAAGAACGAACTGCCAATGCATAAAGCAGAGGAGCATGCAGTGGTTTTCCTTTTCGAATATCGACTCTCTTAGCTTTCACAGGAAACTTTTGTTAAATGAATCACCAAAAGTAATTCTACTCACGTAATTTGGAAAGACAACCATATTGACATCTTCAGGTACATCTGATAGAAGCCGCCTCAAAGAATACTCAGGAGCTCCAGCAGGATGAATGAGCTCATCTGTGTCAAGGTGGAGAATCCAATCCATTCCTTCTTCCTGAAAAGTCAAATGAACACTCAATTCTTTAGTGTGCCAAAATTGTATATGATTTAAGTGTACAAGATTACGCCATACCCTTGCCATGACGATGGCCATTTCCATATTGAGTGATTGCTTCACAAATAACTCATGATTGCAAGGTTTGTAGAAGAAGCTTGCCAGCCAAGTTTCATTCCAAACGCGGCTGACAACCACACACCAAAACGACGAACAGGAGAGGAAGAACTTGATCAGCTCTTTATGACGAGATGAGATAAGCAGAACTATATGGACTCTCGAACTTGTTTGTTAATCTTTTTCAGACGCTAGTCATTCAAACTTAAGCCTCCAACATACAACAATGTCTCAATCACACCCTACCAGTAAAGGCGCTCAGCGTTGCGCTGCAAGGTTCTCGTAAGGCCAACATCTAGAAACAAAACTAAAACATTGCACATACTTATCAGCGAAGGAAGAAGGGAAATGATCGACTACCTATTAGCTTGTTGCACCTCGAGTTCCCTAGTCCTGTATATGACTTTCACGCCCTGAAAATTCGACACCAAACATCAGGAAGACAGGAAAATGAAAGGTTGAACCAAACTGCACGAGAAGTGATGGTCAACGTGCCTGAATGGTTTCCAGAACTTTTGATACGCTAGGGGAGGCAGCCTTTCCCTCCACGAACAGGAAAAAGGTGGATACCCCAAGGACCTTGTGATAGAAAATCCATGGCAAAGTCTGCTCCAAGCCAGCAGAAGTGCTCGTTGTTATACATATCTGGAAACAGAGAAGTCCATATAGTATAGATTATAACCCAGAGCTAATACTCCAAACTACTCAATCACATGAGCATTGTGAAAGTTTATTCAACATACCAATCATCTACAGCTACAAGAAGCATGGAATAGTAATTACAGAATATGATGGGCAACCGCAATCAGGATTACCGGTGCAAGATCCGAACCATGAACACAAACACAAAATAAAGATTATACCAACATCCACAATTCCGTCAACCCATAAATCACCTTGGGATTCAGATCCGACCCATAGTCGAACTTCCAATCCCGGTAATAAGGAAACGAAGCAGAATGGGAGGGACCCAAAAGAGAGCACCCTGAATCGGAACTTCTGACGACAGCCTTGGCGGAGCTGCCGCCGAAGGCATCAGCCTCCTCGGCGGTGGTTTCCATCATGCCGGGGAACTGATGGGTTTCTGGAGACCATCTGTTAATGGGGTCGCTCAAAAATCCGCCACGCCATTGGAGGACGAATGCGAAAACCGCGAGAGTCAAGGGGAGGAGAGTGAGAAGAAAGAGGAGACGGAAAACGAAGGCATTGGACGATGAAGAAGAAGACTGGAATGTGGGTCTGATTGGACCCGCCATCGGAGAGGAGGGAGACTGTAACGAGCGAGCGGTGGATTCAAATGGCACATATATATTCAATGAAACGATGAGTAAATAGTTTTGAAATCTCGACGAGAAATCAGCAGAAGTTGCAGGAGAGTCTCCGAAGGAAAGAAGGAGGACGATGGCGGAAACTGTAAGATTTATCGTTTAGCTGTGTTGCTATTTCCGTCACCCTATTTCTACGTTTTGGTTTTTAGCCTTTATCATAATTTTTTTTATTCTTTTCAATTGAGATACGTGATGAAATTCTTTCTGAACTTCTCAGGATAATAAATTATTGCGGACTCCATTTTCAATTCAATTTATGCTTGGAGAAATACTTGTTTGTTCAGTTGTTCTTGTTCGAATCGAAGCCTTTGTTTGTAGAAAACCAGTGGGATGCATAAGATCGGCAGCAAAATTATGCTTAGTTGAAATTTGATTGTTTAGGCTTGTTACACAATAAAGCACGATCGTGCAATGCCCACATTGTTTCGTGATGTATGGATTATCAAACTCAACATAGCATCACGTTGTTTTGACAAACTACAAATCACGATGTGTCATAAACAAAGACGCTAGTTATCTTATAAGACACTCCGATAATATCATTTGAGTCTCTTGTGATTGAACACAACAAAGGTCCAATTGAGCGAGATGGTTTGAGGTGCTACATTAAAACGAAAGGTTTCCAACTACTTCTATATGCACGAGCCGGACTATAAAGACTAAATATCTAGTATATCAAATGAATCACCCCATATCAAGTTTTGCGGGCACATTTCTTGTTGCATAATAAATTGATGACACAATTGTATAATCTTCGATCTACTTATCAAAGCAGTGGAAATTGGGGGGGGAAAAAAGATGACATGGTGAGAAATTGGAGAGCAAAAGAGCACAAAATATGAAATATGGAAATGATGTACAAAATTTGAATGTATAAAGTGACATGTAATGAATTTGATGTAAGATCTATATGTTTTACGTAACAGTAGAAAATGTAATTCGTGTTAAATTTGATGGGGTAATTGAATTCATAGTAGTCTCTCTCGAACCCGGATTGAATGTCACCAACATGTTCATTATATGTATAATATAGTTATTAAATTAACAAATTTTCTAGAATCACGTAGATAGATTTTGTAAAAAATACCAAATAGTCATTAAAAGTTTTACTCCCTCCTGGTAAATTACAACGCAAAATTCACCTCCTAGAGACATTCAAGAAAGAAAGGAAAAACATACATCTCTATTTTCGTAAACAGTGGAAGGTACATTCATCTTAATGATGGTTCAAAGAAAAATCTTGTGGACATGTCATGTCGTCTTGCTGTTAAACTCTGGTCAATCTATAAAATTGCGTACGATGCCTAATCCTACCATCTAGAGTTAGGGTTATTTAACGCACGTCAGCTAGTGAGTGAAAATCCAATTGATGTAGTGGATTAGAAATCTCGAGAGAAGTTACATTGAGTCTCTATACGAAAATAACGCTATAGAACAATTTTCGAATGATGAGAATGAGCGAGATGATGTTCATTAGAGAAAATCTTGAGGGAATGGAAATGTTCTATGGTTGATGTGGATTGGCCACTCGTAATCTATGGAAAAAACTCAAAATTATTTATAAAGAAATATTACGTGTAGGTACTCGGAAAACAAATATTTATTAGAATAACATAGAAAATTATTTATTATTTGAATGAGTAAATAATTATAATTATTGTTAACTAATTATCATAAACAATAATAATGAATTATCCAATAATTTATCTCTCATCAGTTATCTCTCACGAACCAAAAGAAAAAAGAAAGAAACATGTGGAGGAAGAATTCTGAAAAGGAAAGAAGACTGTGCAAATAGTAGGCAGTAGGCACTTTGGTTAGAAAAGCAAACGGAGAAGAGTAAAGAAATTTAAAAAATGAACAAAACAGATTAGAAGAAACCGCTCCACTGGGAAGAAGAAAACATAAAAAATTACAGTATGATTAATCGAAACTAAAAGTGTAGTGTCATGAATCAACATTCGCCACGAAATTGTTATGCTAAATTAATTGGATCCTCCTCCCCTGCAGCACTGCTTGTTACTTTAATGTGGCAATTGCATTAGGCGAAGTCAAAGTAGTTGTAATTGGTAGGCAAGGAATAAGGGATTGAAAAGGAAAAAAGACAGCAGTCATTGAAAGGGGCAAATAAATTGGAACTTTAATCTATGTAGATGTGGAATTACCTGTGGGAATCCAGATCACTTGTTGGAAATAAGAATGTAGACGACGTTGCTGGTATGTTGAGCGCAGTCGGCGGCGGGAACTTTGTGGGTTGGCCGTGCGGTGCACAAAATAATGAGGTTCTAGCGGAAAAGGGAGAGAACGGTCGGCGGATGGGGAATCCTGGGTCTGCAGAACAAATGACTGAATATTTTGAGGGTCGATCGCGGCAGGGTTAAAAGGAAATTGGGAGGCCGGCATCGGCGCGGAATAGGGATTTTTACCGTACACGGAGATGAAATTGAGAAGGAATTAGTGGTCTGGGCAGGACGGGAGTTTGTGGGCGATAAGGAAAAAAAAAATAATACTTTACCAAAAAACTAAAGGGCCCAGTAAGGGGAAAAAGAGAGCGGGTAACGTGGAAGGTTGTGCGTCAAATGCAGGGTACGTGGCATGGGGGCAAATATCAAACTGCTTTAATGTTTTTAGAGAAGATATGACAAGTTTTATCAGTATAACATTTCTACTTAATCAAAAACAAAATTGACGAAATTAGACTAATTGACAAATTTGTGACCAAAAGAACAATTTGATGATTGATATGATTATAACACCAAATTACAGTGACCGTTTCGGAGTTTTAACCAACTTCTCCGAGAGACTGGATCAAGAAAGAGGGAGAGTTTTCTACCAAAAAAAAAAAAAAAAAGAAAGAGGGAGAGAGAAAATCAAACATCCGCTGATCCGCAGCCATTTTTCCGGGAAATACAAACTCTTCCACTAGCAGAAAAGAGAAGATGGGGAGCTCATCAAACGACGATTTTTCAGTGTTCGTCCTGGCGTCGGATTTGGGCGTAGACGCCACTCCATTCTTGACCAACCAGCCTAAACAAAGATCCGGCCAAGGAGATGACGAAGAAACCGACGAGAACTGGCAAGATTGCTCGCAGTACCTCGTCTCCGACGAAGATTTCTCCGACCTCGATCTCCTCCAGTTCTTCTCCCTCCAGGGCTCCGACCGTTCTGGGAGTCGCATCTTCCGCATCGTCGGCAAGCACTTCCCGGGTAATCGATTCAATCTCCCTTCGATGGTATTACAATTCATGGATTCCTGGCTTCAATTATAGCTTGTGAATACGGTTCCCCATTGCTTGGTTCTAGATTCATTCAAGATTTGATTAGTCAGGTGTGATTCGCGATAACGTCTAGCTTTAACAGTGAACCCATTATGCACAATTGCACCCGCTTTTAGCCTCTGGAGTTTTCAGTTTGGTCGATTTGAGAATATACTGATCTGTGAACACTGAACATGAAGAAATGACCACCTTAATTGAACGGCCATAACCAATAGGTGCTCGGTCTGGTTAATATTATTGCTTATCTATGCAAACCATAACTGGTTGGAGCTGTGAAGCTCTATTTCGGCTTTCACTGATGTAGTGTTCTGCACATTTTTCACGTCTCATTAGGTATCTCAATCTGGTTTGTGCCATCTCTTTGATCCTTCTATGATGAGTATGTCATGATTACTAGGTGTCTTAATTAGCATTTGTCTCCTTTGTACTTGAACCTGGTTCTGGTTTGCTTTGTTTAATTCACAATGTTCATCATCATTATCAAAAAAATTAGCATTTGTCTGTAGTACAGATGAACTATGTGTGCCCTTGATTTTTGTTAGAAGATGATCCTCACTGATTGAAAATGAGCATTAGACTACTTAATCATGTTCGATCATCCACATTGACATACTCATCATCGAGGTGATGCCTAATTTGAAACATCCACTGATGATTAATGTACTTCATGGTTTTCGTGTGTGGTACACCCGCAGCTCAAGTTGTGAGTGCAGAGAGGCTGAAGAAGTACATTTTCCACAAAATATGCAGTGAGTTGCCTGAAGGACCATTCTGTATCATTTACATGCACAGCACGGTGCAGAAGGACGACAACTCCCCGGGGATAACAGTTCTGAGGTGGATATACGAGGAGCTTCCTGGGAACTTCAAGGACAGACTCCAAACTGTGTACTTCATCCACCCCGGTCTCAGGTCAAGGCTTGCAATCGCCACCCTTGGTCGACTCTTCTTAAGTGGAGGGTAAGCAAGCATCTATCTCAGTTCCATACCAATGTTTTGGGTACATGTTTTTTGTTTTGGTTGTCCTTACATGTCCTAATCTGCTTACATTCTGTTGCTGATTTAGCTTGTATTGGAAGATCAAATATGTGAGCCGCCTTCAGTATCTGTGGGCAGACATTAAGAAAGGGGAACTCGAGGTCCCTGATTTCGTGCAAGATCATGATGATGTGCTCGAGGATAGGCCTCTGACGGATTATGGGATCGAGCCAGACCCGTTTCATCTCAGTGCAGCGACTGCCAACCCTATCTCCTTGGGGAGATACGAAGAGCGATGGGCGTCAAGGGAATTCGCCCTTTAAGTTGTTTCGGGGTCTTATTGTGTGCGCCGAAACTGTAAATATCAAGTGTGTTTCCTTGCGTTGGTGTACCGTGTTCAAGAAGTTATAAGCTACTGGTTTAGCTGCTCTATATGTAACAGTCAAACTCTGATCAATGCATGGGCTCAATGCATGGGCTCTTTATGTTAGTGTGTGGTATATGATCAAAGATTGAATATCTCTCAACAATTCGAGTTATTGTGATCAACTGGTTCTTGACGCTCTCAACAATTCGAGTTATTGTGATCAACTGGTTCTTGACGCTCTCAACAATTCGAGTTATTGTGATCAACTGGTTCTTGACGCTGTATTGGGTATAGACAAATTTTCTACTTTGGTCCTTGGTATTCGAAATTGCTATTCTAGTCTAAACTATGTAGCATATTTCCTTATTTGGCCCGGAGGTGGGTTTGACCGTAAAATTAGACGGTCAATTGGGTTGATTGTTAGTCAAGGTGCACCTCACTTGCCACGTCGGCAAGTCAGCTATCTGAGAATAATTTTCTCTCTTTTTTAATTTCTGGATTTTGTTTACGAATCCAATAATAAAGTTCTGTTCTCATGACCTGGTTGCAAGACCTTTGGCCAAGTCAATCCAATTCAACATCAGACCAAATTGATACAAACTGGCCGTCTCCATATTGACATCAAAAGAAATACCATCTCAATTTCAATTAATCAACCAGTTTACTGAATCCTAACAAACGGCCTCGAGCAACAACTCGGAGGGAGCAAAATCTCAAGCATTCAATCAGATTTCTGGTGGGACCATAACTAACGACCAAAATTGTCAGTACAAAAGACAATCCTATCAAGAACGTTACAATCATCTAGCAGCTTGGGCAGGTGATTGTTCCATCAGCTGGCTGGCCAACTTGTAAGTACGTCCCGACAGTGATTTGGTGTGCTCTATCAACTGCTCGTACCTGTATACAAGATGAAATATGCATAAATGTATAATCTTTGCGTGAATCCGAAAGAGCCAAGGAAAATACTAAGGAGCCCATTTGAACAAAATGAACTTTGATGTTGAAAAAAGTTATCTTACACATTGGGATGATTGGGTTCCATGATCACAGTTCCTGTCTCGGTATCAATCTTGGCATCAAGCTCCGAGTTCCGGATGCGTTTTACAATCCATCTCTCAGCTTCTTCGTAGTCCATATTCAATTTCTCTGCCAGCACTCTGCCAATAACAGAAAATTATTTGAAGTCAGCACAACGATCAAGTAGGGACAAGATAAGCTTTGAGATGGCTTAGGTGGTTTGATACTACTGGTTGAAAACAACCAAAAACAACACGAGATCATTTGATTTACCAGTACACTTCTTGTTAATATATAATAAATGCTTACCCCATGTCAATACGCTGATGGATCCGGCAATAAGTTTCCAAGATAAACAGACGGGCATTCTTCATGAATTCATCTCTCAGTGGCATAGTAGAACCATTTCCATCTTCAACTTGTTTCCCAAGGAAAGGATCCTTTACGATCACCTGCAGCAAGAAAAAAAGCATAATGAAAACTGCAGCCAAACACAGTAGCAAAGACACAAGCGCCTAGGAACCTTACTTCTTCGCACTCTTTCATCTTCTTTTGTGCTCCATCAAAATCATAATTGACAAAGACACAAGCCAAAAACTCTGTTATTGGGTCTTTGTAAGAATGTTGTTCCTGCTGGATAACCCTTATGAAGTCCTTGAATTGGGAACGTCTTCTTTTGTTGACAATGAATGCGGTTGCTAGATAACGGAGAAGATGTGGAGCACTAGTTTGGATGGCATTCAGATACCTAATACAGAAGGCAAGACAAACTTAGAAGTTGGATATGTGGCAGAAACAGCACAGTTCAAGAAAATGAATATAGGAACTTTGCAATTTACAGTCCAGACCGTACTTGTCCTGATTGAAGAGATCAATAATCTGAGTCTTGTCATTGTCATGATTGAAAAAAATGAAGAGACTCCAATGCATCAACCAGATTCTACTTTGCACCTGATTCAGTGCTGAAGAAAAGCTCTGGAACAAAACAACAGAAAAAAGTGTCAGCCTCAAGAAACGGGAAAGAACTCCAAACTAGAAAAGCAGATTACAAAAGTCACATGAGCACATAGGAAAAATCTACCTTTGAATCAATTATTTCTTTCAGTCGATTAAGTTCTTCGACAGCAACAACCCAATTTTGCATCAGTACCTCAGCAGCCAACTTTCCCCAGAGCGCACTCAGGCTCCTTTCACTGTTAGTGCATAGTGCCCTGTACTGATAAAGGTAGTCAGCAGCACCAGAGTAGTTTCCACATTCAAACTGAAATTTGGCATACTGATATAATGCTTCAATCTGATCGGGACCAATCTGTTTCAATGAAAAAAAGGGAGAACTTATCAGCATGCCTGACATAACCAACCACTGAACAATAACATTATAACATCTACTTATGATGACCCAGCACACTGAATTGGATCCAAGGCCACAAACCAATCTCACTCCACACAAACGAAATAGTCACAGTGTACCCAACAATAAGCTTTCCTCAACTCAGACATGCTGCAAATAAGGGTACAGATTACCCCAAAACGTCAACTTTTCAATCAACTCAAGCGCTAATCATTCATCCTTCATCTAGCTATATTCCATACCAGATGATTAAAACGATGAATGGCAAAGGAGCTAACCTGGTAGCGGTCGTTAAGCATCTGGAGATTGTATTGCTTGTCAGCTCTCAGCTCCTGCACGGCGCTAGGATTCTGCAGAAAAGCCACCAACGGCGCCGCACCTTCCTCCAGGGACTTCAATCTCGCCACGACCTCCACCCTCCGCTCAATCATATCTACAAGCACAAATAAACAAATCCAATAAGCCCATACATTTTTCTCCAAATCCTGAACCCAACAAGACGTCCGAAAGTCTCCGTATCACCAACCTTGCGGGACGTCTTCGGTGTGGTAGAGGCTCTTGTGGATGTCCATGGCGTAATCGACCATGTTGGTCTTGTTGAGGAGCTCGATTTTGGCCTTCAAGATCTCTTCATCGGGGTACATCTGTTGCTCCTGGAGAAACTCCAGAAGCGGGAAAACCAAGTGCCTGTCGAGATTGGGAGCTATGCGGGGAGTCAGATCGTAGGTCGCCATGGTTGCTGCCGTTGGAGTTGGAGTCACCGTCGCCGCCGCCGTCGTGGTTTGGAGAGCAAACGGAAAAAAGGCAGAGAAACTGACCACTAGGGTTTAGAGTGAATGGAGAAAGTGGGGGGGGATTGGATTCGCTGCTGTAATCTCTCTGCTTTCCTGGAAAAGCAAAACGACGGCGTATCGGAATTTCAGAAATTGTTTTTCTAAGTTCCAGCCCGCTAAGGAAAAGCCCAGCCTAACAAAAAAGCCCAAATTCTAAAACTCCCGCGTCCTCGAATAAGGGTTTAGGAGCCAGCCGCCGGTGGAATCCGATCTAGTGGAGCGCAGTAGTTCAAAATTTTGAGTTGCGATTCTTTGTTCGGAGAAGAAGAAAATTCTCGCCGGTTTCCTCCACTCAAACCCTAGTCGATCAGCGGAGATCCTGTAGCCATGGCGAGCACTAAGGTTCAGAGGATTATGACCCAGCCCATTGTAAGTTCGCTGTTGTTCGTTTCAGCTTTATCCTCGTTGTTTTACTCGATTTTTTTCTCCGGCTGCTAACTGCTTTTGTTCCATGTTGCTGCTATCGCCGTGGGATGTTTGTGCGCCGTAGAACCTGATCTTCAGGTTTCTTCAAAGCGTAAGTCACCGAATGTTCTCCTCGGTCATTTCGTTGGTTTGTAATCTGCCATATACTATTGTTGTTCGTTAATTGCGACTAATTTTGGGGCTTTCTTTCGTTGGTGGGTGTTTCAGAAAGCTCGGATTCAGATTTGGCTGTTTGAGCAGAAGGATTTGAGAATTGAAGGCCGAATCATTGTGAGTGGCTTCCCAACTACTGATTACTGACTGCTTAGATTGTTGTCTCTACAGTATTGAATTGTTATGTTCTTGTTTTAGTTAGTTTGTGGGATAGCTTGAATACCACCTTGCTACCAGTTTGTAAGGCGAATTTCTGTGATTAGCTAGAAATTTTGAACTTTAGTTTGTGGAACAAGGGCAAGTATGGTGGCTGAGTTTGCATTATTTGGCTTTATGCTTTAGGCAAGTTGCAAGCCAGTTTGGTACTGTGTTAGTTCATGGGGGCAGCAGAAACTCAGACAAGTTTGTTTTCATGACTCAATTATCAGCCACCAAGTTTTCCAGACAAGCTCATTCTAGCCAGTTGCCATATATAAGATTTATGTTTTCCCCTTGACCCTTTCATGGTGAGATCCCATTTTAGATCCGGCCCAAGTCCTGGTTAGTGTTCTAGCAAATTACCAGCTGTAAGTGAAACTGTTTCGAAGCTTTTAGGGCTGCAAAAAACTCGTATACCTTGAGGATAAGTAATGCCTGTTCGATGTTTCCATGTCCCCTTCTGCTCTGTCTCTTGAGCGACACGGACCATCCATGATGCAACTCTTTAATGTCTCTTTGTATGGAAGCACTGAATTGACTTTTGAGCTGTAGCTGGCAGCTTCTCTGTTGGCCATATAAGATTATGTATTCGTCAGTAGTGTTATGAAACTTCCCAAAAATTCAGTTGGAAAATTGCTTTCACTTTCTCCTCTTAGTTTATGATTAAAAGGAATGCCTTGTATTCAATTGCACTAATTCCTAAGCACTCATTTGCTTCCATATAACTGCTGGAATGAAACTACTTTTTGTTGGGACTTGGAAGGATGGTAATTGAAATGTAACTCATTCTGTTTTCGGTTTAATGTAACAGGGATTCGATGAGTACATGAACTTGGTGTTGGAGGATGCTGAGGAGGTCAATGTCAAGAAGAAGAGCAGAAAGTCTCTTGGTAATCTGAATACTAACTCCACTGCTGATGCTTTTTTGTTCATCTTGTTCTTGCTAGCAGTTTCTAACTCACAGTTTCGTTGTTTTACAGGGAGGATTCTTCTTAAAGGAGACAACATTACGCTGATGATGAATACGTAAGCTTGTTTTGTGCGCATTGCATGCGTGTCTGCAACATGCTCAGTCTCATCATGGTACTGATGGCCGTTCTTTTTGTACATTGCAGGGGAAAGTGAGCTACTTCCTCTTTGGACCGCCATGTGTAGACAATACGAGTGTGCATGAAAGTGGAGGCTGTAAGTTCATCCGGGGTTGTCGAATTTCTGTAGAAGACTGATTAATCAGAACGTATGTTTTTTATGTTCAGGTCGGGTCTGTACTGTATGGCAAGTTTTAGTAGTTCGTGTTGATGAACGATTTCCAAATCATGAGAAAGTAGTATCTGTACGTTTAACCTCCCTTGTTTATCTATGGCAATTGGCAAGTTGTAGTTATCCTCTTTACACATTCCAGTTTCTTTGGACTTCTTTCATGTAGTTCTGTATGGCCTGTACAACTTCGGCTACCAAATTATCATTAGAAAGTATCGAATCTCTGGGTGTCTCAATGATGATAGTAGTGAGATCCTTTCAAACCACATAAATTAGCAGTGAAGATTCGGTCGTTTGCCTATACTACTGTGTTTTCTGCTTACCAGGACAAAGTATCGAATCTCTCGCAGTCTCAATGATGTGAGCAAGGCTGTTCGCCTATTCCTTCAAACCACAAAACTTAGCAGTAAAGATTCAGTCCTTTTGCTTATGTTTTAGGGTACCAAAGTATTCACATATGGTTCGTCATTTGAGTTCAAGGTTCGAGTTATCAAGCTGCATGCCAATCAATCTAGTAAGAACTTCAGATAAATGGTTAATTTGTTCATCGTTCGAGGTCACGAGCTGCTGTTTCATGCCAAGCAAAGGAGTCGGAAGTGTGTTTGGTTGGAAAATTGGTGCATTTGTTCGTCGTTCGATTTCACGAGCTTCTGTCTCTTGCCTATCAAATATCAATGGTGTATAACAGACAGTGGAAGTGCAGTAAGTAGTCTGAATGATATACTTTAGAAAAGGTTTGCGTCATGAGTCATGTGCATCTCTGGGTTTGCTACTTTGCTTGCATTAAGTTAGGTATTTATTGGAGACAATAAAATCAGAATAAATGTGTACTGACACCATTACCGTTACAGGCACTCATTTTCTTTTCTTCCCATTCTCATGCTGTCTTTCTGCATTTGCCCTTCCCATGAAGCATCGTATCGAATGAAGAATATAGTTACATAAATCAGCCCTATAATAAGTGTATAAACAAAATCCCATTTGCCAGAGTAATCCAAATCTTCAAATTAAAACCAAGATCACTCCAATGGAGAAGAACTTGGTCTCCATTCTCTTCCTTGCTAATCTCCTGGTTGGAGTCACATTGTTGTCTCTCTTTGTCACCTTCTCCACTGCTTCTTCTGACTCTGACTCTGGCGAAGTTGGTAAGTCAACTCCCCTCATTTTCCCTCCTTCCCAGCTGCTAGCTCTAAGGGTAGTTGGAGTTTGCAGATTAAATCTTCCTCCAGCATTTCTTCTCCTTCTTCCTCTGTAATTGCATGTGTTTTGTCGATTGAGAAAATGCTGCTGCAGAAGAGCAGTAGGGTAGGATTGAGTTTTTGTTATGAGTTATTAGAACAGCTGGTTTGGATCAAGGTTTTGACACTTGATTCATGGTACAGCTTTTGTGGAACTAGAAAATGGTTTTTATTTGGATGTATGATTCCAGAAGTGGATTACCGATTTCAGCTGTAGGACCGGCCCATTTGAAGGGATGGATTCCAGAATCTTTCAAATTCGTAGGGACCATGGATTTGATACTCTCTGAAGTTTATTTCTTTTGAACAATGGTCTCTTGACGAGGTCTTAAGCACGAATCCTAGAGCCGAATTTGTGATCCAAGCAACTAGTACTAGGAACCTTGGTTGTTCTTCTGGCTGAGACTTAGATGTCATTGCTTGTTACCTTTTCCACCTGCGCCTATGCAACTTAATTCAAATATAATGTGTCCATGGTGGGATTCTTATTCCTGGTGAACAATGCAGATGATGAATCTGCTTTTACATATGGGGAAAAGAGTGGGAAAGGTCCCAGAAGATGGGGGGAGATAAACCTACATTGGCAAGCCTGCAAAAATGGAAGCATGCAGTCTCCAATTGACCTTATAGACACAAGGGTCCAAGTCCTTTCACATCTGGGAAGGCTCAACAGAGACTACAAACCAGCTCCTGCCACTGTCAGAAATAGAGGCCATGATATTACTGTGAGTAGTTCTAATTCATTCACTCATCCGTCGCAATTTCTTCATCGCGAGATTCATGGCATGGGGATCAGATCACTGGAGAACAACTCATGTATGATCTTCTTTATGATGAACAGGTGAGGTGGAAAGGAGATGCTGGGGAGATCAAGATCAATGGTACAAAATATAAGCTGCTGCAGTTTCATTGGCATTCCCCCTCTGAGCACACTATCAATGGTTCAAGGTACGAACTTTTTTTCGGTTTTTCGATTCATTTCATCCGCGAATTCTACAACCCGAATCACCCTTCCCTCATGATCGATCGATGTGCAAAACGATGCAGGTACGAGCTGGAGCTGCACTTGGTGCACAAATGCTCTCAAGGGAATTTGGCAGTGGTTGCAATAGTCTACAAATATGGCCGCCCTGATCGAATGCTCACCAAGGTTAGCAGGCAAATTTGTGGGTTGATCTACTGCAAGACATTGATCCATCTTGTTTAATGTGGCTTGCTTTCTGTGTGAATTGATGAACAGTTGTTCCACCACATAAGGTCAGTGGATCCAAATCATGACAAGGAATTGGGGATAGTAAATCCAGGGGATATAAAGTTTGGGAGGAGCAGGAAGTACTACAGGTACATTGGCTCCCTCACTGTTCCTCCCTGCACAGAAGGCGTTATATGGACCATCGTTAAGAAGGTTTCTCTATCTTTTCGACCCTGTATATGATTCGGTTTCTTCGGTTGGGTTCGGTTCAATTTGATTACATTGTGTTTTGCAAATCTAATTAAACCGAAATGGTTTGCGGGTTGCTGGTTTTATAGGTGAGGACAGTGTCAAGGGAACAAGTTAGAGCCCTGAGGGAAGCCGTCCATGATGTGAGTGTAGCATTTTCTTGATTTGTCTTTCTTTTACTCATAAGTTGCAGAATAGCTAGCTTACTGTATAGTAGGACTGTATTTCGGTTCTGTATTTCTATATTAACGTTGATATGTTTCAATTGCATTGGACTAATACCTTGTTACATTACGTTTATTAGGGATTTAAGAGAAATGCAAGACCGATTCAGCCATTAGATGGAAGACCAGTGTATGAGTACAGTCCATGAAACATAAAACATAAGTGAGGTGAAGAATCATGGAGAATCAATGACGTGATTAGAAAAAAGTTGGGTTGAAAGTGGCTATCCCAACCTTGTTTTGCTTCTTTCTTGACATCTCTTCTTAATGATAAGGAAAAGAAATACACTTGTTTTCTTTTCCACCGAATAAAAGAGGTTAAAGATAAATAAGAAGATAGTGTTCATGTGGCAGATACCTCCACCCCGGCTATCTTCATATGAAACTTCAAATATTTAGCAGCAACTAAAACCAAAACACTCAGTACACCAACTTTAGTCAAATTTGTAAGAGAACTGAAAGGTCCCTTCATTTTCCCAATGCTGTTGTCAACAACAGCCGCAGCTGATCCAGTCCCGCCCAGAGGTGATGACATGCTCTGCTGCATCTTCATGAACGATGAATACTCCTCTATATCAGCTCTTGTCAGAGCTGGTTTTAAGGAACTCAGCGCCGTCTGAAAATGATGGTTGCAGACAACAGCAGTGGATATACTTTCCCGCAGAGCTACGATCCCAGCTTCTCGACATAGGCCTTCCAGTTCGGCACCTGTGAAGAGCTCGGTTTTCTCTGCTATTGTTCTGAGGTCGACATCATCGTCGATACTCATGTTTCGTGTGTGGACGTTGAGAATCTCGAGTCGAGCCTCCTTATCTGGTGGCGGCACATACAACACCTGGACATGGAATACAGAAACACATAATGTTACCGAACTTCTGAAAATCTATGACCACATTGCAGTGCAGATCAAGTCATGGTGTTCATTGACGTACCAAATCAAAGCGTCCGGGGCGCATCAGTGCAGCATCTATGGCATGCGGACGATTGGTGGCCGCTAATACAAGGATGCCCTGGTAGCAGAATCAAGGGAGTAGATTATCATGAGACAATATATGGTGTCTTGGCTTGGAAATCCTTCGAATGGTGAAGTCAATGCTTAATGTCGTTGGTACTTACTTCTGCTTGCTGCAGACCGTCCATTTCAGTCAGTAGAGTAGATAAAAGCCTCTCCCCTACAGTGGACGAGTTACTTGAACTGTCACCTCTGCAAAAATTTGGCCATATGGATATCAACCATGCAACACTGACATAATCCAACTCATGGTTTTTTCTTTCTTTTTTTGACAAAGAACTCATGGAAACTTCGAAGAACTTTCAATTGCTTCCACTGACAATATATGTTGAAACATGAGCTTTCAATGAAAGTGCACTTACCGTTTACCAGCCACAACATCAGCCTCATCAAAGAATATTATGCTCGGAGCTGCCACACGAGCTCTTTGGAATGTACCGCGCAACAATGCTTCGCCCTCTCCAACATACATGGAAAATAAATCTGCACCACTGAATACAAAGTTTTAAATTCCAAGTAGAAACACCAATCCGATTGTAGCATTACACACAAAGTGTAGGACCAAGTAGAAATCTGGTTCTACAGTTCGCGATTAACTAAGAGCAACCTGTTTTACCAAGAACTGCAACTCATAAAAATGTGACACGAGACTGACTCAAATTTCTAGACTAGATAAAGTGGTTGGGAAAACTCCAATTGGAGACCTAGACTAGATGTTCATACCTCAAGGAGAAAAAAGAAGCTTGAGCAGCATTAGCTGCAGCTTTAGCAAGAGTAGTTTTGGAGCATCCAGGAGGTCCATGCAAAAGAACCCCACGTATGGGTGAAATTCCCATTCTTGAAAATGCAGACCGGTGTTTAATCGGCCACTCAACAGCTTGTTGGAGTTTTTTCTGAAAATACAACGGCCATATGTAGACTTAGAATGTTAACATTTACCTTCACCATGGGTGAGGTCACCAGTTTTGGATAATATTGAGAGTGATTATATTTTTGCAGGTTAAGGTAAGTCCAAAATTAACAAAGTTATTACCAGACCTTCAAATCCTTTAGTCCACCAATATCTTCCCATGACACTTTTGGGATTTCAACTGCAACACCTCTTGTTAAGCTAGGACCAACAATGGACATAGCAAGCTTCCAGTCCTCTGAGGTTAAGCAAAGAACCCCAGCACCACTGGCATTTGCCGAATTAATAGCAGATATGGCAGCTTCACGGCACAATGCTTCCAGGTCAGCCCCAACGTATCCATTACAAGAAGCAGCAACAGCTTGCAAATCAACGTCCTTATCCAACACCAACTTCTTTGTGTATAGCTGGATGCCAAAGAGAGAAATAATGAGCTATCTTTGTCACATGTTACTATTCGTCGCATATGCACTTGGTTTACACGGGTAACAGCTAGCGTGAATGTGATGAGGCTTCACTAGACAACGCATTTATATAATATACCTGGAGGATTTCTAAGCGTTCCTCTTCTGTAGGTGCCATAACTTCTACTTCATTATCAAAACGCCCATATCTTCTGAGTGCAGGATCCACTGCATCAACTCTTAGCAAAAGCAAACAAAATATTGGACTCAGATTTCAACAGTGAAATACAGAACTCGGGTTGCTTTATTTTACATCAATTTATTTGATAGTAAATATCAACATTCAACAAGCAAGCAAGTAACCTGTTAGTTGATGCAACCACGATCACATGCACTGAAGATGCGGAAGAGGGCTTGATTGCATCCATTAGTGCGCAAAGTTGAGAGACTAAACGAACATCTTGCTCTCGCCTGCAAATAAAGGAAACTTTAATATCTAGACAAAGAGAAGTGCCACTTGGCAATAAATCAAATACAGCTTATAACTAATTATTTATGCTGCCAAGCATGTTGATGTGCGTAATATTCACTTCTTAGGCTAACTTTAACTGACTCTTGCAAGCTACAAGCAATTGGTGAAGGTGCTACTAACAGCGGCTCTGAGAATAAGGGAGAAGGTTAACTAAAAATCCCTCATTTTTTCTGATGAACACCACTTCTGCTGAACTACATAATTCTGACCAAAACTCAATCCTCCCAAAAAAATAACAATAGAAGCACAATAGTCAAGAAATGACAGAACTTTAGTTACAGAATCATATTGCAACATTCACGTGTCCTCAAACAAGGAGGAACAGTAATGAATGCAGCAGACCCATCAAGGATTATGAGATCGTATACACCGAGAGATGATACTTCTTCTAACTATCATCCTTTCTCAACTCACCTAGAATCACGACGAGGGCAGAGTGCGTCTATTTCGTCTATAAACACGACTGAAAGCTTCCCTGCTTCCAAATGTGACGATGCATCTCCAAAAGCCTCTCTCAAAATTCTTTCACTTTCCCCGGCATGTGCTCGGTGGACAGAGTGTGGACTACAAGACCCACAATAAGTGTAGCTATCTCAGAACTATATCCCAAAACAATACAGCATCTATCAATCACAGCAAACAACTTGACGAAAGGGGGAAATCAAACAGTACCTAATTACAACTAGACGGGCACCAGACTCCTGAACCACTGCACGAACAATGCTCGTCTAGTAGCATTCGACATGAACACAAGAGAATGCACACCATTAGACATTATTACAGTTCAGCTTACCAAAACAACGCACCAATTACAGAAAACTTCTAGCAGAAAAATACCTTTCCAGTTCCAGGTGGACCGAACAAAAGCAACCCCGTCGGCCACTGCTCACCGAAACCACGAGCAATCAGCTGAAATTCATTCATAGTAGAAACGATGAATCACATAAAGACTGGGAATTTCCTTTGGGTTACCTTATGGCCGAGCTTTCGAGCTTCACGAGGGTAGAACAGGGGAAATACAATGAGCTCCCTCAGAGACACAAGTGCCGCTCGATTTCCGGCTATTGCGTCTTTTGCTCTCCATCGCTTCTTCTCTTCGAATTCGGAGGCGACAGTTTTACTGTTGCAGCAGCTGCTGCTTCTGCTTTCAGCTTCCATGGAAGACGAAGATTCTCCTTCCACAAAGATCACAGGCCTCCGCTGCTTCGGCGGCGGCGACGACTGAAATCAAACAACAAGCAACACAAAGACGAGCACTCGCTTCCGGTCGGTCGGGTTGGCGCGATTTTACTTGGGCTTGATCATTATAGTTGGGCCATAGTCAACATCTGTAGTTGGGCCTCTGGGCCTGCTGGGGGAATGGACCTTTACAGTACCTTTCCCAGCTGGTGTGCAAGTGCAACCGTTCTAACGGCAAACTCATGAGAATCTCGGTTTAGTAGTAAAGGATGTTTTAGAACTAATTATACAACCATTATTGTATTTGTTTCGATTTTGTTCAGTTTGGTATGGTCTAAATGTCAACTCTTTCATTTTCGTTAGTATTTATAAAATTTATGAGAGCAAGAACCGATACAAAATATATATCGACTCAGTATGACACAATTCAAACGTATTATCATGATAAACGTATAAATGTAGAGTACAACACACCACTAAAAAAGGTAAGGTTGTATATTTACAACTTTGTTCCACAGAGTACAATTCCAAGGCGCATGTTCAAGAACTCAACACGACTTCACTATGCACTTTGCCATCCTCCATTCTTATCCACGACTTGAGAGAGAAGTCTTGCTCTCCAGTTACCTCCACCATTCTGGCTCCTCTGGCCCAGTTCCCATAGCCGCCATAGCCGGTATGCCTGGCGTAGCACAGCCAGAGCTTCTCATAAGGGCAGCACCAGTCCAATCCATGGTTGTGCCCTACAAATATCGCCTGCAGCAAAACCCTAACGCTTAGAGACTGGAAAATGTAACGTAACTGAGATTTTTTTTTTCGTGGTAAAAGCTCCCAACCTTGACAGAAGGTCTTTTGGCTAACATGTCCATGATACCAAACTCGGCTTCCTGAGCAGCTACGCTCTCCTTGTTGATGGAGCCGACGCAAGGCTTGCGAATTCCAAACCATGGCGCCACCTCCTTGTAGGCTTTGCTTGGAATGTGCCAGAATATAATCTCAGGTACCCTGTATCAAGAAACATAAAAGAAAGCCTCACCATTGATTAAGGCAATGAAACCCAAATGTCATGATCCGTAGATTGAATGTGTCTTTCGTACTTCGATTCAGGGTTTATCTCTCTCGATTTTCGCTCGAACCACTTCGCTTGGGCCCTCGATATGACCTCTGGATACGACCCTCCGCCAGAATCCAGGAAGTACATGAACAGAACTGGCGATTTCGGATCGTCGGGTGACGAGAGTTGAAGGACGTAGTTGGATATGCTAGGCCACAGCTCTTTTGGTCCGAATTTGGAGCGCGACAGTGGTGCATTCTGCTCGACCTCATTTTTCATCAGCACCAGACGTTGAGTGCCCTTGAAGCTACACGAGTAATGCACTTCCCCTGCATCACACACAAGCACAGCAACCTTGTAGGACAAGCAACACATAGCCAAAGAAAGAACCAGCACAAAAATGTTGTGTTCCTCCCCCGAATTTACCTGAACACGACGAGTTGGTTTCGTCAGGGCAACGAACCTCGGGAATCCCAGGACCCGAAAACCACTCGATTGGCCACTCGAACGGCATATCATCGTGGTTGCCGAAAACGCTAGCCCACGGTATGCCCCTCTGGCGTGCTGGAGATGTTGCCTGGCCCCAGTACGAGCTCGCGTTCGCGACGGGGACGTTGTTTGCCGTTACGAGATCTCCGAGATACACCACGAAATCTACAGAAAACTCACCATCTCAGTCATCTACTTTCCACCACAAAGCTCAAACAAAATGTTGATTCCACTCAACCATTTGTCCTTCCTTTGGTCCTTGTTTTGCAGTACCACATCGCTAGGCTGGAACATGATGGAAACAAAGAGTTGCTTTATAACTAAAATTGGGCCTTGCGAGTTAAACTTAAAAGGGTCGGTTGGCTAATTATGCCACGCTCATCCTAGTTCGATGAGTGCCGTATGGATATCAAGACATATGGCCGACAAAATTTCTGGAACCTTAAGGGGTTGGCTCGCTCGGCCGACCCTCCAATATCCATATGTTCAAATCTTAGGCCCGTTGGGCTTCTGTTTACCCGAACCCAGCCCAAACTCTAGTTATCGTAATAAAAAAAATCAATGACGTCACCTGGTTTTTCAGCGTCGAGAATGTCGGACATGACCCTGACGGAATTGGCGTCTTGGGCCGGGCCCCAGTCGGTCCAGGCAGCCTCGCCGAAGTGCAAGTCGGCGAAGATTGCGATCTTGAAAGGCGCGCCCCGCTGCATCCGGAGAACGCTGCTGCCGTGGAGTCGCGTCGCCGGCGTCGGTATCAGCTCGATGACGTCGTACGGTGGTGGTGGGTTTGCGCTGCCGGAGACAAAGAGCAAGCAAACGAGCGCGATCGTGAGATGAACCGGCGGCCGTCGTAGCTCCATTGGAGGAGGAGAAGGTTGCTTACTAGGGGATTTCGGGAAGTGTAGATCGATGGGTATTTGATTGAAGGGTCGAATTATTTGAAGGTTATTTTGTAGTTTGCAGCCGGGAGGTATATTCGATTTCGTGTTCCGATGCCGGGAAGTTGAGCTATCAACGTCACTTCCATTCCAGTAGTCGTGACACGTGTTATTACCAGACTCCTTTTTTATCTTTTCTCCTGAAAGTTTTTTTTTATAGAAAATTAGTAAATAATAAAATCAAATTACAGAAAATATGTTGTAACCTGGTTTCCCCTGTGTGTGACTGTTTAGCATTCACCTCACCGGTGACAACTATAATTAGCAAATGAACAGAAGATTAAGAACGGTCTAGAGTGTGTTGTCTTCACAGAATCAGTCAATCAGATCTCAAAACAAGACTATATGAGTTCAAGGATGTGTCAAGTTCATGTGGTGACAGATCGGTGTATGTTAACGTCGTTGGATCACCAGATGATATCTAAGGAACAAAGGATACAGAAGAAGAATGAACAACAATGGGGCCATCACAGGCGTTAGCATCCACTCGTGCAGCATCAAATTCTGACAGTGTGAGCCATTCTCTCAAATGTGGTAGATGCGAAAGCATCCTCGAGTTCTTTCTCTGATACAAGCCTGGTGGAGGGAATGAATTCAGTCGTCGTCGTCGTCTGAGGGTCACCATTAACTGCTGCTTCGGAGCTCACAGGTTGCACCGAGAAGTAGGCTTCGAGAGCTTTGATGGTTCTATCGACGAAAGCTGGCCTCTGCATATACTCACGCATTCTGCACACGAATTCTGTATGGTCTCTTGCCTGCAGCGCATGCCAGCAAACGAACAACGATTATATACCCTTTCAAGATCGCGGAAAAAGCCATCTTCATACTACAATCTGCATGAATTAGACCAGAAGGCAATGGCATTGATGGATGAAAAACAAAGCATTACCGATCTGTACTCAGGGGCGCGAGAAGGTAGCTTCAAGTAGTCCATATTCCGATCCTCGTAGTCCCATAGAAAGGAAGTGTGGTGTATCCATCGGTTCTTCGTTATAGACTGAGCATTCCCACCGAACTTGCGGTTGCCAAATACATAATCTGGCGACAAGAACGAATCAACCATCACAAACCGTAACAGTATCAAAGATGCCTAAGCCCCTAGAATATGGACCTTACTGCATCAGCTATGTTATGATGGATTAAACCAGTTGAAAAGAAACCATTTACTCTTTCTGGTAAACCATCAAACGATCAATGCTAAGCTTTTCATTTTCTGTACCGTTCTCTCGCAGTTGAAAATCGGCTATCCCTCGGAACACTTCATCGTACAATGTACCACTCCATGACATGATCGGACGAGGATAAGGTTGGACCTGAGGAACAGCGTCCTTGTTACATACGAGAGTGACGAAAATCGTCCCTTCATCAACGATAACTGTACCGCCACCTGTAAACCGTTTGATGACAGGAACGTGATCTCCCAACACAAGCTTTAGTTCAAGAAGTTCTGCAGGTTTCCTACACAATGTACTAAAAAATCAGTATGCAAGAGTTTCAGCAATCGAAGGTAAATGGGGGAAAATTGCATACCAAGAGTAACCCACAAGATTGAAGTTCCTTTCATTACCCTGAGACGCCCATGACTATGGCGGGGGATTGAAGTTCCATCGTTTACGATACACCAATTATCTGAAGACGTTCGCAGTAACTTCTCCTCCAAATGGACTTGCTCCAAAACGGGCAATCCTTTGAATCTAAGGAGATTCATCAATGGCAGACCCAGTTTTCTGCCGGACTGGCGAAGCACGGTCATTGACTTGGGATCAAGAAGAAATCTGAATCGCAGGCGGGAACTGCCGACCGAAGAACTGGGGGATGGAACGAAGTGGGAAACTACAAGGTCAGCGTCAACATCAATCCCAATTCTGCTCCAGCGACAACGAAGAGAAGAGCTTGGATAGATTAGAAAAAGAGACAGAATCGTACCTGAACGAACCGGCAAGACGACGGAGGAAGGCGGCGGCCGGAGGACGAAGGGGAGAGTCGACGTGAAGGAATGACAGGAATGGAGTGATGAAGGTAATAATTGGACTTCAGCTGGGCAATACAAGTGAACGCCATGGGCAGATGAGCTTATTTATATACCGTTGTGAATGCTCTGTAAGTTTGCTAATCTGAGAAAGTTTCAATCTGGCTTAGGATTAAGATAGATGGTTCAAAGCTGGTGTTTTGGGTTCGACCTGTTGGTACGAATCGGGTAAGTGATGAGGTGAATGTGGATGCCAAGAAGACGAGTTTCGTGACATTGCATCACGAATCAGAGAGCGTATGTGACCACTTTGTTACGCTTTTGAGGTTCGATAACAATTTTGTTATGTTCTGCTTAGAAGTGATAGTGGACATTTGCAGCAGCAATGTTCATAATAAGAAGGTATTAGTGAAACACAATGAAAGAAGAATTTAAGGATTAGTTACACTGATGTGTTGCTGCATTTATCTATTTCCCCTTTCTCGCTGCTCTAATACACATGACGTAGACCGGCCCAAAATTGAAGAAGGGAGAGAGGTTGCTCTGGTTTTCCTTCGGACTCTTGCATAACTGCTTCCTTCCGAGTTTCGTTTCGGAGAGTGCAAACACAATGGGGATGCTTTAACGTCGTTTATCCTTTGCTCGCTTGAAAGACTGCTTCCCCTTGATTTTCCACTTGTCCTTCCCGCCAGGGCGGTTCTGTTCCTCGATCTCTCTCACCTTACGCTTCCTGCATTGGGCCATGGCAGGATAGTTCTTGTAAGCTTTCTAGGCACACCCAACCATTGGCTTTATTCCACACGACTCCACATGCAATAGATTTGTTACAGCTAGTCTAAGGAAACCATGCCGATCCCTATTATCACGTATACTAAGCTTATTTGCATAAGACTAAAGGGTTCAGACGAGTGGGAATATCGTACCTGTAAGCCTTGAAGTTCTGATCAGAAAGTAGCTCATCAGTAATGGTAGCTTTCCTCTCCTTCTTTGTCAGCCTGCCGGAGAAGAACTCCATTGGCGACTCGATGACTGTACCCACCTGAATGACAAACGAAGAGGAAAACATGTTTCAGCTTCTTGTACCGAAGGATGTTAAACAAAGATAACAATTGAAATGCACTAGGTTTAGCTTAAAGCTTAAATTACCTGGAAGTATTTGGGAAGAACTTTTAACTTTGAATCACCTTTCTTATAGTGCCTCTTAGGGTCGATAGCACCCCTCAGCTGCATCAAAATGATTGAATAACTCACTTTTAGTTTATCAGAACAAACACTGCATGGTAACTATTCTTATCTATACAGTCAGAAATCATGCCTTTTGATACTTAGCCGATTTATAGATCAAAGTAACTCTGAAAGACAGTCGTTGATTCACCATGGCAGTTTATATATAGGAGAACAATCAAGGGTCTGTCCTAATCCAATCATCCATATCACATGATGATACTTACTTGGGCACATAGTTCTTGGCTAAGAACATTAGTTTTCCCAAACGACTACAACAGAAGATGACATCTCAACCAAAAATGAAAATAGATGGTGGAACCTTCCTTTCATGTTCGGGGAGATAAGAGACAGAGGGAAAGACAGCCATATGAAAGCTGCAAGCTGGAGTTCGATGCATCTTAGAAGACTCATGATTTACAAACTTATAACCAAGTACCCCTAGAAGGTAAAGAAGTTCCAAAATTTTGGAGAAGAGTAGCAACAGGTTGTCAATACTTCATTGAACACAAATTGGCAAGCATCAGCAGCTGCCAACAATGAGGTACCACAAACTAAAGTGACTGCCATGAATTGACATTGATAGATTTGTCCTAGTTTGTAGGAAATGTAACACAGAAGATAGAAAGAAAGCTCAATGATGGCTGGAGCCATTCACAGGTAGCAGAGCAGGCAAACAGTATGAGAAAAGAACACTGCAATTCTATTAAAAAAAAAAAAAAAAGAACACTGCATAAAATTGAGGAAGAAGGTTACCTTTAGTATCTGGAGGTCTTTCTTCAATTCCTGAGTCATAGTTGGAGCTGGCATATCAAACCTATAGTAAAGTTTAGGCAGCAATGGTTTCAATCAAGCTATTACAAGCAAGGAACAATCCAGGGATGAAGTGAACGCGGAGCAGAACAGAAGAACCAAAACATAAGGAAGAAGAGGGACAACTGCTTGATACCAGCCTTTGCCGAGAGTGTCCTTGACTTGCTTCCTCTGCAAATTTTTCAGTTGAGATGGGTTATTGGGTGGCAAAAACAGACCATCAACAAGCTTCTCAGTGGGCTGCAAAAGAGAATCCCCAGCGTGATTCTGAGGTTTTCGAGCCGACGAAGCAAGGGATGCAGTAGGCAGCTTGGGCTGCCATGTCAGTCCTATCACTGCCTTTCCCTCACCTTCCTTCATTCTCGTGTATGCGTCAGAAGTAGCAAACACTACAGCACAATTCGAGAATCAGTTTCAGACCTAAACAAATCCTTAAATTGGGAAAAAGATCGGAAAGACAGGACATGCTTCGAATCAGTGTAAGCCAGGGAGCAAGGGAAAAGGAAAATATGCCTTTCACAGAGCTGCTGAATTTGGATGTTAAGACAAGTACTACATAGTATCAGAATCGAAAGAAGGAAGTCGAAACCAAAAAAGGAAACCCTAGCAGGCCACTCCTCATCTCTCCGTTATCAAGGGCTTCTCGGCCCTCATCCAACGCATTCAACTTATACTAGCACTGGGAACAGTCTCAACACCTAGCCATCGTCTGGTTCTTTCTATTCCTAGGAGACATTCTACCGTTTCTCATTCATTTCACCATCTTACGAACCTCACAGTCTAAATTGGGCGTGAGCAGAAGCATCTAAGCCATATGGAAAACCAAACAAGAACTGGCGACAAAAAACAAGTAGGCCGATAATCAAATAATTTGAAATCCGCCTAGCTCTCATGGCAACATGAGGGGAAGGAAAACAATAGTTACCTTGAAGAACCGAGCGCAGAGAAACGGCGGCGGCGGCCGGAGAACGAGACGAAAGTCCGGACCGGAACTGCGGAAGAGCGAGAGCTTCTTTGGTACGTAGGATATCGGAACCGCGGGAGAGAAGTACAAATGGGTTACACAGAGAGAAGCAGACATGGGCCTGGAGTCCTAAATTGGAAGCAAGTTGGGCTTACTGGGTAAGCATCCATTTTAGGCCCAAATTAAATCATACTGGCAGAAACGATGGCCCTTATCGGAATCCTTTTCCTCCTCGTCGTCGGGGTTTCTATCGGCAGGCAGAAGGGTTTTATTTCATTTATTTGTATCTGCAAATTCGTTCACCAATTGGAGAAAGTTCAGATCCTTTGCTGGCTTCCGGCAGATCTCTTCTTCCAGTTGGCGGGCGGGTGTTTCCCTTGATTTGCATTCATTCCACCGATCTGCTCGTCGGTTCCTGCAGCTTCTGCTTACTTCTTCAACTCCCTTCTTCTTCCTATTCGCCGTTTAAATGAGGAGAAGGACTCCAAAAGGGCAAAAAGTTTGTGTCTTTTGATCCTCTTTCTGTCTCCTTCCAAAGGGTATAAGTCTTATTGCCTGCCGAATCCAATACCAATGACGGGAAAGAGAAAGCTCCGCAGGTCTGGTTCCTCATGGCAACATCCCGGTGTGATGAAGTCTAAGGTTAGTTTGATTAACATCCATCTTTTCTTCAGCTTTGTTTCCCCAATTCTCTTGTTAGTTACTTTAACATTCAGCCTAGGCAAGAAGTGCAATGGACTCTCTAGATTTCTTAGTTATTATGACTTGTGAGCATTATTAGTCTTAATCTATTCATCATGTGTCATGTGCCACTGCTGCATCCTCTTGCTGCTTTCTTTTTCGTTTCCTTGCTGTGCTATGCACAAATTGGGCCTTCCATGGATTTTCGATTATCAATGCAGTAACTTTAATGTTTTGTTTTTGTTGTGGGTGTTGAAGCTAGAGAGCAGTAGAATGCCTTCCTATAACACAGATGATCGAATCAGTACGCTGCCTGATGATATCCTCCACCTAATATTGTCTTTCATGTCGATCAAGGTATTTATGGACGATGGAGGTATTTATGGACGTAAGACTTTTCAGGGTTAAACCTCTCAACAGCAACCTACCATCCTCAGTGTAAAAGTCAACATGCCGCCTTAGAGTATTCCAATGCTTTCTACTAGACACCTCTTCCATTCCTATTCAGAGTTGCTATATAGTGCGACTTATCACCTTCTTTAACCTTCAGGATCTTCTCGCTCACGGGGCTGGGCAGCGCCAGATTCATAGGAAATGAAGTGTTGACCGTCATAGGCTAAAGAGCAATGTCACTTCGGTTGAATGCAGCAGCACATCGCTTACGCAGAGGGGCAGCCGCGTCACCAGGAACTGCCGCCAGATGGTGAGCACGTCTCTGGCTCCGAGCGGCACCGCGGTTTGCCGGCGTGGACTGGAATGCACGTACGAGCAGTCCTCCGTCAGATCTGGCGCGGCGGAGTGACGCGGCTCGGTTACCGGCGGAGCCATGAGATTTGGCTACTTTGCTACTGGCGGAGCGACGAGATCGGGATGCAGGAGAGGTAGCAGATCCGGATTTGCGACAAGATCGGCGACTTTTGGTGGTACCAACGGAGGTGGCGGCGGATCTGGCGCGGCGGGAGGCTTGACGAGCTCTGGTGCGGGTTTTGGTACCGTCGGAGCCACCAAATCTGGTTCCCGGAGAAGCAGCAGATCCGGCAGTGCGAACCCGGCGAGCTCCGTCGTGCGCCTGCTCGACAGTACCTCTTGTGGTTGAGCAAAGCGAGAACAAAACTCAGACGAGCCATTTCCTCTCCGTCTCTGATTCACGTGCAGTGGTGGGACCTGGCGTGTTGATCGACGCGTAATATTAAAATAGTATTAATAAAGCTTGGATTTATTATGGAAAAACAGAACGAATTTACCGTAACAAATCCAAGCTTTATTAATACTATTTTAATATTACGCGTCGATCAACACGCCAGGTCCCACCAGTGCACGCGAATCAGAGACGGAGAGGAAATGACTCGTCTGAGTTTTGTTCTTGCTTTGCTCAACCACAAGAGGTACTGCCAAGCAGTCGCACGACTGCCGTCGTCGTCTGCCCTCCTGTCGCACCGTGGCGGAGCTCGCCGGGTTTGCATTGACGGATCTGCTGCTTCTCCGGGAACCAGATCTGGTGGCTCCGGCGGTACCAAAACCCGCACCAGAGCTCGTCAAGCCTCCCGCCGCGCCAGATCCACCTCCGCTAGTACCACCAAAAGTCGTCGATCTTGTCGCAAATCCGGATCTGCTACCTCTTCTGCATCCCGATCTCGTCGCTCCGCTAGTAGCAAAGTAGCCAAATCTCATGGCTCCGCCGGTAACCGAGCCGCGTCACTCCGCCGCGCCAGATCTGACAGAGGCCTGCTCGTACGTGCATTCCCGTCCTCGCCGGCGAACCGCGGTGCTGCTTGGAGCCAGATACGTGCTCACCGTCTGGCGGCAGTTCCTGGTGACGCGGCTGCCTCTCTGCGTAAGCGATGTGCTGCTGCGTTCAACCGAAGTGACATTGCTCTTTAGCCTATGACGGTCAACACTTCATTTCCTATGAATCTGGCGCTGTCCAGCCCCGTGAGCGAGAAGATCCTGAAGGTTAAAGAAGGTGATAAGTCGCATTATACAGCAACTCTGAATAGGAATGGAAGAGGTGTCTAGTAGAAAGCATTGGAATACTCTAAGGCGACATGTTGACTTTTACACTGAGGATGGTAGGTTGCTGTTGAGAGGTTTAACCCTGAAAAGCAAGGTTGTTAACCCGCGAGTTGACCCACTTTGACCCTGACACGGTGAGAAAAACGGGCCGCACGCACCCGCCGGGTCTGAAGGTTAAAGAAGGTGATAAGTCGCATTATACAGCAACTCTGAATAGGAATGGAAGAGGTGTCTAGTAGAAAGCATTGGAATACTCTAAGGCGACATGTTGACTTTTACACTGAGGATGGTAGGTTGCTGTTGAGAGGTTTAACCCTGAAAAGCAAGGTTGTTAACCCGCGAGTTGACCCACTTTGACCCTGACACGGTGAGAAAAACGGGCCGCACGCACCCGCCGGGTCGACCGCCACAAGGTACCGGGTTGGAGGTCAAATTGTGTCATTTTTTTCTTTGTTTTGCGAAATGCGCCTATTTTCCGAATTTTCTTTTCGCCTAACTCAATCTTTGGAATTCTAAGTTGAACATTTGAATATTAATGTTATATAAGTGTGTGTGAATTTTCACTATATGTTGAATCTAAGCACGAAATGTAATTTTGGTGTAATATTAAATGTTATAACTCATATGTTAGATGAGATTTGATATAATTTATCAGGATAAGTAAAATATAATGACACTTTTCATATTTCCGGGCTAAAATGGGTGACCCACTAGTTCAACCGGGTTCGGGTCAACCCGCGGGTTGACAACCTTGCTGAAAAGTCTTAAATAGGATGGTAAGTTTTAGTAGAAGGCCTAGTAGTTTAGTGGTTTCTATTAGGGATGGCAAATTACCCACCCATGGGTAATTATACCCAAAACTAAGTAGACCCATTGATAATGGGTTGGGTATGGGTGAAGTGCATATGGATTTTGAGGTTTATAGATGGGTTTGGGTTTGGGGCTTCCATAATCTAAATGGGTATGGGTTGGATATGGATATCCATTTACTTGAGGGTGTTTTAACTACACATGCAAAACTTGGACCTATTTGCAAAACTTGAAAAGTTTAGGTACCAAAATGTAAGACCAAAAAAATTTAGGTACCAAAACGTAAATTTCCATCGATATTTTGAGGACTTATATGAAAAAAAAATTAAATTTAGGTACTAAATATGCATGTCTATTAAGTTTGGGTACCAAACTGTAATTTGTATTTGGGCATGGGTACAAACCCAAATCCATTTGATATAAACCCAACTCAACCCAAAGTAAATGGGTATGGGTACAAACCCATCAAACTCTACCCATATCCATCTATTTGGATTTCATACCCAACCCAATTGGGTTGGATAGTAAGAAACCCATGGGTATGGGCAAATTTGCTATCCCTAGTTTCTATGCCAAAACCCTACTGCTCTCCGTAGTGATTCGCGTGCTTTACGATTTGTGGGTGTGGCGATCGATGCAGATAATAATAATATGATTAATAAACTTGTTACCTATGTCGAATTTCGTGCCAATGGAAATGGTTCGGCCTTTCGGCCCATATTTGGCCCACCACATTCGGATAAAACTTATGTATGGGTTCAAGGCCCCAGTCAAATTTATGGCTGATAACAAATTGCACTTTTGTGGCCTACATTGCTGAGCCCATGGGTTTTGGAAGAAAAAAAACGTGACATGTCTCAAGTGAACTCTGATTTTCTTAATCACTAGCATTGGGCCCGGCCCGTTGGCCGGGTTTGTTTGTGAAAATTGAGGAACACCATGAGATCTGAAAAGTATGATCTGCCACTAAAATTCATGTGATTCAAAATCTTGATGAAACAAATTCAATGTCAACATGAAAAAGCCAAAATACATACATAGTAGTGTACAGTCTGATAAAAACAACCTTTATAAAAAGGAGTAAGCTCAACTATTGTTCAAACATGAGTCTTTAAGGGTGGTTTGAAGGATAAAAAAAAAGGCAATAAGACAGAGAATTTCATAAAAACCCAAGTCTGCTAATCAATATAAAAGCCACCATTGCTGCAAATTGTCTGTTAAAGACTATGCTATTTAATGGTTCATCTACAATTAGATTAACAATCAGCTCTACAAAGTGCTAGCAATGGTGGAGTAAACTCATTTAATTAAGAAGGCAGAATAATGCAGCAAAGAAAATCAACAAAAAAATGGACAACAAACACCACCTCAAATCTGAAAATGCAGCAAATCTTATGCAAAAAAACAGAATAATGCAGCAAACATAATCAATCTCAAAATGGACAACAAACACAATCAGATTATCAGAAAAAAGGCAGCAAACACAATCACAAATCAGAGTACTGCAGCAAACAGAATCAATGAAAATATGGACAGCAAACAGAATCTGAAAATCAGGAAAATACAGCAAACATAATCATCAAAAAGAAATGACAGTAAAGATAAGCAATAAGAAATTTTAACAATGCAGTAAATTTTGACAGCAAGAACTCACGAATGATACAAACAACCTGTTTATCTTACAAAAGGAGTAATCCCTGACAATAGCCGAAACTCACACAACTAATGTTCAACTGCATTGGCAGTTATGATGCAAAGTTGATTCAACAAAAAAGAGAATCCATAGAAGTCAAACTGTCCAACGGATAGAAAACCATTGAAGGCAAAGAACCATAATATTGTTTGCAATTCATACTAAACATAAAAGGATAATTCATATGGGAAATAACCTACAACCTGAGTTTCAACATGGATCTGAATGAAAAGCTAAATCTGAACATCCCATAGACAAACAATAATACTAATCAGAATGCATGATATGGTGGTTATTAGATGGAGCAAGTCTGCAACACCACTACTTCTCATCGTCAGCCTCACAATCAAGAGCAGATTCCATTTCCTGTCCAACTGAGGTTGCTCCTGCAAGATCCTTTGAACACGGATCCTTGTTGAGTTGCTGCAAGTTACGTGGTAGACAAAAGAAGGCAGATTAAAGCTATAAACTTAACTTATTAGGCTGTAAGGAAAAAAAAACTGATCTGGAGCTGCAAGTTCATTTACCTGAAGAGGATCATGATCAATGCTAACTATAGAGATCTCAGTTTGTGGGTTCATGATGTTAAACTCAGTTAGTTTAACAGTTAGCTTCAGCGTCATGTTCACAATCTGATGAATCTGGAGCGGAAGAGGTTCTTTGTTCCTCTGGTTTAATTGGAATAACTCATCAGCCATTACTCCAAAAAAGCGCAGGCCTTCATGCTCCAAGATGGCAAAATCAGCCTCTCCTGTATTATCTTCCAGCTGGAATTTAACTCTATATCTACAGTGATCATGGAAAAAAGATAAACAAAATCATACACTCCCATACCTCATTATAATTTTGGTGTAACATATTTCTTTGATACCAAAATCAGACAACAAAACGTCTAGAATGGAGAATGTAGAAAGCAAGAAAATAGATGATCATCTTACTTTGCTTTAGCAATCGATGATGTTGTCTTACAGTGGCCACAAAAATACTCCTCCAGATCCTCCTCCACCTTCCGCGGGCATGCAACACATCCCATGTAACACCAATTAGGACGCACTTGAGTCACCTTTCCTTCAACCGAAAATAGTTTGCCCTGAAATGCATTCAAAACAGAAAACAAAAACTTGCTGTTATGTAAAAAAAAGAAAGTGCTGAAATGAAAACATTTCTATAGAAGAAAAAAAAGCATACACTCTGTGCTTCATTGCTTTTGAACTCATTTAGTTGAGCTAGCGATATTTTTGGAATCTCGGCAGCTGGGACTTCAGCAACCAGCACTGGTGCTGTCAGATTTGTGTCCCTAGAAACAGATGAAAATGCAGATCCATAACTTGTTTTAGGAAGCCAATGTCAAGACCCTAGATTCACGCAAGCAACTAACTACAAATAGAAGGAATCCAAGAAAACAAAAGTAAAAACAACAGCGAGTTTATTATTGCGTTTTCACAATGACTGGACTTAATGGGAATAGTTTTTGAAAACTTCAGCTAACAATTCTCAAGTACAGGAGACCACACATACTTAGCCTTAAACTCAAGCACTTCTGGAATATCCAAGTTGGCCTTCAACTGAGTTGCTCCTGTTGATGACAAACAGATTTCCCCTTGTAAAAAAAAAAACAAATAAGACAGTTAGAATGAATTTCAGAATTGCAAATCAAAAGGAACTAAATAAGCTTGTTTGTTCAGAACCTTTAAATTCATCGACAAACACAGAGGTAATGGTCAGAATGACAGCTGTCCGTTCATTGCGAGAGATGATGTCTTCTAATTGCTTGCCAATATTTCCCCACAAAGTGACTTTCACCATCTCCCCTCTAACATCAATATTACCCAGGATCAAAGCAAAGTAACAAAGCCATAGATCAGGTTAACAATCCAAAATGAATTTAAATTGCAAAGAGGTTTTTAGATCTAACTCAATGAGTTTTATTGTGATTTCCTTCCAGCGTTTTGTAGCAGAGGTGCTAGAGGTTAGGCTAGAATGGTCAATCAATTGACCAATTGCATCTGAAACAAAATGTTACAGTTAATATCAAACTGCACAGGAATTGACAATGAAGAACAACAGAAGGAACACTCTACCTGAAAGGTTCTTCTTATCATACAACCTTTTCATCATAGCAGCATGATTGAGAAAGTAGAACTTATAATTAAGTATGGACGACACTGTTTTGATATGCTGGACTAAAGTGGCAGCATCAAACTCAATCATCAGACGATTAGGAACAGGCCTAAATGTGTTCTTGGTCATAGCAACCTTGAAATGCCTAATCTCATACACTTCTTGTTCTATCAAACTGGATTCAAATTTTGGAATCAATAGTGGAGGAACCATTGCCCAAATGTCTGATCCCTAATATGTAAACAAATAAAAGTAAGTCCCGGCATTAATAACATTGAGGATTCTCTTTGTAAGCAAAGATAGAAGATTACCTCGGAATCGATGAGCACCATGTCCAAATGCAGTACTTTTCCTGTGTTACAGTTAGTTGCGATCCACCTCCGAGAGACACGACATTGAATGATCCATTTTCGAGAATGAGTTGCTAAATCCTTCAACAGCTGCGGCGCCATCTTGCTTTGCTAACTGACAAGGGCGTAAGTGGGAAAACATTTTTACGTCGTAGGACAACAGTATTTATAGGCTCCAGCAAGGTAACCGCAAAAGCCAGGTTTGTCGGCACATCAAGGTTGACCTGGTGGCAGTTGAGCAGATCGTGTTAATTTGGAATTAGCTAGTAACTGTCCTCCACCAGGTTAGTAGAGTGCGAGCAACAACGACAGTTATTTACATGAATATATGCTTACCCACGTTTTTGGCAGACCGAAAACTTTGGATTTGCTGGCTGGAGCTCCGATAACCGCAAGACCCACGTTCCCGGCACCGACAGATTGGAAGCTGCACCTGCTGATGCTTGTTTCTTCGTGCGAGCAGCCGAATCAGAGAAATTCCACGATGGCTTGACAAAGACCGCCATGACGGCCGCGCAAAATGGCTGAATGATACTCAGAAAATCGCCAAGGAATGAGATAGCTAGCGAACTCATTGAAATTCCACTATCCATTTGAACCAAACACTCTGGAATTTAGCGGAATCAGAGAATCACCGTCGTTGCACCCCTAATCGGCTAACTTCAATAGCCGCCATAGTTTGATGTAGATTGGAATTGAGGGAATACTCTTGACTCTAAGGCTGCCGACACAAAATTCAGGTGGAGATGGAGACAACAAAAACCCTAGCTTCGACTGTTAATCAAATATATGGAAAAGGCAATTGGGCACAAATTTCATACGGGCTCAATCAGGCCCAAATGGTTGCAATTTGTAATGAAAGAAAAACAAATCTCTAAGGCATGGGCTGGAAAACAAAATCAGTTCTTCTCCAATTAAAAATTTGGCCATCAGTTCTTGTGGATACATTCATTTCAGCAACATTTGATCTATAAAAACTTAAAAGTCCGGCCAATTTCAGTCTCAGCATCAAGTTGATCCAATCTTCCTAGAATAGTTTGAAATTTCATTGTAGAGGCATGTATGTTTGTACGGCTCTTAATATTGGGCCTTATTTTGATTGGGCTGAATGTTAAGAAAGGAATGACAATGCCATTCTCAACTGAGACCAAATAAAGACCAACAATTATTCACAATATAGAAAAGAAAGATTAGAAGTGTAAAACGCCAGGTATGGCCTTGAACAAACGAATAGAATGATGATCAACACTGGTTCACAATCCAAATCAAATCCAAATAAATGAAACTGAAATTATGACCAAGAGAAAGTCAACAATGACTCACCAAATCACTGAAATGAGCAATAGTTACCATCTCAAACTAACTTTTTTTTTGAAATAAAGCATGACAATATCAAGACAAAGGGCATAAAAATGACTATTTACAATACTACTGAAACTAATTTCTTGATGTTCTTTCAGCCACTGAAGATTTTCACAACCTCAAAGTGCACTCCTCCAGGTTTATAAAAGTGAGGCACAACTTTCACCAGGAACTGAAACATCTTGCCCCTCAAGGACTTCAAGTTGACCTCGAAACTTGACCTCTGAAACTGAGCTGCACTCTCAAAAATTGAGTCTGTGACTGACCAAAAGACATTGCTTTTGAAGATTAAAGCACAACCATTGTTGCCATCTTTCACAAGGAGTTGAACTATAAAAGCTTTTTGTCGATCAGACCAATAAGCATTCACTTCTGTGACCTCTGCTTGTATTTTGAAAGTCAGTCCCTGGAAAAAATTGGAAAATGGGGTCAACACATAAAGTTAACCAAATTTCTTCACATAATCCAAAATGGTCATTAGTAAATAAGTGGAAAATGGTTTGCCTATACCTAAATGGGACCAGCAGCATTCAAAGCTTCCATCGATTTCACAGAACTTGGTACGATCAGACTCTGGCAGATTTCACCATCACTGCGAGGAACACCACTACTGGTACTACTGCAAATTCAGTCCAATATGAAAATCAATGAAGATCTATCATCATGATAAAGGAAACTAAATAAACTCATAATGAGTTGTGGCATACAAATCGAGCAAAGGATGGCCAGGAGGATAGTGCAGATTGCAGTGCATCTTAGAGGCACATGAGGAGGAAAAAAAGTACTCTCCTGCAAATAAATAACATTAGTATTTGAATAAAAGGGTAGAGGATATTTTGCATTTGATTATTAAACTGAGAGGCAACTAACCATGGTATTTATGCACATAAACAGAAGTGATTGTGAGCACTGTCCCAATTTCAGATTCAGTGGCAAGGTAATTGTCAAGCTGGTCGACCAATGAGTCCCACAAAATCACCTTAACAATTTCACCACTACCGCAACAAAATACATCCAACAATCAATATTTTTGTGGCGACAATACACAATCAAGTGGTTGAGACAAATTAGACCGAAAGCATACTCAATTAGGCGAATTTGGATATTCTTCTTTTTGATAGAAGCCATCTCATCACATAGGAGTTCTGTAGCATCACATTGCACCATTTTTCCAGCTAAATCTGTACCAAACAAAAGTAAATTGCTAATGGAAACAAAAGTACGAAACAAACTTAAATAATGATGAGATCAGCGACGGAAAATTAGAAACCAAATAAGAAGTCTTGGCCCTCAAATGCATCCTTAAAACCGCCTGTTTCCAGAAAACGGAAGCTGAACTTTGGAATGTCAGCACAATCCACCAATTCTTCACAGACCGAATCAGGGAGGAGCACGATACGAAACTTCGGTGCAGTTACACGGAAGCTAGTAGTGTTCCTCTGAACCAAGAACTGACCGAAATAGTACACGCTGCCTTCCATAATGAGTGGAGCAAACCTTGGGATCAAGATCTTATGAATAACAATTTCCATTTGATATCCCTGAATAAATTAAAACAAAATGTGCATTCAGTGGCAGCATCATTAGAGGAAGAACAACAAATGAAGTAGGAAGAGCAACACGTACCGAAGCATCAACAATGATCATGTTAACAAAAACATCTTCTTTTGTGCTTCTATTCTTCACAGTCCATTTGCGCAGCACTCTAACATGAACTCCACAGTCAACATCTTCAATACCCAAGTCAACTAAGGCACGAAGAGGCATGTCTTTGAGCAGGGGTTATCGTAGAAGGAAGGGCAAGGTTATTATTTGATTAGAACACTCGAGCAGGGAGGTGGTAGGAGCAAATAAAAGTGGCAGAAGTATGCTTTTATACATGAAAGAAAATGAGGTAGGGTTAAGCTTAAAAGTAGGGGTTAGTGGGGATTAACTGCCACCCACGCCTCATTTTCCATACAAATTCCAATTTTGGCTTTCTAATCTTGACACATGCCCAGCCCATGAAATTATGACGTGGATTATTTTGAAATAAAATAAACTCACTCACAATTAGAAATTTGGAGAACACCTTACCAAAAAAAAAAGAAATTTGGAGAACAGAAGCGATTGTGATAACTTTGGGAGCAAGTCCATTTTTAAATATAATAAATTAATAATTACTATAAAATCTCATAAACTAATTTTTTTTAATCTGAATCATTACTTACACTTTTTAATCCTCCATCAGTTTTTCAAAGAGAAAAGTTAGGATTATGGATGTCTCGCCGACCGGTGTGCCACAGGTTGAATCTGGCAATTTAACCGATACCGGTCATAAAACCGGTGTGACACCACCGGTATGACCGACATGATCGATATACGAATTTCTAGGTAAAATGACCTTATTTTAGTAAATTTAATTGTTTAATTTTATTATATTATTTATTTTATGAGTATAAAAGTTAAATATTGATATTATTTGATGAATTCAAGTATAGATGTTTAGGTATTGACGTTAAATGTCATGTCTAAATATGATTATTTATAATTTTAATTATAATATTGACCAGCATAAACCGACACAAACCGATAATTGCCACCGGTTGAACCATTCCACTTGCTAAATCGGCACACTGGAATAAACCGGTTTCAGAAACTTGGTTACGACAAACCAACTAATAATCAAGCTAAAACAAAACAACATAATTAAAAATAAGAGTTGAAGAGAACCTACTGGCACACAGAAACAAAGAAGTACTAATTTAATCTCACAAATGGCCTTCTATTCCCACTACTGGCTATCATCATTAGCTTCTTGTCTATATGACGAGGAAGATACTACAAAACGTAGTTTTTTGTTTTCCTTATAGTGTTTTCTCAACATCCATATAATAACAAAGCAAAAGTGTGTCATCTCACCAAAAGCATAAAGTAAAAATACAAACTAATAATAGTTCAAAAATCAATCAAAAATCTCTCGATAAACAATGTTCTGCATACTCTTCACTTCAGCTCCATCACCATCGCAGCTCAAAATCTTGATTCCGCGTTTTGTTGTAACACGGGACAATGCAACATATAATTGACCATGTGAGAAGACTTGCTTTTGAAGACATAAACCCACATTCTGTAATGTTTGCCCCTGGCTCTTATTTATCGTCATTGCAAAGCACAAAGCAATGGGGAATTGTCTGCGGACCAATGTGAAATTCAAACTTTTATATGAGTGGGTTAAAGTCATTCTTGGCAAAAAAACCCTGTCTCCAGTCTGTGACCCCGAAATAATCTCTAATTCGATGAACCATGTCCCCAATGTCTTCACAATTAGTCTAGTCCCATTACATAATCCACGACTTTGGTCAATGTTCCTTAATAGAATAACTGGACATCCCAACTTAAGCTTCAACTCATGTTCAGGAAAATTTCCAATCTTCAATGAGTTTAGAAATTCAGTCGAGTAATCTGAATCAATGATATTTTGGTTCCCAGGATCCATATCAATAGAATCAGAACTAAAGTATGTCATGACTTCACCAGGATATTGCTCAAGGACATAATGGTTTAATGCAGAAACCATGTCATGATGAGGAGCTAAGATAGCACGACCATCAAAGTAGCTTGACTCACAATAATGAGTTGATAACCCACCGTAGACCTCAGCAACAATATCTGAAATGTGATCAACCTTGCGTTCAACAGATAGTTCTTTAGGAATAGAAATGATGGACTCACCAAAAACATTTGACCCTTCACCATCACCAATAGTAAGGATCCATTTGCTAAATTCTGCAATCTCACGACCCTCATCAATTGAGCAACCATCTCTCACCAAACGCATATTCTTCTTCAACCTCAACACTCTGAAATAATGCCATAGTTTTGATTTCTTGATAGAAGAATTAACAACATCAGAGCGTGTACCTTTGACTATTACTGGCAATGTTTGACGAAAATCTCCGCCAAGAACAACAGTCATTCCACCAAAAGGCAAGTTTTCAGAATTAGGATATTTTACACGTAAAATATCCCTTAGAGTTCTATCCACAGCCTCAACGCAGTGTTTATGGGACATGGGAGCTTCATCCCAAATAATCAAAGAACACCTCTGAAGTACTTCAGCCAAATCACTACCTTGTTCAATATGACATGTTGACTTGGAGTGAATATCCACTGGAATGTTGAATCTTGAATGAGCTGTTCTTCCACCTGACATTAATAATGCAGCAATACCTGATGAGGCAACACATAGCACAATCTTACCCTCTGATCGTAACTTCAAACAAATTACTTTCCATAAAAATGTTTTGCCCGTCCCACCAAACCCATCAACAAAGAAACAACATCCCTTATCACCATATACTGAATCCAATATCTCATCATATGCTGCCTTTTGTTCAATATTGAGTTGCGAACACATGACAACAAATTGAGACTGCAGCTCAGCACAATTGTAATTAAGCTCCTCTGCAAGCAATCGATTTGAAGTGTTAGCCATAGATCCAATTGAAGGGGTTGGCAATCCAGGAAAGTCAGCAAAGGACTTCCAATGCCTTTGCAACAACTTCTCAATCTTCATTAAGCATAAATCCTTTAGTTCAGCATCACTAAGCTGCAGATTAGGCATCTTCAATTCTTTTCGACGATGATAAAGAATATCATCACTTAGCAACGTCCAATTTTTATCCCAAAAACCTTTGCAATCTGATACTGGACAATTAATAAGAATAGTCACAAAAAGCTCTCGAAGCTTATGTCCAGATGCCCAAGTGGATACCTCATTAATACAATCATTCCACTCATTGTCTTCTGCTAGTAATCCACGGGCATAGCATGCTTCTTGAAAAGATTTGTAAAGAACGCCATTAACAGATCTAATGTCCTCAAAAGAAGTACAACCCTTAACAACATGAAGCAGCATACGCAAGTAGAATCTTTCCTTTTTTGATGGGTGGGAATAGTACAATCTCCCAATGCATCTCCTTGATTTTCGACGCCGCCATATTTTGCCTTGTTTATTCCAGACAAAGTATTGAGGGAATTCAGCATATGTGTAATTGCATGCCTCTTCAAAGAGCTTATTGATTTCCATCCATGCCAACAACATTGATAGAGAAGAACCCTCATTTTCGATAACGTCTTCCATAGACGAATTATCCTTAGAGACAACAATATTCTCACCGGGAAGATGAAATGGCATTCGAACAACTGAAGGATAGTGATTATAAACATCAAATTTGAAAATCCTCCAACATGCCTCTCCAGATGTAATATATCGGCAGTCCATAAAAGCTTTAATCTCATCAACGCACACTGAATTAGATGAACTTGCAGACACATCATGAGAAGTACTGTGCAAGTCACTATCGACCAAAGTGGCAGCAGCACGATCAGCAGGTTTATTAATATATTTGAACAAATATTTGATAGCCCTGTCAACAGCAAATGCATAAGAATTCACTTCCAAATTGTATGTACTCCTTAAAAGAATATTATTAAAAACATGCACGGTAATATTTAAAAGGCTCTAAATGAATATCTCATGTTTCTTTACTGTAAACTTAGAATACAAAAGTAATAAAGAATATATCAATTCTCTCAAAACATAAAATTCAATACCAACTACCCTTCTAATATATATTGGCAAATATGTCCGTAGAAGCACTATAATCATAAATAACTAAATTAAAGTCAACAAACATAAAAGTAGAATATAAATAGTACTACTCTATGTTCCATGTTTAATAAAGTCGAACAAATTTTTTTTATGTTTTTTATTAAATTTATTGGAAGATTGACACATGCCAATTATTGTATTTTTATGTCCTTTATAGTACTAAAAATTAAAGTCAACTATCAAGACATCGAGAATAATACATACCTTGATTTGTTGCAGAACTCCACATTAATATGACATTGAAACCGCAATAGCAAATATCGATTATATGGCACGACATTCCGGTTGTCTAAAGGGGTACCATTAACCTCAAAAGTGACACCTGTATCACGACGTCGGTATTTAGCAAATCCATGCTCATCGATAACTGTTTGACTACAATATTTCTTTGGAAAATGCTTCGTACACACACCATCCACCATACATGGCGAATTTCTATTTGCCACTCCACATGGTCCATGCATCATAAATGATGTTACAGCTTCATATCCTTCAGGATCTAAAGCGGGATTTGGAAGTTCAGCTGATATGATAGAATCAATATCACTTGGAGTTACAAACTTATCTTCCGGGGCTAAGAATAATAAAATGTGAGCATGTGGCAAACCACGCTTCTGAAATTCAATAGCTTCAACATCTGCAAATATGATAATATTTTTAAAATAAATACAACACATTTGCAAAACAAAATTGTTCAAATGGAGATAGATAAACTTACAGGCCAGTACTGTGCCAAATATCTTCTTCTTTGTTATCTCCCACATGAGTTGATTAAGTTTTGCCTTGAAAACTCGAGCAATGACATCAGCTCTATCTGGATCTTTTCTCCCATCACTTTTGATCATATCGGTCATGAATTGTATCTCAGGCCAATTAGCATTACAGGTAAATGTGATAAATAAATCAGGGTAACCGATCCACCTGCATATAGCCATTGCATCTTGGAAATTTTCATATTTGTATCGAGGGCCACCAGTATGACTTGAAGATAATATAACCCGCTTCCCAGTGGACTTAAGATCAGTATCACCCCGCAAGAATGAATCTATAAGACCAGATAAATAGTGCATGCGCAACTTTGATTGATTGTTTCTGATCCACTCTAGCCTTTCTGCTTCTATCAAAGCATATGAATTAACGACATATTGTTGAAACAATTTTCCAGAAAGCAGTAATGAGCTAGATTCATCGAATCTTGTCTGTAGACGATAACTGTAGAAATCACACTGAGATAATGCACTGCTACCCAAATCATCAACCGAGCCCGTGCAGTAGCTAATGTTACCATGCCAGCCATCTTCACCATAAGGAAATAGAAGAGGGTATTGTAATGCCATTAAGCTGGGGTGATAAAAAGTAATTCTCTCTAACTGCATAGTTTGATACTGCACAACAACATCAGGTAGGAAGCAATCTTCACCTGTGTCATCAACAATCAATGCAGCAACATCATTAGCAGTCGGTAAATCATATTCCCTGCCATCTACCGTTCTTCTACCCAGAAGCTTAATTTTAAGAGGCTGAATTCCATCATGTACAATTCTATCTCGAGCATAGCGAAATGCTTGGACTAAAACATTATTCGCATCAAGCATCTCCTGCAGACTTCCGACAACATCATGTAATAATGAACTGGAAGAAGAGCTCATCGAAACGAAATCAATCCGATTCTGCACTTCATTATTGGTTTCATGAATATATAACTGTGCAAATTTGGGTGTATCTCCGTCAACAGGAACTAAGCTTCCTATTCGATGATAGATTTGGCCACCAATTGAGTAAACATACACCCCCTGACCATTATTTATGGCATGATCCACCTTCCCACCAAGTGAAATAAAGCAGAACAAATTATTATACTGCCGAATATATTTCCTAAAGTGGCGAGCAATAGCAGAATCAGCCTCCAACAACATCTTCAAAAACTCAGGCGGATCACGACGCTCAGGAAGTTTGACTTTCCCTCCCTTACAACATAATGTGAATTGCGGATGAACATTCCCTTTAGTTTCCCGTGTACTTTCACATCTCCAAAACACAGCTCCACAATATTGGCAAAGACATTCAGGCTCGCCAATTGAGAATTCCGAAATTACCGGATAACCTGAGAAATATAAATATATTAAAAGCATTCTAAAGTGTCCAACAACCAAAACTTTAATCTAAACATCAACTGGACTTACCACGCCTATAAAAAGCTCTAGGGACTCCAAATTTCTTCCGTTTTTTACACATATGCATCATTCTCCTAGCTCGGTTATGCTTTGCGAGCAAGGTCTTCAAAGGAACATCATACACTGCAGATTATAGGACGCATAGTAAATGTACAGCAGTAAGAAATATAGAAAAGAAAGGCAGCCCAGCTTCAAGAATAAAGCAAGCATAACTCATGATACAAAGAAGAAGAGCCAAAGGGGAACAAAACAACAGTATTAAGATCCAAATAAGTTTCATAACCAAACTAAGCCTAAGTAAAATACAGAGATAAAATAGGAACCAAAACCACAATTCTAATTCAATCCAAACTCCTAGCTCTATGCCAAGTAGAGACCATTAATAGAACCAAAACCACAAACGGTACTCCTTGCTCTATGCCAAGTAGAGACCATTAATAGCATCAAAACCACAAACAGTAACCACACCTGCTGAAGTTCCTTCTCAGATACCAAAAGCAGCCATAGACAATAGAAAATAAAAGAACAACATACTTGGGACTGAAACAACACGCACTCCATGCAGCCGTCGTACCGCCAAAAGAAACTTCCTTCTCCTCCTAGCTAATGTTGCAATATGATGATCAACGCGGCTGAGCCGATCTTTCAACTTGCACATAACTATCATTAAGAAGTAAAACATGGAAGCACATATACAAAATAAGTCACTGTATACTGAGACATCATTTCCTTTTATGTGCAATCAGATCGACAATATATAATAGGCATGACGAAGTACTTTGAGATCAACTTGACTTACCACCCTCAATTCGCAGCCTCTCTGCGTCGACTTCAGCAAGTGTCGGACTTTCAGGAGAGATACAAATAGCTCTTCCTTTCCCTAACAAACACACAATGAAATACATGCTTGAAGTTACACTTCACTGCAGAATATACATGACTTTGAATACAAAAAAAACAACTAAATGCGGAAGGAGAATTTTACATCGAATAGGACCACAATTAGACTTCTTTGGAGGATGATTTGTGGCAAAATAAGGTTCCTCGCGCGGACGCTTGGGCCTCATTATTGCATACCCAAAAAAAGGAAACCAATATTAACAGAATTGAGCAAATGACACTGGTGCAGAGCTAAAAGAATGGAATGAAACCCAACAGCCCGCACTACTCTTCTTCCAAATCTGCTCTGTTAGCTAACTTTTGGACTTGAGATTGACCTTACTAAAATTGAACTTAAATCCCCCAATTGTGTTGGTGGTGGGAGCAAGATACACCGACAGATAACCACCGAGAGCAGGATTTGATGTAGACACACGCCATAGACTCAAATAAACCGAACAATCAGCATTGATATCCAACCGAATTGCAAGTCAGAGCACTCAAGAACAAACACACCAGAGCTAGGAGAAGTGCAAGCGACGCCAAAGAAGGGTTAATTAGCAGGATAGAATTTGTGGAAGACGGCCAAAGATTTTCGTCTGCAGGTCCAAGGAGCTTTGGAGTAGTAATCTCGTCCGGTTGCTTCAAAAGATGCTTACAAAAAGGCCCGCCTTAACCACAATTTTCGGATTCAGCGAGCATGGGAAGAAGAATTTGGTCGGGGAAGTGGAAGAGCGAAGACGGCTGCAAAAGGCGCCTCTCTCCGGTTTCAATTTGGCAGACGGCAGCGAGGGTCCGGAATTTACCTAAGTGACCCTCCGAACTGTGCGGGTTAATAAGCGGGGGATGACGTGGCAAATCAGCCTTTTGCACATCGGCTTATATTATTTTGTAGATAAAAAAAAAAAAAAACTCGGATTTTTTCTAAAAATAATACGTAATAAAAATAATCATCAAAATAATCTCTAGCCTCACATTTGTTTTTCCTTTAGGTGGAGGAATTGCAAACGAGGCAATTTTGACCAATTTTCTCAGTTTATAAAATGAGACAATTCAAATTATCTACTTTATACTAACTAATTGTAATTGTCTCAAAATGAATAAATTTAAAATTCTCCAAAGCTAATTGCTTCATCACAATAGGTCAATTTGACACAATAATCAGGAAATGAGACAATTGTGCCAATTTGACACAATTATCAGGAAGACTAAATAGAATTAGTAATTGAGGTGAATGATTTTAGTTTACGTTAAAGTATATTTTGTGTGGTCAAAATAGTGAATCAGTGGACAAGTCAAATTAGGATGGTTCGTGAGGTTTTATGTCAAACCGTTCGGTCCATTCATAACCATCCAAGCAAAGCAAATGAACGGGACCACTATTGTAATTGGTTTAGCGATAATTGGACAAGCCATTGATCTAGTTCGATTCTTATAATATAATGCTATTAAAGGTAGAAAAGGAATGAATCCTTATTTTACTTGCAATAGATGAGCTTTTATGTTAGGGCCCGTTTAGTATCATTTTGTTGTTGTTGTGGTTGCAGTGGTGTTGTGTAAACAGATGTACAACCACAACATAAAAAAAAACAGAAAACACAAACCTGTTTAGTTGATAAATCTGAAAAATCATGAAAGCTGAAAACAAGAAACAAAACCGCGTTTAGTTACTACTACAAGTAAAATGAGTATTTAACATTCATGTCAATGGAGTGAGGCTTTTGTGGAGGGGAAGTGGTCGGCGGAGGGTTCGGGCTGCGCGGCGGGCTGGATCGGCGCGGAGGAGGAGGGGTCGGGCGCGGAGGCGGAGGGGTCGGCGACTGAGGAGGTGGCGGGCGGCGCGGCGGAGGTGAGGCGGAGGTGGCGCCTTGTTGAGAAGGGTGGCGGGTGACGCCTCTGTTGAGAAGGGTTTAGGGGAAGAATAGTTTGGGGGCGGCAGCTGATATGTTAGAAGTAGGGTTTGGGGGGGGGGGGGTGGCGGCTGTGTTAAAAAAAAAAAGAAATTTTTTTGCTTCTGTGGGGATTCGAAAACTAGTCTAGTTTAATGAAATCAAGTGCCCAAACAGTAGGAATCCCGTGTGCAACATGTTTTAGAATCAGATCCAAAGCAATAAATTGTTGTTTCTCATATTTGGGCCTTGTTGTGCAACTCTGATTCACAACAGAAAATAGAAACCCAACTAAACATGTTTTTTTTTTCTTGGTTTCTCCAATCTTTAAAAACACAATAGGAAACAAAAACAGACAACAATACTAAACGGGGCCTTAGTTTAAATAATTCTGATATATTGTATTGAAATTATCAGGTAATCCGACCAACGGACCGGACACTAAGCTAGTATGAAACCAACCATGGGCTTGTCTCGAGCCCAATTTGCACATTCGATGTATCTTCCTCAGGAAGTTGGCGCCATTCTTCTGATTCTAAATTTCCCTCCCAATTCATGTGAAAAACTAAAAAACCTTTCCATCTCTAATCTTCTGTCATCCCCATTGAAGGAAGCGAAGAAGTAGAACGGGAAGTAGAATCCGGCGGTCGTGAAAATGGTATTACTCCACCAACTGTCTTCCAAGAAGAAGAGGACCGCCTCTTCTCCCTTCGTCTCTCCTTTCCCGGCTGCCAAAATCCCTAAACCAGACCAGCAGCAGACATCGGCGCCGTCGTCCACGAGAGCAGCAGGCCGCAACGGCGACGCCCTAGCTTCAATCGATAAAATGGCGTCGACTCTCGCCGATGCCGGATGCACGTTGATCAATCCACTAGGTCCTCCGTGTCTCCCCTCCGACCACCACAAGCTCCGAGCTCATCTCAACCGCCGGTTTTCGTCTTCCGATGGCGGCGGCGGCAGCGATTCTTCTTCACTCCGTTCTGATTTCATGGCTGGATTCTCCTCTTACATCGATTCTCGTCAAAATCTTCAAAGGTAGGTCGACTATTTCCCTCACTAGTGCCTGATTTTTGCTTCGCCAGTTTGGAATCTCGCTGCCTGAGTTTAGGAAATGGTGTGTTGTTATTTTGCTAGAGTTCTTGCGCCCTCCGGCGTGAGAGGTGAGAGTTTGGTGCGGAATCTGTTGCTAGTTCCGGCAATCCAGCAGGAGCTTCAGAGTGTGCTTCTGGAGAAACTTCCTGCGTATTTTGATGAAAATTCGGAACAGTGTGGAACCTCATTGTCCCTGGAAGATGATGTTGCTAGGCTGATCATTAACCAGTTTAGGTGGCTAGATTTCCTTGTTGATCCCAAGGGATTCACCGAGAAGCTCATGGAAGTCCTGTCGATTTCTCCCTTGCGTTTGAAGAAAGAAATCATTGGATCACTGCCTGAGATTATAGGTGATCAGAACAACGAGTTGATGGTCGATTCCCTCGAGCAATTGCTTCGTGAGGATTCTGGTATCACTGTTCCTGTGCTTGATGCTTATTCCAATCTTACTTTGGATGATATGTTGCAAGACCAGGTTTCCCTCTCTGTCTCTTGTTTTCTCTTCACCTTGAGATGTCACTATGAAGAACTGTCAATGGTCTCTCTAAACAGTCGGTTTCAGTCCTTTAGGAGTTAGGACTGTCCTTATCAGCCCCTTCGTTTACGAACATGATTTACTTGGCCATTGTTCCCTAGAATATGGGGATAAGTGTAGGAGCACTGTTAATAGTACTGAATTATGAAATGCATTTGTTGGAAGCTTATAGAGAAACAATGCTCCATGTTTGCTCTCTAATGACTTAATCAATTTGTGTTCTCCATTTTGAAGGTGATCACTACTGCACTGTCATGCATTAGGACGATTGAAGGGGAGCAGATGCCATATTTGCTCAGATTTTTACTGCTCTCAGCAACACCAGTAAACGTCCGTAGAATAATTCAGCAGATCCGTGAACAACTGAAATTTGTAGGATTATCGAGTTCCCTTGCAAGTCAGCAAAGTAAGCTCAAAGGAAAATTTGTTGTGGATAACACAGAGGGTTCTATTTTGGAGGCACTTGGATCAAGTCTGCTATTTAAAAATGTAAGTTTTTGCTGGCCTTTTCTGGTTTAAAAGCTGCAGTTCTCGTCTTACGATGTCTGATTCTGTATGTAGATGCTATGTCAAGAGATTTTGAAAGAACTGTATAGCCTTCGGACGCCAGAAGATTTCAAAGTCATAGACATATGGCTCCTTGTGCTTATATACAAAAGTGGGGAGTCCATGCAGAAAAGTGTTGAAAAGATTTTAAAGAAAAAGATTGTTGATAATTGTATGTCGGAAGTTCCAATTGACCAATGTATCTGCCAGAACAAAGGCTTGGTGAAGGTATGTTTCCTTGTCACAGGATTGGATAGAATTTGTAAAGAACTTCAATCAATATATAGTTATATGGTTCGCTGGCAAATTATGAAGGTCATCTTGACCTTTCTCTTCAGGATTACTTCTCTTCATTTATTTCACTGGCGGAGTACTTATTGGCTTCTAAAGAAACAAAAGCAAGAGACTTTGGCAAGCATATCTATACCCGACTATTTGAAGAGCTAGATGATAATTATTGCAGACAGGAAGTAAGTAGCTTGATGGACCTCAATTTATTCACCATAGGGTACTGCTTGACTCAACTGAGGAAACATTCTCTCTCTCTCTCTCTCTCTCTCTCTCTCTCTCTCTCTCGCAGGTCCTTGGTGTACTTGTAACGCACGTTGGATCAGGCGTCAGTTTCGAAGTCACTTCCGCTTTAGAGGTTTTGAGCGTGCTAGCCTTCAAATACACTAGAGATTTTATTCCACATTCTTCTTTCCTAAATGGTATTAGCTTGTTTTGATTGCGTATGAGGTGTGAATTTTATAGTAACTTTTCTTATGTCTGTTTCAATTCTTAATCTCTCTGTTTTCTTCATCTTCATATTTTTTTGGTCAGGCATCTTGGATTACCTGGAGGGATTTGGCACTGAAAATCTTCACAAGGTTACTACGATTCCTAATGCTTGTTTCGCCTTTGGGTCTAGTTGAATTCCTTTCAGTACTTGCTAATTTTGTAGAATGCAGGTTTATGAAGTGTTTGGTCAATTGGCATTGTCTACCCAATCTGATGGTTCCTGTCATGGATCTTCCATCGCTCATGAACTTTTCATGATAGTACGGAAACAGGTATCTATAGGGTGTAAGATGTTTACTAATGTACCTCTTACATGTCTTCATGAGCTTATTTAACTTAGATTGTTTACTTTATGTTGTTTCTCATGACTTTGTTTGTACAGATAAGCCATCCAAATATGAAGTACAAGAAGATGGGTCTGATAGGAGTTCTGAAAATGATCTCATGCTTGGGAGAAGAAAACGCCTTCAGCCTTACAGCCTCTGCTGGGGTATGTTTTGACCCAATACCATCACATTACACACTGGAGTAAACTGACTGTTCTTGTTTTAATTCTGAAACTCGACGCGCTGGAGATCTGCCAAAGTACAACTCTTAATTCAAGGAATTTCAGTGTTAAGTTTACACTCATAGTCACTCCGTTTTAACAGAAATCAGACTCCACAGAGATTTTGGAACTCTTAAGAGCCTCATTGGACTCTTGCAAAAGTGTGCCCTTGCTTTTAGTCCTCTTTTACGATGAACTGACTGCAATGCTGGAGTCTAAAAAACTTCATCCAGGAATTATGGACTGGTAAGTATATGAAATAAGATTTCAATGAAAATTAATGAATCAACACATTGTTCACTGAAATTCTGCTGTGTTGTGTAGGATAGGGAAACAACTCGTGGAGTTTGAATCAACATTTCTGGCTGATCTGGATGGTGGTCAGTTGCCTGCAGTGGAAACGTATTGTGGTTTAGAAGGTTGAAGAGTTTATATTACAGATTAAAGAATGCTTTTTGTTAAATTGCTTGAGTTATATCAGGTCTGATCTTGTCGTTTTCTTTTTTGCAGGAGAGCTATGGATGAATCTTGATGGTGATGCATCTCCTGTTTGTCTGAGCATTTTGCCATTAGTTTCTTCTTCTGCAGAGTTAGTGTTCTAGCCAATATCTTGTCAGTGTAGTATCCTGTTTGTAACTTCACAATCATTGAATTTGTAATTTGGATGTGCGCAGTTCTACCTCCTCGCTGCAGATTCTTCCTGCTAACTTTCTCCTACTATCAGCTGTGAGTTCTCTCTCTATACTGTGAAAAGTACTAACGGTATGTCATAACTTATGTATTCTTTTTTTTTTTTACCGTGTTTATCAGTTTGAAAGGCTGACAAGTCAAGGATCACTTTCTGGAATTGATGCTCTACTTGGCTGTCCCTTGCATCTCCCATGCTTCAGTGTGAGCTGGAAATCTTGCAATATACTTTATTCTGTCAAATGTCAATGCAAAAGGAACAGGAGTGTTTGATTATCATTCAAGTTAATGCTCTTATATTTTGTCAATTTGTCTTGTGCGATACCAGTACTTTACTGCAGCTAGTTGGCAGTCTCTGTCAGTGAAGCAGAAGCAGACTTTGTGCCTTTCTCTTTATTATGCAGCTAATTGGATAAGAGAGTTGGTAACTTTCTTACCTACCATTAATGTTTAAATCTAAGCTGCATGTTTTGAGGCTGAATTTATATTTGATGAATGCCCATGGTTCTGTTAGCTGAACGCCTTCTGCACACAAGTAGCTGGGCAAGATGAATGCACCAGCCAGGCCGTGAAGGAGGAGATCGTTGTCAAACTGTCAAAGCGATTGAGGAACCTTATGTAAGTTTGACCTTCCACCACCAAGATGCAAATTGTTTTATCTATTTGAGAGGAAAGGGTCTTCCATTAGCAGGGAAATAAGAAACAAAATATCAGTCAATGTTATAGCATAAGTTTATCCATGTTGAATCTAGACCTTGGTTTATTTACCTGCCTGATCCAGTTAGCTAAAACTTTCCTAAGTTGGTTGTTTTCGCAACTAAGCTTGCATTTCAAATTGTCATGCGTTTCCTTTTCTTTTAATAATGATGCCAATAAGAGAGTTTTGCTGAGTGTAAACTTGATTTGTTTTGTTGATGCCTTGAAGTGTGTTTGTTGTTTTTGTATTTCATGTTTGGTAATGTTCTTCAGTTCCCTGTGAAAGGTCGTTATGGATTACATGGTTTGATCCTTTGAATTGATGACTTTGATATCTTACTATTGATTGGAATTCTAAACACGCAGATGCCTGGAGAGTTTATTAAACCGTTCCATGAAGCAACATAATTTGTCTCTACCTGAGATACATTGTCATGCAGAAGAACCTGGAGTTCTAAACCAATCAAAGAACACAGTACAGAAGAGGAACAAGCAGAATGAAGTACATTGCAGTGTCTCCCCAAAAAACAAAAAACATAAGAGAATGTCTAAAGACTCGACTAGTTCAGATATAAATGGAAAACTTCGCCAGCAAACATTATTTGATGTCCTTAAAAAGGCTGGATCCACAGCAACCCAGGAAGCGACGGATGCAGATGCTTCAACTCCTTGTTCTAAGAGTCCAACGGTTAACTCAGCTGGTGAGGAATCCCGGACCTCTAAGGAGCCTGTAATTGCAGAATTTTCTGCAGCTGCTAAGGGTCTGGTATTGCATAGATACAAATTCAGGCCTCTTCTAGTCCAGTGTTTGTCCCTACTAACTTTCTCAAAGGTGAGATGAATTATTTTGCGTGACTCGTCGTTCATTTTACACAAACTGCCACCTGCCAACTACCAGAATGCGGGAGCACATCCCGTGGCCTCTTCATTGTATCTATTTCCTAAGCTTGCTATCCATTCCTGTTGTGACCATAATCTGACATTATTTTTATACTTTGTTATTACTCTTGCTTCTATTGCAGAATCAGGAATCCTGTTGTTCAGATCCTTCAGCCGAGGTAAGAATCTTGTTTTGTAATGAACGAGCTCATGCTTAATTAACTAACATGCTATTGGTCTACCAGTTGCCCTTGTACCTATACCTTCTCCAAGATCTTCACAGCAAGCTGGATTACTTCATTCCTCCTAAACAATCATTTCCCCCAAGGTGCTCGAGATCCTCAGCTAGTTTCTCCAGGATGACACTCCGAGAATTCCTGAATAGCATTAGGCCTCTCTTTCCATTTGTTAAGAGTCATTTTGATACAGCAGTCTCTGTTCTCAAAGAAGGTAACTATATGCCTACTTTTTCAATACGTTCCCAGAGAATAAATTTTCATGTAGAGAATGACCATCGAAGAACAATTGGGGTACTTATTAGGGGATGAAACTTGCAAAGAGCATTGGGACGTTCATTCTGCTTCGGCTGGCAATCCTGAGGCGGCCAGTGTCATACCTTCAAAGTATTCAGTTTCCACTTCAGTATCCAAGGAAGTCCTCAAATGTTTTAGTAAGGTAGACCTTACTACCATCCATAGCTACAATAATCTACCACTTCTTTTGTACTCTAGTCTTCATGGTTATGACTGAGAGCATTGCTGATTCCAATTATGATGTCTTCTTGCTCTGTACTTATGTCCTTCATCACAGATGATAAACCTTCCTGATATTCAAATGGATAAGTCAATTCTCTCGGATCTACTTCAAGCCTTTCAGCCTGACAATATACCCTCAAGTGTTTCTTCTGGAATACAACCTATCCCTTCACCGGGGACGACAGAGTATTTGTATCTTGGGGCCTTTTCATTTGTAGAAAATGTGATGGATATAGGTAAGCAATTTATTTGATGTAAAATATTCCCCTTTTCTGGTTGGTCAATGGTCTTTCACAGAATGTAACCTGTTTTCTGCAGCTTGCTCATGCTCCTTCACACTAGCTTCAGAGTCACTCTTCACTCTAGAATCGATAACCGCTTCTATCAAGGCATTGCTTGAAAGATGGGAGAAGAATGGTGAAAAGAGTCAACTAACGTCAATGACCAGGCTCCTCAACGTATTGCATCAAAGAGCCAGTACTTTGGCTTGTAAGCTCCTACGACAGGAATGGGATAATGGAAGTCTCGAGAATGGCTGGAAGGACAAAGTATGGGCGCTTGTATTACCTGCTGGTTGTTGTTGCCCTTATGTGTACTTCCCCCTTGAAACAGATTAATAACATTTATATCTTGTTGATTTCAACCTTCTCTTTCATCAGGGAGAAATAGTGCAGCGGATGTTGCAGATATACTTGGACAATAGTGACTCTAAAGCTAATTTGCTGGATGAGCTTGCCTGCTCTGTTTTGCCTCAGGTATTCCTTCACACTTAGCGAAGAGATTTTTATTTCATAGCTTTCTGGAAGACTTCTACATCAGCTTTGTTTTTCTGATACAGTTTTCTTCACCAAGTGAAGATGATGAGGATCATGGTTTTCCATCTCTGTGCAATGCGACATTCCTTGTGTGGTACCGTGTCCTGGTACACTAACGTCTACCTTCCACCTGTTTCATTTTCCTTTTGGGTAATTGAAGTTATGCATCTGTATTTCTCACTAACTTTAACTCTATTATGTCTTCAGCATGAAGCAAACATCACGATCCTAAACCAAAAGGTCAGCCTACCAGATTGTTAAAGTTCAAGCCATTGTATCAATTTCATCAGAAACAGTTAATCTAACTGTAGGTTCCCAAATTATGTGGGTGCGTGTTATTAGGTTCCCAAAGTCTCTAAAGCTGGAGGAGCTGCTGCTGCTGCTCAGTCTGAAATTGTCGAAAAGCGTTTGATCGATTTACGAAAATCAGTAAATGTACTGGTCTCCTTGGTTAACTTGTGCCGGTTGCATGATAAGGTGACACAAACTTGACTGCAATTGTGGCTCTCCCAAACGTCTTTAACTTGGGATACTTTGTCCAGTTTAAAAGGATACCTTGGTCTTGTCAATTCATGCAACAGGTAAACATGCATTCTATGGCTGTAAAATATGGCGGGAAGTTTGTCGATTCCTTCCTCAAAGGTAACAAATTATGACTTTTTTTTCCTGAATTCCACTAACCTTAAACTGCTGTTGCTTTGACTCCTGACATTTGGACCTTGGTCTACAGCTTTCGACTACTTAGAGGCCCATTTTCAAACACACAATGACCTCATAATCAAACTGGTAAAGCTTTCTCTTATTGCTTACCATCATTACTGTGGAAAAAATCCCAGAATATACCAATTATTAAAAAAAATTACCAAAATACAGTACTTATAAAACTAATTCCCAAAATACAGCAGTTTCAACATCACTGTCTTTGTCTAAGACAGTGATGTTGATCACCGTTTTGGTCTAAAACGATGATACATCACCGCTTTAGACTAAAGCAGTGATGTTATCACCGCTTTAAACCAAAGCAGTGATGCCATCATCGCTGTCAAGGACGACAGTGATGGCATCACCGTTGATGTGGCAGGCAGTGAAGCCTTCACCGTTGGATCCAACAGCGGTGAAGGGGCGCGGATCGCTGACGTGGACGCGCGCGGGCACTTCACCGCTGAAGACCAAAGCGGTGATAGCCCCGCTTTCCACGTCAGCGATCCGCCCCCCACCCCGCGCCTTCACCGCTGCCGTCGGATGCAGTTATGCGCGGATTGTGGTTTTTCTCCACAATCCGACGCATCAGGAGAGGCCACGTCAGCGATCTCTGCACATCACCGCGTCCAACAAAGGCGGTGATGGCGCTGTGTTTGTTTGGGGCGGTGATAACTGGCCAGGTTTTTTCCCAGCCCCAAACCCTATAAATTACCCATCCCCCCTCTCATTCCAAACCACACCACCACTTCATACTTCTTTCTCCCTCCATTTTTCACTCTAGTTTCGTTCTAAGTATGCTCTGTGGTTGCGGCTAAGTCCGATCTTCCGCATCAGAAAGAATTACTAGAGTTTTTGTTTTGTTGTTTTGTCGATACTCTCGCTAGCTTTTCGGCAAAAAATGGACGAAGAGGCTTTGAGAGTACGTAAATTTATTTAATTCTTTTGTGCATTTTTTTTTACATGGGTGCTAAAATTTAAATTGATTTGATTTCATATTTTTTTATAGATGGGTGCTGAGATATACGACCCTAGATTGTATATCGATCCTGGCCCAAGGGATCGAAGGTATTTAACCGGGCAAGATCAACATCGCTCTCGTTCAATTTGGAACAATAATCCGGTAGATACACTACAATTATTTCAATAGTTTTAAAGTTTTTATTTTGCTTTCTAAGTTTTTATTTTGCTTTCTATTGACTGACAATATTGTGTTTTTTGTTTTGTAGGAATCACTTATTCCCATCAGTCATCGAGGTACATGTCGATTGCCCCGTTGGCATCCTCGACTGCATCCCTATCTAGAGAGGGCGGGATTGCACAATTTGAGGCACTTTATGAGGCTAGATATTGACAACGATCTGCTGACGGCAATGACAGAGCGATGGCGCCCTGAGCTGCATACCTTCCACTTTCCCGAGGGTGAAATGACGATCACCCTCAAAGATGTTGCCATCCTCACCGGGCTCCCGATCACCGGAGATGCCATCATCGACAGCTCGAGAAAACCAGAAGATGGTTGGGGGCCATTGATTCAGGAACGTCTGGGGTTCAACATGCCGACCACCACGCCCGTCGAAGGGGTTGGGCATCCACCACTGAATGCGGGGCAAGTATCGATCCCGTGGCTTGTTGACCACATCCAATTGGAGGTTAATATAGGCCTGGATACTCCTGAAGATCAGGTGGAGCGGTATGCACGTGTATACCTAATTGCCTTGGTTGGTGGGTTTCTGTTCCCCGACAAGTCAAATAAGTGGATACAAGGCATGTGGTTCCCTATGCTCCTCGGTGACTGGGACGAGATCGGGAGAAAAAGTTGGGGGTCGGCCGTCTTGGCTGGAATCTACCGAGAGTTGTGTACTTGCTCGAGGTTGGGAGCGAAACAAGCTGGTGGTGCGATGTTCATACTTCAACTCTGGGCATGGGAGCATCTTCCGTTTCTCGCACCTCAAGACCCTCGGGAATTCTGGTTGCCAGATGATGAGCTACGATTTGTAGCAAATCCCCCATATGGTTTCAAGTAAGTTCAATTTAAGTTGAATTTATTTTAGATATGCAATGGTAGCTAGTTAGGTGAATTTAGATTTTAGTGAACTTAGTGAACTTAGTATGCAATTTTAAGTATGCAATTATAGTATTTTAGTGAACTTAGCTATCTTCCAACTAAGCGAATTTAGAGACATTTTAGGTCTGCAATTCTAGTATTTTAGTGAATTTAGATATCTTCCAAGTAAGTGAATTTGGATTTATTCTAACCAAATCGTATTTAGCTAATTTAAAAATTGCTTATATATGTACTTTTGCTTAATTAGGTGGATCGGAGCAAATACTAACGACCACCAGGCCGAGCACTCTTTACTGTTTTATCGTGCTGAATTTGATAAGCCTTGGTGGAACCAGGTAAAAATATTGAATGTCATGATTTTAAATTTATTAGGTGGAGTGGATATAATTTTTACTAATTACGTGAATTGTAATGATTGTAGGCGGTATGGGATCCATATCCAAATGAAGTGGTTGAGTTGCATCGTCTTAGACATCCCGAGGATCAAGAGACATGGTTGTGCAAGGTGCCCTTAATCTGCTGGCACATGGTGGAGTGGCACCTGCCCGATCGATCTTTGAGGCAATATCGATTGGAGCAACCAATTCCAGCATCCCCACCTCAAGGGTTCAGGGAGCTCCACGCCATTGACCTACGCTACAACAAAAAGGATTGGACCCGCAAACATGAATTCTACATCAACATATGGGAGAATAGAAATCAGTGGGTGGTCCAAGGGGCGCCGGAGACAAGGCCAATGGGGTACCACGATGGCTACATGCGGTGGTATCGGCACTTCACGCTAAGATGGGTGTCAAAGCAAGGTGCTGTTTGGGGCGCAGTGGTAAGTGAATTCCATTTTGGCCTATTTTAGTTAATTTTTGTAGTATAATTACATGCCTATATTTGCTAGAATGTTAATTAACATTATTAGATTTAATGTTAGTTAATTTTTGTAGTATAATTACATGCCTATATTTGCTAGAATGTTAATTAACATTATTAGAGTTAATTTTAGTTAATTTTTGTAGTATGATTACATGCCTATATTAGATGATAGAAATCATTATTAGATTTACTATTAGTTAATTTTGTAAAACAATTTATTAGGTTGACGGTTTGGAGCATGCGAAGCACACCGTCGAGAGTGCACCCACCATGGATGAGCGGAAGACATCTTTTTTGCGCAGGCTTTTCAACAACTTGCTCTGTTGTACCAGAGAGCAAAGGAGGGATGTCATATTATACCCTCCAGTGCCTGCTCCGGCCCGACCTTCATTCCGTGCTGATGAGAGGATTGTGCCCCCAGAAGAGCCCCCACGGAGGAGCAGAAGAAGGGTGAGAGAACACATTGATGAGCTTCGTCCGTCTCAGCAAACTCAACTTCCTCAACCATGGCCACATTGTGAGTGGGCTACTAGTACTGAGGGAACCGGAGGGTCGTCAAGCTATGCCCCGACGATGGAGCATGACATGTTCACCCAAGCCACCCCTCAGTTCCACCATCAGCAACAAACTACTCAGTATCAGACCCCGCAACAGCAACATACATCATCGACTTTCTACCACACTTCTGGTCCAACTCAGCAACCTCCACCCCCACCACCTGTCTACACTCCGGTGGGTGGTCGGGTTAAGAGGAATCCGCGCGCAGTTGTCCAGCGGGCTCGTGAAGAAGGAGGAGGAGGTAGAGAGGGCGGAAGAAGGGGCCGAGGAGGTCGTGGAGGAAGAGGAAGAGGAAGAGAAGGGGAAGTGGAGGGAAATGAAGACAACCAGTGAACTATCTATGTCGTTCTAATTTAGTTCCATCTTTTTTTGTTTTCCATGAACTATCCATGTCGTCTAAATTTGGTTTGGGGCTTGTGTTGTTTTCCATGAACTATCTATGTTTCTAAATTTGGTTTCGGATTGTGTTGTTTTCCATTAACTATCTGTCGGCTAAATTTTGTTGGTTTTTACCCCCATGTTGTACCAAAATGAACAACAAACGCCCTTTATTACAATCACTCAACAAGATTAAAACAAGAAGTCCAAATTAAACATCACAACAACGAAAACTACTCAACAAGATTAAAACAAGGAAGTGAACAACAACAACATCAAGGTAGGTTCGGAATTGGCGCCGAATCTTGCTCTAGAGGTGGACCTGGGCAACGCCTCTTGTCATGACCCGGTTGTCTGCACTTTGAGCAACGCTTTGGACCCCGTCGGGCACGTTGTGATTGGTCCATTTCATTGTGAATCCTTTCGGTCCTAGGACGACCTTTGGTGCGCTTTAAGTGTAACGGTGGGATAATCAACTTCCCATTGTCTACAGGCCAATAAGCTTCATCCGGCAGGGGGCTAAAACTTGACGAGTAGGAGTTCCTGATCGCCTGTTCCGTGTAGTAAGGACTAACCAAACTGTAAGCGCTGAGGGTTATCGACTTAGCTACTGCCATTGCATGTGAACAAGGTACTCTTCTGTTTTGATACTTTTGGCATGTACACTCTCCGGTGCGAGTTTCTACGTGTAGAGTTACGGATTGACGATTATGCCCACGTCTTCCTCCACCCCAGATACCTGTTTGCACAGCAAAAATACCCTCATTGCGGTTGAACAGAACAACTCTGTGCTTACTTGATTTCTCTTCGATCTTCTGCATGCCGTCAAATATATGCTTAGCTATTGAATGACCAGCACGCTCCCTCCCTATAGCAGCATCCCGTCTCTTCACAAACCACTCGTTTACCTTCCAGTATGTCATCTCCACTAGGACAGATACAGGCATTGCCCTAATGCCCTTGTAGACTCCATTTATGCTCTCCCCATGGTTGGTAGTTGCAATTCCGAATCTAGCCCCGTTGTCCATGTGAAATGTCCACATGTGCAGATCTTGACCTTCTGCCCATACTGCTCCCGCCCGGTGTATTTGACGGATCGTCTTCATCTTCTGCTCGTACTTTTTTGGTTGATGTGCAACCGCTACAAGACCGGAGAATTAATAATTAATCCATAAGAATTGTCATTTGAACAATAAACCTTGAACAAGCACTGAATTACATTATTACCTGCACTCCATAATTGATCTCTGATGTCTTTCTTCTTGCCAAATTTGTGTTGGAAATTGGCTAGGAAGTGACGAATACACCAACGCCATGTCCATCCCCATTCGTCCGGGAAACCACGGACGGCGTGTTTAATCCCGGCATGTCGATCCGATATAATTGTAATACCCATTCTTTGTGTGACGTGGGCGTGTAGCTGGTCAAAGAACCATGCCCAACTTAGGTTGTTCTCCCCTTCAACTAATGCAAATGCTAAGGGAAAAATACTTAAATTTCCATCAACCCCAGTGGCAATAAGAAGAGTTCCTTTATACTTCCCAGTAAGGAAAGTTCCATCAACCTGTTAAAATGAATACTGAGTTAGTAAAAATTGAAATTAGTAAAGTAATGAAGTAGTACAATATTTTGAGTCCGTAATATACCTGAATCACTGGCATGCAGAAGGGAAACCCGTCAATGCATGGCTTGAATGTCCAGAACAGACGATGAAACATCAACTCGTTCTGTACTCGAACTTGATCTTCAGTTTCTACGTTGTTGTACCAAGGCACGGAAACCGTCCCAGGGTTGGACTCCTCCATTGCGGACATTAGTCTGGGGAGTAAAGCATACGAGTCATCCCAATCACCGTAGACATCAGCCATGGCCTTCTGCTTCCCATGCCACGCCTTCTTATACCTTATGGTGTAGGAGTGTCGATCCTTCACCTCCGCCATGATAGCTTTTATCTTGATATCTGGTTGTGCCTCGATAAGGTGCTTAATGGTTCTTGCCACTTTTTTTGCTTTCAGTTGCCGGTGATCCTGTGAAAGTATGGTTGAGGAGCAACTGTGGTTGTTCTCTGCTGTCCGCATGACCCAGACCCCCTTTCTCTTCATATATGCAGCACGAAGTTGCCACATACAACCCTCTCCAGCATTCTTACAAATGACATGCAGTTGTCCCTTGTCAGAATATTTTACCTTCCATTCGAAATTACGCCGCATGGCTTCTTCGCTAAAAGCGTCTTGCACATCGGCTTTTGAAGTGAACGCCATACCCACTTCCAAATTAGCAGTCGGATTATACACAGGCATGGGCCGATAGTCAGGGGCATCGTTCTGACCATATAAAAATTGATCAGGAACCTCTGTGTAGTAAGGCGTTGGTGCCTGGCGGAACGCCACCTCACTGTCATCGATATCGTCGTTATCGTCCGCATCTTCCTCCTCACTGACTGATCTCAAATCTTCCTCACTTTCATCGTCACTGGAGGCGAATGGATAGCTCGGCGAAGGAGGGTCATCTTTAGCAGCATAACCAGCATCGCCTTCTTGGTCATGCGAAGTACGCCCAGTTCGAAGGGTGTTTTCAATGTCACCCCACTCTGGACCCCAAGCAGGCCATTGATCACCGTCGGGCTGAACGATATCGACGGCAGTCTCACCACCATGTGGCAGGTATTCTTCCCACCCAACAGCTCCTTCAGAACTACCTCCTCCGTAGTTGCTTGAAGTACCTCCCCAACCATACCCTCCGGCAGAAGAACCTGCTCCGTAGTTACTTGAACTACCACCCCAGCCATACCCTCCTGCAAAACCATCATCATAAGAATACTGGTGAGAATGAGTTTCACTGACCGGCTCGGTCTCGACATACACCTCTGCAAGCCGCACCCCGTTCTCAGATATGAACTGTGTCATCATGTTCGCGTCGTCATCGTCATTTATGTCAACTCTTTCGTACATGACTCCGTCAGCACTCATGTTGGGATACCGGTAAGTAATTTGACGAACTCTCATTTGCCCGCCCGTACAAGTCCTTTCTGCACACCTGTCATGGAGTTCTTGCCACGAGAATCTCGACTCAATTGTAAGCGAACTGGATTCGCCATCTTCATAGTCGATCCCAATGTTCGAGTTTGTCACCCGACCATTCCAATAAATAATAAGCCGAAACTTCTTAAATTTACCCATGTCTGCAATTTATAATAATTAAGTATAGTATATAATTAGTACATTATGGATACAAAAACAATATCATCCAAAGCGATAATAAAATGCAACTAATTTATCTATTATGAGAAAACTAAACAAATTCATCTAAATTCATAACTAGCTAACTAACATCTATCATATCATAATTAAACTAAATAATATCATAACATATTTTCCAATAACCGCAATTCACTAAATACAAACAGTATAATTACTAACACATCAACATGTAAAAAATACATACTTATAACATACTCAATCCCGATCTATCATGATAACTAAACAAATTAATCTAAATTCAGTACTAACTAACTAACATATATCATTAATCTAAATATATAATTCTAACATACCTAATTCTAGCACATAATCAAAATGTAAACAATACATAATTCTAACATACCGAATCCCGACGAGTTTCTTGAGCAGTAAACTACGGAGGAACCAGCTGCGAAAACGATAATTTTGGTACTAATTTTCTGTTTGGCAGCAGGAGTGTTTGGCAGCAGGAGGGAAGAGGGGGCGTGGCTTTTTATAGGAAAAATTGGAGGCAATCACCGCTTTGGACAAAGGCGGTGAACCATCATCGCCTTAGTCAACAGCGGTGATGGCTAGGTAGCTGTTACCTACCTGTCCACCTACCAGGGCTGTGTAAAACGTGGGGGCAATCACTGCTGTGGACAACAGCGGTGATGGCTTCACTGTTGATGTCCAAAGCGGGGAACGTATCACCGCTTTTGACCACAGCGATGATGCATTCCCCGCTTTTGTCCAAGGCGGTGATGCGTACCCCGCTGCTTCACTGCTTTGGACAAAAGCGGTGATCAACATCACTGTCTTAGACAAAGACAGTGATGTTGAAACTGCTGTATTTTGGGAATTAGTTTTATAAGTACTGTATTTAGGGAATTTTTTTTAATAACTAGCGTATTCTGGGATTTTTTCCCATTACTGTTAGGTATGCCATTACGTCAACTGTTTTTGAATCTGTTTCATGATCATCACCAGCTAATGGAGTTTCAGAAGGGCACAAGAACAATTCAGACTCTTTGTTCTGAAGCCAAGGTCAGTTGTCTTGACCAAATTGATATATACTTGATACATCTGGAACGGTATTTCCAAAAAGCACCATTTTGATGTTGTTGTCCTGACCGGACAGGGGATGAAGCAAACTGCCGTGGCATCCAAAATTCCTGCCACGAAACGATCGATGGAGCGGTTCTTGTTTCGTGTCAAAGCTCTCCTTCTGACAACGTCAACAGGACGCACTTGCTGGATTGGTACGAAAGGTTTTAGTTGAAGCTGTTTGTTCGTTCCACTCCAGATTGCTGCATAATAAACTTGGGGTTTGGTTTTGTTCTCTCGACAGGGAACCTAAAGCACAAAGACCTGGCAGGGCAGGTGGTGAGCTCGCAGGCGTATGCAGAGCACCAAAGCAATGACGTTGACGACGAAAACGACGATATGGAGATGGATGGCGCTCGTAACGAGGATGAGGAAGTTGTGGCAGCTAGTGAAGAGGAAGAAGTAGGGGAGGCAGAGGTTGAAGAACCTGAAGCACAATGACAAATTGAGAAGAGCAGCTAGTATAAACTTCACAATTGGATTATTAGATCTCAAAAGTGCGTTAAACTAAGGATCCAAAATTTATCCCTCTAAATCAAACTGGATTAACAAAATGGCACTCTGACTAGCTTACATGTTCTTCAAAACTACATCAAATGAATTTCACACGCTCACTCCTGTTTAAGACTGCCGCAGAAGCTCCATCAAATCGGCAGGGTATGAAAGATTTGGCCTGCATAAGTTACATCGTACAACCCAGAAGATAGGCGAAACCATCAAAATCGACCAAATGATTATGCTGTTTAACCAGGCAGGACATACAGAATGGCTACGATACAGATGGTTAATATGTCCTGAATGACTACGGTATGGTTGGCTGCCTCTCGTCTGTAGTAGCTTTCGAACGCTTCCTTGCAGTCCAGAATGCAGCCGAGTAATGGTTCTGTAAGCAAGAACACCATTGTCAAATGAAAAAGGTTCAACATTGTACATCCAATTATCCACCACCTAAAGCAAGAATGATGCTGACTACTGGACAGAATCCAAGAGCCAGCGGCGCTTACTTGCATCATGGATCGAGGATTCGTTGTGTATGTAGTCTCGATTGTCTTCTCCTTCTAAAATTGATTAACAAGCCGATCATCAAAACTCATAAATTCCAATTGGCATTTCGTGGAGAGAGGAATGATCATGCATGTGGGCTTTGGCAGAAACAATAATGTTTTACCTCAAACTCAAACCCGTAGTGTATAGCAATTCTTTTCACGTCCTCCAAGCTCAGTTCAACAGACATTTCCTTTACAGCAAAAATCACAGAACAGAGAGTCAGAATTCACTTTAGGTCGACCAATTCTCAGGATATGTTTTTTCCCCTTAAAGAACAGAGGCAAAGAGAGCTTACATCTTCTTGCCCGTACATATCTGCAAAATGGTACAGAAGCGGACCCAAGTTTATCCAGACCTGTTCATCCATAACAAAACACAACCAGTTGGTACAAGAACTTCATAAAATGGTGAACAAATCAGCTAAAAGAAACCATATTATTGGGGCATACTCCTCCATCTTTTAAAATCTTTGATATGATCTCGATGTACTCTACAATATTGTGCGCGGTATCAATGAAGAAACATGTCACCACAGCATCCCAATATCCTGCACGCATGGCCAGAAATTTGATCTTAGGATTATTCTAACGGGGAAGAATCTCACTGGAGCCCTAATGTATGATGGTGATAACACATGCATTCAAATATCATTCCGCGTGAAAGATTACTGACCATAGTACTTAATTTCCTACCTTCTTGACTTGCATCACTATAGACTTCGACAAAGTCGCCTCCACACATAGAAAATCCTTCAGTAATCCCTGCACTGCTAGCAATGGAAGTTAACAATGATGCCGAAAGAAGGTAATAGTAATGATGAATGTTTAGGATATGGATACCGAGACAACAGTGAAACTGAAATTGAAGTAGGAGCAGAAGAATACCTCGCAGGATGAATATCTGGTATTGGCACAGGACGAAGTTGATCACTATCTGAAAGTGAATTACAGTTACTATGGATCCAAGGATATATTGTCCAGTCCCCAACAGTTTCAGCACTACAAAAGAAAACAAAAAAGATGCCATTACGACAACAGCTTGCAAATGGTTGCATTGTAAGCAAGAGTAGTAAGAGTGTAAGGATATTTCATACTGATTAAGAATGAAACTCGAGCATATCATCATGTAGTAAGAAAATTCATTTCCTTGACTCATAAAACCTGTTCGATGACACGGAAAGAATTAAACGGCCATCACAAAAGTGTCAATTTGGCTGTAAACAAGTGCAAGTGGTGGAGAGATCCCCAACTTTTAATTAAAAGGGATGACAATTCGCATTCCTAATGCTTAACCAAACAATTTATTATATCACTGTGTTTGTACCCAAGCGTGAAATCTCCAATGCTAGTCGGCCAAGTCCAGCACCAGGAACTAAACAAGCAGGAGCCCTGCAAAAAAAAAAAAAAAATGCTAAGCAAGGCTAGATGACAGTAAATGCAATACACTATACATAATAAACCATACAAGAATTGAAGGGATAAACACTACCTCTCCTTAGAACGCTTGGGAAATTGAGAATCTAGTTCTTCAAGAATAGGTTTATAGCATTCATCACGTTCTTTTTGTCCCTACAAATAAGACGAACACCATGATTAATCCCCCATGGAAATGAGGAACAAACTCAAAGCAGACGATTATTACCTCTGCAGCCCAGTCTCTAACTATATTCCTTACGATACAACGGACCTACGAAAGTTGAGAGCAGAGGTCTGATTAGAACTTCATAATCTTAAGACAGCAGGCATAAAAATCATATGTAATGCCACATGTACTTGATCTTGTTAGAATGAGCACATGTAGCCAACACTACAAACTACTATGCCATTGTTATGCCTTTGATCTTTTTCAATTATGAATTCATTTTCCTTAAGCTTCAAACTCATGGTTATGGCTTTAAACCACATAAAAGAATGGTTGTTCATCACCAATGCAGAGTGGTACATCAAACTAGAGAGAAACGATAACTTCTATGCCAAGATACACAAAAGAACCAACAGACAGCATAACAGTTTGAATCTTACCTTATCAACATCAACAAGGGGAACATGCAACTGAATTGATGGATCCAACCAATCATTGGGAGCGCCGACCTAAATTGAGGAGACAATAAACGTTACTTACCAGAAAACCAGGACTTTTCCAACTCTACAATGTTCATGAATTCTAGAAACTTTGTGCTGTCAATTCATCATAGCAATGATTAAAATCCAACTCTTTGTAGACAAATTGTGAAGGATAACCAACTATCAGGATCACTGTACATTCACTAACTTTCTAACTGTAATATTTAACGTGAAATACTCGGATCAGTAATATAATAAATGCTAATTGACATTACATCGCCATTGCATTCGGAGGCATCAGGTCCCTGTTGTAATGTTGCTCTGTCATTTCCACCACTCCGGCCACTGTCCACAGGACAGTCATCGGAACCTTCAATTGTGGTTTCCTGGGTCTATTGAAAAGGGTTGAACTTTAGAACAGACAAGAGAGCAGAATCCAATGCAAGTTGTAATTGAAACAAGAAATCATGTAAATACCTCACTAATAGGCTCTCCAGTTGACATCTTATGCATATGGCTCCCTTCTCCATGGCATGCCTCTTCAGGCCTGGAACAACAGTTAGCTCCACTACCTGGAGCAGGCGAACAGCAAGAATTCCTCTGTTCTGATAAACAATGATTTCCGGATGAGTGCTCGTGATGCAAGTCATCACAACAATCCATGTCTTGGCTCATATCTAGAGGCGGCTCAAAAGCCTGCCAAAGAGTGTCCATAACCACTATATTATGATTTGCAACTAATTATCGAAGGCCAACGATGGAATGGGCATGCACTTGAATATGAGTAGCGATTAAGAAACATTGGCAGGAAAGAAAAGACAAACTTACCTGAAGCATGTTGAATATGAAATAAGAATTCGTCGCAATACAGCTGCAGATTTCAAAGTATGATTAGCAAGTCACATCTGGAGGAATAAGTCTTTTGAGCTTCTGGAATGATTAACCATAGATAGAAGCTGAGAAGACCACCATTGTTTAGCAACACTTGTACCGATGCACTTGGAAGAAAGGAAAAAAGGAAGAGCAAGCGAAGATCGATTTACCAACGTAGTTTCTGAAACTTCATAGGGTAGTGAGCCAGCAAAGCCTGAAGAAGCACATTCAGAAAATGAACTTCGATTTTACGCTAGATGATTAATCATTTCACACCAGAAAGAAAGAATAAGCACAGTACTAGATGCTTGTAGCAAGATAGAACAGTTCAGTACAGCAGTTATGGATACCTTGTGTGCAGGTGAAAGCTTTCTGAAAGATCTTTCGTACCTTCGGACATCTTCTTCTGCTGCTTCAGGATAGCTGCATAAGAAGAGGTTATGAACAGACGCCACCATTGCAGATACATAGGAAAATAGTCCATTTCTAGCGAAGACGCCATCTCTCAAGTTTCAATACAAGAAGAAGGAAAGAGCTACACGGTGCAATCTTCACTCGATTAACTAATCAGAGCTCAAAATCAATCCGAATTCGGTTCCGGAAACAAATACGCAATCCACAAAGAGGAGAACGAAGCGAAGAAACTGATTGCAATTAGCTCCACAAAATCTCCATCGGCTGAGTGATCGCACGAAATGCTTTCACGCTTCAACGGCGAATGATACAGATTGTGCAGCCGCGAAAGGAAAAAAAGAAAGAAGCGAAGATAGCGAATGTGCGAGAGAGAGAGAGTACTTGAGGTAGGCGCTGATGATACGGCGGAGAGACTGGACCTCGAGAGCCTCTTCCAGCGTCCTTTGACGGCGGCGCTCCTCGTCCTCCACCGCTACGGCTCCTCCTACCTCCGACATGTTCTCACCGGTTCAAAGTCGCCGTCGTCGTCTGACTCGCCTCTCTAACTCTCTGCCTCTGCCGCCGTCTATGCAGCTGCTGAGACTGAGATAGCTGCTGCAGGCAGTGTGCCTCCGAGCCGCGGGTCTTGGTCTAACTATTCTGGTCAATTATGTATGTGATGCCCAAACTTTTTTCCACTAGCAAACTAATCACTGAACTTCGGTTATTGATAGATTTGTGACTTGAATGGAAGCATGAAGCAGAAGGTGTTCGATGAAGACGAAGAAAGGCTCCGGCGGAGCCTTGATTTCAACGAGAACGGCCTGATTCGTTGCCGGAGCTGCTCCGATTGATGGGGTTTTCCCCCTTTCCACTTTGTTGTCAAAGCTGTCTGTGTTTGTTGGTTCCATTTCCAGCCATTGAAGCCAATTAGGTTGATCGCTCGTTTCTCACTGGCTTGCGATCAGAGCAGCAATTTTCATGGAGTTGCTTGCTCTCAAGTGGTTTAAGTAAGGAACTGAGCTGCGACGGAGCACTGATCCTTTGTTGACCTGGTGGCGGGAAGGCGAGGCACGGAGCTAGCTATCGTTGCAGCTGGTTCTCGCCGCCATGGTTCGAGGATTGGTAGCAGCAGCAGCAGCAGCAGAGAAACCAACAGAAACCAAAACAGTCGTTTGCTGTCATACTTGGGTAATGGTATTCCAGAGAGTATTATCCAATCCAAGTATGCAACTGCGACACACTAAATAAAGGTATTCCAAAATACCTTTCTTTTTGACATTTTCATCATCCATTTCTTTATCAATATAAAATGAAGAACATCGCCATATCCAGCAAAGCACTCAGCTTTTGGTTGGAAGGGATTTGCTTCCATTTACAGACATGGATGCAAATTAGGCCAAGCTCTGTATGTGTTACTTGACTTTCGAATGGGCAATTGAGTGGCAATGGAGCACTGATCCTTCAGTGACCTGTTGGCGAGAAAGCTAGGTGCAAATGTTATTGTGCCGCTGGATCCGCCACCCTGGTTCGAGGATTGGTAGAGGAAGAAACAGAGAAGAAGAAGAAGAAAGTAAAAAAAATAGTTGTCTGCTGCATACTTGGTCAATGTTCAAGTATGCAAATGCAACAAACCAAATAAAGGTATTCTAAAATACCTTCCTTTTTATTTATACAAAATATACTTAAGATCATATAATCAATATTAGTGATACGGACACGGTAGACTAAATTCTCGATTTAATCTTTTGTGCTTGTTACTATCACTCTTAATCATCAACAAATATTTATAACTAGCTGCACATTGAATATAATTTTTGTTTCTTCTGGTAGCACTAGCAACTATGGTATTGGCCACTCAACTATAATACTAGCGACAAATTGGGAAATGCATTCCTTTTCTTTGATAAAAGTAAAACACACTTAAGTGTGAAAGCACTCTGACATTTAAGATTTTTGGACAAGTGACGCAAAAAATCAAGAAATAGAAAAGAGGAATATGTAGCCGATTCAAATTGTGTATTATACTTTTTTTATGAGTGCAAATAAGGTGTCAAATACGCGACAACGAAGAGATTCTCTAGACTTGAGAAATCATATTTTGTGATCGTGGTTGTTGCCTGTGCAGATTTTCAATCCCTTATCTAAAATTCTCAAAACCATTTATATGATTATGACAATATAGAACACTGATCATCATTTTTTGTGTAGCACACTTTTAACCTCGTATTTGTACATCAATCTTAATTCTTAAGGTATTGTACAAGTATTTTATGTCGTAAATTGTACAAACTAAACGTGTTTTGTTTTTATAAATTTTGATACGGACCAACAGCCTGCTACGAAGATCCAGGCATATGCATTGATCTCCTTGGAGCAGCTGGGCCGTTGAAAATAAAGACTTTGGATGTCCTTGGGCCTCAGTGGGTTAACTGGATCGTCATTTGGGCCTGGTTAGCAAGTCTTCACACACTCGTATAAAAATTAAAAATCCCCTCGCAGTCACGTACTGGCGCACTGAACCGAGTCTGAAACAGCAACTGAGAAGAGGGGAAGGAGTCAGAGAGGGAAAGAGGGAAACCATCAGAAATGGAACACAACGGCGCGGCGGAGGCAGCGGCGAAGACGAACGGAGGATCCCACGGCGAAGCTGGCTCCGCCGCCGCGTTCCAAATGGATGGGCTGAGGAATTGCTTGAGCAGCTACCACGACGACGGCAGCGCCGAGACTCACAGGTACTTCCTGGCTCGCAGAACCGTCCTGGAGATGCTGAGAGACAGAGGCTACTACGTCCCTGAATCCGACCTCTCCGTCTCTTTGCAGGAGTTCCGCGCCATTCACGCTCAGAACATTGACATTGATCGTCTCAAGTTCTCCGCCACTCACCTGACCGATCCCTCCAAACGAGTACTCTCTCAATCTTTCGCACTCTCAATCAATTTGAATGGCCGGTTTGATGAAATCGAGTGGGGATTGCATGTTTCGATTGACCTAATTTCTGCATCTGGATGTTGTTGAATCATCTTTCTGGCTCAATAGCTGAATCTGTGGATCCTGTTAATTCGTACGCGAATGAATGTTAGTAATGGTGCTTAAGTTTTGGAGAGGATGAACGCGGAGAAATTATGTTCTTTTTTTCCATTGATTTGGTTGTTTTGGAGAAAGTGAACCGAGTTGATTGTTCATTGCAGACGATGGTGATTTTCGGTGGAACTGGGGTGATCAAAGTGAATACGGTCCGTCTGATCTCTGCTCAGATTGTTAATAGAGACAGCTTAACTGGCCTGATACTGATTTTGCAAGGCCAAATAACGAAACAAGCCGAGAAGGCACTGAGGCTGTTCAAATTCAATGTTGAGATCTTTCAGGTATGTTTGCTTCCCCATATTTGTCCATCTACGTGCTCTGAAGGGAAATGTAGCTACTTTGGAATACATATCCTTGTTTGATTTTGCTTCTGTGTGAATCCTGAATGCGACTACAATCCTTGTTTGATTTTGCTTCTATATGTTACTACGATGTCATGGAAAGTATTAGCGTTAAGTGAATTGCTTATTGCATCTGGCAACTGACAATTGGGAAAGGGAAGCATTTCATGTTACTAAGAAACACCCATTTCATGATGCGGCCTCTAATTCTCGTTGTGGTTTGTTTTGGATTGCAGATTACTGACTTGCTCGTCAACATCACCAAGCATGTGTTGAAGCCAAGGCACCAGATTCTAACGAGCCAGGAGAAAAAGAAGCTCTTAAAAGAGTACAATATAGAAGATAAACAGGTTAGTGCCCCTAAAGCCATTGACTCTATTGAGGATCATATTTCCTTTGCTTCTTCAACTTTGACTTTGTGCATGATCTTCTCTGTGGTTGTATCGCTTTTCGTGCTTTTTGTATCGATCACATTTGTAAGCTTGCCCTTGTCAAATAATCTCATCAGAAATCATATCAAAGAGAATTGAAAGATGAGCCGTTAGCCGTAGAACAATGCCGTAAAATTCCCTAATTCCGCAGCATCAGTAAGTCAGATTAGCTTCATGCACTCATTTGAGGTTATGTAGTATCCGGTGATTTCGACTCTTCCAGCCATGCTAGTTAAGTTTGATAAAAAGCTGATCAACAAAATAAGCTTGTTAGGTTAGATCACTAGCCTCATGCTTCGAGTCTTGACCCATTTCGATCTACTCTTCTGCTGTTCGATTTGCGACGCTGATGACATTATCATTCCGGCTTATGTTTGTTGACGTGTCTCTATCTTGTGCAGCTCCCCCGGCTGTTGAGGTCGGATGCAATCGCACGTTACTACGCGCTCGAGAAAGGACAGGTGGTCAAGGTGACATACACCGGCGACATCACCGAGTCTCATGTCACGTACCGATGCGTCTGGTGAACGCATCCGTGTAATGTAGCCTCTTGTAGAGTATTTCAGTTCCCGCCAGATGGGCGTGTTCCCTAGTTAGTCTTGCTGTTTACCAAGTCTCATGATCTGTGAATAATCCTGTAACCCAAGTTCTCCTGTGTTAAACATGTTTGCCCCGAGGATACTCGTTAGGGGGATATGGATGGTTGTAAAATTGTGCTTCTTGTGCTCGAAATTCAAAATCCATGGATTGGGCCAAGTGCGAGGCCTCTCGATTGGGCCTTCATGGCTACGCTACTGGGCCTGCCGAACATCCACTCTCTGCAAGTAAAACAGGAAATGAAAAGGGAAAAGGGAAAATGCGTTCATCATCACTAGTATAAACAACATTCACATAGGAGTATGCTATCTCAAACCTACTTGTTCTATTAGGTGCAATCTGCCTGGTTCTAGTTGGAGCTAAGAAAGTGGCAAAAAATTAGGTAATCTTTCCCAACTTCCTACATACATTCTAAACAAAATGGCCAAAAGAGAGCTTCATGACCGGGACTAGGAAGCTAATTGAAACGATCTCTTACTAACCACCACCATGATCACTTCTACACTGCATCTTCCAATGAACCAGCTGACTTCTTCTGCTACACTGATTCTAATACATATCTTGCAACATGCATCTGTCCAAATTCATAGCCAAGCGATTCAGCACAGAGCATGATACTAAGTAGTAAATGGGGGCAAGAACGTTACAGCAATGTAAACATTAAGCAATAAATTACCTTGTTGGAGGAGTATTAGAGCTTCAGCTTAAACCCAGCAGACAAGAAACCATCCCTGCCAAGTGCCAACACAAAGTAACACAGTAGCTGGCAATTGAGCATCTCAATATGGTCCATGTATATGAACAAACAGATTCAAGGTTAAAGACCAAACCTCTTCTTCCTTTGCTTGTCAATTTTCACTTGCTCCTTCGGTGGGAGCATACCACCGGGCGAAACCAGGCTTCCAAAGCAAACAATGGCATCTATGTACTTCTTTTTATTCTTGTTCTTCTTCTTTTTCTTCCTCAATCCATTGACGGTGATCTCCGTAGAAGCATCAACCCCCGGAGGATTCTTCTTCAGGTCACACCAAACAAGCCTCTTCTCATCCAGCTGCAGAAGAATCTCCTGGCCTGTCATGGAGTATCCGAGAGGACGAATCCTTTTATCGTAGCACAACCCGGGATGTGGAATAGATCGCATTATACTCCATGATTCCCTAACACCGTACTCTTTCATCATCCAGACATCCACCACCCTACCTGGGTAATTGGCAAAGATGCACAAACAATTCTCCAGCTCACCTATTCTAATTTTGAGGGATTTCCTATTTCGGTACTCTGGCTGAGGGATTTCCTTGCATTCACCGAGCCCTAAATCGAAACCAACAACCAAGTCACCCCTATCACGATCATCGTGAACTACCCAATGAATTGCCCCTGCCACAAACACGCCCATCTTCTCCGCAGATAGGAAATAAGGGAATTTCACGGATACACTGGAATTCGACCGAACCCCATAAATGACCAGTTCAGAATGAAAATCTTCACCATTTGCATCGAACCCTAGCATGAGCATCTGGTGAAGTTTGATAACCTTGTAATCGTCGGAGACGGAATCGTACACGAACCCGCAGCCGTAGCGGTAAACGCAATCCGCGATGCTGACCAAATCCATCAACGGATTCGGTATGGCCGGCGTGACGTGCGTCTGCTGCGTGGCCGGATTCGTTATGATAGCCATGTCGGCGTCGTTGCTGAAGCAGACCAACCCATTGCATGAGCCGATTAGGGTTATGACGCCAATTTGGGCTGAAGGAGGTGGTTTGCTTCGAAAGCTGGGAATGGTTTCCCGGCGAAGGCCGTCGATGTACGTGGCGAGGTGGAGGTCGCCATTTCCGCACCCATCGTCTTCGAGGACGAAGAGGAAGGCATTTTTGGTGGTGGCGGAGGAGTGGTTGAGTTGGAGCTTGCTGAACTCTGTGCTGTCGATCAAAGCCTGCCAACGTTTGCAGACGCTGCGCCAGCGTAGGATTGCGGCCACCGGCAGGCGGAGGAGAATCTTGGTGACGAGATCAAAGGGAACGTGATCGGACATATTTCTTCTGCTTGCCTCAGTAACTGCCGGGAAAGGGGAAATACAAAAAATTTGAGTTTCCCGACGGAGACAAGACGAGAAGAAGACTCTAGAGTCTAGAATGGATGGGTTCGCTAGCTAGGCTGCTTACGCAGTAATCGTTTGGGCCTGAGCGGTGGCGGGCCTGGCGATGGCCCAAGATGAAACAAGTTGTTTGGCACGAATTTTAATTGGACTGATTTCCTGGTCTTTTACCCAAAACTTTCCGTGTCGGCCCATGAAAGTTTATGTGGCTTATGGAGTTTTGGTCATCACGAAAATTTAGAATTTTCCCAAATTAATTAAGTATTTGCTAAGCCTTTATTTCTTCCTAATCCATATGTTAAACATTCAATCAAATTTCTAGGTATTTACTTGTAAAAAAAAAAAAAATCATAGGTATTAGTCCAAAATTTGTTGAGCACGTTTGACGAAAAAAAAATATTGAACACGTACTCTAGAAGTCATAATCACATTATTCCCGTTTAATCCAACTCCGTTACTTACTTTCAAGTGTGTTAGTTTCGAAATTGTGTACGATATATATATACAAAACACGTCAAAGTTTGAGCCTTGAAATGTCAATATGCACGACGACGTGTGAGTCATCTATAGCATACTTATCAATCATGATTTCAAGTTATTTGGTTGAGCTTTAGCCAATAAACTAAAAACGAATAAGAAGCATAACGCAAAAACGTATTTGTTAGAAATCTTGGTACGAAAATCTTTTGGTCAAATTGTCACGTTATAACGACTATAATTAATAGTCTCATATGTAAACAAAAGAACATTAGTCAAGAGCTACCCTACCATACTTCAAGAAGCATTCTCTCCCAACTCATGACCACATATAATCTATGAGTTAGGTCGTACGAGTATCGCGAAGAAACCATTATCAATGAGAAAGGAAACGAATCATTCACAAATCAGAAGGAATGAACCAAGCAGATAAGCCGAAACAGGTTTCCACCACAGCATTGATCAGCATGGTACTCAAAATGAAGCAAGGAAGGTTGATATCAGTTGCTTAGAAACTACAAAGTTCATTACATACTAACTACTTGCACACAACTACTTAGTGACAATCCTTCTGATGCTATTTGGAGCTTCCAAAAGTTGCCAAAAACAGGGAAGTCCTTTCCTTAGTTCCCCACACACAGCATTTACAAAATGGCCAAAATAGGTTCATGATGGAGAGTGGGGAACAAAGCTTCCATCACTGCTCCAAGCCTCCAATGCATCATCCAACTAGCTGACTTCTTCTTCTTCTACTACTACTCTATTCTATATGTCATAATATGCATCTGAGAAACAGATTGGCAAGCGTTTCAGTATAGTGTTCGCTACTAACGTTACAAGAACCAATCAGCTATAGTAATGTAGTCAATAACCAAGAAATTACCTTACTGGAGGAGTACTAAAGCTTCAGCTTGAACCCAGTAGCCAAGAAATCATCTCTGCAACGAGAATAACACAGTTTTAAACAAGCAGTAGCACATGGTAACAAAATACAGGTAGCTAATAGCTAGTAACACCAAACCTCTTCTTCCTTTGGGGTCTTGGTTTCTGATATTGCTTCTCAACTTTCACTTCTTTGGGTGGCAACTTCCCATCAGGCGGGACTAGGCTTCCAAAGCAAACAACGGCATCCATGCACTCCGTCCTCAATCCATTGACGGTGACCTTCTGGGCAGCACCAGCACCCCTCTGGGAATTCTTCAGGTCGTACCAAACAAGCCTCCTGTCGTCCAGCTGCACAAGAACATCGTGGCCCGTCATGGAGAATCCGAGAGATCGAATTCCATAATCGTGTGACAGCCCGGGATGTGGAACCGAAAACAGAATGCTCCATGACTCTTTCACTCCATAATCTTTCATCATCCACACATCAACCACCCTCCCCCAGTAATTAGCAAATATGCACAAACACTTCCCCAGCTCACCCACTCTCATGCTGAACGAGCGCCTGTTTGTGTACTTTGGCTGTGGGATCTCCTTGCATACACTGAGCCCTAAATCGAAACCCACAATCACGTTGCTGTTCTCCGGATCGTCGCTCCTACCAGCTACCCAGTGAATTGCCCCACCCACAAACACGCCAATTTTCTGCGAACCAGCTAGGAAATAGGGGAAATTGACGGATACACGAGAGTTCAACCTAACTCCATGACTAATCACTTCAGATTGGAGAATCTTTTTACTAGACTCGAGCTTCTGGTTAATTTTGACAACCTTATAGTCGTCGGAGACAGAATCATACCCGAACCCGCAACCGTCGCGGTAAGACCAATGCGCACCGCCGGCGCTGAAATCATACGGGGAAATGGTTACACGAACCATCGTGGAGTGCGACTTCCTCGTGGCCGGATTGATTATGAGCACCTTCCCGCTGTCGTAGCCGAGGCAGAACAACCCGTCGCACGACCCGAATAGGGTTACGCCCTGGCGTGAAATTGCGTCGCCGACTTGGGCGGTTTGGATATTGATACGGGCATCGCGGCGGAGGCCGTTGACGTACGAGGCGGAGCGGAGGTCGCCGTTGTCGTCGCCGTCGTCCTCGAGGACGAAGAGTACGGCGTTTTTGGTGGTGGCAGCCGTGTAGTCGAGTTGGAGCTTCGTGAACCTCGGGGTGTCGATCAGAGCCCGCCAGGGCTTGCAGACGGCGCGGCAGCGCAGAATTGCGGCCACCGGCAGGCGGAGGAGGATGTTGGTGACGACATCGGTGGGAAGGTGATCGGACATTTGCGGTTACCGCTTTGCTCTGATAGAGAGAATCGGCTTGGTAAACCGTAAACGCCGAGATGGTAAATTTTGAGGGTTTTGACGGAGACACGACGAAGAAGACTTGGACTGCTTACGTGGCTGACCAAGCCACTTAAAACTCACCATGTGTCGACTTAGAGTAATGATACAGACTAATTAATTAATAGCTCAGCCCAGAACTAGAATTGAAAAGGCCCAACCCCGCTCGCAAAGACCCGGCCCAAATCGAACGTGCTAATTGCTAATAGAAACATTTACCATAGTTTGCCACCGATAAACAGAATAATAACGGCCCAATGCCCCCACCCAAACCTCCCAGGTGTAAACGGTTGGTCCGCATCGGACCCCATCGATATTTGGATCGGATGATACCGAAACAAATATAATATGGTTCGATCTTGATATTTAGATATCATCAAAATGATATGAATGCATTAGTATGATTCCTACCCCTAAAAATGTCTTTTATTATTAGCTAATGGTTCTCTAAAACTTTATAATCCGAACGGGACCGAACAGTTGCACACTCCGACTCTATACTAAAGAATACTCTAAGCTGTAGGATCGGCTAGCCCATACTACTTGCCGGCCGTGAAGAACTGATCAATACTTTCGACGAACCAAGAGTATGACAATATATAAGTATATTTTCTAGGGCTGGGAAAATAGACCAGACCGTTAGAAAAACCGAAGTCCAAACCGTACCGCACAGTTTGGTCCGGACCGTAGACCGTGAAGTATGGTATGGTCTGGTCCATGGTTTGTATTATTATATGTTTTGATCTCTTGGTCTGGTCTGGTCTAGATCGCGGTTTACCAGACCAAACCGTGGACCCAACCGACTTGTCAGTACGTGTTAACAGCCCATTCGACCACTCTCCCAACTCCCACAACGACACCCATGTCTCAACCTTAGTTTTGTGAATCTCGTCCCTCCTTCATTTACAACTATATTTAACCAGAGAGTAGAGATAATCGTGTCTCAATATGACATTATGTTAAGGTTATGACGTTATGGTGCAAGTTAGAAGAATATGGGATTCACGAGCTGGCCTATTTGAAATTGGTGATCAAGGAGATGCTGAGGCTGCACACCCCGACTCCGTTGGTCTTTCCTAGGGAGTGCAGTGAGGAGTGTCGTATCGGCGGGTACGACGACACCCCCCTAAAGACAACGATGCTAGTGAATGTGTGGGCCATATCGAGGGACCCTCGTTACTGGGGTGCGGAAGCCGAGAAGTTCTTGCCCGAGAGGTTTCTCGATGAGAAAGTGAACTTTCGAGGAGCTGACTTCGAGTTCCTCCCGTTCGGAGCAGGAAGGAGGATGTGCCCTGGAATAGCTTTCGGGTAGCGGTTGTGGAGCTTCTCCTGGCGAATTTGTTGTTCTATTTTGACTGGAAGCTTCCCGGTGGAGCTGAGCCGGAAAGCTTGAATATGGACGAACAGTTTGGCGTCTCACTGAGGAAGAAAAATCACTTGGAACTAATTCCCGTTGTGCAATATAACCCTTTACCTCCCGTTTAGTTACTGTACCTGGTTGAGGACTTGAGGGTTGAGATGGGATCAGTGTCGGGTTTTTTTTATAGTGTTTTTTTTCATTGTAAGCGAGTTTGGATGCATGCAGCCTTCAATAAAACTGATTTGTGCTATGCAATTGTCATTTGTTCTGTTAATTTGTTGGAAAGTAATGGACTAAGATGTTCAATATGTCCATTACATAGTAGTGGAAGTGTAATTAAGCTTAATAGAAGTTGGAGGCTTATATGACAATCTCAATCCAATCCTTCAATTCATTATAAATATCCAATTAATCCAATTCATTTGATTCACATTCAATTGGATTCATGGATCGTTGGCAAATTACATTAGTATCTTTATTTTTTTTTTTTACATTTTGGTACCTAAAATTTAATTTTTTACACGAAAAATTTCATTGAAAAACTATATTTGGGTTAATATATTAGTATGACCCGAACTTTTCACAAATTAAACATCCTGACCAATTTTTTCGATCTATAACATTGTGGCCTCAACTATGCATCAAAATTACGAAATTGGCCAAATCCAATGTTCGACCGTTATATATCTTGGACGGTTAAACACGTTGACTTACGATAACACACCATATCACTGGCAAATCAGCACAGACCACTTAAAAAATTTATTTTTTCCACATATTATCATTCATTTATCTTTTTTATTTTGAACAGAAGAATGAAAAAAGACATGCAGTATTCTCTTTTTGTGTCGTAGGTGGTGAAGAGGGCATCTGTTGAAGAGGCAAAGGGTTGACTTTCATTAATTAGTTTGTATTCGTCATCAATAGACATGTAGTAGCTAGTATTCTCTTTTTGTGTAGTAGGTGGTTAAGAAGAGTGCAAAACAAATGAGAGCAACTCTAAACTAGAAAGAGATGATAACTGCAGGTTTTTAATGTCACATTAATTATGGGGGCGCAATAAACAGTCCTAGTGACCACAAAACACTCTAAGCCTATGCTTAGAACAACTAGCACTTGTGAGTTGTGAGTAGTTTTTGAGCATATCAATTCTCCAATTATATCTGACTTGCCCTTTCAGAGAAGCTGCCGAATGACGACTTCAGATTTCTTGCGAGTAAGGTCATTCACCAACTTCTAGCACAAACTACCTCCACTTGCTATTCATTGTTATGCCTTCACCTAGTCGATGATTGATGAGCTCGTACATGGAATCTTAGCTACCCACTTGCATCCTAGGTTCCACATTATTCTAAGGCAAGTTGGTGAGATTATTTTTATGAAGAGTGGCTTCTGATAGGGTCGGTGACGGATAATGCATATTCGTTACCCTACCTAAAGTAGTTCGAGTTTTACTCATACCCACATAAGAAACCGGTAGAAAATTCAACTACCTCTGGTTCGGTTTTACAGACAATCCAACTATAAGTGCAAGTCGCCTATGTCATTAGAGGGAGGAACTTAATTGTTTAATGATGGGTATTACTTGATTCCTCTTTAGTTCCATTCAGAACCGTTTCTATAGATGCTTTTTTGTCGCTTGTAGGCAGTAGGTATTACTTGATATACACATGCATATTTATATCTGTACCTTGGAGCATCAACCGCAAGTCATACTAATGAGATAATGGATCTCTCCCTGCAAATAATTCCCATCTCCACCTTCTTCTTCTTCTTCTTAACTATCATCGTAAGTTTTCCACTGATCAAAAGACGAGCACGAGCTCATAAAAAGACTGGCCACCGGCGCAGCCTGGCGCCATCAGCGGGGCGGAAGCTCCCCGTGATAGGCCACCTCCACCACTTCCTCACGACCCGGCAGCTCCCCCACCGTCTCCTCCGGGAGCTCTCCCGGCGACACGGCGACGTGATGAGCCTCGACCTCGGGGAGATACCCCACGTGGTGATATCGTCGGCGGCGGCCGCCATGGAGGTGATGCGAACCCACGACGTTAAGTTCGCGCAGCGTCCCCCGCACCCTCACCAGGCAAAGGTCATGTACGGCGGGGTCAACCTCATCCAGGCCCCCTACGGCGACTACTGGCGCCAGCTCCGCCGCATCGCCACGCTCGAGCTCCTCACCGCCAAGCGCGTGGACTCCCTGCGTCGGGTCAGGGAGTCCGAGGTCCTGGCCCTGGTGAGGTCTGTGGTGGCGGCTGGGACAGGAACCACCACCGTCAACCTGACCAGGATGTTGTACGACTTTAATATCCCTGGCGACGTTCGGGGACGTGTCGGAGGAGCAAGAGGAGTTCACCAAGGTAAGTGACTATAATACATCGAATTTTGAACTTTAATTGATAGTTTTAGTCTAATATGATTATATAACATAAAATCACAACTAATCAATTCATTATCCTAATCCCTTAACATTCAATTTTGAGTCTCAACCCAAAAGCCTAAATTATATAACTAAACCCTAAATCTCATATCCTTCAAATTAAAGTAAATCTTGAATGAGTTTTTTTTGCAAATTCATGCGTTTCTTGTTAAACGACGATTGATATTGTTTTGACATGAATAGTATGCTCGAAATAACGATTATGATCGAGTGGATTAAATGCACCAAAAAAAGTGAGTGCATTGTATACTCCACCATATATATTACTCTACAGAAGACCCTTAATCATAGTTAATCTCATCTACACCGTTTTTTACTCCATGTATATCACAAGGCAGCGGAGAAGCTGGTGGAGTACGCCGGAGGGTTCAAGGTTTCCTACTTGTTCCCGTCGAGCGGGCTGGTGCAGAAGCTGTTTGGCACGGAGGAGCTGCTGAATAGGATACACGTGGTCCTCGATAGGTCGGCCAGGAGCATGGTTGCACAGCATCAGGCGGCGAGGGCGGCGGCGGCGGCGAAGGAGGCCGAAGGGATGAGGTCTAGAACGGAGGAGGATTTGCTCGATGTTCTTTTGAATATTCAGGAAGGTGGCGACGCCACGCTAGGGTTTCACTTGTCAACCGATGCCATCAAGGGCTTCCTTCTGGTATAGTGATCGTAACTCTCAGTTACGTTATAGCCATGCATGCATCCATATATACACGTACGTACGTGCACAACGGCACAAGTACTGTTGCCGAGATTATCGTTTTGTTGATCATTTCAATCATTGTTGGATGTATGCATCACCAGGGGCGGAGCTAGGATTTAACGATCGGGGAGGCCGAAGTTTCGTAAAACGTTATCGCAAAAGACTAAAAAAATAGTTTTGTTTTATTATAACCACAACAATAAATACATTAAGTTCAATATAAATAAAAATTATATAAATATAATAATATATTTTAATATTGTCATTGTATCGCGCGTTCTTTTTTCATAACTAAAAATCAAATATATATAAATATTAGCATAAGAAAACAATTACTGTTTATATAGTCTAATAGTTACAATTGAAGAACTTAATTGATAAATTTGAAATTAAGGAATTTAAATCATGAATGAAGTTATTAAAGGGGAATAAAATTACAAATACTTCTCATGTATCTCGAACTGTCCTTAAAATTGAAGAATTTAATTGAAATTATTTTATTAAAGTTTATGATTAAATATAATTATAAAAGTTAATATGGCTAAATCGATTTATTGAAGTGCTTAATTAATTGATTTCACTTAATGGATTCTAACGAAGAAACAAAATTGTTTAAGAAAAGGGGGGTAAACAGAAATAAGGAAAAAAAGTACAAGCTTGCTTCTCACGACCATCGAACCAGGGAACAAAAGCTAGTTTCGGAAAACAATCCCCTCAGTTTCCGTTAGACTAAATCAAGCTCGTTGTCATTCTATTGCACGTCAAGATATTTAATCGTAACCTTTAGTTTATAGGTATACAACCGAACATTTTATACGTAACTTTCAAGATTCTCGGGGGGGCCGGGGCCTCCCCAAGGGCTGCTGTAGCTCCGCCCCTGTGCATCAGGACATTTTCCTAGCGGGAAGCGAGACCCCGTCCGCGCTGATCGAATGGACGATGTCGAACATGATGAAGCATCCGAAAGTGTTGCACGAGGCACAGTCGGAGGTGAGGAGAGTGTTCGGCGAGAGGGGCCGGGTCGACGAAGCAAGGATGTGCGAGCTGAGTTATCTGAAACTGGTCATCAAGGAGACGCTGAGGCTGTACACTCCTGCGCCCCTGGTGCTCCCCAGGGAGTGCAGGGAGGAGTGTCGGATCAGTGGATACGACGTCCCTCTGAAGACGAGGGTGCTCGTGAACGCGTGGGCCATCGCGAGGGATCCTCGCTACTGGGGGGAGGATGCCGAGGAGTTCGTGCCAGAGAGGTTCCTCGACAGCAAACTAAGCTTCAGGGGAACCGACTTTGAGTTCCTACCCTTCGGAGCGGGGAGGAGGATGTGCCCCGGGATGACTTTCGGGCTGTCAACGGTGGAACTCCCTCTGGCAAGCCTACTGTTCCATTTTGACTGGAAACTTCCCGCTAGGGTTGAGCCGTCGAGCTTCAACATGGATGAACAGTTCGGCGTCACCTTGAGGAGGAAAAACCATCTGGAGCTCATCCCTGTGGTCCGCTATAACCCTTTGCCCTCGGTTTAATTATCTAGTGTGTTCCTTGACCTCCTCGTCCTTCGCAACAGGTTGAGACTTCAGGCTGGATATCCAACTGAGCGAAGTGTCTTTACTGTTAGAAAATCGAACTCTGGTTGTTGGAAGAAAGATGAAGAAACATTGAAGCAACTGATTTAAGTCAAGTCGTTTGTCGAAGTATGTTTTGGATCCTTAAGTTTTAAGTTGTTGCATTTGAGTCCTGAGTCGTGCATGTGTAGTTGTTGTGACTTGAGAGCCATCAGCTCAAGTAGTTAGGTGTTAGTTGTTCATGTTGGTTTATAATTGTAAGGGTCCTTTTCTTATTGTAATATATATGAGATTGTTTGAGCTGTGGAATCGGTCCTTATTAATTACCAATTTCGCAAATAGAGTTTACTATCTTTGGTTTGAAATATATATCGCCGAACTACATTATAAAAAATATATATATATATATATCGCCGAACTACATTATAAAATATATATCGCCGAACTACCACCGAAGTTCCAAGTTGGAGCAACTATGATTACAAAATAACATGTTGGTATAGTTGATTGATTCCATAGTTTCGGCATAATTCGAATTGAATGTGAAGGTCGATTATGAATTTTATAATTTATAATAAATCTGATATATGGGTTTGAAGTTTGTAGAGATCGATTGAACATATCTTGTACTTAAATACGATGTTAATATTAGAGATCACAAAAGTTTGAGCACACAATCACTTGATCAGGCCAGCTCTTATGATCATATCATAAACGGTGTTATCGCAATAAATAAATTGTTGAAAAAATAATAAGGTTAAATGCACTTGTATATCCAAAACTTTCACGGTTGTGCCAATATTATCCAAATTTCCCGAAATACCACTTATATCCAATTCTTTCACATTCTTTAACGGTGTTTTTGGATATACAAGTGTATTTAACCAAAAATATATTGAAAAATGGATAGATTTGACAAAGAACAACTTTAAAACATGGATATAAGTGGTATTTCGGGAAATTTGGATATTATTGGCACAACCGTGAAAATTTTGGATATACAAGTGTATTAAACCAAATAATAATTACGGATGTTAGGTGGCCTGGCCGAAAACAAAGCCATATGGACCCGAAATGGAAGAAAAAGGCCTTTCATGGATCGGTAGGGAGCCGGCCCAAACACCACCGAAAGCCCAAATACGACTATTTGCCATGGTGTTCAATGTCAGTCGCGAACTCACTGTTACAGTGTGTAACCCCTTTTCCCCAGCTGGTGCAATTCCTTTCTGCGTTTGGTGTCTCTTTTACAGCTATGGCCGCCAACTGGCTTCCCGGAGAGGTTGTCACCGGTAACATCCCTCGTCCGGCTTCCGGACGTTCACTCGCTCGCTCCGCTTCCGGTCCGTCTCAACTGTTGGGGGATTGATGAGTACTTGTTCAAACCTCACTCTGCCTTGGCAATGCTTGTTTGGAGAAATTGAGGTGGCTAGCTCATCAGATTGCATGATGGTCGATATGGGACATTATAACTCCACTAGATATGCCTACCTATAATACGAAAGGTCGGCCTCTTCAACGAAATGGTTGATCGTTCGAGTTCTCAGGTCGACCTCAATATGTCACCACAATTAACGATGTCTGCGTGCCACAATCGTTGTAATTTTCCCCTTCGAACTTGTGTCAAGAACAAAAAAAACGAAACAGTACCAACAAATTGAAATGATGAACAGAAGAAGTTGAGGGATGAATTGACGGCCTCCCAGATTCCACCTCTAAATCCGGACAGCATAGATACCTGACAACAACAGCATCCGTTTGACTGTTAGCAATACGATCCATGTCAGAAAGCTTTACGCACTACGATCCGAACATAAACAAACAGAACGTCTAAATCTCCGCCGGATCCTTTGATCTGCTTCCACCATTGCTCCCCACCTATATGAAGTTCCAGAGCTTAACTCAGAACATGCATTGTATCTTCCCCTGCAAAAAAATGTCGCAACAAATTGCCAGCCCCGTCGTAACGGTCGACGAGCTGCGAATCTCTCCGCCGCGGGGATCAGTTCCCGCCACTTCCCTCCGGCTAACATTGTTCGACATATCGTGGATAATCTGCCATCCGATTCAGAGAGTCTTCTTCTACGATTTCCCGCATTCCAGCTCCCATTTCCGGCAAACAACCATCCCCAGTCTCGCCGATTCCCTCTCCCTGGCGCTTATTCATTTCTACCCTCTCGCCGGCCGGCTAGTCACCCCGACGCTTTCCGACGAGAGGGCTCGCATATTTTACTCTGATGGCGACTCTGTTTCGCTCACCGTCGCCGAGACCGGTCTCCAATTCGACCGTGTCATCTCCGACCTGCCAAGCGACGTCGAACTGCTCCACCCTCTGCTGCCCAAACTTCCTCCCGACGACAGACCGAATTCGGAGGGCGAAACCTCGTCCCCGCTTCTCGCCGTGAAGGTCACTCTGTTTCCAAACTCCGGCATCTGCATCGGGTTCGAGTTTCGCCATGTGGCGGCTGACGGGCTGGCTTTCAACCATTTCGTGAAATCCTGGGCTTCAATTTGCAAGTCCGGTGGCGGGGACTTGAGCTGGGTCGAAAAGTCTCCGCCTTGCCACGACCGAGAGCTGATCCAGGAGCATACAGAGCTCGAGAATTCGCTTCTGAAAACCATAGGAAACTATGCATCGCATTGGGATGAGGATTCCCGCCAACGAATGCTTGCCGGCAAGGTCCGCGCCACATTCCGGATTGACGGCGAGCATATTAAGAGGATGAAAGCTTCTCTGGCCAACCACAATGGCAGCAGCAAACAGTCGACGCCGGCGTCAGCGTTTACGGTGGCGAGTGCCCTTCTGTGGACCAGTTTGACGAGATCCCGAGAACCCGAATTCGTCGCTGCCAGCAGCGACAAATTCAATTCAGGGGAGGATCACATTGATTGCTACGTAATTCTGGTGGATTGCAGGGGGCGCCTCAAACCCAAACTCCCGGCGACTTACTCCGGCAACTGTCTGTCGGGAATCCAGGTGCTGGTGAAGCGAAGCGATTTGATAGGAGGCAACGGGTTTGCAATTGCAGCCAGAGTAATCGCGTCGAAGATCAGGGAGATGGAAGCTGAGGGACCGTTGAGGAGCGCGGAGAAGTTTTTCTCGCTTTCAGGATGGCAGGAAATAATGAAACAGGGGAACATCCTGTCGGTAGCTGGGTCGCCGAAGCTTGGGGTCTACGAAACCGATTTCGGGTGGGGGAACCCGAGGAAGTCGGAGCCGGTTCATGTCGATTTCTCTGGCTCGGTTTATTTCTCGGACGCCAGGGATAAGGAGAAAGGCGGGATTGAGTTCGGGTTGGCGCTGAGCAAGGGTGAAATGGATGCTTTCGCAGCAGCGTTTGAGCAGCAGTTGAGACGGTTCAGTGAGTGATCCATGGCTTGGAATCTTCATATAGCTATTGAGATCAGACAGGGAATCAAGATCTAAGTGCTTGTTGTTTATTTAACTTTCGATATGTAATGTAATGTGGGTATCCGTTGAAGCAGCCATCTTTGCTTTCTTTATGTTCCAAGTAGGCCAGAACCCTACCCTGCATCTGCAGGCAAGCTGAGTTCAACATCACTCACCGTTACGAATATACTTCAGTAAGAGAATGGTTGTGACGTCGATTAACGCAGCGCATTTACATTCCTGCAGAATGCATACACTAGATTAGATACATGTCATTTCCAAGTAGAATCGCTGGATCGAATGGCTCCTTGATACGAAAGACTGAGTAGGTAAAACTGAATTCATTCACCTTTCAAATGCTCTAAGAGTTCGGAACTTGGTGAAGGCTGCCAACAAGTGATGCGTACAATCTGTTGTCAGGAGTCATTCCTGTCTCCATAGCCTCGTCGTACAATTTAAAAGCTTCTTCAGAACGGCCCTCCCTGGACAGGCCTGAAACAATTGCAGTGTAAGTGACCATATTGATCGTCAAACCACTTTCACGAGCTTCACTCAACAGTTGCAGTGCTTTATCCACGTCTCCAGAAATACATTCCCCGTGTATGACCGAGGTATATGTGTATATGTCTGGTGAAAATCCCACAGCCACCATTTCTTCTTTTAGCTTGTAAGCTTCATGGATCTTGCCTTCCTTACAGCATCCGTCAATCAGAGCATTGTAAGTAACAAGAGTGGGTTTCACTGATTTCTTCTTCATCTCCTTGAACAGCTTCTTCGCTTCCAGGATATTCCTCTCTTTGCAGTAGATGTTGATCAGAGTGGTGAAATTCACTGAATTTGGTATTTCACCTCTTTCGATCATTGCAAACAACCAGTTCTTCGCATCATCAAGCTTGTTCAATTTACACAGGCCACTAGCAATAATGTTATGTGTATAGTTATCCGCCTTGAATCCGTTCTTTTCCATTGTACCCTTTACTCTTAAAGCCTCATCTATCATACCTGCTTTACAATAACCATCAATAAGAGTGTTGAAGATCAGCAGATTCATGTCTAACCCTTGGCTTTGCATTCTGGATAGCAAAATCTTAGCTGCCTCCATCTGGCCAGCCTTGCAGACACCATCGATCAAGGCCCCATATGTGTGAGTACTGGGAGCAAGACCTCTCTCGCCGAGCTCATCAAACAAAGCAAAAGCCCTTTTCAGGTTCCCAACTTTACAATTACAGCTGATAATCGACGTATACACATGAATATCCACTTCGACATTTCTTTCATTCATGTCTTTGAACAACCTCTCAGCTTTCTCCGCCTTACCGCTGTCACCAAAGAAATGAATCAACATGGTATATGTAGCGGCATTATAAGCAACTTCAGCCGTCTCCATCAATCTCAAGATCTCTTCAACGCCGGCAGAATCCCTTATTTTCACATATCCATTCAAAATGGTATTGTAGGTAATGACATTCGGCTTAATTCCTTTCACCCCAGCCATCTCAATCATTAATTCTTTAGCCCTTGTAACCCTACCTCTTCTACACAACCCATCAACCACAATGGTCAAAGAGTAAACACTAACCTCCATATTAGAATTAACCATCTTTCTGAATAGTACTGAACACATCTCCATTCTGTCGCATCTCTTCGAAGCAAGCAGATAGACGATACAAGATCTCTCGTCAATCTTCAACCCGTTACTTATCATGTAATCAAAAACCTCAAGGCCCTCTTCGAACATCCTTGCATCAGCATAGACTCTAAACAGCATATCATACAGCTTCTCCCTAAAGCAAGCTTCATTCAATTTTCCACTGTTCATAGATACCCAACTAGCAACTGGGAACCTAACATCATCTGATGCAATCCTAGTCAACACATTCTTCATGTCCACAAACTTCCTGTCCTTGAATAGTCTCAAAAGAAGGACGATGCTGGCTTCAACATCAGGTTTTTGAGCAGTAAGAGACTCATCATTTGCCAAAAGGTCATAGAAAGACAAGCAAGAACGAGGGGAAACATCAGGGTTTGAGAGTACCAAGGAGGTGACTTCATGATTCAGATTAGAACACAGAGATGGCATCATGGCTCGAACATCTCTTAACCCTGATTTGTTCAGCTTTTCAGCAATCATTTTGGCCATTTCCTCATCTGGTGATACTCCAGTTCTACTTATGTGGATGCCTCTCCTATATCCTTGTAAAAGCCTTTGACTTGCCATGTTTTTGAAGATTCAGTAACTTGTACCTTCCCTTCCTAGTCAAAGCAGAACCCTTTGCATTACTACCATTACCAGGCGCGAAAGGGGATCAAGAAGAAGGAAAAGCTACTGACTTTAACAGGAGATATCGAAAGATCGTCAAAACTCAAACTGGCGACCATGAATGTCAAAGTGGATCGACAAGGTTTAGAGGAAATAGATGTGGCGCCTCCATTGTTGGCGAGTGACTTCATCCCGGTGGATTTTGTAACTGCTTCCCGCTTTTCCTTTGCCGTCGGTTTTAATTTGACCGGTCTGATTTTTTTTAGTCTGGGCTTGAACGGTGCTCGACGGCAACGCTACTGCGGCTGAACGGCTGGGGACGGCGACGCTGCTGCGGCTACGACAGCGACTCAGATTTGCGAGTCGAGATGGTGTTGGCCTTCGTGGTCGTCGGGAGACGAAGATTGGGAAAGATGTCTTCGCCGGAGTTGGGGATTTTTCTGGTGTATGTTTTCTGGGCGAGATGAGGATACGAAGTGATGAAGGACTCGTGAGATTTGTGTTCGGGACGGCAAAATCAAGCGCTGGCGATGAAAGGCACAGATCTGATTGAAAAAAAAAAATTGGATTTTCTTTTGTTGGTGAAAAACAAAGAGTGGCGAAGAGATTGGGATGATAATTTGCACCAAAAGACTCGTTTTAGAAAATGAGTCAATATGATGAGGAAATTTGCCAAGAATGTGTAGTTTGGGATGGACTTTGAAATGGAGAAATGCAGATAAGTCATTTTCGAGGAAATACCAATATACCCTTCTGCAAGTTTTTGTTTCTGGGTTTGTTTTTGTTTAGTTCTTCATTTACAAAATGAACACTTTCTGGATTTCATAATACCCACAAATGAAATCGAAACATAATAAAAAAAGTGGTTTTTGCAACTAACCAAATGTCAAAACCAATCCAAAGAACCCTCCCTATCAAGCAATCGGATTTTTCCGAATCACACAACCAATATCCCTGTAAACCAGAACATCCAAAACCTTAACCCAAGCTGGAAGAGTAGAGGGAATCTGAAGAACTTTTTGAGAAACTTCAGCCGTTGCAATCCAAAACCTTAACCTTTCTGTTTCCCGTTTCTGGAATTTGACTCTAACCCCGTGAGAAATTAGGGGTCTAGGGCACAAATGAAATTGGGCGTTCAGAGCAGAGACGACCGGATTTGAAGTTGACGGACGCAATTTGAAGGATTGAGACTTCTCGGTCCTTGAATCAGAGGCTGGACTGCCGGTGAGGAACTCCAACAAATCTCGCCGTCGTTTGAGCCTGGCGAGGATCGAGTCAATCGACCCACTACTTACACACATGCGTCAAAATCCCTTTGCGCGGAGTCAATCGACCCACCGGCTGGTCCCCGAGAACTCACTCCTTTGACTCTACGATGATGGCTGGACGGCGACAACCTCTTTGCAAATCCGGCAACAGAGTTTCTCTATTCCTCCCTTTGTCCGCCGGCGACCATCATAACCTTGATTCTTCTTCCCTCTGTCCGCCATAGATACACAAGAAAGAGAAGAAGAGGAGGAATGAGAGCGTAGTTGCAGAGAAAAAAAGAGGAATGACAACGCAGTTGCAGAGAAAAAGAAAGGAAAGAGAAAGGGAAGAGAAGAAGAATAGAAAGGTTTGTTTCTGGAGAGAGAGGGCAGAATTGGGAAGAGGAGACAAAACTTGCGTCAATTGAAATTCCCTCCCCCCACCCCAGGTTTTTTCAATTGACCCCCTAACGGAGCAATTCTCATTTCCCCGGCCCAGATTGTTTCGTTTCCTTTTTTTATAGCCAAATGGGTCAATTTGGCCCAATTATCTCATAATGAGCCAATTGAGTACAATTGATTCATCACAATGTTTCATCCAAACGACCCCTAAATCTTGTCGATCCACTTTGACATTTATGGTCGTCGGTTTGAGTTTTGACGATCTTTCGATATCTCCTGTTAGACTTTAAAAGAAGAACGTACTATGGAGAGAACGGAGCAGGGACAAATCGCCGGCGGCAATCAGTCGCACAGCGGCTTTTTTTTCGATCCGATAATGGAGGCTTGGTCTAGAAGAAGCAGACGGCAGCTCTGTGATTGGAGCTGGCGAAAGGGAAAGATGGAATCAGAACCCACTTCTCTGTTTCCACTTTTTCAGTCAGCCTCCTTTCTCCTTCTATCAGCTTCACGGCTTCTCGCAGCCCATTGCTCGTTTGCTGCCACAACCAGACCAGAGACGCCATTCTCAAAGGGATTAATGGTTAGTCAAGCTCAAGCTCCTACACTGTTGAAAATCAACAATCAAGTCCTTGAAGAAAATAAATTGAGCAACTAAACCCCTGTAGTATAACTTTGCTACCAAGTGACCTATTCGCCCTCCTGGACTTCTGGGCCCTTTCATCATCGTGGGCTTTTCTAGTTTGAATAATCCTATGCCTCTCCAAATTCAACCCAACCCAAACCCGTCCTATCGGGTCTCTTTAATATGTTTTGGGCAGGTAATATTCACTTCATAGACCGATTAGAGACCAGTATTCTTCTCAACCTGATTCGATCGGATCTAAGGTCCCTTCCCCGGCCTCTTTGGTAATTAAGTCGGCCCGTGACATCCTTGAATGGGAAGAAGCTCGAGTTTCGAAACCTTCTTCGATTCCTTACCGGCCAACTCAGTTACCTTCTCAGTCTAGGGGTTCCCGTTTCAACACTGAACCACCGCCCTGTACCCAAGTGATGTTCTGTGATGGGTCGTTCATCTCAGACTCGAGTCCGGCGTCATATGGGATTACTATTGCTAACTCTCAGGGTCACGTGTACGACGGCAAGACTGAGACCTTCCTTTGTTCTCATCCGATTCAGGCGGAAGCTTTTGGTCTTCTCAATGCTATTAGGGTTGCTTCTCAGGATAACATCCCAACCTGTATTAGTACAGATTGCAGGTGCTTTTCCTTGCGTTGCATCAGGAACCCTCGGCATGGCCTTGGATGTGTCGGGCTACCATTGCGCAGATGGTTTCGTGTTGAGTTTGTTCCTCGACGTTTGAATCGATTAGCGAATTGGGAGGCACGACATGCTAGGGTGGGATCATTACCAGTGGATTGGATTTTAATTGTCAATATTATTGCTCCACTCCTGTAATGTGACCACGGTTTTCACGGTTTCGGATGGAATAAAAGGTTGCTTATTGTCAAAAAAAAAGATTCGACCGGACCTATTTAATTCTTCACATATTTTGTGTTAAATTATATGTAATTCTACTCAAATTAGTTAAAATCGTATTGTTATATATCATATTCTAGTCATACTAAAATTGTAAATAATAATATTTTAGATATTTTTTCTTCAAAGTGGTTCGTATAAATCGACCAGCTCTAACTCATACCTCACAATAAAATACCTCGACCTACAACGAGACGAATATGAGTATCGAAACCCCGCCCTAGCTCTCCTTCCCATCCCTAAACTAAACGGCTAAACCCATCTCCCCGTTACGGCTGTCATTTCACCTCTGGTCCAACACCCTTTTCCCGTCCTTCGGCTTCATTCCAAGGAGCTTATGAAGCCCGCCATCGTCGACTGAGAAAATCACATTGTGGACTCAAACCAACAAGGCAGGATACGTGCTCTTTACGGTTAATCCTGCAATTAATTATTATGGAAAATATGTTATCTAATTTTCTAAGGCACATTACTAAAATTGACTGTTTTTATTATTAACAAATGACTACTTTATTATATCTCAATAGCTATTTTGTCAAAACCATAGAAAATTGTTCTATCTTATTATATTAATTAACTTATTTTAGTATTTAAGTTAGATGTTTCTAGAAGGTAAGATATATATATAAAATAATGACTAATATCACCAATTCACCATTCTTTCTTCGTTTTCCCCTCTCTTTTCCTCATTTTAAAATTGAAGCTATATTTATTATTTACTAGTGGAAATTTCTAACTAAATAACTATTTCTTATCAAAACATGTAAGCTTTTATTAAAAAGTCATTGTATTGTCTAAGTTTGATTAACCTGCCATCGATGACCTATCAAGTCATTTGTGTTTCCCTCAAGTCATGCACTAGGTCTATAGTCTATACACAAATAACGTATATCTATTATAAAAATAGCATGCACCTAACAAAGGTTATTATACGATAACATTCACGCTCATTAATTATTCATTATGATTAGGTTAATTATAATTCAATTACAAAGCACCCCAAATTTAAACCCAATTACTATATGTAATTCGATTTTGTAATACTATGCGGCGGTGATCTAACGGGACTCGCCGGAGAGGCAGAGCATCTCTCCGATCTGAACTACAGCCCTTCTACCGATGAATTCAGGATCGACCATCGAAGAACGGAGATGTGGGTTTTGGATTTCTCGGTGTCGGGAGGTTATGATATCGAAGAGAGAAGGTCTCAAGGTTGGGAAGAAGGAGGCCGGCGAGAATGAAAACAGAGTCCTCTGATTTCAAATCCGACTGCCGACGAGCACTAGCTGGCCATTACTCTACAGGGCTGGCGATTGCAGACATCGAACCCGCACAAAACACCGGATGAAAGGGTTGAATATTAACGAATAAAGAAAGGAGCTGCGCCAAACGGAGCGTAGGGGCAAAACTACAACACAAGAAGACAAGGGCAGAGGATAGAGTGAAGGAAGAAACAAGGGAGGAAGGAAGGGGAAGAAGGAGACCCTGAACCCAACACTGCCGGTTCCTGAATCGCGCCCCAAGGGAAGACCAATCCCACAACACAAAGTATAAGGCAGAGAGTGGAACGAGGGAAAGACATCACAATGAAATTCTCCAAGATTTGCACAAATATCCCAGCTTGCATTCTCACACCCCCAATAAAATCCTTGGTAGCCCTATATAATCCTAGTGATAGGCTTGAGTTGCTTTCATCTTTTTCTTCCTTCACATTTCTCATCCTCCTCTTTCTCTCTTTGTGGTTGTTGGGTTTTCGAATTGGTGAGGAGGGGAGTTCTCCTCCCCCATCTCTGAAAGGGATGTCGAGGAGTGGCCACACCTGCTGGTTCATGAATACCCACGGGATTGCGCGTTTCGTATTATCTATGTTACTCACGGCATGATAATAGAGCACAGGACCGAGGGTTTGCATGCGCTAGGAGATGTTGTTTCACTTCCATCCTTTTGGCTTGGGGTGAAGGGAGCTCCCCTCTCCCTTTCTACACTACTCTACTCCATTCTCTTCCTCTTCTCCTACATTTTCCTCAGCTACGGTGTTGGTTTATTGCGGCAATGACTCCAATTCAAAAATTTCTCGACGTTTCGAGAATGTCGCGTCCCACATTTCCTCTGTGGTGTTCTTATATTATTCAATTTAGATGCATCATTTACCCACAAAATTAATGTTTCGATGTGACAACGTGCAACAATTTTCAAAATCGAATTCACAACCTCTGCATGATAGAATTTTTTCGTCTGGAAAATGTTTCACCATACATTTCCTTCATTTTGTACATATATTATTTAGGTTTCACCTTACATATGCATTTCCTTTTCATGTACAAAGTAGCCATTTTTCAATTGACATTGCATTTTCCAGGAATCTGCCTTGCATTTTCCCCAAGAAATGAAGGAAATCGAGAGTCGACATCATTTAATCAATGTCAAGAGGAGAGGAATCAGAAAGCAACACTGAGTTATGGAGTTGCTCAAACGATGACAGTTTATCGCAATGCGAAGAAGGACGAGTAGGCAAAACATAGAGGAAGAAGAACAAATTCTAATACCAACATTGGATCAGTGTTCTTACCAATTAACTCATGTTTCTATATGTCTAATAATATTATTAGTTTTTCTTCCCACTTTCATCATCTGTTTCTTTGTTTTTGCAAATATATGTAATCTTTGTTTGACGATTTCAATGGTAGAAGGAGGAGAAGATCTTCTATCCTTTGCCTTGGTTTTGTGTTCGCCTCAAGTATTGTGACAAAAGAAAGGTTTTTGGGCTGTTTCTTGTCCTTGGTTTTGGAGTGCACATTTTATTATTAGAAAACTAGAAATGGATTTTATTCTAATTTGTTTTGTTTCTTTATGAATATCAATTCATATGATTATCTTTTGTCAAAAAAAAAAAAAATCAATTCATATGAATCTTTAATAAAAGAAAATAAATCATATTAAGCTCGCCTAAGATTGAAATAAACAAGCATGAAGAACATATACTACAAAATAATCGACTGACCGAATTACGAGAGCCCACAAATTACACGTTATTAAACAAACAAACAAACAAACAAGTAAGTAAGCAAACAACACCGCCGACTAGCTTAGGTCACTGCACCATTTTATGGCGTCGACTTAGAATTCACCTATGAGGTGCTCAATAAGTTATGTCCTCTATGATGCATTTGGTAATTCCCACGTCGCATTAAAAGTCTATAGTTTTGGCAAGTGAAAGTTGTTCGTATAGTTTTTGGAACGTGTTTGTGGACGCTTTTTGTATTCTTTCGATGATTTTAGTGAACCTTCTTATCATTCTATTAACATGAGTACATAACTATCCATTTAGTAACACAATAACTTTTTTTATCGAAAAGTTGATCAGTTATCAACCACCGCATGAAGGACACGTGTCTCTCGCTATTGGATACTCTTTCTGGGCCCATAAGCCCACTTTCAAGGGCTTGCTTCGCTTGTAAATCCAAAGGACCTGAATGGGCCCAAAGGTGGGGGAAGTCCAGGTCAATCAAACGAGTAGAGAGTCTTTGCACATGTGTCACCCAAAACGGTGCGTTTTAACTGGGTGCCGCCAAAACGGTCCGGCGCGCTTCCCTTCTGAATGTTCAATCGATATTTGCACCAGTTATCTCTTCCGGCGGAAATTCACCCAAGCTGTTCTCTGTAATTCGCTGTCTTCATCAGCTGGCTGCAGTGACGGCGGTGGAATTCGGGGGAGTTCTCTTCTTCAGCCGCCGTTTCTGATTAAAATGCACGTTTTGATATCGGCGTCAGCTACCAAGCTCAGCTCCAAATTTGTCTACTGGAATCCTTTCTTTCAAGACGGTTCCTTATCCAGAATCCGCCTCCCCACAGGTACATACCCCCCTCCAATTTTTCCTTCCCTTTTCCGCTTCATCTGAGAACGTAGGATTATACCTAGTTGGTTACATCCAGTGTGGTTTATTGGTTGTTTGGTTCAGGTTTGGGAGTGGAGAGAAAGAAACATGAAAAGAATAGGTTTGTTTCGCTAGTGGCGAAATCCCAAACGAGTGTGGAGACGCAACAAGGGCCTCCTGGTAGAATAGGGCCTAGAAAGGGAGGTAGGGATTTTATACTGAGTGAAGGGAGGGATGAGGATGAGAAGCATGGCCCTATTTGTCCTGGATGTGGAGTGTTTATGCAGGATATTGATCAAAACCTACCTGGGTATTTCCAACCCAGGAGAGTCAGTGCTGTTGAATTAGATGAAGTTGAGGAAGATGAGGAGGTGGGTATTGGAGATTATGCAGAAAGCTCCGATTTTGAGGAAGAAGAAGAAGGAGGAGAGGGTGAAGAGTTGGCGGGTGGGGTCGAGTTGGATGTGGACTATGACGAACTTGATGCAATGTTGAATGCTAATGAGGATGATTTGGATTTGGATGGTTTCGTCCCGGCTGGTATAGGGTACGGGAACATAACTGAGGAGGTGGTGGAGAAAGAAACGAGAAGAAAGGAGCTGAAGAAGGTTTCCAAAGCAGAGAGGAAAAGGAAAGCCAGGGAAGCTCACAGGGACAAAGATGAGGTCACCGTATGTGCAAGGTGTCATTCTCTCCGGAACTACGGTCAAGTGAAGAACCAGACGGCGGAGAATTTGATACCCGATTTCGATTTTGATAGGTTGATTTCAACCAGGTTGATAAAGCCTACAGGGAATTCCAACGCAAGTGTTGTGATTATGGTTGTTGATTGTGTCGACTTCGATGGCTCATTCCCTAAACAAGCAGCCAAATCCTTGTTTGAGGCACTAGAAGGAGCTAGAGCTGATCTTAGAGCAAGCAAAAAGCTGCCTAAGCTTGTTCTGGTGGCTACAAAGGTTGATCTCCTTCCAACACAGATCTCACCCACTAGATTGGACAAATGGGTGAGGCATCGTGCTAGGGCAGCTGGAGCACCTAAGCTGAGTGGGGTCTTTTTGGTTAGCTCGCGTAAGGATCTTGGCGTGAAGAACTTGCTGTCGTTTGTGAAGGAATTGGGTGGTCCTCGTGGGAATGTGTGGGTTATTGGTGCTCAAAATGCTGGTAAGTCTACACTGATAAATGCGCTTGCAAAGAAAGGAGGAGCTAAAGTTAGCAAGCTTACGGAGGCTCCTGTTCCTGGTACGACTCTCGGGATTTTGAGGATTGGGGGGATTTTGTCAGCCAAAGCAAAGCTGTATGATACTCCAGGTCTTCTACATCCAAACCTGATGACAATGAGATTGGACAGAGATGAACAAAAGATGATTGAGATACGGAAGGAGTTGCAGCCTCGAACTTATAGGGTAAAAGTAAGTGCTCTCCATCATTTCATCACCTATGATTTCATAACTTCAAGAGGTGTGAATCCTGTTGTAATTCTTGACGATTGGTTTAGCTGAACTGGTTACTCTTTTTCGTGTTTTCTTTAACCATTTGGATTCCTGATCATTCTGAAGCGATCAACATTCATAAATATCACTTTGTGTTTGAAGTTCTCATCTTACATGTTACCTTTAGTAAGACCCATTTCTGGTGCATAAACATAACAATGTAATATGTGTTCTTGACAATATTGATTACTGAACTTCACAGGCTGAGAATGCGATTCATATGGGAGGCCTGGTGAGACTGGACCTTAACCATGCTTCTGTAGACACAATCTATATCACAGTTTGGGCATCACCAAACATGTCTCTTCACATGGGAAAGTTGGAAAGTGCAGATGAGTTCTACAGTAACCATGTTGGTGTTCGGTTGCAGGTACGTTCTTCAATCCTTGCAGCTATTCCAGTTATGCATGTACCTTTTATCCATTTGCTTTGATGTCCATGAATATCATTCGACTATGTAACTCGAGTGATATAATTGATGTGGACTTTTGGTTTGCAGCCACCAGTGGGCAAAGAACGAGCGAGTGAGCTGGGGGAATGGGAGACAAGGGAAGTCAAGGTTAGTGGCAGCAGCTGGGACACAAACAGCATCGATATTTCAATAGCTGGGTTAGGTTGGTTTTCGGTGGGTCTTAAAGGCGAAGCTACACTGACCCTGAGAACGTACGACGAGGTCGAGATCACACTGAGAGAGCCATTGGTTCTTGACCGAGCGCCTTTCCTGGAGAGGCCTGGGTTTTGGCTACCAAAGGCTATATCAGATGCCGTTGGTAACCAGACGAGGGTTGAAGCCAAGAAGAGGAAACAACTCGAAGAAGATGAAGAAGAAGAGCAGAGCTTGGAACTTGTTCATGAGATGGCTTCTTAGACCTCCCAGTTCAAATAGCTGATCTTCTTGATACTGACAAGTTAAAAACTTGCTGCATTGCCATTTGTCAAAGAGGAGTTCGTCTCCGAAATGTCCTTAGACAGCCAAGATTCTTCGGCGAGGCCCTTTCACAGAGACAATTGCATTTGTCAGGAAAAGGACAGAGAGAAGGATAAAGGAAGAGAAAAGGATGTTGGGAGGGAAAACCATTCTAGGCAATGACTTCCAATCAGGTTGATGGTCAAATGGCTTCCATAGGCTGATCCAACTTCTGTTAGAAAATGCATAACTTATGTAGCAGACAGCAGATGTAATGTACGATGTATCTATCATTGAGAGTGGCCAGCACTTTCCTCTTTGTTTCTGTTTGCGGAGTCGTCAATGAGCTGGGCCGTTCCCTGTGGGGTTTTGTATTTTAATGATCATAGGATCCTACGACCGTCGACCGGCATCCAATGGGCCGTGCCAACCAACGCTGAATTCAGTTTATTCCTTACTTCCTTTCCTCCCACTGCTGACAGAAAAGGAAACGAAAGCATAGCTGTTGCCTGCCCCATGTGCCGGTCGCTAGCCGTTGGTGGCGTCAAAAAGACATAAGAGAGTGCCAAAGTAACTAATGAAAGCAAAAGTCGTGAACCCATCAATTGATTTGATTGATTGAATGGATGGAACAACAATTAATGATAAGCACTCATTCTCGAATGAAATGCCATTTCATAAGAGAGAGGAGGTAGGTAAGTCTGTCCGAAACTTGGCGAAACCAACACTGCTCAACTTTTGAAGATTGCGTAGTGACTTTCGAGATGCAATGGTGTTGGACGAAGTACAAAATACATCGAGCTTGGGAGAGCGTTAGCATGGACTTCTTCAAGTAGATCATGGATCCGTCATGGTGTGTTCTTCCTGCAACAATGCACATCTTTCATGGCTGTATCACTGGACCTCAAGCCGTTGAGATCACAGGAGGAATCCAATGCGATGAAATGCCCTTCTTGAACAAGGTGGAGAAAAGGAGACTCAAAGATGACATTCTAAGCTGCTTTCCCGTTAAGGGTGGAAATAACTTTACGTTTCTCATTGCTAAAGAAAATTTACATTTTTTCCTTCCTATTGCTTGTTTTGGCTCGTTAGAGTTTCCTTTTGGTCAAAGGAAACCAAAGACAACAACAGAAAGGGACCAGTACTTGATACAACAAAGAGACTTGCTGCTGCAATGCCTCTTTACTCTATACAGAAGACACCACGTTTAAACCCAAACCCAGAAAGTTTAAAAAGCTACACCAAACTAAATAGTCCTCTCCTTCTACTGACTGACATTGCTGCTGAAACTGGTGGTTTGGGGACTCCGAACAAAGACTTCATTTCATCAACATTCATCACCTTCTAATAGCCGAACTTCGAGCTCCCCACGGCTGCAGTGATCCCTGCCCTGAAGCCTACATCAATCCCTGATGCTCCACCTCCAATTCCATACCCTAGTCGACATACAAAGAAAGTTAGAACACCAAGACATCTCAAGGGGGCTAGTAAAACAAATGCTGCAAGCCGACATCAATCGAGTTATGGACGCTAGTATTGCATACCATTTCCATAGGAGGGTAGAGCTCGAGGCGATCTCTTCTCCGTCTCATACGACTCCAAAAACTCGTCGAACTGAACTTCGAAGGAAGAGAAATCTTCCCCAACCACATCGAGATCGAACGTATCGGGCAGCAAGCCGGCCACGTCATAGTCCTCCTCAGCAACATTGTTGAAGTAGCCTTCCTGTTCCTGGTGCTGGCTGAGCCAGTAGTCCTTGAACCATGTTGTGGTCGTCACCAGCTGCCACCATTCCGGGGAGAAGTCCTCCACTTGCCTGTAAGCAGCTGGGATGAACAAAGGAGCATCCGGGTTTAGTGTTGACCTTCCTCCTGATACCACTGCCGCCATGTTTGGTTTCTTCTCCTCGACTTCTCGTAATCTCTCTGTCCTGGAAAACCAACAATTCAAAGTTTGAATCTTTACTTGGGAACACTATCCCAAACCCGACGATCAAATTCAGAAAGACAACAAATCGCTGGAGATCTCTCAATTTTCATATCAATCGAATCATTTCCATCTATCAGATCAGGTCAAAAGGAATGAATCTCAACCCTGTCCAACTAAATTCCAACCTAATCTACTTTGAAAAGTCTGGTACAAATTCCAACTCAAAATTCAAAGTATTTTTCGTCCCCCGGACTACGATGGCAGCTGAAAGATCCACTATTCATCCAAAGCAAGAACTACGACCTAAAAAAAGGTCACAATCGAACACCAGAAATGAACATCGCCGAAGATCGGAGACCCTCGCGATCAACCAACCGTTTGTTCAGCGATAAAATCACACGACCGGAATTCCAGAAGAATGGATCACTCTCTCTAATTCTCCCTTTCCCCTGTTCTCCGCAACCAAACAGATGATCGAATCGAATCCTCGAAACAAGGAGAGATAAGGAGAGAAACTTAGATCTGGTACCTGTTAAGTGAGCGCGATGATCAAAACCGACCGGCGACGAAGCAGCTGACTGGCCGGAGAATGAGCAGGCGATGATGGGGTTCTTCGTCAAATGAAGGTCCGCTAGCGAATTTATAGGGCGGGCGGATCCGAACCAGAAATGTTGGTTCGGAGTGTCCCGAAGCGGGAGGTTCGGTCGAGAGGCCAAACCTTGGGCCGGTTGTCTAGTTGTTTTCAAAAGATGCTGATTGCTGACTATTCAATCACAGCCTGCCGCATGCCTATCCAGCGTGGCAAATTTAGCGAAACCTCTTCTTGTCGTCATCTGCCACGTAGTACACGGAGTTCCTCTCTTTGTTTCTATCTGTTTGTCTTTTGACTTTTCTTCCTGCTTACGTGTCTTCTGATATGGGCTATTCACGTTAGGATGCTCTTTCGACAGGAAAAGGGATTTGAGTATTATGAGTTGTTCCCTACAACTCACAAGTTAGGAAGGCAAAGAAAAGACTAGCTGGATTGTGTCAAAGGAGTGGATTTCTATTTCCACTTTGGACACACACAAAAGGTAGATACTTTTTTCTTTGAATAGTATTGTTGACGAGTTCCGATTGATGGATTACGCATTCAATTCGTCACTTGAAGAATTGTTTCAGTGCTTATCGTGTCGATCAAGCGTTTGTTGAAGAGCAGAATATGGTGTTGAAGGATTTGCAAATGCGAAAAGTTGATATAGTGATTTCGAAACAACTCATTGTTTCATTAACATGAAAACTTATATATGTTTTTAAAATAAGACCCAATAAGGCAGTAGATTAGCTATGTTTGAGCTATGAGGGGTTGTTACCCCTTTCAAATATGAAATTTAGGTAAAATCATATGTAAAATTTATTCAATTATCACCGTTCAAACAATCCCCATCATTTAAATTCCTGGCTCCACTATTGTAACATATCGGTCACTTCTACTAAGGGTAGGCAGTTTTAGGGGTCGTCATCATCTCTCACTTCATAAAAGAAAATCGATGAACAATATGTACCTCAACGGCTGGTGAATGTTGTGAATTTTCGACAATCGATCACTTGATAATTCCAAGAGAAGGTCACTTTCGATTTCACAACAATAATAATTTGATGAATGTATATGTATACTAAGCTGTCATGAAGCCTCAAATAAACATTTTAAAAAAAAAAAGAATGAAGCCTCAATAAAAATGAACATATAGACGAATTTTATATAGCCCATTTTGAGTTAAGTCAATTGCAAGCTAGGTTAGGAAATGGCTTTTAGTAATACAATAATACACATAGGAATTCCCCCTTCATCACTTCATTCAATCACTATCATGCTGAATCCCCAATATTGCCTACCCAAAATTAACAAACCCTACAATCAAGTTAAGACCATCACAAAATCTATTAACATAATACCAGATTTCATCACTAATCCACCTAACTATGGTGGCTTATCTTAATTAATTAGGAAAACGAAAGATATCCATATGACCATATCCAAGGTTGTTCCTTCTGAAAATATCGCTCACTACTCATGGTGGGCCCAATTCTCTGGCAATTTGGGCCTTCGGAGAAAGAAAGAATATCTACAAGACATGGGTCCCAGCCATGTGGTTCGATTATTGAAAGAAATGAAGGGCCATGATGGAGCGAGAGGAGCGGGCCGTGATCCGCTGGATCGGCGACACGACGTCGTAGCAGATGGGATTAGGTAGGCCCGTGCGGCTTGTCGACCGGCATAGCCTGAAATGAAAAGAGTCAAATAGGCCCTCCTCCACCAAAGGGTTTTGTGACACGTGGCATTTTCGGTAGGCTGAGGAATTAATAATAATTCTATATTATAAAATTATATATTTTTTTTCTTGGGGGACACCTAACATAACACGGTCTCCTTCGTGGCGGCCACTACCCTACAAAGTGCAAGTGGTGGGCTATTTGCCTATTTTCTACATAGTTTACTTTTAATTACGTTTTCCACGTGGCAAGTGTTATTATTCGTTTTCCATGCTTGCCAATTTTTAGCAATAAAGGTCACAACTTTAATTTTTGAGCTCCTATTTTGTCATATTGTAAGAGGAACAGGTAGAAACTGACCATCCTTCTACTGAAAAATAGGCCTATTATTTGGTGGATGTTCGTTTTAATCGTCCGACTTAAAATGAGATTATACGAAATGGCAATGAAAAGAAGTGTTGTTAACATATTTGTCGATGTTTTATTAGTTGTTTGGTTTACAATTTTATGATGCGAAATTGAGTAAAAACCAAGTATTGTTAGCGCTCTAGCATCTTGTCCATATAAAAAAAAAAACCAATTATCAATAATGTGACCAAAATACATAATAAAGCCTGTAAGCCTCGCCCTTGAAGCCCACAAATTATTGGGCCAGCCTACAGGCTACAGCCCATCACAGGCTTCTACCTCTAAGACTATCTTGGTCCGGCCCAATACAGGAGAAGAAAGGTAGTTTCAGATTTGTACAGCGTTTTTTCCTTTTCTTGCGATGGCTAACATTATAAAAAGGGAATAAAAAACTGACTTCTCAGTTGTGACCTAGTGGCTACTGGTACAGATAAACTGATCTTCCATGTAACTGTTGACTTGGACGTGCATTCATTTGGAATCCCTGAAATTTAAGGAAAACAGAAGTTTAAGCAAAGTCTAAAATACAAAAAATGAATAGTGAGACCAAAGTCTACAAAAACAAAAGACGCATCAGGAAATGAACTTATTACGAGATCAACGGCATTCTTCAAAGCCTGCACTTGCAATGGAGAAACCATCTTCACCTACAATCGAGTGACAGAGAAAAGAACGTAGTAAAAGATTTGCTTTCGTAAAAAAGTGATCAATTAAATCAAAGATGATCACATAATTAGCAAGGAACCTGTTGGAAGATGGTCCAAATGACACCCTCTGTACAGGGAGGAGTTGTGAGAGATCCTCCATATCTGTAGTATTTTTCACTTGGGAATCCAATATTTTTAGGGTTCACTATCCCCAATTGGTGTTCTCCTTTTCCAAGTGAGATTATGTGTGGCAGTAGCTGTTGAAGGGGAAAAAAAAAGTGTTGAGCTATTCGATTACGGTGTAAAGAAGGAAGCGTTCGCGCGAGTTGATATTGTTGAATCACCCCTCACATAATTTCAGTTGTTGGATCGATGAATCGAAATTTTACCATGGAGAGAAATGGGTCGGATTCTCCAAACATGTACAAGAAGGCAACAACTGCAATTGATCCATCATAGCTTGAGTGAACCATGTGAAGCTCCATGTCAAACCTAAGCATCAATTAGGGTTTCTTTTTATGTAATGTTATTGAAATTAATTAATTATATAAATGCAATGCAACTTAAATTAAACAACCAATATTACCTTTTACCATAGATTGAATGCTCGCTTGGTGTATGCCAATGGCATTGTTGCAGCCTGTAAGTAGTTCCATTGATCCTGATCTTTCCTGCATCTCCTTTCCATGTCACCTGACCATACACACATAAATGTAACTTCAATAACTTAAGGTGTGTTTGAATGGTTCAATGGTGTCACGCTGTATCTACGCCCCCTATCAACATACTCGAATTAGTTCAGAATGACTGTAATTTGAGCGAGAAAATTCGTTCGTCTAGTGATAAAGCAAACCATATCGTTGTAGGAACAAGGAAGACATCGACCGAATCGGTCGACCCTCTGACAGACCAGTCACGTTACATCGAACGTTGCACGATGGTCGCTAAACGACCTATTAGATGTTACATCGAACATTACCGCGACATCATGTCCCCTGTTGGCAATGGTAGCTGGAGCTGCCCTGTAGGTTCTCTTAAGCTTCCCGAGCTCCGGTGCATGTTTCACCATATGGTAAAGCTCGATCGGAGACTGAGATTTCCCTTCCCCACAGGCTCTCCAGTTTGGATCGAGTGAGCCCCATTCCGATGGCCCTCTCCCACTTCCTTCATCATAATTGAACTCTTGATCATGGTCGTGGCCTGTTGATTAATCAATACACAAAACACAAACTTCATTGATAATCAAACAACTACAAAAACTCTAACAATAAATGGAAGAGTTACCACCAAAATTGCGTACATTTAGCATAACAAGATCGACAAAAGACGGTTAGAGATGAGATTAGGCATAAGATGAGCAGTGTTGGTTTTAGCTTTGCGTCATTCATGGTTATTGGACACAGATGGAGTGCTCGTTTTTCTTTTTGGTTTTTGATCGACTAGAGAGAGAAAAACAAAATGATTATCCAATTACGAGGAGTTGTTGATGTCATCAGATTCGAAGTAGAATTTCTCATCATATAAATAGATGATACAGTTTCTTTTTTTAGCTTTCCAATAAGAATGTTTCTCAAGGTAAGCTACACTTGGTCCTAATCATATGCTATGTTGGGTGTGTGGTCCTAATCATAAGCTACTCTTGCAAACTAGGATGAATGTTGACTACTATCTTTGCCTAAATGTGGGAGCTAGATCATCCTAAAAAGAGTCCACTAAATAATGAATTTTGCTTGTTCAATTAAGAAGTGGGTAAAAAAAAAAAAAATCTTAAACGGTTAAATATTTTGTATTCTTAATTTGGAAAGTTCAATCTCAACTCAAAACGAGATCTCTCTTTCCCCATCAATAACACGAAATTCAATCTTTTACTTATAAAATGATTGTACTACGAGTACATGTTATTCGAGATACACTGAAAACTACATTCAAAACATGGGTCCACTCAATTTGAATCACTTCGTTGACGACAAATTTTATAATCCAACTATCCAAGCGAATAAGACAATGATTAGACAAACCAGCAATTGCGTTTACAATAGTGATAATAAGAAATCCACCTCATACTTTCATTACACAATGAACGCTTCACCTAATAAGTACATTCCCCATTATGGCATGCCATAACATTTTCCCTTTTAGAAGATCAATCTTTGATGATGGGAGGTTTCAGCTGATTTGGGAGATAAACAAGTTATATAATAAGATGGAGTAATAGTCAAGAACATCACACTAATGACAAATGGGTTAATGTTGAGCAGGATAAAGGGGGAAAGTACTGCGAGTCGTAGTTGCATGTGATATACAGTTTTGCCTTAATGGAAGTACCCACCTTAGTCCTTATGCAAGGACACTTTCCACCCTTTCCTCTTTTTCCTCCATCAGGAATCCAACGCCGGCGGCGATCTCTTCTTCTCCGGCGCCGGCCTCTCTCACAACCTCCTTCCAATTCTGTCCTTCCCATCCTTTCTTTCCCTTCTTTCCAAATTTGACATTCTAGAGCGAAAATGGTCCGTCGGATTAATGAGCTTGTTGTTTGTTTCCCTCAAATCCATTGGCCTAACTTTCTGCAAAAATCATTTTGTCCGCACTGTACTTTCTTGGCATTATCATCCATCTCTCCGTCCCCACACCCCTTTCCCCCAATCTCCTCTGGGCTCTGTCACTCTGCAGCCTGCACAAAAAATCTCTGCAGTCTCATAACACCACGAAAGAGGGGAACAAACGTCGAACAAAAAAAAAAAAATTACCCACCTCTCTCTCTCTCTCTCTCTCTGCACATGGCGACGTTACTCCGATGCCGGCCAATAATCGCTCCCCCTACATATTCCTTCAACCACCAACCATCGCTTTCCAGCGCTAATTTCCGTATCCGAGCGTCCCCACTTCTTCGTCGCTCTCGTCACCGGGGACTTCGCATGGCGGTGGCGGCCGCTTTAGAAACCCCGATGGAGCAGCAAGAACAACAGCAGCTCAAAAAGGGGATCGCCGAGTTCTACGACGAGTCGTCCGGCGTGTGGGAGGACATTTGGGGGGAGCATATGCACCACGGGTTTTACGAACCCGACTCCCGAGTTTCCGGGTCCGAGTCCGACCACTGTGCCGCCCAGATTCGGATGATCGAGGAATCACTCCGCTTCGCCGCCGTCCCAGGTTCGACCTCCCTCTTCCTTTGTAAAGAAATGCGTACTTTGTACAATAGGGTCGGGTTTGTAGACTTCTAGTTTTAGAAATTTTTAGTTAACCTGGGTGTAGATTGGATTGGATTGGATTCGTATTTGTGAGTAGTTTTTAGCTGGTTTCAGAACGATTTTGATGGTGGGGTTTTCTCTGATTTGGGGGGCAGAGGAGGCAGAGAAGAGGCCAAAGAAAGTGGTGGATGTAGGGTGTGGGATTGGTGGGAGTTCCAGGTACTTGGCCAGGAAATATGGAGCCAAGTGTCATGGGATTACTCTCAGTCCTGTTCAGGCCCAGAGAGCCAATGCTCTAGCAGCTGCTCAAGGTTTAGCTGATCAGGTCTTGTTGTGTTTTCTGAAACTTGTTCTTCTTCTACCCTCCAAAATCCAATCTTTTGATCCTTACTGCTTTCAGTTGTGGAAGATGGTGAGAGTTTGATGATGTGTTTTTTTTTTTTTTTTTTGTGGGAAATGAAGCAGGCATTCTTCCAAGTTGGGGATGCTTTGAATCAGCCATTCCCAGATGGGGAATTTGATCTGGTCTGGTCCATGGAGAGTGGAGAGCATATGCCTGACAAACCCAAGGTCTCTGTTGCATTCTCAAAGTCAAACTATACTTCATAATGCACTCTCTTTGTTTTCCTTTTTGACAGTTCATGATGCATTGTTAGGAGGGTCAACCAGTTGATAATCTCCTGCATTTTCTACAGTAATTCAATTGTTACTGAAGTTTGTTCCTTGTTGGTCTTCCTGGTTGCAGTTTGTGAGTGAGTTGGCTAGAGTTGCAGCACCAGGGGCCACCATAATAATCGTCACTTGGTGCCACAGAGATCTTGGGCCTAGTGAGGAATCCTTGACCAAGTGGGAGAAAGATCACCTTGACAAAATCTGCAAGGCTTACTATCTTCCTGAATGGTGCTCCACTTCTGATTATGTCAAACTACTCCAATCCCTCAATCTCCAGGTACACATATATGAACTTACTAATGAACCCACATCGCCTTTTTTTTTTGGGTTCACTGTTGAACGACCTTGCCTTCATTACTTGCAGGATATAAGAACAGCAGATTGGTCTGCGAATGTTGCCCCATTTTGGCCAGCAGTTATCCGGTCCGCCCTCACATGGAAGGGCTTCACTTCCCTCCTCCGAACTGGTAACCCTTGTTCTTCTTTTCGCCATTGATTTGATCCAACTCAAGTAAAGATGATGATTGATGAGTCTAGTTAAGAAAGTCTGTTTTTCTGGGTAACCCATTCGAGCTTACCTTGGATTTGATCATGGTGAACAGGTATGAAAACCATCAGAGGAGCATTAGTGATGCCATTGATGATAGAAGGGTTCAACAAGGATCTCATAAAGTTCTCCATTATCACATGCAAAAAAGCCCTGAATTGATAATCCTGCAAATTATTCTTTGCTGCTTGGGGAAGGATTGGTGCAGCAGGTATACAGCAACAGTGAACTTTTCCCCTAAGAAGAAACATAAACAGGGAAGACTATACTTTGTAGTACTGGAAAGGGAAAATAGTTGTGTATTGTGTAACAAAACTCATACCGATTGATCCAACTATACTTCAGTGCTAGCGATGAATCCATGATCCAAAATGAACATTTCTCAACTTTCCTAAGCCACAGTGTTCTTGCAGTTCCGTGGGATTTATATATCCAGAGAATGGCTACAAGAAATCTTCAGCTTCTTCCTCTAATTCTAAATCCCTGAGCTGCACTGCATCAGTTAGTTTCCAGCTAAGAAGTTGGCTTTTTCTCGGTCTCATATCTCCATACAGATGATGCATAATGAAGAAAGGCGAAAGCAAATTTAGTTGCAGAACATCCACCTTCATGAGCTACTGGTCGGAGCATCGCTCTCCTTAGTCCTCCATCTCAAGTTCGTCAATCAACCAACAAAGTAAACTAAACGTGACTTTCATGCAACTTCAGTAGAAAATAAACAACTCCCATCATAGCAAACAACAAGTCGTTGTAGTATAGTGGTAAGTATTCCCGCCTGTCACGCGGGTGACCCGGGTTCGATCCCCGGCAACGGCGTATTTTTCATTTTGGCCTCAATCTAATGCAATTGCTGCGATCTCAAAATTTGCAGGCGACTATCTGCGGCGAGGCTCCGACGGCCTTCCCGTCCAAAGTTGATATCCAGAACCGAATAGTACTTTCTGGCTTTCGGCCCGCTCTAATGGTGACGGCCCGTTTGCGGGCCCAGAAGTTCCGCCCTAGGCCCACTGCGAAACGGACACGTGGCGTACCATCAACCATCCAGAATCAGAATCTACCTATGAACAATGAAATCCCATGAGCTTGATCTCAGGATTGGTTATTCACACCATACCAAGAATGCCAAACAATTAAGCCGGAAGAAAGCTGGTGATCAGGAATCTGGGATTCGTATAATTTTACTCAAAAAACTCTTATTGATTACCCACACGTTTACATATACATAGCATCAGTAGTACCACTAATTACCATTACAGACAAAGCGAAACAGGGGCGGAATGGTGGTGGTAATGCTAATCAAGTGATCATCTAGCCATCCAGGTGATTGTACTTCTTCCTCTTGTACTCTACGGCGGTGGCGGACTTGTTGCCGTTGGTGTGAACGACGAGGCCGGCGGGGCGATCGGCTGCTGAGGCGGACGCTCCGTCGGGTCGATTTACAATAGGTGGGGAGGACGTCTGGCCGGCGTCAGTGGCTCCGGCGTTAGATTTTGGGCGAGGGTAGAAGAAATCGGTGGGAAAGAAGTTGTACTGGAGACCGGCCATGGCGATCGAGGAGATTACCCGATATGGAAAGTAGCGGGGGATCTCTGGGAAATTGTGGGGAGAGGCGGAGGCGGAGGATGAGGGCTTTAGGTTTTAGTTCTTGTTTGGCAGTTGCTGAGGGGAATTTTGATCGTTCAAGATGCCTTTGCCTGTTGTATTTATAAAGGGAAGAGAAGGGTCAGATTAAAATAAAGGCTTAAATGGTCACTGCACTTGTTGAGAGGCCAAGAGAACTGTGAGGTCATTCCCTGGATCAGTCATCAAAGTTTTGATTTTTAACGAATTCGTTATTGAAGTTTGGGACGTTGACCGATGGTCGCACACAATAGTCACTTTGTTCTAATTTGTCTAAGATCGGTGTATCGAGCATCAAATCAAACATTACAAGTGTCAAATGCACTCTAATTAGAAAACAAATCAAGATGGTGCATTTTTACCTTATTCTTAAAAACGCATTATGACTCGATCCAGTTTTAACTTCTAACAGCAAAATTAAACCCCTCAAAAAACCACCACCCTGATCACTTCCTACTCCCGACCCCGCGGTATGTTAAAGGGTCCATCTGATCTTTTTCCACTACTACTTCGAATACGTAATTTGACAAGCATGTGTACAATTTGAGCGGGAAAAACAAAAACTTGATGATCGATGATAGAAAGAATTACCGGTCTCTCTAGTTACTTGCTACAGAAATATGATAGTTTAGTGAGGGATTCACTAATGATCCCCAACTATAGTGGTCTTATTGTAATCAAATCCACGAGGAGAGCCGTGTGGGATTTGGGGATATACAAGAAATATCACATGTACTCTGCCCTACCCAACACCAACAGGAGGGGGGAAATCAAAGGCAAAACACTTCATTTGGTCATTGTGTGACTCTTAGTAATTAAATAATGGACTGTGACTGGGCATGCTAACAGTGACTTCCACACAAATAACGAACTAAATGTTTGTTGAGTATTCGACTAATTTTTTTTTTTTTGAAGAATTTTATCAACATAAGGGTAGTTGGAACTCTATTCAATTCACTGGACAGATATTTTATTGTGTTATGTGGTCCTCAATCTCTTGCCTTTTTGTTTGTTAAAAACATGATAACGTGGGATGTGCTTCATGCCACAGCAAGTCGGCAGCATGCAGCATAACCGCCGTCCACAAATCCAAAGACGCAGTTAGGAAGTGGTTAACATTTTTCTCACTATTCGAGTTATCAAGAGCGGTTGATTTATGATATGGTATCAAAATTGGTAATCAAGTGGTTGTGTGTTCGAATATCTGTAATTCCATTATAAATAGTTGTCAGTTGGTTTAAGCACACCGTATGGTTGATAATGTACAAATTTCAAGCCCGTGAGTTATTGGAACGAGTTGGTTTATATCATGGTATTGAGTTGGGTTGTTCTTGATGTCACATGTTAAAATCCTCACGACCCCACTATAAATCGCCGTCTCAAAGGACGTGGTATGACGGGTCTGTGGAAATTTGAAACTCGTGAATTGATTTTCATTTGAGGTGGCATGCTAGAAAACGATTAAAGCTCATATGCAAACTTGTTTCAACAATTCAGATTATTGAGATCGGTTGGTTTACGATAATAACGTCGTAATAAGGGAGACCGTAAGTAGTGATCAGTCGGTCAAAGTTGAGGGGCTAATATTGCCGAAGTTTTGGTCAAAGCTATCCAGCCTGCACGCAGCCATAATCTGCTTGGTTCCTGACTGTAAATAATCAAATCTGCAACACTATTAAAATGGCGCACATAGACTGAAATGGCAACAATATATGGTCAAGCCGGTGCTTATAAATTATAAGCCAAAACTTATAGTCTGTCCTTTATATCACTTGGTGTTCAAGAACCAGAACACCACTCGATCGAGTAGAGGATAATATAGATAAGCGATCAGGTTTGAGCGTGAATTTATCGTTTTGATCGTACGCACATATTTCTAATTCAAAGAAACATCACTCATTGGTAGGACGGACAATGGATGAATTGGATGAGTTTCACTTCCAAATTATCTACACGTTACGGCTTAACTCTCTCCACCGCTTTTTAAGTGCGGCCCAATGCTCTAATTTATTCTGGATCCGCCGCTGTGCATCCATGAAAATTGATTAGTTGAAGTTAAAGCCAAAGCAATTTGGGTCATGGGTAAGTCCATAGCTCGCTTCCACTCAGTATCAAGTCTCAACTAATTCTTCATTGGGCTTGAACTCCTTATGTCTTTCTAATGGGCTTAAACCAATCAAGCTATCTCCAATAGAAATAGGCCCACTCCATTCAGCCCAACTACACAGAACTTCACCCTTTCCCAAATGCGTCGTCTTCCCCAGCAAAACCCCATCAATCCAAAACCCTAACACTTATAAATTCCGCATTTTAATTCAACCGAAAAAACCTCCGCCACCACTCCCTAAACCCTACAAACCCTAGAAACAGCCACTGGTCTCGCCCACGAGACCACCAGCCAACAATGTCGGAAGTCGAAGTCTCCCGCTCGGAGAAGAAGAAGCACAAGAAGAAGACCGCCCCGGAGACCGAGGCCGACCCCATGACCCCTTCCAAAGACGGCTCCTCCCCCGCCGCCGCCGCCGGAGACTTCCTGATCAAGCCCCAGAGCTTCACACCGGCGATCGACACTTCCCAGTGGCCCATCCTGCTCAAGAACTACGACCGCCTGAATGTCCGGACCGGACACTACACTCCACTCCCCTCCGGCTACTCCCCGCTCAAGCGTCCCCTTGCTGAGTACATCCGCTACGGCGTCATGAATCTCGACAAGCCGGCCAACCCTTCCTCCCACGAGGTGGTCGCTTGGATTAAGAGGATCCTCCGCTCGGAGAAGACCGGTCACAGCGGGACTCTCGACCCGAAAGTTACAGGTAACTTGATCGTTTGTATCGATAGAGCTACCCGTCTAGTTAAGTCGCAGCAGGGGGCCGGGAAAGAGTACGTCTGTGTGGCCAGGCTGCACGATAAGGTCCCCGATGTAGCTAAAGTTGCCAGAGCGCTGGAGACTCTGACTGGAGCTGTCTTCCAGAGGCCTCCCCTGATCTCTGCTGTGAAGAGGCAGCTCAGGATTAGGACTGTTTATGAGAGCAAGCTGCTGGAGTATGATGTTGATAGGCATTTGGTTGTGTTCTGGATTTCGTGCGAGGCGGGTACTTATGTGAGGACCATGTGTGTCCATTTGGGTCTGGTTCTTGGTGTTGGGGGGCATATGCAGGAGCTTAGGAGGGTTAGGTCTGGGATTTTGGGTGAGAAGGATAACATGGTCACGATGCACGATGTGATGGATGCTCAGTGGGCTTATGATAACTATAGGGATGAGTCTTATCTGAGGAGGGTGATTATGCCGCTCGAGGTGCTGTTGACTAGCTACAAAAGGCTGGTGGTGAAGGATTCTGCTGTGAATGCAATTTGCTACGGTGCAAAGCTGATGATTCCCGGGTTGTTGAGGTTTGAGAATGATGTGGAAGTTGGGGAGGAAGTTGTGCTGATGACAACAAAGGGTGAGGCGATTGCATTGGGGATTGCTGAGATGACCACTGCTGTGATGGCTACCTGTGATCATGGTGTTGTGGCGAAGATAAAGAGGGTGGTTATGGACAGGGATACTTATCCTAGGAAATGGGGGCTGGGTCCGAGGGCTTCGATGAAGAAGAAGCTGATTTCGGAAGGGAAGTTGGATAAACATGGGAAGCCGAATGAGAAGACACCAAATGAATGGGCCAGGAACTTGGTTCTTCCTACTGGTGGAGACTCGATGGTTGCTAGTCTTGCCGCCTCCGCTGGACCAGAGACAAATGCTGCTGCTCCTACTCCTGATGTGGCAACCGAGAAGAAGAAGAGCAAACGGAAACATGATGATGATACCCCTGCTGATGCTGAGGCGACGGCGAAGAAGGTTAAGGTTGATCATGTTGAGGTAGAGGAAACTCCCAAGGCGAAGGTGGAAGGTGGTGATGATAAGTCGGAGAAGAAGAAGAAGAAAAAGAAGAGCAAAGAGGGTGGTGAAGAGGAAGTTGTTGTAGCGGATAAAGAGTCGGAGAAGAAAAAGAAGAAGGAGAAGAACGGTGAAGAGGCTGGTTCACCGGATAAGGAGAAGTCGGAGAAGAAGAAAAAGAAGAAGAAAGAGAAGGAAGGTGATGAAGGCGCTGTTAACGGGAAGGAAGATGGAGAGGCTGATAAAAGTGAGAAAAAGAAGAAGAAAAAGAAGGACAAAGATGGAGAAGAAGAATAGATGAATAAGACTGGAGATATGCATTTTTGTTTGCCAGATGAAACCCACAAATGCTTGTGCGTATGTTATCTCTTCTGGGAGAGTTGGTTGCTCGTTTGTTTTTCTTTTGTTCTGTAATATTTCGTAATATGCAGTTTCATGGGAACTAGTTTTTAGAGAAATTGTTCTGTTAAGTGTTAGGTGGGAGAACCAAGAGTCCTGAGCTGTATTATTATCCTCTTTTCTATACCAGTTCTCTGCATGAATTTTATTGCCAAGCTCATCACTATTTATCAAGCTTCAGATTATGTGCAGTACAAATATTACAGAGTGTAGAGATCAAATTGCAGACATACAAAACCAGTACAAAAATGACGAAGCAACAATCTACTTCACTACAATGTATGTTTGACACCTACAAGGAATTATCTGCGGGGCTTGCAAGGCAGTTTGGTTTCAGCTGCCAATAGGAGTGACAGTCTCAAAAGCCTCGACCAGCAGCTCAACTTTCCTTCTCCTGACCGGTGTCAGTTGTGCTACGACCTGTCGAAGAGCATAATCAAGCATCCATTCGTCACCACTTTTCCTACCTCCTACATTCTGGCGCCTCAGCTGGATCTTCTCTGCCTCTTTTTCATGCTCCATAGCCAGAAACTGTGGTTCCCTTGGACTAATGACCTTCCTTGCCGAGGAAGTCAAGCGGCTGTCATTCACTTTCTCCAATGACTTGATGAATCTCTTGAGCAATATCACCTTCTTCAGATTGCTCCAGCTCTTCCTAAATGGTGGGTTTGATTGTTCCTTTCCTTTTCCATCTTTGCAACTATTGGGTTCTTCTTCAAGTGTCTCTTTGTTGCAGCCAGTTGAAGCTTCTTCTACATGGGGATTTACTGAGGTTTGTACTTCGTCTCGAGTCTCTGGAAGAGGGATTTTGTCGATAGCCTCTTCCACAAGCCTTATGGCTTCGAGCTGAGAATGAGACTCATTCCTTCCACTAAGTGTGTCTTCTTCTTCTTCTTCGCCATTTTCTTGAAGTGGTTCTGTTGTTCCTGAAACCATGTGGTTGTATATCAGATACCAAAGCTGCATATGTTGCTGCTTCCCCACAAGGTTTTCAGCTGCAGTGGCTGGTTGAGGGTCACCATTTCCGTTTGTGATTTCTTCTGATCTATCCTTATCAAAACTGTCGTCTAGAATTAGTTCCTCCTGATGGGTAGTATTTGAAGTTTGGTATCCTGGTTCATCTGATTCTTCACCAATTTGATCAATGTGTTCACCGGAATCTGGTTCGAGCCTAGTGAAATCACCAGTATCATCATGAACAGCCGAGTCTGCAGCACCAGTTTCTGAAGCTAGTTCATCGACTTCTGGTTCAGGACAAGGCACATGGATTTGCTGTTTTACTGTGCAGGCACCACCATCTTGATCATGATTATCTTTGGAACCAGTAGATACCTTCCGCAGTAGGATGCCAAATCTTGTGTTCTCTTCCTCCTGCTCATGGACCTTCTGAGTTGAGATGTCGCGACTTGTATGAACTGGAGTCCTCGGAGTAGAAGAAGCTGCATGACTGCCAGCTTCTCCCTGAGGTGCTACTGTTTCAAATGCTTGTACAATAAGAGCCACTTTCCTTTTCTGAGCTGGAGCCATTGTTGAAATGACCTTCTGAATAGCATAATCAAGCATCCATTCCTCCGAGTTCTTCTGCCCAATCGATTGAGGACGTAGATTAACCATTTCTACTGCTTCCCCCTCTTGCTCTATAGACTGACCTCGAGCCTTGTGTGTGTTGTTGTAGTTTTTGACCTTCTCCATTGCCTTGACAAATCTTTTCATTAACATAATCTTTTTCAGATTGCTCCAACCATCGAGCCTTTTCTTACCAGATTTGTTTCCTACCTGTGCTTCTGCTTTATCTCGATCAGAGCCGTTAGAAATATCAGCTTCCAGCTTCATTTGCTCTTGTTGAACCTGTTCCGTTGGTGAACTGGTGTTGTTGTTCTTGTTGTCTCCAAGCTCATGAGAAGCTGTGTCTACAGAACCCACCGATTGGTTATCAGATAAAGGGTCCGGAATCTCCAACAGGATGTTGTCAAATGCTTCCTGAACCAACTTGATTGCATCATGCTTGTGGGAATCAACTTCTGCATCAGCTCTTTGATCCATTCCAGAAGATTCCTCAACATCTTGCTCCCCAAATTTCTCAGGCTGCTGAGATTCACCACCATCTGCCACAGCAGTTCCCGATACCATATGCTGATAGATCAAGCCCCATAATCCGATGAAATTATTCTTCTCCATAGAGTTTTCAGACGAAAGATGGCCACCATCAGGCTTATGATCTGGAGAATGATGATCTTCTATTTCTGGATTCTGTCCTTTAGCAGAAGGAGAATTGACCAAGTCTTTAATCCCTCGTGATGTGTACTGTGGCTGATTGTGACCTTCACAGAGATTCGAGAAATCGGCCTCTAACGACCCACCCTCTACTTTGACACAAGAATTTGGTCTGCCGCCATTAGCTGCCTGTCCAAGTTCACAACTTTCAGAAACGACATCACCCTTTTTGGTTTGATCCACTTGGTTTTTCTTGTAGGAACGTTTTGGCCTCTTACTATAAGAAGACTGCTGGCTAACTTTCTCAGATGAATTATCAATCATCTTCTGGGGTTTCAACATTCTCCTTCTCATTGACACAAACCGTTTCAGTGAAGGCGCTTGATCATTATTGGAATGGTGATGGCCGTGCAATGAACAGTAGCTGTATGGACAAACCTTCATTCCAGCATCAGCATCAGCAACAGAAGAACTTCCATCGGAGCGGCTTCCTGCAGCCTTAGAATCCTTGAGAGCTGATGAACTAGTGGTTTTCACTGCCCTTGATCCAGATCGCCTCCTTATTCTCTGACTTGACACCTTTACTAAAGTCCTCACAGATTTGGACCCACCAGTCCTTCCTCCCTGGAAAACAAAAAGTCAAAAACCATGAGTCATCCCTCAAAAGATCCAGATCACAAAGTTAAAAACTTTGCTTAAAAGGATAAAGGGGGGAAGTTGTCCTTTTGGCTTGCCTCAGAATCGGAAGAAGACCAATCAAAATCATCAGATACTGAACTAACTGGCCTGCCCCTTCTGAAAGATTTCCTCATCCTGAATTTCGAGCTAGACAGCCTGGTCAAACCCTTTGCAGGCTTCATGAAACTGCCTCTCCTAGTAAGACTTCTGCCTCCTGATCTCTGCCTCCCGATTAAAAAGAAGGGAACTTTAAGATGCGGGAATTCAATACCAGAAGTGGGTTTCAAGGAATCAGGGAACTTTTTTGTTCTATACCTGGGAATCTCTGTTGCTCTTCTTTGCTACAGTGGATGTGGTGGTCTTCATATAATTTGGCGATGAAGGTGCTGCTCGATCATCAGAACCCAATGACCGCTGTTTCTGGTCCTGTCTCCTGGAATCATTTGATTCAAACTCCTTTCTGCTGCTGGGTGTTCTTGCTGATGAAGAAGAAGAACAAGAAGACGATTGCTCTGAGGTGACAGAATGGGTATCAGAAGAGGTGACTGAGAATTCAGAATCTGTGGCATTCCCAGGCTCAAGCTTCTCTGGATTCATTTTTTTTTCTGGAATCACAAGGACTGGGTATTTGGGGAAGGCAAGGAGGTTTGATTATTGGTTGAGCTGAGATTGGAATGGGCGAGCAAGAAGATTCCAGTAGCTGTGGATTTTGACTTGAACACAGCTAATAATCTTATTGGCTTGCCTCCCTCTCTAATTCTTTATTCTGTCCGCGAAATTTGAATATTCTAAGTAGTTTGTTGTTGTGATGTCAATACCAAAAGTAAAAGATGGCACCTTTGAGCAACTGGGAATTATCAGAGTCAGTCAATGTGAATCGAAGAGCATGGCGTCTTTGAAATTTTCTTGCCTGTGGTACTGGTGAATTGAAGCCACCAGACCAGAGATGGGTTGTTTTCTCATCTGTTGACTCTGCTCTTCATCAACTTGACTTTTCATTGATGGAAATCATGGGCGATTCAACACGTAAGTATTCGCCAACATATTTTATATTCTGATACATATATAATATTTTCATGAAATTGTATTGTTTTTAGCTAATTTTCTTGGCTTTGAAAAAGGTGGTGGTGAGATGAATGTATAATTATAATTTTATTATTTTTTTATTACCATATCAAATAGTTAAGGAAAATTTTTAGGTCCAACCCTAGTTGGTTCTTCCACCTCTTTTTCCCCCTTTATTTTTAATGCTTATATTATTGCTTTAAAATTAATAAAATAAAAAATACAATTTGACGGCAGCATAATTTTGACGGAACGGGGCTTTTGACGGCACGGAACGGCAGCATAAAGCCGCACAGCTGTAATATATATGTTTGTGTATTTGATCATTGGAATCAAAAGCTGCAGTGGTATACTCTGGTTTATTTTATAATTCAGTGGACTTCAAATGAGCTAGGTCATGCCTATTCATTGACTGGCTAATTGCTCTGCTCCTAGTCCTTGAATTTGCCATGCACGAGAAAGAAGTGTTATTTTGCCATGCTTAGTAAAATCAATTAATCCATCAATTTTGGTAGATTGCAAAGTATGATTGTCTTTCCAATATCAATCGACGAATTGACTAATTATAACAACTTTAACAAAAATCAATATTCAATATCAAAATTTGATATATTAACTAAGTGAATACTTGATGACAAACAAAGTGAAAATGAACTACTTCTCAATAATTCATTGCAACAGAATTCTTATAGCAAAAACTCTCAAATGTCAACCATGGATTCCCCCAAAAAAGGATTGAAACTGTGTTCCAAATATTCAGATAAAGAAAACATGGAGAATATTCCATTGTGCTTGATAAATAAATATTTTCACACTTTTGGATCATCATAATGAGAATTTGCTATTGCCTCCTGCAAAACAATGGCATCAATCAAAAGTATTAATAAATAGAATTATAGAACATACATAAAAGTAATTCTTGTTTTCTATACCTGTAACAATTGAGTATATGACATATTATTGGAATGTATTGTCAAGTCAAAATGCTCTTCATGAATATATCCTGTTGGTCTAGTAATCGAACTTTGAGATTCATATTGCTCAATCACCACCTACAAAATTTGATATGTCTATCAATAAAACAAACATATTACACTTTTCTTCTACATAAATTAGAATAAGCTAAAACAATTACCTGACTGTTTTGACCATTAACTTCAGGATTACTGTAAACTTGTTGAGAAGAACTCGTTTTCACTTTTTTACCCTACACATATAATGTCATTTGAAACATAGTGATTACAATCAATATAACATAATAGCATTGTTTGAAAATGAGAAAAGAAGAAAAAGAAAACCTGTGGCTTTGTTTGACTTTTATGATTTTTTCCGCGCTCTAATGCACCTTTCATTCTGCCTTTTGGTCGTCCAACTGTAGCTTTGGTCTTAACTCCAGCTACAATTGGATAATCTTGTTCATCTTTTGAGCATAATGCCTCATCAGAAGTTCCACCATGTGTGCTTTTTTTCATCTCCTGCAGATCTTTTAGCAAATTTGAAAGTACTCCAACTGTGTGCTCATACATAGTGTCATTCTCAGCTCCTAGGGTGGATATCTCTCGAAAATTGTAATTAAGATTCAAGTAACGCTTCCCAATGAGGTCCTTAGACCCTCCCTGAACTTGAGTTGAACTACTTATTTGTCCATCTTTTGCATCCTTTGTCCATCTCTTCAATATATACTGCTTGGGAATGTGCTTTATATTTTTCTTGTCAAGAACTTTCAAAGCATGAGCACAAAGAATCCCAACAAAGTCAAACTTTCTGCAACTGCACTCAACTCCTTGAGAAGAAAGATGAAATTGGACTTGGTGCTCTGTACCTCTACCAGCATATCTCACTTTATACACCACCTGAACTTCTATTTTGCTAGTCTTATCAATGGTACAATCCCATACTTTGAGGTATTCTTCTTGGAACATTACAAACACTTTAGGAGTATAGATCTCTGCTGCCTGTCTTAGCATCTCGACATCTGCTCTCAATTTTGGGCGGGTGTCCCTCATTTTGAACTCTGACAAAAGCTCTTTATAGCGTCTATCTACTACCAATCGACCATAATGCTCAAAAAAGTACACCATGTTGTGTTTTCGCTTCAAGTACTTCTTCAACACATTGTTCATTGATTCACTACGTTGTGTACTCTTCATATCAGCAGTAAACATATATCTCCCATAAACCATGGCCCACTTTTCTCTTTCTATGAAAATTCCATGCAACCATTCATTGTTTTCCAACTTATGCTTTTTAAGCATAGAATCCCAAGCTTCATACCATTCATCCTCATCTTCATAATCATATACACATGAACCAAAATCACTAGCAAACTGGTTGGATGCATGGAATACATGGCTTAAGTGTTTAGCAGCATTTTGATAAATATGCCAAACACATAAACGATGATGGGTTTCAGTAAATACCTCTTCAATTGCTCTGGCCATAGCAGCTGACTGATCTGTTAATATAGTCTTGGGGTGTTTTCCTGCCATTGCTTTCAAAAAGGTATCAAATAACCACTTGAATGACGTGATTGTTTCATCATAAAGTAATGCTGCCCCAAAAATAATTGTCTCCTTCAGATGATTGACTCCAACAAAAGGAGCAAAAGGACGACCATACTTGTTAATCCTGTAGGTTGTATCAAAACATACAACATCTCCGAAGTACTTGTAATCAACTATCGACCTGCTATCTGCCCAAAACATATTCATAATAAGATCATCATCATCAAGCTGCATTGAGTAAAAAAATGATGGATCATCTGATTGTGCTTTTTGAAAACAATCCATAATTGCTTGACCGTCTCCCTTAATCAGCTTAGCCCTTCTCTGAGAATCAATATAATTGTAGTAGTCTGTGTCCAGAAATCCATTGTTCTCCCGACCCCCATTTTGTACTGCTAGTAAATTAATAACCGACTTGATTGGTAACCCGGCCTTTTCAGCATCATCTGCAATAGCTTTCTGAGCAATACTCATCTTTCTATTAGATCTCAACATGTGCTTCATTGGAGTGGGAGCCAAATCATGGTTGTGGTTTGCTTCAAAAGAGATAACCTCAAGCAAACCATCATTTTGTAGTTTGCACGTCATCTCCGCTAAACAACCTATTCTGGTAATTGGTCGTTCGTAAGCAACCTCCTTCCCTTTTTTATTCGCATTTTTCTCTCCTTCTTTAGCACATGTATATGTTCTTCTTTTTACTGTTCCTGTTGAAGTGCGCTTGATGAATTGCTTTCTTACACTGAATCCAAGTTTATGTGCATATGCACTATAAAATGCATAAGCCATATTATCAGAATCAAACTTCATCCCAATCCGCGGTACTTCATTACGTTCACTCATCATAGGATGATTTTGTTCTTCATCCCCTGCATGTGAACTCATACCTGTAGAGCATCCATATAGCTAAAAGAGTTTAGCAAAACTTGATGGAAAACAATTGAAAGTACTATATAAGAAAGAAGAAGTGTCGATTTTGATGAGTCCCATTGAGAAGGACAAACAAAAAGCTGCTTCATGAAATAACTTGGATTCTTATAATTATGCATTTTCTTTTTAAAGGATACGCACAAACAAAAACATCATTAAACCCTTTTAGGTTAATTAAGTTTTATATATTTGCCATGTAGGTAAGCTGTTGTCGCAGCTTTTGATGATCAACATCATTAAACCCTTTTAGGTTAATTAAGTTTTATATATTTGCCATGTAGGTAAGCTGTTGTCGCAGCTTTTGATGATTGATAACCTACCTCTACCAAGACCGCCCTAAACACTGGAATAAATAATTGATTATTGGTCAATCGATTGTTAGAATGAAACGAACACAGACACACTGCCATTGCTTAATTATGATGATGATATCCTACGTACCTTACTTCCCTGCAGCCGCTGGGGATTGAATTTTCTCAGCTGTGCGCCTTCTTCTTCTTCGTTCACGATTGGAGAAACGCTGAATCCAAAACTATAACCTAACTAAATTATGCTGCCGTTCCGTGCCGTCAAAAGCCCCATTCCGTCAAAATTATGCTGCCGTCAAGTTGTATTTTTGATTTTATTAATTTTAAAGCAATAATATAAGCATTAAAAATAAAGGGGAAAAAAGAGGTGGAAGAACCAATAGTAGTCTGCCATTTGGCTGGTTGGAGCTAGTAGCTCCAACTAGGGTTGGACCTAAAAATTTTCCAATAGTTAACCATCAACACTTAGGACAAATTTAACGGAATTAGATAACCAGTAACTAATGATGAAATAAAGATTTAGAGTCGATTACTAATAAGCAAGAAAATTTTTCTACGTGGTAAACGTCAAATGCATCGATAAATTGAGTGATCAAACTTGATACAACAAAGAGTAGTGGCTATAGCGATTTTGAGATCTCGCTAGCTAGCTAGTCTTTGAGGCAGAATGGATTAGAAAGTCTTGTACCAGTACATTTAAACAAAATGAAAAACACAATTGATACAGTAGGATATCATATAATCTAATTAATAAGCTTAGACTCTCATCTTATTGCTGCTATGGCTGTTTTTTAAACAGGGATCATGGGTGCCAAATTGTTGGAATCAAGTGCAGTTCATGTTTCCTCCTTGCCGTAGCACCTAATAGTTCATCCATGTCCAGGCTTTCAGGCTTTATCCCTTGAGGAAGCTGCCAGTCAAAATGGAACAGCAAATTAGCAAGTGCAGTCTCCACACTTGATACTCCGAATAATATTCCAGGACAGCTCCTTCTTCCGGCACCAAACGGAATGAAGTCGAAATCGTTCCCCTTGCAATCAACCGCACCTGATCTGTCCATGAATCTCTCTGGATAGAATATCTCTGGTTCGGTCCAGTACTTTGAATCCCTCCCGATGGCCAATGCATTAATTATCATCTTAGTCTTCTCCGGGATTCTGTACCCTTCCACCTCGCATTGCTCCCGGGACTCTCTAGGGACAAGCAGAGGCACCGGAGGGTGCAGCCTCAGGGTTTCGTTGATGACCATCTTCAGGTAATTCAGTTCATGAATCCTTTCTTCCTCAACCTTGCCGCTCTTCTCAAACACTGCCCTAATCTCGGCTTGTACCTTGTTCATCACTCTTTCGTCTCTAACCAGCTCTGACATGGTCCATTCCAGTGCCGTCGATGAAGTATCGCTTCCTGCGAAATAAAGGTCCTGCATGCAGAAAACACACAAGTGTTTGATTTAAGAGGTAAGTCAATATATTGACATATAGATAATTAATATCCTCTGATCAGTGTTAGTCCTCCTACTAACAATAATGATAAGGGTATTATAATAACTATCGTAGTGGAGTTACCAACCTCATTCTGCTCCTTTTCACTTCTAGTGTTTGCAGCCTAGCTACTAACAATTGATTTTATGAACTTGTGAGTAAGGCTTGAATGAACGTGTGGGTAGGGATCTGAATTTACCAGGATTACTCCTTTTATACTTTCAGTCGTTAGTGTGAACCCAAGGTCTCCATTTTGCTGAACCTTCAACATAACATCCACAAGATCATCTTGCTCCTCCTTTTCTTCACCTCCTCCTGCAGCAGCTTTGTCTCTATGTTCATCTATGATGCTATCTAGCATCCGGTCAGCTTCTCGCTTCCACCTCTGAAGCCAGTGTCTCGCCCCGGTGACGACCTGCAGGAACTCGAAAGACGGGAACAAGTCGGCAACAGTGAACCCACTCCCGGGCCTGTTGAGCTCCATGTTCATCCGCACGAACGACTCCTCCTCCTCCTCCTTCAGATTCCCGAACGCGGCCTTGGATATGACCTTGTACATCATTGAGAACACCATCCCGCTGACGTTGACCGTCGCAGACGACGACCCAGCTTGCACCATCAGCAGCTTGCGAATGTCGGCGACCAAGCGAGACGCTTCCTGCTCCCTGATGGCGCGGAAAGAGCGAACCCGCTTGGCGCTGAGGAGCTCCAGCACGCACACCTTCCTGAGCTGGCGCCAGAACTCGCGTAGGGCGCCCACGCGAGGTCGCTTTTGCCGAACACGATGTCGACGAGGAGGAGCGGCGCTCGGTTGGAGAAGGTGATGTCGTGGGTCTTGAAGACTTGTCTGGCCATGTCGACCGAGGAGACGACGACGGTTTGGATCTGGCCGAGCTGGAGGTGCATCAAGGGCCGTGTGCGTCGGCCAGCTCGATGAGGCGGTGGTGGGGGAGCTTCGAGAAGGAGAGCAGCTGGTGGAGGTTTCCGATGATCGGCAGCTTTCTGGGTCCTGGGGGAAGAGGCGCCGCCGCTGGGACGACTTGCTTCCACAGTTTGAGGATTAGAAAGATGGTGACGGCTAGTAGGAATGACAAGATCTGCAGCAGGGGAAGGGGAATAAGGTCCATTTCTCTTCTCTTCTCTTCTCTTCTCTTCTCTTCTTTTCTTGGGTGGGATGGAGTACTGGAGGTCGATGATGACCGGGCGGAAAATGTCCTTAAATACATCTTTGCGGTTGCGGAGAAGCCACCAAGGCTTACGTGTCATTGCACCAAGTTCATATTTATATATTAAAAATATTATTATTGGAGTTCCAATCTTTGTCACTTAAATGAATAAAGAGCATTGTAAACAACTAAGCTACATTTTATTTATTGTTATTTTTTTTTATTAAACTCTAGGAATATGTTTCGCGATGATGCTTCTATATTATATTTTCTCTTAAGTTATTATATTTTATAGAAAGAGATTAGTTCCGAAATTGGAACTCAAGTAGTATTTGATTCGAACATTAATATTAAATTGTATGTGTTGTTTAGTTTAGACAAAATACATAAGTGTAACCAAAACATGGACCTTTGTGACGAGTATAATAATTTTTTCGTGACAAATTTACACATAATATAATGATAAAATTGAAAAATAAGAGTCTTATTTCAAATTTCTTGACCTGGAAAATTAAGATACATTTTTTTTTGAATTCGGACCATAACTAATATATATGGAGGGAAAAAGAGAGAGTGGATGGGGAGAGGGTCTCACTCTCAATTAAAGAGATCAACATGCAAGGACGTCACAGCACGCGCTCATTGATTGGTCCAAACCCCAAGCAGAAATGTGTTGGCCCCCAAGCGCGTTGTCCGTCCCTTGCCCTGGTGGTCCCAAAATTTTGGAACTTCTTGTCTGCTTCTTCTGGTCCAGATTTAGAACAAAAAACTAGAAAAAATGGAACTTTTTGGCTTTTGAAACTCTACTAAAGAGCTTTGAGTCCAAATTTTTGGACTTTTAGAACAACGCTAAAGATGGTCTTACAAGTAGAGGTGGCAAATGGATTGGATTGGTGGATTGGTGGATTGGATTGGTGGATCCATGGATTAAATGGATTGGATCTAATGGATTGGTGGATTCATGGATTGGATCAAGTGGATTGGTGGATTATCCATGAATCCAAATGACATCCTCAATCAAGGACCAATATGTAAAAAGTTTAGGTACTAAAATGTCATAATGAAAAATTTTAGGTACCAAAACGTAATTTTCCAATGATATTTTCGTATAAAAAATTAAATTTTCGGTACCAAAATGTAAAAAATAAAAATTATAGGTACTAAACCGTAATTTGCCAATGATCCATGGATCCAATCCATGAATCAACCAATCCAATTGGATTTGGATAAAATGGATTGGATTATGTGAATATTTTTAATGGATTGATGGATTGGATTGGTGGATTGGATTAAAATTGACACCTCTACTTACAAGTCTGAAGCATAGACCAGGAAACCGGATCGTACCGGCCGGTTCAACCGGAAATTGGACCAAAAGCGGTACGGTGGGCTGATTGTGCTGATTTTACCGTACCGGTTGGTTTTTTCGGTTTGACCGGTTGAACCGGTTGAACCGGCCGGTACGATCCGGTTTCCTGGTCTATGATTCAGCTTCATTTCTCCGTATTCTCGTCCAATATGTGGAAAATAATTAAAAAAATTATTATTTTGCTATTTTTCTATGTTGAAAATGGGTCACCGTGGTTGTATAATGCTCTATTTGGTTCTTTTTTTGATGGATTATATTTTTTATACTATCGCATTTCATTTCTCTATCAATAGTGAAAAACGGTATTTACCGGTATAAAACGGTTGAACCACGGTCGTACCAAAAAATAACATACCAGAAAAGAATCCGGTATGATGTCCGGTATGGTTTCCTTTACCATGGTCTGAAGTTGTAATAACTAATTAGGCAATTTGCTGCTGCTAATTAAGGCAATTTAGAAACCAAATTAGGCAATATAATTTGCCGCAAATTAAGACATTCACGTGGTGTTGCTTTTCTCGACTGCCACACTAGCAAGCACCCGCCGATGGATGGAGTTCTGCCGGGAAATCATACATTTCTCGACTGCCACGCCATCACCCGCTGATCGAGTTCAGCCGGAGAATCTGCCAAACTAGGAAAATGGATCGAACAGTTTGAAACATTATTTAATCAAATAATCCGGATCATGCTCCATCCTCCGATAGATTCCGGCGGGGGAATCAATAGCATCCACGTGCCAAGTTGCTTAATCAAAAGATTCGGATCTAAGTTACCACATGGTCAACCGTCCATACTTGCGGGGAAATCGATATTGTTTACACGATTTCTAAACAAAATTAGATAATATTTAATATTTACATAACATAGTTCAGTATTTGCATGATCATAAAATTGGAATATGCACACAACATGAATATCATGTTCTTTACAAAGAATGTTCGAAATATATAGTGCGAGCTACATTATGTGAAATCGGTTCCGTGGGAATCAATAGAGCGGTCCATAAATCTCTCGGGCAAGAACCTATCTGGCTCCGTCCAGTAACGAGGATCTCGGTTGATCGCCCAGGCGCTCACGATGACACTGGTATTGACAGGGACCTCATATGAGCCGAACTCCACCTTACGATCTCTATTTTGTCTCGGAAGAAGCAAAGGAGCCGGAGGGTGTAACCTTAAGCTCTCGGCAATTACCATATCCAAATAATTCAATTGTTTACCCGATTTTCAGAACGAAATTAGATAATATTTACACAAGTTTTGAAATAAAAGGCTTGTACACTTTTTTCTAAACTATTGTTAATAAATCTTGTTTATAATATTTATTTTTCAATAACATCAAGTAGAAAATGGATATTGTTTACACGATTTTTCGAAACAAAAATAGATAATATTTATATAACGTACATATACAAATATATATTCTCTACAATGAATGTTCCAAATATATAGTGCGAGCTACATTAATTATGTGAACGTGTTCATCACAAGTCCCAATATTTAGCTTGTCATACTAAGAATAATAACGTCTACTAACCGTAAGAAAAGGTGTACGAACCATAGGACGAAAAATTGTGCAAATACCATAGCTGGATCGGCCAATCACCGACATCTCGGTAATTACGCAGTGGACTCGCATCCGAGATCCTTATAACACGCTTCGGCGTCTATCATTTTTTTTTTTTTGAATTAGAGTTTATTCATCAATAAAGGGTGAGAGCACCCTAAACTGTAAGCAACCTCTAACCGTTTCAATTATCAATTTTGGTTGGGACTATATCAGTATGTTATTGTTTTTAGGGTCAGCCCACTAAACGTTCATGTTACAGAAAATTAGAAGAAAGAATATATTCGTTACATTATAATACTAGAAAAGTATGTACAAAAAATTAGTAAAAATGTACGTTTTGTTAATTTACAATAATAGAGGGTACAAAATGCTATCAACTCTTAGTTTAATTGTCACAGCTTGACCATACATTGAGAATTGGGATGATGAGGGCGAGGTGCGAAAAGAATTGGGATGGAGGAGAAAAGAGCTGCTTGCTTGGCTAGCGGCTTTAAAATTTTGACAGAAAAGAATAGATTTCCATGAAGCGTAAAAAAACCCTTATGAGTTATGAACAGTGGCTATTGCTTCGGAAAAATCGTATGAAACAGTGTACTTATAATAATAATAATAATAATATATTTTTAGTTTGTTAGCCCGCGCTCTGCAGCGGTTTTAATGATTTAGTTGAAATTAAATAATTCAAAATATAGTTTAAAAGATACATAAGAGATAAATCCATAAAATTTATGTACTGTCTTAATCATAAGCTTACACAATACACATTGATACATAAGAGATAACTATCCCTCCATAAATTTCACGCCGTGTATTTCTAATTTACATAATTGTTATAGAATGGTATTACGTAAATATTTTGTAAGTTGTGGTCTAATAATAAAGTCATCGCTTCTTTGCAAGGTAACTCTCAATCTCATAAGAGAGATCAACGCGCATCTTTTTAACTGAAGCATTCATTCCCTCCTCCATGCTGTGCTATTGATTGAATCATCCTTCCGGAAGAAAAACATTGGAAAAAATATCACATTTGATTAAATTGTTATGTAAACTTATCTTACGAACATTTGTGTAAGACAAATTGATGAGATGGTGGATGCTATATGTAATAATAAGGAATTTGATTTAATAATAAAATAATTAAGTTACAAAAAAGATGAAAATAAATGGCCTAACATAGTTTTTGTGTGATGCAAATTGGTGAGATGATTAACATCTTGATTAATAATAATTATTTTTTGTTCAAACTTATACCACAAAAGAATTACTTAATATACCTATTTAATTGATACATAAGAAATGACTATCCATCCAGAAAACTTTATATAGTGTTTTAATCATTATGAAAACTTAACAAATATGTTTTATTTAATTGATACATAAGAAATAACTCTATATCTATAACTTTACGTAATGTATGACGTATATGTTTTTGTAACTGTTGTAAAACAGTGTGACGTAAAACTTCTATAATGTGTGGTCTAATAATAAAATCAAGTTATAAAAAGTAAGCTTGCTAAAACTTCGTAAAGAACAGTAACATAATTAAGAGACAAACTTGCACTATTAATAATAAATATAATAATTATTATTATTGAAATGTGATTTTTCAGAATGAAAAGAAATATGTACTCTAGTACTGCGTTTTATTAGCTAGCATGGTGACACGTGCATGTCTTACTACACTTGTAAACTTATCTAACGGATGTGATGAGACTCGGGTTGGATATGGTCCTTAAGTCTCATTGTTTAAGAAGGTTCTTAAACCATTTTTATTGGCTGTACCTAGATTAGGTAGGTAATAAGGGGTTAGCAGTTAATAGTTAGTTGGAATAAATAAGATATTATGAAAATATAATTAATATTACTCATTAATGATTCTCTTTCTCGCTCCCACTTGATCTTCTCCATAACCCTCTCTCTCCACTACAATTAGAAGGAAATTCAAAATTAATTTAATTAAATATTATTATTTAATATTTAATAAATTCGAACTTAATATTTTTAATTTTTAATTTTTTAAAATGAAAAATGAAAAAGAAAAATATATACTCTCTCTCACTTCGTGACAACTTGCAATACAGTATTAACATTTTGCAGTGACATTATCAATATTTATGAAATGAATCGTTGTTATTATACCTCATCATTATTAATTAACGACTTCAATATACTTATCAATTCCTTACAATTACATTATTAACAATTTGGATAAATTGTTACTGTTTTATAGTTTCGTCATCAACGCCAATGAATGAATCATTAAAGTTATGTAATATGGTCATTAACAATTTGAATAACAATATCATTGATTTACAACATCTTTAGTACTTATGATTAACATTTCCACATCATGTTTATAACTATCTAGTCATGGCCTCATCCAATGATTTCTAATGACATTATTAACATTTATGATCAATTAATATTGCTTTACATTATCATTCTCAATGATCATAAAAGCACAATACTGATTTCCAACATTTTGGATACTTGTGACATAGTGCACCTGTGTGATTCAGTCAAAAACCATTGTCTATAAAAATATTAGCTCAATTAAACCAACATTCACGCCTCAACACCAAACTTTTAATGACAATACAATAAATCGTTGATAACGAAAAGTATTTCGTTGAAACTAAAGCATACTTAGAAGTTTAATAGGAAGAAGTATCAATTTTGGTGTGCCTTACCCACAACCCGACCACCCATAGTGTCCATTCTGAAACAATATAACGGTTCATCATCAACCGCCTATTTCTGAAACATGACATGGTTTCATGAATCCTTCAACGCAAACATTGCTATCCATTTATCCCATGCAAATAAGCAACTTTATCAAGCGTTGCATTGCTTGGACAAAGAGCCACGTGCATAATTTTCAAAATGGATAAATACATGCATGGATTCACTGTAAACATATAATTACCACCATTCATGAAGCATTACATTACTTCATTCAAAATTGGACAAAACAACACCATGGCACCACGTGCCCTAATGCATGGATCTTGCATTACTTGGTTCGAATTTATCCAAAATGAAACCATGGCATCACATGTGTAAATTTGTGGGACGGGGAAGGTTTGATAATTTCAAACCTAAAGGAACGTTGGTTTAAAATGAAACATTGGCCAAGTTTAATCAACCTTAAACAGGTTCAATTACTTAACCACTTGGCTCCCATATTATTTTCCAACACGGCGATCGTTGGGCTCCTAAGATGTGTAGAATAGGAAGACGCCCATACGGGCCGGAAATGGTGCATGCAAAGTGAGAAGTCAATAAAATTGCAAAATCTCCGCCACCTCATCTCTGCTTCAGCTTCCTTTTCCCTCTTTCTTAAGGCTGCCGCTGATACATTTCAAGTTTGTTGCTTTCAGTTCTTTTGCTTCTTCTCTTTTACCTTGTACGATAGTAGTCAAAATTTTAAATTCAATGAGTTTTGTCGTGTTATCTATGTTAGGGACTTTTTCAATCTGGAGCCGAGGTTCATCTCCAGCTTTGAGGACAAGCCAAATAAGTGCAACACATTACGACACCTGCGATATAGTTGTTGTCAAAACCTACAATACCAACAACACCGCTCGATAGGGCCTGTGTTGCACCATCGACCGCCAGAGGGTACTCGTTTGGTCCATGAGGTACAGTGAAGTCGTGGTTGTCGGGTGATGGCTGATGAGCCAGACTCTCGTATCATGTTAAGAACTAGTTGCTTTCAATAACTCGAATTGTTAGAAGAGGTTCAGTTATAGATCTTATACCATTTACTATAACAAAGGGAGTCCAAGTACTTGTCTAGCATCCAATGACGGTCGGAGCCAGAAATCTAAATGAGGGGAGTTGCCTTTGAATTGTCATAATTAGGAAGGGGTCTAAAGCCTTAGCTAGCAACTAGTCTATTTCCTAAATTTGTACGAATTTTACATGTAAATTTACCTGTATTTCAAAGTTGAGCCACTGTTTGCATCCCAATAGCGCCCAACTGAAACGGAGCCTACAGAAATTAAATTAGCCTTCCTACCATCATAATTTTTTTTAGTGGTTGAGTTATAAATTTGAAAAATAAATTGAGAAAGAATTAATTAAAATATATGAATTGTGACAGATAGACGGGAACGGGATGCTCAAAAATCTTATAAACGGTTTAGTTTTTCTTATATTTGCCCATGTCGAATCAAAATAATTAAACTCAGATCTTTTGTTGGCTTGTTTGTCAAAAATAACTATCCCCTGGTGCTAGGGCTACAATGAATTGTTTACACATTTGTATAAGATCATATCAAGATTCCAAATTTGGGTGCCGATCTTTTTTGTTTGCTTGCCGGACACTCGCACGTTGTACCTGCCTGCAGGAAACCCTTTTCTGTCTTTTAGTAATAATAAATCCACTTAATTATGTTTTGATCAAAGAAAAAAATAGCAATCGGTTAAACATAAAAATTAATTAGCTGTATTAGGGATGCAATACGTATCCATATTAGGGATATTTTGAATTATTTAGACAGTTAAATATACATATATATGATCGGATCAAGATTTCCCAAATTTCTGGGGCAGGTGACCTTGTTCATATTTGGGTGCGTACTGCCACTCGTTTGTTTCTTTTGCGGGGAATCACACGTGACACACAAAGAAATAAATGGGACCGAGTATAATACGTTTAGATCCCATCAATTTTATAAACATTGAAGCGAACCGAATCATATAGATATTTGGACCGAACCAAATCAAACTATACATAACGATGCGGTCCCGTACCTGGTTCTAAAATTTCTTTTACTATTGGACCACAGTTCTTATGATTTGATCCGTTCCAATTCGAAATATACAATTTGACCCGGTTCGGTTTGAAATAGACAATTTGACACCTGTAAGTACATTCACGAAGACGCGCTCTTTGAGCACCATAGTCGATGCCCATATATCGAGTCAAAATTTTAATTTGTAACCACATGGTAATAAAAGTTTGAAATTGTATGAAATTGTTACACTGTTTAATTTGTAACCATTTTGTTCTAAGTACAAAACTTTATTACCATCTTGTTACAAATTACAAATGCATAATTATTTTGTACTAAGTGTAAAGTTTTGTGATCATTTATACTAATTATCTTTGGATAGTTTGTCTGTCATTGTTTAGGTTATCCCTAGGGCTAAGGACTGCCATTTGTATTAGATCAGATCAAGATTCCAAATTTGGGTGCCGTTCTTTTGTTTGTTTGCCTGAGATTCGCACGTTGTACCTGTGCCGGGAAACCCTTTCTTTCTTTACTAATATTAATTAATTACTTAATTATCTGCTGATTAAAGAAAAAATAGCAAATTAGGTAATATAATTTGCCGCAAATTAAGACATTCACGTGGTGTTGCTTTTCTCGACTGCCACACTAGCAAGCACCCGCCGATGATGGAGTTCTGCCGGGAAATCATATATTTCTCGACTGCCACGCCATCACCCGCTGATCGAGCTCTGCCGGAGAATCTGCCAAATTAGGAAAATGGACCGAACAGTTTGAAACATTATTTAATCAAATAATGCGGATCAGGCTCCACCCTCCGATATATTGCGGCGGGCGAATCAATATCATACACGTGCCAAGTTGCTTAATCAAAAGATTCGGATCTAAATTACCACATGGTCAATCATACTTGCGGGAAAATCGATATTGTTTACACGATTTTCTAAACAAAATTAGAGAATATTTAATATTTACATAACGTAGTAGTTCAGTATTTGCATGATCATAAAATTGGAATATGCACACAACATGAATATCATGTTCTTTACAAAGAATGTTCGAAATATATAGTGCGAGCTAGATTATGTGAACGTCCGTCCTAACCTGTAAAAAAAAATGGTGTAACACTATAGGACGAAAGTAGTGCAAATACCATAGCTGGATTGGCCAATATTCATCTATCTCTCCGTAATTACGCAATGAAGTGAATGGACTCACATCTGAGATCCTTACAACACGCTTATGTGTTGTATCAAATTTTTTTAAGAATGAGAGTTTATATTTTGACTATAATTTTTATATATTTTTATGCTTACGACCGCTCCGTATTTAATATAAAATAAATCTGACGATATCTATTTTGACTCATTTTTATTTTTTAAAATTGTTGTTCATATTTTATATTAGAAATATTTTTTAATGACATCTTACATAAAAAAATTTCTAATAATTTTTCAACCAAGCCTTGAATTACTTTTTTCTGAAAAATACTTTTTTAAACGCTCTTAACAAAAGGTGTTTTCTGCAAAAACTACCTCAAACGCCATACTAGCTCTCTCGGTGGTCTTTCAACCCTTTTACTATATATAGATATATGTGTGGTGAAATCATTTTGTCCGTCCTAAGACATTCAATACAGCATCCATTGACAGCTTCTATATCTCGAAACTATAACAGCTTATCTCAACACCACCCACTACACATTATGTCTTCTTCATCATCACTTCCACTTCAGGCAGCTGCCGCCGCTGCTGCAAAGGCGGCAACCGCCGGCGCGGTGGCGGCCGATCGGGTCTCATCATTAAGCTTCCCTACCACAGTCTGGAGCGATGGCTTCCTCGACCAAGTTGATCTGTCTCTCCAGGTTATAAATTAACTTAAAACTGTATCGCTATCGCATTATACTATTGGTAGGTCGAGTTACTTACATGCAAATTATCTCTGACATGATGTGAAGAAACAAGTTAGACCTTACTTTTATTTATTAGTAAAGCCACATACGTGTATTTTAACAAAACTTGTTCTCCCAACAAGTCAGCAGTACAAGTTTTATTATTCCAGCAAAGCTGAATATTAATAACAAATCCGTCATAAGAATCCGATCGATCAGACTGTTTTTTGGATAAGGTGACGAAACTAATTTGAAAATGATTTGACTTATTTTTAGGCAAAACAAAAGCACCCCAAGTATGAAGTTCTGAAGGAAGATGTGAGGAAGATGGTGGTAAATGAAGCAAAAAGCAGTTATGGCGATGGCAATGCAGCAGCAATCACAGAAAAGCTGCAGCTCATAGATGCAGTCCAGAGGTTGGGTGTTGGATACCATTTCGAAGCGGAGATCGAAGAAGCACTTGGGAAAGTTCATGATGCGGGAGAAGGCTTATTCACTAACTTTGATGGCAAAGGTATGGATCTGTACCATGAGGCTCTTCGGTTCCGACTTCTCAGACAACAAGGATTCCCTGTCTCGCAAGGTACGTATATGGATAGTTGTTTTTGTATTAGATTGGGTTGTTCCTTCCTGCTGATCATATATGTATCATGGATTTCTCATGGTGAATTGTCGATGCGTGTAGATGGGTTTAGCAAGCTCAAGGATAATGAAGGAAGGTTCAAGGAATGGTTGGCAACAGATGAGAGAGGGTTGTTGAGCTTGTACGAGGCAGCACACATTGCGTTCAACGGAGAAGATCTTATGGATGAAGCCCTAAGTTTTGCGAGGAAGAACCTCGAATCGATCCTCCCAACGCACAAGAAGATCAACCCTTCACTCAAAAAGCAGATTGACTTTGCCCTTCGCGTTCCTGCTTGGAAATGTGTCCCAAGGTCGCTTGCTAGGCACTCCATAGATAATTTATACTATGACTACTCTGCTCAGAATCAGAAGCTTCTCACGTTTGCAAAGTTGGACTTTAACATGGCCCAAAACTTCCATCAACATGAGATCCTTGAACTCTCAGAGTGAGTTGAGTTGAGTTTAGTTCAGTTCAGTTACTTCTATCAGTATCACTAGTTATATAAGTAATTAACCTAATATATATACACATTTTTTTACTAATTGATCACATTGACTACGCATACATATATAGGTGGTGGGGAAATATTGATGTAAAAACCAACTTCCCCTATGTAAGAGACAGACTCATGGAGAGTTACTACAGCGTCAATGCTATGTATTTTGAGCACAAATATCGGTTGGGAAGAATCATATCCACCAAGGTTTGGTTAATGTTGGCAATCTTGGACGACACTTATGATAACTTTGCTACGTACGAAGAAGTTCAGCTCCTAACAGAAGCTATTCAAAGGTACGTCTTACTGCATAACCCATATTAGAGTATTGATGGATTAATTAGTTCGATGAAGAGATATCTCTCCTCATAATTGACCGTGTAAATGCATATTTATTTATAATTATATGTACACACTTCTTTCAGGATGGATGCCGGGGCTCTTCATGAACTGCCCGACGCGATGAAGAAAGTATATCGTGTCGTCCTTGATGTGTTTGACGAAATCGAGAGGGAAATTGGACGCACAGGACCTACCTTGGCGTCGAGTATGCTAAGGAAGAGGTAATCTACGTACGTACGTACGTACTAATCAGATGTTGGCCTTTTGTGATAGATAAACAAAGGTTGTGTTTGTTTTTACCATGAGATCGATCATATATAAGAAGTGAACCAAATTAAGGATTAGGTTTTGTTAGTTGACATTTCATATTTGTCATACATATTAATTGTAGCTCAAGATATTGTCCCGAGCCTACTTGGTTGATTTCCGCTGGCGCAATGAAGGTCCGATCCCGACACTGAAAGAGTACATGACGAACCGAACTACCAGCTGCGGTATGAGAATACTTAGCACAGCTGCGTTCGTTGGTCTGGAACCAGAATTAGCCACCAGGGAGGGTTTTGAATGGGCGACCAAAGAGTGTAAAATGATGAAATCCGGCGGTGTCATTGGTGGGCTTCAAAATGACATTTTCTCTCGCAAGGTAATTGATTGTTTATGAGTCTCACAAAGTACATACATATATAGCTATTTGACAGAGTGGAGTACTTGCATTTCATAATGTGTATATATTCGTTTAATTTTGTTTATACAGCATGAACAAAAGATGGGCAACGTGACTTCTGCCGTCGAGTGTTATATGAAGGAGTATAGAGCGTCGGAGGAAGAAGCGGTTGAATTCCTGACGAAGGAGGTTTCAATTGCTTGGAAAGACATGGCCGAAGAGTACTGTCAGAAACGAACAACTACATTCCCAATAGCTTTTGCGGATACTATGTTCAACGTGGCACGTACCGTCAGTTTCTTATACGAGAACGCCGATTGCATCATCAATTCCCACCTTTTGAAGGATCACCTCACTTCACTGTTCATTGATCCCGTGCCTCTTTGAAGAAATTCTTGACGCCCGAATGAGGCCCTATCGATGGTTCACCAGCGCTCTCTACTTGTTCTTTTTTCTTCTGGGTTGTGTGTGATGTTTCTTGTTGTCCTTCAACTCGTGTTCTACTTGTTTTTTTTGTGTTTGTTGTGTGTTTCCTTTTTTTCTTGGACGTTTATCCGTTTTAATAAGATTTTCATCATCACACATTATATTGATAGGGATGATGGCAGCGGATTCGGTTGGAATTGGTTTTCATATAATTTTAAAATCATAACCATATCCATTATCAAAATTGGTTGAATGATGTCATATGGCATAACAAACTTACCCGTATGTGCTATGGGAAAACCCACTCGCGTTATTTGAAGTTTTTTATACAATGCAAATTTTTACCGAGAATTCATGTTATGTTCTTTCATCTTTTCATATGGTTTCATTGATGCTCTAATTCATTAATATATTTTTGAATTTTAACTTTATTGTATTATGTTCTCTCTTTTCTTTTCCCAAGTTTTCTCATCTCATGAAATCATAATTGGCATGGTTGGGATTTAGCCATTTAGGGTACCAAAATTATTGAGGGGAGCTAAAGAGAAACCGCGTGGGGTTAGGAGAACGATGGGGTACGGCCAGATAGCAATCACGAAGTCCGTGCGGCGTCATTTCGGGTCGTGACAGTTCTACCTGTGGAGGATCACACACATGTATGAATGGGAAATTTAGGTTGGATCCATGATACTCAGTCCGGCCTGACTCGGTAAAGGAGGGTAACATTTATTGTTGATGAGTTTCGGGTCGGGTATGGTATTGCCATGAAATTGGCGGGTTTTGTCAAAATTCAATTTGCTTTCTATGGACCATGCACTCAAAATGGATAACGACGTTGTTTTCCTAACCTTACTATTGAATATTTATAGAGGTTATTCCTCTTTCATGAAGAAAGACTTGTCGTAAATCACCGGGTGTATGGCTGGCGTGTTTCGCCAGAAATAAAGTCATGGGATGGTAAATATTTCTCAAAACATGGAGTGTGAATCAAACCCATGTTTGAATTGAAAGTACTCCTTATGGCAATATATATAGTATTAACTGCATGAATAATTTTTTAGATGTTATTCGTCTTTACATGGATATATTTGTAGGAAAATGTGGATAGTATTACGATGTAGGTGTTGGATATACATATTTGCCGTTATATTTATGAAAATTTATGAGTGTCCATTCACTCATGGGTACACGAGATTGGGTTGAGTTTTCTCTTATAAAATCCAATGAGAATTTTAGTAATTAGTACCTGTTCTTCCATGAGTACACATTATAGAGTTGCGATTTTTTTTATAATTACACCTTTAGTTTGAGTTTAGGAAAAGCCGACGATTGACCTAGTCACCCAGATAAGAGGGTACCCATAAACAAAGTGGATTAGAAAAGAAAGCTCCAAACAATTTAGTTTTTGACAGCAAAATCCATTATCTAAACTCATAACTGAGGTACCATGCACAAACAAATTGCGAAGAAAATTATAATGCGCACGGCATAAAACAGATTACAAACGATGGAAATCAAAGGATCTGCTCAATAGGTGAAAGAAATGGGCGTCGCTTATTGCCTTATTGGTGACGAAGAAACCGAAATGCAAACCAGTGCTTAGAGAGAAACGGTGCAAGGACTAGCTAATACACCGTTTTAGGGTGGTAGGGCACGGAAATGAGATGCAAATCAGTGTTCCTTCTCACCACAACACCAAAACACTCGGACATGTCGAGGTTTTGGGGGTCGGTTCCGCTCGGGAGTTTCCAGTCGAAATGATAAAGCAGGTGCGTGAGCAGGAGCTCGACGAGGGCCGCCCCGAAAAGCACCCCGGGGCACATCCTCCTTCCCGCCCCGAACGGTGTGAACTCGAAATGCGTCCCGTGGATATCGACCGGGGGACGGTCGAGAAATCTCTCGGGGTAAAATTCATCGGGTTTAGTCCAGTGACGAGGATCCCGGCCGATAGCCAGTATGTTGATCATGACCCTGGTTTTTGCCGGTATTTCATATCCGGCGATCGTCACCGTCTTCTGACACTCCCTGGGAGCCAGCAGAGGAGCGGGAGGGTGCATTCTGAAGGCCTCTTTGACCACCAGCTTCAGGTAACTCAACTCTTCAAGCCCTTGTTTGTCAACTGCTCCTCCTCTCCCGTCGAAAACTCGCCTCACCTCGTTTTGTGCTTTTTCCATAACCCGCGGGTTTCTCATCAGTTCCGACATGGCCCATTCCACGGTGGCGGTCGACGTGTCGCTGCCACCAAGGAACATATCCTGCAACGAGGAGGGACCTAGTGTCAATAACCACCCGTGCGCTGTCTGGTACCAATTACTCGAGTTGTTGGTTGGAGGGAGGTTAATTAATTAATTACGAATCTTACCAGGATGACTCCTTTGATTTCGACATTTGTGAAAGCGAACCCGTGCCCTTTACCGTCGTCCTTGAGATTCAAGAGGGCGTCGACGAGATCTTCAGTTGCTGCTGCTGCTGCTGCTTGAGCAGCACTAGTGTCATGATCTTTGTTAGCTCTCTCTCTTTCGGCCCTTCTGGCTATATGCTCGTCGAGGATACCTTCGAGGATGACATCCGCCTCCTTGTGAAGCTTCCTCGCGAATCTCTCGGTTCCAATGATCATGCGCAACAGTTTGCTGGACGGGAAAAGGTTCCCCAGGCCGAACCCTCCGAACACCTTCACCATCTCCAGCATCACCGGCATGAACCCTTGCTCTTGTTTCTGCATCCTCCCGAAAGCTATCCTCCAGACGATGGTGTTCCCCAGCGACACGAACATCCGGCTCAGGTTCACGGCCTGGTGATCACGTTCACGACAATGTTACTCTACGTTTGTATATGATCAGTAATAGGACATCTACTAAACAACTCGAGTTATTGGGATCGATCGCACTGGTTCATAACATGGTATCAGAAAAGCCCTTTTCTGACCGGGATTTTTACGTAAAATAAAAAACTAGGGTAGAAATTGAATTGTAAGATCGTAGGACGTTAAGGTCCGTATAAAAACAAACACTAAATGATATTACATATATGACGCAAATCGTAAATAAAACAAAGGCACATAACTCTAAAATAATAATTTCTCAAGGTTAATATATTGGAAAGTGGTGAATCGGTAATGATTAATGAGTTAAAGTGAATTTGTGATGGTTAATGGTGGCTAGTATGAGTGAACTAGATGATATTGATGGAAGAGAAGAGGAAGGGGAAAACGTTATATTTTGCTAATTTGGGGAAACCTTCATTCAATTTAACATGGGTCTTTCCTTGAAAATCATACGATTCTAAAGACATAAATCGTAAATATTGTATCTATAGATTTTATACTGAAATCAGAATCGAAACAGATAAGTAATGTCATTGTAAAAATCGGGATTCTTACGAACAAACAATAAATAAAAAACTTAAATCAGGATTTTAATTACTCCGATTGCATCCACTAGTTCTTAAAGTCATCCAAGTTTCTGATTAACGCTCTGTTTGGCAACAAGGGGGTGCAAATTGCAGGAGGGTGCAAATTGAGGGGTAAATTACTGGGGGTGTAAGTGGAGGGGGGGTGCAAATAGAGTGAAAAGTAAGTAATTATATTATTTTAAAATAGATTTTAAATTTTAAAATAGATTTTAAGATTATAAAATAGATTTTAAAATTATAAAATATTATCATAAAATAATAAAATAAATATTACTATATAATAATAAATATACTTTACTAAAAATATTTATTATATAATAATTCTCAAATAATAATTAATTATAACAATTGTAATAATCATTGATCGAGCGATCTCAAAACTCAAAGCTCAACTCGTAACTGGTCATCCTATATAGGGTTTTCGTGTCTAGTTTAATCTTAAATTGTCAAACTTAGTCAAACACGTTCGAATTTGTAAGTTTTAACTATTTAGTCAAATAAACTGAGTTAACCAAACAATTTCTCTCTATCTTTTCCACAAACACCTCGTATCTCTAATTTTCAATGCAAATTCGATTCAACCAAGAGATCTAGATTTGACTTGACGAACATTGATAAACTTATTTCCAGAGTAAAATGGTCAACCCCAAATAATGTTTACATTAATGATATTTATAAAAAGAAGAAATTGATAATATTAATTATTATATAATTATATATAACACAATTAGAAAAAAAAATTCCATAATTCCCCCCTTCCCCTCTCTTCCTTCCTTCCTTCCTTCCCTTGCACCCCAATTCGGAGGGTAAGCCGAAACAGTAAATTTGCACTCCCGTTTTGCACCCCCTACTGTTCCAAATTAACCAAACAGGTGCAAATGTATTGAAAACAGTGTTTACCCCTCACATTTGCACCCTCCTCCCATTTACCCCTCTTCCCAAACAGAGTGTAAATATTTGTTAGACATAGTAAACAAACAAAAACTTACAACAGATAGATTAGACCTTCTGTTGGGATTTAAATTGAGGTTTTAATTACATATGATTAAATATTGGCATGGACAGATAGATAGATAGATGATAGATTGGACCTTCTGTTGCCGAATGGATGCGGTGAGCTTGCCGATCTCGTCCTCCACAACCGGGCGCAGGGACTCCACGCGCTGCGCGCTGAGTATCTCCTGGGTGAACACTTTCCTCATCTGCCGCCAGTACTCGCCGTGGGGCGCAAACGCGATGTCCCGCGCGTCGTACGACAGGATCCGGGCTGCGGGGAAGACCGGGCGGAAGGCGAAATTGAGGTCGTGCGTCTTCATGAATTCTTTTGCCAGCTCTGGGGACGAGACGATGACGTTGGAGGTCTCGCCGAGCTGGAGGTGCATCAGCGGGCCGTGCTTCTGGGCCAGGCCCATTAGCCGCCGGTGCGGCGGCTCCGACCCGACCACCTGGTGCAGGTTCCCGATGATGGGCAGCCTCCATGGGCCCGGCGGCAGCTTTGATGACTTTCTTCTCTTCAGGATTCTGATGGCGGCGAGGAGGGTGAGGAAGGAGATGATGAGGAGGAGAGTGTTGGAGAATGGAAGTTCCATGTTTGTTACCACACGTCGTCGCTTTTTTTTAGTTTCCTTTCGTTTTGTTTTCTTGTTTTGTTTAAGTTTATGAAATGATACTTGTTTTGGTGGGCATGGAGGTGGTACCACAGCATGCCTTTATATAGTCATGCCGTAAGAGTGTGCAACGGGTTGGTTGGTCAGTATTATTGGACTATAGAATATTTTATCGAGTTTTTTTTTTATTAATAAACGATAAATTGAGTTTACATGTTAAATGGTAACAATATTATGTTTAGATATCAAACTGCAATTTCCAAATGAATATAGGCAAAAGCCTTCAAATTCATGATAGATTACTTTTTTTCAAATCCTGTCACGGCCACTCAAACTCTATCGTGTGCCAGGAATGACTCACAAATAATAATAAAAAATCTCGAGAACAAAATGAGAGGTAGTTACCAACTTCTCTGAGAGACATAATTCATAACCATAATTTTTTCTTCTTTTTTTCGAACCATGATTTCAGTAGATACACCACCCACAAAATTTACCAAATTCATGGGTTTAAAGCCAACACAACTCTATTTAAATAGGTATGGTTGAATGAGCTAAAACTCATTTGTTAATTGGGCTAAAATTTCACTCCCTGGTTGCACTTACCAAATACCCAGCGATCTTCATTTTCTATTTTGTAGGTTGGCGATTTCTTTCAATTGCAGAAGCTCTCTTGGAACAAGCGGAATCGCTACCCTCGTACTAGAATTTTCAAATTTTATCGCCCTAAAACACACTAAATTGACATAATTTACACCTCAACAAAATTTATGTGCTAATATCGCTAAACCAATTAAACAATTGCCGAGAAGTTAATTTGCTTTATTCTCCGAGGCCATGGAAGTGGTTGGCGGTACGCTTTTGGCGACGGAACCAAGCAATTCAGCTCTTTCCCTTTCCCAGGACAATGCCGCTCAAATCTCTCCCCTTCACTCTCGATTCAAAGCACTGACATTAAACTACTTGCCGTAGTTGGAGATAACCCTGTCTCAGAGCATACTGTAATAAGTTTGTTACTTAATCATGGTTTACAGTAATAGGTTTGTTTTTTTTTTCTTTTCCCGGTAATTTATAAGTTTGTTTTGGGTTTAAGTGTTTAAACTACAAATAAATGAATTAAAGACATTAGAGTAAATTTAACTTAATTAGGACGACGAATAGCAACACTCAAAAATAATTGTACAGGTTGTACGTGATTTGTTTAAAGATAATACGATTGAAAAATAATTGTACAGGTTGTACGTGATTTGTACATCATGGTGACTTTTTAGGAGGTCACTCAACTCTCAACGGTTATATCTTGATAACCTTTGATTTCAGAAATTTACAAGAATTTCTCCATATTTCACTCAAAACACATCTTGTCAATTAACATTAAATTGTTCCTTATAAATTATGAATCCCTCTTATCGTTTCAGTATTGTTGGTTAGATTATTTAGGGTATCCCCACTCCTGAGATTAGCCAGCTAGGCTGGCCGAGATATATATGAAAAAATTTATTAAGTTAATATACATGCATATCGGATCAAGATTTCCAAATTTGGGGTAGGTACGAACCTTGGTCATAATTGGCCGTGTACTGCCATTCATTTGTTTAGTTGTAGGGGAATCGCATTTGCATCTCACACAGAAGAAATAATAAGTTAAGTTGCTGAACCATGTGACTTGTGAGGAGTTGTCGGACAACCGTTGTTATAAATACCACGTTGTTTTTCTACAAATGTTTATAAATTTTGAACTAAAACAAAAGCTATATATCGTTATACTATAAATTAAAGTTGCAAAAAGTACATGTTTTGAAGAGATTTTTTTGCTCAATAGAGGAATTTGCAGCTCTAATAGGGGAATTTGTTTAATTGTATGGTGTTGCTCTCCTATAAGTGTTTTCCAGTCATAGCATACATTATAATGCTCCAAAATTAATTTTAATAAATAAAAACGAGGTCACCCTTATAAAAAATGGTGTGTTTTTTTGATCAAACTGTAGTAACGTAGATATTATTGAGTCGATCTAATGCGTTCTTTGTAATGTAATATCTTTTAAATTATGAGCCGAAATAAAAGAGATATAACCCCAATTAAGAAAAATAAAGATTACAAAAATAGATTTTTCGGGTCAACCGTCTCTTCCTCTCTTGTATGAAATTACAGAAAATAATAATAATAATAATAACAACAACATTGTGTTGAAACTTTAAAGTATCAGACTAATTGCCCCTTCCTATCTCTATCTGAGTTATATATGCATCGTCCATATCAAAATTAACGAACAAATAAAGATTCAAAAATTTATAACATATGACTTTGTAACCTATCTTGTTCCCATAATTAAATCATTATAACTCCATATGAGGCAAGATGGGGTGGTTGGACTTTCACGCCGACTAAATTCAATTATAAATTCCTCATTTTGTTTGCTATCATTTTGGTTTATATACGAAAAAATGAGAAATGGCCAGGCTGGCCGACCTGCATCTTTCTTTGCCCGTTTCAGGGAATCTCTTACACATTTATCTCATTAATGAATTAAATTATTGTATTTATGGTTTTTTTTTTTGACAACGTATTTATGGTTGACGATTCAAAATTTGTGGACGTTGGTATTATATTTTTCTTTCATACATATCTTCGACGCGACAAGTCAGACAAGTGCAGCGGAAGTTACAATATATTACGACACTCTCACTCGTGGATGTCAAGACAGACTAGATAATAATAATAATAATAATAATAATAATAATAATAATAATAATAATAATAATAATAATAAATCTATCTGTGATTACTACAAAGTAGTAATGCATGGAGAGGACTATTAAAGTAGTAATCACCATAGTTACTAAGGGTAAATTGGGTATAGAAAAAATAATTTGTATTAATTAATTTTTTTAATAAATTACAATTTAGTTAGTTATAAAAATCTATTAATTACGATTCTTTCTCTTTCTCTCACTTCCGTAATCTCCAGACAGATTTCATTTCCTTATTTTTCTCAATCTTTCTGCAAAAGAAAAAAAAACGAAATCACTACCACTTTGAAAAACATCAATACCATTGCAGAAAAAATCTATACCATTACACGAAAACTACCAATATAAACAATCTACCAATATAAATCTATATCATTTCAAAAAAATCAATACCATTGCAGATTTAATCAATACCAATACATACAAATTAATACCATTACATGATAATCAATACCAATGCGACATAAACAATACCAATGCAACAAAATCAATACCAATGCGACAAAACACTAATACCATTAGAGAAATAAAAACATTACCATTTAACAAAACATCAATACCATTACAACAAAACATAAATCAATACCAATCCATTACAAAATACTACCATTGCACAAAATACTAATACCATTCGAGAAATAGAAACACTACCATTTAACGAAACATCAATAGCTTTGCAAATTTAACCAATACCAATGCGCCAAAAACAATACCAACGCGATAACACAATACCAATGAGACAAAACAAAAAACAACACTACACCGTTTCATAAAACAAACAACGAACCACTACCAAAACAAAACAAAAATCTAGGTTATATATATACACACGGTGGATAGAGATAGGGAGGGAAGGAAATTGCCGTCACCATCTCATCCCTCCACCATGACCGTCACCCAGAGAGAGAGAGAGAGAGAGAGAGACCAGCGGGTAGCCGGAGGGTTGGCCGCCGACAGTTGGGCGGTGGTCAAGAGTGGCTGCGAACGGAGAAAGGGAACAACCGATATGGGAGGTGTTGACGGCGATGGAGAATGGACTTGAAGTAGGGTTTAGATATAATATATAGAAATTAAATCTTTAAAGGATAGAAATCAGGTGTGGTATTTTTTTATTCTCAAAATTACCCTTAATCTAATCTACACCATCAATTTAAAATTAGGGTGAAATAAAGATAATTAAAAGTGTAGATAGTAGCCATCGTGGTTACTCAATATTTTGAGTAATCACCCTAACGCATTCCCTATAGTAGGGATGACAATTTCGACCTGACCCGATTTACCCGACCTGTTTGACCTGTTTTGGGGCAGGTCAAACCCGCCCCGTAGGCGGTTCGGGGCGGGCATGGGTACCTCTCATCGACCCGACCTGCTCTGACCCGCCCCATTCTCGACCCGTTCTTGCCATTATTACATATAATATTAGTCAAATTACTTAGGATTTTCCTCTTATTACATTATATTTTAGCTATAATAAAGTTGTAAATAAGTGAAAACCTCAATTTCTTCAATAATTTAACTACATTTTATCATATTATGGTTTCTTTCTTGGTCTTTTAATGAAAATAACGAATGTTTCTAATGTTTTTCGCATAAATTACATACCCAATGGGTCGACCTGCCCCGACCCGCGCCCCGTGATAAATTACCCGACCTGCCATGGGGCGGGTATGTGTATCGAGATACCCGCCCCGGACCTGCCCCATTGCCATTCCTACCTATAGGCTATAACCCCTTCTGAACATAAACTAGTTCCGTCACTACTTGCAACCCAATAGCGTCCAACTGAAACGGGCCTACATAAATCAGCCTTCTCTTAATAATTTAAATTATTTAAACTAATTGGTTTATGACAATTATCATACTGTCACATGAGTCATGTGCATCTTAGTTTGAAATTATCATGCTGGTCACCTTTTTTTTTTTTTTTTTGATAATGGTGATATGCATTAATAAATGGAAGAGAGAGTCTGGCACAATAAAGAAGAGGTCCAAGCCTGAAAGTCACAAGAAGTGACAGGGGATCGGCAGGAAGAGACCAAACCCGGAAACAAATAAAGGAAAAGAAAAGGAAGAAAAAAGAGACAAGAAGAAAGGCGTCCCAACCGGCCAGGGGGACCAACGGAAGTGGCTCAAGAATCAGGATAAGAGCTGGACAATAAGATCGTGACTACCAGAGCCCGGCAAGCGCCCAGCCCCGAGGAAGGCCGCCGGCGGAGAGCACAGCCCAGAAAAGGCAGCTGCAACAAAGCCATCAGAAGAGGCAGCTGCAACAAAGCCATCAGGAGAGAAGAACGGAAGACAACCAGGCAGATCCGGAGCCCTTGTCGACCTTCCCTTTGGCAATCACCCACTCAACAATCGTCCTGACGACTCTCTTAGACAGAACACCATGCGCGGTCCTTGAAAGGTCGAAGATACGCCTGTTCCTCTCCCTCCAAACCGTCCAGCAAATAGCGTGAAGGCTGCAGAAAGAAATCCATCCCTCGATGCAGTCCGGAATGTCCGAAGGCCAATTCCTGATGGTGGAGGTAATGTCATTGCTCGGAACTCGCTCGAGCGGGCAGCAAGAAATGACGCCATTCCAGACTTGCTTGGTGAAGTCGCAATCCACAAAAATGTGGCTGACAGACTCCTCTTCCTTCTGACACAGCTCGCACCTGTTAGCAAGAGCCCATCCCCTTCGCTTCAAATTGTCGATGGTGAGGATCTTCTGGTGAAAGCAGATCCAGAGGAAACCACAAATCTTCAACGGGACGACAGACTTCCAAACTGCCTTAGCCGGAAACTGCGACACACCAGGGAATCGGGCAGCCGTCAAACACCTGTACAAAGAGCGAACAGACAAGACGGTATCCGGGTTTGGCAGCCACTCAATGCGAGCGGGACCAAAACCCAACCTCTCAACAGCATGAGAATTTAAGAACTCTATCAAACAGACTCTCTCCCTCTCAGCCCCCCCTCGAAGTGAAACATTTAAATTGATATCCCAAGTAAGACTCTCACCTGAACGATGAACAATATCCGAGATCCAAGCATCGGGACTAAGGGCGGCAGCAGCGATACGCGGATAGGAATCAGCAAGAATGGTCTTCGGGATCCAGCTGTCATGCCAAAACGAGACCCAAGCACCTCCACCCGGATCAATGCAGACATGTTTCCAGAAAGTATCAAACATTCTCAAAATGTTCACCCAAACTGAGCTGTTTCTCCCCTCTCTTCTCTTACCAGTATGCCACAAAGAGACCCCGTTAGAGTACTTAATCTCAATCAGGTCCCTCCACCATCTTCCTCTATCTTCAGCAAACTTCCACATCCATTTGCACAGCATGGCGTGATTGAAAGATTCGAAATCGAGCGCCCCAATACCCCCGTTCTTCTTAGTGGCTTTGCATAAATCCCAACCAACCAGATGAAACTTCTGCTTTTCACCGGTGCCGCTCCAAATGAATCTCTTCTGCAACTTTTCAATCCTGTCCATAACCGTCTTTGGAGCTAGAAACAAAGAGCAATAGTACACAACCTGGCTATTGAGACAACTGCTATTAAGCGTGAGACGACCCCCAAAAGACAACATTTTCCCCTTCCATCCTTCAAGTCGATGCTGCACGCTATTAATAACCGGATCCCAAACAGCAATCGAGTTGGGTCTCGCTCCCAGCGGGAAACCAAGGTATTTAGATGTGTCACGGCTCCACTTGCATCCAAAGATATCGGCAAAGAAGCTCGGCTCAGGCACCTCACCAACTGTGTACATCATAGATTTATCCAGGTTAACCTTAAGACCTGTGACCGCTTGAAAGCACACCAGGGTACCAAGGAGGCTCAAAACTTGATCCGGCTCTGCTTCACAAAAGATCAGCGTGTCATCAGCGAAGAGGAGATGAGTGACCTCTCCCCTATTCTGCTCCTCATCAATGAAAAAACCTCTAAATTTCCCTTTCTCCCGAAGCTTTCCCAACATGAAGGAGAGCACATCCATCACCAAGACAAAAAGACCCGGCGAGAGGGGGTCGCCTTGCCTAAGGCCCTTGGAACTAGAGAAGAACCCATGGGACTCCCCGTTCACAAGGATCGACAAAACCGGAGAACACATAGCCCCCCTAATCCAGTTCTGCCATTTCTGCGGAAAACCGAGGTTAGACAAGATCTTAAACAGACAATCCCAACTAACATTGTCAAAGGCCTTCTCAAGATCCAACTTAAACATCAGGCCAGGTTTATTGCTCTTCCTCCTGCTATCAATGATCTCGTTCGCAATCAATCCTGCTTCCGAGATTTGCCTCCCGCGAACTGATGCATGTTGATAATCCGAGACAAGCGAAGGGAGAATAGAGCCCATTCTTTCCATCAACACTTTACTTAGGAGTTTATTGATGCTACCCATGAGGCTAATGGGCCTCAGGTCTTTCACATCCTCAACAGAGTCCTTTTTAGGGACAAGGCATATAAAGGAATGTGTAACGCATTTGGGAAGGGAACCAGTCCTGTGGAACTCTTCAAAAGCCTGCATCAAATTCATGCGCATCTGGAACCAACACTTCTTGAGAAATTCAAATGTGAACCCATCCGGCCCCGGGGATTTGCCGCCATCAAAAGACACAAGAGCAGCCCAGACTTCTGCTTCCGAGAAGGGCTTAACCAAATCAGAGACGGTGGATGCGCTGAGCTGCTGAGGGCAATAGTTCTTAGGAAACGGACGGAAGGCCAAGGTCTCCTTGAAAAGGTTTTGATAGAAACTAACCACGCCACTAGCGAGCTCCTCCCTCCCCTCCATTAACCTGCCATTGACTTTGATGCTCTCAATGAAGTTGAATTTGCGCCTATAGTTCGCAACTCTGTGGAAGAACTTAGTATTGAGATCCCCACCCTTTAACCACAGCTCATTAGACTTCTGCCTCCACATAATTTCCTGCAGATTGAGGGCGAACTGAAGCTCCCCTCTAAGCACTTCTCTCTCGGCACCTTCAGAGTCGTTAAGCTGACCATTTTCTTCTAAAAGATCAAAAGCCTTAATGCGCTCTAACAGATCATCAACTTTCACATTAACATTTCCAAAAACCTCCTTGTTCCAGACCTTGATCCTCTGTTTGAGCTGCTGCAGCCTCCTAGCCAGAAGGAAAACACTCCCAACCCCAACCACCGGTTCCTGCAACCAAGTCTCAAGGCTGGCAAAGAATCTGTCATCCATTAACCACATGTTCTCAAATCTCCATGGTCTCCTAATCCTCCTGTCATCCCCCCACTTGATCCACAACGGATTGTGATCGGATTCAACCCTCTCAAGGGCAGACAGAGTGCAATCTGGAAAAAGAGTGTCAAAATCAGTACTCACAAAAGCACGATCAATACGCGACATAACAGGGTCGATTCCTCCTCTGCTCCACGTAGAGTTGCTACCACCCAGAGGTAACTCCAGCAGAGCCAGAGAATTGATCAGCGTATTGAATTCATTCATGAGCTCATCACCCCTTCTCGACCCCATGTAGTCATCATGGCTCCTTACTAAGTTAAAGTCACCTGCAATGCAAATCGGAACACACACTTGCTGACAAAAGTTATTGAGATCTTCAAGGAAAGCCAACTTCTCAGCCCTCTCTTGCGGTCCATACACAACAGCCAGGAACCAAGAGCCCAACCCAGAATTCTGCTTCAGCTCGATGCCCACAAAAAACCTTCCCACAAAACTAGAGCAGACTTGAAATCTCGATTTATCCCAAAACACCACGATGCCTCCAGAACTGCCATCAGAATCTTTAGCAATCCACCCTGTATCTCTGTTCCCACTGACGCTAGTCACAAGATCGTTCGTACACTGTCTCCATTTGGTTTCTGTCAGCCCGACCACAGCTGGTTTTTTCCTGCCAATTAAGCGTTTAATTCTGCCTCTCTTCTCAGGATCGCACAATCCTCTAACATTCCAGACAATTACCGATGTACCCATTAAAACACAGGTGAGGTATCTCCGCTACCTTGCAATCTACGATTCCTAGGACCCGAAGGGGGAGAGCAGAGGGGGCCAAGCCTTCTAATTTCCAATTCCAGTCTAGTCCTCGGCTTCCGCAGCTTTCTCTTGAAGACTTCCTTCGCGTGATCACTAATGATATCCCCAACCTTTCCTTGGGTCTCATGTAAGTCAAGCTCCATAATCTGTCCAATTTCCATACTAGCTTCCACAAGTGATGCACAATCGAACGGATAAGCCTCTTGGTTCCAGCCGCTGGACTCCGCCGCGGCAAAACAATCAGGGGAAGGCAGCGACCTGATCGGGGGTGAGTTTTGAGTAGAGATCTCAAGCGACGATAATATTATAATCATAATTATAATTATTATTATTATTTATTCCATGAGCCAGCCTTATTTGAGATACATGAAATGACACTTAGCTTTTTAAGTTTATAAAATGATACTCGCTTTGGCGGTCATGGAAAGAGGTACGATGGGTGCCTTTATATATTCACGGTAGGGTTTATCCCATCTACTATCGATAATCATTATAATGGTCGGGTTAGAAATTTAAAATAAAATCGAGAAATACGAATTAAAATTATATGAATCGTGACAGATATATGAGATGTTCAAAATCTTTTACTCTGTTTTATTTTCTTATAATTATAACGTGTATTTTCAACCGTAGTGTAGGAATTGAAAAACGTACAGTAAACAAACAAAAAATTATGCTTTTCTATTCTTATGGTTCTCAAATTCTAACAAGAAACCCTTGGGCATCAAACCGTTTTCTCGTCATCAATATCCCTCTCCGTTTTGCACTAATTTTTTTTTTTCTCTTAATCATACTATTTTTTTAATGGTTATTTGTTGGTTGCTCATAGGAATGATAATTACGTGACTTGTCACGGTCAAGATTGAATTATTCCTTATGAACAATGAATCGCTCATGTACTTTATCGACGTGGGTTGCTCTGTTATCAGTTGGAGTAGGCTATCCCCACTCTCTTAGATAGACTAGCTACTAGCTAGGCTTGCCGAGATGCAATACATATCCATATTAGCTATGCATGAAATTATTTACACAGTTAAATACAGGTTTAATACACTTGCATAGCCATAATTATGCAAGTTTTGACAAATATAGCCAAATTTTGAATAATATACTAAAATAGCCATTCCGTCCATAAGTTTAACGGAACAGTGAGTCAGTGACACATACTGACTGGACTAACGTCACTTGCTGATGTGGCTGACTTTTCATCTTGATCTTGCCAAGTTGAAAATGACTTATTTATTATAATATTAAATGCAAAAAAGAAGAAATAATAAAAAGAGAAATGAATATCATCGGCGCTTGACCTTCCCTGCGCCTTCCATGGCATTCCTTCCCGTCGCTGCTTCATGATCTTCAGCCTCAAAATCCCTTCTTCATATTAAAAAATCCCAGGCAGCTCGGGGAAGGCGAGAACAGAGGTATAAGGTGTTAGTTGCGGTGGTTGTTCTAGGGATTCCCAGCAGATGCGGTGGTTGAGATCTAGCTGGAAAAATTGCGGTGAGATCTTCGACGCCACTTTCTCCTCCTATTACTCTCCCTCTCCTCCAAGACGACTGTCGCTGCTACGAAGAAGGGAAAGTAAAGACGGCGAAAAAATGGCGGTGGGGGCTCATCTTAACAACAAAGAAAGCTTCTTCACAGGCGACGCCGCAGGCGCTGAAGGTTTGCAGAAGATTATATGCGTTGAGCTTCGATTTCTAGCTCCCACTATGCTTGTTCCGGGTTTTGTGTCTTGGGATCTGTTTTTATCTTTGCTTCGCCCCTCGTCTGCGGCTTCTTCGTCTGACGCCATCAACAGCGGTGGATACTCGACCACTGAGCTACTCTTCACAATCGGTTGAGTCGTCTATGGACCTGAACACGAGGTGGAGGTGATTTCGCTTGTGCGACGACGACCCAACCACTGGACGTATGATGAACGGATTCGGGCTGGAATGGAAGGAGAACTCGATCTGGAGATTTGGAGATTTTTGGGCTTAGGGATTTTTGATTGGTGGAAAGGGAAAATGAAAATTTAGATCTTTGGTTTTTGGGACGTAGGATTAGGGTGGTGGATCTGAAAGTTTTGGGCAAAGGAAAGAGATCTGGGAAGGGTTTGTGGGATTTTGATTTTGAGATTTTGGATTGAAAGAACGGTTTTGTGAGAAAGGTTTGGGAAAGCAGAGATCGATCTTGACCAGGGAATTTTGGGACGGCGATCTCTTTTTTTTTTTAAGATTTGGAAAGAGGGATTGGAGATGAAATTGGTCTGATGGGTTGAATAGATCGGTGGGCGATGGATTTGGGGGAAGAGATTAACTTAGCGGCTGCAATGGCTTAAATTGGAGAGGCCGACGGTTACAGGGGAGAAGCTCCCACGGCGCGACGGGGGACGACGGGGCCGTCGCTGGGGAAGGGTCGAGATGGGAGAAGGAGAGTCGGATGAGGAAAGTGAAAAAAAAAAGAAATAATTTTGAAATGATAATTTTTTATTTTTTATTAAATATGATGTGGCAGCTAGGTGGAACGACTTGGTATGTTGGAGGTGATGTGGGAGCTGAGGTGGCATCCACATCAGTGTCCTGTTAACGGTGTTAAATCTTTTAATGGAAATGACTAATTATGTCAAACGAGTTTCTAAAATGTGACTACAACTGTGTATTTTTAAAAAAGTGGCTATTGTTGTCAAAATTTGGATAGTTATGGCTATGCACGTGATCGGATCAAAGATTTCCAAATTTCGTGGGGTAGGTACCTTGTTCATATTAGAGTGTGTACTGCCATTCGTTTGTTTCTTTGCCGAGGAATATAATCACATGTGACACACAATAACAAAAACAAAAGTTAACGAGGTTGCTCAACCATGTGAAGATAGTTGTCCGACTACCATTGTTATATACATGGTAAAGGAAACCGTACCGGACATCATATCGGATTCCTTTCTGGTATGGTATTTTATGGTACGACCGTGGTTCAACCGTTTTGTACCGGTAAATACCGTTTTTCACTATTGATAGAGAAGTGAAATGCGATAGTATAAAAAATATAATCCATCAAAAAAAGAACCAAATAGAGCATTATACAACCACGGTGACTCATTTTCAACATAGAAAAATAGCAAAATAATATTCTTTTTAATTATTTTCCACATATTGGACGAGAATACGGAGAAATGAAGCTGAATCATAGACCAGACGAATCATACCGGCCGGTTCAACCGGTCAAACCGAAAAAACCGGCCGGCACGGTAAAATCAGCACAATCAGCCCACCGTACCGCTTTTGGTCCAATTTCCGGTTGAACCGGCCTGTACGATCCGGTTTCCTGGTCTATGGTTATATATATATACCAAATACGAATATTGTGGCCAGCTAGGCTGGCAGACCTCTGCGCTCTGCCCCTTTTAGGAGTCCCACATTTGTGTCATTATTATACAATATATATGGCCAAGATTAGGGGAATATAGTTATTAGATATACTTTCATATGTGTCGATAAAACCTAATCGGGTTCACCCATGAATGAAGGCCCGCGGTCAATAGGAGTACTGAGTGCAACGGTTTAGTTCGTACCAGATGCAAGCTGATGCAAGCCTGCGGGCCGAATGTAAAACCAATCGTTCTTTGGTCTCGTTAATTTTATAAATACGTATTGAAGCAAATTATATACCGAGTAATATTAGGTCCGAAACCAAATCAATTGTACTATCCTATAATTTCTTTGACTCGTGGACACTTGTGAGCAAATTCGCAAACAGTAAATGATGAATAAATTATCACCGCTTCCATTCAACTCAACATGAGATCCAACCGCCCACTTGTGTGAGTAAATTCGCAAGCACGCTCTCTGAGCAACATAATCGAATTGCCCATGTCGAATCAAAATAAACGTAACTCAGATCTTTTGTTGGCTTGTTTGTCAGTCATTGGTTAGATTATCCTCCTGGTGCTAAGGCTAGGCTGGCTAATAATCGAGATGCGCAAATATTAATTTGGGCAAATATAGAATGAATTGTTTACACATTTTGTCTAGATCAGATAAATATTCCAAAATATGGGCGAGGACTGCCGTTTGTATAGATCAGATCAAGATTCCAAATTTGGGTGCCGTTCTTTTTGTTTGTTAGCCGGAAACTCGCACGTTGTACCTGCCGGGAAACCCTTTCTGTCTTTTAGTAATGATAATTAATAAACCACTTGCAATCGATTAAGCATAAAATTAATTAGCTGTACATATCCTGTCCATATATGTTAAGAAGCCACAATGTGCGTCATCAACTGATAATTTTATTGGGGGAGTGCTAACTAAACAAACAATATTAATCCAGACATATAATTGATTTTGCGGATCTGGTGATTACGGCAGACGATTTAGTCAAATAACTAAATCCTTTCCCAACTTATATCAAATATTAAAATACCTTCAAGATTAGGATGCATATAAAAGGGAAAGGTAATGAGTAGTAAGGGTAGTTTGAATGTTATAGAGAGTACATCATATATAAAAAAATAACATTAAATTCAAAATATTACCAACTAATACTTGAATATTTACAAAATTATAACTAAACATACATCGTATTAATTAGATTTACAAACAATTCAAGCCAAATTAATAAATAGCGTAAATCATGTTGATAAATATGGAAAACTAGATTAAAATGTATGATCTCACCCAAAAAAAAAAAATTTAAAATGTATGAAAACCAAATATAAAATTACACAAATTAGACGATAAAAATATACAAGCCAATAATATAAAGGATACAAAATTATGTAATTTTGTATACAAATTAATATTAAAAAATTATAAAAACTCATATCATAAAAACATACAAACGAATAAAATAAAGTACACAAATCATATCATAAAAGTCTACAAGTTTATTCTCTCTGAAGTCTGAAGTTAGCCTGTGAGGTGACCATTAATGACGATGGCGCTCATGATGAGAAACATCGGGTTTGGCCATAATAATGATGGCAACTTATAAGAGAAAGGAAGTTATCTACCTATCAGACCGAAGCTCCATAATTGATTCCGGGAGAGAGAAGTGTTGGTACAAAACGATAATTTGACTTGCATTACAAATCATGTACTCTTTCTCTCCCTATGAAGCTTCTTCTCTCTCTATGAAAGTTCTTCTCTTTATATCTCTAGATAACTTCTTCGTTTAGAATTCTTTTCCTTTTTGATGTTTTTATTAGGTTTATTTTTCATATCTATTCAAAGGGTTGTAAGCCACGAATTTTAGTAGACTATTCAGATTATTCAGACTTTGATAATGGAAAAACCCTTTTCGGTTCATTGAGTTTTTACTCGTGGATTTTGAACTTGTTTGTTGGTGGATCTCCAGAATTCGAGCGAGCTCTGTATCAATCAAGTATTCTCCTTGATTGTGGTCGAGTTGCTACCCATTTATATTGTTCGAGCCTCTTCCCGATTTGGTTTGAAGTTGCACGACAATTCCGCCATATCGTTTACTTTTTGAGTGTTGAAAGAAAATTCAGAAAAAAAACTCTAAAAATATCGAAGCTGCGCGACTTTAACAAAAGAACCTAAACTTTCACGAGCTCGGACTCTTATCACTTCCTCTCTTCTTTTTAGCTACAAATCATACTAGTTTACAATAAAGTTATGATTAGTTATTATCTCATAGTATTAACCGCGATATGACTTACATTACAAACTAGACTGCTTCTCTCTAGAGGGCTTCAAGTTCAAGGTGTTAGTTACTTACACACGCTCATTGTTCATTCTGCAGTATATGCTTTGTTCTATATCTTTGTTGCTCATCCCGCAGTATAGACCAGTTTTGTATTTATGGGGCTTGTTTTAATTAATTAACAATACTGTCGGGTTGCTGTGAATGGGTCGGCCTTTCTTTTGATTTCATAAAGAAAAGAAGAGTGAACCAAAGCTGAAGATAATTATAAAACAAAAACAGACATAACATTCATCACCAGAATTACTATAATAAAAGGCATAAAACGGATCACAAAGCTCAAGGACATGGATAATAATATAACAAAGGACAACATGATCACTGAGGAAAAAGGAAATAAAAACAAAAGAGACCAACAAAAGATCCCATTCTTATTCGTCGTCCTCCCAGCAGCAGGCATGTGCAAAGTAGCTAGCAGTAGTTCATCAACGAGGGCCGACCTCCATGGGAGTGACGAGCAGAGCAGTCATCATATCCATGGTGGTGGTGTTGGAGAAGGTGTAGCTGTCGAAATCCTTGTAGAGAACCTCCATCACCCTCGCCAGCCCGACGAACATCGAGATGACTTCCTTAGTGATGAAATCGGGCCGGTTGACCAGCAGGCACGCCTCGTTTATGACCTTCCAGTCGTCCTCCACCATCTGGTTCAGCGCCTCGACCGCCTCGACCCTCGACACCTTGTGTTGGTTCATGTAACACTCCACAGCCGAAGAGACATGTCCTCTTTCCTGCTCGAACTACATCCATACACACACATCACAGAGATGAAGAAACGATTAAACCCCAAAAAAAAAAAAAAAGTGGTAACATGCATATGCATGCGTGCGAGACAAATTTAATTACTGGATAGCTAGATATATACCTCGTGAGATACGATGTCATCCATAAGACGACAGTGATCTGAGACGGCGACGAGGATCTTGGGATCGGCGAGCACCCAATCGAACGCCTCCTTCGGTGCCTTGTCGCCCAAACCGGCGAGGGCTGAGTAGGCCAGTAAAGGGTAAGTACAAGAGTAGACCCCTATTCGCCGGTATTCCTCTATCGTCGGTACCTCCCCTTTAGCAAACCATCTTGCTTCTGTCAGGTATGCCTTCATTTGATTCTTTTCCTGCACCAACAACAATTATTATTTATTATAATTTACAGGAAAAAAATATTATTATTAAGTAATTATGTTAAGATCATTAACAATCTTGCTAGTGAATTAATTACCGCCTGCTTTCCATAGTCCAGGCAGTAGGGCCTTCCTTCTCTGGTAGTAATGGTGTCTACTTCCTCCAACACATCAATAATTGCTCCATAAAACAGTTTCAGGTACTCTGGGAGATCCTTCATGCTAGTGTCCCATCTGTTAATTAATTGTCATACCACCAATAACCCTTTTTAACAGTTTCATATATATATATATATATTTTGCTGAAATAAAAGAAAAATAAAGAGAGAGAGAAAAGTTTCACCTCTGTACGGTATCGGTGAAATGCTCGAGTTCGTCGATGGTGCCATGGACGTCGTATATGTCATCGTTGATGGACACGAGCATGGTGATTTTCGAGAGAATGTATCGAGCCATCGAAAACTTGGGCTCCCACATGGCTCCCAGGGCCCAGAAGTAGACCTCGATCAATCTGTCTCGTGCGAAGGACAGTTTGGTTGCAAAGTCCAGATCGATCCACCACCTGAAACAATCACGAATAAATAAGAAAAACTTGTTGTTGTTTCCGGAAAAGTTAGTGGTTGATGATGATCAGATGATGGTACGTACTGCGTAATGCTCCTGAGCTCCTGATGGTACAGGTGTTGCAGGACGTTCCAGCTCAGCTTAGCCAGCTTCAGGAGGACGTGGTCGTGGCCCTCCATCTGCTCGTACACGGATATGAAGAAGAGCTGCTCGTGCCTCTCGACGCCTTTGCGCAGGGGCCTCCTCAGAAGATGAGCCACTCGTTGGGCCAACAGCTTGCGCTGTTGGTCCTCCTCGTGTTCAGTAGCTGCAGCCTCGGAGCTGAAACTGGTGAGCTCGGCTGTGGTGAACTCGATGGCCTGGTCCAGTATCGTCTCTCCGTGCATGCGGAGGTACGCGGCTTCGTACAGGCTCATCGTCGCTTCGACGTCCTTTGCCAGCTCCTTCCTGAAGGTCCCGTCTTCGTTCTGAAACTTCTTGAATATGTCTGTGCACACATTATTTCGTGAAGTAAATGACTCATTATTGAACATCTCTCAACAACTGGAGTTATTGATATCAACTAGAGTTCTTGATATTATTATCACATATATATATATACGGCATATGTTTAACTCACTGCATGCATGCATACTAACGTAGGTACGTACCATTGGGCACATTGTAGCCTTGTTGCCTGAGCAGCCTGAACTGGAGCGCGACGGTGAAGAGGTCGCCGTCGCCGTCGTTAGGATGATTGACATGGATCTCGCGGAGCTGCTCTTCGATCTCTTCTTCGAAATGATAGCCGATGCCCAGCCTCTCCACCACGTCGATCAGCTTCAGCTTCGCCGACGTCGCCGTCGGAGCTGACAGCATCGCCTTTACGTTTTCCTTCAGCGCTTCGATCCGCACGTTCCACCCGTCTACGGTCTGCATGCATGCAAGGTGGCGGTAGGCAAATATTCATTAACCGCCCGTAGTAATAATTAATTTGACACAACAATTACAGATCCCGTAGGTGATTAATTTATTATTTTACCTCTTGGTCATTGAAGACGCGAGTGATGAAGAAGTCACCCCAGACAGTCGGATGGAAGTCTGCCGTACGCCTCTCTTGAGCAGTTGCCGGCGCCAGAGTAGTGCCGGCGGCTGTTTTGTTGGAGAAGGCGGCCGCCATATCTGAGACGTACGGATGGGAGAGGAGAGATTACTGCTGGTGCTGAAGAATATAGAGTGCTTTAAAGATGCTTGTAAGTTTGGTGAGGTTTTAGCTTTCTCCTTGCAGCCCTTTATATAGGAATGGAAAGAACACATGGCGTGCCATATATAATTATAAATATTATTATTATTATTCAAATTAATTGCCGAGTGCCCACCTTTCAACAATTCTTGCTTGTTTTTCCCCTTCATATTTAAAATTTTAATTTTAAATGCTAGTATTTCCTGCATGACACAATATGATCATTGTATATCATAATTAACGGGTTCTTCGTACGATTTTGAATTAAAATGAAGGAGATGTATCATTACATTATTGTCGTATCATGAAATTAATATATGATAAGCTTACCTGAGGAAAATGTGTTTTGATAAGCTTTTTTCCCTCAGAATGTAACAACATGGATGTGATTGTGTAGATCATAATTAATTCATTCCTTTTGTCCAAATTGTTTTAAATTTTGAGTGAGAAGAGAACGCAGAAAAAATGACACAAATAGACTAATGAGAATTAAAAAGTAGGGTTCAACTAGCCAAAGTATTATGTCCCTCTCATCTGAAATCGATGATATCAAAGGAAAACAAACAAAAAACAAACAACAAAAAAAGTGTGCAAACATTATCAGGTTGCCCCTTCTTATTTCTATATGAGTTTATGTATTGTTGAAATAAAAATTAAAAAGAACAAATAAAGAGTTTTTTTTACTATAAAGAGGATTTTGTACCCGATTTTCTCATGTAATTAAACCAGTATAGCTCCAAATTAGGCAAGATGCATGGGGCTGTTGGATTAAACAATTACTCGTTTTGTTTGCTATCATTTGGTTTACATACGAAATGAGAATGGCAAGGCTGGGCGATCTACAGTGTTATATTAGCTGATCTTTGCCCGTTTCATGGGAATCTCATCATTAATTAATTATACTTATGGTTCACCATTCAAAATTGGCGGGCGGTGCTATTTTTTTCAGACTAATATATATATAGTGGCGTCTTCGGTGCACTCACTCTTTTGAGTGCATCCAGTGTGCTCGCTTCATAATCGTCATTTTAAACATGAGATTTATGTCAAAATGATGTCAATTATCACTTATGATGTGATGAACAATAACACACATGAATTTGCACAAACACCATAAAAGATTTGCTTTAATTTGAAGGATTTAGAGTTTAAAGATCTAGGGTTAGGGTTAGGGTTTAGGGATAGAACTCAAAATTGGAGGTCTAGTGCTTAGGATAATCCGCTAATTAGTTCTTATCATATGTTATATGATCATATTATACTAATTCTACAAATTAAAATTCAAAATCCGACTCCTTAAGACTAGTTTTTGAGTTGGGTGCATTGAACGCACTCATTTTTGTGAGTGCGCCGAAATAGTCACCATATATATTACTTGATTCCCGTTATATTGTTCTTTCTGTCTCATTCAGATACAATATTATGCTTTTTTTTTCCCTTTCCATTTCATGTAATGAAATTGCATAATGTATTTACATTAATTCTTACAATCGTATTTATAAATGATATAATATCATGAAACTCGCATATTCTACAGTGTATATTTGTCTGAGTAGACCATAATGATACAGAAAAAACAAGACCAAATAATTTTAAGTTGAATGCTATTGATTAATGTAAGAGACTAGCATAATAATTAAGAACTATAATTAATCACTCACGGACCAACTTGTTTAGGATAATCGATATACTATGTGTTCTGAGGTGACCACGTGAGTGATATATGCAGCATCTTATTTTATAATTATTGTGCTGGCCATCCGACAATAAGAGGAGCCAGCTTCACGATTGTTTATATGTAAAACACTTAGTAATCGATTATTTCTTTTTTTCATGAATGAATTACTCGAAATTTTGTTATTAAATAGTTTGGTATTTTAATCAAATTAAACCGAAAGATACCTCTGATTCAATCTTCTGGCTTCTTAATACCTCTAAAAATATATATATTTACAGCACACCAATTAGCAGTTTTATTGGGTTGGTGGTGGTGGTCAAGCTAAGCATATTTGTCTATCTCGTTGTCCTTTTCAAGAAATAGAATTTCTAGAGTCCATCAATTATATTCAGGGGAAGCACGAGGCCCTGTCTGGAGGAGATATTAATAAGAAGTCGATTGCGCCTATAGGGCTCCGCTCTGTGGGTTAGAAATTCAGGATGCGGCCGGCGGCTGCAGAGTCCGGCAACGCCTAGGTGTAGCCTGTATGTGTGTAATTAGGGGAGCTATGTGCTAGACAAGATTCCAACGCTAGCCTTGCACCCAAGCCTTAAAAATACATTTTGTACACAGGTTGGGGAAATTGAATATTTTATAGGACTTAATTGGCGACCCATCCACAATTATCACACCTCAAAAATCTTGAAATCGGATTTTTCATATTTTCACTTTCATATTTTTGCCTCCGTCACTTTTGATCCATATTCTGTTAGCCCGCAACCTCCATGAACAAATACTTCATCCAAAAGATAAAACAACGACACTCAAACGACTCGAATACATAGCTTCTCTCAACAAAAAGAAGTTACATAGTGTCAATCCACTATAGATGTGAGTGATCCAATGTTCCATAAATTAAATAACTATTGGAAACAAATATGGCTTTTCAATCTCAAAAGTGTGTTTTATGAAAACCAAACTCAGTGCTGGCATGGCAAAGGAGTTTTGAACTGTGATAATATGAAGGAAAAATACTTCATGAATGAAAGATCAAGTCTAACAAGTTGAAGAAAAAATCAAAATAAGGAAAAAAACGAATAGATATTGTAAGGAATTGAGATTGAATAAGCCAAGAACGGGACGAAACGGGACAGGACGGGTCGTAAGTTGATACCCATGTTCCGCTCCATACTACTGCAGATCGGGTACCTGGCCCATCGCAGGTCAGATCGGATAATAACCGACACTAGTTTAAATTGCCATCCCTAACCAAACTATGTTCGCCATATATGAAAGGCTTGTGAGTTTGCGATTTGCATGGTTCGTTCAAAAAATTTACTCTGGTGAATGGATGCCAGGTAAGTTTTTGGTTCAACTACTGTGCTATTCACGCGATTTGTTGGCATGTGTGGAAGGAAAGAAATCAGAGGATGTTTCAAGAAACTCGTTTTACTTCTTTGGTGGTCGCTAGGAAGATTACGAAAGCAATCGTTGATTGACTTTTTCGCAAATTTGGCTTTCATAGATGTGCTGCTGCTCGTCAGGGCACCTCTGCTGGGGTCTCTAATCTCGTTTTGAGTCTCCTTTCCTTGCTCCTTTGCTTTTACCCCTTTCCGCTCTTGCTTGTAGTTTTCAGTGCTTTTCCTTTCTGTTTCTTCCATCTCTTTCGGGCTTTGTGCTCTTGTTCTCTTCTGCTCTTTCTCACGTCTTGTGGGAATCTGTATCTTCTAGGGGTCGTTTGGATTAAGGATTTAATTTATGAGGGATTGTGGTTCAAATCCTTAATTGAAAAACCCAGATATTTGGAATTAGGGATTGTAGTCAAATAGCTTGTTTGGATCAAACGTGGGTTTTTTTAGAAGAACCCAAAATTCCAATTTTGTCCAGATCATAGTCTTTGCAACTTCTTCTTCCTCACTCTTCTTCATTGCTGGCAGAGGAAACAGAGCATACGACTTCATCCAAACCCAGGTTGAACCCCTCCCCCCCCCCCCCCCCCCCCCCCCCCCCCCCCCCCCCATCCGCCACTCCCTCTCTTCTGCGAATCCCGACATGCAATTGAGGTGGGTGTTTTGTCCCTGGACCCGCAACTCTGCGACGCGAAGAGTTCTTCTTCAACCTCATGTGTAGAGGGTTCTGATGCCGCGAAACCATATTCTTCAAATTGGGGATGTATGGCAGGCGAATCCTTGCTCTTCTTCAACCCATCTGCAGATGGTTCTGATGTCGCGACCGAGCTCGGTGAGGGAGGGTTTCCTCTGCCGGTATGGAGCTCGTGTCCGAGAGGGATCAAGATCTAGACCTAATCACAGAATACCCAGTTGTCTCACGGGATCAGAAAGATCCAGAAAACCGGATTTAAGGTCCATTTAATCAAGAGGAAGAAAGGGGTCCCCGTCGATTAGGCTCTGACAAGTACCGAAGAAGGTAGAGGTTGGATGAAAGAAGAAGGAAAGAACGAAACCAACGAGGGGCAAAGTCTGGAAGAAACAAAAAAAAAAGTGAGGGATTTCAAAATAGCTTGTGGGTTTTCAAAATTCCCCATGCCAACAATCTCTCACATTTCCAAATGCATGATTGTTTTAAAATCCTATATAATGCATGATTGTTTTAAAATCTCTCACAAATCCCTCACTATATTCCTTCATTCAAACGACCCCTGAAGTCTGAACTCTGTTTTTTCCCTTGATAAAGTTCCTCACCAAAAAAGTTTTTGGGCCAGAATAACGGAGCAGCCCAATCGACTCGGTAGTCTGGCAAGGGCTGAAGCTGTATAGACAATGAGCCTATGAGAATAAGGTACTGGATTTTGGGAGCCCATATATATGGGAGATCATTTTTTGGACCATACATCAAAATGATACAAAATACAATGCGCCGCCTCAAGAGACGAGTTGGGCTCAGGTGACAAAAGGTGAAATCATGAATGATTTTGCCATTTTGGCCACTGTCAAAAACTCAAAATAAAGGAAAAGAGGGACAAAATTGACTTGACACAAAAATCTGTTAAAATAAAAACAAATCAGTGTTGTATTTTCATCGCCAATGTGACATGTAACATAATTACAACTTTCGGGATGGGTCGCCAATGTGACATGTAACATAATTGACTTGACACAAAAATCTGTTAAAATAAAAACAAATCAGTGTTGTATTTTCATCGCCAATGTGACATGTAACATAATTACAACTTTCGGGATGGGTCGCCAATGTGACATGTAAGATGTAACATAATTACAATTTATAATTATTGTAATTTTTTCCTTATTTTTCGACACGACACGTGGAAATTACGATGTGCTGACGAGGATTGCCCGCCGAATTAAATAAAGGAAAATTAATATAATTTCTTTTTCATCTTATCCGAAAACCTGTATTTTCCGCCATGCCTGCCTCTGCTTGTTCCAATCCATCATCCCATTCAACCTCGCCGCGTCACCGTATCCCAATCTCTATCCTTTCGCGAATCCCAAGACTTGGCTGCTGCTTCTTCTTCTTCTTCTTCCTCTTCCTCTTCCATGGTCTCCATTCCATTTCCAGTTCCCAGTTCCTGAGTTCCAAGTATTTAACCATCATCACTTTATCTCTGCCTTTCACCCTGCTTTACGCCATTGTTTCAGCGGCAGAGCAAATCCATTCACTCTCACCAAGTCTTGGGGTTCCTTTGATTTCTCGCTATTCGATCCATCCATTTCCCGCCTTTCCAGTTTCACGGGGTTTAGGGTTCAGTCAGCTGGATCTTGGGTTTTAGCGGGTGAGTTCAGATCATCATTCATTTCGTAATTCGGCGATGAGATAGGTTTGTCTGTTTGATTTCTCAATTCTCACATGCCCATTTGTTCAATCAGCCAACTTCATCTTCAATTTCCAAGCTTTCGAGTTGATGAACATTGCCATTAAGACCAATTTCAGCTAATTGATGTTTTGAGGCTGTGCCTGAATTAGAATTGTCTGCTTACTAGAGGGTATCTGAAAGTTATCAAATTCGGTCTTTAGGTTTGCCATCGATTTGAACCCTTTTGATTATAGCCCCCAGTGTTGAGCTGGTTGCCCGTTTGAAAGTATCCCTGAGGTTGATATAGCGATCAAACAATTCACAGAAAGGAAGCTTTTTGAGCTTTAGGAATGGATATAAGCAATGAAGCCACTGTTGATCATTTTCCAATTGGACCATCGTCCATCCTTGGTAGGACCATTGCCTTCCGTGTTCTGTTTTGCAAGTCAATAGCTAGCTTGAGGCATCAAATTTTCCATACCTTGTTGAAATACATCTATAGATTTAGGGACTTTCTGGGGCCCATGTTGTCGTGGTTGCATCCGAAGAACCCGCAGTGGATACTGGCTATGGTGACAATCATAGCATTTCTGTTGAAGCGATATGCGAATGTGAAAACGAGGGCCGAGATGGCCTATCGGAGGAAGTTCTGGAGGAATATGATGAGAGCTGCTTTGACACATGAGGAGTGGGCTCATGCTGCCAAGATGCTCGATAAAGAGACCCCAAAGCTAAATGAATCAGACTTCTATGATGAAGAATTGGTACGGAACAAGCTTCAAGAACTGCTCCACCGTCGTCAGGAGGGATCATTGAGGGATATCATGTTCTTCATGAGAGCTGATCTCATAAGGAACCTGGGCAACATGTGCAATCCGGAGCTTCACAAGGGCAGGCTTCATGTTCCCAGGCTCATAAAGGACTATATAGATGAGGTATCGACTCAGTTGAGGATGGTTTGTGACTCGGACTCTGAGGAACTCTCTCTTGAAGAAAAGCTATCATTTATGCATGAAACCAGGCATGCGTTTGGAAGGACAGCTTTGCTTCTGAGTGGAGGTGCTGGCCTTGGAGCATTCCATGCGGGTGTTGTCAAAACCCTGGTGGAACATAAGCTTTTGCCACGTATAATTGCTGGTTCGAGTGTGGGATCAATTATGTGTTCGGTGGTGGCCACTAGGTCCTGGCCAGAGCTGCAAAGCTTCTTTGAGGATTCCTTGCAGTCTTTGCAGTTCTTTGATCAGTTGGGTGGGATTTTTTCCATTGTGAAGAGAGTCATGATACAAGGAGCTGTGCATGATATCCGGCAGTTGCAATGGATGTTGAGGAATTTGACAAGTAACCTGACATTCCAGGAAGCTTTTGATATGACAGGTCGAATTCTCGGGATTACAGTTTGCTCCCCAAGGAAGCATGAACCCCCAAGATGCCTCAACTACCTAACATCCCCTCATGTTGTCATATGGAGTGCTGTAACGGCTTCTTGTGCTTTTCCCGGGCTCTTTGAGGCCCAGGAATTGATGGCAAAGGACAGGAGTGGAGAAATTGTTCCATATCACCCACCATTTAATCTTGATCCAGACGAAAAGTCAGGCACATCTGCTCGTCGATGGAGGGATGGTAGTTTAGAGATTGATTTACCAATGATGCAGTTGAAGGAGCTCTTCAATGTTAATCATTTTATCGTCAGCCAGGCGAACCCTCATATTGCACCATTATTGAGAATGAAGGAAATCGTTCGAGCTTATGGGGGCAACTTTGCAGCCAAGGTAAAATTCCTGCTGAAGTCTCTATTGATGTGTATCCTTTGGTTTCTTTCTCTATGATTATGTTTTAAGAGACAAAATGATTCTTATTTCTGGGTTAATTTGTAATTGTAGCTTGCTCATCTTACTGAGATGGAGGTGAAACATAGATGCAATCAGGTGCTGGAACTTGGCTTTCCGTTGGGAGGCCTTGCCAAGCTCTTTGCTCAAGATTGGGAGGGTGATGTCACTGTCGTTATGCCAGCAACACTTGCTCAGGTTTGTGCAAAATTTTCCCTTTCGAGCTTGACTCGGCTGTTAATATTGAGTAATGACATTAAAGACTGCAACTTTGGGAAGAACTGGATGGGTGGTAGCTGAAATGAGAAATAATTGCATTTTGTTGCAGTACTCGAAAATCATACAAAATCCAACACATGTGGAGCTACAGAAGGCAGTCAACCAAGGGAGAAGGGGTACATGGGAGAAGCTTTCGGCCATAAAAGCCAACTGCGGCATTGAGCTTGCACTTGATGAATGCGTCGCTATTCTCAACCACATGCGCCGGCTCAAACGGAGCGCCCAGAGAGCTGCTGCTGCTTCTCATGGTCTCCCCACCAACGCAGCTGGCAACAACACCGCAGTCAAGTTCAGCGCCTCAAGAAGGATCCCCTCGTGGAACTGCATTGCTCGTGAAAATTCCACAGGGTCACTCGAGGACTTCCTGACAGATGTTGCTGCCTCCTCGTCCCAACAATCTGCCAGCGGAGGAAGAAAGCATTGGGAAGGAAGCGACAGTGAATCTGAGAGCAATAACGACGTGCATTCCTGGACAAGATCCGGTGGGCCACTGATGAGAACTTATTCTGCGAACTTGTTCGTGGATTTCGTCCAGAATCTCGACGCTGATTCTGAGATGGGCCGAGGATTGATGGCGGGGTACCCCTACTCCCCAGGAGCTCAGGTCGGAATGAGGGAGCCTTACAGTAACCATACCTCCCCCAACTCCCCAGGGGCACAGGTTGGAATGAGAGATCCTTACAATAACCTGACTTCCCCCAGGGACACATCGTCAACTAGTGGTTTGAGCTTAACTGTAACTGAAGGTGACCTCTTACAGCCCGAAAGGATCCATAATGGTTTCGTGTTGAATGTGGTCAAGAAAGAAGACTTGGAGACGCTGTGTCAAAGGCCTCATCGTTTGGAAACCTTTGGCACTGACATTCCTGAGACTGTTATGCTCGACTGTCCAGAGAAAGATACGGATGCCAGCTCAGCATCAGACTATGCTTCTGATAATGATGACAATGGTATTAGTCCAGCAGACGATGAAGCTTCACCACCAACTGCCGATGTTGATGAATCTAGTGTCCCTGCACGCAGCATAGATTTGGATGATGCCTAGGTTTTGAACGGAGATTAGATGAAACCTTGGAATCTGATTCTTCTAGTTGTCTGGAAATGGCAGTAAACAGGGATATGTTGATGCATTCTTAGATTCAGCTTGATAGGCTTCTACGTATGCTTGGCATTGCCAAATCTATTGGCTCTACATAGAGTTGACTGTAAATTGTTTGGTATAATATTAGCACATGATTCCCAACATACTTTCGAAGCGGTTCAGTGGAATGGAAATAAAGAAGCTGTGTAATGAAAATGAAAAATAAAGATTACTTGAAGCATTCATATCGTTTGTGAACTGAATTTGAGAAGAAACCATGAGACACAAGAGAGGGAGAAATAAAATGGCAAGTACAACTCAGATGCAAGTTCCAACTCTTTAGTAAAGATCAAATCTCATGCCTACCGACTGATCATAACAATCAGACACCTCATTCAAAAATTAAGAACTTCAAGGAGCCACATATTGGGACATACAAAACCGGTCCTCTCTTTAAGCAATCACAGAGGGCTTGGAAGCAGCAGACAACCTGGACCTCTTCTTGGCTAAGCTCTCGCTCCTGCGATCTCTCTGCTCCTTCAATCTTGATGCAAGAAGCTTCTGGTACTCAGCAGCATCAGCATTGGCCTTTGCAACTCTCTTCTTCTTCTCTGCAAGTCTGGCTCTCTTCCTTTGAAGAGTCAATGGAGTCACCAACCTCTGAATTTTAGGAGCCTTGCTTGCTTCCTTCCCTGTGAGCCGGGAAAATGAACAAGAAAAAAATCAAAACCCAATCTACAGTTGTATATACTCTCTCACTTTATTAGATCAGAGGATGCTTACCATTTTTGCGGGTGAAAGTTCGGCGGTAGGTGTTGACATACTTCCTGACATCATCATCTTTGGATAGATTGAAGAGCTTGCGGATCTTAGATGCCCTCTTGGGTCCCCTCATTCTGGGCTTCTCTGTGTCGGTCAACCCAGGGAGATCGTTCTCACCTTTCTTCACAATGACCAAGTTGAGAACAGAGAGGTCCTGGCTAACAATGCAACCTCGCACTGACTTCCTTCTGCGCTCCCCATTGCGCCTTCCATATCCACGGAAGCAAGGGGTCCCTATTTTTACAAAAAGGCGAGGCATTTTTTCTCAGCAGAGCAAAAATGGATATATCAAACAAGTGCTTCATAAAGGAACCCCTACCTCGGGTAAGCAAAAGGCGGACCCGGCCTGGGTTCAAGACACCCTGCTTCATAGGGAAACCCTGCTTGTCACAACCTCCCATGATCTTGAAGACATAGCCCTTGAATTCCTATTAAAAGGAAAGATAATCGACAATGAGAATGTGAAGAGTAAGCATCAAGAAGCAAGGGAAAATCATCATACACATACCTCTCCGAGTGCATCACCACTGACTTCCTGGGAGATTCTCTTGTCAAAGAAGGCACGCCTGAATACATGAGATAGAGCTTATCAGACAATAGACTCATTACATAAACAAAAGCAAAGGTTCCAATGATCTTACCATCAGACAATAGACTATGGACAACGCTTGAGGGTCATTTAGAAGTTATAAATGAACTAAAGCATATAATCAGCAAGCTACAGGGTGTACCGAGGTCTGAATTTTTTTTGTTCATCACTATAATTACCTATCCAGCATTACTAGAACCCGGAAATCCTCTGCATAGATTTAAGTTTAACAGCTAAAGAAGCCTCCTTTTTAGCTATCTGAATCTCTTACCAAATTAGTTTCTCAATTTCATGTTTAAATTGGACTCATTCAACTACACCGTAACACCGCTCGACGAATTCGAATCGACCGAACCAAGAGAGGAAAACTAGAAAAAGGCGAAAATGGCTTACAGCTTCTGATCGTCATCGATTTCCAGCTTCTTCTGGCACCCCGTTGTGGGGTTAGCGATGTTAAACTGCAACGAATCGAATAGAATGAAAACCGAAGGCAATCGTGAGATCGAGGAAGTAACAAAATGGCGAGGCGGATTTTCATCCCATCGAATGAAGAATGTAAAGCTTGAAGCTTTCAGAGGTGAGAATAATGCAACCCACCTTCATGGCTGTGGACAGAGAGCTTTGACGACGGCGGGAACTCGGGTTCTTTTTCTTCTCCCTGGTTAGGGTTTTTCTAGAGAGACTGAACGAATTTGGTTTACCGGTATATATATGCTGGGACTTGGCGCAAGGCCCAAGCTCATGGGCCTGCCGGTTTGAGCCCTGCTTTATCCAGGCCTGAGAGTTTAACGAGCAGGCCCAACCTTAATATCCAATCCAATAAATGTCTCTCTGAAAACCCTAGGAAGGCACAAGCGAAAGCGATAGCATTGCAGGGCAGAGAGAAGAACCCGGCAGGCAGTCGTTGAGCCTCTTCGTTGCTTCTCTGCTCTCCATCTTCCGCCGGCCGCCATGAAGGTTTGCATCCTTCGCTTTCAGCGTTAAGCTTTCTGGGTTTTTTTAATAGATTGTGAGTCTCCATCTTACTTTCCGTACTTCGTCCCTGTTTGTTTGTTTGGTTCGCAGTTCAATATCGCCAACCCCACAACGGGGTGCCAGAAGAAGCTGGAAATCGATGACGACCAGAAGCTGTAAGTCATTTCGTCTTTCCTCTTTTTCTGTCTTGCTGGCGGCATGTTCTTTCGGATTTCGTAGGATATTTTCAGCTTGAGCGTCCGTCTTTAGAGTTTAGAGTTGGTAGTTGAACAATAGCTTGGAAGTAAACGACTATCTTTCTTCGATTTGGAAGGAAGGGGTCAGTAGTAGGGATTACTATATGGTTAGTGAATCATAGCGAATCAATAATAGCTTATCTGTTTACTGAGAATCCAGTTCGAGCCAGATTTAGTACTGAAAGCTTCTTTAGATGCATTTACTTAGTGAAGATGATTTGGGCGAGTCTGTGCTACCTTGGGAGTAGGCAAGGAGGCTCGCTTTGGGTTGCTTTTTTGTTCCAACATTTGTTACTGTTAACTTGAGTAGTAAGTAGTCTGGGACAAGGGGAAAGAAATTTATGTTGGTTATAATTCTTCTCTTGCTATCTCATCTGTTGATTCTGCTTCTTGGGGAAGCTGAAAGAGAAGGCATTTACTTAGTTTTTACCATGTTTCTCCACTTGAATAGCTATAGGTGATTGTGCTGAGATAATGCAATCAAGTCTGCACAGTAGATGTTAGCTCAATGATTAGACACATTAGCCAAGCCATGGTTTTTTTTTTTTAAGATTGTGATAGATGGTAATGCAGTAGGCAGTTGTTAAAATTCGGTCTCTCTTATTCTTGTGGTAGCAAATGTATGCCTTTTAGTCACATGTTACTCACTTATGCAGGCGGGCCTTTTTTGACAAGAGGATTTCCCAGGAAGTCAGCGGTGATGCTCTTGGAGAGGTATGGATATATGCTGATTTTCCCTAGCATCTATATACTTATCTCTTCAAGTTCTCATTGTTGAATATCATATTTTTTGTAGGAATTCAAGGGGTATGTGTTCAAGATCATGGGTGGTTGTGACAAGCAGGGGTTCCCCATGAAGCAGGGTGTCTTGAACCCTGGCCGTGTCCGCCTCTTGCTTGTAAGAGGTAGGTGTTCCTACTGGAAGCAGTTTTTAGAAAGTCTCCTATTTCCCCGAGTTGCTGAGAAGAAGCCACTAACTCTGTGTTTTAAACAGGAACCCCATGCTTCCGTGGATATGGAAGGCGCAATGGAGAGCGTAGAAGGAAGTCGGTCCGTGGTTGCATCGTGAGCCAAGACCTTTCTGTTCTCAACTTAGTCATTGTGAAGAAAGGTGAGAATGATCTCCCTGGACTGACGGACACAGAGAAGCCAAGAATGAGGGGACCCAAGAGGGCATCCAAGATCCGCAAGCTTTTCAATCTCTCTAAAGACGATGATGTGAGGAAGTATGTCAACACCTACCGCCGTACATTCACTCGCAAAAACGGTAACCATCCTTTGATCTAACTTAATCACTCTTGGCATAAACTCGAAACATACACATGTGTTAACAATTGCTTGAATTTCACTCATGTCTTCTCTTTTGGGTGGATACAGGGAAGGAGGCTAGCAAGGCTCCTAAAATTCAGAGGCTGGTCACTCCACTGACCCTGCAGAGGAAGAGGGCAAGACTTGCAGAGAAGAAGAAGAGAGTTGCAAAGGCCAATGCCGATGCTGCTGAGTACCAGAAGCTTCTTGCATCCAGGTTGAAGGAGCAGAGAGACCGTCGCAGCGAGAGCTTGGCCAAGAAGAGATCCAGGTTGTCTTCTGCGTCCAAGCCATCTATTGTTGCTTAAAAGTGCGATTCGGGGTTTTTAGATGAGTGCCATATCCTGTTTGTTAAAATTTTGAGAAAGGAATTGGATTAATGTTCTTGTTGTGGCAATTTCATCATTGTTAAGTCATGAGGATTGGTACTCCAAAACACTATTTGGTTGTTCTGTTGTTTCTCGACTTAGCAGCATATTTCTGTTCATTTTTTGTTCGCCATCTCAGATGAAGCACTGGTTCAATCCTTTCTTAAGCTATCGTCTTTCACTCTCTGTTAAACTGCCTGGAAAGGGTATCAGAAACCATATTTAGAAAGTAACAAGTAGAAGGGGATTGCTGCAAGTGCCGTGTCTGCTGACAAAACCATTTGCGAATTGAGCGTGCTCAAGGATTCGTCGGCGGCCGACTTCCAATTTAGGCCAGTTGTTTCAGCCCATGGTGGTAAAAGATTTAACTTTTCTCCATGACTTGGTCTCTCTCGGGTGATCTGTGGGTCAGTTCTCAGTTGGAAGTTAACAAAGTAATTAGTGAGATGGCTAAGTGCATGTACTTATATAACAGTAACGTCTTGTCTTCTACGATCGATCCAGCTGAGAAAGAAAAGCCACCAGGAAAGTGTTAACAGTCTTCTCACGAGAAGAGAGGGAGCTGGTAAGTGACAGGGATGAAAAGGGTAAAAGAGAAGAAAAAAATATCCACATGGATTGCTGGTGTTAGTTTGTTAATCACTCGTTTGATTGGTTCAACTGTTGCGTTGGTTTTTGCTCTACTATGCCCGTGTCGCCTAAGGTGTTTTAGTAGGGACGGACTAAGATACTCATCTTAGCATTCTTAAGGTTTATCATGGAACTATTGAAGCTCTTAGCTTTCTAGAATAAATACTAATTTGATGGTATAATAAGTGACGAAACGACGCATGGTCTTATAATAGCCTATGTGACTGATTTGTCATTGTCAACCGTAAGGCGTGTCCTGATCCTCATGTAGCCATAGGTATCTCATTCGTTTTGCTCATTTGTCGATGGTTGCAGTTATATAAAAGATGAAAATTTGTTCTCAACGATCGTTTTATAGCGTGATTGAATAAAAGTCGTGGAAGAACCATTAGAGTTTTTTTATATAAGGGACAAATCGTAATAATTGTCAACTAAAGAAACAAAGATGTTCCCACAAATAAAGAAGCAAAGATATTGAGATGAAGTCGTAATCAAGAAAGCGGGAAAATTAAATTTATTGCGGGAAACACTTCTAAACAAGCTCTAAATACCCATCACCCAACAAAAGTACCTTCTTCCCCTTTGAGGAAACTTCCGCGAACCTGCCTCCGCCATGGCTCTGCTCCATTTAAGCCCCTTCTCCCACCTTCCATTTCTCCCAGACTTCCCTCCAATCACACTTCTCCTCCTCCAATTCCCTCCGCCATGAAGGTCTTCAAGATCATCACAAACCCTAGATCCCTCTCCCCCAAACGCCTCTTCCGCTCCTCCAAGAAGACCAAATCCTCCTCCTCCCCCGCCGTCTCCAGATCCGACCCTTCCTCCTTCACCGACTCCTCCTCCGCCGCCGCAACCCCCAAGAGCGTCCTCCCGCAGTCCTCTTCCGGCGACTGGTCCTCTGACCTCTCCGAGCTCACCTACCTCGAATTGCAGCACGCCTTCCGAATAATCGACCGCGACAACGACGGCGTGGTTTCGAAATCGGAGCTGGCGGCCTTATTGGGCCGGCTGGGGAGCTCCGACGAGGTGGCGGCGGCGATGCTGAGCGAATTGGGCCGGGCCGAGGGGGACGACGACGGGTGCGTGACCGTGGAGGCCTTGATGGGCCGGGTTGGGCTCGCGGGCTGGGAGCCGGCGGGCCGGGACGAGCTGAAGGAGACGTTCGGGTTCTTCGACGCGGATCGGGACGGGAGGATCACGGCGGAGGAGCTGTTGTTGGGGTTGTCGGCGATTGGGGAATCGGAGTGTACGTTGGAGGAGTGCCGGCGAATGATTGCTGAGGTGGATAAGAATGGGGACGGGTTCGTGTGCTTGGAGGACTTCTGTAGGATGATGGACCTTCAGAGGTGATCATATGGAATTCAGAAAAAGCGAAAATGATCATGTGATGCACTGATGATGTCATATATATAATTAGATTTGTATACCAAATTAGTCGAACAAAAGGAATATATATGCAGTGCCTAAAATTTGAAATTTCACTTCATTTGGTCCTAAATATGTTTTTGCTTCACTATTTTTATTTGCTTTTATGTTAGCATATAACATTATACACTACAAGTAACATGTGATGTGATTCTAGTTCTACCATTTCCCAATAATTAAGTAGATTTGGTGATAACTTTTGTTGGAATTGGTATTAGGTGGGATTAATTAACACAAATGTTATGGGTTAATGTTGATAATTGAATTACAATGTGTGCTAACAAATGATAAATGGAGTGCGATATCAACAACCTGAACAGGTAGCTCTAACTAGGTTAAGCCTCGATAAAAGTAGATTAAGGGAAGAATTAGACTTGGAAACTCTTGATATGTGGGTAGGTATTTCAAGTCAAATTATTCATCATCTTGATGGATCAATTGGATTTATCGGCAAAGTGGTTTTAGTTTGGTATTAACTTCAATATATTAGGGCCATGTAGTCCAGGTTTCAAACTAATAGTTGTCGGTTAATTCGATCCTTTCACAATGTATTAGGCATAACTATTTTATCTTCCAAATTCAGTGGCTAATGTCTTTTATCCGCTATGTATTGAGGTTTACGTGGATCAGCACTTAACAACCCTTTGTCGAGCGATTAGCCGATTACAAGGATGACATGCATTTTTTCTCTCTGTCAATTAGCTTGATTGTTCCATACATGATGAGCTTTGTTATCATCACCTTGTTTGAGTTACATAAATCTTCGTAGCTTTCTTGAACATGACTATTATTGTACATGACGATTATTGTAAGAATGATTACCCTGATGTGTTGCACTTTTTACTCTACTGTGTTCCATATATGTATTAGAGATCAATCATTATATTACCCCACATGTATAGTAATGATTTTAGCTACTTAATTGTCATATAATTTAATTAAAGTGCATTAATCTCTTGAATGGGTATCTCTTACATAGGTTTGTATGTCTTTTGTATCTATTTTAATCTTATCATGGAAGAAATCATATTTACTTACTACAATTCATATTATAGACAAATAGTTACCTATGGACTAATTACATGCATAAATGTTGGTTGTTTGTTTGCTGTAAGAACAAACATCCAATTCAATATGATATAACAAGACTGTTAGTTAGGTTAATTATTAGGTGATACTTCACTTTCTTCATGCTTATCTAACACCAACAAAGACGAGTAGATAACACATGTTTGGTTGGAGTGTCACCAAAGTTGAATAATTTCTTCTTTTTAATATTTACCCATTTTTAATTAATTAAAATTTAATCATCCTAAAAAAGAAAAGGGAAACACACATACAATCATATATACTGATTCCCTCCCGAAATAAAAGGAAAACACATCATGTCTATCATATTTTCTGTAATATTGATAATTAAAGGTTGGTGGAGATTCAAACATACAATCCTTTGATCAAGCCGATTCTGATATCATATTAGAAATTGTTGGATCTTCATAACTTGAGTTATTGTTAGAAAGTCAATTAAGAATATTATACCACCGTATGATAATCTTTTGATATGTTTCTTATCGGTTTTACTCTTATTTATTATTATTATTATAGGACACTAAGGTTTTACAACCATGTAATGGTTAAAATAGCTACACTTTAGTTAAAGGATATACGTATGTGTGTATTAAGTATAGAGATTGTAAGGTATATATTTAAAGTGGTTGGGGAATTGCGACTATATATGGATCTCACGATGAGGGTTGATGATTAATCAAACTCTAACTAATAGCCATCCATTCTAGAAAGTGGACTTTAGGGTACTTAGATTTTGTAGTCCTCTTAGTTTATACTTGTTAAAGTAAACATTTTTATATCACTACATTAAGAAAGAAAACACACTTTGATTAGTAGGGAGGGTAACTATAAAAACCACATTAGTATAATATGCCGTTTATCCGTCCAAATTTCGTACAAATAAAATTACTAACAAGTCTAAGAATTCATCTTTCACCTTCTCAATTTGGCATTAATAACATACCATTTGGTATAAATGAATTCCATAATTTTTTAGGAATTCATTTTGAAATGAAACATTTTTGTGTTTGATATTTAAAAGAATTCATTTTCAATTCTAAATTTTGAATTCTATGGAATTGGTACTAGTTAGTTATAGCAATTCCGAGGAATTGAGATAGAAATTTCCAAATGAATTCCACAACTATTTACTAATTATAATAGAATGACATAATTATCCTCTTTATTAACTAAATTATTTATATACATAACATACCAAACACAGGAATTCAATTGACGATGAAATGGGGAATCGGATATGGGAATGGCCAATTAAACAAACCAGTGGTTTGGCAGTGCGATCAGAAAAGACATCAACTCGACACAAAGTCCCCTCCTTCTATTTTCATTATCATATGTTAATCTCTGCTCCAACCACATTCTACATTGTTAATGACTTCATGTCCCCTGATAACATCTAGAAGGCACCTTGCATCGGAAAAATTCGGAAAGAGAACTGCCATAACCTCTATGAATATCCGACAAACTTATAAGAACGAAAATTGAATCGAAGACAACACTGTACCGATCCTTATACCTTACTACTCGAGCCAGCCACGAGTTATGATTACAAGAATGCCGACTTGATTTGTTGTTACCAAATGTCGAGACTCTGTTCATGTATGTCCAAGTCCTTGACCGATTCTATAATCAATACAAACCACAGAGGACGCAATGCAGGTTTCCTCTGCTTTCCTGGAAGCTTCGTTGCTGCTGGCCATGGATTCCAACTCTCCTTCTGTCAGCATTTGCTGGCATTACTGTACACGACAACAACCCCTTCATTGGTTATTATACTGACAAATTTGAGAGGTTAATCCGGAATCGGAGCCGCGGCGGTTGAATCGGAAAAATCCTTCGAAATTGGAATGAAGATTTGAACTGTGACTGGGAAGGGATTTTTCCGGTTCTTCTAAGCACTGAAAGATGGCGGGAGAATGGAGAAGAGGGGATGGCGGCGGGAGGTGACGTGTCAAACTAAAACACTAACAAAAATTTAAATATTTTTTAATTGAGAAAAACTCTCCAATTTCAACTTTTCCAAGCCTTTGAAGTCAAGGGTCTCCCTAATCCTTCTTCCCGGGCCACAGAGGAAGAAAACAGAGCAATCTCTGTTCTTCGGAAGCTGCTACTCCGAGGAAGAAACAGAGGAAGAACGATGGTGAACCAAGAGAGGCTGACGCTGCTACTGGTAAATCTGGCGGGGATCATGGAGCGAGCCGACGAATCGCTGCTACCAGGAGTCTACAAAGAAGTCGGCGCCGCTCTCCACACCGACCCAACCGGTTTGGGTTCCTTAACCCTCTTCAGATCCATCGTCCAGTCCTCTTGTTACCCTTTGGCAGCTTACCTTGCTTCCCGCCACAATCGCGCCCACGTCATAGCTCTCGGCGCTTTCCTCTGGGCTGCCGCCACTTTCCTCGTCGCGATTTCGTCCAGTTTCTTGCAGGTTTTGCGATCCTCTTTCGTTTTTTTTTTGGGACCGTTTGAACAGTTTTTTTCCTCGTTTTGGGTAGCTGAGAATGATGCTTTGTTTCTTTCTATTATTGGGTATGTGGGTTTTCTGGTAAAGGTTAGGTCTTTGTGTTTGATGGGTCTATATAGGGGGCCAGAATTGTTGAGCTTCATGAACCAATTTAGTCTCTGGTAAATCTTTTAAGGTTGAGAATTTGGATTCAGTTCGAAATGGGTAGATCCACACGGTTTATACGTATTGGGAACCCTGCCATTAGATGGATTCTCTTATAGCCGATAGTGTGCCACAAAAGGCCGTAGCATTGACTGACGCAGCCTGGATTCAAACCCGGGTTGAATGCTAGCCGGAGGTTTGGTAATTCTATTTGCAAAGTGAAGTGTTATAGGTCAATAGGATAGCCCATAGTTTGATATGTTGCAATGAATGAGCTACAATTTCCATTCCTCGAGCCCATTGTGGATAGCAGCTAAGTTCGATTTTGTTGCGAAATGTGCCATTAAGTACTTTCGAGTTGAAGCCTTCTCCAATTGTTTGTTTCAGTCCTGGAGATAAGCTGCAGAACAACTCTTTCTATGCAAATTGGGATAAGAAGTATTGATCCAACTATCTGCATTTGCTTAAACATTTAGGTGGCAATTTCTAGAGGCCTGAACGGGATTGGACTAGCCATAGTAACACCCGCAATCCAGTCCTTAGTCGCTGATTCCACTGATGACAGCAATCGTGGGACTGCATTCGGATGGTTACAGCTAACAGCAAACCTTGGCTCCATCATTGGAGGCCTGTGTTCAGTGCTGATTGCTTCAACTACCGTCATGGGGATTCCTGGCTGGCGAGTGGCTTTCCATTTGGTTGCCATAATAAGCGTAGTAGTTGGCATTTTGGTTCGTCTTTTCGCTCATGATCCACAATTCTCCAACGACAACAACAAACAACCCACCAAGCAGCAACAGAAGAACTCTCCACCTCGGACTTTCATCTCTGAGATGAAGGATTTGATGAAAGAAGCCAAATCAGTGATGAAGATACCGTCTTTCCAGATAATTGTAGCTCAAGGTGTGTCTGGTTCATTTCCTTGGTCGGCTCTATCTTTTGCTCCAATGTGGTTGGAACTTGTGGGCTTTTCGCATGAGAAGACGGCAGTGTTGATGGCACTCTTTACGATTGCACTTTCTCTTGGCGGACTGTTTGGTGGGAAAATGGGAGATGCTTTGGCTAGAAGGTTACCGGATTCTGGAAGGATTGTTCTGTCTCAGATAAGTTCTGGCTCGGCTATTCCTTTAGCTGCTGTTCTACTTCTGGTGCTGCCAGATGATCCATCGACAGGTTTCATTCATGGTTTGGTCTTGTTCATCATGGGGCTTTCGATATCTTGGAATGGTCCAGCTACCAACAAGTGAGCGTCCTTCTTTTTTCTCTTTAACTATATCTGGGTTCAACTTCCAAAGTTTAGATTTGTTTTCTTTCTATTCTGGCTGAATCTCTACCCTGACTGAATTGGGTATCCACAGTCCAATATTTGCAGAGATAGTACCTGAGAAATCACGGACAAGCATCTACGCTCTGGACAGATCATTCGAGTCGATCTTAGCTTCTTTTGCTCCTCCAGTGGTGGGAATCCTGGCTCAACATGTCTACGGCTACAAAGCCCCCAAAAGATCATCAATGGCAGGGAGTACTGTCCAAATTGAGACAGACAGGGAGAACGCTGCATCACTTGCCAAGGCGCTCTACTCAGCAATCTGCATACCGATGGCGGTGTGCTGTCTCATCTACTCGCTACTGTACTGCACATACCCAAGAGACCGCGATCGTGCAAAGATGAGTGCACTGATCGAGTCCGAGCTCCAGCAGTTGGATGATGACAATGGTGATGATGAACGAACCGTCATGGATATCGAGTACGGGAAAGATGAAGAGAACAATGCTGGTTTGGATGAGAGTGATGAGAAGGGTTTACTGTGTGATGATCACGTTGTGAAGTTGGATCACAGATGATTGTCATGAACCAGAATGATGAACAGTGTGCTTAGTTTTGTTAGCATGAGAGTGTCTAGATAGTAAATAGTATATGTATACTCACCTGCTGTGTTAAGCATCATAGGAACAGAAAAGATAATGACTTTACCCTGTAAATTTCTTTTAGAGGATGAGAAAAAAGTTCTGCCATTTTTGTTGAAGTTTTTTATTTTATGAATCCTATTTAACCCTTATTAGTACATATTTCTCGTTGTTTGGCACAAGGGAATTCTCATTCTAACGACAATGCATGACTATTACTCGCTCAATACTGGCTTCCCTTGCCCTTCAGCAGTTCTCCCGCCACTTCTCCTCCATCGCCCGCCATGCCCAACCCAAACTATTGTCTTCTAACTTTGGCTGCCTTCAAAATGCCGATTCCTTATTCGACGCTCTGGTTCAGCCGGACACTCTCAAATGGAATGCGATGATCAAGGCTCATATTGATCTGGGTCTTGGCTCCCAAGCTCTGTTTGTGTACAGAAAGATGCGGCAGGCGGGAGTTCATCACGACAGCTTCACGTTTCCAATGGTGAATAAAGCCGCATCTCTGGCGGTTGAATCTGATGTTATAGTTGGTGCCATGGTTCATTGTGTAGCATATAAAGTGGGTTTTGTTTCCGATTTGTACTTCTGCAATACGATGATGGAGGTCTATGCGAAGGGCGGACTGGTGATAAACGCCTCCAAGCTGTTTGACGAAATGCCGCTGAGGGATCTGGTATCGTGGACATCGATGATTACTGCTTCTATTTCTGAAGGAAAGTTATCTTATGCCTTTGAGCTGTTCAATGAAATGATGGCGGAAGTGGCACCCAATTCCGTGACTCTAATTGTCATGCTTCAAGGCTGCTCTACAGGCACGAATTGGTCCGCAGGCAGACAACTTCATGGTTATCTTGTCAAGAATGGTCTGTTAGCAGACGTGTCCCTTCAAAATTGCCTTTTGAGATTCTACAGCAAAATGGATCATGTCCTAATGGTGGAGAATTTGTTCAGTGAAATGAACCAGAGGGATGTTGTTACTTGGAACACTTTGATCAGCTTCTACTCCCTAAAAGAGAATATTGGAAAGGTGGCTTCTTTCTTCAACAAGATGCAACTTGAAGTGGCTGTCAGCAGTGAGACTTTGACTTCAGTCATAACAGCGCTTGGAAAAGCCTGGTACTTGACAGAAGGTAAGAAGCTACATTCCCTCGCCATAAAACTTGGTCTAAAGGACAATGTCTTAATGACTTCTCTCTTGGACTTTTATGCCAAGTGTGGGAAACTAGAAAGCGCAGCTGCATTATTTACAGAAATCTCCCACAAAAGCAGCATTACTTGGAATGCAATGATGTCAGGTTTCATCCAAAACGAGTTCTTCCAACAAGCCATCGACATTTTCAGGGAAATGCAAGCTGAAGGCATCCAACCAGGAGCAGAAACTCTCGGAACCCTCGTCGATGCTTGTGCTCGCTTAACTGCATTCCATCTAGGCAAAGAGATCCATGGATATATCATCAAGAACCTCATCCCAAACTCTGCAGCTCAAGAACACCACCTCTCCTTGATCAGCCAGATCTTAAACATGTACATAAAATGTGGAAGCATTTCATCAGCAAGACAGCTCTTTGACAGGATGCCAACCAAAGACATTGTAGCCTGGACATCGATGATTGATGGCTATGGAGTCCACGGACGAGGCATTGAAGCATTAAACCTCTTCGACAGGATGCTAGAGGAAACATCAGTCACCCCAAATTCCATAACAATCCTCAGCCTGCTATCCAGTTGCAGCCACTCAGGCCTAGTAAGAGAAGGCTGCAAACTGTTTGTTGCTTTGAAACATGAATATGGGATCCAACCGAGTCTAGATCACTACACATGCTTGGTGGATCTCTTGGGTCGATCAGGGAACCTGAAGGAGGCCATGTCCATGATTCTCAAGATGGAGTTTGGCTGTGCTGATGGAAGAATATGGGGAGCTCTATTGGCTGCAGCTAGAACTCATGGAGATAGGAGAGTTGCAGAGTACGCGGCAGGGAAGGTTTTGGAGATGGAGCCTGATGGAGTTGGTTACTACACGCTCCTGAGCAATGTGAGGGCTGGTGGTGGAGAATGGATTGAAGCTGAAGAAGTTAGGAGAGGTGTGCGTGAGAAGATGCTGAGGAAGGAGCCAGGGTGGAGCTTTTTGGAAGGGAGAATTGGGATGGAAAATGAGAACCATCATCGGTTTGTTTCTGGAGATCGTTCGCATGTGAGGATTGAGGAGATTTGTGAAGTGTTGAGACATTTGAGCTGTCAAGTGTGAGGCTGGCCTGTGAGCACGATCGAGTCTCAAGTGGACCTGTATGAATAAAATAAAAGTTTGTGGATTGAAAAGGCACGAGACGCAAAATATGAGCCCATTGAGCTAGATCCGTGTCGGCCCACTCGAGCCAAGTGATTAGTTACCGTATGGAAATTGGAAAGAACTAAAGTGGGAAGCAAGGAGGAAAAGGAAAATACCGGCGAAGAACTGGCTGTTTCTTGGATCGTGATTCGTTAACACTCCACTCTACTTTTACTTTCAGAGATTTGTGTCCCAGAGGATTCAAAGATCATCAGCTGCTCAAAGATCTGTTCTTTTTTGTTTCCCGCTTATGGCGAAACTTCAGTCTCGCCCCGGCTTAATTTTCCCGTCAACTCGGCGTAGCCTCTGTTGAGATCGACGGAGTGACGGAACAGAGAAGGACGGGATGATGGGTGGCTTTTCAATGGGTTCAGCTTTCTATTCGAAGTCGGGGCTGATGATAATGGCGGCGCTTTTGTTAATGGCGGGCTCTTTTTACTTTGGCACTCTTTTGGGAAACAATGCGCCAATTTATGTCTCTCAGCTCACCTCCAATTCGTCTTCGTCCTCGTCTCTCTCTGTCCCTGGTGCGCATTCTCTGCTTAGATTGTATTTATCCGAAGAATTGCATGTGGATTACGTGGGTTGGTGTTTGCTTGGTTGTTACGGTTTTATATCCAGTTTAAGAATGGAAAGATTCGATCTTGATGGGATTTGACGCTAGGGTTTTATAGTAATGCTTGTTAGATATGATTAGCTTCGCATATAGGGCTTCATTCCCTTCCGAGTTGGTTATAAAGCATCTTTCTTTAAGGGATTAAGAACCAGATCTTGGGGGAATTCGTTTTGTATTTGTTTAGCATAACGAGAATGAATCTGAGTCTGTATGTCTACTGTCAGGATCTGTCTACTACTGAGTTTCGATGAATGCAGGTCAAATAAGAATTTTCTGGTCTTGCAGGAAGCTCCACATTTACAAACAAAGTTGCTCTTGCGTTCCGAGAAACGCCATTGACTATTCCAGAAAGTGGGGTGAATGTTTGCCCACTGAAGTTCAACGAGTACATACCATGCCATGACATTGCCTACGTTCACACTTTGCTCCGAAGCTTGAATGTTTCCAGAAGAGAGGAACTTGAACGACATTGCCCTCCACCTGAGAAGCGGCTATTCTGCTTAGTACCACCGCCAGAAGACTATAGGTTACCTATAAAATGGCCAATCAGTCGAGATTATGTATGGCGAAGCAATGTGAATCATACACATCTTGCTGAGGTGAAAGGAGGACAGAATTGGGTTCACGAGAAGGATCAGCTCTGGTGGTTCCCTGGTGGTGGCACTCATTTCAAGCATGGTGCACCCGAGTATATACAGAGGTATTGCCTTTGTATGAACTTATATTTGCTTGGTCAGCATTTTCATCATGCTTGTGTTTATCTGAATCCTTTATTGATCTGGAACGCAGGTTGGGAAATATGACCACTAATGAAACGGGTGATCTACGTTCTGCTGGAGTCTTCCAAGTTCTGGATGTTGGCTGTGGTGTTGCCAGCTTCTCAGCTTATCTTCTTCCCCTAGATATTCATACCATGTCATTTGCACCCAAAGACGGTCACGAGAATCAGATTCAATTTGCTCTAGAGAGAGGAATTGGTGCCATGATATCTGCCATAGCTACAAAGCAACTGCCATATCCACCTAATTCTTTTGAGATGGTTCATTGTTCGAGATGCCGTGTTGATTGGCATGAGAATGGTAATTAGCAATTCTGTTCAAATGATAGTTTACTAATGCTTGATAAATTCTTTCAAAACTAATCACTCTTCCCCAAGTTGATCATTTATGCCTTCTTGATTATTTGCAGATGGCATCTTACTGAAAGAAGTTAACCGTATTCTGCGCTACAATGGATATTTTATCTATTCAGCTCCACCTGCATACAGAAAGGATAAGGATTTCCCATTGATCTGGGATAAGTTGGTGAGTCTGACATCAGCAATGTGCTGGAAGCTCATAGCTCGAAAAGTTCAGACCGCTGTATGGATTAAACAGGAAGATGATGCTTGCCTCCAGCAAAATGCCGAGGCAAAACTCATAGATATATGTGATTCAGTTGATAATTTAAAATCTTCATGGAACACGCCATTAAGAAGCTGTGTTACAACCCATGCATCAACGGATTCACAACAGTTACCTCCTAGACCGCAACGTCTTTCGGTTTATTCACAGAGTCTAAGCAGAATAGGTACGTTAAATGCTTTTTTCACTTGAACTTGAAGTAAGAAGCTCCCTAAGTAATATCACAGTGGCTGTTTTGTTGTACTCATTGCAGATATTAGCATTGAAGAATTCACTGAAGATTCCCAGTTTTTGGCAACATCAAGTTCGTAATTATTGGAAGCTGATGAAGGTACCGGGGACAGAGATAAGAAACATCATGGATATGAATGCATATCTAGGCGGATTCTCTGCCGCTTTAAGCAAAAGGCCTGTTTGGGTGATGAATGTAGTCCCTATGACCATGAATAATACTTTGACAGCAATATATGACCGTGGATTATTGGGTGTCTTCCATGACTGGTAAGATCACTCAATAGTTGTATAGATTGTTGAACTTTCATTAGTGCTTTGGCACACTGAAACACTGATCAGGCATGCATCCTTCAAACGTCAGGTGCGAGCCATTCTCTACGTATCCACGTACATATGACTTACTGCATGCGGACCATCTACTCAGTCACTATATGAACCACGGAGAAAGTTGTAGAGTAGAAGATATAATGCTGGAGATGGATCGTATGTTACGCCCTCAGGTTTGTTTGATCAAAGCTCTGATGTATATGATGACATTCCTGGTTTTGATCATAGCCTCCGTACCTACTCGAATGTATTTTGGTTCTTTGCTCTGCAGGGATTTGTGATTGTTAGAGACGATGAATCAATCACATCGAGGATACGCGATTTGGCTCCAAAGTTTTTGTGGGAAGTCGAATCACACAGTCTGCAGAACAAGGCAAAGAATGATGAAACTGTGCTGATCTGCAGGAAGAAGTTTTGGTCGATTGTTTGAGGAAACGTTCTTCACCGGCGAGATCTGCCAGCAAACTATCTATACACGTTTCCGGAGAATTTTAGCATAGGACAGGTTTTCCAGCGGTTGGATTCTGTTGTCTTTTTCTTTTTCTCTGCCCTAGTATTATGTCCATATGCTTCTGTGTATTATGCAACTCTGTAGATCAAAACAGTTGAGTTGATGTATAAGCAATCTTGCTTAGAGCTTAGGCAATACCATTTCTTTTAACTGTTAGTACAAGTCTACTACTGTCTGTTCATAACGATGCTACCCTAAAATTCATCCGAATTTCATGTCAATCGAGACAAACTTGAACGCAGCAGTGTACACAGATAACATACTATTTGGTCCATCCTACTGTGCCCGTTTCTGTACTTTTTGGTTGATAATTAGCAGTCTCGACGCATGTTGGGTTAATACTCCGTGGGATCGATACCCATGTGTTGTTTCCAAGTGCTGTTTAGGCTTACAAACTCGTTATCAAGTGTCTTCCAAGTAGCGAGTCGTCATTTTACAAAGAACTTTCTTTTTGCTTACTTCTAAACATACTTTCCAAGTCACAGCTCCACTTCCGTTCTCCCTTCATCCTCTTCCTCGGTAAGCAAAGAATAAGAATCTAAGCCATTGTTCCCCAAATTTCATTACTTTCCCACATATTTCCCCACTATGGCTCCTGTTGTGTTTTGACCTGAAGATGGCAAACTAACAAAAATATGCTTAAGAATCAATGGATTACGCGTAAGCTTATATATTTGACAGATAATCTCCAGATTAACAAAAAAAGCAACTTTGTTAGGAATCAATTACTGCCAACGAAGATTTAACAGTAAAGCAAGTTTTATCAGGAATCCATCTAGTGCCGAAAGGCGATCAGGTTTGTGTATATATACTCGTAACTGTGTCTACATGTAATCTATCTACAAAGCACTGAACAAAACTTCTGCAAAATCATGGCTGATAATAACAGAGACAACAAGACACAAGACAAGCAGCAGCAACCTCCAGAAGGTTAGTACGAGTGAAAGAATGATCGACTCCTAAGTTCTAAGAGGAATTTCGGGCTTCTCAACTAACTTTTTGTTTCTCTTGATCTTCTCAAGGATACCCAACAGAGAATCACACTACTCACCCTACTGGGAAGAAGTGCTGCCCTCAAACAAAGAAGAAAGGAGACAGAGGCTTCATTGAAGGATGGTAAGCCAGTCTATCACAATGATACATAACGAGTGACCACCAGAAAGTTGTTTAGTTTCATCTATAGTACAAATATTTTCTGCTACCCATGATCCTAAACCTTGTTTTCGTTGTCTATGTGACTGCAGTCTCTTTGCTCTGTGCTGCTGCTGGCTTTGTGAAGAATGTTTCTGAATCTTCGCTATGTATCATCATGGCCCAGCTTCTAGCTTCTAGTCTTTCACTGGCTTGTCATCTATATGTGTTCAGATGTTTTTTTATTTTTCCTTTTTCTGTCTTAAGGAAAGTAAATTGGTTGTATGATATATATATAGCTTGTCGCCCCCTATGGTTGTATAATGAAGTGATTCCTACTCCTTTGGTTTGTTTATCATTCTACTCCTGCAATTTTGTTCCTCAAATGCTAGTTCCCCAAGATCGACGCTAGTCTGAATAACTGGCTAATAATAAAACAAAGGTGCGGCTCAACTTGGTAGAAAATAAAGCAACAGAGAAGACCTAAATCCAATCAGAAATTTACCTACTCTATTCTCAGTTCTGGGGAGTTATATATCAGCATTTCTGATTTCCTACATACCAAAGCAAAAGCAATTCCTCCAGATTAATACCTGAAGATTAAACAGTTGATCTCCCGGTCAAAGTCGACAACCATAATTTCTGAACAGCTGCAGTCTTCGGATTTGGCTCAAGATTAACTGATATCTATGACCCAAGAAAACAGCTCTGAAAAGCAAAGAGAAAATTTTGTACAAATATACATTTCTGTAATTATACTGGCTACCATGCAAATATTGAATATCCAGATTATAAAATGATCCCACAGATCATGCCAAAAGATGGTACATAAATCACATTGAGAGCAGATGACTAGACTGCTAAGGCATTATTGGACCAGAGCTTAAAAATATGCCCATGTATTTCTGGTGAAACTCTCAGTTTTTACATCTAGTTCTAACAGCCCAAAAACCCTAGGTGTACCCAAGGAAACAAAAAGAGGGCCACGGTTTATAGTTTACAACTTCCCAAACTACAGAGAGACGGATGGGAAAGCAAGAAAGAAATCAAGCAGCCTGTGATAGTGGGAACAACTTCTCAAGCTTTTTATTAGCAAAGATCCTGTTGGGGTCCAATTCCTTCCGGGCAGTATTATATGCATCAACAGGAAAGCGCTCTCTTAGCCTCGCTTGCAATGCTGCTTGCTCTTCCTTATCCCTCGGAACCTGTGCATATCATTGCAATTATGCAACTCAAAGTTAGTGAGGTTTTCGTCATGCACTGATTGGACAATGGAACTTGAGGAGAGACAGTTTTCAGATGTCATATTACAGGAGGCAAATATCGAAGATTGATTTCGTACCTCTATCTTAGCCCAATGTTCATAAGCAGAATATTTATCCCATAGCTCAGTCTGAGTCAAACGTCGATAATGGAAGAACTCATCTGTAATGTCCTTTCTCTGGCGGCCATCCATTGTAGGAAGATACATGATTATGCCAACCTGAGACCCAGAACGAAAGATGGGAGTTTTTGATTAACTCCTCCCAAAGCTTGCATTGGATTAAATGCTAATAGCAGCTTTCATTTAGCATCGATATTAGCAGCTTTCATTTAGCATCGATATTCCAGGGTAATCAGGACATGCTTAAGCAAGAGATACAAACAACACAGAATATGCAATTAATTAACTCACCCAAGAAAATATTTCATCCTCAGTTGAGCTGGAGGCTGGGCTCATATGGCTCCTGCTACGAGCTGTCCAACGTTGCTCTATGGGAGCAGGTGCAGGTATCCGTCTCTTCTCAATGAGCTGCTTCAAATCTTCAATGTATTCAAGATCTTTCATGCTAGGCTTGGAAAGGGAACCAGCAGGAAAGCATGTTTCTGATACCCACTGTTGCCCACCACAATCAAAGCCCAAAATTTCATCACTCCACCCAACCCTGTAGCCTTCTGACTTCCTCCAGAACTCAGCCTCAGCACGATTAATCATGACAATGTGGTTTTTATTTAGAGGATCTAGATTGATCAACTTGTCTCTTAATTCAGTGAACGATAGCTCATCAACAAGACTAGCCGTGATTTTCCCATTTCTGCAAGTAACTGCAACACGCAATCAGCTGACATATACAAGAACTAAATTATATGAATCAAATAGGTCTATCTGGTGTCAAAAAAGACTCGATATATTGCAGAAACAATACTTTTAGTTGATTATAATTGGTTCCTGTATAAATCGAATTCCCAAGTCAATTGTGTTAAAAAAATTTGTTTTCTTGTGTGCGGATCTAATTGCAGTGTTATGAACAAGCACAAGATATCATCATCATTTCTGCTTGTCCGTAGATACATGAAATCATCATATGCATAATAATAATACAGTGATAGCCTAAGTAGAACTTAATCAGTCCAGTGATGTTTCTGAGACATTTGTTTCTCTTAGTTAAAACAGGCAGGAATTGAAGCCACGAGTCAGAAACGATAGAAAAGGAAACGATAGAAAAGGAAACGAAAAGGTGTGAGTTGAACTGGCTTCTATGTTATTACTTCTGAATATGCCAAAAAAGCTCATATCACACAATTTCTTCAATTAAACAAAGGCACAAGTGATTCTCAGCATTTCTAGACCTTCAAAGACTTGGAAGCATGCAGTATATATGATGTCCTTGTACAGTCCAACAATAAAAGGGACAAGAGCTGAACTACCTGTACTTTTGAAGGCACTCCTTGTATAGATCACGGACGTGCTGTATTGCTTCGTCTTTAGTATACTTAGGTGTGAATTTCGGGGGACCCCGCCACTTTGAAATAGGGTTACAGGTGACAACTACAACAGCATCAGTATATGGGATGTACAAGTACTTGACATGCTTATTCTCAGAGAGTAGTTTCCTGGAACAAGATAATTTTTTTTTACAGATGAATAAACAATATCAAGACTCTAGAGAACATTCCAAATCTCAACTACAGCTCAAGTTTGAGCGACCTAGCAAAATGAGTTCCACTTCTTTTGGGAATGACTAAGCAAAAAGAACATGTTGCATCTTAGCGAAATTTTGAAAATAAGTATTTTGAGACAGATAGGCAAGATGGACATCAAATGAAAGCAAACTCTCATCGCAAGAAGACCAATCAAAGATAGAACCATGTATTGTATGAATGTACACATCAGTTACTTGGTTTAAATAGAAAACTGACATCCAAGGGAAAGCTCAAGAGAACATGTGTTTTCCAATAAGAAATTTCTTTGTGATGCCCAAACCATTCATTCGTACATATGCAATTACTTTCTTCTACACAAACCATTCATTCATGTCACATGCAACCAAATGAACATGCAATTACTTGTGGTTTTTCTTCAAATCTTTCATGTCTGTGACATAAGTATGCTCGACAAGCTCTTGACGCTCAACACACTGTAAGGTGACTTCAGCAACTACTCCAAGGCCACCAAGACCACAGCGAGCAAGATAGAACAAATCCGGCTCTTTGTCTTTGGAAATCTCTATTGTGCCTTTGGCAGGAGTAACCAATTTCATACTAATGACCTGTTCATCAATAGGTGGCAACCTCGCACCAGTCCCGTGTGCACCAACCTGAAAACCAGCCAATATTAACAAGTTAGCATCTACCTCAAAGTTCATATCCAAAGATATCACTGCAGCAGTATGACAGCACACTCTTGCCATAGCAAACGGTTTAACAAATTGTCTAGCAAGCTTGCAGCAATGGATCAGATTTATCCCAAATATCTCAAACTAAATGGTTTAGATGGAAAAGGAGACATCTTTTGCCATATATCCAATACTAAAATATCTCATCCAAAGGACGAAATGCAGTGAGAGAGAACCTGAATAATGCCACCAATCTGTTGTTCTCTAATGGATGCGAAATTCTGCAAAGTAAGGCCGTACTCTTTAATACCATCAACCAGCTGCTGAACCCTTATCCCAGCTTGAACTCTCACCGTCTTCTTCTCCTTATCCACTTGCAGAACTTTATCCATCAGACCCAAGTTCACCATCCCAGCACGCGACAGCCCAATCCCATTGGGCGAGAGGCCCGACCCGACCTGCCGGATCCTGGCTTTCTTCTCGTCGGCATCCTTCATCAGCTTCTCCAATTCCTCCAAAGTCTCGGGCTGATGGAAGTTCCGGGTCTGGACCTCGTGCGTGCCGCTCCAGTTGGAAACGGTGTGGAGATCCTCGGGCAATGGGGCGTACCTAAAGAGCTGGGCTTTCTTGTGCTTGGCGTTCTCCGAGAAGGGGAATGAGAAGTAAGTGGCGGCTCCGCAAAAGAGCACGAGAGCTGTGTAGCCGAGGTACCTCCGGAGCTCAGCTTCCGACGAAGCCGGCGCGGGAGAGGAGGTTGAGAATGTGCGAATATGGTTTGATGGGTAGTGATGGTTTGGAAGGATCGGCGGCTTTGTCGGCGGGAAGGCGGTGCAAATGGGTTGAGAGGGACGGCGGTGGAGGAGGTGGTGGATTGAGCGCCGGAGACAAAGAGCTCTCGACATTGTTTGCGGCAAGGTGGATGGATGAACCGCGATGAAGATGGGGGCTTTTCGGGGGATTTTGCTTTCGCTCCAGTGGCGAAAGTGAGAGTGACTGAGTTCCGATGGGAGGAAATATAGGCATTAATTGCTCGATACCACGCAAGTATTTAGCTTTATTGCATTACTAATCACTTAATTTTTTTGTAGTGGCTACTAAACCACATAAATCTACATCCAGTTACACAGTTATATTTTTCGTTATTAAAATTAATGATGGGTATCGAATTGAAGTTTTCCATATTAATTTACACCATACAATTTTATTAATTTAGCGACTTCGAGGTTTTCTAATTTTGAGATAATACTTACTGAATTAATATAACTTTGGATGGTTTTAGAAGTTTTGAGATAATAGAAGTTTTTGAATGCGACGAAAGGCCATTTTCTTTGGATATTGAAGGCTACAGATCACGGATTCGGCCTGAGGCTATTCTCCAACGATGATTGAGTCCATTAAGCACCGATTTGGGCGGATTTATTCCGGGTCAATTTTTGGCAGATTTCAAAGGGGTACCATCACAGATTTCGAGCGATTTATCCGAAATGCCATTTTCTTTCGATTATGGAGGCTACAGATCACGAAATCAGGCCGAGGCTATTCTCCACCGATAATGAAGTCTATTGATCCTATTCTCCACGAATGATAAGTCCGTTAAGCATCGATTTGGGCCAATTTATTTTCGGATGGCATTTTCGTAATTTCTTGGGCGACGAAAGGCCATTTTCTTTGGATATTGAAGGCTACAGATCACGGATTCGGCCTGAGGCTATTCTCCAACGATGATTGAGTCCATTAAGCACCGATTTGGGCGGATTTATTCCGGGTCAATTTTTGGCAGATTCCAAAGGGGTACCATCACAGATTTCGAGCGATTTATCCGAAATGCCATTTTCTTTCGATTCTGGAGGCTACAGATCACGAAATCAGGCCGAGGCTATTCTCCACCGATAATGAAGTCTATTGATCCTATTCTCCACGAATGATAAGTCCGTTAAGCATCGATTTGGGCCAATTTATTTTCGGATGGCATTTTCGTAATTTCTTGGGCGACGAAAGGCCATTTTCTTTGGATATTGAAGGCTACAGATCACGGATTCGGCCTGAGGCTATTCTCCAACGATGATTGAGTCCATTAAGCACCGATTTGGGCGGATTTATTCCGGGTCAATTTTTGGCAGATTCCAAAGGGGTACCATCACAGATTTCGGGCGATTTATCCGAAATGCCATTTTCTTTCGATTATGGAGGCTACAGATCACGGAATCAGGCCGAGGCTATTCTCCACCGATAATGAAGTCTATTGATCCTATTCTCCACGAATCATAAGTCCGTTAAGCATCGATTTGGGCCAATTTATTTTCGGATGGCATTTTCGTAATTTCTTGGGCGACGAAAGGCCATTTTCTTTGGATATTGAAGGATACAGATCACGGATTCGGCCTGAGGCTATTCTACAACGATGATTGAGTCCATTAAGCACCGATTTGGGCGGATTTATTCCGGGTCAATTTTTGGCAGATTCCAAAGGGGTACCATCACAGATTTCGGGCGATTTATCCGAAATGCCATTTTCTTTCGATTATGGAGGCTACAGATCACGGAATCAGGCCGAGGCTATTCTCCACCGATAATGAAGTCTATTGATCCTATTCTCCACGAATCATAAGTCCGTTAAGCATCGATTTGGGCCAATTTATTTTCGGATGGCATTTTCGTAATTTCTTGGGCGACGAAAGGCCATTTTCTTTGGATATTGAAGGATACAGATCACGGATTCGGCCTGAGGCTATTCTACAACGATGATTGAGTCCATTAAGCACCGATTTGGGCGGATTTATTCCGGGTCAATTTTTGGCAGATTCCAAAGGGGTACCATCACAGATTTCGAGCGATTTATCCGAAATGCCATTTTCTATCGATTCTGGAGGCTACAGATCACGAAATCAGGCCGAGGCTATTCTCCACCGATAATGAAGTCTATTGATCCTATTCTCAACGAATCATAAGTCCGTTAAGCATCGATTTGGGCCAATTTATTTTCGGATGGCATTTTCGTAATTTCTTGGGCGACGAAAGGCCATTTTCTTTGGATATTGAAGGCTACAGATCACGGATTCGGCCTGTGGCTATTCTCCAACGATGATTGAGTCCATTAAGCACCGATTTGGGCGGATTTATTCCGGGTCGATTTTTGGCAGATTTCAAAGGGGTACCATCACAGATTTCGAGCGATTTATCCGAAATGCCATTTTCTTTCGATTCTGGAGGCTACAGATCACGAAATCAGGCCGAGGCTATTCTCCACCGATAATGAAGTCTATTGATCCTATTCTCCACGAATGATAAGTCCGTTAAGCATCGATTTGGGCCAATTTATTTTCGGATGGCATTTTCGTAATTTCTTGGGCGACGAAAGGCCATTTTCTTTGGATATTGAAGGCTACAGATCACGGATTCGGCCTGAGGCTATTCTCCAACGATGATTGAGTCCATTAAGCACCGATTTGGGCGGATTTATTCCGGGTCAATTTTTGGCAGATTTCAAAGGGGTACCATCACAGATTTCGAGCGATTTAGCCGAAATGCCATTTTCTTTCGATTCTGGAGGCTACAGATCACGAAATCAGGCCGAGGCTATTCTCCACCGATAATGAAGTCTATTGATCCTACTCCACGAATGATAAGTCCGTTAAGCATCGATTTGGGCCAATTTATTTTCGGATGGCATTTTCGTAATTTCTTGGGCGACGAAAGGCCATTTTCTTTGGATATTGAAGGCTACAGATCACGGATTCGGCCTGAGGCTATTCTCCAACGATGATTGAGTCCATTAAGCACCGATTTGGGCGGATTTATTCCGGGTCAATTTTTGGCAGATTCCAAAGGGGTACCATCACAGATTTCGAGCGATTTATCCGAAATGCCATTTTCTTTCGATTCTGGAGGCTACAGATCACGAAATCAGGCCGAGGCTATTCTCCACCGATAATGAAGTCTATTGATCCTATTCTCCACGAATGATAAGTCCGTTAAGCATCGATTTGGGCCAATTTATTTTCGGATGGCATTTTCGTAATTTCTTGGGCGACGAAAGGCCATTTTCTTTGGATATTGAAGGCTACAGATCACGGATTCGGCCTGAGGCTATTCTCCAACGATGATTGAGTCCATTAAGCACCGATTTGGGCGGATTTATTCCGGGTCAATTTTTGGCAGATTCCAAAGGGGTACCATCACAGATTTCGGGCGATTTATCCGAAATGCCATTTTCTTTCGATTATGGAGGCTACAGATCACGGAATCAGGCCGAGGCTATTCTCCACCGATAATGAAGTCTATTGATCCTATTCTCCACGAATCATAAGTCCGTTAAGCATCGATTTGGGCCAATTTATTTTCGGATGGCATTTTCGAAATTTCTTGGGCGACGAAAGGCCATTTTCTTTGGATATTGAAGGATACAGATCACGGATTCGGCCTGAGGCTATTCTACAACGATGATTGAGTCCATTAAGCACCGATTTGGGCGGATTTATTCCGGGTCAATTTTTGGCAGATTCCAAAGGGGTACCATCAAAGATTTCGAGCGATTTATCCGAAATGCCATTTTCTTTCGATTCTGGAGGCTACAGATCACGAAATCAGGCCGAGGCTATTCTCCACCGATAATGAAGTCTATTGATCCTATTCTCCACGAATGATAAGTCCGTTAAGCATCGATTTGGGCCAATTTATTTTCGGATGTCATTTTCGTAATTTCTTGGGCGACGAAAGGCCATTTTCTTTGGATATTGAAGGCTACAGATCACGGATTCGGTCTGAGGCTATTCTCCAACGATGATTGAGTCCATTAAGCACCGATTTGGGCGGATTTTTCCGGGTCAATTTTTGGCAGATTTCAAAGGGGTACCATCACAGATTTCGAGCGATTTATCCGAAATGCCATTTTCTTTCGATTCTGGAGGCTACAGATCACGAAATCAGGCCGAGGCTAATCTCCACCGATAATGAAGTCTATTGATCCTATTCTCCACGAATGATAAGTCCGTTAAGCATCGATTTGGGCCAATTTATTTTCGGATGGCATTTTCGTAATTTCTTGGGCGACGAAAGGCCATTTTCTTTGGATATTGAAGGCTACAGATCACGGATTCGGCCTGAGGCTATTCTCCAACGATGATTGAGTCCATTAAGCACCGATTTGGGCGGATTTATTCCGGGTCAATTTTTGGCAGATTCCAAAGGGGTACCATCACAGATTTCGGGCGATTTATCCGAATTGCCATTTTCTTTCGATTATGGAGGCTACAGATCACGGAATCAGGCCGAGGCTATTCTCCACCGATAATGAAGTCTATTGATCCTATTCTCCACGAATCATAAGTCCGTTAAGCATCGATTTGGGCCAATTTATTTTCGGATGGCATTTTCGTAATTTCTTGGGCGACGAAAGGCCATTTTCTTTGGATATTGAAGGATACAGATCACGGATTCGGCCTGAGGCTATTCTACAACGATGATTGAGTCCATTAAGCACCGATTTGGGCGGATTTATTCCGGGTCAATTTTTGGCAGATTCCAAAGGGGTACCATCACAGATTTCGAGCGATTTATCCGAAATGCCATTTTCTTTCGATTCTGGAGGCTACAGATCACGAAATCAGGCCGAGGCTATTCTCCACCGATAATGAAGTCTATTGATCCTATTCTCCACGAATGATAAGTCCGTTAAGCATCGATTTGGGCCAATTTATTTTCGGATGTCATTTTCGTAATTTCTTGGGCGACGAAAGGCCATTTTCTTTGGATATTGAAGGCTACAGATCACGGATTCGGCCTGAGGCTATTCTCCAACGATGATTGAGTCCATTAAGCACCGATTTGGGCGGATTTATTCCGGGTCAATTTTTGGCAGATTTCAAAGGGATACCATCACAGATTTCGAGCAATTTATCCAAAATGCCATTTTCTTTCGATTCTGGAGGCTACAGATCACGAAATCAGGCCGAGGCTATTCTCCACCGATAATGAAGTCTATTGATCCTATTCTCCACGAATGATAAGTCCGTTAAGCATCGATTTGGGCCGATTTATTTTCGGATGGCATTTTCGTAATTTCTTGGGCGACGAAAGGCCATTTTCTTTGGATATTGAAGGCTACAGATCACGGATTCGGCCTGAGGCTATTCTCCAACGATGATTGAGTCCATTAAGCACCGATTTGGGCGGATTTATTCCGGGTCAATTTTTGGCAGATTCCAAAGGGGTACCATCACAGATTTCGAGCGATTTATCCGAAATGCCATTTTCTTTCGATTCTGGAGGCTACAGATCACGAAATCAGGCCGAGGCTATTCTCCACCGATAATGAAGTCTATTGATCCTATTCTCCACGAATGATAAGTCCGTTAAGCATCGATTTGGGCCAATTTATTTTCGGATGGCATTTTCGTAATTTCTTGGGCGACGAAAGGCCATTTTCTTTGGATATTGAAGGCTACAGATCACGGATTCGGCCTGAGGCTATTCTCCAACGATGATTGAGTCCATTAAGCACCGATTTGGGCGGATTTATTCCGGGTCAATTTTTGGCAGATTCCAAAGGGGTACCATCACAGATTTCGGGCGATTTATCCGAAATGCCATTTTCTTTCGATTATGGAGGCTACAGATCACGGAATCAGGCCGAGGCTATTCTCCACCGATAATGAAGTCTATTGATCCTATTCTCCACGAATCATAAGTCCGTTAAGCATCGATTTGGGCCAATTTATTTTCGGATGGCATTTTCGTAATTTCTTGGGCGACGAAAGGCCATTTTCTTTGGATATTGAAGGATACAGATCACGGATTCGGCCTGAGGCTATTCTACAACGATGATTGAGTCCATTAAGCACCGATTTGGGCGGATTTATTCCGGGTCAATTTTTGGCAGATTCCAAAGGGGTACCATCACAGATTTCGGGCGATTTATCCGAAATGCCATTTTCTTTCGATTATGGAGGCTACAGATCACGGAATCAGGCCGAGGCTATTCTCCACCGATAATGAAGTCTATTGATCCTATTCTCCACGAATGATAAGTCCGTTAAGCATCGATTTGGGCCAATTTATTTTCGGATGGCATTTTCATAATTTCCTGGGCGACGAAAGGCCATTTTCTTTGGATATTGAAGGCTACAGATCACGGATTCGGCCTGAGGCTATTCTCCAACGATGATTGAGTCCATTAAGCACCGATTTGGGCGGATTTATTCCGGGTCAATTTTTGGCAGATTCCAAAGGGGTACCATCACAGATTTCGGGCGATTTATCCGAAATGCCATTTTCTTTCGATTCTGAAGGCTACAGATCACGGAATCAGGCCGAGGCTATTCTCCACCGATAATGAAGTCTATTGATCCTATTCTCCACGAATGATAAGTCCGTTAAGCATCGATTTGGGCCAATTTATTTTCGGATGGCATTTTCGTAATTTCTTGGGCGACGAAAGGCCATTTTCTTTGGATATTGAAGGCTACAGATCACGGATTCGGCCTGAGGCTATTCTCCAACGACGATTGAGTCCATTAAGCCCCGATTTGGGCGGATTTATTCCGGGTCAATTTTTGGCAGATTCCAAAGGGGTACCATCACAGATTTCGGGCGATTTATCCGAAATGCCATTTTCTTTCGATTCTGGAGGCTACAGATCACGGAATCAGGCCGAGCTATTCTCCACCGATAATGAAGTCTATTGATCCTATTCTCCACAGATGATAAGTCCGTTAAGCATCGATTTGGGCCAATTTATTTTCGGAATGCATTTTCGTAATTTTTTGGGCGACGAAAGGCCATTTTCTTTGGATATTGAAGGCTAGAGATCACGGATTCAACCTGAGGCTATTCTTCAACGATGATTGAGTTCATTAAGCACCGATTTGGGCGGATTTATTCCGGGTCAATTTTTGGCAGATTCCAAAGGGGTACCATCACCGATTTCGTGCGATTTTTCTGAAATGCCATTTTCTTTCGATTCTGGAGGGTACAGATCACGGATTTAGGTCAAGGCTATTCTCCACCGATAATGAAGTCTATTGATCCTATTCTCCACGAATGATAAGTCCGTTAAGCATCGATTTGGGCCAATTTATTTTCGGATGGCATTTTCGTAATTTCTTGGGCGACGAAAGGCCATTTTCTTTGGATATTGAAGGCTACAGATCACGGATTCGGCCTGAGGCTATTCTCCAACGACGATTGAGTCCATTAAGCCCCGATTTGGGCGGATTTTTTCCGGGTCAATTTTTGGCAGATTCCAAAGGGGTACCATCACAGATTTCGGGCGATTTATCCGAAATGCCATTTTCTTTCGATTCTGGAGGCTACAGATCACGGAATCAGGCCGAGCTATTCTCCACCGATAATGAAGTCTATTGATCCTATTCTCCACGGATGATAAGTCCGTTAAGCATCGATTTGGGCCAATTTATTTTTGGATGGCATTTTCGTAATTTTTTGGGCGACGAAAGGCCATTTTCTTTGGATATTGAAGGCTAGAGATCACGGATTCAACCTGAGGCTATTCTTCAACGATGATTGAGTTCATTAAGCACCGATTTGGCCGGATTTATTCCGGGTCAATTTTTGGCAGATTCCAAAGGGGTACCATCACCGATTTCGTGCGATTTTTCTGAAATGCCATTTTCTTTCGATTCTGGAGGCTACAGATCACGGATTTAGGTCAAGGCTATTCTCCATTTCTCCTATGACAATGAAGTCTATTGATCTATTCTCCACCGTTTATTAAGTTCATTAAGCACCAATTTGGGTCAATTTATTTTATGATGATATTTTCGTAATTTTTTGGGCGCCTAAATGGCATTTTCTTTGGATTTTGAAGGCTATAGATCTGTTAGAGGGGCACCCAATAACCTTTTCCACGAAAGAAAAATTATATTGAGCTGTCAATTATGCAAAACATATAATAAACGTAACAAATTATTTAGGATTGCATCTCACATTCCACATAAATTTAAAAAGTTTGCTCTTTCGAAAGAAAGCCAAAAGTTTAATTCAATTAGACCCAAAAAGTTATAGGAATATGAAATGATTGTAAATTTGTAGAAAAATATAATAAAAAATGGCATAATTTAATTAAACAGAGCTCTAGTAATATCGAAATGAAGACGAAAGAATGTGAGGGAAATGAAATTGTGTAAATTGAGATGGAAAATTTCAATTTGATATATGCCGTTATGTTTAAGGATGAAAAATATAACAATACAATCAAAAGTTGATTTGTATGGTTTAGTTGCAACTAAAATATTTAAGTGCTTGGTATGCAACGAAATCAGGTAACTCGAGGAAATAGCATTTGAGACTTGAGAGCCTATATAGTTAGTTTGTGCATTAGTTTGTAACTAGCTAGCCAAGAAGACCATTCAAGCCATGGTTGCCACGCCGGTGGCATGCCACCCGGTTGAATCTGGATCAACCTGTGCCGGTCATGAAACCGGCATGACACCACCGGTATGATCGGTATGATCGACTTACGCATTCTAAGTAAAATGACATCATTTTAATGAATTTAATGAATAAAAAATTAATTTATTATTCATTTTAGGCAAAATACACTTGTATAGCCATAACTTTCACGTTTGTGACAAATATAGCCATAATTATTCGAAAACCAAAAATAGCCAATTCCGTCCATCTCTTTAACGGTGTTACTTAACAATCTGACTGTACTGACGGAATATGCTGAATTGGCGATTTATGATCCCACCAAGCCGATGTGGATTAAAAAAAATTAAAATATAAAAAATTATTATTTATCTAATAATTTAGTTTAAAAACAAAACAAAAAATTGCAATCTTATACCCACCGCCCATCTTTCTCCCATCTTCCTCCTACAGTACATCTTCCCCAATTCAAACCCAGATCCTCCCCTGTTCTCACCTTCCTCTCTCCCTCTCTCTTCTTTCCTCTTCTCAATTCCAGATCATCGCTTCCCCCCACAAACTCAATCCACACCGCCAACAGACAAAGAAGGCGGCGGTTGAAACCCAAACTCGACGCCGCCTCCGCGCCCAGACCCAAGTCCGAGTTCTCAGCAACAGATTCATCAAACTCTTCCCCGGGTGTCAGATCTGCAGTGGCGGGGCTTCTTCCTCGTCCAGCTCTGTTTGCCCTTCTCTCGCCTCCCGCTTCATGTTGTGTTCCCCAGCAATCAGAAAAATGGAACCAACAAAAAACCCAAGAACCCATACCCTCCCTATGTATTCAAAAACACCAACCAACAACTACAACAAGGAGTCGAGAGATTCTCCACCGCCACTCTCCAACACAATCTCGAACAAATCCGCCTCCGCCTCCTCCTTTCTTTCGGCCACCACCATTATTGCTACACGAATACCTCTGTGAAATATGGTTTGGTGGTTGCTGAAGCAAACGACGGATCTGGGTGACCGGAACCTTTCAATCGGCGACGTGGTGAGGAACGCCACCAGCGAGAAAATTTCAATCGGCGACCGGGCACTTCCAAACGACGACAAGAAGCCTCCAATCGGCGGCGGGCAGCACTTCGATATCCAGCACCGCCGTTCCTTTGAAGTCTCTCGGAACCCTAAAATGATTTTTGGAATTGGAATTGGAGGTGGAGCAGAGGGATTGAAGCAGATGGCGGCCTCAAAAGGATTTGGGTTGGGGGCAGCTCAACTACTTGATTTTTTGTTAGCAGTAGGGCAAGGAAAGGAAGGATAAATGTAAAAACAATGGAGCAGAGGGATTTGGGTTTCTACCAAACAAAAAAAAAAGGGGTTTGGGGAGCAGATTGTCTCCTCTAATTGATGACGGCGACGACGAGTGGTGGGAGAGGAGAGAGAATGAAAAAATAATATATGATTTTATTTATTTTTAAATTAAAATATGACGTGGCACTTACGTGGAAAATGTGGCTGATGTGTCGCTGATGTGTGCGATGATTTGGCATCCTAATCAGTCTAACGTTAATTTAACTGACGGAGTTTCTAACACCGTTAAAGTTTCTAACGGAAATGGCTAGATTTGTCACACTACCATCCAATTTTTGGTTATTTCGTGTTTTCCGATAGTTATGGCTATATTTGTCACAAACGTGAAAGTTATGGCTATACAAGTGTATTTTGCCTTCATTTTATGAATGTAATAGTTAAAAGTTAATGATATTTGTTGGATTGTAACTAAATTGTCCACAAATATATTTTACATATGATTAAATACATTGGATATTAATTGTTTTCACATTTTTTTAAACCGGCATGAACCGGCACAAGCTGGTTATACCACCGGTCGTACCATTCCACTTGCCAAACCGGCACAACGGTATAAACCGGTTTGACAACCTTGATTCAAACCGACAGAGGTTAAAGATAAAAAAAATAGATAAAATATATCTTCCGAAGGAAATAAATATCTCTTCCAGCAATCTGCGCCTCTCCTTAAACCCTACATTTCAGTTGGGGTTTTCTGCCTCTTCTTCCTCTACCGCGCTCTCTCCTTTACCTCCCATCTACCCAGAATCCTAAACTCTCCACAGCCTTTTGCGAAATCATGTTAACGGCATCTCTAAGTCGCTCGTTGCCGGTGCCTCGCAGGCCGACGGCCCTCGCCGCCTTGGCCGCCGTCGAAACCATCGTGCGAAGCAGCAGCCGCCACACTTCATCGTTATCTGTCGGGAATTCCCCATCCTCCTCCGTCGCTGCAGCCCCCGGCGCGGCGTCGTTTCCGGTGGGAAAGGGTCTTCTCTCGTTGGGATTTGGAGCTTTATCTTCGGTGAGCTCTGGGTTCCACTCTCAAGCTGGGAGATTGAATTACAAGTCGTCCACGATTTCCCAGGCTGAGTTCGCCGTAGATCACCAGTATGGTTACGACGAGGAGAGGATCGGCGGCGGCGCGAAAGCGGAGGTGACTGGTAATAGCCAAAGCGAGGAAGGGCTTGAAATTTCGAAGCTTGGGATTGCTCAAGAGATTGTCTCGGCTTTGGCTACTAAGGGGATCTCTAAACTTTTCCCCATTCAGGTGATTATTGTTGGTGTAAAGTTCTCAGCTTTGGGTTTGTTTTGGTTCATTTTAGCCATCAGTATTCATTCTAATGATTTTTCTGTGGCAGAGAGCTGTTCTTGAACCTGCAATGGCAGGGAGGGATTTGTTTGGGAGGGCTAGAACCGGAACAGGGAAAACCCTTGCCTTTGGAATCCCGATTCTTGACAAGATCATTCAGTACAATGCGAAGCATGGGTATGTTCAATCTACCATGGTGTAACTTTTGTTTCTCTAGAATTTGTTTTTCCCTAATTGATAATCCAAATGTGCATATACATTTCTAGACGTGGAAGGAATCCATTGGCCTTAGTCATGGCGCCTACTCGAGAGTTGGCTCGCCAGGTTGAGAAAGAGTTTCGTGAATCAGCTCCTAAACTGGACACTATCTGCCTCTATGGTGGGACTCCCATTCAGCGGCAGATGAGGGAGCTCGATTATGGTACTGATATTGTCGTCGGCACTCCTGGTAGGATTATTGATCTGATGAGGAGAGGAGCTCTGAACTTATCGGAGGTCCAGTTTGTTGTTCTTGATGAAGCAGACCAGATGCTTGCCGTTGGTTTTGTTGATGACATTGAAACAATCTTCAAGCAGTTGCCTCCAAAGCGCCAGACCATGTTGTTCTCTGCCACTATGCCGAGTTGGATCAAGAACCTCATCAAGAATTACCTTACAAATCCGCTGACTATCGATCTGGTTAGTATGCCATGCTTGGAAGTTTGCTTTAGTTGACATATAGCGTAGTACATTTGCACTAACAACTTTGTGCTTCTCTTTTAGGTTGGTGATTCGGATAAGAAGCTGGCTGATGGGATTACTCTATACTCTATTGCATCAGAGTCGTATCAGAAAGCAGGCGTCCTCGCCCCTTTGATTGCTGTATGAGAGTTGTCATTAGACTTCAGCTGTTAAGAGATCTTTTTGCTTCTTTTAAGATAATGCTTTCTCATTGTCTTGGTTATCCTTTTCTTGCTAGGACCACGGGAAAGGAGGAAAGTGTATTGTTTTCACAGAGACAAAACGTGATGCTGACCGTTTGGCGTATGCTATGTCAAAAACCCATAAATGTGAAGCACTACATGGCGATATCTCCCAGATGCAAAGGGAAAGGACTCTTGCAGGTTTCCGAGATGGTCAGTTCAATATACTTGTGGCTACTGATGTCGCTGCACGTGGTCTAGATGTACCAAACGTTGATCTGGTGAGATTCATTTCCTTCAGTCTATAATTTATGTGTTGGTTCAATGGAAGACCTTTACTTTGATCCCTTAGGGTAATCAGGCTATAACCTTAGCTTAGTTTCGACGAAATGCCTTTGATCCAGTAGGTTTTAAATTCTCGTACTTGTTGCCATCTCTTAAAAGGCCTTAACCTGTTCAGTAGGTTTACTCGTATACAGTTGCTCTCTTTCTTGGGGCACTTAAAAATTAACTTGTCCACCCTGTTTGGCTCGTTCTTCAGATTATACACTATGCTATTCCGAACTCTACGGAGACATTTGTTCATCGATCTGGTCGTACTGGACGTGCTGGGAAAAAGGGAACAGCCATTCTCATTTATGGCGGGGATCAGACCAGGAATGTGAAGATCATTGAGCGTGAAGTAGGGTGCAGATTCACCGAGGTTAACTACTGGATCTCCCCTTTTTCCCCTTGTCAATCGAACTTCAGACTTTCCACTTACATAATTTGTCGACTTGTTTTTCCAGCTCCCTAGAATAGCTGTTGATGCTGGAGGCATGAACCTTGACATGGGCGGCAGTAGTCGTTTTGGCCAGTTTGGCAGCTCAGGAGGCCGCGGTGGCAGTGGTGGCTATGGCCGATTTGGTAGTGGTGGTGGTGGTTCGAGTAGCTATGGGTCTGGGGGACGTGGCGGAGGCTATGGCAACTCGGGCTATGGTGGTCGACCTGGAGGCAGCAGCGGCGGTGGTCGGTTCCAGTCTCAGCCAGGTGGCTATGGTGGTTCGAGTCAAGGCCGTAGCAGCGGTGGATACTTCGACTCTGGCAAGTCCGACCGAGGTGGTGGTTCCTTCGGTGACTTTGGTTCAGGCCGTTCTAGTGGGTTTGGAGACTCGGGCTCAACACGTTCTGGCTCGTTTGGAGGTGGGGGTCGATTCGGGGGATTCGGAGACAGCGGAGATGACTCTGGTTTCGGAGGACGAAGACGGTAGGTGGATTTTAATCAGAGGCAAGCCGGCGAGACAGAGGTTTCTTGTGGCGTTTTGGTTCTTCAATATCTATATATTTAGTTTTACTCGCACACTCTGTGTAATGTATCATAACTATTTTTGAGTAATTTTATTATTAGTTACCAGGGAACTCCTAAGAACAAAAATGCTTAAATCAATGGGGTATGGGTAATGCAAACAGTTAATGTTGTACAGAGAAATTGGCTCTTATTCAGGGTTGAAACTAAAGAATGAAGAGATGTGTTTATGTTACATTGCATGGTGAACAGAAAAGTCATTTTAAGAGTGTTGTGGACGTTCAATTAACACATTGAAGTTCTTCAATGATTCAATCACGTTGAATATGCTGCTAAACGAAAGGCACTGCCATATGTTAAAGCTGATCTGAGAAAGTTTCATTTCCGAAATCGGGTTCCTTTGATAACTTTAAACACACTAGGCCTGAAATAGATCTCTGAGGATACCAACTTGAGAATTTGGGAACACGTTGAATAATTTGAATTGGTGGTTGCTAGTGCAAGGTTTGTCATTCTGAGAGATGGAAGTGTGCTTCCTTCTCGACCACGATGCTCTTGAAGCGACCCAAGGAGCACTCTCGCTCAAATAGGAAAGAGTGGCCTGTATATTCGAATTTGGTGCTCTTTGGACATAGTTCTCTTGGAGATATCCAAGAAAGCTTAGGCCGAAGGGTTCTGGTTGCCACCCTCTGGTCCTTTTCAGCTCTAGCTGGCTTTGCTCGTCACCATATTATTCACCATTGTTCTTTTAATTCTAAGTTCAACTATCAAAATTCTATAATTTTACTCCAATCTATTAAACATCAGTGGATGTATGTAAACGTCAACCAAAGCTGCTGGGATTTAAAAACCGTACAGTTGTGTTCAGTTGGTCGCCATTAAGGAACTCGCATCATGCAGCATTCAGCAAGGGAAACAATTGCAGTAGCAGATGAACCCATTATTCCAGAGATCCGACCATTACAGTACCCTGTCAGCTCTAAACAGCCTCAGACCAAGCCACTAGCCGTGTGGCATAGCTGTACGTGAACTACAATCTTTAGCCAGGAGGCCAGTTCATTTGGCGCCCTCCGAGAAGATGAACGTGAATGTGATAGACAGACTGGCCTACAAAAGAGCCAGACAGCAAAACAATAGCACAGTAAGTTTCCCGATGGTGATCTTTAACTCGTTTAGCGGATAACCATAATTCTCTCTCTTTGAATGAGTCATGACAAGAGCAAAGAGCAAACATACATCCATTGGGTCCATCATTGATGACGATCCTAAAGCCATCATCCAGTCCTTCTTGCTTCGCGACCAGCTTGGCAGTGTACATCAGTCGCCCAAGGATCTCACAATGTCTCTCTTCTGCCTACACCATATAGATCCTCGGAAGTTAGTAATCAGAAAATCAAAGGAAGAACCCTTTTGACCACACAGAGTCAACATTTGAGATGATAGCATTATTGAAGATAAAATAATGTAAGAACTGGATGTGGTACTGCGAGATCATCATGAGAGGCAACAAAGCTAGAGCCTTTACAGAATAATGGTGAAATAAGTCAATGACAAAAAAGACTTGGGGAGCACTGTTAATACCTTAGATAAGCCTGACAAACCATCCTTTACTTTTGGAATGATGACAATGTGGGTAGGAGCTTGAGGATTTATGTCTCTGAAAGCTAGCACCTGACATTGGAAGCAAAGGATTAGACACAGTGAGAAGAAAATCATGAGATTTTCAAGCATTAGACAGGGTTGCAACCACAATTAAGACATTCAAAAGGAGAAAGATGAAAGCTTTCACATTCAAAACACAAGCTTCCAGTGAGTCGAGGGTACCTTATCATCCTCGTAAACCACATTAGAAGGAATTTCCTTGTTGATGATCTTGTCAAATCTGTATTTCATCAAAACCCAAATAAGAACAATCAACCCCAAGGCCCCATCTTGCATATTCAAAGGCAGAGCTACCCTTTGGAGCTAGGTAGCAAATTGTTGTTTCTAAGTGACCAATACAAGACATGATGGTGAGATATAAGAAGCAAACACAAACCTCCATCTTTGGGAATTCTGTGCAAGTAAAGGGGCTCAACTAAAGAAGACACTACAGCTTATAAGCTGGGTTTTGGAGACTAGAAGCTGAAAGAATCGACTCAGAATCATCAAATACAGAGACCATCTACGAAATGAAGAGGATACAGCAACAGCACAAACCCTAGTCCGGGAATTAACGACGGAGTAGCAGAAACAGTGAATCGAAAGGAGAGAAAGATAGTAGGAGAGTCACTAACTCACATGGTGGGAGAATCGGAGGGGACAGGAGCGGCGGCGGCCGCGAGAGCAGCGTCTTTCTCAGAAGCCATGGGAGTGATGTGAGAACTCAATACAGTACACACGCAGCGCCTCGGCTTCTGCCGGCCTCTTTATGTTCCTACTTCCTCCGGTCAGTTTCCTTTTTGGGAGTGGTGAATACGCCAGGTGTCTCTTTTCGCTACCCACGTCATGTCCAGCTCTGCATCCACATCAGCTAACAGACCGCCATGTCAGCTCCGAAAGGCCTGAACGGTTGAACCACTAAGGTCAGGCTCGGGCAATTCTGGCAAATTCTTTCCAGCAGTCTCCTGTCTCGTCACTCAGTCAAATTTCCTATTCCCTCCCAAAAGGCAAAAACTGAATTGAAGAAACGAGGAACCCTAAAAACTGGATCGATTCCTCTTCCATCTGCCTCTGCTTGCAATCGGGGCGAAAGCAGAAATTTCCACTTTCCCGCCGGTGGTGACTGGTCGGAGAGTTGAGGGATTGGGTGCAGGCCAGTAACCAACAGTTCCAGGTCCTCGACTCCACAGCCTCTTTCCCGGGAAACAGTTTCCGAGTGCAGTTCAAGATATAAGCCTTACTTCCCATCTTGAGTCAATTTCAACGTCGTTTAGGATCGTCAGCTGGTCGCCCGTGGCGATGATCGAGGTACTTCTTATTCTTTTGCGGGCATGGCTGTCTTGATGATTGTGGATTATGTAAAGTAGCCATCTTTACGTTCTGTCTTTAACTGCTGCAAAATGTAAAGTCTGTCATAACTGACTTAGCGACTTGGGTTGTCAAATTTGAATCCCAGGTTCGATGAAGATTATCGAGTTTAAGAGTCCAGTTTGTTATTCGCAGCTACGACTTTGTTTTTGCTTTCACTTTAGATCTCTTTTATTCAGAATTCTCCTCTTGAAGCATGTCATATGGTATATATGAAGTGTGTTTTCAAATTTGCTCATTGGTTTTGCTTTGCAGCTAGGAGATGATGGCCAAAACAGTGAGCAACTTCTCGAGGATTGCGGAAATGGACTCGACGTTGATGACAATGATCTTGAAATTGAGGCTGACGACCTTGAAATTGCTGAGACGCCACCCTTGATATGGATCCCCATGACCTTGCTATTGAGGAGAGCACTCTTGATATCGAGGGCAATGATCTCGAGATGGAAGAGACAAACATTGTGGTATAAGAGAACAACCCTGAGATAGAAGTCGATGAAGGTAATGAACTCGAGTAAAATTGTGAGCGAATGCTCGAATTTGAAGAACATGGTCATACCAGTGATGATATGACAGCCCCTGATGCTGAAAATGGTGAACCTCAGGGAATTGTCTACCTTGCACCTGTTCTGGGGATGGAGTTCGATTCATACGAGGATGAATACGAACTACTTCACTGGGGGCAGATAGATTTCAAGGTTTCTGAGTTGTTTCGCCTAACTTCTACGATACCGGGCTTCTCCTGGCAGTTGAAAGTTGGCTTCTTTGAACGAGGCCTTCGGTTTCCTATTTAACTGTTTTGCAGATAAAATCGAAAGTGCAAGCTTGCTTCTAAGTTGACTGGGCACCATACCAAGAACTTCTTCATCTTCAAAGTCTTACTTTTGATTCTTGTACTAAAAATCCCTTATGCTGCAAAATTTAAGTGTGGGGTTCGTTGATTTTATCTCTGTAATGCTACATTGTTTGCTCCAATCACGCAGTCACAGTTAGCATAGGCTCTCAGAAACGAATGATCGGATTAATATACAAGTCTGTACTGCATTCCAATTTAGTTGATTCGATGTAGTCCTGAATGCGTCGCCATTCAAGTATCTCCAACTGTTTACTGATACAGGCATACAGCAGCTAAGTAGTAACGAACAAGTGATGGTCATGTTGTTGTCCAATGATTAAATTCTTGCGTTGAAATTGAGTAAAAGGCGCTCTAATGTAATGATAAAGCCGTAATAACTTGATTTCTTACATGGTTTAATCGGTATAATTTGGTTGTAAAATCGCGATGCCTGATTCAACCAATACTGGTTGTAACAATTTTTAGTCATCTACATCCTTAAATCATGTTAGCAATTCCTAATGTGGGTCCCATCTATTATTTTAATCTAACTCAAAACATTGCAATTAAAAAGTTAGTAAGTACGAAAAATAAAAAAGACAACAATTATCTATATGGCATTGCTAGAAGACTTTCTAATTTAGCAATCTTGCTAAGTTAGAAAGCACACCCACGTCTCTAGCAATTGCTAGAAAATGCCACATAAGCTCTATGCAATTGCTAAAGAAAGGTTAGGGATGGAAATGGTCTAATATGACAAAGGCTCGATCTTCAAATGTGATTTACCCCCTTTCTGCCAGAACTGTTCTTTTCGGAAACAGAGTATCCCACTACTTACTGCTACTGTGACTGTGTGGCGGAACGCGGGAGGTTACATTTGGAGGCCAACCCATGTGAGCAGCTGAGCTCCCCCGCACATTTGTGGTATCGACCCATCTCTCTCTGACATTTTCATTTTTCACCCGTGAAAGAGAAAGCACCGGAGCTTTTCCTTCTTCAATTTCCTAATCCTCACGTTCTTGATTACTCGTTCATTACACTCTTGTTTCCACCTTACCAGCTAAAGGACAACCATTTCTCTTTCTCCACTTTGCAGAAAATATCTTCTCCTTGCCGAACCAGCCAATTTTCATTTTGTTTGATCTCGATATGATTTGATATCTCCCCCTTCACTTATTCTTCTGTCCACTCATATCTCTGATGTAAAATTCCCAGCTGGTTGTTGTCCTTTGGCCTTTATATAATTTGCTTCACTTCCAATCTTCTCGCTCCTTCAGTTCTGGAGACTGGAATTGAATACCTTTGGCCCCCATTGTTCAGGTACGCCTTCCCTTACGTTACGCGCGTACCAAACGTATCTGAATCGACCAGTATCTCCTGTTTCGTCTTAATATTTTCTTTACTCCCATAATGTGTACTGCCATTTCACTTCCTTTTTATCTGGGTTCTGCTCCAGTTTTGTCCTTTATTTCTTTTGCGGTTCCATTTCCTAGGGAATGTTAGTCGGGTTTGCTGTTTTGCTTTACTGTAGGGTCGTTCTCTCGTCTCTGCTCCATTCCGATGATTTTGGCTTTCTGGGTTCTCTTCTTTATCGCCATTCGTATTGAAATGTTTGCAGTGCATTTGGAAAGTAATTGGTTGAACATGTTTCTTGCTCTGTTTCCTCTGTTTAGTATAGTTTTGTCATGCAACTTGTTCTTTTGGGGCAGGCCTTGTGATAGACAACTAAGAAAGAAGAATGACGAATTTGGGGATGGTTTTCGGGACTAAATCCTCAAAGTCGATGAGAGTGAGCTTTAGAATACCGTATTTCACCAACTGGGGTCAGAGCCTGGTGGTATGTGGTTCTGATCCGGTGCTGGGGTCCTGGAATGTGAAGAGGGGATTGCTGTTGAAACCTGTGCATCAGGATGATGAGCTAATTTGGTCTGGAAGTATCTCTGTGCCGGCTGAATTCAGCTGTGAGTACAGTTATTATGTGGTGGATGATGAGAGGAATGTGCTGAGATGGGAGATGGGAAATAAGCGAGCACTCTTTTCACCTCAGGGGATCAATGGTGGAGATATCTTGGAGCTTCGTGATCTCTGGCAGGTGCTGTATCTATGATTTTCTTAAATGTTATCTCTGAAGCTGTACTAGTAAATTCCACAGATGTGCTCTGTAGATTCTGGTGAAAAGTTAGGACGTTTCGTCATTTTAGCTCTTGGTATTCTACGTATTAGTGCTTCTTTTTGTTAAATAAATATGGATTGCTCAAGAATGTCCTGTAATGGAGTTTTCTTGATCTAACCCTATACACTTCATTATGCATTCTCAAGCTTTATGTGCTTAAGCTTCAAGATGAATCATTCCTTTTGAAACTTAGTATGCCCTGGTTCTGCTATTCGTTTCATGGACTTTGATTAGTAAGTTCAGTTTTCCTGGTTTCATCCAGCGCCAGCTGGTTGTTATATAATGCAAGAAGCCTCTTAAGGAGGCTCGTCTTTGGAACTAGGATTTTGTTCACTTTCATGTGAATTGGTAGCTGCTGACTAGAATCAGAGCTACGATTGAGTATATATTTCTCCCTTGTGTAATTCAACATAACACATGCTCTCTGGAAATGAAAACCAGACTGGTGACGATGATATCCCTTTCAAAAGCGCCTTCAAAGATGTCATTTTTAGCAAAAGTTGCAATATGAAGGTCGAGAGGCCCTTAGGAGTCCAGAATAAGTTGGAGAAGGAAGGTGATACTTATCTTTTCCCTCACTCAGTTGGTGGTCTTATAATATCTATTATAATGGTGTACTCACTATTTGTATTTATGAACCACAAAAATGGAACAGATTCCATTCTTGTTCATTTCAGGATTTGCTGCCCAAACATAGAGGAAGAGACTTATGTAAGTTTCCAACGTCTTGGGATCTTCATCCATGATTAGGCCACCATCTTACTGGATTTCTGAATGCTTATAAGCTATCTGTACACATCCAGGTCTACGTTATTGGGAGTTGTGCAAAGTTGGGTTGCTGGAAGGTTCAGGATGGGCTTAAACTTAGTTATGCCGGAAACTCTACTTGGCAAGCAGATGTTGTTGTGCAAAAGGATGATCTTCCATTCAAATATCCTGATAGATGCATTTCAATTCAATCTCACTATGGATTATTGTAAATGTAGACTATCTATATTGCTACAAGAAGATTCTCAACTTTTCTTCCTTAACAACGGTTTACATACAAGTACTGCAAATGGGCCAAGGCAGGGAACTTCTCTCTGGAAACTGGTGCGAATAAGGAGCTCTCTGTTGATCCCGCAAACATTCAACTGAAGTATGTCTTTGTTTCAGACGGCATGATGCGTGTAAGCTGCTGAGAGACTGAAAGACTATGAAGAAAGTGTTTTCCCTCCTCAGGGAATCTCGCTAACAATTATATTAATTAATCTGCTCTCTCATAGGCAATGCCATGGCGGGGAACTGGTGTTGCGATACCTATGTTCTCTATAAGGTCAGAACTCGATCTTGGTGTTGGAGAGTTCCTTGACCTGAAACTTCTTGTTGACTGGGCTGTGGAATCTGGGTTCCATCTAGTTCAGCTTCTACCAATCAATGACACCTCTGTTAATCTGATGTGGTGGGACTCCTATCCATACAGGTATGACAAAATAGTTACCTTGTCTAGGAAGTTTGAAGTTTTCTTCATGGGCTTTGGTAGTTCTCAATGATCACAGGAAATGATGCGACTGAACTTGATGAAGATAGTGATTTTTTAATTGGTTGTGGTACTCTTCAGCTGGATTCATTCCCCCTTATTGGAACTTTTGACTACCTCCCAGAATAAAATTTTCAGCAGTTTTTGAAGCATTTTTCCTCATGATTTTTGCAGCTCGCTGTCTGTATTTGCCCTGCATCCGCTATACCTGAGAGTACAGGCACTTTCAGCTAATCTGCCAGAGGAGGTGAAGGTATTTACACTCATATGGTACTTGTTACTTTATTTGCTATTCATAAGATACTGTTGGCCCAGGTTACTTTCATCTTAAAGCTTTTTCACTTTTGATTCTTTACTTGCAGAAGGAGATACAGGAGGCCAAGAAAAGGCTTGATGGAAAGGTGACCTTGTTTTTTGTTCTTATTCTTTTTCATACTTCGTTATTTCAAAAAGACATTATATTCTTACTTCTTGTTCTAGTTGATGGTTTTGTATGACACCTAATAACAAGTAAATGACAACATGGGGAAGGAAATACACATGCAACCCGAGAAATAGCTCATTATGTCCTGGTTGGTTTTATATGATTGCCCTAATGATTAGCAGTTGTCCGAAAGAAATTTTTTATCCCTCTTGGGAGTATAACTTACTGATTGGATATTTCATCTCGTCTGTGGTATAACACTTTTACTCATGAACATGCTTTCTCTCTGTCACTCCTTATCCTGCCTGTAAAATTTGCAATCTGATCTTATGAGCATGTGAGTGGAGAAAGCAACTAATATGATCACCCTCACTGTAGAATCATGCATTATTTGAAGCAGGTGATTGGTGCCTGCTTATCATGCTCTCTAATTGGCACTGCAGGATGTTGATTATGAGGCTAGTCTGGCAACAAAATTGTCAATCGCCAAAAAAGTCTATGCTAAAGAGAAAGATGTGATACTTAACTCCAGCGCATTTAAGGAATTCTTCTCAGAAAATGAGGTAATAAGGAAACCTTATCTCTGATTCCTGGGATGTTCAATTTTATCTCCTCTATACATTTCCAGTTTTCTGACATCTAGTCTAACTGTTCTTCTCTGTTCAATTATGAAAGGAATGGTTAAAACCGTATGCAGCCTTCTGTTTTCTGAGGGACTTCTTTGAAACATCTGAGCGCAGCCAATGGGGTCGATTTTCTGAATTTTCTAAAAAGAAGGTAGGTTAGCCATTTGGCTTCCTGCATATCACAGTTAGTAAGCTTTATTAGCTGTTATCTGCATGATAACAATGCTGTTCTTTCTTGTAGCTGGAGAAGCTCGTCTCAAGAGACACTGTGCACTATGACATAATTCTATTCCATTACTATCTCCAATTCCATTTACATCTACAGGTGAGCTCCACTGTCTGTCACATCTGTTTGACTTTCTCCTCAACATAGCGTTATTCCAGTATTCTAACTTTCTATTTTGCTTGATGTATAATAGTTGTCTGAAGCTGCAGAATATGCAAGAAAGAAAGGAGTGGTACTGAAGGGAGATTTACCTATTGGTGTTGACAGAAATAGTGTGGACACGTGGGTGTATCCCAACTTGTTCCGTATGAACACCTCCACTGGAGCTCCCCCAGATTACTTTGACAAAAATGGGCAGAACTGGGGTTTCCCAACCTATAACTGGGAGGAGATGTCCAAAGACAACTATGGTTGGTGGCGTGCTCGATTAACACAGGTTATTATTGAACTGTCAAACTGCTTTTTACTGTGTTCCTCATCTTTACTTTATTACTCAATGTAGCTGTCCTTGTAATGCCAGATGTCGAAGTACTTCACAGCATATAGGATTGATCATATACTAGGTTTCTTTAGAATCTGGGAGCTTCCCGATCATGCTATGACGGGACTGATAGGGAAGTTCCGACCTTCAATCCCCTTGAGCCAGGTACAATTTGCTGTCCTCATTTAGGTTTGCTTTAGTCAAGACAATGCTACCAAAGGTTGCAATTCTTTACATTGCTTTCTTTAAATTTTTATGCTTATTATGCTGTAGGAAGAACTAGAACGAGAAGGAATCTGGGACTTCGATCGTTTAAGCCATCCATACATAAAGCTAGAGTTTCTACAGGTGATTGACTTCGACTTCGTGTCTGGAAGCAGGGCACTGTTATTTTTACAGGCTACAGATTCCATCTGCTGAAAGTTCAATTTTTTCTTTTTTCCTTTTTGGTCAAATCAGGAAAAGTTTGGAACATTTTGGGCAGTTATCGCCTCGAGCTTTCTGAATGAAGTGCAGAAAGGCTTTTATGAGGTAAATAGTTGTTAATGGTTGTGTTGAACATATTGAACCCTTCTTTTTTGTTTCGTCTAAAATTTTCAGTGCAGCATTTATATTTAGAAAACTGGTGTGTTGTGCTTTGTAATGCTTCAGTTCAAGGAGGATTGCAATACAGAGAAAAAAATTGCTTCCAAAGTGAAGACCATGGCAGAACAATCATTGTTATTAGAGGGTGAAGATAAGATAAGACGTGATCTATTTGATCTCCTCAAGGTATGCATATACTCTTCAAACAAATTTCAGATTTTATATCGTAAAATTGTTGTCAGCTAACTGTATGCTATCCAACTTTCATGTGTTAACTGATGTTTTTCAGAATATAGTTCTAATTAGAGACTCCGAGGATGCAAAGAACTTCTACCCGCGTTTCAACCTCGAGGATACTTCAAGTTTTCAGGATTTGGATGAGCACAGGTAAAATCGAGATAAACTAGAGTGTTCGCGGAAGCAATTTTATTAGAGTTGGTTAATCAGTAAAGTTAATTCGCCTCATCTAATATTATACAGCAAGAATGTCATGAAAAGACTGTACTATGATTACTACTTCCATCGCCAAGAAGAGCTATGGCGAAAAAATGCTCTGAAGACGTTACCCGTTCTCCTCAATTCATCAAACATGCTTGCCTGTGGTGAAGATCTGGGGCTCATACCTGCTTGTGTTCACCCGGTATGCCTTCCAAAATCCCAACACCCGATTTCCTGCTCCATTTTCTTTGTCCTGATTTTTAGAATAAAAAATGCAGGTGATGCAAGAGCTGGGAATGATCGGGTTACGCATCCAACGTATGCCTAGTGAACCTGATCTGGAATTTGGGGTTCCTTCTCAATATAGCTACATGACGGTAAGATAATACTACATTGTCATTAGGCATTTGTTACACTTCATATCAAGTAATACTCTTCGTATTAAACTGGTGTTCATGGTTTGGTTCAGGTGTGTGCCCCATCGTGCCACGACTGCTCCACGTTGCGTGCTTGGTGGGAGGAGGATGCTGAAAGAAGACAGCGATACTTCAAGGCCATAGTCGGTTCTGATGAGCTGCCCCCCGATACATGCCTTCCAGCTATTGCACATTTCATCATCAGGCAACATGTTGAATCGCCATCAATGTGGGCAATATTCCCATTACAGGTTTGTCTCTCAATGCCTGATATGGTGGGTAATAATAGTAATATCATATTTCAAGTTGATAACCTTACAACCAGGGCTGTTCCTGTGAATGAATGTTTGCAGGACTTGCTAGCTCTAAAAGAGGACTACACAACACGTCCTGCAAATGAAGAGACGATCAACGACCCTACGAATCCGAAGCACTACTGGCGATACCGTATTGCCTCTTTTCCCTCCATGCAACACTCTTTCACTACGATAAATTTGAGTTGGCTGTTCAGTATAATGCTTCTGTAAGACGGTATGTAAGAATTGAAGCTCTGCTGCTGCTGCTTTTGTTTTGTGAATTCAGGTGTACACGTTACGTTGGAGACTCTGATGAAGGACAGTGAACTGAAGTCCACTATAAAAGGCCTCATTTCTGGGAGTGGAAGATCACATCCTGGTTTGAAGGAAACCGACGGGAAAGGGAAGCAAGTCGCGAGTAACGGGAAAGCAGTAGGGAAGTAGAGCTCTTCAATAAGGCTGCAAACTCCAGAAACCAGACAGAAAGTGCCTGTCTGCCTGAGTGTCTGTAGCAGCATTACACGATTCTGGAGCAAGATTTAAGCTTTACAATCAAAACCGTTGGCTGGAATAAGGAATGTTTGATGTCAAATGGTGGTAACATGTCCACATAATGCATTTGATGTAAACCATTACTATACCAAATTACCAATTATAACATGATCATCCCACCCCACGAATCTAATGAACCGCATCCCGACAAGTGTATGACAAAAAGAGGTGCCACTTGGTCCTATAAGCAAAGAGAAACACTAATCTTTGGTTCCCAATTAACCACAATGTTCTTCCAAATCTTGTCCTTAATACCCACCACATGAATGGTAGTATAATATTATAAAACTTCCCCAAGTCCTTTCACTCCCATGTTACTAGCCAGAAGCCAACTCTGTCTGTAGACTACCTAGTTGTCTTGTTCCCAAACAGAGCACTCTGTTTCACCAGTAGATTCACTGCCAAAATTCCTTTTGTCTGTTCTTCCCATCCAAACAAAAAGCCACTAGATCCAGACAAGCACAGTGGATCACCGCAACTGCTGCCCATTTGACCAACCAGATCTTTTTGTTTCATATTATCAACAAAAGGGTCTTCCTGAAAACATCCAAATAATTGTAACATGCAGGTAAGGTTACTATTATCTTACTTTTATAAATTGGGGTGGAAGGAAAGAACACATGAACTTAATAAGTGAAGAGGCTGAAAACTTCCCACTAACCCACTTCCTCAATATTTATATATCAGATTCTTCACTGGCTTCTCAATGTTGCACATGATGAGGCCAGAGACAACCGCAGCAGCAGCAACAGTAGCAGCAATAACAAGACTTCTAGCTTGGCCCATAATAAGGCCAATAATAGCAGTAAGTTTGTGTCATCTCAATTAATTATTTCCTTCTGACTCTTTGGATATCTTAAAACGAGCTCATTTCCATCTCTTCCTTCCTGTTTCATAAACAAACATAAGGCGCACAGCAGCAACACATAGTCCTGTTCAAGCATTGTGGTAGCCAGAGGAGGAGAGGCAGAGGAGTTAAGAAGGGCAGCAAGTTTGGTGGTTGGCAGAACTTTAGCAGCCCATTTGGGCTTCTTGTAGCTAGAAAAGATGTGGCAAAGGCTTGCTTCTATAGCACGCTGAACCTGAGAAGGGTTGGAAATAGCTCGAGCAGACGAGAGCATCTGATGATCATCTCTATGAAGATGAAGAAAGAAGAGGTCGCCGCGGGTAAGAAGCCGGATCCATCTGCTAATCATTCCACTGCTGCTGCTCATCACGTGGGTAACAAGGTTCTACCAATCAGCAACGAAGCCAACGCTGCATTGCCTCCACGGTTTCCCCTGCCATCGACAGAGGAATGCGAGAAGAGAGACGCCAAACAGGTCAAAGGGGACAGCAAGAACAAGGCCATTTCCAGGATGAAGGAGCTCATTAGATGGGCTGCAGCTACCAAATCTGACAAGAATGGCAAGTTCCTTGGCCGCAAGGTAGCATCATTTTTTATGTATGAACATTTTGACCAAAATTTGTATGCTGTGTATGCCACTCAAGTGCGATTTTTTTTTTTTTTTTATCTCTATGACAGGTTCTACATCAATTTCGAAACCGAGGAGCCCTGAAGGCAATGCAAGAAGATTCGGATCTAACAGGGAGACAACACAATAACAGTTACAAGTACAATGAAAATAGCCACATCGACTCTCCAAGGTTCAGCTTGAGATGGGAAGTTGAAAGCAGCTCCACCACTTGCTCAGGAATGTCTATGGCTTCTTGCCCTGCCACGGTCCAGGACAGAAAAGCCAACTGGATCACCACTGATTCTGACTGTAAGTGTCTCTACATACAATTATACATACACTGATACTTGTTGTTCAATTCATGTTTCTCTTCACCAAGGAAATTGACAACCTTGATTTCGCAGTTGTGGTGCTGGAGCTATGAACAAGGCTGTGAAGGAAGCATCAGAGGAGTATTAATTGATCAACAGTTTGAATGAATTGCATTCCAGTAAAGGAAAGGGAACGGTTACTATCTTTTTTCTATTTGAGAGATCTATCAATTGATTGTAATATCTATAACGAGAACGCAAGATGGATGGAGATTTCAGTCATAATCGTTCATTGCGTAGTGGTGTTGAAAGTGTTGCTGCCAAAGCAGTATGGTTTTGCAGTTGAAGTGAACGAATAAAAGCTCGCATGCTGTCAGCATTGTTAAGCCATTGGACTGTCCAATATCCATAGCAGAACTCGTGCTCCGTAAGATAACAGAGCACCAAACACTAAAGAAGAACATTCATAAGATTGAACTTGAACATGACAGCAAAATATTGAGCAATATGATCAATGTACTGAGCGATGCCATCAAAATAGGGTGATCCATCATTTACTTGAAATGAAATAGAGTTATGGGTCGAAATTGTAGCACCAGTAGCAGAATGTTAGACACTAGGCTTAGTAAAGGAGAAATTATGTCGAACAAATTAAAAGAAGTGAAACTATTACTGAAATTTTCTTTCTGCATCTGTTTCAATATTGGCACAATACTAGAAAGCCAAATAATGCTTCCGTCGTCTGTTCCAAAAGCAGGGCAGCAGTAAGAACAGACTCTGAAAACAATGGCAAAATCTGCTAAGGTTTCTTTTGTCCACACTACACTATTTACCTACATTCAGGACAAAGACAGCAAAACCACCACCCTTTCAGGATGTTAACCAAGCCATATCGCACTGATTGTGAACTATCAAACATGGGACTTCATTGTCTATATTGTACTGTGATGACTCAGTTTCTGTTGATCCGTGCCAGTTAAAAATCAGCCCATACAGTTGTGCTTTTCACCCACCCATGAGTAATCAGTGTGATTGGGCTTCAAGAAGGATGTTGGTAGCGGCATTGACGTCGTTCCTAGCCTGCACAAGTGCCTGTCTTGCCGAATTGCCGTCGAAGCCCATAGAAACTAATGTGGCAATGGCGGACTCTGATGGTTCTACAGAAGAAGGGACTGGGGTAGGATATGTTCTCTGTCAAAATCCAGCCATAAAGATTATGCACCATAAGTAACGCAAATAGCCCCAATACATAAAGATATAAGATTATTGCCTTTCACGAACTGGAAAGGAGGTATTTACCTCCACACGGCGACCTGCGTATGATGGAACAGTTGGTGCTGCGCCATTGGCCCTAGTTGTTGTTACCCCACGTGGACTCCCAGTAGATGGCCAAGAAAATCGGGAGGCAAAAGTAGCCATGAATTCAGGGAACTGAGGCAGAGAATGATACAGAAGCAGAGTAAGATATATACATCACTGCATCGAATAACGACATCAGCCCAAAACTAATGACATCATGCTAACTGTATCATCAACTACAATGATGCTACGAGACTATTACCCAATAAAACAAAGTATGTGGTAACTGAGATTACAAAGCATACTTAAAGTGGATTCGGCAGGTATTGAGCAAAAAAAAAAAAAAAAAAACATATGCTCCCACATTAAAGGAATCGGAAGGCTAGAATGGATCACTTAACGTCCACACAAGTACCTTCATTCAAGCTATATGCTTGTATAAGCACTAATTTTATATACCAATCTTTTTTGCACATGAGATAAATTACCTTTGCTTTCCGGATACCGAAGAGGTTTAAACGGTACAAGGAGCCAGCAAGAATGCCACATATTCCAGGTATGAGGGATCTTTTCCAAGATGATAACAGAAGCTGCAATATCAAAAGTTAGAGATATAACTACCAGTACCAGAAAGGATCGAAGCATTGAAGTAAGAAAAAACATATGCATGGCACAAGAACCCTGTATGCAGAATGGTGAAGTTCCTCAGTACCTGCAGACCAGCAAGATACACGAACGACTTGTCAGAGAAGCGGATGCCAAAGACACGAAACCAAGTTGATACCGGAATGTCAAAGAAGAAGGGCACAAATGAAGCGAAAATGAGGCCATAAGGTCTAGATGTAAGCAAGTTCAGAGTTGGGTCTGCACACACACACAAAAAAAAAAAAAAAAAAGTGTCACAGCTGTTATAATTGTGAAATTCGTACACAAAGGAAACATAAAATAGACCATACGAGAATTGGGAAAAGAAGTACCAACCACCCACTAGAGATACTGCTGAGTAGTACTTTCAACTCCATCATACATATGTTTTACATTAGAGGTCTTTAGCATTGTTTCATCCACATTTCAAACTATTCCCTCTGCATCCCATTCACTTTTACGTGTTTGTGAAACCATTATGTGATTTAGTCCATTTATTGGTAAGTGATAGCTAGAAGACAGCAATAAGTCAGCTTTTTGAGTAGCATCCTCCCACGCCTTCATAGAAGGTATCAGGACATTGCAGCCGTACATATTTTCCTAGTGCATGAAGAATAATGTGTGTATTAGACTCAGTGACTCACTATTACAAATCTTTACATACTTCAATTCTTTTTCTGCAAGCAGTGATTTTCCTGCCTGATCACCACTTTCCAAGCAAGCCACTACCGAACTCCCCTCTTTGATTATCCATTTCTACTTCCCCGCCTTCCATTTCTCATTCTGCATTCTTTTTCCGGTATTAGCATCACATGCAAGAAACCCTCTACACCATATATCCTCATGTTCACTTGTTTGGATTGTTCACCCGATCACTGAACAACAATCAATATGATAATGCACAACATGGACTATCTGCAACAATTTACCTTTTAGAAGCGATAGGGCAAGGGCCTCAAAGAGCAACGATCCAATTGTAGAGAACAATATAAACACCTGCACAATTATCGTTGATATTTAGCACTATGACACAGAAAAATTACGATAAGCAATCTGTAAGAATAGTAAAGAAAGAAAGAAAGAATGTCATGTGTGGTAACTGGTAAATAAGGAGTTAAGCCTGAAAAAATGACACAAAAGCAATAAAGCCATCACATTAATCAGAGCAGCAATCTCATATTTAAGAGAGGATGCGCAAAAATGTTAATTGGATGACAAGTAATTTCTATACAACAAATGTTACAGACAAGGTAGAGAAAATGAAGATCACAGGAACTCCGAGTAACAAAACAGATTATATGCTCCAATAAGCATGGCTAATATGAGCAGTTCAGAGTGGATAGTAACTCACCGAATACTTGTTTGATCCAATCTGTCTCTCGAAAACCCTAAAGTAATACAAAAGACCAAGTCCGAACAACAATTCTGGCGTTGATGAAAAGGCAAAAACTGAGGCAATCAGCTTCAGAACACGGAGCTTCCCAAAAATATCCTGCAAAATAGTTTAAAAAACATACAACAGTAAGCCAAAGCAATATTGATTCTGAGAAATTCTTTTCCACATGACTTCATTCCGTTGAGCTGGTATGGAATGACACGTAATAAGCTCTTTAAAACCAAATTTTCCTAATCCATGTCCTATGGAAAGGAGCTGAGCCCCTGGGTGATGGTCAAGTCAAGGTAACCGTATGTATATACATACAAGTTTCAGTCGAAGTATGTACATATATTCCTGATGTTCCAGCTACACAATTTGTCCTGCTACTTTTTGCATATATGCAGTCTAAAGAGGCCAATAATTCAAGACAAAATTTTATCAGAAAAATAGAAATTATTCCCCAACTAAGTGTTTGCACAAACACTCGAGACGAGCGAAGAAGCTCAAGTCCTTGATTTGACAAAGTAAGCGTACAAGGCAAACATGGTGATATCATCCCTCTGAAATGTGAAATCCGAGTGTTTCAGCAACCCATTTCCTCCAACGGTGAAAACAGTTTCCATGACAATATTGATCATACAGAAACTCATATTATTCACACATCATTCGCTGCCTAGGAATGGAAATCTCCAACAATCAATTGCTCTACCCACTCATTCTTCTCAGTTAGACTAAGATAAGGCCTTCCCCGTGCCCAGCACTGTGGCTAATCGAGAACGTAGCTTATAACTCAACCAGTATGCCTAGACACCACCAAGCAGCCACCAAAAATTTCAATGAAGTGATGATCATGTCTAACGTATCCATAGAACACAACAGAGTCGACAGCTCAAATATTCAGCTGATTCAGCCATCAAATGAAGCAGAAAGGAAAGATCAATTTTCCCCATCACTATCATCGAACACAAATCAAATGCTTCTCAACTCTCACCAGCTAACAACCTAACCCGTATCCAATTCGCACCTTCACAGCTAGTCTCCCACATTCATCACTTCACTTCAATTTCCAACAATCAGACTCAATCCTTAAGCTCCCAGCAAGACGCGATTCAAACCCCCAGCTAAAATCCTCTACCCAACATTAGATATCAGGGAAAATACTAGGCAATCAAGCACCAGAATTCCCCGATTTAAAGACGAATTCAAGAGAAAGAGCGACGAAAATAGAGCGCACGCACCTGGTAGGACAATCCGAACTTGGCAGACCTGCCCTGGATCCCAAAGAAGAGGGTGAAGAGGGCAGAAGAAATGACGAACGCTCTTGTGACTGGCGCATTGTCTGTGGGGAGAAAAAACAATTCGTCAATGTTCCTCCGTGGAATTTGGCAGAATAAAGTAGTTAAAGAAGCGACGGGGAGGAGGAAGAAACGTACTGAAACCAGAGGGGCCGCCGTTCATGGCTTTTTCCGCCGATGTAACCGCCAAGTGGAGGAGTTTTCGAAGAGCGTCCCTCCCGCTCCCTGCTGCTCGCCTGTCTCTCTCTCTCTCTCTCTCTCTCTCTGTTTCAGATTCCTGATTTGTCAAAGCTTCCGATCAAATTTCCTTGCTGGAGGATGCATTCCGTCCTTCCTGAACCTTCCGACCTTTTTTATTGGCCTTATTTGTTGTTTAGTCATCGAGTTGAAAGTTGAAACAATCCCAAAGTTCAGTTATCATTTAGTAATTTACCCGCAGAGATTGGACTTTGGAGGACAGGTAGTTAGGGGAGATTAAAGAAGAAGAAAAAAGAACAATGACGTGATTGGTAATAATAATAAAAAATGGGGAAAATAAGAGAAATTGAAGTGGACGGGCGGTGGAGACAGGAAATGATCTCTCTTTTCTCTCTGGCCAGTGGCCACTATCATCACTATTCTTTGTCTTTTGCCTCCCTTCTGTTTCTTTTCTTCCGGGGCCGGCGGAGTTCTCATCGCCGAACGAAGCAATTCCCTCCTGGGAATAGTTACGGAAAAGCTCACGGCGGTTCAGAAATCAAGGGTGGGGAAAGCATAGAGGCAGTCGGAGGAGTAAGAGCTGGATGAATAATAGAATGGTTCTTCGCCGCCACTGGCACAGGTCAATCTTCCGAAGAATTTGCGTTGAATTCACGCGTACCAGTCCCAGCCGCGACGAGTTGACTGTTTCGGCAGCGAGATCACTTTGAATTTCACTCCCAGCTGCTGCTGCGTCGGCGGCGGCCGTCGGTGTGGCTTCTTGTTTTTGTTTTGGATTAGCTGCGGTTTCGCGGCGGCGAGTGCTCGAGATCTCTCTTTGAATTCTTGCAACCATGGCTCCAGTTCCGCCGCGAAGGGCATCCGACTCCGAAGGTGTGTGTGCTTTTCTCCTCTTCGTGTTCTTCTTTCTCTCGTGGAGAAGTTATATAAACCTAATTTCATTTGCGAACTAGGAATGAAACGAGAATTTTCCATTTCCGTCGATTTCAGCAGGTGCCGGCGGATCTCCGGACATTGAATCTATCGGGTCGGGCACGAGGAGATCGAGTATCCCGTCTTTCAGAAAGTCTCAGCACCGGCAGCGGGAGTTCCTTGATAGGTTAGTGGACTGTGAAACGCTGACTTCCCATCTCGGCGACTGGTTTGAATCAGTCTCCGGCCCCAAAAGGCCGGCTTTTGATGTCCCTTTCGAGCTAATAGACCTTCAGAAGTTTGACTACGCATTGGAAGGGGTTTCGTTTCAGCAGCTGATTCGAATGCCCAGTGCTGTGTACGCATCATCCACATCTGATGCCGTGGAAGCCACTGCTTTCTTAGCGGTTGAAGATTTTCTCCACGCCGGTGTTAAGGGTTTGTGGGAGGCGTTCTGGAGTCAGGATGAAGAGGATGCTCCCCTGCCTTTCTCAGTGGCTTGTCTCTACAGTGAGAATCTGAAGTTCTACCAAGCTGAGAAGGCCATAGCGAATGGGAAGCTCCCTGGCCTCTGTGCGACTGGTGTATTGGTTAACAATCCAAGACACCCACATGGTAAATGGGATCAAATTCTCGAACTGGCTCTTCTTCGGCCTGATATAGGGAATGACCCGCAGCCTTCACACGCCGTGCTGGGTGAGGCTATCTTTTATGCTTTACGCCTACTGTTATCCAGGAAGCTAGGGAGCTTTCAGTCTGCTGAGAGTGTGGACATTGTCTTTGTTCTTCTTGTTGATTCGCAGTATGGAGGGGTAGTGAAAGTTGAAGGTGATGTAAATAGATTGGAGTTTGATGTGAATAATGTTTACGAGAGTTGTGCCGATTGGATCAAGAGCCATTCTAGGATTTCAGTCTCTCCCATAGATAGGATATGGAACAAGCTAGGAAATGCCAATTGGGGGGACATTGGTGCTCTACAGGTCCTTTTTGCAACCTTCCACTCTATAATGCAGTTTGCAGGGATGCCAAAGCACTCGATCGAAGATCTAGCTGCTGATCATAGCTCTCGTCTCCAAGCAAGAAGAATCGAGAGGCAGTTGGGGGATAGGGATACTGCTCGAGTTAATGGAAATGGGGCTTTTCGGTACCAGCAGCGTAGCATGGAACCAGAGATTGTGGAAGTTCTGGATGCGTCGGTTAATAACATCGAGTCTGAAGAACTCGTGATGAAGTTGGAAAATGGTTCGGTCCTGTGGTTGGAGGACACAGACCAGCAGAAGGGTTATCAAATTGACGGTGTTCTGTTCAATGGCGAACTACAATACTATCTCGCCTCGCCAGTAGAAGACCCTAGTAGATCCTATTTCCTCTACGTTGGTTCTCACCCTTCTCAGCTCGAACCAGCATGGGAGGACATGAAGCTATGGTATCAGGTCCAAAGACAGACCAAAGTATTGACCATCATGAGGCAGAAAGGCGTGTCTAGCAAGTATCTACCTGACCTGGCCGCTTCTGGCAGAATCGCCCACCCTGGTCAGTGCCGGAAGCCCAGCTCCGGTGGAAACTGCGATCACCCATGGTGCTCGACTCCAATCCTCGTCACGAGCCCGGTGGGGGAGTCGGTAGCCGACATGATAATGTCCGGAAGATTCGGGCCAGAAGAAGCAATCAGGTGTTGTCACGATTGCTTATCCGCTCTTTCAACCGCAGCCTCAGTCGGAATTAGACACGGTGACATCCGGCCCGAGAACATTATAAGGTCGGGCAGCACGAGGCAGCATCCGCACTTCGTACTAATTGGTTGGGGCCACGCAATACTCGAGGAAAGGGACCGTCCAGCAATGAATCTGCATTTCTCTTCAACATATGCTCTCCAAGAGGGGAAGTTGTGCTCTGCTTCCGACTCTGAGAGCCTCGTCTACATGCTCTACTTCTCGTCCGGTGGGCCTCTGCCCGACTTGGACTCAGTCGAAGGTGCCTTGCAGTGGAGGGAGACGGCCTGGTCGAGGAGGTTAATCCAGCAGAAGCTCGGTGATGTGTCTACCGTGTTGAAAGCATTTGCTGATTATGTTGACAGTCTCTGCGGGACACCGTATCCCATTGATTATGATATCTGGATCAGAAGGTTGAGGAGGAACTTCCAGGACGACGATCATGGCAAGGAGATAGAATCTTCTTCGAGTTAACGAACAATACTGCACACTGAACATCCAACCCTTTTGAATGATTTTTGGCCTGCAGGCAAGCTGGGTTTGTGAAGAGTATTCTTTAAGTACGGGTTAGGTTGGGTTTGTGTATCTTTTGATGATTCAAAGACAAGTTTTTGTCATAGAATACGTGTATGAGAATGAGAGACTCGATGCCTGATGAGGGTTCCTTTTTTTTGTCTCCTTTCTTTTTTCATGTAAAGAAAATGTGAGTATTTGTTGGAAGGTTTTTCCAGGTTGATGAGTTGAATCGATTCTTTTTCCTTTGTAAAGTTCCACTGAAACGATTACTGGGTCCGTTTGATTTTGCTTAACGTTCACAGACGCAGCTTCTGGTTAGATCGAGTTTTTCGTATTTCGTACTAATCGGGTTGGGTTATGATTCCATTTGCCTTCTTTCTTTCATCTTGACCTGATCATGTTTGGCCTCCATTCAGCTGTACAAGATTGCAGAGCCTTTGCAGTTTTGCACAAGGAATGATATAACTGGTTTAAAAAGGAGGATTTTTCATCTTTTATCTTCAGTTTGTTATGAACTTTCGAAACGACGTAGTTTCGCATCCGTGGCTTTAAGCTTTTATCATTTTATGCCTCATCGGAGGAAACCAAATGCTGAGCCCTAAAATCACAATTTCCGATTTTGGCACATATCCTCTGTAACTCTGTTAGCGTTAAAGGCTTCCGAGTTCTTAGGAATCAAGCGGCCGCCGCCCATCTCGCCGGCGATCAAGCCTCTTCCTCTCTCTCAGCTAACGTATAGAGCGAAATCCAACAAAGTATCATCAAGAATAACGAGTGGCGCTTTGCCGGCGAACTCTTCTTTTGCGAGGCCAGCGCCTCTGCCCTGCTCAATCCCCGGTAGTATCGAGAGCGAGAACTTGAAAGGGGAAGGAGCAGCCAATTATTTTCAATATCTCCCTGTATTTCGTGGGGATTGAGCAATGGTGTCGGGTCTGATAAACGCCAATCCCGTTGTCTACGAAAAGAAAGAGCGGCGGCAACGACCTGCTTCTATCTCCGATGCGGACGAGTATTCTGCCGAGGCCATCGACCAGCTGGAAGTGTTTGATATCCTTTTCTATTCTCCATACTGTTTTTCTTTTTATCTGTCTTCTTTTGTTGGTAAAATTCGACAAGCTAGAGTAATTTCAAAAGCGTTTGAATTAGGTCTGAAATTTTATTCAATCAGTAGCTTGTAGGACTCTGTGGGTTTTAGTGTTTGTGTTCTTTGGAGAGCAAAGTTTGTTCATTTGGAGGTAGCTTGATTGTTTTACAAATGGGTTTAGGGGTTCTATCATCTATTATCAATTGGTTTATTTAACCTGTGTCGATCGAAATTGAGGGTTGATTCCTCTTTTGTTGTGCTTCTTAACTTGGTTCATACATCATGTGAGAGACATAAAGGATCCAGAGCACCCTTACTCATTGGAGGAGCTTAAAGTTATATCAGAAGATGCGATTGAAGTGGATGATAGGCGTAGTTATGTTAGGTGGTATCCGCAATCTTGTTCCATCTGTTCAACTGCTGGATTTTTTTTTTTTTTTTTCACTGCAAGATACTGAATTGGTATCTTCTGATTTGCTTCAGGGTGACATTTACTCCGACAGTTGAGCATTGTAGCATGGCGACTGTTATTGGTCTTTGCTTGCGAGTTAAGCTTATGAGAAGCCTGCCATCTCGCTACAAGGTAACTGCTTTTTTTCATACAATAGTTGCTATTCATTATAAGTTTGTTGGGGATTCAAGCTTTCGTGCCTTCGAGTGATAGTAGTACATGTAGATTATCTTGTGTTCTGAATCTTCTGATGCTACGTACTTCCTATGTGAATCCTCTCACGAACATCACTTATTGGTTTGCATTTTAGGTGGATATCAGGGTTGCACCAGGAACCCATGCAACTGAAGCTGCAGGTACTACTCCCTCTTTATCATCTGTGTTTGTCGATTGGAAACTTAGTCTGGATACACTTGCTGGAGCTGAATTTGAACTTTCGGGTTAACTAAAACAATAAATCGAAATGTACTTGGGTTGTGTGCAAATGATGAAAGTTATGTGATTAAAGCTTTCGTCCCCAATAATCTCGGGATTGAATTCTGTCATGGTATTCAAGAGAAAAGAAGGAAGATGTGTATAAATGCCAAGAATCTAGAACTGTTCTGTGATATACATGGTGGGATTGCTTTACTAATTAAACATGACTTTAAGTTTCCCTTTTTGATGTTCTGGTTTCTTCTTCCTACCAGCTTGAACCTATGCCAATTCAACCGTGTTTATTTACCATACATTTATTTCTTTTTTGTTTTGTAGTGAATAAACAGCTAAATGATAAGGAGAGAATAGCAGCAGCATTGGAGAACCCTAACCTAGTGGACATGGTTGATGAATGCTTGGCTCCATCGTACGCTTGAAACCAGATGTCATAATCTCAGCCAAATGACACAGTCAGAGATGTTTCTTCCATCGAAGTGAATGTGCATCATGTAATACATCATCCAACGACCTGTGTTCATTTGTTGCTCTGCTTCTGTATACTTGTAGGTAAAGAACAAACTGTAGGTTGTAACCAGTTATAGGCAACTTGTTTTCGCTTTGATTTAATCTGTGTTGGATTACCTTTGGGTTCTTTGTAATGAATATGACGTACTCTGAGATGAGACCAATAAAGGGTATCTGTGATAGAACCCTAGCAGAGAATTCTTCTGCAGCTGGAGATGATCCTTCTTGCCTATCAATTCTCTGTTGCCTGGCTACTTCGTATCAATCATATGCTTGAAAAGTCGTGACTTCTGATGAAAATGCAGCAGCTGGAGATGGTACATTATCGTCCGTTGATTCTCTCTTTGGGTCTTTTTTACTGTTGGAAGCCCGGATGCGCCATTTCTGTGTTGCCCTGCCCACCAGTTCGCAGTTCGCACCATCCCTGTCTAGGTAAGGGAAAGCCATATGAACCTGAATAGTGAATTCCACCCTCATATTCATATAGAGAGTGAACTTGTCTCTATACTCTGTCTAGGTAAGGCTAATATTTTGTATTTTGAAAGATTTTGCTAATATTAAAAAATATGGGTAAGATGTTACTAATAATTAGTATTTATCTTTAAAAAAAACATAATGATGGGTTTCAATTACATGTCAATTTACTTAATTATTTTGTTTATGCGAACAATGTTCATTTTACTATATCCCATCAAGAAGAACTCTCTTCGATGATTGTTCATTTCGAAAGTTTTATTTTGTTTACTCCATTTGAAAAGTGTTATATAGGGGAATGAAGTTACATATATGCAAACATTTTCTCAAGGTGACAAAAATTATTCTATGATTGTTCATTTCGAAAGAATTTTCTCAAGGTGACAAAAATTATTGGGGTGAGAGAGGCTCGAACTCTCGACCTCAGGATCACTCTATTGCTATGAGACCTACGCGCTAACCAACTGCGCCACCACCCCAATTTACAATACCATAGTTATCATTCGAATTTCATACTAGCTTTGAAAGCAAGTAAATTAGTGTTTGTCATTTTGTTTAGGGATTACAATGAGGTGGGTCCGAGAAAAATAATGAATAAATGTTACTCTATCTTAACTAGTTTAGATTTTATGTTATCCATATACAAGATTCTTGTAGTAAATAAAACTACACTCGTATTCAATAAAAAATAATAGATTTCTCCATATCATCTTAATTGATGTACTACCAATACAATCATATTAACATTATGCAAATAAAAAATTACAAATCACCAATACTAAGAGAAATAGTAAAAAAGAACACTAATTAAATCATGAGAAATTATATGTGTATTATAAAAAAAAAATTCTTAGAAATTGTCATTTTTTCTTATTATATACGTTAAGGCAAATGGACACTAAAATAGAATATGTCGGTCAATATGCCCAATATTTCTGCTGCATATACGATGTTTAAGATATGTAAGTGATCACTTTGATACATTTCAAAGCGCCCTAAGTCATATTGAATTGACATTTATACTCTGACTTCAATTTTCTTAATCTCTACCTCCTTGTTGCGTCCCGCCCACCAGCCAATTGTCGGCTGCCGCCGCTGTTTTCCAGAACCCAAACCCGCCGCAGCTCCCATTCCCCAACCCAACTTCGTTCTATCTTCCCACCGCCTACCTCCCTGTCAATTTCCAAGTTAATTTATTCTTCTTCCCAAATCCATTTCCCTTTCCCGTCTCCGTCAAATCACTTTAAACAAATATACTAAAATCAAACAAAAATAAAGAAAGGGAAAAGAAGGAAGCAGAAGGCAAAGAAACCCCATTTCCCAAACCCGTTGCCGGTCGCCTGTCGCTGCCGAAAAAAGAATTTGATAAGCTTCCCAATCATCTTTTTCTGGGCTAAGGATACCGATGCTAGAAATGGGTTGAGTTCCCGTGTCTGAACCGCTCGGCCCGGCCTCTCTTCCCATTGTTGGAATTCATTGATTGATGGTGGCCTGCCGTTGGAATGGGGAAGGAGGGAAATGGAATGGATCAAAATTTAATGAGAAGGGTAAGAGTGTAATTTTATTATGGTTTAGGGCGATAAATTCAAATATTTAGGGCGACGAATAGCAATCCCCTGCAATAAGCAGTGCGCTTATGTCTGTTTGGCGCCAGGACTAATACGCCACCGTTTTAAGCGTGGCGGGAATTGTTCTTCACGGGCACTCCCATCCCGGGAAGGCGCGCCAACCGCTAGTTCCGCCAATCCTTACACCAGTTGGATTACTATTCCTTTTTCCAATTGGGTTCGGTCTCAAATTCCTTTTCATATATAATAATTCACAGAACCCCAATCCTTTCCAGACTCTCCCTATCCGTGCCGACGCTATTGCGATTCCTCCCTTCTTAGTTTTTCCCCACTTCGCGCAGTTTCCCCTGCGTTCGAAAGCTAGGGTTCCGACGACAGTTCTGCGGCGATGGCACATCCACCGGTGGGTTTCGCTGCTCTGCACGATGGCTTCCCCCTAAATCTGAAAGCAAGAATTTCAGCGGCAGTCGGCGGGGAAGCCGTCTGTTCCTTGGGGACAACGTTTACTCGCGTGATGAGGAAGAGATTGATGGCAACGGACCTCAGCCCGCACCACGGCCGTCTGTCCATCCCCGGTAAGGAGAACGCCCGCGAGCTCTTGGAAATTCTGACAGATGAAGAATGGTCGGAGCTGAAGATGGGGGAGAAGATCAAGTTGAGGTTTTTCCTGGGCCCAGATCTCGAGGTCGCCTCCCCCGACGAAGGGTCTTCTTGCCTGGCCATGTGGGAAATGGCGAGAAGCACAGTTTTCGCGGTGACCGGCGGCGGGTGGAGATGGGTGCTGAAGGAGATCGGAAGGCTGGATATGAGGTGCGATGATGTGATTCAGTTGTGGAGCTTCAGGCTGAAGACTCAGGGGAGCTCTGTTTCGTACTCGTTACCGCCAACACGAGAAGATTAGTTGCTGACAGGGAGCGCGTTGAAGAGCAAGAAGCCGCAGCAGCAGCAATGGCAGCACTGTCACTCGAAAGAAGGAGAAGAGCACCCAGTTGCTGGTTTGACACAATTGAAGCTCTCTGATTAGCATCGAGCTCTGGACAATGGTTCCTATTTGTTTTGGTTAATGGCACTCTGTTTATCGAATGAAGAAGTCTACGTTTTGATTAGCTATGTTTATCGGTATTGCAATGTGATTTCTTGCATAAAATCTGTTCATCCTTTCAAAGTGTCAAGCTCGAATTACGTAATGCAACCGTTTTATTCGAGGATGTAATGGCAATTGGCAAGTACTACAAGTTTATGAATTTGGTAATCGGTATTAGGTTTTGAGTTGTGGTGTGTGGGGTTAATTTACATCACAGATACCAAAGGATCGGATCTTCGAGTCCAGATCGAATTCGATTCGATTAATAAATCAAATGAGGTTAAGGAATTGGGAGAGATCAGCACGTCCATGTCCTTTCCAGCGTTCTGCAGCATGCTTTGAGCTGGTGCCACCTGCAAATTTCAAAGTTGGAGAAAGATGTGAAATAGAGAAGATTAGGTTATGCTAGCAGCTGGACAGAAATCTGTTACTAAGAAGTTCATTCGGAAGAGTAAGGTGGGATTTGCATGATACATTCTATACCTTATTTGGTTGCTGGAAGGAGTTTTCATCCATCACATTCGCAGATGTGAGTTCGGTCTTTGTTGATCCTGATAACCCCACAGTGTTGGCCCCCAATCCGCTCACCAAGATCTTGAGATTCACCGTGCTGCTCGCAAAGTTTACAACCTGATAAAACGTTGAAAATGAACAGACCATTAGCGTTTGCATGATCGAAGATTGTGAGGGTAGAGTATAGACATGAGAGAGTGATTTGTTCGAGGACCTTTATTCTCAGGTAAGTATTTCGGTCCTTGGAGTCTTGATAAGTAATTGCAGATGCAACAAGCGAGCTGGAGGAACTAGTTACAAGTGTAGAGTTGACGAGGTATCCCCCACTTGACTCTGCAAAGAAACGCTGCATCCAGTAGCTTGGAGTTCCGTATGCCTTTGATGCATTAAAAACGATTGCATCTGGGTTCCACCTTCATTGGGAAGTACAGACTTAAACAAGTCAATTAAATCACAGATGAAAGAGTATCTACTTCGTGGTTAAGAGAACCAAACAGGCGGTTGGCATACCTTCTATCGTTGGTGTTCACAAAAAGTGGTGCATAGCTAGCCATCTCAACGATATCACTGCAGCCAGAGATAACATTTTTACCATCAAGATCATGAAACCACAAACATCAGGGCTTCAGTGTCTAAAGTTATCATACATCATGCATTACCTGTTTTTCTCCACGCCAATGAGGAATGCAGCTTCACCAAGTGCAGCTAAGAGACTTCCTGTGCCGGCATCTTTTCCAGTCACCGCATATTCACTCACAAAAGCCTGAAAAAATTAATTAGCATTTAGGTTCTGTATCAAAATAGTAAGTTTGTTTGTAGCTTGAGGGAAGTACATCAACACACCTTTGGACCGCTGCGTGATGTGTGATCGAATTGGTGGGACATGGAAAACAGATTGCTCGCATCTGTATATACCTAATAAAAGATAATAAATTGTTAATGCATATGAGGGACCATCAAGCAAATGTATCTTTAAATTCCACGGACTACTGAACTGAGATGGCAAGCTTACATGGAAATCATAATAGTCAGCTGGATGGTCCAGCGGACGAGAAGATCCATCGCAGTTTGAGATAATCTGGATGTCAGGGTAAGCCCTTTTTATAGCTTCATAGAACTTGAGGTAATTTCCTGGTAAAAATAGTACATTTAAGATTCAGCTCCTACACATTTAACACCAGTTTTGTCCTGAAAAATTTATGTTATCTCAGGTGCAGAAAGTACTACAGAATGGCAGACCTCGGTAGTTCTTCTTTCCACAATCCTCATTCCCAACGGCAACATGTTTCAATTTAAATGGTTCAGGGTGTCCCATGGAAGCTCGCAGAGAACCCCATTTAGAACTGGCATCACCTCTAGCGAACTCGATACCATCAAGAGCTTCCTGAAATTGGAATAAAGTTAATTAGCATGTTTGCTTCCATTTTACTGCCGCGGTTTTCAGAGTGTTGATTAAACAGCGTACTTGAACAAAAGGTAAGACGCTTGAAGTATCAACTTGATCCTGGTGGCTAATACCTGAAAATTTTCAAGTATCCATCACAGGACAGAGAGTTTTATCAACCACACAGACTCACCGGGACAATAAAAGAAAATCTAGGAAAGTAAGGATATGCAAACATACCATTATTAAACACCCATATGGGCACTGTATCCAGATCTTCGGCTAGCTGTCCAATTAATTCATCAAGTTATGTCAATATTGAAATGAGCTATCTTAGCATTAGATTCATGTAATGATGATGTCTAAGCCAAAAGGAGTACAAGACCTACTTGAAGAAACTCATAGTGACCAAGTCCATCATCAGTCCAATACATCCAAACATCACCGAAGTGCCCAGGTCTCTCCTCCCAAGGGCCAACTGATTCTTTCCATCGGAATGCATTCCTTAACCATTCGCCCTCCACAAAACAGCCGCCTAGACATACAGTTCAGATACAACTTTCATAAATCAGCTCTGAGCTTTTAGGAGATTATGATTACAGCAAATAAAAGGTGTGATGAGAAGACCTAAACTTCGAGGGAAGCAATATGTCAGATTTACGATATGAGTTTACAGAATTTATGCACACCTGGGAATCTGATAAATCGAGGTTTTATTTCTTCAAGCATTTCAACAAGCTCAGAGCGAAAACCATGCCCCTGCAACAAGTTATCAAGCCAAAAGTCTTAGACACTTGAATAAATCCCCCAGCAAAAGCATTACAAAAGAAAGGAACTTCATATACTGCACAGAGATATCAAAGAAACAGAAGAATGAAAGAGTATGCCTTGTATGTATCTTCAGGCATCAATGAAACTTGATCAAACCAAATCACACCCTTTTTCGAAGTTCGTAATTCAAGTCTTGCACCGTGATCAGTTTCCTCAGCTTCTAGCAGGGTCTCCACCTTTGTCCAGTCTGAAACAGCTGAAGCAGGGCCTCTGAAATAAATGAATCCAAATTAAAAATCACTAATCCATAGATCACTATATACCGCAGATTTCCATGGCACACAGAAAAGAAAATGAATACTAGTTCTCACTTGATGATGGTAGTAGCCAATGTCCGCAACCCATTTGATCCCGTCAACAGCACGGACACATCAATAGAATCTAGTGAGCGAACATAAAGAACCAATTTGTATTTCTTTCCCCCTTCTATATTCTGCAGGAAGTAAAAGTTTCATTAGTGTTCCTGAAGAATGAAGAACTCTGCAGACCAAAGAGAGATTGTGAGATAATAAAAAAGACATAATTTTGAGATGTTCTTTACTTAAAGATCTCTACCACTATCATTCACATTGCATGAATAAGAGTATAATGCAATTCTCACCATGCCCCAGAATCCAGGGTTATACACACCAACTCCCCCAGATGGACAACTCTCCAAGTCACAGAGTACATCCATCCGAAGAGCAACCTTGTTTCGCTCGAAGGGGGATGACCGGTCGGTAGATAAAACCACGGACGACGAATCTCCAATGACCAACCACGGATCTATATTCGACGGAGTGTTAGGACCCCCAGCCTCAAATCCTGGAATCCAAAAAGGATAATGGAAAAGAAAGAACATTTCATCACATAATCTGCAACAGTTACCATATGTGACAGCTAATCTGCAATGCTAAGCAGACGAGACAACCAAGCCCAGCCTCTAATAGTGCTCCAAAGATGGTAAATTACAAATGCAGCCTCAGTTAGTAACACATGCAAATGCTATCAATGATGTATATATAAGGAAAGCTCATTAAATCCAGTTCCAGCTACATAAAAAGATAGTTCAATTCATCCAAACAAGATTATCTTCAATGCAAATATTTGGTAAGTACTGAGTCAGTGATCAAGTTGAGAAAAAGGATCATCGCACGTTTTCCACATACAGAAAGTTAGTTAGCTCAGAGGAAAAGGTAAGAGGCAGTTACCTCTGTTGCTCACAAGTTCTGCCCATAGTCCACCAGCTCCAGCATGATTAATCTCCTGCAGCGAGAGAAAAAAAAAACTTATCTGACGAGCTCATCGCGCCGGCGGAGAAACCAATTCTCTACGCAAAATTAATTCCACAACAGGGACAGAAAAAGCAAGAGAGGAGCCAAAACCTCAAAGAAAATTCCAAAAAGAGTGCTGGGAATTGGCCGGCGGAATGAGGCGTCGACGGACAACTCGGCGGTGAGATTAGCGTCGAGCGGTCCCGCGTCGACGCCGGTGGTCAAAGACGGAGCGATCAAGCACACTGCGGCGGCGAAGAAACAGCACAGCAAGTAATAGTAAGAAGAACAGGAAGATGTAGTGGTACTAGTAACAGTAGCGGCCGCCATTGGAGAGCCTATGCTTGCTACTTCGAATCCCTCCTCACTTCATCCAAAATCGTTGATCGATGATGACGATGACGAGCTGCCGTTATCCGAAGTGAGGTAAGTCAAAGTTTGACCGATTCGAACATAAAAACAAAGAAGCGCAATGAAAGGAAGCAAGGAATTGGTGCGAGAAGGAAGCAAGCAAGGAATCAATCGACGGTGATCGACGATTACCGAGGAAGTGACTCAGTGAGGATTAGGAAGAGGAAGTGTTTTGGGAAGTGTGCCGGATGGCGACGGGAGCTGGTTGGAAATGGAAGAAGAAGAAGAAGAAGAGGCGGTGGTTATATTATATATGACAAAATCAGTTAATTATGTTTTTGGGAAAATCCCATAAAATCATGAAAACATCACTTGCGAATTGCATTTTTCTTTTTGGATTTAATCAAAACGGGAAATAGAGAAAGAGAAAGATGCAAGTTGCCGCACCAAAACGGCGCGTGCGGTGGAGGGTTTTCGGCTTTTCGCTTTTTGGGAAGTTTGGGGAGCCTTTCACGGTAACGCAAGAAAACGGCGCGTGAGGTGGGGATTTCTTTCGTGGGCCCGGGCCCGGGCCCAGAGTAAGTTGGGGTTGGTTTTGGGCTGGCTTTCACGTCAACGAGACTCGCCGATCCCGGGGTGTGGATTGCAAGTTAACCAACCGAGTCCTACACTCCATTACTCCTACTGGATATTTTTTTTTTATTCATATTGTTTTCGAGATTCGTATACCTTAATCCTTTATTTATTTAAACCTTATCCATCTGTAATCTGACTTCATTAATTTCCTCTTGTCGCTAAAGATGCTATCCCATTTCATTTGTTTATCCTAACACGGATTGGGCTGAACACTATGGAGCCCAATGCTTACTTTCATTTCGTTTGGGGCCCTTTGCAATGGGCCGAAGATTACAAAACAATTCACAATTTCAAATTCCCGTCTCGTTTTTTGGTTTCGCTTTGATCATTACTTATGAGAATAGAAATCATTTTTAGCCGCACTGATCAACTCAGGTTTTTCTGCCTTGAGCGAGACTTTATTTCCGGTCACAAGAATGTCGTCCACATGGCGGAAGCACACCTTTATCGAAAAAACATGATGTGTTTGCTTTGGTGATGCCAACTCCTCACTCCAAGATAAACAGATTTCTGTTACGCCTTTGTGCTATTTACCACAACTCAATCCCTTGTTGCTTTATTGACGTTCTTCCTTGTCTTGTAATTAAAGTGATGGGCCCAAAAGATGATGGATGATTAGTTGGGCCGCTATTCGCAGCCAGCAGTAATGGGCCGGGCTTGAGGGATTGCTTATTTGACGCCTGACCCAACAGCGGCGATTTCAGTATCCACTAAATTTTTTTAGTTTGATGACCAATTTGACAAAAAACCTATATATAGGGACGATATTAGCACTTACCTCCATTATCGCCTCTTCTCCTTTGGCACGTTGGTGGTCGTTTAAAAAAATTCCCCTGGGTCGGACAAAAACCCCGGGAGATCGAAAGACAACCAGGGAAAAAAGTTAGTTCGAACGATTTCCGTCTCGACCATCGATGAATGGTCGTCGGAAAACGCAAAAGATTCTTTCTTTCCTTCTTTCTTGCATCTTGAATCTCTTTTGACCTCCTGGGTCTTCATCTAATTCCTCTGAGAAAACCATTCACCCTTTCCCTCCTCCGTCCGTACACCATGTCTCCCGCCGGCGGGCCGACGAAAGCGCGATTGCTCGTGGCGGATTTCGTGATGTCGTTCATGTGGGTGTGTTCGAGCCCATTGTTGAAGATGTTCGTCGTCGAGGTTCTTGGGATGCGTTCCCACGACCCGGTGTCCGAAATCGTGACGTGCGCCTGCTCGATCACCAACATGTTCTTCTTCGCCTTCTTGGGCCAACTCAGCGGAGGCGGGACTTACAATCCCCTCAACGTCCTGTCCGACGCCGTTTCTGGGGATTTCCTCCGGTTCATCTTCATTTTTGGCGCTCGAATCCCTGTTCAGGTTTGTTAAGCGACCAAAAAAAGCTTCTGTCTTTTTTGGTCGGTGGTTTCTGAAATTTGACGTTTATGGTCTGTCTATTTGTGTTTCGATATCGTCGATGAATTAGGTGGGATTCCGTTTGATTGCATAGCGAATTTGGGGTTTGCCCTTTGAACAGGAATGTGTCGCTTGTGAGTGTATTGAATTTGGCTTGTGGAGCTTGATTGTAGGGTGATAGATTGGTTGCCATGTGCGTGCCCATGTCCATGGGATCCTTAAGCTCAAGGAAAGCAGAACTTTTTTAGGAATTCCTCGAAAATGTACATTCCTTTGCAACATCCAACTTCAGCTTCACCCAAACTTATGGGGAAGTCTGCTACTATTGCTGCAATGTAGGCCGTTGTCAGCTTCTCTACGGTCTTTCCCTGTATTTTGCAGTAGATTGTAGTTGTTCGTCAATAAGGTCTCTCCCAACCTTATTGACCGTTGTCTCCGACGATACTCGATGGTGAAAAAGCCTTACGGAAGCAAATAGCTTATGCTGATGAACTGAAATCAAAGATCAATCATGTATGAGGATGAAGTTTCTGTCTATTAAGGTTCTTCGGATTTGAAGTAAGGTACATTTTAGTAGGAGATTGAGCTGCAACTGTTTGAGCAACAAAGAAAGGTTCATGATTGTGGTGCAATGCAACTGTCTAAAGAAAGGGTTTGGCCCTTTGTTCCACATAAGAAAGGTTCATGATTGATCTGCGAAAAATAAGTTTTTTCTGTACCTTCTAGATGAAGAAAACGAGTTCAGTTCTACTAGGTTGTTCCTTATCCTGTGAGATTTCATGATTCTTAATTTTGTGCCCTTCTCTTCTTTCAACTTGCTAGGTATTTGGATCTATTTCTGGAGTTAGGTTCATGATCAAGACCTTTCCTGAGATAGGACTGGGCCCACTACTGCAAGTTGACATCCACCATGGTGCTCTCACAGAAGGGCTACTGACATTCGCCATAGTAACCATCTCTCTCGTGCTATCGAGAGAGATCCCGGGTAGTTTCTTCCGGAAGACTTGGATCTCAAGTGTCATGAAAGTCACCCTTCAGATACTAGGCTCTGATCTCACTGGCGGCTGTATGAACCCTGCCTCGGTAAGTAAAGCTACCAATGAAAGTAGCAAGATTCGAGGTTTGAGTTCTGAACAATGCCTGTCTGCATATATTCTGCAGGTGATGGGATGGGCTTATGCAAGGGGGATTCACCTCTCCAAGGAGCATTTATATGTTTACTGGCTCGCCCCAGTCAAGGCAACCCTGATAGCCGGATGGATATTCAAAATGGTGACCGCTGCGCCTTCGAAGGGAACTACTACTGCAGAGAAAGAGAAGTTGAAGAAGTCAGAATAAGAGGGCATTAGCTCCATTGTTCTTTTGTTCCTGGTTCTGCTTTATCTATTGGCTGATCTAATTCAAGGCTTCCTCTCCTCGTATATAAGTGGAAAAAATAGAGGGATCCGAAAAAAAAACTAATAGGGAGTTGACTAGGGACCTTGCTGCAAATCTGTACATTGTTGTTGCTGCTGCTGTCATGGTCCTCTGTAGCTATGTTCAGTACTTATGTTCACTTAGTTTTTGCCACTTTTCAATGGATACTTGAAATCTTGAATCCAAGCCGTTTTTTTTTTTTTTTTGTGCAGTACATGATTAACTCTTGAACTCAATGGATTTGATATGTTAATGATAATTCAATTATGTATAACATCTATGGAAGTTGATCAATACTGAATAGTAAGCGTGAACAAGAAATCAACCAAAATATGTAGAATGAAGAGGGTATCTGGTTGCACAAGAAGGTGAAACTGAAGAAATCATCTCAGATGTCAAGAAATTGTGTCAGCTTATATGATAGAACGTTTGAGTAGAAGGATGTGAAAACCAATGGTAATTGTTAAAACCTAAATGATATACTAAGGATATAAAAATCAATGGTAATTACTCATCCTATCTCCTCTCTATCAATTTTCGTTTTCAATATTTTCCGTGTGTACTCAATGCAAGAAATCCTTGTATTGACTAAATAAGGATTAAAAACAAGTTGGACACTCACAATGATGGAAATAGTTGTCATATCTAATGTTGTTTGTATCTACATAGATGATTTGGTCCGTGCGAGTAAGGTAATCACTCATCCAAGTTGTTAGTTTTGTGAGAAAATATTCGCTTTTCTCCTATATATTGACGAAAGGAAAAAAATGATCGTATTAATAATCACGCCAATTTTAATTAGAAACCATCCAAAATTTAATTAATACTCGACTCAATCCAACACAAAATTATAAAGAATGCATTTTGTCCAAATGACCGCAACCCAATATTTTCCTTTTGTAGAAATTTAATCTCATATTCAAATGGATTAAGGGACAGAACTAGACAATTTGATTGATCAATTAAATTACCGTATACACATATTTCCCCATTTTTCTCAAAGATTTAGGGGCAAAATGAAAGATGAATATATTTCTACCTATAAATTGTTTGTGTGTCTCTCATGTTCACATTTTAGTTGGTTCATCATTGCATGAAAGCACAAAAAGGCTATTTTTAGGGTCAAACGAGGAAGGTTGTTGGATAGAAGGAAAAATGCTGGCAATAACAAAACTCTGGGATGGGTTGGGAATTCCATTGGATTGTAAATTGAGATTTGTAATATTACTATTATTCCTATTATTTTTTAATATTTTCTCCTTTTTATTCATCAAGTTTTGGTTTGTACTTGTTTTTTCTTTCTTTCTTTTTCTTCTTCAACTCCAAAGATAGAGAGAGGAGTGGGAGGGGAAGGGAGGAAGAGAGGGGAGGAAAGGATCAACCAATTGATGTGATTATGGGGAAAACACCCACCATCTTTGATCTCATTTCAAAACAATTAGCCTTTGTTTTGATATGATTTCTTCATGTGGGTGTTAATTTGCTATATGGGAGAAGTTTATTTGTTTGTTTTCACACAAGATATTATTCATTGATGTTCTTTCACAATTTAAAAGGAGTTTTCGCAGAAAACTTCCTCCCGGCAGATTCAAAATTTTCGCGCAACTCTTTCCTCTAAGCCGGGCACCACCACCAAATTCCGAAAATGGGCCCTCCTAATCTCAACACCTTCAGACTTTATCAGCTCTGGAAGGGTAACAACGTAAGTATGAATCTCCTCATTTCTCATTTATTCTCTCTTCAGGTTGTCCAAAAAAATGAATATCGTCATGTCGTGTTTGCAAGAAACCAAAACTCATCACGAATGTACAAGAATGTTGATCCCGAATGGGATTGGTTAGCATGAACTTTTGTTAATCAAACATAGCAATCAACTACAATATCTTGCTAGGAGAAAAGGTGGAAACAAAACCCTAAAAACCAATCCCAATTTCTGAACTTTTGGAATGTTATTTTATTGGGCCAATGTATGTAACTTGCAGAAATTCTTATGTGGTGGGAGATTAGTGTTTGGCCCAGATGCTGCATCACTGTTCTTGACATCATTCCTAATTGGAGCTCCAGCAATCACATTCTGCATAAAAATGTTGCTAATGATGCGCACTGATCCTGTTTTCAACTACCCTGTTCTTGTTGGTGGATGGGTCCTCCTAGTCATGGTCAGTAACTAATTAACCATGGTTAATCTTTAGCTTGAAGTGCACAATGCAAGAATTCTCATGGCAGATAAGGCTATACTTGCAGGACTTTGCATTCTTGTTCCTGACATCGAGTAGGGATCCAGGGATCATCCCAAGGAACTCACAGCCACCAGAGATGGAGGATTCTTCGATCGACATGACCGCGACGTCGATGGAATGGGTGAACAACAGGCTAGCACACTTCAAGCTCCCAAGGACGAAGGATGTGTTTGTGAATGGTTACAGTGTGAGAGTGAAGTTCTGCGAGACTTGCTTGTTGTATCGTCCTCCTAGGGCTTCCCATTGCTCCATATGCAACAATTGTGTCCAGAAGTTTGATCATCACTGCCCCTGGGTGGGTCAGTGCATTGGATTGGTAAGTGACCCTCTCGATCCTCGTGTTCGTTCGGATTCGAGAAATGCGTATGAAACTATGAAGGGATGGACTTGGCTACGGTCCTAGTGGACATTTTTTTGCGAGGCTTTCTTAGCAAAACAATGTTCACCAAGACCGTCATAATATATGGGTTCGATTACTTAATTTTGATCTCCGTTTTTTTTTTTTTTTTGCAGAGGAACTACCCATTTTTCATATGCTTCATATCATCGTCGACCATGTTGTGCATATATGTGTTTGTGTTCTCATGGATCAACATCATCCGCCAACAGGGAACCTTGTGGACTGTTCTTTCCAACGACATCATCTCCCTTAGTTTGATCATCTATTGTTTCATTGCTGTTTGGTTTGTTGGAGGCCTCACTGTTTTCCACTTATACTTGATTTCCACTAACCAAGTGAGTTCACAACACACATCCTTTGTGGATGCATACAAAATGCTACAATTGTTGTAAATTGTTTGTCATAAATGATCCACTAAGGGTAACTTGTGTACTTCTATAACAAATTAGGATTCCTAATTTTACAATTGATATGATAAGTTGTAAATTTGTTTCTTTTTTTATCTTTTGCATTGAAATGCAGACGACTTACGAGAATTTTCGATATCGGTATGATAAGAAGGATAATCCATTCAGAAGAGGGTGCCTACAGAACTTCAAAGAAGTGTTTGTATCAGACATTCCACCATCGGCAGTAAACTTCAGGGAATGGGTGGCTCCAGTGGAGATCATCGACGATTCAGTGAGAAGTGTGAGCATGAATGGGCATAACAATTTAATGAGCTCTAAGGAGAAATTTGACTTGGAAATGGGAGGGGATAAGCTTGGGAAGGAAGGGACTAAACTTCCAGCCATTTTGCAGAACTTGAATTATAATAGTTTCAATGACGATGATCATGATGACGATTTGAAGAGAAAAGGAAAATCTGACGGTGGAGTTGCTACATTTGATCCTTATAACGATTTATCAGATCGTCATAGCTCGCATCATAAGGTCATGAACGCAGCAGCAACCCTTCACGAACAGCATGCACACTAGACGAAAGACTTTATTTTGGACTATATGGCTGGGAAGCAATACTCTCCATACTCCACCATCCAAATCCAGTTGAAGGTCATGTGATTCCAAGTAAGATGGATTAGTTTCAACATTGATATTAGCCAACTAACCTTATCTAAATAGGATGTAAAAGCAAATAAAACTAATTATATGTATTGTTTGTTGCACTAACATTTTGTTTTTGATTCACGGGATGAGAGAAATGAGATGGAGGAGAGCAAATGAGGGTTTGAGATGTCAAGAAGAGAGGTGGTAAAAGATTCAAATGGAAGTTGTGTGGTTGATGTGTAAAACATTTTGAAAGAGTTAACATTAGCATATAATTGAAAATCCTTCCTTTTGTCCCATCCTTGGTTCCTCACCAACTCCTCCTCATCTTTTGGGGTTACAATTTGTTTCAATATAAAAAAGGTAAAGAGTACAAAGAGAAAGCAATACCTAGAAAAGGAAGAAAACAATAAAAAAAAAAGATGCAATTTTACTTAGAATCATGGTATCATCATATAGCTTCATGAGAATACAACATTGTTAAGATCAAAACGTGTAATTCTTAATTAGTTTGTTTTTATCATGTGTTAATTCTCACTTTATATTATTTTTTTATAGAAGATTTTGTTCTAATACCTTTCACAAAGAGGGAAGATAAAATGTCTTTTGGAATTTCGTGGGTTGTGTTTAGCTTGAAAAACTAAGAAAAGATAAAGAGAGGTAGATTGACGAGGCACCTCATATCGTATAAAGAATTGCCTGCAGTGGATAACGAAAATATAGAGGACCTCTATGAAAGAGCAGTGGGAAAGTATTTTGGTTCACCGCTTGTGACAAAAGTTTTAGGAGGAGTTCTACATTTGAAAATATCCAGAAAGGATTGGATTCAGGTTGTGAGAAGTGAGATGTGGGAGACGAAGGAAGGCAAAGAAAAAGTTCTTTGCTCCTCTAGCTTTGGTAGATGGGTCTTGAAATTTGTGCCTCTTGCATTAGCCTCTTTGTGATGTCTATGTCTCGGACAAGAATCGTTTCGTTACTTGATTCTACAATTCCACAAACCCTAAATCGCAACAAATTTCATATCGCTTATCGTTTGTAATTTCGTCCAAACTCGCTTATAAATCAACACACATGCCAATGCTACACGTAACTCTCGGTCTTGGGAGAAGCTAAATTTTACAGGCAAAAGTGTTGTTGATGGCATCAAACTGAAATCCATAGACGGCGAAACGATACCAACCGCTGAATCAGTAAGAGTGTAATCAAGTATCATAAATGCGAAATTACAAGATTGTATGATAAAAAAAAGAACTTTTGGTTACTTGTAAAGAGTACGACAACATAAACCGCATAATTGTGTCATAATGACAAGACGTGCACGAGTACGAATTCTTATTACCGAGTCCAAATTGTACAATAAGGTGGATTTCCACTCCAAATGTCTTGTAATGTTGATAGTAATGTGATTCAATGATTGGTTTAGTCATATAAACACATATACTACTTAATTGTGTCATAATGAGAAAACGTGCACGAGTACGAACTATTATTACCGAGTCCAAATTGTATAATAAGGTGGATTTGCACTCCAAATGTCTTGTAATGTTGATAACCATGTGATTCAATGATTGGTTTAGTCATATAAACACATAAACCGCTTAATTGTGTCATAATGACAAGCTGTGCACCAGTACGAACAAGTCATTTGGAGTGCAAATCTACCTTATTATACAATTTGGACTCGGTACTAAGAGTTCTTAAACTTGCACTTCTTATTAAACCAATCATTGAATCACATGTCTATCAACTTTACAAGATTAAATTTTTTTAAGGGAAATTAAGGGGATTGTTGGAAATCTTATGGCGTCCAGCCAACCACGGGAGGTGAGATTTTGCACAAATGGGCGACGACAACAGTCTATCACCACGGCCACTTGTGGCAAACTGGCAAATCGAGCCCCACCAATAACCCTTAGCCACGTGTCGCGCTCACATAAACTCTAGTAGATTTCCAGTGGATGAGAATTTTAATCATCTTCCCCCACCAATTATAAGCTTTCCCATCGCCATTTCCCATTTTCCACTCCCTTCTCCAGCTCCAGCAATCTTCCACCACCCTGAAAACCAGCCACAACAATGGCGGCAGAGATGGCCCTGGCAAAACCCATCATCTCCAAATTCACCACCACTTCCAGTAGAAGCAGCAGCAGCAGGCTCTCGTTCTGCTCCATCAGAATGTCGGCCACCTCTACCACCGCGGCCGCCGGCGGGACCAAGAAGAAGCTGCAGAAGACGGCGATAAAGGAGACGCTGCTGACCCCGCGGTTCTACACCACGGACTTCGACGAGATGGAGACGCTGTTCAACTCGGAGATCAACAAGCAGCTGAACCAGGAGGAGTTCGAAGCCCTGCTGCAGGAGTTCAAGACCGATTACAACCAGACCCACTTCGTCAGGAACAAGGAGTTCAAGGAAGCCGCCGACAAGATGCAAGGCCCGCTCCGCCAGATCTTCGTCGAGTTCCTCGAGCGCTCCTGCACCGCCGAGTTCTCCGGGTTCCTCCTCTACAAAGAGCTCGGCAGGAGGCTTAAGGTAAGTAATCACAGCTCAACCAATCCCAATGCCTGTTCTACTGGTAGAGGTAACATAGCAAAATCTTAACTGACCGAAACGATTCGATTGTTTCGATTCGATGATGCAGAAAACCAATCCAGTGGTGGCGGAGATCTTTTCGCTCATGTCGAGGGATGAAGCCAGGCACGCAGGGTGAGAAAATTGTCGACTCTGTTTTCCTCTGTCTGGAGAATGGTGGCAGTTCTCTGACTATACTTCTTTGGTTCTTCCGGCAGGTTTCTGAACAAGGGGTTGTCAGATTTCAACCTGGCACTGGATTTGGGGTTCCTCACGAAGGCGAGGAAGTACACGTTCTTCAAGCCGAAGTTCATCTTCTACGCGACCTACCTGTCGGAGAAGATAGGGTACTGGAGGTACATTACCATCTACAGGCATCTCAAGGCCAACCCGGAGTACCAGTGCTACCCGATCTTCAAGTACTTCGAGAACTGGTGCCAGGACGAGAATCGCCACGGTGATTTCTTCTCCGCGTTGATGAAGGCTCAGCCACAGTTCCTCAATGACTGGAAGGCCAAGCTCTGGGCTCGATTCTTCTGCCTCTCTGTAAGTGCTAATACGAAACTGTGTTTCGTCTTGTGGTATCTGTATGGCAAGAGGATTTTGATTAGAAACTGCTCTTGTTTCTACCTCTCAGGTGTATGTCACGATGTACCTCAATGACTGTCAGAGATCAGATTTCTATGAAGGGATTGGACTCAACACGAAAGAGTTTGACATGCATGTCATCATTGAGGTAACAATGTGGCCTCTCCCCTGTCAATTGAAACGAACAATGGTTAGCTTTGCTGCAGCACGGAGGCTGCTACCAGTGCCTGGATGCTGACATGGTGTCCTTGTTCTTCTTTGCAGACGAACAGGACGACAGCCAGGATATTCCCGGCAGTGCTGGACGTGGAGAACCCCGAGTTCAAGAGAAAGCTGGACAGGATGGTGGAGATTAACCAGAAGCTGCTGGCTGTTGGAGAGACCGACGATATTCCATTGGTGAAGAACTTGAAGAGAATACCTATTGTTGCAGCTCTTGTTTCGGAGATCATATCAGCATACCTGATGCCGCCCATCGAGTCTGGATCCGTGGACTTGGCTGAATTCGAGCCACGCCTTGTTTACTGATTTGATAGGATTCTTGATTAGTTGTCGCCTTTTCACTCCATGTGTCTGTCTTCAGCTTTGCGAGTCTGTGCTTTGTCCATGTTGAGACATGAGAGAGCTTTGTGACATAATATTCACTTTGTTAAAACTTAAAACACACTGCACACTCGTTAAAACCCTGCAATTATCTGCTACTCAAACATTTATACAAGCTCCTCTAAAAACCCTGATACTTGGAAACAATGCCATGTCATTTCTTCCATAGGAGGTGAAAGACACAAACCGATCTAGCTAGCACATTATTATCCAGTATTATCATCATAAATTGCCACACTCGACGCATTACTCTTGTTATTACTAGTTGCTACACAACCTTGAAAATGTACCCTTGAAGAAATTCCTCTAGACCTGAAGCTGAATCCCCATCCTACACAATGCTACATGTACAGTTTGAAATTTTCCTTCCCCTTATGACCTGGACCTGCATTGAGGAATAGGAAAGCTCAGGAATATTGCTCCAGAGCAGCAAAAAAAAAAAAGTTTAAGGATGGTAATAACATTCTCATCGATATGGTCTTAACCACGACTCTGCAACATAAGACCAACCACGAGACATAAAGGGGCGGACATTACCTGAAGTCTAGCGTCATAGTTTGATCAAAAGCCTCATAGTCTAACAGATACTAGGAAGCCTAAATCCAGAAGTTGTAGTTAACCATTCTGTTAATTTATCAACCCTAAGGTTCTTCCAAACCAAAAGGATAAACATCTAACCTACGCATTCAAACTCATATTTTAACTTGCATCATAATTTAGAAAGGAGTTCTCTACACCTACTATGCACCAGAATGCCTCTATAGTGCTTCTGCGTTAAATTGATCTGCATGTTGAGAGGCTTAAACTCTAATTTGGGTTCAGAGGCAAGGTCTGTTGGCGAGGGAAAAACAGACAGTAGAGACGTTCTCGTTCAAGTTAAAACTTGGAGGTTAGTCTCATCAATTTTGGTCCTAGTACTGAAGGCTTCGGTAGGGTTCTAGCAAGGCCAGTATTCCAACAGTATTGATGTAGAGCAACAAAAGATTTCCCAGAAGTCTACCTTTCCTCCCGTTTCTAGCAACTTTCTTTTCTATTCATCAGTTTCCAGCAAGATGAAGCAGAGAGAACCAGTGAAAACCAATAAGCATAAGTACTATTCTACCAACTGAGCTACCTAGATATAAACAAGTAAGCCAAAAGAAATCAGGCTATAGATACTTACCCTAGAACTATGCACCTAGTCCCCTCCAAAATTGTGATAACTCAATCCTTCAGAAATGGTATCCAATCGGCTGTCCCCTGTTAAGCAAATTCCTAAATTATGTTCCTTCTAGGTAAAAAGCCATATGAAAACTTGGGGAGACAGAGAGAAAAGCTAACTGACCTTGAAGCTCTCTGTCGCGAGAATCCAAGAAGTTGTCATTTTCAGCACCCATGAAGGGTGATCTAACATAGTTCTCTAGTATATCTGAAATGTGCAAACCAGAAGTGAGAAAAATATTAGCCAAATAACTTTTTCCTGTCTGTTTTCAGATTATTAGACAGGCCCATAACTTTACTAGTACAACCGGGGTAAAACATCCATACAAGAACATAAAAAAGAAGAACTTCAGCAGTATCTCCTACATATCCATGATGACAGATTTATGAGAGGGAAGGTAAACCTGAGCTCTGATTGAAGTCAGCAGTCAGATCTGAAAGACTGAAATTTCGAGGAATCTGGCCCAAAAATCCAAAAGAAGATGTGTCTGGATCAATAAGTGCCTCATTAATGGCTTGTGAACTGGACTCTACGCTGCTGAACGATGCATCTGCAATGGATTGACGTGCTTCTATGACATTTACACCAGTGCCCACCACATAAGAAGTGCCTGTGTAACCAGATTCAGATTTTATGGCTCCATTCATTCCTTGCGTCATGCCCAAGTTTGTAGTTTGAGTGGCAAGCAAGTTTGTGGAAGCATCAATTCTATTTGCATGAGCTGAAATGTCAACAGCAGTTTGCATACTCGAATGGAGTGAGGATCCACCATTAGTAAATGAATTGGGAATGCTTGAACCAATGGGTGTATGTTGTATGTTATCTGATCTCAAGGCACCACATGCCTGCTCAGAGACATAGCATGCGGAGTTCTGATGCACTGCAGAGAAAGAACAATCAGTTACAAGATTATGCTATAAAATAACAAGTAATCGATTGAGCTTGACGGAACTACAGTTTTCGAAGACACAGATCAAGTTCTCTTGATTTAGTGGAACACGATGAAGTCAATAGTAACTTTCAACAAATATCATTTACCTTCACTAATCCTGTGACTATTTTGGCAAATTATTGTCAAACAAACTCATGACAATGGAAGTACTGCTGAAATCAGCTCAAAGCAGAACTACCATAAAAAAATCGATCTAAATTAGCAGAGAACCAAGTCTTACATGGTGGAAGCTGAGACCCATTAGAATTAGGAATAGAAGCAACTCCAGTTGGACTTATATGATGCATCAGCTCCACTTGTTGCTCAAGTAACTTATTGAATTCCATTATCTGGGTCTTCACTATTAGTCTCGGATAATATGCATCAAAGAAGTCCCGATTTTCTGCTTCAAGCTTTTTCCAAACTAGAAACAAAGCAATGATTAGCAACAATGCAATATCGTTCCCTTTTATATCTCAAAAACTGTACAATCGATATTACTTGATAACAGTTCTTTTAATACCAAGGAAACAGAAGGAAAAAAATTAGCTCCAAACTGAAAAGAAATGGTGGTACCACCTAATTTTGCTAATTTTCCTACAAAATGTTATTCTTTTTAAACTAGCAAATTACCCTGTTTCTTTCCTTTCTTTATTAGTCCACCTCGCCACCTGGTACCCTAATTTACATGTCAATAACAGACTCTGTGTGTGATCATGTTTGCATGTCAGATTTTACAAGAAACAAAAATGCAAGAGTCTTAAGTCAAAGATCAAGTCCCAGGAGTAGGAATACCAGGACCCGATTCTTAGGTCATGGTTCCTATCAGTAAAATTCTAACTGGTATGCCAACTTTTCAAGAGCCAAGGATTGGCTTGTTTAGGGTGAGAGAGAGCACAAATGACGCTAAACCTTCTTGAATGCCTTTTCTCTCTTACTTCTCAGCCGTTAAGGGGGAGATGTACAAACTAATTTAAAGGAAGCTGCTGTAACTGCTCCTCAAGTATATGATTGTCACAAAATCAATTACTCGCTAGATAGACACAGCTCACAAGTGCTGGGCAGTTAATAACTGCTCCTATGTAAGAAATATCACAATAATTACGGACTAATCCAGAAAATACCGTTAAGTGTAGGCACGTAACAGGAAAGCTGGTAGTAAACGTTTTGCAGTGTTCTTATGCATCAGCCCCTATGTAGAATCTCACAAGGGGCAGTTGCACAACAAGATGACATATATATAAGAACCATCATGTAGCCACGACAAACTCAAAATTACAATTTTAACTTGTAAGTCATCAAGTGCTGTCATAAGTGGGGAAACCGAAGTTCAATAAACACTTTTGCCATCTTACTCAATCTAGTAAAACTTGATTAAACAAGCAAAACTCTAACAATTACCAAGTTCTGTGAAACTAGGCTCTATCTTTGCCTGAGCCAATAAGGTTTGGACAGCTTCCTGTTGGTTCATGTACAACTGAAGACATCGTTCTATTAGATTTTGAACCTGAAATCAGAATCAAGTAGAAAAATTAGCAACCAACCATAGCTTCGAGCCTTCTCACAAGATCAGCAGAGAAATCAATGTAACACCTTCACAACCAATATCAAGTAAACTCAAATGTCTTGCTTTAGCAAATCCCTTCTTGAATGACGCCACAGATCACATTCATAAACATTTCTATCAAACTCTAATTAATATATGACGCGAGAAACCGAATATCAAGGAAGAACTAAGAACAAAGAATTTAGGAAAAGACCCTGGTAAATATTAAGATAATTCAACTGATTCTTGCATCCAAAACATAGCAGCTTGCTTACCACTTGTATGTCTCTGGGTGAGACCCTTCTCACACTTTCGTTCGACATATCTTGCATAGAGGTAAATGGAAGTAAACAACAGCGATCAATATCCACCACTCTGATGCTCCACGAACTTCAGAATGCTACTACAAACCTAATCCGCGCCAACCTAAAAGACATCAGATGGGGGGAAAAGGACCAGAAGTATTGAGTACTTGCTTGAACTAAACTGATTCAGCAGAAAGATACGAGAAACAAAGAGAATAGTAGCTTTCGGAATCATCAGAAAGAACACCACCATCACAGTCTACTCACAACCACACCTTATTGACTAAATCCAAAGCCTAAGCGGCACAGGAAGTGAACAAACTCAACACATGAATAGACAACTCATCTTTTACATTTCAGCTCCGGACACGACCACAATCATCTATCCCAATCAAGCTCAACTCTAGCAAAAGAAATCTATTTCCATTTAAATTCCTCGCCACACAGTTCTTTCCCCGTCTCGGCTCCCGAAAGGTCTAGTAAGTAGTAACAATCAGCCAAACCAAATCCATCTGAATCATATGAAACTCCCTAAACCACGTTCCAATCTCCCTAGCCAAAACCTACAGCAAACCACCGGAAAATCCTACTGTTTGTGAAGAGTAATGGCAAATGTTCAGCTTACCTTCGTAACCGCCAGAGAGCAGCTTCCAGGAATCTGGACGGACAAAAACGAACGCGAATCAAATACTTTTTTTTTTCCGGCGGGCTTAAGGGTCCGCACGCGAAGCATAAAAAGGAAACAGCGAAAAGAATCCAATTGAGCGGGAACACGAAACGGACGGGGGAAAACAAACTAAGACACAATACCGGATACTTCAACAGACTTCGCGACGGTTGCTGAGCTCCTCGAGAGAAACGAATACGGCGATTGTTGATGGTGAAGGGAGTGAGAACTGGAGGAGACAGAGCGGGGAGCGGCTTCGTTTTATATTTGGCCGGAGGGGAGGATTCTTGTTTTTGAATGGAAAGTTGAGTTGGCTTTTCACCTTCCGTTTTTTTCTTTCCTTTCGATTCCGATTTCCAGATGATCACGCCTGGTTTATTTTGAGGAAAGCTACTGAATGTGGCCACGTCGGTAGACGCGGTTGGGACCCGCAATGAAGATCAGGTGGCAGCGGTGGTGGTGATGGGCCCACTTTCCTTGTAACGTAGGGTTGGAGTTTTTGTTTGGTATTTTACTCACACATTTTTTTTATATATATATTTGGTATATAACCCTTCGAACCACACTCTCAATGATGAATCGTTCGTCGTTAATGATCAACGATGATGAGAGCTCACGATAAATTGCTTAAACTCTAATGTATATGAAAGCTTTTAGCCTCCTAAGTACATATTCATTTGCTTCTTTCTCACAATTTTCTCTATCTCGTTATTATTTATAATTTTTCACTAAAATATCTTACCATCACACTAAATTGAAGGTCAAATTGCATATCAAAGTTCGTCTCCGCCTTCTCCACAAACTATGCCTAACAAATGAAGAAATTAAATTTCAAATTTGAATCAGAATCCACAAGATGTTATTTGTCCAACCAGCCTGGCTGAAACAATGATTATCAATTTGATAATGGACTCTAATCCATCATGCACCATGCTCAACAATGTACACTCTAATTAGATTTTCTTAAGACAAGACGATAACAAAACTATAATGTCACAAATAACTCAACTTATTTTCATTAGCGAAAGTTTATACTACTGTGTACAAATTATTAACTACATAAAACACATATTATGGTATAATATCGAACCTATTATGCCACTAAATGATCAGCCCATAAGATAATATATACACATCATTCATTCCAGTGATTTCTTATCGTGAAAGTCACGGTTTACTTTACCCCCATAACATTTGACCCAACTTATTCTTCCACATGTGAGTAAGTACTTCAAATTTCATTAGTAGATGCAAGGAATCTGCATTATTATGCAGATAATTCGATACAACGTTGGAAACTGAAATTATTACTAACGGAAACTGAAATGCTGCAGAAACTTAAAATTTATTTGAGAGGTTCATATATATATAGCCCTCGGATACATTCATTTCACGGCATATGATTCTTAACATTCTTCGCTGAGAGAGTTCTGATCTTGTTGATTATGATTGCTTGACCAAGTAGGGCTATTAGCAACAACCGTCGGTACAACAAACGTACCCACATTGGAGAAGTCCATACTGATTCCTGAAGAACGTGCAGCAGCGACAACCTTACAAACAACCAAAACAAAATGTCAGCAGCAAAGCCATACTGGCCTAGCTAGCACTACAGCATGCAACTAAGGAAAGAGATTCAAACCCTTACCAGCCATGGGTTGAGCCACATTCGGGTCCTTGAAAGCGTCGGGCTTTTCAACAGTACCAGCAGCAGTGGCGTGAGCAGATATGGCAATGGCGGCTAGCACCAGCAGCCATGTGAGAGCAATGAGCACTGCTTGCTTCTTCATCGCCATTTTCTCTACTATCCTGCAGGGAAAGATTACTTGGCTAGCTAGCTTTTGGGAAGTAATGAAATGGATATTGAGATGGAAAGAAAAAGCTTGAGGGTGATGAGAAAACTTGGCTCGGCTGCCCTTGGTATTTATAGTGCCAAATTTTGCATGGTAAGAGTGCAACTTGGGCTAATATACATATACTAATGTGAGCAAAAGATGCTGGGAACGTGTTTGTCAGCAGAAAACATGGTGGCTGCAGGATGCATGGGAGAGTAGCGGTTGTTGACTCAAAGTCTTCTCCTTTTGTTGTTTTGTGTAGTAAACATAGCTTTTATCATGTACTGATATATAATGGCACTCCTCTCTAATCATGTAATTGCTCAGCCGAGTCGAGTTTTGTCATGCTTCTGGTTCGATTCATTAAAATAATTTTCAAATTCGAGCTCGGCTTGAGTTCGAAACGAGTTTTGATAGGCAATCTCGAGCTCGACTCGTTTTACAAAAGCAGAAGCATGTGAGCGAATCGAGTTTAGTTGATAAAACGTCGATTGTAGCTCAAAACTACTCACAAGACACCAACATCAAACACTTAAAGAGTTAAAGGGCCTTCTAGGTTTGTTTGCGAGCTCATCGAGCTGAACATGCTCTCGGCTCGTCATAGACGCAATTTGCGAGCCAGTTCAGTTAAAAATGAGTCAAATGTCGACCGAATTTTTCTCGAATCGGAATTCGAATCTTTGGTAATCGGTTTGATACTTTGGTTCATTGACGGCGCTAATTGCATGAAAGTGCGAATAGATTAGCAAATGTGCTATGCTGTGCGTGCAGCCCTTAAGAAGTCCCAAAGGTCATATTCCAGTAGCTGTGTCAGTCCTTTAATATGACTCAATTGTTGACCTGTGTCTTTATCCTTTGTTTTGGATCTGGGCTCTGTAAAAAATTCCAAGTGTGAGCAACTTGATATCTTTGCGCCGAAGAAGTTTGGGCTCGTTAGTGGGCTCTGAATGGACCATATATCTTTTTTCCTTTTCGCTATTAAGGGGTGACTAGTGGTATTAATCAGTTCGGTTTCGATTAACCACTGACCGATATAATTTTTTTTGGTGCTAAATAAAAATTCAAATCGATAAATGAATTGATAAGGCTTTATAGGTTAGGTTAGCGGTCACGTTGGCGGTTAACCTCTTACAATTAACAACCTCCACATGTTGATATTTCCTTTTGTTATTTTGAAATTTTGTATGATGTCCTTTTTAATACTAAAATATGATCATAAAAATAATTCAAAACAATTTAAGTTAATAAATTAAATAATAATTATAAGAAATAACATCAATGCAATAAAACAAATATCGTGAATAAATGATCCAAATCAAAATTCAAACACATAAAATATCCAAAAATATTCATCCAACTAATAAGACATAAAAGACAAGCACCAAAAAATCATCTTCATCTATAAACATCAAATAAACAAAGACTAATAGGATGCAAATGGGAGTTTATTCTTTTTTTTTTTTTTTTTTTTTTTGAGGAACCTGATGATTTTTTGCCTTCATGGTACAACTTGAAATTGTACATTTTACGTTATGGTACAACTTCAGATTGTACCTATACATTTTGTATAATTTTTTTTATGGTACAACCTGAACTTATACCTTTATGTGATGGTACAACTTCAAGTTGTAAAGTTGTACCATAACATAATGATACAAATTCATTTATGGTACAACCTACACTTATACATTTAATGTTATGGTACAACTTCAAGTTGTACATTAAAACGCCAATGCTATATAGCATAATAGGAGTGCGCTACTGTCTCCTCCTCTAAATAGGCCACAAATCTCTCCATACTTCTTCTGCAGATAGTTCATCTCCATTAACACCAAACCCGCTCTCAATCGGATCAATTGGTATGGGCTATTGGCAGTCTAGTTGGGGCCCAAGGGGGCTTATTAAGAAAGCCCATGTAAGCCCACTGATAGTCACTTGAGAATTCACGTGGGATATTTTATTTTATTTAATATATAATAATATGGTGACAGTTTTCACGTAGTACAATAATAAACAGGAAAGCCGCCTTTAAAAGTGACATCAGCGCTAGAGGAAATGATGGCGTCATGACATCCAAGTGGCCTGTTACAAAGAGCCACGTACGCAAATTATCCAATGTGGCGAGGGCTCTGCCGTTCTGGCCATGCAACCTTAATATACTCCCACTCGCATTCACGGAGCGTGTCTGTAACTCTCAGCTCCTTTCAGTCTGTAACTATCAGCTCCTTTCATTAGCCCTATCCCTATGCTATTTAGTTGAAAGATCAAGTCTAACTAGTTGAATAAAAACAAAAATAAGATATATATGAATGGATCAGGTAAGAAATTGACATAGAACGGGTCAAGAATGAGGCAGGACAGTGCAGGATAGGACGGATCGGAAGTTGATACACATGATCCGCCCCGCGCTACTGCGGGTCGAATAATACCCGCCCATCACGTGTTAGATCGGATAATACCCGGACGGAGCGGGTTCAAATTGTCATCCCTATCCATCACCCTATCACATAAATATGTGAGAGAAACAACACCCAAGGTCCCTAGCTATTAGTTCATGTATATAGAGAAAATATCTTTGCATCTTCCTCCCTCAAGTTGCACCAATTGATTGGAGTGGACACACACATCCCCTAGTGGGGCGTGGCTATTTTCATGTATCGATCACCTTTTCATCTCTAAACAGTTTTTTCCAATCTTGTCACCGTGCGATTCCGCCATCAAAGCTTTCAACTTTTCTCCCTCTCATCCATCTCCTTATTAGTTCTCTCATCCACTTCTTGCCCTTTCCAGCTCCTTCCCTTCTCCCTCTGCTGGATCGATGATCCCCGTGGAGAATCTGGCGATGGACATGAAGCTGGCAGCAGCAAAGAAGAAGAAACAGAGCAACAACAGAGGAAGCAGAAACAGAGGAGGAGGAGGAGGAGGAGGAAATTATAAGGGTATTAGCGAGCCCATGAGAGTGGTGTACATCTCCAACCCAATGAAGTTCGAGATCCGTGCCTCCGAGTTCCGCCGACTCGTTCAGCAACTCACCGGCCGGGACGCCGAGTTCCCACCTTCCCTTGGTCGCCATCACCACGGCAACAGTTCTTCGTCAGAAAGCAGTAGTTCTAATTGCAGCAGCCTCATAACCACTGCTACTGAAGCAGCAGCTACTGTTGTTGATTCTTCTGTCAGTGGTGGAGATGACGTGGCTCCCTCGCCGGGAGAAGTTCACGACGCGCCGCCGCAGGTGGAGGATCAGGCGGTAGATGATGAGCAGCTCGACGAGTGGGGCTGCGGGGAGTTTGTGCCGGAGATGTTGGAGAACACGGCCGTGTTTCATTCTTGGCATTTCGATTTGGATTTTGTTGAACTGATCAATTCATAAACAATGTTTTAGAAACGGGCTGGGAATACTGGGTAACCGACGCTATTAATCTCTCACCTAGGCGCGATTAATAGCTGGGCAGGAGGAAATCGCCCCGTCTAGTTTTGGGCGATTGATCTAGGCACCTAGGCACTCGGAGGTGCGTTTTCACCCTGGTGGGCGACGCCCAGAACAGCTAATAAAGGGGAAAGTGTAGCCTTTTTGTGAAAATCCCAAACCCTATATTCTATTTCCCATTTCCATTCGACCAGCCGCTCCCTCTCATCGACCAGCAGTGAGATCTCTCCTCATGGTTTTCTACTTAGGATGTTTGGGATTGTGAAAAAGGGTTGTATGTGTATATGAATGGATGAATAATGATATGGGGACTTGGGTTTCTGTGGAATATGGCTTATCTAACATATTTTTTTTCAACGTTTAATCTCGCCTAGGCAACGACTAATCGGCCTGGGCGCTGGGCGGTACCTCCTCGCCTAGATAGCGCCTGGCGTCTTCTTGAACATTGCTCATACCATAACTTGGAAGGTTTAACTTTTTTTTTTTTTTTTCAACACCGGAACTTAACCTCAACTCCTCGAGGATGGTCGTTTCATAATTTTTCTCTCATTAGTTAATGTTACAAACTTACAAATCATATATACAGAAACAGTCCCTAGTCCCTACACCGCGAAACTAAACAGTAGCATTTCAGAACAAAGGTGTGGCTTCAGAATCAGAGCAGCAAAAACCGTCCATCATCACCTACCTAATCCTAAAACCCAGAAAACAACTACCGACGTTTCACTCCGCTCATCAAAAACCGATCAAAGATTTTGAAACCGACATCTCAATTGCTAATCTAATTGGCTAGACAAGATCTCGATCAAATGTCGAGTTGATCAATGTCGAACATGGCTGCAGCACTCCTGATCATCTCCTTCCGAGTATCTACCTGAAAACCCGAAAGTCATAGATTGTTATTAAGGACGTGTAGAGATTCAGAACCGAGCGTACATGAAGACACCAAAAATGGTATGTCGAAGCTCGTGCCTGTGTTGTATAGGAGACTTACCCGAGCTCCCATGAGAGAAGAAAACACCACATTGGCCTCAGCTGCGTCTTCGATCACTAATTGCTTGAGCATCCTTTGCTCTGGGTCCATCGTTGTTTCCCACAGCTGTGCAGGCATCATTTCTCCCAATCCTGTGAATGGAACCGAGTTTCTTGTCAATTCACTAAGCAACTTTATAGCACTAAAAATTCCCTCCATGTTAAATTCACACAAACCATGTTTAGACACCTCAATGGCCAAAAGAGAACTGTTGACACTATGATCATATTCAAAGGAATAACATAATCCAAAGCGTGGCTGAGAAATCTAGTTTCCCAAGGATTGGTGTAAATTTTTCAAGTAAATCATCGACTTGCCCCTTCATGTTCTCACCTTTGAACCTCTGGATGTTGTAAGATGCATTTTGGGGGAACGAGTTTTGGACCCTTTTCAGATCCGCTTCATCATAGCAATAGTGAGCTTGCTTTCCTCTCTCGACCTGGTTAATTCAGAAGGAAACCATTGTCGAAGGCCGCAAGAGCAGTGAAGCATGCAAAGAAAAATCAGTTCACTTTGTGAATTTCCAAAGAGAGTGTACCTTGTAAAGCGGAGGCACACCAACATAAATGCAACCTTCATCAAATAATGCCCTCTGTACAAGAAGTTAAAAAAAATCCCATTAACTGTGCTCGACGGTATGATCTTAATTCTAAGTAATTAAAATTTGATTTAAGATCTTTCTGCTTCGAATACAAGTACTTCTCTAGTCTTCTATTCTGTATATTATATCAAAATATACCTGATATCTGAAGAAGAAAGTCAATAGAAGTGTTCTAATGTGAGCACCATCCACATCCGCATCGGTTAAGATGATGATCTTATGATAACGAAGAGCATCCTTTTTGAACTCCTCTCCCTGTGTCCATGTTTTTGCAAGAACTTCAAAATGAGTACAAGGACAGAAAATTGAAATAAATCAACGCTAAGCACAAAAAGTGATTATTTAAACCTCACCTTAACTCCGAGTCCAAGAGCACGGATAAGATTTTGAATCTCCTCATTCTTGTATACTGCTGCTTCATCTCTTCTTTCTATGTTTAAAATCTTCCCTCGAAGAGGTAGAATAGCCTGTAAAACATGATTTAAAGATAATTTAGCACCCTAATGAGTAATGCACACGTCATTTTTCAGAACATGAAGGGACATGAATCAGAAATGCCCAATTCCCAATTAAACAAAGCAGACCACAACATTGCTTCACCACCATTCACACGCTCATCGATTAAATTAAGAATGGATCCAATTACCTGAAAGCGCCTATCCCGGCCCTGCTTAGCACTTCCACCAGCTGAATCACCTTCAACTATGAAAATTTCTGCAGGCATTGAAAGGATAGAGTCCTTAAAATGTGACACTGAACCTCGTGGCGAATCAAGCAGAAGTCTATTTCAAGACTACTTCATTTAGCTATCTTGAAATTCAGCAACTCTGTCAAAATAAATAAAATGGAATAGAATAGTCACCAGATTCTTCAGGATTGGTAGATGAGCAATCAGCAAGCTTCCCTGGAAGAGAAGATGATCTCAAGACACTCTTTTGCCTGACCAATTCCCTAGCTCTCTTTGCTGCTAGGGCTGCCTAAACAGAGAGAAACATAGACATAGAACTGTTAATTGTTGCAGGGTAGCCATCAAACTGGAGTTCAGCGGTCAATAAGGTGAGGGGAAAAACACGAAAGGAATGCATTATATCAATAAGAAGAGTACCTTGAGAGCATTTAGAGATTTTGAAAGGATTAAATCAAGGACATCCGGATGCAACTCAAAATACTCAGTAATATACTCTTGAACAGATTGATCCACGACTTTCCGAACCTCAGGATTGCCCAATCTTGTCTACAGTTGACACAGCATAAACATAGCAAGTCTATTACATTTCGAACCTATAGAGAAATGTATGGTTCTGGGAGATTGGCATCAAAGGAGGCAGTACCTTTGTCTGTCCTTCAAACTCAGGGCTTGGTACTTTGACTGAGATAATGCAAGTCAATCCCTCTCTGACATGTTCGCCACTTAAATTAATATCCTTTTCCTGCCAGGAAAGAGCAAGACGTTGTAAAACAGGAAACACTGCAGCTCCCAGTAGATGATGTACTATTTCACTACAATGTCAACTCAACAAATTCAGCTAAGTTGAAGCCATGGCTTTGTAGGCTGAACAATTCATTTGGTGAAGAAAACCCTATGATGGAAAAAATTAAAAACTCAAAACGGAGCAAAATTTCCTGATAGCATCAGACCATGCTTTAGTTTTCATGGCGTAAAAAATATAAATGCTCCGATTTGATTATAGTCCCATCTAGCCAATCCAGGAAAGAAGGAATGAATTCCCGCCCAATTTCTCTAAACATACTTCAGACATGGTTAAGGTTGAAGAGACAGCTGAACAGCAGGCTAAAGGCACACCTTGATTATCTTTGACTTCTTCCCAAGGCTGTTAACAGTTCTTGTTAGCGCAGCCTTGAAACCATCTATGTGTGTTCCGCCATCAACAGTACGTATGCTATTAGCATACCCTAGTATTGTATCAGAGTATGCATCTGAACACCTACAAGAGAACAAACCAAGCTCAGTGTTCATGATGAAATAGACACATGTTCAGTTGAACAAGCATGCACAGTGCTGAAGCAAAAATGGAAGAAATCAGACGATACCATTGAAAAGCCATGTCAACCGTGATTCCATCCATAACTTTGCTGATTCCCACAACATCATGGATTGGTGTCTATATAAATAAACATCAAGTATGAAAAATTTATTGGATATTGATTACAGATTTTGTTAAGTCAAAGCATTTATCCAATCAGGAAAATCCTAAACATCACTATTGTAGTTATGTTCAATATGGTGAATGAACACAGTCGCCTGAGTTCACAACAGGAAGTCAGGAACATTAGAAAAATCAGTACCTTATCAGCGTTTAGCCATTTCACGTATTCAACCAGTCCCCCTGCATAATAATATTCATCAGCCTGATTTTTTGCTGGATCAGCATCTTCTCTTTTAATAGTGATATGCAGCTGCAAATGAGATACAACAAATTACACAGCGATCAATATCACAAGACAAGTAGGTTCAAACAATCAAACTAGTTTGACATAGTAACAAACATATAACCTACAATATTTCGCATGATACAGAAACAGAAAACAGTGTTCATAAACAGGCACGAAAGGTAGTAGACTTGATTGATGGCATTACTTTTGGGTTTAGGAAAGCAAGCTCCCTAACTCGTCCACTTATAGTGCTGTAATCAAACTCTATTTCAGTAGTAAATACTGCAAACAAAAGGGGGCAAAGGTGCTGGCATTAGAGACATAATCTTGAAGATGAAATTGAAAGAGATCTCTTGGGATCTTATGGCTCAATGATATACTGGAAAACCAAACACAAAAATCAAAGAGAACCTTGTTTGTCTGGCCAAAATCGGATCTTAGTCCCTTGGCGAGCATTTGATTCAACTGGAAGCGAAAGACCAATAAGGCTAGTCAAAGGGTTTCCGCGAGAATATTTCTGTTGGTACTCCATCCCATTACGCCAAACTGTAACTTCCAAGTTCTACAAAGAAGGCATGAACAAGTATCATTTGTTAACATTTATTCCATAAAACAGAAAAATCCAGGGAAAAGGCAGTATAGAGAATTGTCTAAAATAGAAACAGACAACCAATAAAAATGCAAGATACTTTCTGTTGCAAGATTCGACTCTATGATCTACCAAAGCAATTTAGTACAGTTTCTAACGAATAACATTTTGTTCAGTCCGCTTTCGTAAAGGCAACAGTTAATAGAACAGAAGCTCATACCTGCAATTGCAATCACATGCACAATGGTAAAGAAAAATGAAAACAGAGATGGAATACTTACCTCAGACAAGGCATTGACGACAGATAAACCAACACCGTGCAATCCACCAGAAACGCTATAACCACTATTTGAACCACCAAACTTCCCTCCAGCATGTAAAACCTGATATATAAAAGTAGAAAGCATCTGATACTGGAATCTAACAGGTGGATACAGAGAAGAGACAAGCATGCAATAAATATATAGTCTGCACAATCCAACAGAAATCAGAATTCTTACTGTCAACACAGTCTCTAAGGAAGATTTCTTGGTCGCTGGATGGAGATCTGTAGGAATCTGCAAGAAAATAAAAACCAAGCATGTCAATACATTACGAGAGACAAACCAAAACCTGGCAAAAACTCAACGGAAGCATTTATATTTCATCATAAGGTAGACCTATGATTACGGAAACAATATCGATACAATGACAACCAACAGCATAATCATTGACGAAAAGACGCCCAGAACATGAAAATAGTAGGCTGAATGCTTGCATATAGTAATGAGTTGAATAGGGCTACTGTGTGGAAAAGACAATCATGCTGATTTTTCTAGCTTTACACCTAGACCAAACATCAATCCGACTTCCTCATTGGGAAACCCAAATGATAGTCTCCAGAGAATATGAGACTTGTTCCCCAAAAAGTCCATCAAGCGACCCACGTAAACACCACCATATATCGGTATTAGAAAAGGGAATCAGCAATTTATAATGCATAGATCTAAAAGAATATGCCTTGGACTACACAAGGTGGAAAACAAATCCTATGCTTTGGAATATATTCATCTTCCTAAAAGACCATAAAGGAATCGATAATCCGTGGTCAAGACTAAAGGGAACAGAACATACTCCTCGCCCGTTGTCTGAAATACTGACAGAATTATCCGAATGCAAGACGACTTCTACCCTCGAAGCATATCCTGCCTGGGCCTCATCAATAGCATTATCCAAAATTTCATACACCTGAAAGCAAGGAGCGCAAGCAATCAAAAAAACAATCTCTCGGTAAATAGTAACCCTACAGTAAACTCAACACAGAACCTAAATGGCATTGGGAGCTACCAAATGATGCAAACCACGAGGTCCGGTGCTCCCAATGTACATCCCTGGCCTTTTCCTTACAGGATCCAAACCTTTCAGCACCTTAATACAATAGCAGAACCAAGAAAAAAAGAAATGTCAGCATGAAGCCACAAAGAAGCCAAAAGTTTAAACACATCATTCTAATTTCTAAACATTGCGCCCATTCTTGCAATTTCAAGTACCAAGTGTAGTACGCATTTCATAGAAAGGCAACCAATACACTTCCAAGTTACCTGAATTTGGTCCGAGCCATAAGAGCTTGAGGTCGTTTGTTCTTTGGCGGCCTCAGTTGTGACGGTGGAAGACATGAATGCTCTAGGCGAAACAGCATTTTGTACAAGAAAACGACCGGAAGACCTCCTCAATGGAAAATTCACCCTGAAACGAACAGCAAGCAGAAAAATGGTGAAAACCTACTCGAACCACCACCACTCGTCACTTCAGAAACCCAGTAGAGTGAAAAATATACCGAACGCACACCCGAAACGGAAACAAAATCTCCCCAGAAACATCCAACTAATTAAAAGCTCCGAATTCCATTTCTCCAGAAACTCAACACATCCTTGCTTTTCCACCAAGCAAAATCAAAGGAAAGCTGTTGAAGAGTAATGAAACTAGGGGTTTTGCAGGATAAAACAGACCTGGTTTTGAATAGAAGAGCCGGGTGGTGAAGCGGAGGCAGTGAAGAGAAGGAACGAAGGTTGAGAGAAGAAGAGTAGGCAGAAGCAGCCGTAGCTGCAGCAGAGGAGGGCATCACTGTTTTGGGGAGAAGGAGAAGAGAACGATAACGAGGCGCCATTTCTCCTTTGTGCCCTCTTTCAACTCGTAAACTAGAGGGCGCTTGGATAGTTGGATTAGCCGCAACATCTTTTGCAGACCCAGACAATTACGAAAAATATGATTTTGTAATTTTTTTCCTCTCGTTTCTTTCCCTCCAAACTAACCCATCGAAAATTAGGGCTTCAAAATTTCTGGCCGGGCTGGGCCGGGCTGTCTGGCCCATTAATAGAGACATGTGATGATGTGATCATTTATTTTGGTTTTTTTATGGGAAAGGTGAACATGTCACTACATTCATACGACGAAAAATGAAATTACTCATAATGCTCCACCTCATGTTATCAAAGCCATAACCGTCCAAATTAAGAATTATTTGATAACACATTAGTCGTCTGGATTGGGAGCGACTCACTGTAAACGAGTTAAATACGAACACTACCATTTGAGCATTTCTACTTCCTTCACAGTCAACAATCTGCAAAAACAGCTACGGCCACAAATGACGACAGAGAAACTCAGAACTCGGCCCGCTTAACACAAATGCCTTTCTAGCTAAACCAGCAGCAGATAAGCAGTCATATCACAATACGTAAACTAGCAGGAAACAAGAGAGCTTCCATTGTTCTCCTCTAACATTCGAAAGTTTCGACATTTCAACTTAACAGTGTACGAACCCAGAACAGCAATCGAGACACTTCATCAGTCGAGCAAATCGGAAACCGCAGTCCTCCTAAACGCATCAACACGAGACAGCTGAGCAGCCAGCGCCTTGTTCGGGAAGATGTTATCAGCCTTCATCCTCTCCCTGATCCCATAAGCCGGCACTTTAGCATTCACGTAAGCCTGCAGAAGAGATTGGAACTGCCTCATACGAGCCATGTAACCCGACTGCCTCATCCTGACGAACATCTTCTCGGCGTTGTGCACGTCGCCCCTCTTCGAGTACTGATCCATGATCGTTATGTAAGAGTTAAACATCGGCTTCATCTTGTTCTGCTGCACCGCCTTCTGCAGCATGGAGTCCGCCTTTTCGACTTCCCCTGCCTCAACGTAGAGCTTCACCATTGCGTCCCAAGTCAAGGGCCCAACTCTGCAGCCATTCTCCCCCATTCTCCTCACCAGATCCTTCCCCTTGGAGAGCATTTTATTGTTGGCATAGACCTTCAGGAGAGTGGAGTAGTGCTTGGAAGATAGCTTCTTATATTTCTGTTCCATCTTGTCGAAAACTGCCTCGGCCTGCTCGATTTGCTTCAGCTTCCCATAAGCCTCGATCGCGGAGACACACTCCTCGAGTCTCGGGCTGGCCTTGCATATTTCCCAGACCCTAGCCACCTCATCAGACTTCCCCAAGGAAGCGTAGAGAGGGAGCAAGACACGGCAAACCCATCGGTTTTCCTTCAAGTCGCCAGCTTCCATCTCTTTCAGAATTGACTCGGCCTTTTCGCGGAGCCCGCCAGATACATAGTGTCCAACCATGATGGCTCGAGTCGTGAGGTCCGGCACTAGTCCCTCAGCCTTCATAGTTTCAGCAATCACTTCCATACCCGTTAGGTCATTCGCCTGGCCCTTGGTGTCGATCAGGAGCTTGTAGGTGAAGGGTGTAGGCTTGACATTTTGCTTCTCCATTAAGAGCAAGACATCTGCAATCTTCTTCCTATCGAGCCTCTTGTAAAGGAGGAGGAGCTGATTGCAGGTGAATGCAGTGAGTTCAAAGTTCAGGTCCCTCATTTTGTTGAACACTTCCTCAGCTTTTTTTAAGTTGCTGGCTGTGACACAGTTTGCTAGAAAGGTTCGGTAGATTACTTCCCCTCTGAAAGATTTCGGTATCTTGTCAATGTACTTCTCTGCACTCTGCAGGCCGCGTACCTTGGCGATCAAGTCCACACGAGAAGCATAGTCCCTTTCAACGAAATCGAATTCATCCTTTTTCTCAAGCCACTCAGAGAGCTGCAAATAGAAGATGATGAGGGTAAATATTGCGACACGATAACGTGTAAAGCACACCACTAACACATAATGCTAACACAGAACTGGCTACAGATTGAACATAAAGCCTCATAACGACCACTTACTAAAAGAAAGTAGCTACTTTAGCTTTAATGTTACAAAGAGCCAATGGTAATGGAGATAATTTAATTCATCAATCAAGATGCCAAGAACAATGTGAAAGACTGTTGCATCGCATCTATTTCCCTTCGTCATGGTCATTAGCATATATACAAAATCATTTGGATGGAGCAATTATACCATGAGTGTTGTTCAGAAACCTCTTCAAAACATCTATTAATCTAAACTCAAAGCCTAAAATCTTCAAACGTGTAAACTTCTACTATTTCTATGAATAAGACTCAGTTTATTGATCTGATTGTTTCCCTAGAGAAAATAGGGAAATAATGGATTATGGCAAGTCAGGATGGGGAGATAGTCAAGTTAGATGCCAATTGTAGGATCACTTGCTGGGCAACCACCCACATCAGCACGGATATGGGTTATGGTCACAGGCTCCTTCCTTTTGTGGCCATAACCACCAGGTCGCCAGCTCAACTGACCACATATAGCTCCCATCAACCAATAAAGCACAAACTAAACTAGCACAGGGATTATTTATACCTGACACTCTGAATCTAGAAGCAAGGTCGAGCAAATTTGATCAAGCAAACATGCCAACAAATACCTGTAAGGCTCTCCCAAACATCCGACGTTTGCGACAACTAAGGATGGCTGCAGTGACCTCTTGCTTCCCAAGCTCCTTCCCTTCTTCCACCCACTTACGGAGAACATCTTCAATGGATGAATTCGGATCCTTAACAATGGCATTGAACAGTTCCGACGTGAGTTTCTTCCTTGTCAAAAGCTTCTCAGTAGGATCCGCCTCGGTATCCGACAATCCCAATGTATCATGAGAACTCTCTTCCATAAAATCATCGTCAGAAAGGTCGGGGTCGGAAACTAATTCATCTTCATTTCCTTCAAATGTATTCTTCTTGTCCTGAACTGCATCAGTGCTGACCTCTGGACCTTCCAGCTCGGAGAATGCATCATCGATATCATCTTCAGATGAACTACTAGTCTCAGTGCCAACCTGGGAAGACAAGCCACGCATCCCGGTAGAGAGCTTTGAAGACATAGTAGCACTGCGGTGGAACAGAGAAGTAGTGTATGCTGCTGAAGGAGTCTCGAAAGTATTAGTGTTCACTTCCAATTGACCACAGATTGTTTCCAGTTTAACACATCCAGCTCGACTTGTTGCTAACCTCAGTCCTTGCAACCTGCAAACAAGAAATAGTAAATCAGGTCCTCAGAATACAAACAATTGAAGCGAACAGCATTTCCCAGTAAAACTAATCAACCTCACACTGAACACCAAGTTATCCACATAACCAATGCATCAGTCCTTGCTCTCAGCATGTTAGAGATCACAAAACACAAATCAGCAGATAGATCAAAATCATAGCAACGTGGAAGCTTCCCCATCCAGTAAACAACCCCTATGAACACTGGTACAACTTTTCATGTTGTGATTCTGATTATGTATTATATTCTATAAACCCAGTTGAACTTTGGGTTTGGAAAGGCGCAGATAATGAAACAAAGCCCTTTGATTCATCAAAGCAAGAACGTCAACATATAAACCAATATCCCTCGAAAGAGTTAATCAACTCTTCCTTCAATTTCTCCGCAGTGCCAGTTATCGCCACCAGTCGGGTAAAGCTTGACCGAAAGATCAAATCAAAACAACGTACATATTTTTACTAGCTTGTGTAGCTCGTCAACATCAACCCAAGTGAAGAATCAATCACATGAAAGCAACTAAGCAAGTACCACACCAGGAAATGAAATGCGAATTCACGAAAACAAGGAGGGTCGGGGAGGGTTTTACTTGAGAGAACTCGAAGTCCGGCGAAGAGCCCACATGGCGACGGTGGTTGGGCGGCCGATGGACAATAGCTCTCACGCGAGATGATGATAATTTCCAGCAGTGAGGAAGGATGACGAAATGCAAGGGAAGGGGAAAATGGTTGAAAACGCGAGCTACTCAATGTCAGCTTAAACCCTAGAGAAACCCCTCACTCGCTCCAGCCTCCTGCACTTGGCTCCACGTCGGTGAAAGGGTTTTAAGTTTTTGTTCCTGAAATGGCCTCGAGAATTCGTATGGAAATTACCACCTCCGCCCTCCAGACCACAGGCCCAGATAGGATTCATTTATTTCTTTTCTATTTGGAGCAAGGACTGTCAAACCGGTTTATGCCAATGTGCCGGTTTAACAAGTGGAATGGTTCGACCGATAGTATATATCGATTTGTGCCGGTTCATGCCGGTTAATATTACAAATAATTTAAAAATACTCATATTTAAACACGACATTTGACGTCAATATCTAAATATTTGTACTTGAATCCAACAAATAACATCAACATTTAACTTTTTAACACATAAAATAAATAATAAGTTACCTTTTATCAATTAAATTCACTAAGATACTTGGAGATTCATATATCTATTAAATTCACTAAGATACTTGGAGATTCATATATCAATCATGCCAGTTATAAATTACCTTTTATCAAGGGGTCGTTTGCTTCAAGGATTTGGTACAAAAAAAAAAAACAACTATCAAGGATTTAGGTACAATCCGTTGTTTGCTTGCACCTTTTTTAGAGACCAAATCCGTGGAACCCACGGATTTTAAGGGTCCAAATCCGTGGACCCCACGGACTTATAAATCCCACATGTTGATGTGGGATTTGGAATATGGCATAAATCATTGATGACATTTTACCCATATACCCTCATGCACTTTTAATATTTCAAGGTTGCCCTCAAATTTAACTATTATACATTATAATTAACAATAAATGAATAATATAAACGTTCAATTAATGAGCAAACATGAGTTAGAAGTTAAAACGGAATTTTCTCGTTTATTATTATTGTCCATGTGGCAACATTATTATTGTCCATGTGGCAACATTACGTTAAAAGTTAAAACGGAATTTTCTCGTTTATTATTATTGTCCATGTGGCAACATTATGCTTATTAGTATGTATTGTCCTTGTTTTGTGTACATATCATAAACATGTCAAACATATAGAAAATGATAGTAAGGTAATTTTGAAGTTTTGTCCTTGTTTTGTGTACATATCATAAACATGTCAAACATATAGAAAATGGCAATAATGTAATTTTTGATTTCAAGTAGTAAATCCCACACCTTTAAATCCATGATAAAAACATCCCAACAAACAAAGGATTGTTACAAATCCATGATGCCTCAAATCCTTGATAAATCCTTGGGTTTTTAAATTACAAAACCCTCGTTTATAAATCCATGAAGCAAACGACCCCCAATTAAATTCACTAAGATACTGGAAGATTCATATATCAATCATGCCAATTATATCGATGGTGTCATACCAGTTTTATGACCGATAGAGGTTGAACCAGGTTCAACCACGCATGTCGAGCAAAGAGGAAATGGATCTTCCGAGCAAGAAAACCCAATGCAAATGCTTCCTGTTTTTGTAGCTATTATGACGATGAACTTGAAGCAAAAGGATGGTGAACATGTTCCATAATAGGGTGAGAACAGAAACAGAAGTACAGAGTTTGCATTGCCACTACAACCTTTCAGTCTTCAGACTAGTGACAAAGACAACAATAAACCAACGTCTTGCAGAATCCTGATATAAGAAACGGCAAAGGGAATTCAACACAACAGAAAAAAAGCTGAAAAGACTATGATGTTCCTCTGGACGATCAACTGCTATAGAAGGGGAAAACACAGTTCTAAGCGTTGACAGCAGAAGTCAAGAAGGCTTGTCCGGGGGCACGTTTCGCTAATGGTCCATGGCATCCAAGAAGCTGCAGCAACAAGAGGTTTGCATCGTTATGAACAATTTCTGGACCTCATTCCAAATTACCAAATTAGTTGAGTTGATCATTTGTAAAGGACAAGAACACTAACCTTAGCATTGACACCATCAGGCAGAATCCTCTGCTCTTGCTTCAATCTCACGTAGTCCGCACGATTGAACTTGGTAAAGCCCCTGCTCACCACAAATTTAGCCAAAGATGAGAATTATGCAACTTGGATGCACACACAAAAAAAAAAAAAAAACAGTGCAAGATCAATGGGTTTATGCTTTCTGAAGACACCTACAAATCACTCATCTAGACCAAAAACGAACCTCAGAACTATTCTCGTTGGACAAACCAATCTGTTTCAATCCATCCACTTTTACCAATCAATCTATTTTACCAACCATTCATCCTAACAACCCCCTCATGCAATATTATCATGAACAATTGGATGGACAAAATTATCAGGCAAATACACACATCACCATACAGTGAGATTACTGCTACCACTGTCCATCAGATCATATATATATTCTAACTAGAAATACAACAGCAGGCAAAGAGATGCACAATCAAAATGTACTACAAAGCCAAAAAAATCATGAGATTACATACCATTTCCTGCTGACAATGATCTTCTGACGACCAGGGAACTTGAACTTGGCACGTCGAAGAGCCTCCTGGGCATGATTGCTGTTGTTGTCCTTGCAGCGGACCGACAGGAGAACCTGCCCAATCGCCACCCTGGCGCAGACACCCTGCGGCTTACCGAAGGCACCCCTCATACCAGTCTGGAGCCTATCAGCTCCAGCGCACGAAAGCATCTTGTTAATACGCAGGACATGGAAAGGGTGGACACGGACCCTCAAATGGAAGGCATCTTTGCCGGCAGTTTTGGTCATGTACTTATTGCAGGCAATACGGGCAGCCTCAAGAGCCTCACTGGAGACATTCTCCTTCTCCCACGACACCAAGTGGACGCAGAAGGGGAACTCATCGACTCCCTTCTTCTTCATCCCCACATCGTAGATCCTGATTTTGGGGTCCGGGACACCACGACAGAATCGGGATTTCGGGTAGGGCTTGTTCTTGATCTGACGGTAACACCTTGCTGGCCCTGGCAAGAACAACCAGAACGAGCAATCAATCCACCAAACGATTAACAATGGTACTATGTCATTCCATAAAACCTAAACTAGAATAAGAATGTGAATTTAAATCTAGTTTCTCCACGGGAAGCTGAAAGGAAAGGGCAAATGAACTCATAATCGGAGCAGCGGAACTAAGCGAAATCGACAAACTGGGTTCAATTCGGGCATCGGAATAACAGGAATCAAATGGAGGTACGGCAGATGACGGCGGTACTTACTTCTCCCCATGGCGACGAACGACGCGGCGAGCACGAGCTGGTGAAGACGGAAGGGTGAACTTTGCAATTTCAGGCCTGAGTTTAGTATTTATATGTCGGCAGATCGATTTGAGCTAGGGTTTTGGGAGAGGCTCATCGTTTCTCGACAATTTTTTTTTTTTTCTTTCTGGACATCTAATTTGGCGGGAATTACGTTTGTGGCCCAATATGTTTACTTATTCTCCAATTAGGTCCATTACTAAGTCATCTGGTTAGGGATGACAACAAAACCCGAACCCATGGGTACCCACCCGACCCAACCCGATCAACGCGAGTAAAATTCGTGTTGACGGGTTTTGGGCCGGGTTTGGGTTTTAACCCGTTCACTATTCATCGGGTTGGGTTGGGTTTGGATTTAGGTAAACCTGACCCATAGGTACCCGCTCACACCCATATAATTAATTTTCTCGGTATATTTAATATTCTAAACAACTAATCTTATTTATGTTTGTGGGGACATACATGTCTAATTTTTCTTTCTAATTGTGTAGAACGAAGTTGATGTTATCGAGTGGAGAGTGAAGAAACTTAATTGAAAGGAAGAAGTTTCAATTAATCATGTTATTTATGATTTGCTTCAATTTTTTTGAGTTTTCTAGATTGGTGTTGAACAATTTTTATAATTAATTTGTGATTTGCTTGAATTTCTAGAATGGTGTTTTATGTATGAATAATTTGTATTGAGAGATTGATATTTGGTTTTAATTTTGATAGGAAGTTGTTATTGTATTTTTTACGACAAAGAACCCGTGGGTACCCATGAACCCCCGGATACCCAACGGGTTGGGTTGGGTTTGAGTTTTTCAAACTCAGTGGGTTTTACCCCGGGTTTTTTTCACGAATAAACCCATGAGTTTGGGTTTGGCAAAACCCGACCCATTGCTTATTTTCTGTTTTGTTAGGTTTGAACACAAACGGTTGTTCACCATGACAATCTTTAGTGAGCAAGCATTGTCATCTTTTTGACACGAAGGATTGTTTTCGTGAAATGAAGAAATTGAATTAGACAATCTTTAGTGAGCAAGCATTGTCATCTTTTTGACACGAAGGATTGTTTTCGTAAAATGACGAAATTGAATGATAATTTCTCGTAAAGAAGACATCAAAATGTTCGTTTATTTTATAGAGATCATATATTAATTTTTTAGCTATTGTCGAAACAAAAATTGTACTTTGGTGATGTAAATGGCAAAGAGCACCAAGATTAACGATACTCAATTGGAAGCCATGAAAGGACCAACGACGAATTAAAAAGATGAACAAAACGGATGTGAATATTGAAAAACAAGGTGAATATGTTCCATAGTAGGGTGAGAACGGAACTAGAAGTACAAAGTTGCATGGTGATAAACAATAAACAAACGTTTTGTAGATCCTGATATAACAAAGGGCAAAACGAATTCAACCCAACACAAAATGCAGAGAACACCGGGAATATTAACTGCTATGGAAGAGGGAAAACACAGTTCTAAGCATTGACAGCAGACGTCAAGAACGCTTGTCCAGGCAACCTTTTCGCCAATGGTCCATGGCATCCAAGAAGCTGCAGCAACAATAAGAGGTCCGCATCGTTATAAACAGTTTCTGGACATAATTCCCCAATCACTAAATTAGTTCAGGTCTTAACTTGTTAAGGAGAGCCACACTTACCTTAGCATTGACACCATCAGGCAAAATCCTCTGCTCTTGCTTCAATCTCACATAGTCAGCACGATTGAACTTAGTGAACCCCCTGCTTGCCACAAAATTTACCCACAAATGAGAACGTATCATTCAGTAACTAGGCAATGGTCATTCAACCACCCATATAAACATTTACAGGTAGTTTCCATGAAGGGTTGTCAGAGATTGTACTAAAACATTGCTTGAATGGACAAAAGAAAGTGTGAAATGGATGGACTTGAGAACTTCCTGGAGAGTTCAAATCCTCATAAAGGGAGAGATGTGTGAAATCTCTTCCTGTAGACTTTAGAGAACCAACTTCTACAAATCACTCATCTGGACCAAAAAGGATCTCAGAACTATCTATTTGATTTTGAACAAACAGATTTATTTCAAATACATCATTTTCTACTAATCCATATATGCTAACAATCAATCCTAACCACCCCCTAATGCTAATTTATAAGGAAAGACTATTGAGCGAAGTATCTCAAGTTAACAGACGCATCATCTTAAAGTGATAGCATAGCCATGACTAGACATGTATCTTCTAACTCAGAATAACAGCAAGCAAAGAGATGAGTAACAAAAAATGTAATATAATGCCACAACATTATAACTTAAGACATTACCATTTTCTGCTGACAATGATCTTCTGACGACCAGGGAACTTGAACTTGGCACGTCGAAGAGCCTCCTGAGCATGATTGCTGTTGTTGTCCTTGCAGCGAACCGACAGGAGAACCTGCCCAATCGCCACCCTGGCGCAGACGCCTTGGGGCTTACCGAAGGCGCCCCTCATACCAGTCTGGAGCCTATCAGCTCCAGCACACGAAAGCATCTTGTTGATACGCAGGACATGGAACGGGTGGACACGGACCCTCAAATGGAAGGCGTCTTTGCCTGCCGTCTTGGTCATGTACTTGTTACATGCGATACGGGCAGCCTCGAGAGCCTCGCTGGAAACATTCTCCTTCTCCCACGACACCAAGTGGACGCAGAAGGGGAACTCATCGACTCCCTTCTTCTTCATCCCGACATCGTAGATCCTAATCTTGGGGTCAGGGACACCACGGCAGAAGCGGGATTTCGGGTACGGCTTGTTCTTGATCTGACGGTAACACCTTGCTGGCCCTGGCAAGAACAACCAGAACGAGCAATCAATCCACCAACCGATTAAAAGTTACATCTAAACCATTTATTCAGAACCTAAGCTAGTGCAAACCAGAAGATGGAACAAATCTAGATTATCGACGGAAAACTGGAAGGCAAAGCGAATCTTAGCAGATAACCGGAGCAGCAGAACAAAGGCGAAATCGACATATGGGTTCAGTTCAGTCATCGGAACAACAGTTATACATAATCGCCGGGACTAGAGATATGGGAGAGGATGGTGGTACTTACTTCTCCCCATGGCGGCAAACGATTCCGGCGAGCACCAGTTGTTGGAGAGGGAAATCGGCTGCGGAAGGGAAACTTAGCAAAACCATACTTTGATTCTCGTATTTATACCATCCTGGTTCCGTTTGAGATAGGGTTTGAGGCGCCGACACGGTTTTGACATTTTTTCTTTTCACACGTCTAATTTGAAGGGAATTACATTTGTGCCTCAAGATGTTTGCTTGTTCTCCAATTAGGTCCTATACTAATCTTCTGGCTATTTTCTAAAGAGAATTAGCCATTATGTATAGACTATAGAGTACATACATCCAAAGGGGAATTGTTGGAATATGGATTAATATGCCTAACACGACTATAAACGGGCCCAAGCCCACTCAAAGATGTCCAAACCCTATATAAGAAGGCCTAACCCTCCAAACTAAAGATCCTCTTCTTCCCTTCCCACACTCTTACCCTAAGGTCTCTCTCTAAACTCTCTCTCTCTCTATACATACCATAAACCGCATACTATATCGTACTAACTTGGGCGTCGGAACGTAGATCCCGGGGGCCGTCCCCCGCCTCACAGGTTCTTCCCCTCTCGAAGAGATCAAACGAAGGAGTCCAGATCGGAGCCTCACAACCGCCTAGTACATTCTAGGCTCAAACAGGAATGAATAATGATAATATTTCATGGCAAAGGAGAAATAAAAATGTTTGTTTTCTAACCGATCACATTTCAGTTATTTTATAGCATTTGGAGCTGGTTGAGTACTTGAGTTGTTGAATGAACTTACCCACGAAAGATTATATATGTAAACTTAATTATTTGTCTACGATCCAATGTGTCTTTGCGAGCATATCATTTGGTACGGGAGAAAGAATTACAGAGGCCACCATTATATGTGTGATAACGTCCCAAACCACTATTGTAGAAGCATAAACAATTTTTATGATAATAAATGTTTATTATCTGCCTTTAATCTCTTTTAATATATTGGTGGATGGGATGGTTATTCAAAGTGTACCCATAATTTTTGTTATGAGTTGTTTGGATGATGTATCCAAATGAGACATTTGAGATAAAATGTCTTAAAACCATACATTATAACATATAATGTATGGTTTGATAATAGAGGAAAATGAGAAATTTTGATATTCAATATTTCATTTTGAGTCTTATCTAATGGGGTAGACAATTCCAAATGTCTTTGTTTTTTTTATAGTTCAACCAAAATATATGTCCAAATTGGAAAACTTTTATTCAAGAGATAAGAGTATCTGACTATTTGAAGTTTAATAACCGAAAGATTATTGCATTAACCATTACCGTCAAAGTAAAGATTACCCCCATAAGCAAATGTTGATCAGCCTAAAATGAAATCAAACAACACAATGTAGGTTCACTTTCCAGCTCTCCCAAAGTCAATTAGTATTTTATTCATTAAGTAGTCTATAGCTGAGAAGAGCCAAGAAGTTTGGCTTAAAGCAATCATTAGCATTGATCTTCCCTTGCATTCAACATCATCATCTTCTCTAATCAGCCATTTCCTCCCCTTTTCTTCTTTCTCCCCCTTCCTGCAACAGCACACCCCTTCAAACATTAATGGAAGACGAGATTCCTGAAAAGAGAGAGCTGACAAGTGACAGGGATATGTAAAGTAACATTACCAGTATTAAACCAGGAGCCGAAGACCATAGAGGCCTATAACTTTGAGTTGGCCAATAGTCTTGCTTTCAGCTGAGCTGCTACTGCATCGATGAACTCTTCGGTGTTTAGGTATTGAGCCCTAGTAACCCTACATATAAAGAATGAGAACTTCAGGTGGTTAGGCATAAGTTTGGAAGGGAGCATAGAAAAGGAAGTGGGGTTTCCATCATTTACTTGGGTCCATGAATGAGAAGTGCAAGATCCTTGGTCATCTTCCCGGATTCAACTGTTCCAACACAGGCTGCTTCCAGTTTCTTGGTATAATCCAAAAGTCGAGCATTACCATCCAACTTTGCCCTGGTACAGAGTTCTCTTTCTCATCAAGACCTCCAAGAGTTCATATAATCTTAAGCTATGAAACCAAAAGATGATGTGTAATAGGTTTCCAGTTAGAGGCGCCAAAATCATAATACCTGTGAGCCAGACCTCGTGACCAAGCGAAAATGGATGCTATGCTATTTGTGCTAGTTTCCCCTCCCTTCTGGTGGACACGATAATGACGGGTAACTGTACCATGAGCAGCTTCAGCTTCAATAGTCTTACCATCTGGACATACCTGGAACAAAGTTTATGCAATGTAAGATAGGTTGAAATGACTGATAGAAAGCCAAGGATGAGGCGAAGTGCACAGACATACCAATACTGATGTCATCAACCCAAGAGATCCAAATCCTGTACCAAAGAAGCAATCATCACGTATCGGTAATGGAAATATCAGAGTTGTTTCTTGATATGTCAAGTGTTCATGAAATTGTAGTCACTCAGACTATCCGATCCAAATTATGCAAACCTTGAGCTAAGAAATCACTCTGCACATCTCCATCATAATTCTTGCATGCCCATACATACCCTCCATCGCTTTTCAGAGAATACGCAACCATATCATCAATCAGACGATGTTCATACCTGCAATAAAGCAGTTACAAGTAATTTGTTACTCTTAGTCAGTTGTGGTATGTGTTTCACAAACTAATCCCGTTTTAAATCAAGCTTCTCGCTCACCATATTCCTGCAGCCTCAAACTTGGATTTCCACCGGCTTTCATAAACTTCCTGGAATATGTCCTTAAATCTGATAAATGTCAAACGAGAAAAATGTAAATAACTGCCACATCACATGCAAAATGAATAATCTGTGAAATAAGCATGAAATAACTAATACGGCAACATATGGTGGTTGTGATAATCTGTAACTAGTTCAGGAAACAGGAAGGTCCATTGGTGGATATAGAAGAGGATTATTAACTGGAACTATCTGCTTAGACCAACGACATATGAAGTAATTACATACCTTCCATCATACTTTTTGAGGATGGTATTTTTCGTGCTAAGATAAAGGGGCCACCTTTTCTGGTATGCAGTGTTCATTGAAGCCTCGGCAAAGGCACGGATGGACTGTTTTCCAAGTCAGATATGATAATCACAGTTGGTGAACAACTATTTCAAAATCTGTGAAGTGGGATAAGGAAAAGAATGTAGGCAGTTGTGAACCTCATCAGTGTTATACATGGACAAAGCTACACCTCCAGCTCCAGTGAACTTAAAAACCTCAAGTTCTGTTGTTTTGTTGCGTCCATCAGGAACTGAAAATACAGCAATAAACTTGTATGATAAATATATTAAGATAAATATAGAGAGAAGAAGTATACGATCAATCAGCAGAAGCTAGTACCAGAAAATAAACTGATATTCACTATAGAAGAACACATTGTTGCAAAGAAGAAAACTAACCAAACACCATCTTCAGACTACCAGGTTCACCCACGACCAAGTCAGTTGCTCTGTACTGATCACCAAATGCATGCCTGCCAATGCATATTGGCTTGGTCCAACCTGAAATACTGCTGCTAATGTTGGTCTGTAGCTTTTAATGGCTATGGAAGCAAACCAAATATCAGGATATCATTTGCAGACCTGGGACAAGACGAGGAACGTTCTTGCAGATGATTGGTTCTCTGAAGACAGTACCTTTGGCATAACAAGGCAAACAATAAGAATAGAATCAGGCACATAACAACAATCAAGGATATGAAACACAAACACAAACTGACCATTTAGAATGTTCCGAATTGTCCCATTAGGACTTCTCCACATTTTTTTCAAGTTGAACTCTTTGACACGATCTTCATCTATAACGCAAGAAAATGCATTTTCCAAGTAACTGGTAAGCATGTGAGCAGAAAATCAAAAGTATGGATTTTGTTTCTAATTGGTGATTTAAGAGTATGAGACATTACCTGGAGTTATAGTTGCACACTTAATTGCAACATTATACCTGCAACATTGACAGGCGAGAGAGTCAATCAACCTTTGCTGCAAAACTGAAAAGAAAAGAAAGGGTTGTGGGACGCAATTGACAATAAAGAAGTACTAACTTAAGAGTGGCTTCAGCACTCTCTATGGTTACTTGATCATTTGTGGCATCCCGGTTCGGCAGGCCAAGGTCAAAGTACTTGATATCCAGATCCAAGAAGGGGAACACAAGCTATAAAGAAGACCAGAATATCAACATGATAAAAGTTCAAACACGATTGAAAGAGAAGAAGAAGGAAAATCAGAGAGAAAGCATGGGGGATGAGGGCACCTTATCCTTGATGGACTTCCAAAACACTCTGGTCATTTCATCCCCTGCATCGGAAACAAAGAAGCTAGTGAAAAGAAAGCTAATTCATACACTCTTAACTCATAGCCGCAACACACAACAGATAATTCCTCTCATTTCCTACCAACAAATGAGTACAATCATGGAATGGAAAAGAAAAATCCTCCACCGCTGATCACTCTCCAAGTCTGCTATCCCATGATCACCAATTCCAAACATAAACAATCCACCCCATAATTGATGATTCTCTTCACCAGAAGTTCATTAACAACTCTTTTCTGGGTTTTAGCTAAAATTCAATCCAGCTGGACCAAATAGGCGCAATCAATCAGAGCAAATTTGAATGGCAAACAAGAAAAAATTAAGGATGGTAGAGTAGACAGGAGCTTACCGTCCATCTCGACGATAGGGTTGGTGACTCTGATCTTCTCGAACGACATTTCTACTTGCTGCTACTTTCTGCTTCTTGCTCCAGCCAAACCTTTTCTTTCCCCGGCGGTCTTTTCACTTCCCAATTCTCACCCACGGCGGTGCGAACTTACTCAGTGAGAGGGAGTGGATCGTCGGTGAGAGCGGCAAGAAAGAAACTTTTATGGTGGGTGAAGACGAAAGTAACAACGAAATTCTGACGGATGCATCGAAGGAAGATGATCATATAACAGTACCACTTTCATATTGGAACCGACCAGATTCGGGAATATGAGGATATCTAATGCGCTTGCCAAATGGAGAATTTAAAAAAGAAGGAGAAATTTTGGGTATCCGTAGTGGCAATGAATTAATTTTAGGGGTGCAGCTGATGTCATATAAAAATGCAGGGACTGAAATAAGTCAAATAACATTTAATCAAAGAAGGGAAAATTCGGAAGAGAAATACCGCGAGAGAGAGACGGTCCGAAAATTTCCCAGCAAAATCAAACCCTAAAAACCACTTCACATAGCACAAGACAGGCGGGAATTCAATTTCCGATCGCTTCGCCCAAACTTCGATTACATTCTGCGCTGTTACAGCCTTACAGGTTCGCTCTATCGCCATTTTTGTGCTTCATAGCTTTTCATTTTTCCTCTTCTAAGCGAGAATTGCTCAGTTTCCCGTTGGTTCCCTCTGGATTCATCGTCTGGTTGGTTGCCGGGATATTATTTCCATTTCCGTCTATGCAACACTTGTACACAGGGAAACGTAGTTGTAGCATCAGTGCCTTTTCAGCTGGTTCCAGGATTTTCATTTCGTTTTTGCTTCGTTTTCTGAACGAAGTTAATCGCTCTTGCGACCGATTGAAGTTTTTTTCTGGTCGCTAAGTAGCTGTTCGCGAGCTTGCCGACGGATGATTACGCCTTACTGGCTTAGTCGATGTAATAGCAGTACGGCATGAGACTGTTTCAGATAGCCAGTTCTTGAATTATTAGTAGTCATATAGGAATCAGAATCATAGAAATAGACATGCGATAGATAGCAGTCGTCCTTCTCCTCTTGTTTTTGAAGTTCGGGTGCTGCGGAATTTAATTGATTGGTTGGGGTTATTTACTCTCTCAGCTCTCTGGTGCCAGGCATCATGGATCCTAAGGTGCAGTCTTCACCACCTGATACCGAAGACGAAAAAGCGACTTTTCGTAAGTCATCCAATGATGTGGCTAGCAGGAAGTATCGTCGGCATTTGATTGATATTAAGTCATCGGGAGATCCTGGTTAGTCTACAGAATTCTACTGTTGATCTCCATGGCTTATCATGATAATTGGATTTGTGTTTCAACATAGGGAATCTTGTCAGCCTTGTATTAATGCTGTAAGACATATTTTCTCTTTTGGTATAACCACCATTTTTTATATTTTGATTACAGAGAGCCCCAGAAATGATCGCGCCTCCAGTCCAATATTTACTAGGGGTGAGCCTGGTAAAGTTTCTGAACATCGAGAAAGTAGAAAGGATGAAGGGAGAAAATATGACAGGGATCAGCGTGTAAAATCTGGAGATGCTGATTCCCGCTCCTCTAAGAATCCACATCCTAACTCAAGGCATGATGACTATGGCAGACGCGATGAAGACAGACGTAGTAAGCCTTCTTACCTTGATAGGGATTCTAGGGGTACTTCTCGCTCGGATCGTATGAGAGAAGAAAGTGATAATGGTAGGTCACGTGATTACAGAAGGTATTCTGACAAATATTCTCGTGATAGAGACACTCAGAGAAGTAAGGATAAAGAGTCATATCCTGTACCCGACCGGAAACAAACTAATTCAACTTCAGAGGACAAAGACTTTCACCGCCACAGGAATGTCAGAGATAATCGAGATGGGGAAAGGAATTATGGGAGAAGCTCTGAATACGGAAATGAGCGCACAGATTATCGTGGTGGATCTAGAGGACGTGTTAAAGAGTCCCTTCTTTCTAGGAAGGATGATGATAAATATCGCGCTAGAGAATTTCAGAAAGGCAATCCCAATGAAGTTGATGACTGGAGGGAAAAGAAGAAACGTGATGGTTCTGAACCTGATAGAGGCGATGATGCTTACTCAAGAGCATCAGGACAGAATGAAGACAAATCTCTTTCCATGACTGAATCCCAGCAATCCGAGGCCAAACGAATGAAGCTCTTCAGTTCAGATAAGGCCGTTCATCCTAGTGGAGATGGTAATGACTTTTTCTTTGTTTCCAATGCATGCCTGTCCCTTTGTTGTGGTTGGATAATGTTGCACCATTTGTACTTCTATTTATGGAGATATCTGCATAGCAGGTGAAAAGCAGTCCTTGAGCCCTAAGCAGGTGGCAGCAGCTGGTACCGGAAGTATTTCGGAGGCTACTAATGACCTGAATGCAGCCAAGGTTGCTGCCATGAAAGCTGCTGAACTAGGTAATCGTGTCCCTGCTTGATCTCTGTGAAAGTTGTACCTTATTACATGAATGGTCTCGCATTCTGAATGTTTGTGTATTACATGAGTACCGAGTAGGATATAGCCCTTTTCCTGCTGATGATCGTGTGTGTCCTTCAACATATAATGGCTGTCAATACCTGTTCTTATGAACTGAGAACGTGGAATTATTTATTCTATATACCTGGGTTTTGGTTAACTGGAACATGTCTGGGTTTTCTCAAGGCTTTATTTATGCATGAATCACATACTATACTTTGTGTTTCTTAGATCCAGGTTTGAGTCTTTGTTTGCCACTTTCAGCATTCAATGATGCTTTAAACTATATGGGCTATCCTTGACCTTCATACTTCAAGTGGGAGTATTGAATATTTTGACTGGTTGCAATGGTTAGAGTGTTAGGAACTTAGGATGCCAGTTTATCCGGTCTTTCCATGTTGTTACTTACGAGTCTGGTAGCATCATGATTGATAGGATGTCCAAATCAGTATTTACACATGCATTTTGCCAGTCACCCAGCATTATCTAGCACGTCCCGGTTATTCGTTCTCTTTTATATAAAGTAATAGTATTATATAGTGATTCTGGTCAAAATAAATCTGAGCATATAGCACGCCCTGATTATTCATGCTGCAGTCAATCAGAACCTTGTTGGCGGGAGCTTCATGTCTACTGATCAGAAGAAGAAATTGCTGTGGGGGAACAAGAAGAGCACCACCACCTCAGAAGAGGTACATGCCTATCAACCTATGCTCTAATTGTATACTTGTCCTTCTGCAGGAGCTTCCTTCAATTTGCTTATTTCCTCGTCTTCTCTTCCAACACTTCAGAAGAGGTGGGACACCTCAATGTTTGGCGATCGTGAAAGACAAGAAAAGTTCAACAAACTCATGGTAAAATAATCTCTCTTCTTTAGCTTTTGTTAGGATTGTAGAAACTAGAAAGTGTGCGTGTTAGCAGCGGGGCAGAATGCATTGCTGAATACATTCCTGCTAAGTAAACTCTGGTTTCTTATTTTGCATCAAGTTTCACAATACTAACACGTTTTAGAGTCTGAGTCAGAAATGGTACCTATGGCAAATTGTAGGGTGTGAAGGGGGATGCAAGGGGAGAATCCCAGACCAACAACAACCAAGAGGGTCTCCAGGCCGAAAAGCAGGAGCAGCTCCAGATGGAGTTAGAGAAGCAGTACACAGCTGGACTTCGTCGACGAGATGGCCGCACTGTCGGATTAGGACTCTGATGAGCGACTGTGTCCTGTTACCGACACGGACAGAAGTTCTTCTTCTTGGTATGTTGTCACACGTTTGTTCATCTATTCGTGCTTTGAACTATAAAAAACGTCGAGAACTCTTTCGTCTTTGAAATTTGAGCCGCATTTAGTTTCCATCCTTGACGTAGGGAACTTAATTAGATGTGTAAGCCTAATGTTCCTCAACTTCACTTCATGTCCAAGCTTACAGTTCCTCTTTTTCGTTATTTTCATTCTGAACCCCAATTTCAACGAGATGTCTGTAGCATCAAGGAATGAAACCACATGCTTTAAATTCTTGCTTTGCTTGCAGCTAGCTTGGTTAGTAAGGTCATATCTACACTACGAATACTTGCTTCTTTCTTCGTGTATATCATTGTCATTACAACACTGTAGATTGCATACAAATCTACTATAGATTGCACCCATCTACCCTGAAAATTGGTCATGATTCATGAATGGGAACAAGGTTTGAATTGAAGTTTGGCTTTTGAACCAACATTGCTGTTGGCGCCGTAGAAGGTAAGGCGATTAAAATACTACCGTCGGTTTCCCTTTTTTCTTCTTTTGGGGGACCTCGTGTGTTGCTGTTGCTGACCGAAAAATGATAAGCTACGTAGCTGTCAATCATGTCGGCTGATGTTTGTCTCTCCCCGCTAACGGCTAGTCGGCGTAGAGAGAGAGAGAGGGATAGAATACTAGTATTCCTAACGTTCACCCACCACCATTTTAAATTTTCATCCTCCCCCCACCTTCTTGAATCCTAATGCTCATTTCGGTTAGGGCGTCCTACCACGATGATCATGTGTGCACAATTGTGGATCGTTGCAGGACGTCCTAACTCAAGTAGCGCCTATAAATGTAGTAATATTTGTTACTGTGTGTGTCCAGTAGTTGTGAAACTCTCGACTTCATTGATGAAAGGTGTATCTGCTTAATGAATAGGTCACATGGATTTTCTTGTGCGATCCACGACTACTATTAGCGAGATAGGACCTCGGGGGTTGTAGCTTGATGATGGTTTTCAAGTTCGTAACGATCAAATGATTTGGTACATATTGGATATGATATTCAAGTAGATTTGGTATTGAAGTTACGAATTTTCGTAGCGTTAGAAGAATGAGATTGAATTTAATCCGATGTATGTCACCGCCTTGGTTTGATGTATTAGGTGATGCTAGAAAGCAACGGCTGTGGTTGGAAAAGACGAAGGAGGGCGGAGGAGTCATTGTCCATGGCCCTAGTGGCCAACAACTATAAAATTTAAAATCTTGTGGATCTTGCTAATCGAGCCCATGCAACATTTGTAGTGGACTTCTCTTTTTTATGACCAATGTCTAAGTTTTTATTATTATTTAAATCGATTTTTCGTTTAATATATTTTTTTAATAATTTTTAATGGGTGCCCAACTATGAACCTATATAATCATTATGCAATTACATGATATTATTTGTCATAGTGGTAAGAATCGTATCACTAATAAACAAAGGTTATGTATGTATAAACATGTTATGCATATTACTGTTTGGCGGGTAGAAGAACCGAACCTCGTGATTTAAGGGAGAGAAGAAACTAGATCCAGAAGAGAATTGAGAGAATTAGAGGAAAAAGGAGCGAGGGATAGACGAAGAGACTGAAATTTGGGAAAAAATTATCCTCTTATTTCCTTATTCCCAATTACAATTGACCGATAATGAAGATATATAGCAAATGCGTACAAAATATCCAAAAATAGCTCCTCTAATTCCACCAGTTATTACTATTGTCCCTTCTAGTTTTGCTACTTACAACTAATTCTCTATGTGTATTGGGTCATTAGATGCACTTGACCTTTTGCCCACCTGAATGTATATTATTAATTCATTTAGACTCGACAATTCCGAAAGTGTAGTATTAACGTTCAATCGATATGCTAGATTGACATTTATGGGTATATATATTATATCACGGCCCTAAAACAATAAGTGATTGATCATGTAATTGTTATGGAAATAAAAACGTGAATGAGATGTGCTCATCTGTATCACACTTGGAACCGATCATCTACCGAATCGATGCTAAGTAGATATAAAATAAATGTGAATGATCGATCTGTCGAATTAATCATTTCATTTTCTTTTACATTTTATCATTGTAATTAATTGAATAGTTTACAGATTATTCGAGCAAGTCACGACGAGAAATTGTCAAACTTAAAACGGAAAGAACCTATGATTTAATATTTTGGCACAAAATAAAATAAAATCAATTTGAATGCTACTTGAAATGCATAACAACTTTTTCAAAAGATGGTATATTTTCTTTCTTTGTGGAAAAAGAATTAGGTTGCCCTCTATAAATAATTGCGACAAAGGAAAAATATTCTCCTAATAAGGATATATTTGATTAAAACGGATATCTTGGATTTCGTATTTTCTTTTGGGGAAAAGAAAAAGAAAAAAAGAAATAAAGAGAGAGCTTCTCTCATTCGATCAAACCAATAACCCAAGTGGGGTTCTGTTCAGTCTTTCATTCAATCATTCCAAGGAGCCATCGCCTCTCTCTCTCTCTTCCTCCTCCATCACTCCACTCTGTTTTCCGTTGGACATTGCCAGTTTCGCCTGGTAACCTCTTCTTCCCTTTTGTTTTTCTTGTCATTCTTTTCTTTGCGTATTCGAATTTGCTAGGGTTAATGGAATCGGTTCGAAACGATTCAGTTTCAATCGTCGATCAAAATGTTTCGTCTGCTTCTTCCGTGGTCAAAATGTGTGCCGGTAAATCTCGTAGGGTTTGATTAGGAAATGCTGGAACTAATCTCTCGCTCTATCAGCTTCTTGCTTTGGGCTCTTCGGGTTCTTCGTATCATTCTTGTCTTTTTCTTACGGATTTTAGGTAGTTGTGGGTTTTCAGCCTCCGACGGGTGGTCTACTTCTGATTCGAACAGTGGGTTAGTTTTCCCCACTCTTCTGCAGAAGATTTGCCTGTCGGTGATATGAGGATTTCCTTTGATTTCAGGGACTTGGCAATTTCGTTAATTTTGCCCGTTAGCTTGATTTCTTGAGTATTCCTTCCTATTGTTGAATTAAATTCTAACTTTCTAAGTCAACCCTGTCAGGGATCCAACGGTTAGGTGTGGAATTCGAAGGATTTAGTTTGAAAATTTGAGACTTTTTCTTGTTTTCTTCTGTGATCCTACTCCACAGTAGTAGTGAAGTGACTGATAACATCCGGCTATCACAATTTAGTAGTCAGAGTGAGTGAGGCATCGGCCATTGATGTCATGTGATGATTTCATTTCTTGGTCACTCTTCTTATGTCAAGTTCTTCAAACACGGAGACTGTTTGGCTCTGTGAAATTGGGTTTGGGTAGTTATAGGTATCCATCCGAGTCTGCATTAGAGCATATCTTCTCTGTCTATCTAGTATATGAAAGCTAGGCTGAGCACTGATATTGCAATACAAGGTGACCAAGTGGTTAATGCTGTTTTTGTCAGTTGTTGAGAGAACTGGGATTCCACAGATGGGTAGTCAAAGGCTTTCTTTTCTCTCTGTTTCCAATTTCCCAGTCCAGTATACTATTTCTTGGTGCATTTATCAGTGCAGGGAAAATATGGATCTTCCTCCTTGCTTGTGTTCTGTTGTTGTTGCTGCCGTTTCTCTTTCTCCTCTTTCCTGTTTGTTCTCTTGTATTGTTTTTCTTGGATTTATTCTGCTGTATTTTTTTTTTGTGCATTTCATATTTTTCCTTATATTGGGATACTTTCGTAAAGCAATCACATTTTTTGCTAACCTTGGATTCTGAGCTTGACAACAGCTTTCTTCAAACTCAAGGTTTAATTTTGTAATTGCAGGTCATTGCGTTGGTTGCTTGATCATTTCTTTTCTGGTTGCAAGGTGTTGGATTGAAATTGTTCTCGAGAAGTTCTTGCAAATAATTGACTATGGTAAATACCGCCAGTTGTATTTCTCGTCTCCTTTCTATCCTCTTCCCTAATGACTGAAGGCGTAGAATCTTTTTGATAGAGTTGGTGAAAGATTAAGATAAGCTGGTTTGGTTGCCACTGCTGTAAGATTTCCGGAAAGGCTTATTTTTTGAAGGGTAGGAGATAAACTATATGTTGGAAAAGGTTAGAAAAATGATGATTTGCATGAAACTCTAAAGGCTTGCTGTAGTTTTGAATGACTGTACTGTAAGTAAGTCTGGCAATCCGTCTTTGATCATGATGCATGGTAGGATCTAAGTAGGAGGTTATGTTATATCTTGGATAATGTTATTTGCTAGAGAGAATAATCTTGGTCACAGCAGTAATGCGGTGGTGAAGCTTGATATTAGTGGCAGCCCGAAATTCAGTCTTCTAGTTCTAATATGTTCTTTGGTTCCGTTTCCCTATTCCTCAGGCAACAAATGAAAATCTTCCACCCAATGTGATAAAGCAACTTGCCAAGGAATTGAAGAGTCTCCATGAATCTCCACCAGAGGGCATCAAAGTAGGAGTTAATGATGATGATTTTTCCATCATACATGCTGACATTGAAGGACCAGGCAAGTAGCTATACTTCTCTTATTTTGTGTTTACAAATGTTTGTATTTCTACTAAAAGTTAATTTTGGCCATGCAGATGGGACTCCATATGAAAATGGAATTTTCCGAATGAAGTTGTTATTGCCACATGACTTCCCACAGCTACCTCCACAAGGTTTTCCCAATAGGATAAACATTCTTCTCTTAAACTGTCTTACCATTTTATTTGATATAGCTGTTCAAGGCGGGCTTTGCTGAAGAACGTAGCCCATTTAATAGCGCCATAGTAATAATCTTCTTGAAATTAATTCTTTGCAAAATCTCTTGATCTACAGGTTTCTTCCTGACTAAGATATTCCACCCAAATATTTCATCTGATGGAAAAATTTGTGTCAATACACTGAAAAGGGACTGGAACCCGAGTCTTGGTCTACGACATGTTCTTGTTGTAAGTTTGTTGTCTATAAGCTATAGACTCTGTTGGCGTCAATTCTCATCTTGTACTCCTGTAGATCTTTTCAAGTGTCAAATCCATAATCCACACTAGATGAGTGCTAATTGTACTTTAACTTTTTTCTGCAACAGGTCGTGAGGTGCTTATTGATTGAACCATTTCCTGAATCTGCCCTCAATGAGCAGGCTGCCAAGATGCTGCTTGAAAATTACGAGGATTATTCCAAACATGCCAGGTCGCTAATCCTTCTTGCCCTTGATCCTTGTTTATATCGGCAAATGAAACCCTTATTTGCAAAATAGAGTCCATGTCTTACCAAAAGTACTAATTGCAGACTGATCACGGGAATTTACGCGAAGCCAAAACCCAAGCAGAAGTCTGGGCCCATCTCGGAGTCAACGACGGCACTGAATGTCGACCAGAGTAGTAACACCTCAGTTGCCACCAGTGGCGCTGTCGATCTCAAGAACACGACAGTCCCTTCTGCCGTGCCAGTGCCACCTTGTTCGACCACTTCCTCGAAGGGTGGGCCAAACAGCACCGATCTGGCAACAGCCGAGGCAGGTGGCAATCTACCAGTTACGTGCTCCACTAAGCAGCAACCAGTGGTTGGAGGTGTGAACCGAAAGGAAGGAGTTGCAGCCCACCCCTCGAAGCCTCTGGCAGAGAAGAAGAAGATGGATGCGAGGAAGAAGAGCTTGAAGAGACTATAATAACAATGCAGTTCATGGTGCTGCGGGGGGGTTTCATTTTCTGAACTAATCTGCAGAAGATGTTTGTTGTGCATTAGTTGGATAAGTCGAGTCTCCCGTCAGGCCGGGTCGAAGTGGAAGGAAGAAATGGTGGAAGGGGTAAGACTATGATGTAAGAAAAACAAAACCTTACCCTTTTAATCAAAAACTAAATGTTTCACCTGCTTGCTGCTGCTATCTGAATGTGAAAGATGAATGTACCGAATTCATGATGCCATTGTCTGAGTTCTCTGCTTTTCAAAGTACTGAAAGTGGTACTCCCTAATACAGAAAGGTTTCTTAGTACTCCTAATACAGAAAGGAAAGGAAAACCATCCAACGCAGGATCTCTACACTTTTATCCGAAGTTCTTAAACCCTAACCAAGAGAAACAGATGAGGCATGGCGGCAGAGTGCTCGAAAAGGGAATCGATCGATCTTCCCGACCACATTCTGCATCACATTCTCTCCTTTCTCGACATCAAGCTCGCCGTTCAAACCAGCGCGCTGTCGAGGCGATGGAGGAACATGTGGAAAGACATCTCTGTCCTCATCCTCTCGACAAGCTCGATTGACGACACGTGGCGGAGGTTCAGACCCAGCATTTGCAAGGCTCTGCAATCTCTCTGCATCACCGTAACCAGCATCAGCTTCGAGCTGATCCATTACACGGACTTGGACAGATGGAAATCGAGCCAGTCGCCGTCTTCGGGATCTGTCCATCGCCGGCCGGGACGATTTCTGGATACTCGAGTTGGGCGATATGGCGCATTACATCGTTGCACACCGTCACAACCAGTCGCTCAGGACTCTCAGGTTGGAGTCGCTTCTACTTCTAAATGCAGGGCCTGATGATATTGCTAGACACGGGTTCCACTTGCTGACCACATTGGAACTGCTTCACTGCACTTTCTACGACGACGGCGATTACTCGGCAGCGGATTTTGCAAAGGTCAAGTTACTACTGTCTTTTGAGAATCTGCCAAATTTGAAATGCTTGAAGCTGCTCTACTGCGAGTCGCGCCATCCTGTAAAACTGTCAGCTCCACAGCTGCTGGAATTGGAGATTGGAGTTTGTAGTTTGATATCAATTGTGGATACTGGATAAAAAATATTTGGGCTGGATCTATCTTGACCTTCACGGCCATGGACCAGAAAAACGGGCAAGGCTTTGTAGCCGACGAGCTCGAGCCCAGTAACTGAATGAAAGCCCATTTACTAGGTAAACTACTTTTTGGGGTGAAGGACTGGACGAGTCAAATGAGGCGGACAAGGATAAGGATGTCATTGATAAGGAAACGAGGGTTACATCTGTCAATTCACCAGTCGACTGATCCTGACCTCCTCCAACCGCGTTCAGACCGCGTTACCCTTTTATTCCTTTTTTATTTTAGTTTCCCATATTTATTATTGATTATTGATTGAATTCATCTTATTATTTATCTTAATTCGATCTATTAGTGTGGTAATTTTGAGGAGAAGGGTAAAACCGACAAAGGGAAAAACAAAATGATTATTTTTGCGGTGGAGGAGAAGAAATTAGGGGGTCGTTTGGATGGATCAATTGTAAAACGAGACAATTTGACCAATTGTTTCATTTTACAAAATGAGTCATTTAAAACGAGTCAATTCAGATTACCTGCCCCCACCCCAGACAATTGTAATTGGCTCAAAATGAGTCAATTCAGAATTCCCCAGCCCAAATTGCTTCATCCAAATTTTCTGCTGTCAAACGGATCAATCTAGCACAATTGACTCAAAACGAGATAATTGTATCAAATTGATCCATTAAAATTCCTCATCCAAACGACCCCTAGGAATTCCGCTGAAAATCCCAGTAGAAAAAGCGATATTTATTTTCTCTCTCTCCTCCCTCCTTATTTTCGAACCCTTTTTAAATCATTTTGGAACTCATCTCGCCGGGTTAGACGGTGCCTTATTATTTTCCCTTTTGCCAAAAAAAAACACCACAACCCCAAAGGAGGTAAGAAAGAAAGAGATCCCAAAACTGAAAACTCTCTCTATCGGAGAAAGGAAAGCGAAGGCGGAAGAGAGGAAAATGGCGGATCAGCTCACCGACGATCAGATCTCCGAGTTCAAGGAGGCCTTCAGCTTGTTCGACAAGGATGGCGATGGTACGCGAGCCTTCTTTTCTTTCTCCATTCTCTCCCTCGCTCTTTTTTATCCTTCCGCTTTCGTTCTTCTTCGTAGCTGTAGATCTGATGTCTCGTCTGTATCCTTGATGGCGATGTCGTTTGCAGAGATTGATTCCTCGTCTTGTCCAGCTGCTGTTTAGTGATTTAAGTTAGTTTTCCTATTCCGTTTTTGTTTCCGCTTCCTGAGATCCGTTTCCGCCGGTCGGTCTAGTTTGGAGGCGACGTAGTGTTTTCTACGGCCTGTGTTTTAGGCGTTTCATGAGGCGTAGAAATAGATTGGTTCAGGAACCATGATGCCTTTCTTCCTCGCATACCGGATTAATCGAGTCAACTTATCTCGTTTATGGAGGAGGTTATTTCCATTTCTTGCTGCGTTTCTGGAACGCAATATACATGTTCATTAGTCAGAAAGCAGAATCGCCATAATCGTTAGGCAAAGTAGCAGATCGCGATTGATTGGTGACTCGAAGGAACTTGCTAGTTGTTCTTATGGTGTTCCGCACATGTCAGTCGATTGTCCTTTCCTTCGTTTTCCTCAGAATTAAATTCTTCGTCCTGTTTTCTGGATGAACGATGCAATTGATGGTAGGATCTCATGGAATGACGACTGCTCTTGATGGATTCTTACGAGTGTTTGTAATTTTTGGAACTTGGGAATTCAGATCCAGTGAAGATATCTTGGTTTTAGTTTTACTTTTCCATGGCTGCTGGCTGGATATACTGGACTGTCGACAAGTGTTTGATGAAGAGACACTACAGTTGTCTTGGTCTTTTATAGCAAAAAAAAATCTTGTTAATGCAAAGTGAAACATGCAAGCAATTGATTGGGCAAGTTGGAATGGGGTAGAAAGTGACATCTTATCTTCTCTCAAAATCAAAGCTAATTCTTGATTTGGAAAGAAGATAAGAAAGCTATCATAAGGACTTGACTATGAATACATATTTTCCTAATTTGTTGATATGGATTTGTTTGCTGAGTAATCTTATGAATTGATAATGAACCATTGTGCTGTGTGCTATGCCATAGGTGGATGTAGTGTTTGTTTGGACTTCTGGTCGCTTCATACGCAGGCCATAGAAGCTTTTGAATGTTTGGTGTGTGTACTTGTGGTGATTTCCAAGCTTGGTTTGAGTAATTGAGTTTCTGGTGTGAACATATAAATGTAGTGCAGGTGCAGCCTTGACCAAGCATGCTTCTGCTCATGCAGAATTGGGTGCCATTGCAGCATCTCGCGAATAACGATGGTTATTTCTCCATTTTGCAGGTTGTATCACCACCAAGGAGCTGGGAACCGTGATGAGGTCGCTGGGCCAGAACCCTACGGAGGCAGAGCTCCAGGACATGATCAATGAGGTGGACGCTGATGGAAACGGGACCATTGACTTCCCAGAGTTCCTGAACCTGATGGCAAGGAAGATGAAGGACACCGATTCGGAGGAGGAGCTGAAGGAGGCCTTCAGAGTCTTCGACAAGGACCAGAACGGTTTCATCTCAGCGGCTGAGCTCCGCCACGTGATGACCAACCTCGGCGAGAAGCTGACCGACGAGGAGGTCGATGAGATGATCAGGGAGGCTGATGTCGACGGCGATGGCCAGATCAATTACGAGGAGTTCGTCAAGGTCATGATGGCCAAGTAAATGATCTCTCTACCCCCCAGTTACCACGTTTGATAAGGAACTTATCGATTTTTAAGAAGAAAAAATTACAAAAAAAAAAAAAGTGAATCGTGTTCTTTTTGGGGCAAATTCTAAGAAAGGGGAGCAGTAGGAATTTGTGGTGTTTTTTGTTTTTTTGTTTTACTTAGTGGGTGGAGCTGGTGGTGTGACATTTCTATCTCTGTTATAAACTTCTCTGTCTATTATGTTTGTCTATTGAATGTTATATTTTCTACATTAGCATCTTTCGAGTACTTGAAGAGTGGCTTGGGGAGAAAGGATTCAGCGTTTATCTTTAATGAATGAATGCAAGTGTTCTGTTCTTCATTTGTGGCGTTGTTTTCAGCTTGTGGAAAGGCAGCCTTGTTTGTCTTCTTAATCGTAATCTATGGAAATGGGATTTTTATTTTATGTGGGAGGAAAGGAAAAGGGCAATCATGTTACGGTTGATTCATCATTCTCCTAAATGATCACGGTGACATTAGTAAAATGTTGCTACATTAGAGTACTAGTATATCAAAAAGAGCTTCTTATTTGGCTATATTGAGTTTATGTATCCAAGATTAAGGCAAATTTTTGAGAACCAAATACCAAATGAACTAAATCCATGATAAAAATTCAACTAAACAATGTTATCTTTCAAATATAAAATTCAACAAATCCATCATAAATTCAAAGATTTTCAACTCAATCATTTTCAAATTCAACAAACAAACGAATCGTGTGCTAGCCTTTGCTGTAGAGAAGGTTATGCTAATGAAATACACATAACTGCTGGGCTAAAAAAATTTCCAGCCCATTATTCCGGCCCATAAGAGTTGCACATCCTTTTCTTTGGTAAATGACATACAGGCCTATACGTTTCATCTTTTGAGCTGGGGCATTTTTGTTCGTAATATTGTACATCCCTACTTCTCTTTCTTTCTGACGAAAATCTCAACCGCCAAAACCTGCCGCCACCACCGCGCCACGCCACCTCCCAGTCTCCGGCCGCGGCCTGCCCGCCCTCCAGAGCCTCCAACGCCGACGCTCAATCGCCAACTGGAGACGATTATTCCTCCCGTTGGAATTCGAGGGTGAGTTCTCTGAAACTTCGATCATGTTTGCGGTTTGCCACGTGTTGAATTTGAATGTGGAAAATGCGGCGAGTTCAAAGTGGCCAACGGAGCTTAACGCGACTGTGTATTTACATAGCTAATCTCTTTTCATTTCTATGGTTATTTGTCCAGAAAGCTCAAGCTATAAGGAGAAGGCGTATCTATGCTCTCGACTTCTCACAAGCTTTCCTGGCGAGTTTGTTCTGCACCTGAGATACTATGTACAAAGTGGTATGAAACTATAAGGCTATAAAATTATCTCATCTCTTGGCCATGGAAAATCGTATTTTTTCCTCATTCTTAGCCTATATATTTTTGCTTATTAAGATGGGGAGATGTCAAGATATCGTCTTTTCCTGAGTATCGAATGGTTTCGTAATGTTGATTGTACTTGTAGGTGGATTGGAGGTCGACTTAGTTTCCTGCTTGGGAATGGAAGGAATTACAGAACGCAAGCCTGTAGAGAACCTAGCATTGAACAGTTTCAGCCTGACCCACTATTGTACAATCATCGTCCGGTCTACGGTCATCCTCCTGTGAGAAATTTTAGTTCCGACCCCTTACACGAAGCAAAAAGCCTTCAGCACTGGTACAAGAACTGGCAAGAGAGAAGGAAAACCAAATTGACTGCAAGCACATTTGGTGGGGCGATCGGGTTATGGCGTGGGCGTAGGGTGCAGCTGTGGTTAGAAAAGATTGGTGCAGAGGAGCCATTCAAGGGAAACTGGGCAACGTGGTGGGGCAATGTTAAAGAAAAGGAAGCACTTCAAAGGTACAAATTGATTACAGGGCATGATATTGCATTTCCCTTGTTTCAACTTTATGGGGAGAGAGATCCAGAACATGATTGGATAGCAGCTTCGCCTGATGGGTTGATAGAGAAACCATTTTATGGACTGCCATCTAGAGGCGTGCTAGAGATAAAATGTCCGTTTTTTGATGATATGAAAGATGCTAAGCCATGGAAACGAATCCCCCTCTATTATATCCCACAAGCTCAGGGTTTGTTGGAGATCATGGATAGGGATTGGATGGACTTTTATATGTGGACTCCACGAGGAAGTAGTCTATTCAGAGTACATAGAGACAGAGAGTACTGGAACGTTATGAGGTTGGCACTTTCGGATTTTTGGTTGAACCATGTTTTGCCAGCTAGAGAACTGTGTAGTACGAAAAATATTAAGAATCCTCGTGTGGAGCTGCCTTCACTCAGGCCTGCTCCTAAACACGAGTCTTGTGATTATATAATTAAAGAGAGCAGACGGATTGTAGATGCTTCTCCGTTGTTGATTCGTGAGATTGATGGAGTACTTCAACCCATATGGCAACCAGCTTCACCTACAATGAACCAGCATGATTTTCAAGACTACTGCTTGCCAGATAGTGAGTGAATACACTTTATTCCAATTTGTGTTTCCAGACTCAGGTTATGCAGCTGGATGCCTGCATATGGAATTAAAGAGTTGAAATGGGCGTCTAACAAGTGACCGAAGAAGTCAGCCCTTGCCAGATACTGCAGCACTCCTTTCCCTCGTTCCCTCTCTCTCTATTTTTCGGTCAGCAGCATGTCAGATAACAGAAATGCTGCCAACTCATGCTGCTGGCAACTGCTTCCAGTAAGCCATCTGGAGCTTTAGCCCAGCACTTCACTCTCCATTTCCTTCACTTTAGTGGTTGCTTTGGTATGCATATGAAAAGATAGGTGTGTTGGGATGCTTAACCAAGAGCTAATTTTCTCTGTTTTAACTTTCTTGCTGTTCAGCCTTTTCCAATAGGAGTCATAGCAGAGAGAAGCATCCATGAGAAATGGACATGTTGGCTAGAGAAAGAATTAAAGGTGGCATTTTGCTGATTCTGATGAAGCTTCTGTGGCCACCCTTTAGCTTTCTACATGTCCATCAAGCTGCATGACATATGAGCTGTTAACTGATATGCACGTGATGACGTATTAGTTGCTAACTGATATGCAAGCATGACTTTCTCTTCCTGTCTGGAATATATCATTAGTTTTTAGGGTCGCCATAGTTGGTTTCCCAGTTTACAGGTCTAGCGTGAGTTGAGCTTAGACGAGAGCAAATGTCAGCAGCCTTTTTTTTTATCTCTACGAAATTCATCTGAAAAAATGAGGTAAATTCACTCTCCTTACTGTCCTATCAGTTCTTATTGACACAAATGGTATCTTTATTGATCAATGTAATATTATAACATACAATACTAGCAACACAACAAATTAGTATCCAGGCTTCAATGCAATCAATTAATCAGCTCTTATGTTCATTGGCATAGGAAAGCGACATCAGCATTCTTGTCACTGCAATACGAGCAAGGATGCTGATTCTCAAACCCTTGTCTGTTCAACACCTCCCTAGCCATCCCCACAATTTGCTTTTTGCTTAACGCACCTGGATTCTCCTTCAACACCTTCTCACCTGCATTGCTGAATGCCCCATAAGCTTTACTACTACCTTCACCCGTCGTGGTGGTAGGGTTGATGTCTGCAGAGGTCTCATTTGCTTGGCACCCACTCAAAAGAATCCCCTCATCATAAGATGATCCGACTTGAAGGGGATCGACAAACCTGATGCTCGCATCAGAACCAAAGAGCTCGAGGACGTTGGTCCCGATGTCCGAGGTGTTGGTTTTCGTCAGGGAAATGAGGTGTTGGAGGACCGCTTGGAAAGGAATGGTCTTGGGGGAGATGGAGAAGTTTTGTTGCAGTGATTTTGCAGAAAGAAGTGTGGATGATGGTCCTATTTGTTCTTTTTCCTTGTCGATCAAGCCGCCGCTGTGGCATGAATCAGAAAGGATTGTGAAGGTTTTGCTAGGTTTGGAAGTTGCTTGAAAGGGTGGTTGATGGTTAACTTGATTGGGGTTGACAAGGTTTGGAAGTTGCTTGAAAGAAACTGTTGAGGTATGCCGTTTTTTAATTGGCTTTCAAGCATTGGAAGCGGATGAAAGAATGTATGTTCATTTTCCTTTTCTCCCAGCATCAAATCTCGGTCAAGTAAAGATGGATTATACAATAATCACAATGACATTCTTCAATGACCTTAGGACGATTCTAAGCTTCGGCAGAATTGGTATAGAACCGGATCGAAATCTCAGGTAAAGAGGAATCAAAACTGGATCAAAATAAATGCATATAACATATTTGATTCAATCAGGCACCAATCGTCCCTTTAAAATGTATCTTAAGCCAATTCGATTCACATGTTAATTTGCGCTCTTCTGAGGGTTGTTCATCCACTACGTTAGCTGAAAGAATACCATACCGAAGTCTGCTGCTTTCAAAAAGGCTTCAAGTTCAGATTGAAAAAACAACAGAAGGTTATACACAACAAGCTCTTTACATCTGTACTTCTCTATGTACAAAACAAATACAAGCCATTTCTCTCTCCCCGTAACCATCTGAATCCAGCAAGGTTATCACAATCATAGCCGAAACAGGGAAATAGAGCTCTGCTAAACCTGTAATGGAACAACATCTTCACAAATGTACGAAAGAGGTGTGGTGGGGGTGCTGATTACTGGATAGGGAGAGCTTCAGAGGTCATGCCAAACTCCATACTCGGAGGAATTGCTAGGGTTCGTTGTACAGTCTTGGCAACCGATGAAGAACGTGCTGTGCATCGAATCCATATTTACAAGAGCATGAGCCGTCCCACTTGTGCTGGCTGCAACAGCCACTTCATCTGCTTCTATTACCACTTGTGCATAACCTTTATCGACAATCTGATGGTTCTCCAACTGCAATAAGAGTACAACAACACCTTAATCAAGATCAGCAAATCATTAAACCCACACAACAAGAACCATTTTCTCCACTTTCGTTTCGCTTTCTCCATCTATCATCACATGATAAAAACATTTTGGATCCTCTCCGTATTATACTACCAAACAAAGATTATGGGTTTGCTATGACAATATATTGAAACCAGAAGCCCAGAAATGTATATTGTAGGTAGCAATGTCTCCTTCCCAAAGATGAACCATGTGCACAAACACTCAGAAGTAACTTCAGAAATCAGAACAATGTGGATCCAAATCGAAATGGGACAATGACAAGCTAACATTCCTATGGGACAGGTTCACGATTCTTAACATTGCATATCTCCCCCCTAATAGACAGAACATGCAGAAGCTCTCAATCATCTCATCAATGGCAGAGAAAGGATGAAAAGAAATCATTACCCTGAACAAAGTCTTGGCACCCCAAATTACAAACGTTTCGTTACAGGCATAATGCCTGTGGTTTCCCCTCCGGGTACCGGGTCGGATTTGACCCACATGAACTGAAGCACAAGAAACTGCTCCACCTGAAACAGGAAGAAGAAGAAAAAAAAAAAACAGACGAATTAACCATTGCACAGAACAAGAGAAAATTCAAGCGGCGACATTTCTGATTAGGGATAGGAGGAAACCTTTAACGCCATGTTCGAGGGCGAGAGCTACGGGGTCGAGAAGCCATCCGCGGTTGTCCTTGGCAATGGGTGATGACGTGGATTTGAATCGGACCAAATTAGCCTCCTCGTGCTTCCGCCACTGGACGGCACCGTCTCCTAGCCGCGAAGAAGAGGAGGAATCGGCAGAGGGATGCGAGGAAGAGCGTTGCTGGAGAACGAGGGAAAGCCATGTAAGGAGGAGGAAGACTGAGAGCAGGAAAGGGAAGGCGTGTGGCTTCTTCAGCCAGTGCTTGAGATAGAGCAATAACGCTGCGGCGGAGGACGATGAAGAAGAAGAAAAGGGAGAAGGCTGGAGGGCGCCACCACCGCGGTCGTCGTCGGAGGCGCCGACGTTGATGGAGTAGGAGCTTCTCCTAGGGTTTGCCATTTTCCCGGCAAATTTTCCGTTGGGAATCGCTTTTCCCCGGCCCCTGGTTTCTCTTTCGAGCGCTTTTGTTGGGTCCTTTTTTTTCTGAGAATGACGTATCGGTCCTCAAAAAAGCACAATTTTCAACATATCAGTCTCCTACTTATGAATTCATCAAACTATAATGAGAAATCTCTTTGAAATGAATATAAGGATTTGATTGTAGTGGTTGAAAAGTAGAAGTACCAATTTGTGAGCATACTTTTACCGACCTCTTGTTAGTCGTTATCTAGCCATCTCTCTAAACTCCGCTCCGTTACAGGCCGCAAGCAAAACTTTCCTCAAGTTTATCAGACAGCCATATCGAAAGTCGATCAGTCGCCAGAATCCGGGCCGGAGACGCTAAACTGAGAATACATTCCTCGTTGCCGGAGACGCTGGACTGAATTCGCTCGCGCGCGCGCGCGAGAACTCGTTCTTCCTAACTGCTCCTTTCGAAGCCCTAATTCCAAACGTGGGGAAAAGAAGCATGGGCGAAGCGTTGGGTGAGGGGAAGGACAATCGAGTCCTTCAGTTCTCTTCCAATGCCGGCGACAGTGCGATTGAATCCGCGGCTCAGCGAGCAGTGCTCCGTGAACAAGTAATTAAGCTGCTCTTTCTTCTGAAATGTTTCGGTTTCCCGCTCAATTAAGCGTGTCATTATGCCGCATTGCTGTGACTGAACTTTAGAAATTCGTGGTTTTGTTGGTGACAGGAAATCGAGGCACAGAGAGTCATTCAAGCTCATCAAAGGTTGGTGAAGGGGGGGATTTATGATGGTTTTATGAATTTTGAGAAGTGCAAACAAAATGATATTCTGCTTTTTTTGTTGCAGAGATTCAGGAGCTGCAAGTCAAGAAGCCTCCAAGGATGGTGCTGATTTATTTGCTCAACGACTTGATCCCAACGCTATAAAAGTATGTCAATAGCTCTGGAGTTCGGTGTGATGTGTTGATGTAGACTACAGTATAGTTCTGAAGGAATTGCCTTTTCGAGGTTGTCTTTGGCATTTATTAAACGTATTACAGGAGCACTTGTTGAAGATGACGACTGACCATCGCTCTGAAATGGCTTCAAAGCATGGGAAGCCTACAGTTCCTGAACAAGGTGGATGACTAAATTAGCTATCTTTCTGATTCATAGTTTGCTTTCTTGCTTCTATGTTCAAGGTAGAACAGTGCTCTTATTTTTAATTCTTCTGCAGGTCGCATGGAAATTGGGAATGGGTATGGTGTGCCTGGTGGAGGGGCATATTATGGTTCTTCAAGGCCGTTACCTGATAAGGAAACGAACCAGGAATCTGCTACTAAGGAGCTACCCGATTATCTCAAGCAAAAGTTGATGGCAAGGGGTATTCTGAAAGACAACAGAGAGAGGACAGGAATTGGGAACAAATAAACCAATAGTATGTACCTCCATTCGTGGTTTCTATTACTGAATTTTTGTTTGTGGCCAAAATTATGGGTAACACTTATGAACCAGCCTGGTTATGCTGAAAGCGTTGATTAGCAATTTCTGAACTTCGCATATCGTAAAATGTATCCCAAGATGACAGTTTTCGGGTTTCGTTTGCTGATGTTGCTTGAATAGTACTTCTGATCCATCATTTCCATTTTCTTAGCATCTAATGTAGCAGTTTGCCTTTTCAGGAGTCGAGAACGGTTTCGTCACAGCATGTTCAGTTGAATAAGCTGCTTCCTGGATGGGTGAGTAACTATTACTACTTTTGCACTAACTCAAGAACATCAGTGATCAGTTGTTTTGATTCGTAAATTACCTGCATAGGCTTGGGTATTTCTGATTGTAAAATCTTGAAAGAGGAATAAAATGATAGAAGCAGCGAAATCAGATTTGGTTGGATGAGTTTTGATCTAGGCAAATAATGCGTTCTTTTGCTTGACTTATTTGGTATCTGTAAAGCAAATGACTACTTATGACTGATGTCGCATTCTCCAACCCCCTTACAAATGTGGTTATGATGGCGTGTAATCTGTTATTGGAAATGAACAATTTCAAATGGTATGATGTGTACCAGTTGATGGACGGAAATTGGTAGTTTTGCATGCTGCTGAATCCTATTATTTCTGTCTAGGCAGAAGCAAAAGATCCCACAACAGGTGCTCCTTATTACTATAATGAAAGCACTGGGGTGACTCAATGGGAGAGGCCTCTCGAAACTCCTCCGACCAAGCAGGTCCCTTTACCTTTGGCTCTTCCTGGAAATTGGGTGGAGGCTGTGGATGAAACCACAGGTATGCATTAAAACTGGAGAACGTAGCTGGAAGTTGTGCATGTGGAGGAAATTGCTTGTGACTTCTTGCTTTGCTCTTTGAATTTCAAGGTTGGTTAATTTATGAGATTACTTGTAATAAGAAGTCATTGAATTATGATGATCGTGTGGACCAAGTGGTTGAGGTGGCCAGATTCTGCTCCTTTTTCGTCTGATTCTTACCTTCTTTTTGTGCTTGTATCTGCGTAACTACTGCTCTACAAATCAGCTGACATGATTTAATGTTTTGCACTTTTGCTCTAAAGATTTTTGTTATGTTAATATGCCTGATGAACATGTATTTGGATCTGCAATAGTTTGCGAATAATGTATAAAAGTGCCACTATAAACTCGATATATGAGACAGATTGCAAGCATTGTTAAGTCTCTTCTCTGCTTCTAATTATCCATGGTTATTTGCAGGCCATAAATATTACTTTAATACCAAAACCCAGGTATCACAATGGGAGCATCCTGATTCATCATCTGTACTTGCCTCACAGCGAGCTTCCATTACGAATATGGTACAAGCTGACCCAGGAAGTATGAATGAGAAATCACGGTACAATACAAGATGCATGGAATGCGGTGGTTGGGGTGTAGGCCTTGTACAATCATGGGGTTACTGCAATCATTGCACACGGTAGGTTCATCAACAACTTATATTAAGCTGTACTTCTGCGGCAGCAATTGCTTTACTTATTTCTTCTCGACTAAACTCTGTGCAGAGAACTTAATCTTCCTCAAAGCGAATACATAACTCCAAACTACCAGCGGCAGGCTAGCACTTTTGGGAATTCCAATGGCAATCATAACAACAAAGGGGCAGAAAAGAGGTACTTTATAGAATAGTTTCTGATCACCAATTCCTCTACCCTTTGAATTCATGTAGGTTCTTATTTTACTGCTAAATTACTCTATTGTATGCATCATACTGAAGGCTATAATATGTAGGTAGCTGCTGCGTAGTAAACTTTATTTATGTTAACTGCGGACATTTGAGTTTTCAGGCCAAATGGGAGACCTCCATTTGGGAAAGGGAACAACAAAAAAGAGAACAGAAAACGTTCCTACGCCGAGGATGATGAGCTGGACCCCATGGATCCAAGCGCTTACTCCGATGCTCCTCGTGGTGGCTGGTAAGGAATATCATAACAATATAAGCCGTCTCTTGATCTTATTTTAACAAGACTGCTTATTTCAACTTATGATGTTATGTTTTACCTGATAGGGTTGTGGGCTTAAAAGGGGTGCAGCCACGAGCAGCTGATACAACTGCCACGGTATGCTATATACACTTCTTAACTAACTGATGGGATTACACATATAATGGTTCGAATCTCGCTTTGATTATTCGCTGCATCTTAACCCTGTTTGCATTGTTTTGTTTGTGTTTCCTGTGCTGGTTCAGGGCCCTCTTTTCCAGCAACGCCCTTACCCATCACCAGGAGCCGTCCTAAGGAAGAATGCCGAGGTTGCATCGCTGTCCAAGAAACCCCCGGGGTCTCAGTACATTGCGATATCCAAGGCAGGGGATGGGAGCGATGGTCTTGGTCAGGCTGATTGACGATATGAAACTCGTGGTAAGTACAGAATGGCAGAGTGTAACATGTACGTAGTTCCGCCTCCTAATGTGTCCTCCTGTCTTGTTCAGTTAATCTTGATGGAAGCTGCTGCTTGCAGTTGCAGATCTGCTCGAACTCGGAAAGAACAGCGCCCTGGAAGGAGATCTGTGTGGGTTTATGTGAACCTAATGTCACGAGAATCCACAGCGGGTTTCGACATTTGCTAGGAAAATGTAATGTCCTATCGTAGTTATTATCTATTGAAAGATCGGGTTGATTGCTCATATCTTACCTCTAAAGCCATGGCTACTACCGTATGGAAGCCGATATTCGGTATGTTCGGCCATTTGGAACTTAACCCCATTTAATGGTTAAATTTTGAATCTGGTTTAGTTGACTAACCTAAGTACCTAACCATAGGTCCATAGCTAATCCACAATTCAATAATAGATAAATAGTGAATTATTCGAAATTGTTCACCTAGATATTTGTTTGATGACACCACTATGCTTTTAGATATTTTCCAAGGTCCATCCAAAGAATAACGATATTTTTCAGGGAAAGACCCGTATATCCCGGAAAGGATGTCGAGCCGGGTCCCAGCTTAAATTCACTTGGTCCAATTATAAACATAGTGAACCTCATTAACTTGATTAGGTCAAGGTTAATGATGGTTTGGGTTGAAATTGGAATCGCAATTAGAATAACATAACAAAGATTTTCCTGAAAGTACCTCAGATTTCATTTTTCATAACACGGAACAGTAACGATAAACCAATCCAGTACATGGACCATGACTCGAACCGAACAGTAACCAGAGAACAAAAAAGAGAACGCAGCAGCACCACCGATAACCCTAATTAACTCTTAAAACATAGTTCCAGACACGATAATTCAATCCACGTCATCACGACCCCCCAATCCCCCTAATCTAAAGCTAGATGGATTTAACTCCTCCAGTTGCCACCGTCGCCGCCCCTGCTGGAGTAGCGGTCGCCGCCACCGTATCCACCACCACCGCCTTCACGACGGCCGCCACCGTAGCCGCCACCGCCGCCACCTCCGTATCCGCCCTCACGTCGGCCTCCACCATAACCACCACCACCGCCTCCACTGCGGAATCCACCGCCTCCACCGCCACTTCCACGGGACTGAGCCTCGTTGACGGTAATGTTACGGCCGTCAAGGTTCTGGCCGTTCATCCCGGCGATGGCATCCTTCATCGACTGCTCGTCGCCGAAGGTCACGAATCCGAACCCGCGGGACCTTCCAGTCTCACGATCGTTGATGATCTGTAACCAAAACAGAACCAAGGAACACAGATCTGTTAGATCTACGCGGAAAATTCAAATCCGGAACAACAGATCTAACGATTAAACGGAAGAACAAAAGATTCAGATCTATAATAAACGAAGAAAATTTAAACAATACAAAAAAGAAAAAACGATCGATCTCTCCCGCAGGGATGAAGATGAACGTACCGATTAGCGGTGAGTAGTATAGAGTAACAGTAACAGTAAAACAGAGTAACACAGTAACAGAGAGTAACAGTAACAGAGAAACGAGATCGGATTCAGAAAACTGCAGATCCTGGATCGACAAAGCCGACTGGGAGCCGAGTCAGATCCGGTCGCTAACGGACCTTCGAGTCGACGACGTTGCCGTAGGTGCTGAAGGCCTCAAGGAGGGCCTCGTCGGTGGTAGCCCAGGCTAGACCACCGACGAAGCACCTGTACTCGGTATCAGCGGCTGCCATTGTTTTCAAGGAGGGGAAAGGAAAGAGAACTGGTGGAAAACCCTAGGAGATAAAAGCTGAAAGAGAGGGAGTGGTTGAGTGGATGGGATGCAGCTTCCAGTGTGGAACGCGAGTTTATATAGGCGGTTGGGGTCTGGTGAATTACAGAAGGAGTCACTGGTTTGCGAGCAACTAGCATATCGATCACTAAGGTTTGATTCCTTACAATTTTACCACCAAATTTGTATATTCAAATCGGATAGTGGTACTGTTGTTGGCTGATTGTTGTTAATTTGAAGGATTTTTATCACTAATGTGTAATAATTTGGACGAGGAAGTTGATGGGGATGAGGTATGGTGACTAATTTGTGTATTTTCTCAAGACTTCAGGGTTGCATCTGTTTGGGATTAAAGTTGAGGTACCAACTTTTTATGACCCTTCGTATAATTGAGCCGGCCGAAGATATTTTTGGTGCATGCAGAAGATATTTTTTTTATCTGTCTCGGTCATATTAATGGGCTCAGAACCCTAGAATAAAAAATTGTGAACGGCCCAAACAACAAGGAATAGAAGACAAAACCCATCAAGTTGGGTTTTCAATTTTAAAATAGAAATATTGTATTTCTGAATATAACTTTTCTTTAACAAGTATTTCAAAACCACCAAGTTGGGTTTGTTTGTCATAAGATCTCAATGTGAGCCCATTTCATGACCAAATTCTTCTCTACCATTTGAAACATTATGAAGAAGAATACATGTGTACACTTGACCAAATTCCATCTAACTGTGACAATATAATTTGTATGGATGTTTGGTATTGGGAAAGTGATACGAGGGATGGAGGGTGTCAGCTATCAACGAAACTACATTGTTATGAATATTTGGTTTTTTCGTTGTGAAGATTGGCCTAAGGCGACAAATATGTAATTGGTAAGCATACATGCATAGGTGGATAGTAGCATGGGTTTCGGTGAGTGCACCCATACTCATCATTGATAATCTCTTTACAGACACCCCCTAATCCATTTAGTAAACTTATCAATACAAGGGGTACTCAGTGTTACCTATTCAGGTTAGAAAGTATTTGGCTGCTTTGGTCTCCTAATTCTATGGTTCGGATTGTGAACGGCAGTCAGTTGTTGTTCGTGTTGTGGTACATAGTAGCCCACATACTTATGAATGTTGGTAAGAGGTTTGGAACTTGATTGTAACGTGCTCTTAGTTATGGTTAAGAGACCGAACACTAGGTCATGACGCGAATATTAGGCTCAAGACTGCTCAGAACAAAATATTTGAGGCTCAAAGATAAGACATGGAGCAATTTGTTAAAACTCTATATTATTCGGTAAAAATTTGAGAGTCAATTCGAATGAGCTTAAAACAGTCAAATGATATAGTTGAAGTTAAGGCATATGGATGATACGAGGTGCTAGGGGTATTAGAAGCTCAAATGATATGTCTTGTGTCATTTTTAGCAAAGCTTGGTGGCACCATAACCTCTCTTAAGTTTGGTTGAGGTTGACTACCCACCGTGTAATTTACAGGAATTAATATGAATATGCAAGGAATCGAGTGATAACACTACTTGTCAAAAATATTTTAACAAACATGAAAACCCAGTAAACCCATCAATGCCCTTCAGTTTTCACACTTTAAGCAAACATTGACATTAGAAATCAGCAACAAACACCATTAATTTACCTACCCACACATTAATCAAACACTCATTTAACAAAATTAAAATATAATTTATAAGGGCAAATTATTTGTAACTTAAGGATGAATAGTATGGATGATGAATGCAACCTCTTGTACACACGAATGCACCGGATTTTTTGCCCTCTGAGCTCCGTTCACTGGGTCTGCTTCTCACGGTTGCTCCCAACAACAAATTTGTCGCCGTGCCCAAAAAAAGAAACCCCAAAACCCAGAGCAGGGAAGGTCAGAAAACAACTGCTGTAACTCGCATTTGGTCTCAGATCAACCGCCACCGGAGCGATGGCCGAGGTGTCGATGTGCAACAGCAACGGCGCCGCAGAGCTCTCGCCGGAGAAAGAGAGGGTTCTGATTCGCGATATTGCGCTCGCCGCCGGAGCCAACAGCAAAGAAGGGGACGACTTCTTTTTAATTACCCAGAGGTGTGTTCTCAAGCTTCCACCGCCTATTTCTTTTATGCACGTTGAAAGTTCCGCACTTGTTCTCTTTTCCGCTTGGTTGGAAGATGGTAGGTTGAATTTAGTGGAGAGTTGGTGAAAGGTGTTTGTGGGTATTAGGGGTTGCCAAATGTTTTCAGGGGAGAGAGTTCCGATAAGGAATAGATGGATAACGAGTTGAGAAAGACATGAATCCTTGTCCATTTTAGCTCAAGCTATCTCTTCTGTGACTGTATTTGAAAATTCTGGATTGCTTGCTTCTCCGTTTCATTGCCAATGCCCCACTAATGAGATAGGAGATAAGGAGTGCTTAGTAAGAAACAATGGTGTGTGCATCTAGTTGCTTTTGGACTATGCTAATGACAAGGCATTGGTTTGTGTACTCGTATGCTTGAGTTCTTATGGGCGTTTTCATCACTAAATGAGCATTGTTTTAGAGAATTCATGGGGTTGCTTGACCTTTTTTTTTTGGTTGCTTGATAAATGCTAGTAATGGTTTCCTGTTTCTTTCTTACTAGAAGATGGTGGCAGCATTGGATAGAATATGTCAATATAGACCAACAAAATAGTACCAATGAAGGATCCTCAGTGTTGAATAATCATTCCGACTTGCGGCCTGCTGGTATTGACAATTCTGATCTAATATACGATTCAGTATCTCATGATGGCAACATCAGTGTTGAGATCCATGATAGTTTATTGGAAGGACGTGATTATGTTCTGCTTCCACAGGATGTGTGGAATCAGCTACATTCCTGGTGAGTTGCTGGTAACTGACTTGCGGAAGTTCAGTAAGATGTCTGTGTTTGTTTTATCAGTTCCCGGCTTCCCACACAACCTAGATTGGCAACAGTGGTGATTATCCATTCAGTTCTTTTGCGTCCTTGTTTCTCTTCTCTTAAACTTATAGTTTGTAGTAAGTTTGTCCATCCTACGCGGGAAAAACTTTTGAGTTTTTTCTTGCTTGATAAGGTGCTGCAACATTTGCTTAGTTGTTTTGCTGAAATATATGAGAAACATCTGAAGTAGTACTGTGTCACTGCTAGTGCTTATTAAATATATAGGTATGGAGGTGGTCCACCATTGGCACGCAAAGTGATCAGTTCAGGCCTCTCTCAGACAGAATTAGCTGTAGAAGTGTATCCTCTCCGTCTTCAACTGTTGGTTATGCCCAAAGGCGACCGATCAACCATAAGAATAAGCAAGAAGGTAAAGCTAGACATTCTCATTACTGAGTTCATTTTTCTTTCTATCTATCTTCACTGTAATTCAGAAGATTGTTGATCATTCATTCGTCTATGCGCATTTAACATCTAAAGCTTATTTAGAACCTAGTAAGATTAGAAGTTATAACCAAAATGGTCATGTGCATATCAAACTTTCACGCATATCAGCTTTCAACCTTGAGCACTATCATCACCACAGTCTCTATCCTTTCCAATATCACCATTATTGAAATGTGTAGACCAATTCACCGAAAAATGAACTGGAAAATGAAGTGAAATTCTTTTCAGATACGAGTAAAGGCATCCCAAGAGTATTCCCTGCAAACTTGTTACCTGTATATCACATTTTACTTGGTGGTCCTTGAGTATATGTGTGTTTCCTGATTCTTGACAGCTGAATGGCAATGACAGGAAACTATAGGTGAGCTTCATAGAAGAGCTTGTGAGATTTTCAATCTTAACGCAGAACAAGTAAATACTATATTTCCCTTCCATTCTCTTGGGAGCTTTTACTGAATAAAGATGTGCTATATGTGTTGTGAACTTCGCTTATCTTTTCTTCTCTTGTATTTGATGATACAGGTATGCATATGGGATTACTATGGCCATCAGAAGCATGCTTTGATGAATGGCATGGATAAAACACTCGATGATGCTAACATACAAATGGATCAAGATGTGAGTCTTTTCTTTTGTTACTTATATTTTTTTCCAAAACATGTTTGATGGATTGGTTTCATATGAGCCTACGATTTCTCATAGTTTTTTTCCGAAGCCAATTGTATTTATTTTGTTGATTAATCTAGTTTCTCTCTGAAGTCACTTCATCTGTTTGGGTAATGGATCTATGTTCTCAAAACCACATGTTATGCTAGCGGGTATTTTGTTCTTTAATCTCAGAATGACTATGATTTTGTTTGCGATTGGAACTGTTTTTAGATGCGATATGGATAAGAAGTTAGCTGAGTACCTTGTTTATGATTACGGAATAATAAATTGGAAGGGTGAACTATATGATAGATTGAGTAGTTTTTTTAAACAGGGTTCAGGAAATTCATCTGCTAAGGGTTTGAGTTGCTAGGATATCAGGTTTTGAGGTCTATTGAGTTCTTTTCGAACTCATGAGAGAACTGCTAACCTGCATTGTGAAATATTATGGCAACATGGTAACATTAGTGTTATCCCAATAGCGAGTATTTATTGCATGGAAGTTGGAACCATTTCTGAGGTGACTAAGACTCCTAATCCTCACCCATAAGTTCTTACACTGCTGCCAACAGTTAAGAAGTTAGGAATGGAAAGACAACCTGCAAAAGTCAATCAAAGCTAATATCTGAAAGTAAGTACTGACTTTCTCAAATTTCAAGAGAGCTAGTGATGGTAGGCTTCATTGTTCACCTTCCCTATGATGAATGGTAGTGACTTCAGAGTTCCTTCTGTTTCTCGGTTTACACTAGGCTTTTATTTGCTTTTGTTCAGACTCACTCTCCATTCTCCAACCCCCCCCCCCCCCCCCCCCCCCCCCCCCCAGTCTTCTTGACGCATGTTCACTTTCTTGAATTTTAGCATCATGTCTGTATAATAGTCTGAGCTATGCTGCTGAATTGATTGAACAATCACTCTGCATTTGATTATATTTTGGTTTCAATTACATGTATAGACTGTTTTATTAATACAAGCATGGAACCCTGTCACTGAAACTTCAAGAGGGAAGCTCACACACAGTACTGCAAAACAGAAAAACAACTAAATGTCTAAATGTTAGAATAGGCTTCTCATGATGTCCAACAACGTGTACTTGCTAGCTTCCATTTTTTTTACGATTGCTTTCCACAATTGTATCTCAGTTTTTCTTTTGTTTTCCTCTTTTTTTTTTTCCTCCCAACATTTGCACAGATTCTCGTGGAGGTTCTTAGCAATGTCAATGGTACTGCATTAAGGGGTCATATGTGCTCTGTTAACAACAATGGATTTGCCAAGAAGGAAGCTACTTCTATTCTTTTAGAGCCTTCTAAGTTGACCTTATCAATTGCAGGAGGTTTCCCTGCAAGCAAAGGTGCGTCTAGAAGCTGCAGCTCAGAGATTTCGCAAGCTCGGAATATGACATTAACGGTTAGGGAGTTGGATAATGCATATGGGATCAGCTGTGTTAGTACAAGAGGTTCTTATGGTGGCCTTACCGGGTTGCAGAACCTAGGCAATACATGTTTTATGAATAGTGCAATACAGTGCCTTGTTCATACACCTGAATTCGCTAAATATTTCCGGGAAGATTATCATCGAGAGATAAATTGGCAAAATCCCTTTGGCATGGTGGTGAGTTTGAAATACTTTAATACTTGTCTTACTGATGACAAGTTGCAAATATTCTTAAGTGAATCCAGAGTGCTCTTACTCTGTTAAAACATCGACTTATGTCCAATGCCCTTCTTGAAGGACTTATCTCTGTCAACTTAAGTCAATCTTCGAGTCATGCATTAAAATGTTCTCTTCTTAGTGCTTTGCTTAGGATATTGGAACCCAGAAGATGACATGTTGCTCATTGTTGATACTTATGATTCTAGTAGCTTTGGTTGAAATTGGTTGACTTGGTGTACATTAGTTTTTCAGTAACATATTAGAGGCTAAAGTATTCTGCTGGTGTTCGACTTATTTGGCAAGAGTTGTTATTGGTTAACCCGAATTAAAAGACATCGGAACATGCATCATATTGGGATGCTTCATCTATGGTTGTTGTTTCTCTTGAAAAAGTTCCGTACTTCACATGTCTTTTGCTTGTCCATAGATTTCTGTTCAGATATTCCTATCATGAAGTCAATATGTCACAGATAACTTTTGTTGTGATAAAATCCGTTGTACTTGGCAAACTTGCATTGAACTATGTGGCAGTGCATATTAATTCATGGAGCTTGATCGGTTCTTTTGTTAGGGTGAGCTGGCCTTAGCATTTGGTGATTTGTTGCGGAAGCTCTGGGCACCAGGGCGAACACCAATAGCTCCTCGCCCATTCAAAGCACAGCTTGCTCGCTTCGCTCCGCAATTTAGTGGTTATAGTCAGCACGATTCTCAGGTTTGTAAAACCTACAAAGCTCACATATTATTATGTGTTTGGAAAGTTTGTCCAGCTTTCTTACTTTACTGCATATTTTATTTCCTCAGGAACTCTTAGCTTTTCTCTTAGATGGTCTCCATGAAGATCTGAATCGCGTTAAACAGAAGCCGTATATAAAGTCCAGAGATGCAGATGGGCGCCCAGATGAGGAAGTTGCTGACGAGTACTGGGCAAATCATATTGCTCGGAACAATTCTATAATTGTTGATGTTTGCCAGGTTGGATTTTACATATGAAATCATATATTCTGAATATTTTGCCAATAAGATCTTATGGTATGCTGTTTTGGACTTCCAATTTGTAACAGCATTGCTCATATGTGGTCTCGAGTTGTCTGATTGCCAACTGGTGAGCTTTTTTTCTTGGGCAAGCTTCTTGAACATTACCTTATTGTAACAGGGTCAATACAAGTCAACTCTGGTTTGCCCAGTATGCAACAAAGTATCTGTGACGTTCGATCCCTTCATGTACCTCTCCTTGCCTCTCCAATCCGCCACCACCCGTTCTATGACTCTCACCATCCTCACTTCTGACTCGACTACCCCGCCATTTCCCTGCACTGTGTCCGTGCCAAAGCACGGATGGTGCCGCGATTTGATCCAAGCAGTTAGCATCGCTTGTTCCTTGAAGACCCACGAGGAACTTAAACTTGCTGAGGTCCATATGATTCATTGGCATTACGATCATACCTTCAAAGTTTACATATTTTATTCAATGCTTATTTGTAAAAGAAAATTCTTGCAGGTGCGTAATCATCAGTTTCATAGATTCCTAGACGATCCTTGTTTGCCTTTATCCTCAATCAAAGATGATGAACGCATAGCTGCATATAAGATCTCAAAGTCTTCAAAGAATTCACTTCTGCTTCGGTTGATTCACCGTTGCAGACCCCAGTATGTGGCGTTACCCTTGTTTTCAATAATTCCATTACCATGATATACAGCGTGTGTTTGTTTTAGCTTTTGCTTAGAGAAAACAAGTCATTCAACTGTTGTCTTTAAATAAGTTGAAACAAGCAGAGTCATATTTCTATTTCTCACTCGTCAACATTATGGTCTTGCGTACTTCAGGGAAACGGGAAGTAATGGATTATCGTCTCAGTGGAATGGTTTCGGAGTTCCTCTCATTGCATCCGTTCCGTATGAAGATTCTATTACCAGAGGAGATATACAGAGAGAAGTGCAAAAGATTCTTCTACCATGGTTTGGAGGGGAAAACTTGACACAGGACACTGATGGTGATATTTGTGCCGATTATGTGACAGACTCACCAAAAACCAATGGTTGTCCTTCAAAGACATTGTCATTGAAATTTTCTCTACAAATGGCCGATAAGAGTAACGAGTTGATTGATCTCTCGGCCAAAGAAGGGAAATCCATCAGAGTTGCCACATCATCAGCTCCAGCAGTGGTATATGTTGATTGGTCTCGAGATCTCATCGAGAAATGCAGTGCCAAGTACTTTGAGAACTTGCCGGAAGTGTTCAGGTATGGACCTGTGAGTAAGAAAGCTCGTACAGAACCCCTCTCTTTGTACACGTGTCTAGAAGCTTTCCTGCGTGAAGAGCCTTTGGTTCCTGAAGACATGTGGTTAGTATATTTTTCTTTCCTCTGCTATATAGCTAATACTCTTCCAGAAGATGGCTCCCTCTGCATTTTCGTTCTTGTACTTCTGTTTCATTTAACCAAGGGTCAATTAATGGTTACTAACAAACTGGTTTGCTGAACTTTGATTCTTAGCAAACTTGTCACTGAAGTTTGGCATAACTAATAAACAACCATATTCTGTTTCAAGGCTTTTGTCCAGATTTTCTAGGTTATTGCATCAACTCCCCAAGTTAGTATAAAAAAGAGGTTAGATGAAGCCTCTCGGATTAGTTGTTGGGCAACCGAAGGAAATATTAAAGTAGTTCTGGATGATTCTAAACTTGAGTACCTGTCTGTCAAAAATCAAAGTTCTTTAACTGATTTGTGAGTGACCGGTGACAGTTGGTATATGTGTTCCTTGAACGAAAAAGATTGCTTAGTAATAGCGATGCACTTGTTAAAGGTATTGTCCACAGTGCAAAGAACGGAGACAAGCGAGCAAGAAGCTTGATTTGTGGAGGCTTCCAGAGGTGCTGGTGATCCATTTGAAGAGATTCTCATACAGCAGGTCTATGAAACACAAACTGGAAACCTTTGTCAACTTCCCAATAAGGGACTTTGATCTGACAAACTATGTAGGCAACAAGAATAGCACCCAACGTCAGCTCTACGAACTGTATGCGCTAACCAACCATTATGGCGGCATGGGAAGTGGGCACTACACAGCACACATCAAGGTAGAACAAATTGAACTTTAATCCTCTTTTCTAACTGTCAGTGAATGAATTGTCTTGCTCTGCTCTGAGTGTTATTATGAGCCTGTGTGAGTAATCAGTATCGTGATGCTTATCTGTTCTTGTCTGGTATGGCCTGCAGCTCCTGGAAGAAAACAAATGGTATAACTTCGACGACAGCCATATCTCACTCATAAACGAGGATGACGTGAAATCAGCTGCTGCGTATGTACTGTTCTACCGAAGGGCGAGGAGTAATGACAATGTCCTCACCAGCAACGGGGCACTCCCTATCCCTATTGAGACCAAAAGTGAGCCTTTTCAGACGTAACGGGATGCAAACACAGCGTGTAGTGGATTGCAGTTTGAAGAAGACATCTAAAAAGCCATAAAATGTTCTCTTTCTGCAACCGAAAACGAGTTTGCTCAAAACATTTCCTGCATGAGTGATCTCTCTCACACCCACAACAGGGGAGCATTCATTAGAGATGTAATTGGTAGAGCTTAGTGTAGTAGAAAATAGGATTTACAGAAGCCCAGACTAGATGTTTAGAATGCATCAGTAGCTGGGTTATTAGCTGTACTCTTTTTAACTTGTAATTCCTTGCACTATCAAATGCTTTATCATATTTTCTACATTCTACTGCTGCTCTGATGTCACGGTCTTTCACGTTTGGTATCGTGTGTCGCTCATAACTTGGCAGAGCTTCATTTGACAGCCAAAGGGTGTATTTTCAGGCCAAAATGAGCAGAATTGCAGAAAACACCAACGCTCCAGTCCGATTTATGATTCTTTGATCAGCTTATTTCTCAAAGGGACAACTACCAATTAGATAGTGATCGTTCTACGATTCAAGCTCTTCAAACACCAACACAAGTGCGAAAACAACTTTATTGATGTTCTTGTATTAGAAAGGCAAACATTATGCTTCCATAACTCGTGTCAGGGATACAATACTCCAGCCACAAATTAAGGAAGTGTTCTCTCCTATCATAAACTAACTATCCCAGAAACCAACACCTCCATTAATCAACCACTTCGCTCAGCGACTCTTACAACTTACAACATTCGAGGCACAAAGGCAGACGTTCAGGGTGCAGAATACAGGGTTAGGGTTCTTATAGATCATCGAAGCTAGGTTTTCTATTTTCTCTCTCTCTACACAAAACTGAAGGCCTGCAGTACACATTCTCAGTTCTGTGACTCAGGCCATTTCTTCAAGCTCTTACCAAGTGAGGACTAGAGCGGGGAAGCATGCACGAATAAGTGACATACTTGACACTGTCCACTAGTACAACAACAAACACTCGAGAGAGGGACTTTGGGAGAAATACACCATCCACTTCAGTATCCGCGATTTCTCTGGGATCAATAAGCACGGAGACGACCATTGAAGAGGCTGGTGGTTTACTATTATTACCTTGAATGTTGAATGTCTCGTTGTTTCGCCCCTTGTGTTCTCCAGTGACATTGAGTTCTGAATCCGGGAAGGGTACTGGAAGGCCATGGAGGATTCTTCTATGCTTTTTCTTGTCAGAGGGAGGAGTAGCTTTCTGTTGGGGTTCTCTGGTGAGATTAGTGACTGGGGGAGAAGACACTATGGCACCAGGAGATGGTGAAACGTCAAATTGAAACACTTCACTGCACATTCCAGAACTCAACATAGGACCTGCAGCAGGAAAAGGGAAACAATATGTCAATCCCTAAGCAAACATTAGTATTCTCGATTTTGGGTTCACATCTAACAGATACATCATCCATCATTAACAACAACTATGACTAAGTTAGAAGTGCTTAACCCCAAATACATCTGATTTGTACTTATGCTCATGGTAACATCTAGCATGCATTCCCCAGCCATTCCAAGTCATTGAAGTTTGAGAATGAGATCAGTTTAATTCTCTTATAGTTAGGTAGGAAAAAATTCAACTGTTGACTGAGGATCCATTAACTCAAATCACTTGGGTTCATGGGGGAGAAAACATACTTGAGCAAGTTTTATAAGCCAAGAATTACACAATCAAATCACTATATATGAACGAACATGGTACATATACATCAGAAATGGCTAGAGAAAATAATCGGTTACCAATCAATGATTTATATGTTTACCTGCAAGACCTTGATGGAACCACTGCTGCAGTTTACCATCAGCAGCAGAAGACTTGAACTGTTCCTTCAAATTATCATTAGATCCGGAACCAATGGCCTTCTGTTGTTCAGCAGGAGTTCTATAGATCCTCCCCCTATTGTTTCCGTCAGGGATAGCCAAAGCCCCTGAGAAATCCTGAGCTATTGCTAAACCCTTCTCCATGGGTTTTGCTTCAGGAGTCTTCTTCTCCTGAGATTCTGTTGTTGTTGTTGTTCTCTCACTAGCCAGAATACAGTGAATTATCAAATTCCCATCAATCTTCACGAGCTTATCATTCCGTGGCACATACAAGGATGCATGAAGCTGCTCACTCGAGTTATCCGGATGTGCAAAACCACCCGGTTTGGGTATATGATCTGCACCTCCATTCTTACTTTTCTCACAGTGAATTCTGTTGATGCTGTTGTCACTAGATCTATTCGAATGCCCATCAGCTACCAACACTCTCCCACGAAAATGCTGATCCGAAAAACTATCATGAAACCGGCGATCTACATTCTCCCCAGGCCCTCCATACTTAACGTTGATAACAGGCAATAGCCCACCAAACATAAAAATGAAAAAGAGCAAACCCAGAAGACTAACACTAGCAACTTTCTTGGTCTTTGTCTCAGACTTTTTCGCGGGCGTCTCACCCTTCTTGGATTTAGCACAAGCCACGGGCTGCTGGGGTTTCAATCTAGGGATAGGAACCAGGGGAACCTGAGAAGCCTGAGGCTTAACAAAGTATGGAGGACAGGGCATCCATGGATAAGCCATGGGAGCCATCGGCGGTGGATACATAGGAGGAGGACACATGCCATTGCCACCACCTAATTGCTGCCTCAAGCTAGCATTCTCAGCCATAAAGTACGAAACTTTACCATTCAAGTCAGCAATTGCAGAATGCATAGCTCTCACCTTATCCTCCAGCTCCTCCACGTAATGCTTCTTCCTCTGCCTCGACAGCTGCGCGCTCTCTCGGTTTCTCATCAGCCTGGCCTTCTTCTTCTCATCTTCTTCACCGAAAGGTCCAAAGCTGCCGCACTCCTCAGTCTTTGTATCGCTCCCCTGCGACGAAGAATTCGATTTGGGAATTTCAGAAACCCTACATTTCTGCCTTCTGGAGGACGCATCGTTACTCGACTCCTTCTTCCTCTTCGGCAACGCGCCGCCGGCGCCGCTCTTCTTTTTCCTCACAATCGCTTCCTCATCTTTCCCCGGAAAAGTCCCCGAACCAGGAGAACAGGCATTCGTCGTCTCAGAAACATCAGACCTTTCCCCATTTCCAGAACCATGCGACGAAACAGGAGATGCATCAGTACAATTCGCTATCCCTACAGCAACTGAAGCCGTACTCCCTTCATCGGAATCGCAACTCCCGGCACGAGAAGGCGAGCGGTTGAAATACTTCCCAACGTCAGAGCAGCCACCACCCCCATCGCTACCAGACACCACAGAATTCCCCGATCCCGGCGATCCGTCAGCCTCTGGTGCACCGACGGAATCCGGGGGAGGAGGGAAGGACTCGGTCTCGGAAGGGAAGCTAATAGGATCGGGGAAGCCGTCGAAATCAAAGTCTAGATCGAAACTGTCGTCGAAATCGAAGGAGGAGAGATCGGTAGGGATGAAGCCGTGTTGGTCGGGGTTTGTGGAGGAGGAGAAGAAGAGCGGGTCGAGGAGCGGATCGGCATCGGAGATCGGCGGAGGAGGTGGGTTAGGATCGAGGACGGAATCCGCCATTGTTAGAGACTGATTGATTGGAGAGGTTTTCCGCGATCGGAAGGGAAGGAAGCGGAGAAGAAATAGGCGGAGGAGAAGACCCTCCAGAGACTTCTTCCGATGGGGTTTTAGTTGGGAGTTAACCAATTAAGGAAGTAATTAAGTATTAAGTTACGTATTTGGCGTGCTTAATACTGTTTATGAGGAGTTATTAAGGTCGATAGGATTGAGGTAGAAGAAAGAGCAACAGCGTGGGATTATATAGGACAATTTAGTATACGAGACAATAACATACTAACAAATCGGTCATTGAACTTTCATTTTGTAACAATTTGTGAGAAACACTCCGCTATACACACAACACCGATTATCGAAGACTCAAATCATTGTAATCAATCATATGTAAATTAAAACCAAGAGGTTGGCCATAATTAGCAAGGTAATGGGCTGTACGAGAATTTGTACAGGTAAGAGTGAGTTGCATAGACTTACCGATTGTGCTTCATATTTATGTAATAATTTATCTTTAGAGAGATGATTGATAAAAAATTTGTTGATAAGACGGTGCATTAGCTCGTACAATTTGACAATAATACAATTTTGGTAGACCGACTATCAATTAAGAGTTTATATAGTGGTGCATGTTGTAGTTGAGTTCATTACTGGATTTGATTTTAAGCTAATTATAGTTAGTGCTTCATTTTTAATAGTCAAATGGAAAACTAAATCGAGATAGGGAGACATCATTACATCAATGATGAGTTTGTCGATTATTAAAGTTTAATGGGTGACTTGTGACTGACTGAAAGATTTGTTGACCATTTTGTAATTGATCCACTATATTAAAACAGAAATGATGAAAGCAGAAAGAAGCAAACAAGCGTAGGAATGCGCCAACGGTTTGCAGTCTTTGTAGTGGCGCGGGAGGACAAGCCGTTAGCTTCACGCAAACTCAAAAGGGAAGAAAACCCCAAAATAGGAGTGGAAATAACAAAACAAACTAAAAAGGAAATCAAGCATTCAACAATACGTTAGAATATGATATTCTTGAAGGTCTGATTTCATACTACTATCTATTATAAAAACATATTTTTCTTGTCGAACGAATATAAAATTCCTATAAATAGTAAATTATATTATCATTACACAAATATCATATTCTTCGCTGGGAGAAGAATAGTAGGTGGATTGGTTGTTACTTGATTTTATAGAACTTCTTATGATCGGCGGACTCATCCGTACCATACTGGCAACATTCCACATGAGGATGGACCATGTCTTCATGACAATAGACACAACCTTTGCGAACACGATCTACAAGCAGCAAAATTAGGATGATCATTAACTTTAGATATCTATCTATCTATCTATCAGAGTTAATAATGAATTAGTACTCTAATTACTTACTTACCGGGTCCAAATTGAGTCAGGTCTATGCAATCAAGAATTCGAATACCCATATCACCATAGTATTGAAGCGTCTCCACAAAAAACTCGTGAGTGGAAGTGCTGTTTTCCTCCCTGGCAGTGAAGGTGGCGTGGCAGGCCATTGCAAGGTGGAAAAGAACAGAACGGCTGAAAAGCGCTTCATGAAGCACATAATTCACACCCTGTTCGAATCAACCCACACAAAAATTATCACCAAGCAAGCATTCAGTCCACTGATTGCAGAGGAAAATGGGAATTGAGGGAGCAGAAAAACAACAACAAAACCAAACCAACTGAATTACATGTTTCCTGTTGTAAAACTTCACAGCAAGTCGGGCAATGGAGGCAGTTTCCTCCTTCCTGATTTCTTGATCTTCAGCGTCTGACGTAGTACTGTACAATGTCCAATATATATCAAGTTACAATCAGATTGATTGAATAAAAACAAGGGCAGAAACAGAAGAAGAAGAAGAAAAAAAAAAGTAATGGATGCACATAGCTGACGGGAACAAGAGCTCCGAATATCGAAATCCACGAGCATGAACCGATTTCAGCATCAGATTTATGACTAAAAAACTCACTATGATGATCCTCGAGCTATAATGGCGGCCAGTTTCTCATGAAATTTGCTCTCAGGGCGAAGGAATCGATATGTGATCGGCAGGTTATTCCTGGCAGCTTCGTCCTCGTCCTCATCAGAAGTTTCGACATCAGTTAACTGCTCTTCCACAGGCTCTATCGCACCCTGCTGCTGCTGCTGCTGCTGCTCGTCAAGATGATCATCAGCTCCACCTAACTCCGACTTTTGCCTTTTGGGTGAAGGAGGTTCCTCTGATGCCACGATCTGATCTTTTCGCTCCGCCATTGTTGGTTGATTGTCAACGGCTGGATTAGCAGCAGTCTCTCTTCTCTTTCTAATTCTATCCAAGTTGTCTAGTCTAGGGTTTCCGCCTCCTCCTGGAAATTGGAATGTCTGGACCAAGCATAATAGCCCATTAACATAACAGCCCACACTTGCTCGCTCCTCTTTCCTTTCCTTGAATGATCTTGTAATGAAGGAAGTGAGAAACTTTCCATCCATTAACATGTTTAATCATTAGTAAGCAGCTAGGCTTGAGCTTACCAACAACAACAAGTAATCTCAATACTATATGCAGAAAGGAAGGTATCTGCAAACTTGGATTCAATTGTCAATACTCAATAATAAGTAAGCTTTATTAACAGACTAATTAAGCACAAGAACTGATGGACAGAGAACCAAAACCGAAATGACAAAAAGTTACTTCATTTCTAACCATGAAGCTCTGAGAGCGAAGCAAAAAAGATGAACAAACAAAACCTAACAAGCAAACAAAAGAAAGTCCAGTAGAAGTTGTTGAGACCTCATCAATTGAAGTCCTTCAATCTCTTCTTCAGCACCTCCATCGATCTCTTCTTGGCACTCTGCTTCGCATTCCTGTTAGAAAGACTACCGAAGATTGAGTCAGCCGAATCCTTAAACTTCTCACAAATGGTAGCCACCTTCTTATAATCCAAAGTGTTGTAGTTCCTCTCCCGGATCACAGGGTTCATGAAGTTCTCCGGCTGGCTGCTCGACAGAAGATTGATCAGCTGCCTTGCTTCCACCAAACACGACCTGAAACTCGCTCCCTTGTATATTTCACTCAGCCCAGTACTGTGAAACCTCTCATCAGCAAAATTCTCCAACATCTTCAAATCATAGTTTAAGGAGAGCACTGCATTGGCGTTGAACCTCTTCACAGTATCACTTAGAAAAGCTCCAACGATGGAGTTCGAAATATGCTCCAAAGCACCACAGCCAACTTTATACAAAGCATCCAGAGGCAGAATCTGTTGAGCAGTCGATAAAAGTGTGTCGAGGTAGATCACCACCTCGTTTATGTACTCATTCCCATTCTGAGGCGTCTCCTCGGTTGTCCACTGAACATTATCAGTAAGAGCCATGAACTCCTCCAACTTGGTGTCCACCAAAGTCAAAAGCGCCAAGTAAGCAGCATCCCTTGAAGTTTTCAGGATCACTTTAGCAGTCAAACTAGCTTGAGCCCTCTCGACTGACCGAGCAGGGATTCCACATAGCTGGGCAGCATGCCGTAGGAAGAAATCGCATGCACGTTCGAGAACCGATATGTTTGCTGCAATCTGCATGGCTTGGGATACTCCGATGGTGCTGCTGTTAATCGTGCTAAGCACAACCTCATTCAGAATATCGATTAGTATCTTGTCCAAATACTTCCTCACAAGATCATAGATGTTTGTATGGAGACCATATGACAAGTAATCTACTGAGCCCTTGATGAATGACCTCACAATGCGACAAGTGTCAGGCACCATGGACGAGAACGGTGCTACATACGGGAAAGCAGGCATGATCTCCGACGTCTGGAGCTGAAACACAAGGACATTATTCTCATAATCTGTGTCTTTCTTTATCACCATTTGCTCGTACGTGTCATTTCCAAGGGCACCAACAATCTGCTCTCTACATTCCCTCAACAGAAAGTCGTGGTACTTCTCTCGGCCTTTGTCCAGAGCCTCCAAGAGTTGGCTTGTGTCGTAACCATATTGCCGAAGTGTTTCAGAAAGAAGTGTGACATAGTCCTTCACTAGTAAGAGATGAGTAGCCGAATCTGTGCGGTTGAACTGATCATCTAACAAAGATGTCACTTTATTGAGAGTTGTTTCCCACATTGTCTCGACTTGATCTGAAGAAAGAACACCACTAGCAGTCCTTAATACGCGATCCTCAACAATGAAGTAGCCAGCAATTTGAGCCAAGTAGGTCTGGTATGATTCAATGAACGGTTGACCATATGAGATTTGCAAGTCTGAGTTCAGCTGCAGGACCCGATTTTTATAGTAGTAGTCACGGAACTGATCACGAATCCCAAGGCAAGCATGGATGTGATGAGCTCGATAAAGAGGAGTGAGATCGAACTGTAATACTGAATCTTCATCGATTTCCTCAATTTCTAGAGTGAATGCAAAGTCTCCTAAACCGGAAACATTCTGCTCCTCGGCTCTCCTTTGCCGTTCCAGCATTTCTTCATCCCTCTGGCGAGCTGATGCTGAGTGGCTTATCGCTGTCTGGCCAATGGTCTTTGCTGAACTCCTTACATGAACAAGCCACTCATTGAACTGACTGGTGACCTTCTTCTCGATGTGTGTTTTGATGACTGGGATTGTCTTCTCCACTGCTAGTTTCAGCGATCTCACAGGGATGTTCTTCAGGTAATTCTTTTCGATCAAGTCCACAGTCTTCAGTGCCGGGTAGAAGTTACCATCCGTCATGTGGTTGTTGCATTTGACACATAGCTCAAGGACTTGAACACATGATTTTGACAATTTTATGCCTTCGGTGACATTCTTCTTGATGGAATAGGACTCGAGAAGGTCCTCGAGCTTGATCAAGAGAGAGTTTCCAACTCCCTGGAGCTTGATGTTATCACTTGCGAGCTCACCTTTGAGCTCTTCAGCATCGACAAGGACGCCACGAAGCTCATCAACTGCTAAGATGAACTCTTCATAATGGCTCTTGCAAAGATCCTCAATTTCCACTTCTTTTTTCTTCACTACACCTTTCAGCTGTTGGAGAAGGGCTTCAGGGCGTCCCATCTCAAAGGCGTGCCTAACGATTGGACCCAAATCTTCGCCATTGCCGATTAATGTGGCAAGGACTAGGTCTTCCCCTGTATCTCCATTCTCCACCACAACTCTCCTCTTCGGTTTTGGATCCATGGAATAACCTGCAAATGTGAAACCAAATCAATGGCACTTCTTCTGATTCTTCATCATCCAGTAATGAAAACGCCCTAAACAGAAACATAATTCCCGTAGATTCCAAAGCTCCTCCATGAATCATAAGAACCCCCAACAAATTAAACCCAATTCCGGGTTTAGCCGAAACAGCAAAACCCAATACTGTAAAACGAACAACTACATCATAAAGAATCGACGATCAACCCACAAGACAAAAACCCTCTAAAATTTTCAGGACAACAAAAGAACCCATGAAGGAGAATTGAAATCGAATTGGATAGAGGAACACTTACAGGAAGGTATTGAGCGACAGTACGTAGAGGGGTAAGGCTCCCTATTTCATCAAAGCTGCCGTCTTCGCAGGGAAAAGGAAAGAAGAGAAACCAGCTGGTTTTTGCCTTGTTTTAATCGTCGGAATGCTATAATGACAATATGACATTAGTAAGCAACCAAGAAATTGAAGAGTTTTTTATTCAAGAAGTTGTTTCGTGGAGATGCTAGTGGTGCCTTTGTTGGTTGTCAGTGTCACCTCTCTGTGTGTGTCTAGCTGCCTGCATTTCGCGTTCCATTTGCGGTTGTTTGGTGGCTTCTCCCCCGACCCAAAATCAATTATTTTATTCAAACTTCCTCCAGATTTCTCGTTTCTGCTTCTCCCGTCAGCAATCTGTTGGAAGAAGACTGATGTTTTCTTTTCTTTTTGGGTCGTGCTGGGCCTGTGTGGGGCTGTCGAGGGGAGGAGCGAGGAGCGGATCGGCGTCGGGGATTGGCGGAGAAGAGGGTTCGGATCCGCGATGGAAGGGAGCGGAGAGGAAATAGGCGGAGGAGGAGAAGCACCTTTGGGGTGGCCGGGTGGGTATGTTAAATACATATGATAGGTTTATCTGTTAAAAAAATCCTAGATAAAATGCATTGGATTTGGAAAATTCAAATTCAACCCAATCCGATGACTATTCCATCATAGGTTCATGTACAAAGATGTAATTACACTACTTTTCGGTAGGCAAAATATACTTGTTAGCCATAATTTTCATATTTGTGACAAATATATAGTCATAACTATCTGAAAACACAAAATAGCCAATTCTGTCCATCTCTTTAATGGTGTCACTTAATAATCTGATTGGACTTACGGAAATGCTGACCTGGCGATACTTCGTTGAACACGTGGATTAACCCAAAAATATATATAACATAAATGTAAAATTTTTGATTTAATAAAATAAAATAAAATCTAAATGCAATATTATGTGGCCCCCTACTCCCCAATTCCCACCACCCCCACCCTAAATCGAGTGTTGAAGATTATGTACAAAATTCTTCCGATGCCTCAGTTAGTATCTGCTAACGGCTCTATACAAAATTGTTGAACATGTAAGAAAAGATGCATTATTTTTAATTCTATAAAGAAATTATGTACAAAATTGTTTCGATACTATGAAATAACATGATTTGAACTAGTTAAAATTTATTAACTAAATAATAACACCTGCAAATTATAATATACAATTAATTAATGTTGAAGATTTTGATTACATCAATCACATGTACCATACACCACATACAAAATGAATGTATCAAGAAAGATTTAAGAATTTAGTAAACAAGTCTACCTCGAACTCGACTCGACTCGGCTCGTCAATAAATGACTCGAGCTCGAGCTCATTTATTAACGAGTCAAATTCAAACCTGGGTAAAACTCGGCTCAGCTCTCCTGATTACTGATTAGCAGCCCCTAAGTGACATGTAAATTCTTTTAACCATCGTACAAAGAAAGTGGGCCGAAAACAAAGGGGTTTGGGCCGACATAGCCGGCCTGCTGGATATCAAATGTTGAGCCGGCCCAATTCCTTGGGCTATCGGGGTGGGTGGAAGCTAATGGATATACAATTTTTTTTATTTATATTTTTTCGGTTAGCCAATTTGACTTTGGAGGGGGAGAGTTCAGATTTCAAGAAAGAGCAGAGGGCGGGAAAAAAATTAGCCGGAGAGTGGACGAAAATTTGAAAGCGGCGAGAGAATAGGCTTTCAGACTCCGCTCCGACCAAGGGTTTCGTCGTCCGCATTTCGCCGGGTTCTAGCTCCATCCGGCAACTATTAGAGAAGTCGGCGAGGTGGAAATGGAGCGGATTCACGTAACAGTTCGAGCAAGGCCGCTTCAGCCGGACGACGCTAAATCCAGCCCCTGGAGGATCTCCGGGAACTCAGTCTTCATCCCGAACCACAGCACCAAGTTTGAATTCGGTAACAGACACTTCTCGGCAGCTGTTGTTTCCTTTCTCCGATTCTCATCTTCAGAATTGGAACCTTTGATTCTCGAATGCCTGTTCATTGCCTTTTCGTATTCCTCTTCTGCGGTTTAGATCGGGTGTTTGGAGAAGAATCCAGGACGGAAGAGATCTACAAAGCCCGTACTAGGGATATCGTAACTGCAGCAATTCGTGGATTCAATGGTACTTGCTTGCTTCTGCTTTGTTGATTGCGAATTTTGTTTGCTAAGTTTAAGGGTTTGGTTCTGAAGCTTTTCTGTAATTCTGCTAGTTGGATGATTGAATTAAGCTGAATCTAGACTTGCCATTCAGGATTACGGAGTTCAATTAATGGGCGTCCTGTTTGCTGTTGCTTGCTGTTGGTTCTTGTGCTAGGTACGGTGTTTGCTTATGGTCAAACTAACAGTGGGAAGACACATACAATGAGGGGATCAGCTACTGAACTTGGGGTCATCCCTCTAGCAGTCCACGATGTATTCGACATAATAAACGAGGTAGAATGGTTTCCGTGCAACCTCCATTTTCCTTTCCTTCCGAGGATTGTCTGTTCGAACTGTTTCAAAGCCAGAAGTCTGCAATTGTTCTTGTCTAATCTTATTTCCCGTTTGTTAGCATGTGGATCGAGAGTTTCTTTTGCGAATGTCATACATGGAGATATATAATGAGGACATAAATGACTTGCTCGCGCCTGAGCACAGGAAACTGCAAATTCATGAAAATCTTGAGGTACTGATATTCCTTATTACTTCACAGAGTCTTGCCTGGTACAATGCCAACCCTTTTTTTGCTTTCTTCTGTAGCGTGGGATCTATGTTGCTGGTTTGAGAGAAGAAATTGTTACTTCGCCGCAACAAGTCCTTGACCGCATGCAATTTGGAGAAGGTGATGATTGAATGTTTACATGGTTATTTTGTGTACATTAGTTGTCATTGTGGCCTCTATAGATGGTTCCTCATATGTTATACTTCTATGTCAACTTTCAGCACATAGACATATTGGAGAAACGAATATGAACGTGTACAGCAGTAGGTCACACACTATTTTTCGCATGGTAAGTCTAGTAATCTTTTCCTGTTAATGTTCATAGTTTCTCATGTTGTGTGGCTTATAGATTTAGCACTTTGCAGATAATTGAGAGCCGGGATAGAACCGAGGATGAAGACAGGGGCAATGCTTGTGATGCTGTACGAGTATCGGTGCTGGTATGATAGATTTGCTCTTCCATTAATGTTCCCTTGGCATCTACATACCATGTATGGAGTGTGAGTTTGGTGTTATATGCTGATTATCTCTCAGTCAAAGGACTCAACTGCATTCAACTAGAATAGCCTATTGATATTTTGTATACTTCTGAAGGGCATTGATAGGTTGCTAGTTATCAATGTACCTGTGTTAAAACTTCATTGGAAAACGCAAAGGAAAACTAAGTCAAGGAGCCAAGAGTGAGGACCATATTAGTGATATTACTATCAGCTGGAACTTTAAAACCACTTATGATATCTATTAAGTGTAACCAGTGTTATTCGTTAGTTTCGGTAAATAACAACCGTATACAAAAGGATGAAATGCAGTAGTGTTGGAGTTTATGGCATTTGAGGATAAAAAAGGGACCAATTGCAAACTGGTAGCTAATTTTGTTTTAATGTTTTTTTCATTCGTTGTCTAGAACTTGGTCGACCTTGCTGGTTCAGAACGTGCAGCAAAAACTGGAGCTGAAGGCGTTCGACTGAAAGAGGGTTCACATATCAATAAAAGCCTTATGACACTAGGAACTGTGATTAAAAAATTGAGTGAAGGTGCCGAAAGTCAAGGGTAAGCAGTAATCCCTTACACAAAAGTTTATCTTTGATTTTGGAGGGTACTAGACTTGTGTGGGTTTATTGACAATTTAACATTGTGGATGAAGGGGTCATGTTCCCTATCGAGACAGCAAACTCACACGGATTTTGCAACCAGCTCTAGGAGGCAATGCAAATACAGCAATAATATGCAACATCACACTGGCACAGGTATTTTAAAATTACTAAGATAAATTGAGACCATTCTTATCATTTTTTGCCTTTGGAAATAAAGGCAAATATGTAGATTTATCTACTGTTTATAATCCAGAGAAGTTACTATTTGCGTTTGTTTGATTACAGATTCATGCTGATGAAACAAAGAGCAGTCTTCAGTTTGCCAGTAGAGCATTACGGGTCCAAAATTGTGCTTGTGTGAACGAGGTGCTGGTTCTGTTTTGGGTTTCACTTTATTTGCTCATATCTTTTGTCAGCTTCAGTTAAGTTTATGAATGAAATGTTGTTTCTCTCTGTGCACACCTCTCTCCATAGTGTTTCTCAATCCTGTTTCTCATTCAGGTCCTAACCGATGCTGCCTTGTTAAAGCGTCAAAAGAAAGAGATTGAGGAGCTTCGTGCCAAACTGCAGGTTTGGTCATTCATTGCTTGCAGCATTCATTCTTTCTATGTCTGAACTTTTACCCTTCCAAAACTTGCTCTTTCATATGATTTTTAATTTTAGGGTTCTCACTCCGAGCATTTTGAAGAGGAGATTCTCAATCTTCGAAACACATTATTGAAGGTATCATTACCTACATCAGTATACTAGTTGTTTTGAAACGGTGGCCATATTTTTGAGTTCTCAAAATGGTTATGCAGTCAGAATTGGAGAGGGAAAGAGTAACTCTTGAACTAGAGGAGGAAAAAAGAGTTCAGGCTGAGCGTGAAAAGCTTTTGCAAGAGCAAGCCAAGAGAATTGAAAACCTTTCGTCCATGGTGTTGTATTCCAGCCGAGATGATAACTGCAACCAGCTTAAGAAGGTTTGTTTATTTTAGCTATATGAACTGAAAGGGTGTTGGAATATACCATAACAAATTTCTGCTGTTGAAACATATTGTTCTTATTAATGCTGAACAATTGGTGATTTGGACTTTGGATTTTGGTTGAACTTGGAGTTGAGTGTTAGTCCAGATGCTCTTTAGTCCGGGTGAAAAATACTTCCAATGAGACTGGTTAAGGACACTGACTCTTTTCCTGCTTTGATCGAGTTTCTGCCATTTCATTTTACTGTTTTAGTTTGCAATTTATGCTGTACTGTTATCTCTGATACAAGGCAGCAGTGGTTTTGCATTGTGGATTCAACGTGGCGGGGTCGTACTTTACTAGTATTATGCTCAACTCGTAGACTTTTCTTTCTTTGAGACGACCATTATTTTTTTTTTGTTTTTGCAATAAACATTACTTCTGTGTGTGTGTTATTTTTTGCTTTTGCAGGGAAAACGACGGGATACATGGTGTCCAAGTAATTTTTCAAGAGTAATACTCCAAGAGGTACTGTTTATGATAGAGTTATTGTAAGAGTCCATGTTGTCTGTTTCATGCCTGCATTGTATCTAACTTGTGCGACAAGTGCATACATTCAAATTCAGCACAGCTAAGAGAAGTAATGTTGACTTATGTTATGTTGTGGAAATCACATTTGCTTTTAGGTGGATGCAAATGCCCAGTCACGGCTATCTAGTGTCGAGCCCATGCCAGTTCGACGTAATGAGGGAGCACTTGTTTCTTTCGAAGAGTTGGTAAGTGATCAGAAAGGAGCTGATGACCTCTGTCCGCAACAGGAAGTAGCTAAAGATAATGCAGTAGAGGACTGCACTCCACCTGATCCATGTTCTCTGCTGCATGTTACCAATAGGAGGAAGGTGCTTCCAAGAAAGAAAGCCTCTGCTTCAGTAAGTCGCGTCGTCCCTTTCTCAACTGCACTCAGCAGTCAGCATCATGGCATGTGAAATCTGATGACCACAATAATTGTTCATCTTTCAGGAGGACCATGAGTTGAGAGCAGTTCAAGCAGAATATGAGGAGTTGCTAGTGGAATCGGAAACTCAGGTTGCTAACTTGCATCTTCTTCAATTAAGATCTTAATAAATTGTTCTTGTTGTATAATGTGTTATATTAATATCTCTATCTCTCTATTCAGAGAACTGTGAGCGACGTTATGATAGATTCCTTGAGAAGACAGCTGGTTAACAGTGATAATTCTCACGTTAGGAACCAATGTGACCTCTCCTTTTCTCATGGCACCGAGACTATGAATTGTAAGGACAAAAGTATAAGTATAAGGGAGTCAGAGGCCATTGTTGTGATCAAACAGCTTCAAGAAAAGGTCCTTTCCCTTTTAGTCATTTTCAACTGATTTTCCTTATGTTGATAAGTTCTCTTGCGTGATTTTTATCCACCCTTAGTCTGTTATCACTCTGTGTTGTACATTCTATTGATTCCTACGTGCTCTTGAACATGAAGATTGAGATGTTAGAAATGGATAAAGATTCAAGTCAACAGAATCTAGACAGTGTTGTCGAGCTGGCAACGGAGCAAAGTCTATATGCAAGGGAGAAGTTTGAAGAGGTAATCATGGTATTTATAGCTTTTAGCTGAAGCATTGTGCTTTGTAGATTCAAATCAGGTGGAATTTGTGTGTTTTGTTAGTTTATCTTCGTTTAAGGCAATTTCATTTGCCAATGAAGAGATAGCCCACTATAATGCTAGAAAGTTTGTTTCTCTTCTCGATATGCTGTTAAATGATGGATGATGTTGACTCTTCTCTTTTATCTGCTCCAACCAAAGATAGTATACTGATTTGTGATGTCATGTGGTATTTTTAATTATTTGCTAGCTCTGTCAAGAGCTTGAAAAGGCAAGGGAGGAAGCTAAGGTTGCTCGTGAACAACTTGAATCTGCTGGACATGTAGGAGAGATTAATGTATGGATCCCTTCTCATTTGTGTTGTTTCTTTTCTTTCATGTGATCTGTACATTTTCTTGCTTTGCATTCTCGTAACTTCAGTGCCAAGTATCTGATCAGCCCCTTTCATTCGCATATGGATATGAACTTTCAGAAACAGCTTCAGGTGGAGATTGAAGAAATAGTCAGGGAAGTTCAGGAAGCAAAAGACACTGTCCAGAGTACATTTTCTCTTTTGGACGAGGCGTTGCAGAGTTTCTCAATGGAATCCGATATGTTCCATGTAAGAAGTCTGGTGCTACGCTCCAATTGCTCTCGCATTTGTGGAACACACTAGTCCTTAAGAAGAATTTTCACTGCATTGGACAATTGTCGTGTTTGACTTTCAACTGCTGCTTGTGATTGGGGCAATTGTTGCACATTGGATCCCTGTCAAGCTTGATATATGCCTTTCAATGCAGGAGTTGAGGAATTCAGTACTCGAGAACAATGAAAAACAAAAGTTGGTCATCAGTAATCATGCTGAAATATGTGGCAGCATCAGACATAAGCTCACTGTAGTTGAAAAGGAGAAGGTACTACTCCTTTATGCATATTATACAGATAAATAATGAGTTAACCTTAGTTGATAATACTAGGATGTTTCACTTGCAGCTTCTTTTGTCAAATAAATGTTCTGATCTTGAAAGACGTTTACAAGAAATGATGCAGGATGCTCAAAACCATGAAGATGCCTTGACCGTAAGCAGTTGTGTTAGAATCGTATTGTTTGTTTTTTATGCTATATAAATACTGCCTCCTTATAGATATCTCCTGGTTGCTATAGAAAATTTCTGAAGAAGCGAACATTGAAAAGGAAGAATATAGGTCATATATTCATATCCTCGAAAAGGAAATACATCAGTTATCATCTTGTGCTTTGGCAAAAGAGAAGGAGAGTTTGAGAAAGGATCTCGAGAAGGCAAGAACGAAACTGAAAGAAACTGAGTCAAAATTCAAGAATGTGATTCAGGAAAAAACTAAACTGGAGGTATTTTACTCTTGAACATAAATTCTCTACCTGGTGTTCCATTGAGTTGAATGATTACAGATTGTTGCATGTCTCACGCTGCCAGGGAGAGAAAAAGCTTGCTGAGAAAGAGGTCAAACGATTGCATGGACAAAAGAGTCTTCTTGAGCGTGACATTAGCAAGCGTGATTCTTTTGCTGATAGAAGGCGGGATTCAGTTTTCGATAGGAGCTCAAAGACTTGTGATACAAGAAAACAGGCAATGGAGGTAATGGCAAGGGGGCGTCTATTTCATAAGGTTCAATGTAACTAAATATATTTCTTATGAATGTTTGAAAATGATCCGGCTATCAATCCTTTGCAGCATACGTGCTTGGATTTTGGAAATTATCCAATTATGACTGCTCTGATTCTATTATGATATGCAATCTTGGGCTTTGTCTACCACGGTTGATAATTTATTTGTCTGTATCTTTGGGTATATCATATGATATTGACATCCATTTGTTTTATTCTTTACTGCTCACATTATGCTAAAGAAGGTTTTTCTTCTCCGTACTCTACCCAGAGGCGTGATGATTTTTCCTTTGTTCTTTTTCTCCTGGACAACTCATTGCTTGGTTTTCCTGTTGTTTAGGATGACTACAGAAAACTTGAAGTTCTTGCATTTGAGATGGAGGCAACCATTGCTTCTCTAGAGGAGGAACTTGCAGAAGTACGAAAAGAGAAAGAGGAGGCAACACAGAGAAGTGAAGGTTTGGCATCAGACCTGGAATCTCTAACTGAAAAGTTGTCTGCATCTGATGCTGAACTGTGGGCGTTGCAGCAAGAGATTTTCGAGCTCGTAAGCCTACTTTGTTCGTGATAGTATATAGCTGTTCAAGTTGAGCACACACTGAAATCTCTCTGTCTCGAACTTCTAGAGAATGAAGTTGGAAGCATGTACCTCTGAACGGCAAGAAACACAAAGCACCATCGAGCTTTTGATAAAAGAAAAGGAGGAATTGGCAATGGTACTGATATGTGGATATCAAGATGATGTGTGATCGAAGACTACACTGTATTACCCCTTGTGCCTTACCTCATATGATGCATGTCTCTCATTTTGCAGCAATTCAGTGATTCCCTTCTGGAAATGGAGGAAGAGAAGGCAATTTGGTTGTCTAAGGAGAAAGCTTCACTACAAGCCATCGAAGAGAAAGGGAAGTTGTATAATGAGGAAATCTCAGCATTGTACAAAACGATGTCAGAAGTAAGCTACTGAGTTCCACTTAGGAGCTTCCAATAGTTGATTGCTTGCATCTGAAGTTTTTTTTTTTTTTTTACTTCTTCCTATCTGCGATGAAATGGATGCATTTATTATGAGAACAGGTACAGGATGAACTGGATTCCTGCCGAGAAGAATGCAAAGTACTCAAGGAAACACTTCTGAGGGAGGAAAATCGCCAATTGGATAAGTGCAGGTCTGTTTTAAGCTCCACGAGTAAAAGGGTCATATCTACTAGTTGCATTGTTTGTCTTCTGCATATGCTTAATATTCTGACGTCGTAACTCTTTCCCTTTTTCTTGCCTCAGTAATAATGCGTCTCAAGATAGTGAAAGTGAAAGCGAGAGACACGGAATGGTATCTAAGATCAATTTGATCTATTTTTCAGTTTGCTACTTCCTGCCTTTACTCTCTAATCAATTTGTACTATACTTGTTTCATGTGTAGCTTCAGATTGAGCAGTCCGACCCAAGTGTTCCTAACGACGGAGAGAATCCAACGACTGCAGTCAGAGATATTGATGCTGATAAAAAACAGCTAATCGGAGAACTTGAGGTTCATTCACTAGTTCCATAATCTCACGTCAATATAATTCAAATATTACTCTCTCTAAATCATTACCACGAGTCATGTTTGATCGTACTATCATTCATTTACGTGATAGAATCTAAAAAACCAGCTAGATGTTGTTATGAAAGAGAAGGAGATGCTGATGGCTCAAATGCAAGACTACCATAAAAATACAGCCGAAGCAGAATTCGTGAAACAACATTATGACGACATGGTAACAAGATATTTCCAATCTCATATACTCTAAAAGACCACTTAGTATTGTTATTTCCAATCTTATATACTCTAATACCACTTAGTAAACCATGATGAATGGAAATCGATAATAATGGTTATCTCATTTGAGCGTTGCAATGTGTACAGTTGAAAGTCGCGAGAGCTCAAATCGACCAACTCAGTGGAAGCATAGCTAGCTTGGAAGCCAAGATGCAAACTGTAAGTAGTCCCTCTCTACAGTACAAGCCACCGTGCAAAGAGGAAACTTGGGGTGCAAGAAAAGCGCTACAATCCTGACTAAACCATCGTTTCTTGTGTGATTGGTCCACTCTGGCAGGATTACGTTGCGAACTGCAACGAGAAGGCGAAATTGAAGATGATGGTGAGGGGAACCCAAGCGAAATCGGAAGCATTGTGTTTCAGGCTTGGACAATCAGTCAGGGAGAATGATGTAATGCACAAGAAATTCAAGGAGGCTTCCAAGGAGCTTAAAGAGAAGCTGGCAACTTGCGGTATGGAAAATCTTAACCTCAAGAAGCAGCTTGCTTCTTCTTCAATCAACTGACCAAATGCTTAGCTGCTGGAAGCTCGCCTTGTTTTTTTGAGAATAGGTAACTACACTTTCCTTAGTTTATTGGTCCCGATCTTTTGCTTATCTGCTAATTGTTTTGCTTATCGGGTAACTTATTCAACCTACGAATACTTGAAGTTGCTATCTCGATTCTCGAGTATCTTAGGTTACAAGTAGTGGTCTGATCGGGAGTAGGCATGATACGTGTCTTGATATCCATGTTTGTTTCGTGTTAAGCTTACAGATAGATAATCGAGTGAATACGAGAGAGTTGGGGCTGGTCGTGCCATTTTGATGTGAGGATGTGCTAACAAATTTGATTGTTATGACCAGAACCAAATTGGTACGAATCCAACACCTAGGGGTGTCCATTCGGGTTCGGTTTTTCGGGCTTACCCGAAACCGACCCGATTATATACATTTTCGGGTTTTCATGTTCGGGTTCGTTTCGGGTTTTCGGTTTTGGGTTCGGTTTTTCTTATCGGTTTTTCGGGTTTCGTCTAAAAACCTCCAATGAATAGAACTCAGCCCGTAGTCTTAGGCGTTCGGATTGTTCGGGTTTCGGTTTTGCTTTAACCGAACCCGAACCCGATAAGGAATTTTCGGGTTTCGGGTAACCGGAACCCGCAAGTCCTTAACGGGTTCGGGTTTGGTTTTAGTAGTTTTTGATTTCGGGTTTTCAGGTTTTTTTCGGGTTTCAGCCCGGGTAACCGAACCCGACCCGAACGGACACCCTGACCAGCACCTTAACACATATAAGAAGATGCTCTGAAGTCTGATCTAACGGGACTTAACAGACCATGAAACCCATTACCCATGGGTTGGGTTCAAGACCTGACACTTCAATAAATGTAGCTTTCTTTTCAGAAAAGCCCAAATAGAAAAAAGCAGCTCAGTAAATCTAATGAGTAGGCCTGGGTCAGTCCAGGTAGGTAGGGCCTCATGCCAGACCGACAAAGCCCATCTGCCCATGCTCCCTCCTTCTGGTGCACAAATGTCTATAAAACAGTACTCTCATTTTTCTCAAAGCAAGAGAGTGCACCACGCTAACTTTCAAAACCGAAACAGAAATCTTGTGGAACCTACAACAACAGAACGAGAATGAAAAGACTATAATCGAATCTATAGCGAATATATCATTATTCTTGTCGAGTTTTGATAATGCTATTTTCATCTATTTTGAAGGTTATTCATCACAAATTTTGGCTGATTTTTGAGAATTTTACTTTTCATTGATTTCGAATGCTACACATCACAGATATGGGTAGATTTTTTGGAAAGCTATTGTTCACCAATTTTGAAGTCTATCCATCACCGAATCCTTCGAATGCTATTCTTCACCGATTTTGGAAGCTATTCATCATAGATTTTTGCCGGTTTTTGCTTAAACTTTTTCTTGGATTTTGAATGCTATATATAAAAAATTCTGATGGATTACTATGAATGCTATTATTCGAAAGGGCATTTTTTCGGAGAGCATTTTTCGTATTTTTTGAGCGATTTTTCGGAAAGCATCGATATATTCATGTTTTTTGCGTGCCATTTTGGCAGTTACAAAGGCTTCTAAATAGTTAAATATTACCATTCCAAAAAATCAACCAAAATTTGTGATGTAGCCTTCAAAATCGCTGAAAAATTATATCCCCTAAAACCGGTGAAAATTCGTGATGGTTAGCCTTCAAAATTAGCAAATAATACCATTCAAAAGAATCAGCCAGAATCTGTGATGATTAGCGTTTGAAATCAGTAAAAGTAACATTCCCTAAAATTGGCCAAAATTTTTGATGGATAGCCTTCAAAATCGGTGAATAAAACCATTCAAAAGAATCGGCCAAAATTTGTAATGGGTAGCCTTCAAAATCGGTGAAAATAACATTCCCTAAAATCGGTTAGAATCTGTGATGAATAGCAAAAATATGTGAAAAAGCATTCTCAAAAATCCGCCAAAATTTGTGATGAATAGCCTTCAAAATATGTGAAAAATAATATTCCCAAAATTGGCCAAAATATGCGATAGATAACCTTACAAAATAGTTAATAATAGCATTCCAATTTTTTTGTCAAATCCTGTGATGGATAACTTTCATAATTGGTGAATAACAACATTAAAAAAAATCGAACAAAAAGTGTGAAGGATATTCTTTAAAAATTTTGAATAAATAAAAATCGACCAAAATCTTTTACGGAACAATGATTAATATGACACATTACCAGCCCACAAGACGAAAAAACCAACTACAAAACAAGAGGAAAGAGAAAAAAAACAAGGCATGGACTCAAATTTAGCCTAACAAAAGTGACAGTGGAGTGAGTGGCTCATTATATTGTAGATGTCATCATTATTGCTAAACATAAAAAACAAACAAACAAGAAGAAGAAGATTGTTGCTATGATTAAACTATTAAAACAGCAACAACTTTTTAATATTTTTTTCCAGCCTTGTTTCAACCATCCAAGAGAGAAAGTAAAGGTTAGTTAAAAGAGACAGCCCCATACCATAAAGCTGGAACAAATACAATGCCTCCAGATGAAAGAGAAGAAATGAATGTACTAACTTGGCGCATGCCAACAACCTCCTGTCTAATTCCTCCCCTAGTAGCCATGGCAGCAGCAGCTTGGGAATTTGCTCCCCATCCATTCCCCCAACTCTCTCTCTCTCTCTCTCTCTAACCTGTGATTCATAAAACAGTTGTACAGTACAGTACAAGCAAGCCCTTCTAACCTCATTGTTCCACTTGCAGCAGCTGTTCCTAAAACAAACCTTTTTTTTCCCACCACCCTTAAAATAACAATGTTTATGGCCACACCACAAGCATATGCATGCTTTGCTTCCTACTTTATGAAGAAACCAAACAAAAGACAACTCAGTTTCTTCATCTGATCTATCAATATAAATATATAAAGATATGTTCTTTCTTTACTTACCAGAATGGCAGAGCAAGAGAGAGGGAGAGAGATGGATGGATGGATTCACTAAACAAATCCATTCTTATGTGCCTGCCTGGTTGCTTTTTCCTCTTCTCCATCATCATGATTATGATCATCAATAATAAAGGATTTCTTCCTGTCCAGTGTGTTCCCCTGACACAAAACAAGATTCCAGCACCCATCTGCATCCCATTTGTAACTCACCCCATTAGAATATTCTATTAGCAACAATTATATCCTCAAAACTTGAGATTTAGAATAGATTAGAGATTAGATAGATAGATAAGGAGAGGATTTCACATGATATCCTACAATGGTGGAGGAGAGATGGTATGTACAACTGGAAGTAACTTACAAGGAACATGTTGATCTGTCCGATTGCCAACATTGATGCTGTGATGCAGCTTCTTCCCCTCCACCCTTTAGATAGATACACAACAAGTTATATTTGTTGTGTAATTGTCTAAACCGTCCAGATCAACATGAAAGTTGACATTCATTATGGAGATACAATCAGATCAGATATGGAATCCATCAACATATGTTACGATTTAGGAGTCTGCAAAGTATATTTAATAAGCAAACAGGGTGTCAAAGTTTCCCTTAGGAATCTAAACAGATCACAACCACTAAATCAACCAGGACAGAGAAAGTGACGCCATGTCAAACACAGGACACCAGCTTGAAAAGAGATTGAAGCTGCAGAAGTACACATATATATGGGGTACAAAAATATGTACCTGTACTGAAGAAAGGAATTGATGCAGAAGTAATAGAAGTAATTACTACTAAGTGTTCCCCATATCTAGTTTGTCAGATATAAGTTTGTTTCTGAATTCAAACTGCACTTACCAGATGCAATGAGACTTGCCAGATTCATCAACTAACGTACGAGCAGGGTCTTGCGTGTTGTCAGAGTTGTTAGAGATGCTGAAGGTGATAAACCCAGAATTACATGAAGGCTATAGAGTTGTGGGGAAAATGAATATCTTGCTTATTCAATAAGAACCTATCTAATATTCAACAATGCAATGCTATGGAGTTCAAGCTGCTTCAACATGCAAGGAGCATAAAGATCACCTTTAACATTCTAACATATCAGAATTGTGAGAAAGAAAACCCCAATCTCAAGTGGGGTAATCTATGAAGTTCCACAATGTACAATAGCTACAAGTCACCTCTACATTACACTGAACTAATAAACGAAGAGGGTAGCTAACCAGCAAACTTCACATTTAGAACTCTCTCTACATGACATAGATTGCAATTATGGAAGAAAAATCTATCCTTGTCTGCAAGCCCCAGGTACAGAAAATTCCTCTCTTCTGCCCATTCCACATTGGAAATAGAGAACAAGACTCTTATGATGTAATAAGAAGACCAAGCAAGCCTTTGAATGTACTATACCGTGCTCTACTGAATCCCAAGTGGACCTCTTTATAGCAAGACTTATGACAATGGTTGTTGCCAGTTGCCACAGAAAAGCTTAGAATGTTCGTCCTGTCGAAATGTTTTCAGAATGTGACCTGGGGTGGACTTATAGACTGCTGTCCAAAACTTTAGATGGAACCAGCAGATATCCGCAGGCAGCCTGGTTTAAAGGATTGCCACTGGAAAAAGGCTAATAATCATCAGTATCAACCACCAAATCTGCAACTGATGAGCTACTGATCCCCTTGGTAGTGATTGAAGAACTCAGTCATCGATCTTGGCCGATTTTCCACAATGGAGAACGGAACAAAACCACCATTGACGAACCTAAAATTAGAATGTAAGAAGCGGTTACCAGTAATTACCAATTAACGGAAGACTGATGAACAGGGGAAACTTGGAACCCCATCAGTAGAGCCCAATTTCAATCATCTCCAGTAGGGAACAGAGTGAGAACTTTCCTTCCAGCATTTCCATTTGCTGACTCCAAATCCTCCACATACCCTGGAACCGGCGCATTGTGCACCGGCGGTCCCATTCTATGCACAGCTTGCTGCTGCGCCGCCGGCCTAGCAAGAAAGGGATGATCGAATTGCCCATTGGGAGGCGACCCGAAATGCCCCATCTGCCTATGGTACTGACCCTGCAACTGCGGATGAGCTACGGCCGCTGCAGCAGCCACCGCCATCTGCTGCTGGTGATGGTGATGCTGAAGGGCGCTGACGGGAACAAACGGCAGGAAATGATCGGGATTAGGCGGCCTACCGGGATGCAAGAAATGCGCCGGCACAGGGGAACTCGCGAACAAATGGTCGGTAGCCGCATCGACACCAACGGTAGACGAACCACCACTCAATCCCCCGCCACCGCCACCACCTCCTCCGCCGCCGGACGACAGCCCCTGCATCCGCTTGAGGTAGAGCCGGTACTTCTGCAAATGACTGGCGACATTCTCCCTAGTCAACCCGTCCACACTCATGAGCTGCATTATCGTCTTGGGCACAGCGTTCTTGATCCCCAGGTGCGCGACGGCGTCGACGAACCTCTTGTGCAGCTGCGGCGTCCACACCAGCCTCGGCCGCTTCAGCGTCCGTGCCGGCTCGTCGCCCCCGGTGCCGGACCCCAGCTCCGCCGAGGAGTCGGCGGCGAACTCGGACGAGTTGTGCTGCGAAGTCGCCAGAGAAGGATTCCCGTTGTTGTGGTTGGGAGAAGGCAAGCCGCTGGACGTCGGTAAAGGAGGCGGCGGCGGCGGGACCGGCTGATTCTGGTGGAGCGAATTGCTGGCCGCTGCCACCGCCGCAGCAGCGGCGGAGGAGGAGTTGGTGGAATTCCGGATGTCGAAGGCGAGGGCGAGATCGGGAGTGATTAGGGTTTGAGTGATTGGCATGAGCTCGTCAGGGGAAGGAAGCTCCTCTTCCCATCGAGCGAACCAATTGGAGTCGTCTTCCCTCATAGCTCGTGGCTCCCGCTAATTTAGCTCAGCTCTTCCTTCCTTTCTTCAGTCGAATCTTCGGCCGCTCTTTCTCTCGTCTCCCTCTCTCTGTGACTGCAGAGTATGGCGGAGGAGGAGGAGGAGAATTGGGATTGGGACGGCGGAGGGGAAGGAGTGAAGAGGAGGAGGAGGAGAGATGTTCGAATCGAGGTGGATCTTGTTTGTTTTGGCTTTCTTCCTATTTCAGCTTTTTTATTTTTAGAGATTACTCTGTTGGCTGATGCTTTTATTTATTTTAAATTTCATCATTTCCTTTCTTTTTGCCCAGATTTTGGCTTTCATTGTTAAATGATTTCCACCTATCAACATGGTTGGAGAGATAAAATAGGTAAGTAGGTGAGGATTTCAATTTACGTTCACTCTGGTGCGCGTAGTATGATTCGACCTGATAGTTTTTGTAGTCATGTGTATTTGTTTTGCGAGTATGAAGAGATAGTGAGTTTGGATTTCATATCCGCGACACATTGATAATGTTGACTTTATTATTATATTATGGATATGATCTGTTCTGATTTGTTTTACACGAGGTTTTATCCGTTTTGTAATCATCAATAGGCAGTAGTAAGCTTAGCTCTTATTTCCTCTCGCTTTGCCTTATCCTCACCCTATTCTCAACCCTTGTCTGTCTAAATTTTGATCTCGCCGACTTTTACGCAGATTCTGTTATAATTTTGTTTTTGTACGACGAGGAGTATTATATTTTTCCCTCAGGCATCAAGCGTGAGTCTTATTTTCTGCTGTCCCGCCCATTTTCCATCCCTTGTTTGATCTCGATTTATTGTGACACTTATTTTCCACGTATTGCAACTCCTACTACATACCGAGAGCATTCAAGTTTCATTAGTCATACAAAAATTGTCATCAATTTAATTTTAATTTCGCATGAAATAGTTGTAAGTATTGAGATATTCACCCCGATCCACAGCTCCTCGTCGTCGTTCAATTGACAACTGTTAGATTTTCACAATCATATTCCAACAAATTCTCATAAATTTGGTGTTAATAAATGTGGAATTTAAAATCCGGGATATGGGAGGAGAGATGTGGGTGGTGGGGTGGGTCGGGTCGCATCATCGCAATCGGATATCCTCAATCGCTTCGATTATTTCATTCATTCTCTCATCTCTTTCGAGTTTCATATAATCAGATCATGGTAATTATTATTTATTCAATAATTGAATGAAAATGTGCCTCTTTGTTGTTAGATTCCTAACAGATTTCTATTCCCACGCCCTCCGCCGTCGAATGCTCCTCACGCGCCGCTCATTCTTCTTAGGTCTTCTCCGCCGCCGCCATTAGAATTCTCCTCCTTTTCCTTATCTCGTCGTCCTTTTCAGTTGCCTTTTTTTTGGAGATATAGGAGACTGCTTTGTAAGAAAAAGGGTATTTTCTTGTAAAGAAGATAAGTATATTCATTCAATCTAAACTTGTGAAGCAAAGTAAATAATCTAGTTGGTAAAGTCTTTGTGTCGTGAAATAAAGACGGGAATTTTATTATGTCATAATATCTCCTCATTATAAATAAGTTGTTATTATAAAAGTGTCAAACGATCGGATTTTTATTGATATGAATGGTAAAGAAGACAAGTTGTTTTTAGCATAACAAGACAAGTTAGGCACATGCTCTAATCGAAAAAATACGCCATCGATGGTAAAAAAAATTGAGACCCTGAATGAACGATGGACTACGGAGGTATTCTTTTTAACACGGTTGTAGGCATCCTTTGATTTCTCACATCAAACTTGAGCTTCATATCTTTCTTACCTTGCTCCAATTTCTTGGAGTGACAAAACACCTCGCATACATACTGACGTTATTATTGGGTATCACCCTCCACCCATTTCCTTCTCACTAGAGGGTAAAAAGAAACGTGCTTCTCGAAAACAAGTTCAACTATTCTCACCTCGAGAGTGTCAGAAAATGAGCCCAGAGATGGATACACCCAGCGCTAGAACTTGCAACAAACTAATAACATTAACAACGTCAAACTTGAGCATCATATATTGATCTTCTCCGTTTCTTGGAGCGAACAACCTATTAATATGTGGCATAAGGTCCATTATCGAACATCTTTCAAGAACTCAAGTTATTGCAACCTACTAGTTTCTGACATAACCGTCAACCTTGGCCGACAAATCCCAACCCAACAACACACTCAACAATCACTAGCAACAAGTGATTAGATTCAATCAAAGTATCATATCGTGCTCTTGCTAGCTATTTTGCTTTCCTGATCTTGGAGTCTTGCGGTTTGTTCCATTGTTGGTGCCAACACAAAATGGCATTTTGGAATTTGGGGGACGAGAAAATCTGAGATGCTCCAATCCAAACAACGAACAACGACCCAACAAAACGAGGTGGCCATGCAGTGTAAGGTCCTACCCCTGGTAGGGGCAAAACCATAAATTCACTCTGTTTCTCTTCTTGTTTCTGAAAACTCGAAGCTTGATTGTGTGCTCCTTGTGTGGTTGTGCTACAGTTTTAGGAATGATTGAAACAGACAAATCAAAAGGTTTTTGGAAACAAGATACTTAATTCCACATGTGTGGCTTCGTTTTCTTGTACTCTGTTCTTAAACAAGGATGTCTTTATCCAATTTGGTTCCATCGACCCTTCATTTCCAGTCAGTTTCATCCACCTGCAGACAGGAATCTCATATTTGCCTCAACTAGTTTCCCTCTTTTTTTCATTTACTAATGAAGAAACTACAATTACATGCCAAAAGAAGTAGGAAAGAGCTTATGAGATCACATGTGTTCTCTCTATCTGCGATCAATTGTTACCGAAATCTTACTGGGTATTTTTCGGATTAGTTTTCGATTTGGGTTTGAAAATGTCGTATTTGGATCCACTCTACAAACTACATCTTATATGCTCTTGGTATGACCTCTTTTAGATTGACTTTTGTCCCCGACCCCATTGGCTGTAAATGAAGCTGATTGAGATGTTAGACATCAGGTTTATGGTAATTCTCATCCGAATTGGATCCAGATTCTTGTTATATCATCACGCTTCATTTTTATATATTATAGAGGATAACAAGAAAAAATGAACGACAATCGATAGATAATCACCTTTAAATTACATTATTATTATCATCGTGTTTTCATTGAACTGCGAAGACGTCAGTCTCCCTCTTCGGTATGTACTTGTCCCTTTTCTATATATGCTCTTGTCAATTTCCTTCAAATTTTTGCCATTATTTAAAAAAAAAATCCTTCAAATTTCTAATTTATTTTTATAAGGAAAAGTATAGATTAGGTGGTGATGCGTGGGTGGTACGCGCTTCCTGTCCAAGAAAAATGAAAAGTGATGATTGGTGACATAAACATGGGAGATAGAGGAGATCAGCAAGATTGAGGATCAGAAAGAAAATGATATCAGCCGGGATTAACTTAATTAATCATATATTAAACTTAATCAAATATATTACAAGGAAGAAGTGACTTGTTTAATTCTTTTTTTCTCTCCACTATTTCGATTTGGGGTTCTCGATTGGCTTTGGGTTCTTCTTTTATATTATATATTATTATTATTGCATAGAAATTGAGATACAAATCAAGAAAGTGGAGGAAGTAGCTTGTCGTTGATATGGGTAAAAAGTTAGATTCCCCCATATAACTCCAAAACATTGGTCCCTAAAAAAGGAGAAAGAAAATTCTCGTCAAAAAAAAAAAGGAGAAAGAAAAGAAGGATAGGAGTCATTTTAACCCTGACTTCATCTAGGCAATAATGGATGTCTTTGAGATAGAGCCCCACGGTTTCAATTCTTGTCCAAAAGCTTCCTAACCTAGAGGCCCTACATTTGATTTTGATCTCCATCCAAGGTTAAGTGTAGAGTGGAGTGGGGGAAATAAAAATGGCACACAAATGTTAAAAAAAAAAATGGTTTGTAGAGGTGAAAAATGTTACTAAAATGTACAAAGGTGTACTAGTAGTTTGATCCTATCTACTAACACGGAACAATACAGAAACATTATGACGGAATTCGAAAGAATTGGGATAGGAAAAAAAAAACGCAGGACATCAAATCCTCAAGACAAGGTATTCATAATAAGAAATCATGTTGTGATAGGAAGACTGGTCATGAGATAACTAGGTTAATAATCTCTAGGTGGGAAAAATGCAGATTTAGGGAAGAGTGAGCTTGTCCCAATGTACGATGCAAATGTTATTGTGGTACTATCCTTAACTATAATGCCGCATTACGAGGGTTTTTGAAATTACATATTATTGGATCGTGCCTTTGTAATACATGACCAATTTGATCCACAAGGTAATAATTTCCTAAGTCATTATTGGACCGCGGATCCAGCTACCATAAATCGCGAAATCAACGAATCAATGGCGTAAGTATGTACTTACGAATTCGATGTAAGCACGGTAAATCGGATATGCTCCGCCAGTAAGGATTATGTAGCACCCCATGATGCGGTGTGGTTCTTAACGTCAACAAAAACGGCACAAGATGCAACAACCAACGATATGGATAGAAAACGATAAACCAGTAGTCACCTCAATCACACGATCCCGTCAAGCAGAAAGAACAAAAGCTTATAAAGTAGCAGGCTCACTAGATCCATACGAAAGGCCCAAATCTAGTTTTGCTCTTTCAACATCTAGTGAGAAAGCCGTTTTCTTTTATGCTATTTCGGGGACCCATTTTAGATTAGTCCACCAACAGCTAATTGGACACCTAAATATAAACAAGTCAGAGAAAGAAACGAAGGGAACAGGATATGCCCTTTGCCAGACTGGCACCATCGCCTAAACCAGAAGACAGCAAACTCAGAAACTCAAATCATTCAATCAGGATCATGATTTACCAAATCAAGTAGACACATAACCAAGCACAAGGACACCACAATCAACAACAAGTCTCTAATCACTGTTTATAAACCCGAAAAAACGTAGAGATTGAACCGATGACACTAACGACTATCAACGTAATAAAAGTACAAAACCATGACACCATTTCAACAAAACACAAACCTGCGACTAGTAACAAAAACAGAGGTACGAGATGCGGAAACATAGAGTTGACACAAACACAATTACAATCCTTTTACTACAATTTTCAAGTCATCAGAGTAGGAACGAAGAGAGAAAAGTACGATAGGGGGGGGTTCGCAACCGAGCAACTCGATTGCGGCAGTTCTTTTTACTAAACAGAGAAGTTCTGGACGAGTACATATTACTAATTGGTAATACAATTACAAACCTAAGCTCTGCTGCCATTTCAATGGTTTTGACTGTAATCGAACGTCAGTGGCTGCTGACAGAATGGCGGCTGCAGAAAACAGAAGTCCGATGTTAAACTAGACGGAAAGAACATACATGAGAAACAAACACACACAAAATAAACGAACTACAGACACACCTGGAAAACTGCATGCCTAAACTGGTCATAGGAGTGAGCATACATCATAGATGCATTGGGCCATTGAACATATGCTGCTGCATCTGGTGCCATTTGGTTCCCCCCGACAGCACAGTAGGGGTTCAAAACTGGGTTTGCAGCCGGATGTCTGTACGCAACCGAACCTTGATTCCTCACCATTGGAACCGATTGCGGAAAACCGGTCTCGTACTGAATGTACGGCATTTGAACCTTCTGCATGTTGAATGGCAACATGTTGAAGCACTGGTTGTTAAGTGTACCTCTGACATACCTGGCATCCATTGAAACAGAAAGCAGCTTCGTTATTAAATTGCATATTCAAGGTCATGAAAGAAACATAATGCAGGTGGAAATAATATGATGTACCTCTCGTAACTGCGGTCATAATCTGGGTCAAAACGATCCTTCTCCCTGTCTCTAAAAATGGCTACCCGAGACGAAGAACCATCCCTGACGTTGATAGGATCAACTGGAGGGTTCCTCCAACCCTCAGACTCATCCTTGATTGACAATATCTTGTCTGTAGGACCTTGAGGCAACACATCATCCGAGCTTGGGCTGTTGGGGCTACTGAAAATACGAGCCCTCGCCCTATCATACTCCTCCTTCCTCTCTTCAACACTCCTCACTGGGCTTCGTTTGAGACCAAACTCATTAGACCCATTAGCAGGGTTAGGTCGAGGCCTAACAGCAATCTTGACCTTTTCAGGTTGGTCACCATCTAACTGTTTAGCGGGAATGTCGGATAAGCGGACAGAAGGGTATCTGATTTCGCCTGTTTTTCTAGCCACAATCTTATTTAACAGTCCGTCTATTCCATTGTCCTGTACCATGGTAACCAACCCATAGTGTTGGGCAACACGGTGTGCTGCGAGCCTGAGGTATGAAGTAGGGAAATGCTGAAATTCCAATTGCTGTTGTTCGGCATTCTGCAGGAATCTCTGGATGTCAAGTTCCATCCTCAGAACTGAATGAAAATTCAGGAAGTCAGTATGAGTTACACCAAACAAGACAGGAATAATAAGGAGAGAACAGTGTAAGAGAAAGAACATGGACACTGAAAACAGAGATCCAAAGTTAATAGGTACATAACATTCAAATTGGAAATATCAGCTACTAAACATTTACAAACAGGCAATATTGAAAATGGAACTGACGCTAGTAATACTCCACAAGCATCCCAAAGGATGACCAAGCAAAACCGAGGAATAAACTAAGAGCACAAAAAGGAGGCAATGGAAAGAAATTCTAATTCCAGTTTCCAATCCAAAGGTGTGGTCCTCAAGCTGGAGAACTCACAAGCCAATCTGAAAATCTATGAACTCTATATCGAACCAATTTTGTAATAAATACCAGAAACCCATAGGTTACATAGCAATGAGAAATAAGAAAGGGATTCAACAATGGTTTGCAATGCAATTCCAAGCTAGATTCTAAGTGTCAATGCATGACCGGAAACAAACCAGCTTAGATTGACAATTGAGGTCAAAGGATTAGTTCGAGCAGAATTCTCCATTCACAATTGAAGGCTCTGTTGCCTTCATCTAGAGCCCCATTCAGCAATGCAATCGACCACAAATCCCCCAAGCTCCAATAGCACCATAATTACCAGATCTAACTATCTATGCCACAATCCAATCTCATAGCCCATTCCCGCGACTCAAAACCTTAATTCGCATCCAAATCCACCAGCAAAACACCGCACAACAAAAATAAAACCCTACAGCTCCCAAGAATCGCAATAAAACGCCACACATCCACGCATCAACACAACCAAACAGAAACGAGATCGAAACAGCCGAGCGAAGGGAAATTCGCGAATCGACAAAGAACAAGAACGAGAAACTGACTGGTGAGACGGTGGCGCGGATTCTGGAGAGCCTCGACGAGGAAGGAATCCACCAGGGACTCCTTGTTGTCGCCGATTTGAACGCATCCAGCAGCAGCCAACTGAGCCTGGACGGGGACGGAAGCGGCGGAGGTAGCGGTAGCATCCATAGCTCGTCTGACCGGCGGGGGCGAGAGATTTCTCCCAACTCCTTCCCTCTTCTTCTGGTTTGATAACGTTTCGCCTTCTTTCTCGCCTTCTCCTGGAGGAAGAGGGAAAGAGAGAAGGGAAGGGAGGGGAGGAATCGTTAAGAAGCAGCGGAATTCACCTTCTCCATGGCTGCTGCAGGCGGCGGCGGTGGTTTTCCCAAATTCGGTGGTGGAGGAGAAGGGAGAAGATTAGGATTGGGAGGAAGCTGGGAGGAGAGGGAAAGGAAAGGAAAGAGTAAAGAAAAACCACAGAAAACCCTTATTCCGTTGTTGGCGTGGAATTGGGGGATTTTTTTGGTTTGGGCTTTCCCTCTCTAACTCTCTCTCTCTCCTCCTATCGGTTCTTCTTCCTCTCTCGCCAAATCTCTAGAAAGGAAAGACAATCTAATCTCACCGCGCGGCCCTTCCCATTTATATTTTTCCCGATGAATTAAAGTTTTTATTTTCCAATTGATTGCATAATAATTTAATGCATTACTTTTCAGAAAAAAAAAAGGAGAAACAAATTGAAGAATAATTTTTTAATAAATACCCTTATTAGGACTAAAAGTCTAAACCATTAATTTATTTAAAAGAATTATTGAAATTGTATTAAGTTAATGAAAAATATCAAATATATAAACAATAAGATCAAATTGCGAACAAAGGCATGAGATAAAAGCAGTATAGTTTCATTACAAGTCAATATATAATATATGTGTTGTTAGTTATTACTTATCAAATTGGTTGACAACAGAATATCAAAGATACTTGAACCGACAAATGACATTTCAAGTAGTAGCATAATTCTGAAGTCAAGGTTTGAGAGGCTTCGCCTTTTATTGTTTATGAAAGAATTTATGCTACTGAACTGGCTTATCTATTTGCTAACTGTTTCAAACCTTTTAGTCTCATACCCAAAAAAAGTTTCGATTCCTTTAGTTCGGTCAAACATCTTGTCTTTTTTTGTCTGTCATTTCACCATTTATTTTTGTTGTGACGAGTGTCACAGTGATGACTATCGAACAATCTTACATGAATGCTTTGTTGAGTATTACTTTGGCTTGAATGAATTGTAATTTAATATTGGGTTAGGATTAATCACAAAATGTCACAATGAAGATGTGACTTTAGATCTAACCAACAAACAATGGTAATAATGAAGAAGATCAATCCACTTCAATAAGTAAGATTTGGTTTGTAATGAAGATATTGGGTCATTACTCTTGCAATGAAGGTAGATAGCACTTCTGCCTGCCTAAGTAGGGAGTTTCATAATTAGATTCATTCTCCGAATGAACTGGCCATCACTATTTGGTATTTACACAATTCAATGTACAATTAGCATATACTGGTACAGCTCTCCGAGTTGGCTTTGGCTGACAGAAGGGGCTCATTTCTGCACTGTGGTTCCATCGACCCGTACATGCACAAAGAGAATGCGATTGTAACCCCTGCTGATTCTCACTTTGCTATCTGTGTATCTGCAGAAGATGGGAACCATACAGATATATAGACTTTTATCCATCAACCGCACCAGGAAACTAACAGTTCTAACCTTATACTTCTAGTGCAAACGTTATGAAGATGAATCGTAAACTTACAGCAACTCAAAGTCCATCTTGGTTTGCAGCTCTATGGGGTACCCAAATGCACCCCCAATGATGGCTGCGTCGTCCATTATCACGCTGTACGTGTTGTTGCTGCTGCTGCTGGACTTCCTGAAGTTCGGTTGGGAGGCATTCCGGTTACATGTTGAAAGGAGACGATGGTACATATCTTGAGATGTAGAAGGGAGGGAAGGGAGTCAAGAGAGCTTACTCAAACGTTCCGGACATGGAGAATTTGAGTCCAAGAAACATGTCCACCACGAACTTCAGCTGTCCATTGCTTTTCACAATCTGAAAGCATGTACGGGAGAGCAGTCAACAGAAAGTAATGGGAATACTCGGTTGGAGATGGAAGGCTTTAAGTGGGAATGAGTTTCATGATTTGACCTGCTTTCCCATGAGACCATTGGCAGCATTCTCTATCCAACTATCTGTTTCTGTCTGAGTTGTAAACGGACGGACCAATGTGAGCTTCGTCACAAGGGGGGTTGTGCCATTTCTTGAAGTGAAATCGAGAGCAAAAATATATTATTGTGTTAGTACCTGAGAACTCCACACCATTTGCCATTCTCCTTCAACAAGTTCTTGTTCACTTTGACCTACATTGTCATTGGCCCGTAGGAACTCCTCGATTGCCTGCGAAAGTTACATCATGAGTTCGAGCTAAGAACAAAGAGGACGGGTTTGCAGAGTTAAGGCACAAATGACAATACCTCCATGACTTGTGTTCCCGTAGAGATGGCTGACAACAGTCTTTGCCTAGGTTCAGTTTCCTTTTGCAGCACAAACGTGGTGCCCTGCAATTTCCATAGCTTGCATGAACACACAATTGAGGTGCTGAAGTATGTCCAGTCCTATAGTTGTGTTTATCTTCACCTTATTCCCCCTTGAGATGCGAAGGTTTCCAGAGGGGGACAAATAGGTGGTGTCCAGCCAACCCTTTGCTTCATCCCCAAGCAGCCTAAATGGCACTGGATATGGAACCTTGAAGGGCAAGAATTTCAAGGAAAAAGCCGCCTTATCGAACTGGAAGAGTATCCGCTTCCCGTTTGCAATTGATGCTGCAGCCTGTAGAAAGGTAAAGGGAAGTCAGATAACAACAGTAACACAAAGGTGCAGAAGTTTCATATGATGCTTCTGATATAACCTAATACCGAAGCTACTGAATCTGGAATTCAGAGAACTGAAATGGGAAAGCGAGCAGGCCAAAAGTCCAGGTAGCTTCATAGATATCAGATTCCAATAGGTCCATAAATTCACACAATAAATCCATCAAGTGCTCTTGCAGATCAACTACCATGGTGTCCAACAAAATTCTTCAAGAGAATGAACGGAATACATCAATTCATCCATCCCATACCTCCACTTTGAGCTCACCAACAGCATCAGAGAACACCACAACGTTGGAAACTCGGGGATCGTCTGTACGAAGGTATACCTCTTGAAACACTTTGAAGAAATCAACACCCACAAACGTTCTCTAAGAACCCACCATTTAAACATGCATTAGACACCGATTCGGATTGAATATAACCAACAAGCAGAGAGGAAAGGATACCTGAATTGGGGAAGCAGTTCCTGGCCTCGTGGTGAACATCAATTGCCAACGGCCTTCTATCAATTCCCGTTCTGTCTACATGAATTTGAACAAATCCATACCGTCAATTAGCCCTAAATGTACCCAGTAGCTCAAATTCAGGAATAAGGAGTAAAGGGGAAGTCACTAACCGGATCAGGCAACCCTTCTAGTCCTTCCAGAACCCTCACTGCTTGCTCCACTTCCTGCACTCACAACAAAAGGAAATCCTAATCAGTTCTCACCCTCCATCGATTGTTAAGCAAGCGCAAGAACCCTGGTAAAGGCGTACGTTAAGCTGCTGAACACTGGCAGATTTCCCGCGGCCTTGGATTCCGATGAGAGCGTCGATCAGCCGGTTCTCCGGTTCTGAAAATAAGGGAATGTTCTTCTGCTGTTGCTGCTGGTTCGTCAGCGACGATTGGCACGGGACATTGCGGCAAGGCTTCCGTCTATGTCCTTGGGAGTTGAAGCTGCAGAGTCGCGGAGGCTCGGCGTGGAACGTTGCGGCATTCGTAGGGTTCAATCGTAGAGCTCCCAGCGCGCCGGTTACAGCCGCCATTGTTGGTAGCTATTTGCTCTGTGACTGTATGGAGAAGAAGAAGAGGAAGAGGGACTGGAGGGGTGTTTTCCGTTACATGATGAGAATGAGATCAGATGAGTGGCCTTGAAGAAGCGAGAGAGACGATGGAAAGAAACAAAAATATCTGAGGAAAGGAGGGAAAATTGCGGTTTGGATTTTCATGACAATATATGGCCCTAATTTACCCAAACGGTCACTAAACATTCGAGTCATTGACCCTTTAGTCACTAAACTTTGGTCTTTATGACATTTTTGCTATGGTTCACAAAGTTCATCGTCAATTCGATTAGTCTTTACTAGTTCCTTCACATGTATCTTCAAATCTAAATTATTAGTCTTTACTAATTCCTTCACATGTATCTTCAAATCTAAATTATCGATCATGATAGTTGCATGCAACAGTTGCATGCAACAGTTGCATGCAACAGTTGCATGCAACTCATGCATTTTTATGCGCTACAACAGTTGCTTGCTCATGCATTGAGATGTTGAGTCGAATTTCACGAGTTACAAATCTTTGTTGAATTGTGGATAAATAGTTATCGAATTAGTACATGTCAAAACTAGCCTAAATCGAATGCAGCTGATTTTTGAATCGAATTAGATAGGAGCGAAGTATAATATGATTCGGTGTTGATTCTGACATTCCAAATTTTTGTTTTATTCAATTGCATTGTGAACCCTAGTTCCTTTCTTGTTTTAAGAAGGAAACCACAAACAAACTGATTCATAAAATTATAGAGAAATGGGTATAATAACTTTGTTTACAAACAGATGATTAGGCAAATTAATAAAACTCACATGCCTAAAGCCACACCTGATTCATAAACCCAAAAACAAAAGAATGAAAACACAATTTGCAAATGGTAAACTTGCATTCTTTTTTTCTTCACCACCAAGGCAAAGAAGAAAAAGAAGAGATCTTCAAACATCTCCACTCCACTCCCTAATCCCTATTGAAAAGAAGAAAAAAGCCTCCCCAAAGATGGGAAAGGAAGATAAAATGCTCACAAAAACAAAGAGACTTGGTTAGTAGCAGACCCTTTTTCCCCCTTCTATACTTGATCATCTGGTCCAGCAAGTATAACCTGTCAATGTCATATATCGAAACCGAGAATTTCGTCCATCAAACGCTCTGATAAAGTGAACTTCGTGGTTGTGAAGGAAGTCAAAGAGCACAAGATAAGAGCATTTCTCATTACTTACATTGCAATCATTAGAGAACTTTCTGGCGATCGTAATGGCTGCATTCCTCGCTTGCTCTGTCTCGAACTTCAGCACAAAGGAGAGCCCTTTTCTCGGTTGCCAGAACAGTGACTTTGAGGCAGCATTGCTACAGATCGATCGAGCTCCACATAACTAGAGATCAAGAACAAGAAAAATTGTCAGCAAGGTTACATCTAAAATTGCAGTCTTTTTCCTGAAGTTATAACCTTAGAAGATTCTGTTTGACTTGGATTAGCGAGTTTATATCCAACTCATTATCTACAATCTTACTTCTTTTGGTCACTCAGCTGTAGATTCGACATATAATGATCTTGACAGTTCATGAACCAGAGTAAAATTTTACCTGCATGGATGTTGAGTAAATTTCTCTCGCCTTTGTTATCCATCCTCTACAAAGTTTTATCCTCATCTTCCCCACATTAAACGAATGGATCGACTGTGATGGATTGTCTTGTCCATTGATCTGCGAAATTGTCACCTGCATATAAAACACATAAACAAAACCAAGTGAGGAGAAAACTAATATGCAAAGTATCAAGCTTTCGAGAGTATGGGAGATTTGCTTACACTAAACTCGGCACTAGATTTTCGCAGAAGTGTCTCTACATGGCTCATAAGTCCTGGAGCTGTTAAAGAAACCAAAGTTCACGAGCAATTCATTTACTAAAATGTACACATGACACAAAGTGAAAGCAAGTGCAAGGAAACATTACTAGTATAGGACGCACCTGGCTCGATATGACCAGCGGTCGTAACAGTGCTAACGTTCTGGCCGTTTGAAACCACGTCGACCTGAAGGACCCGGCCAACATCAAGTGGTTCAGGAGCATATATTGGTTTGTCAGCGCCTTTTGAGTCGTCAGAAGAGGGGGAAAAATTGATTAAAACCATATCAAAATGTGCAGATAGTGAATCTGAAGTATATAAATCTATAAACCAATAATATGTCAATCATACCTAAAATGACTTCATTGTGACTCCCTTCAGATGAGACACGGTACCACTGAATTGAGCATTTCGAAAGTAGCGGAGCATCATTAATACGAGGATGGAGACGCAAACATGAACCAAGAGTTTCAGAACCTTCTATCCTGTATATTGCTAATTTGTTTTCCTCTACTCTTTTGCTGATTGCCAGCTGCATCAGAAAAAAGGAAGTCAGCTCCATAGACAATAAACTACCTTCCGAGAGAAATGAAATGGACAAGGCATGAAATCATCAGGGGGGAAAGAGAATGCAATGAGAAAAAGCAAACCTCTTTCTGAAGTTTAACAGAGAAGATGGCTTTCTCGCGGATTTGAGCTCTAAGTGCACCAAGTTCATGCTCCATGTCCATCACCTACAGAAATCACACACTTCCTTGTAACGAGAAAGAAAGAGAGGAAAAAGAAAAAGGTTAACATGACTTAGATTATTGATGATTGCAGCTCGTGGGGCATTGTGGAAATAACTAACAGCAGAACGATTCATGTGCCTGACTGCCATGTATTCAATCATAAACTTGTCACAACTGTATAACTTTCAGAATATCTAATGCCTATATTAGAACTTCATCCTTGAACGAACAAATAAACACATAAACACAAATTGAATGATCCAAGGGCACAAGGCCTTTCTCACTTCCTGTAAGTTTCAAGACTCAAAAGGCTAACGTTTCCACCAGTGAACAATGAGTTAACTAGAAACATAAGACTTGTATAACAAGCAAATATTTCTCCTAAAATTACTGGGATGGAGTTTCGAGAGAGAAATAAGGGTGATGAGCAAAACACGCCATGCAATAACTAAACAAGGAGATCATATGAATATACCTTGCTCGGGTGATGCAGCAATTTGATTCTTCTAGCCTCTTGAACCTCCTCAAGTAGTACCTCCACATTCTGCAATACCATCAAGAATCAGAGTAACCATGGCTAATAGAGCGGACAGAGACATTACAAAGATGGATAAACTTACAGGAGACACGTTTTTAGATGTTTGAGCATTCCTTTCTTCTTCCTCTAAGGCCTCCCCAAACCTCTGAACAACGGCCCTGGCGCTTTCTATTTCAGCACATGCAAACGATCTTTCTTGGCTTACCAACTTCTTAGCATCTTCTGAAGCCTGTAGACACCACAGAACACATCAATATGAACTAATGAAACAGAATTGATGAACAAGAAGAGATCATTTAACATAATAATAATTCTCCGCGGACTGACAAACAAAATAACATAAGTCAACCTGTCTGAGGAAGTTTGCAAGCTTTTTCACTTCAAACTTCTCCTGAATTAGTTCACCTTCTTTTTGAGTCAACTTCACAGCCAATGCTTCCACCTGCAGTTTGCAGTAACAGTTAATTACCAACAACAAATAGAGCATTTAGATGCGATGGAATCCCAGATGCATCAAATGTGGAATCCCACAAGCATCTACCATACCCGAATGAAGGAAAAAAGAAAACAAGCAAGAGAACTACTTACCATAGAGATAGCCTGCTCCACATCTTCTTTGTTTCGCCCTGCCATACGTCCTCTTAAGGATTCTAATGCATCTCTCAACTTCTTTAAAAGCACATGCCCCTCCAGAGAAGCCACTTCCCTAAGTTTCGCCTAATTACATCAAAGACGAGAGAGTTAACTACAGGCCTAACATCATTACCAAAGGGTACTTTTCTTCAAAGACAAAGTGAAAAGTACAAAATGGACAAAAAGAAGCAGGCCGAGATAACAAGTGCAGAATATGAGACAATCCATTAGGCATCACAATTGGCAAGGGTTTTGAGAGAGAACCTCCTCAGCCAACTTAGCAGCAGAAGCCAAGTTATTGTCGAATTTACTGGCGAGGTCGCGAACCGAGAGGCGTTTATGCTGATCTGAGAGCTGTGTTGTCTCCTGCTCAACAATGTCCTTCAAAGATGGTCCCTTTTCATCCTCTTTTGGCTCTTCCACTACCTGATTCTCAGGTCCTAGCTTGTACTTGGGAAACCGGTCCGAAGGGAAGCTGACATCAGTTGAAACTGGAATGAAGATCTCCATTGCCATCATCTGCCCTCCAAGGGGACTAACCTTGGTCATTATAGATCGGGTCTAAAATCGAACTTGTTCCCCTAATTCATCAACAGGACAGCATAAGAGCAAAGGAAAAGAAACATGCCCGTAGAATGTAAAAGCAACACTGCACATTTCTTGAGCTCATGAAGTAAAGAATCACATTACATGCAGATTCCATTGTCTGTCCAATATGTTAAAGAAGACAAATTCAAGCACATCACTGAAATTTCCAGCATCAAAAAAAGCATGCATTTGAATGTAAACTGGAATCAAGCTGATGCAAAGACAAGGGGGAAAAAACAAAGAACTAGTAAGGGGTAGTTGTTGGCTCCAATTGAAAGGACTAAATATTGAAGATCACAATTAAAAAGAAAGGGGAAACCAAAGAGTTGGTGGCGTAGGTGATCTGAACCAATGTTTTTAAACTTACATTTCCTATCATCCAACAAAGATCCAAACTTTTGAATGCCCTTTATCATTGCACACTAGAAGGGACATTCTTCTTATGGACCCAAACGAAAACTTACCAAACTCAAAGCTCCATAACTATAATACAGGTGAATGGAAATCAAACAAGTTGCATTGAAAACACTGTCCTTTGCAAAATGCAGGCAGGAAGTCTCGGCTCAAATTAGTAAAACTAGAAGAAAGAAAAAAAAGGAGGAAGCATCATCTCCAGCCTGCTCATTCCCCACTTCAGGTCTGTCAAATTCAATTATAAAAATTTCCAGAAAAGAATGCAGCCCAGAAGAAGAACACTCTGGAAAAAGGAAAAGGAAGAGAAATGCAAATGGGTAGATAAAATGGAAGAACTTACAGAGAGAAAAGCAAGGACAAATGGCAGAGATGGCCAAAAACCCAGAAGAAAAAAAGTAGTTGCTAGCTAGCAACTCTTCATGCAAGGGGGACAGGGAATGATTTCAGTGTGTTGGGTTTGTTTCAGAGCCAGAGAGATGGAAAAGTAAGTAGGAATGTAATGAAATAAGTGTGGAGAGAAGGAGAATCAAAAAAGGAATGGCGTAATGGGGGTTTAGGCCGCTCTTCTCTGCTTTTCTAAAAGCAAGTTGATAGAGAGAGAGGAGCGAAGGAAGAGAGGGAAAATGAAGCAAAGAAAGAAAAGGACGCTCTCTTCTCTGTTCGGTCTTCGGTGCCTGACCGCTGCTCTAGCTCGGTGTAAAAATAGAAAACAACCATTTTCTTTTGCTTTTTTTTGGCATCTATCTGTACTGAAAATGCTCTGTTTGTTGCTTCGGTTTAGCAACCGAATTTACTTCTGTACTGAAAGTGAGAACTCCTCCTCTAGATTTCCCTCCAACCTTTTGTTATTGATTAAGTTGGTAGCTTGCACCAATCACAGATACAGTGAGAGGTTTTGTATCTTTTAGATATTAAGTAAATAGATGTTATGTTCTGCTTTCTATAAGTGTTGATTCTTCAATATTAGTTATATACTTATTTTCAAGAGTTTGTATTGATGGCATGCCCATTGCTTATAATCCAAAATTTGAAATTTTTATTAATCTATTTAGACTGCACAATTGTATAGAGTCTTATAATGTATGACTTTTTTCAGTCTTCTACGAGAATGTCCGTCGTTGATCAACTGGAAACAATTATTTAGGGTTAATTACAAGGTTGGTCACTGAGATTACTAAAAATGTTCATGTTTGGTCACTATAAATATTTAATTTCATTCGTGGTCACTTAAATTAGTTAAACACTTCAAGTTTGGTCACTCTCCGTCCAACTCCGTTAACTTTTGCTTATGTGACGGTCAACTTTGAAAATTGACCGTTAAATGTGTGACATGACAATTAAAAATAATAAAATAAATAAAATATAATTTTTTCACATTTTCGATGTGAATAACCAGATAGTCGACAATCACACAACCCGTCGTCTCGTAGGTGGCCGGTGAGATTAATCGGCCTCAACAGCCACCGCCGGGCATCCTCCTCCCACTCCTTCCTCGGTAGGAAGATCCCTTCCCCGGAGATCCCGACCGCCCGGCTGGCATCGGACGACACCCTCCTCTGCACCCGCTGCTGCCTCCCAGTCTCAGTGGCGGTGCTCTTACCCCCGTCGGGCGAGATCTCAGCAATTTTCTTCAGCACGCTGCTGCTGGTCCTGCGGAACAACATACCGAAGTTGCCAAAGTTACTCGTCGTCCTCCAAAATGACTCCCCGAAATTGTTGGCCGACATTCTGTGCAGTTGTGGCTTGCTCGGCGGCGTGTCGTTGATTGGCACGTCCACAATGTTGTCGATCTCCACACTGTCCAGCACCATTCCTGTCGACGACAGCGAAGATGGTCGCCGTTCTATTTTTTATTATTAAGGATGGTCGCCATTCTGCCCCCTGCGGCTGCCATTACACTAGAGAGAAGATAGAGACAAGGGAGAACCCTTTTAGTTTTTCATTTTTATTTTTTACGGGTTCATCGTTAATTCATTGCCTGTGGAGACAAAGGAGAGAGAATGAGTGAGGCACGCAAACGATTTACCTCCCTTCCTTCGGCTTTGGTGATGATCAGATCGTTAAGGCTGGCGAAAGGTGGCTGCTTGTATCTAATTGATGGATGAAGTTTTGTTTTCTTTTGTGATGTCGGTCGGAATGCTCCCCTAAGCGCGTTGAAACGAACAGAAAGAGTATTGAGTTGGGTGAGGTTGCCCAGTCGGAGAGAGAGCTCGCCGGGGAGACCCATCCGGAGAAACGGAGCTCGACAACTCTGTTGTCGGCGCATGTAACACCGGCCCAATTGCGAAAGTGTCAGTCAAGTTCCACTTGTTGAGTTTACTCACATCCTAGGTGGAAATTTTTATAAATTAAATTTTATTTATTTTATTATTTTTAATTGCCATGTCACACATTTAACGATCAACTTTTAAAGTTGACCGCCACGTAAGCAAAAGTTAACGGAGTTGGACGGAGAGTGACCAAACATGAAGTGTTTAACTAATTTAAGTGACCACGAATGAAATTAAATATTTTCAGTGACCAAACATGAACGTTTTTAGTAATCTCAGTGACCAACCTTGCAATTAACCCCAATTATTTATCATCTACATCTCGACATACTCTTCTGATTCTCATTACAAACTTAATTAGCAAGCCAGCACCACCAATAATCTACAATTTTGAAATTAACCAGCACTACAATCTTTGTCAATACAGCTCATAAAGATTGCCCAGTTAGGTCATTTAGCACTCACCTGGGGTACCCTTCATAACCCTTCACCTAAAGATGAGGTTTTTCCTTTTCTTTGGGGGTATGGGCCATTGGTGATGGCAATGTGGCGGGACGGGCGGGTATCTCAATTCCTATGTCCCGTCCCATGCTGCTACGGATCGGGGTGGGTAAAACCCGCGCGGTATGGGGCGGGACGGGGCGGGTCGACCCACTCTTACATGTTGTTAAAAAAAATACAAGTAAATTTTACTTTTTACAATAAAACATAGGGAAAAACACTTTAAAAATGAAAAATATTGATAATAAAATGGATAATTGAGCCTAACAAGTTGAAAGTTCGACTCAACTATTTGAAGAAAAGTCAAAATAGGAAAAATATGTATAGATATTGTAAGAATTTGAGATAAAATGAGTCTAGAACGGGGCAAGGCGGGTCGGAAGTAGATACCCATGCCCCACCCCACACTACTGCGGATCGAGTAATACCAGCCCCATCACGAATCAGGTCGGATAATACATGCGATTCTTTTTGAAATTGCCATCACTATGAGCCATGGGCCATCGGGTCCAAAAAAGGTAATGAATGAAAGAACATGATAACTAGAAGTGGGCCCATTTCATATTTATCGGGTCGGGTAGTAGTAGTGCCAAACTGCCAGCCTTTTTCTCCTTCTTCCTTTTCCTTTTTTCATTGGCTTTATTACCCCTTTCACCCTTTTTCTATTTCAAGTTTGACCGCTCCACTCAATTGCAACGACCACGGTTGGGGTGATGGCAATAAGGTAATTTCGCCCCACATTTAGCTCTATATACTCAAGGCGGTAAATTCGTAGCTAGTTTGTGCTACAAAATGGTTAGGTTCAACTTAATCATGACTTATAACATGCTCAAAGATAAAAAATGGATTTAGAAGGATTGTTCGTTATAACTTTTTCGATTAGTAGACCATCTCTTAAGTTTGTTCATGGTTGTTAAACTTAGACCCAACCACTTGATTGAATTGGGTTTGACTCTAACTTACCAATCTACCATGCTCTACTCGTTTGATTTAGCTTGAAATCATAATTATCCCTTACCGACTAGTCTCAAATGGCTTGACCAAAGCAATTAAGTCAACCAACCTTCTCTCACTGTTTTTCTATGAAAGTACAACCTCAAATTGCTTTCACCACAAATTCAAGTCAATTGAGTTTATCACGATTCACCGGCCGAAATCTTGACTATTCGGTTCGATTAAATGAATTATTAAAGTCGGTTTGACAACTTTTGATATAACATTCAAATCTTACAATATAAAAGTACCCGACGAAATAATTATTTGATAAATTTCAACGATAACCTTGACATGCTATATAGGAGTGGGCAATAATAGCTTACCCTAATTAACCCCTTTAGTAAAGAAAACAAACTGTAAAAAACACCGACACTGCAAATCGAAACGAAACGGTGGCGTTTTTCCGCCGTACGAGCAACGTAAAACTTGTATTAATCAGCGGTTTCATTTGATCAGCCGGAACTGAAGCTGGCAATCCCCTGCATGCAATCCTCCGCCGCAACCAGACCCCTCGCAACGTTTCAGAAAACCCCGAATATCACGGAGACACGCCGAGCATTCCGTCGGCCCGCCCTTGAAACAAGTCCCGGTCGCCGCCACGGCGCCGCCGCCGAGGTTCCCCCGTGGATCTGATGTCGTGGTGAAGATGGTGTCGCCGGAGGCCGGGTTCTTGACCTGACCGGGAGTGCGCTTCACCACGTCGTCGAGAACCGTGCGCACGCTGCGGCGGAAGTTCGCCTGATCATTTGCCCGACCGCAGCCGCAGAACCCGGTAGCGGTCGCGAAAAGCGCCGCCGCGAGGACTGCCACCACGGCGGCCTTCATTAGGGTAGTAGAATTCATGGGTTTTGACTTTTGAATTTTCTTCTGTTTATGACTCTTTCTTGCTCGATGTGATCGATTACGAGTACGCAAGAAGATATATATAGATAGATATATGCATGCACGAGACAGCTAGCCGTACGTCGTCGTATATGGATGGCGGCATCCTTGGACCGAAGCAGCTTTCAGTGCCGCCCGACCGGCGGTGAAAACTACGGCTTACGGTGGATCTCTCCGGAGTCGGACGTGATTATGACAGATTCTGAGGTTCATTCATGATATCATATAGGAATAGTAATGGGTAGGGTCGATAGGTCTTTCCAAACCTAATCTTAGAGTATTGGCCGGTAAAAAAATTCTGCAAAATATTTATTGGATTTCGGAAGGAAAATCTAACTCAATCCAAATATGGGTATTCATAGATTTATAATTTCTCTGGAAATTTATTTGCATTCTTATATTATCGAAAATTTCCTACGTACAATTGTATTTCCGAAAAGATTAATCATATCCATTAATTATGCATATTATTATATTAATTGGGGAAAAATACTAATAGCATATGCAAATTATTTATTATTATTAGGATCAGATATAAAAAGATACACTTTATGGGTGTGAGTCAGGTCAGAAGTGGGTTGAAATTTGACCCAACCTATTAATTAAAAAAAAAAAAAAAGAAGGTAAAACCATCCCGGTGACAATTGGAAGGAGAGGGTTCTTCACTCTTTTCATGTACCTATCTCATTTGTTTCTATATTTTTGTATATTTAGAAAGGATATGGATAATCGATAATGTAAGGAAATAATAAACACATAGATTTACGTGGTTAATTAACACAAAATGTATGTTCATTAATCTACGAGCATGAGAGAGTCCGTTTCACTATACTTGAGATCGAGGAGATACATATTACAGAAGGATATGAGCAGTGTTCAAGAAGACGCGATTAATCTCTCGCCTAGGCGCGATTAATAGCTAGGCAGAAGGAAATCATCCCGTCTAGCCCTGGGCGATTGATCTAGGCACCTAGGCATTCGGAGGCGCGTTTTCACTCTGGTGGGCGACGCCCAGAACAACTAATAAAGGAAAAAAGTATAGCCTTTTTGTGAAAATCTCAAACCCTAGTCTATTTCCCATTTCCATTCGACCAGCCGCTCCCCCTCCCTCATCGACCAGCAGTGAGATCCCTCTTCATGGTTGGCGACTTAGGATGTTTAGGATTGTGGAAAATGGTTGGATGTGTATATGAATGGATGAATAATGATGTGGAGACTTGGATTTTTGTGGAATATGGCTTATCTATCATTTTTTTTTTCAACGTTTAATCTCGCCTAGGCAACGACTAATCAGCCTAGGCGCTGGGCGGTACCTCCTCGCCTAGATAGCGCCTAGCGTCTTCTTGAACATTGGATATGAGAGGTTGTCATATAGTAATATTTCTCCAAACACACAACTCTTGCTTCCATGGTGGATTCCATTTACAGAGGGATACAAAGAACCTCGTGACTTTCAGTCAACGACGGATAATCCGATGAAAGTCATATCAACATTGTATTTTGATGTACTCGTCTTATCCATGATTTGATTCGAAAATCATGTCAAGTTATAAGTGGCGTTGATCGGTGTGTAACATGCTGTGCATTCGTTGATAATTATATCGTCTTTATCATATAAATTAACTCTTAATTTCGGTCAGAAACAAGTTTCTTGTCTTGCTACGAGACGACGACAACAACAACAAATTTGTCTCGCTATTGACTCAAAATATTTAAATTTTCACCCAAATTTTAGTAATTAGCTATGTAAATCCATTTATGTTTACCCACATAACTTATCTTCTCATGTAACATCATCGATTTCACATACCACTCAATCAACACTCACAGTGATCTTGCAATATTACTGGAAATTTCGCTCATAACGCATCACCCGATTGCAAATTTGATAGAATATCACGTTAAACAATCCAACTTTTCATTGAATAACATTAAAAGTAGGCATAGTTGATAGATATTGCTCAGCCGGAGAAACACCATAACTTATTATATATTCCCGCCGGAGAGCTTGGTAATCGGCGCATCATTTAATTTGTCGGAACTTAAGTAGGCAGCTGTCGCCGACGTTGCCTCCCCCGCAGCCGAATTTCTCGCAGGGCTTCAACGACTTCCGAATCTTGCCAAGACATTTTGCGCAACTGACTAAGTCAGCACAGGAGGCGGTGGCGGCGGCGCCGCCGCTGTGGAGCGTCGCGGACCGAACCGTCTTGGTGAAGGTTGTTTCGTCGGAGACCGGGTTCTTGGGTCGATCCGGCGTGAGCGCCACCATGTCGTCGAGAAGTCTGCTCACGAGAGCAGAGTACACCTCCGGATCATCCGTCGCCGCCGGACCGCAGTTGCAAAATTCCGCACCTTGTTGGCCGGAGACGCTCGCAAATAATAACGCCGCCGAAATGATTACCACAAGGGCAGCTTTCATGTTTTTTTTTTTTTTCCTTCTTCCTACTTAATTTCCTTGCTCGATATGATCGATTACAAGTAGCCGAGAATATACATGTATATATATACATCGGGACCGGAATGAGGGAATCTTTGTATATCAAGGTTGAAGATTAGGCCGGCCGACGTACGGCCTGGCTTCAGCTTATAAAAAGTCTGTGTCTTGTCATTTTGTGTAGGAAATCTTATGAGAACGGTAAGACATTGAGATTTTGTAGACGGGTTTGAGTTTTGCACCAGATTAGGGGTGTCAGTTCGGGTCGGGAAACTCGAAAAAATCCGAAATCGAAAATTACTGAAACCGAACCCGAATTCGATACCGAAACCCGAAAATTTCTTATCGGGTTTGGGTTCGGTTAAAGCAAAACCAAAACCCGAAAATCCGAACGTCTAAGAATATGGGTTGAGTTCTATTTATTGGAGGTTTTTAGCCGGAACCCGAAAAACCGATAAGCAAAACCGAACCTGAAAAATCGAAAATGTATATAATCGGGTCGGTTTCGAGTAAACCCGAAACACCGAACCCGAATGGACACCCCTACACCGGATATGCTCTTCCAACGCGATTGGTTAAACATACGGATGCGTGTCTTTCTAATGATGTCATACAAGATTCGTATTCGCGAGTCTCTTCTGAATACTGATAAGAATATACATATAATACACGAGAACAAATTTTTTTTATTTGATATGATGGTATATATAGTCTCTTTATTAAAATCCACTTGTTATGATAAGTATGTACAAATTTTAGATCGCACTTCCAACTCGAGTTATTTGGCATGTTAAACGACCAATCAAACACCACGCGAGAAAGAATATTGACCTTGTATATATGTAGGAGAGTGGTATAATAACAACCGATTAAAGAAAGAAGTATGTCGGACATGTGCAAATTTTAAGCCGTGAGTTGGTTTTCATTTGAGTGGGGCGCGTGTAAGACTTGACTTCGAGTTATTGAGAACAATTCATTTATAACAGTAAATTTGGGGGCCACCTGCAATAAAATTCGACGCAAACGGGACTTCGTCGTTAGCAGCCTTGTACCTCCGGGAACACCAACGGGCTTCGCTTGGATTCGAACTTGGGATCTGCAACTCCCTAGCCTTCACTATTGCGATAGATTTACCGTTAGGCTATCTTACCTTTGGTAATATACGCTTCTCGTTAATTAATACATGAAAGAGTCAAGATAGCAGTTAAATTAGTGGTCTCCTATCCTATATTTCGATATTTAATTTTATGTGAATTGCACTTATTATTAATTATCTTTATGTGTCGAGCAAGAGGTTAATATTTAATGATTAATTGTCTCTGTAAATGGCGACATAGCGATTTTGGAGGAGATAATACGTCAAAATAAATGTCGGACGAGGAGAACTCATCAATTGCATGCTGTCTATCTAATTAAACATTAGGTAATTAACAAAATTACTTATTGATGGAGCTGTTCTCATTAAACATTAAAAAATTGATTCGGTTATCTATATATGAGCATCATCTTCTTCACCGGAAAACGCTCACAAAACACGCCGCCGCTAACATTACTATAACGGCGGATTTCATCATCACCGGCGATAGAGGTGCGTTTCCCCCATTGTTCTTACTTTGCATATTAAGTAAGGCGAGCAATAGATGTTTGTATACATTTTACATGATATGATGAGACAAGCTAGAAGTCGCCGGCAAGTCTGGACAGCCGAATCTTTCTACCGCCGGATGAGGCAAGAAACGGTTAAACCGAAAAATCCAGCTTTAATTCAGTTGCCGCCGGCACGACGACTGGTCAAAAACGTCATGCGGATTACAATAATATTAAAAGAAAGTTTCCTATGGTATAAAACTCAAGAGGAGTCTATACTCTCTGCTATGTTAAGAGAATACCGGTAGATTTATAATTAACTTTCTCCTCGGTTATTGATATAAGTTGGTTTATAACATGATATAAAATCGAGTTCGGTTAAGTGGTTGTGTGTTCAAATTTTCATGACCTCAAATTTTAATGAGTTTGTGCAAACTTTAAGTCCATAAATTAACTTTCATTTGAGATGATGTGTAAAGAAAGTGATCAAAATCCATACATCGTCCAACATCTCCCAACAACAAGAGTTATTGAAACTACATGTTGGTACTGATTTGATCATGAGGTCATGTAGTTCAAATACTCACGAACTCAATATTAAGTACCGTACTTTGTCTTAAAGCACATGACATGAGAGGGGCATGTGCAAATTTCACAAAACAACAACAAATTATTAGATAATAAAAATTGACTCAAATTTAATGTGACAGCCACGTACGCAACTTAGATAATAATTGCCGAATTAATTATCCGATAACTTTGACATAATTAATAGAGGGTGGGCATTAGCATACCCTAATTAACCCTTTAGTAAATTAAAGAAAGACACAAACCAGCCACACTGCAAACCGAAACGAAAAACCAGTTGCATTAATTCCCGCCATAACTAACCCAACGGCCAACGGTCATTCATTTGATCTGCCGGAACTGAAGCCGGCAATCCCCCGTCAACAGCCCTCCGCCGCAACCGGAGCTCTCGCAAACCTTCAAAGACGCCCGAATCTTACCGAGACACACCGAGCACTCCGTCGGCCCTCCCTCGAAACAAGTGCCGGTCGCCACGACGGCGCCGACGTCGAGGTTCGCCCCCGGATTCGACGTCGTGGTGAAGACGACGTCGCCGCCGGTGGAGGAGCCGGGCGTGCGCTTCACCACTTCCTCGAGAACAGCGCGCACGCTGACACGGAAGTTCTTCAGATCATCTGCCCGACCGCAACTGCAAAACCCATTGTCGTCTCCTTGGCCGGAAACGCTCGCAAGAAGCGCCGCCGCCATTGCTAATATAAACGCTGCTTTCATTAGAGTAGTAGTAGTAGTGTTCATGTTTTCTTCTTTCTTTCTTTCTTTTCTTCCGTGTATGATTTGTTTGTTAATTACTCAACATGATCGATTAATTATGAGTTAACCGAGAAGCTTTATATAGCTAGCCGTCATCGTATATTGATATGTATTCGGCGGAATCAAGCTAGAATTCAGTGCCGCCCGACCACTGGTTAAGAATACGGCTATATTGTGATTAGGACATTCTTGATATTTAGATCGGGTTACATGTTATTATGATTTGAAGTTGACGGATTATCTGTTGTCGATTCGAAGTTATGGGGCATTTTGATGGTGTAAAGTGACTCCGCGATGAGAGTTCGGAAGCAACACCCCCCAATCCAACCCAACCCAATCGGCCATGGGTGTGTGGTATCTATGTATTTATACGAATAATCGCGCGCAGATAATTCCTCCGAATCTTAACATCATTATATTGAAATAAAGACTAATAACAACATGTATAAATTATATAATATTATCATAACTATATTTCCACAAAAATTAATGACATCCATAAATTATTAGATATATTAAACAATATTGTTTTGCTTTATGACGTAGGTCAGGTGAAAAGCAGTCTGAGATCCGATCCAATTCCAAAAAGGAGTAAATCTCTATTCGATTTAATACCCGTTAACATTGAGTTTTACCCTATTTAACTTGGTCGAATCGAGTAATTATATTGCATGCCAGCGTGTTCTAGTTCAATTAGCAATTGCTAATTATGCCTTAATAATATATGATTAGATCCTTCCACCGTTTAACAGATTCAACGAGGGCCGGCCGACAGAGAGATTCTAGCCTATATACACTCAAGTTATATGGATGCTATACACTTCCCGACTCCGGTTAATATCCGGCCGGCCGACCGGCGGAATTATATGCGCCCGCCCAAGTACGTACGCTTGCTCCAAAGTGGTTTTTCCTTTTACTCATTTTTCCGGCGGCATTCCTCCAGATGCTAGCTAACAGTCAGCATCTCTGGACGGCCGAATCATTCTGTCGCCGGATAAACCAAGAAACGCTTAAGCATATGTAACAACCAGCTTTTTTCCAGTTGCCGCCGGCCCAACGACTGGTCCGAAACGTCGTACGGCATAAAATTAATTCATTTGTAAACTTTTTATTAATAATGGATATGTTTTTTAAAAAATTCAACAAAAATGATTTGTTACAATTTTTTACAAATGATATTTGTGTATTCCACGCGCCTACGACTCTCAAACTTGCTCTCAGTGCTCGTAAAGAGAGAGTCTGATGGTGTAGCTTGCCCCTAATTAAGATGGAGGAATGGTGAAGAGAGTCTTATGTATAGTACATGTAATTGATGTTGTTTTATGTTGCGTCTAAAGGTGTAACGCAATGATATTTGTATCTAGCTCGTATGGTTGGATCGTGCCATAATAGAATTAGTCCGCATGAAGTTGTAAAGGAAATTTGAGCGATATAACCCGATCGAAAGTGCATTTGATTTCATTTGATCCGATCGATTCAAATATTAGCTCAATTCATTTTTTTCTTTATATTCAAAAAAATTATAGAACCGTATATTCAATCAATATCGATTCGATCTAATTTTCAGTTTGGTTTAGTATCCATCATGCATTAATGTCGATCGGTTAGCTTAGCTAGGGTTGCATATCGTGTGACATGTGACGATGAACAAGTTTTCTATATGCGTATATGTTGTTTCTAGTTTTTTTTTTCGTGACTTCAATCAGATCTAGACATCTCGTTGGTCGAGAATGGGGTTGCAAAACCTCCCCGCAAGAGTATACATTTTTTTATACTCATTATCAATATCATCCCGATAGCAACACAACTTAATAGTAATTAGAATAAAAACAACATTTTTTATATTACGTTTCATCGCAGGATATCAAAGCATTGGACATTAATACATGTGGCACAATTGATATTTGATAGAAAGTGCACTAGTGGAAAAAGAAGAAGAAGAAGAAATTAGTGCAAACAACTTTGATCGAGTGATTGATAGAAAGTTACACACAAACTATTATAAGAGTAGTATTTGGGTTCCCGCCGGAATTCGGAAACTGTAACGATCACCGGCCGGCATCATTTGAGCTGGCGGAACTGAAGGCGGCACTTGCCTTCAAACCGAAGTCCGCCACAAGCAAAAACTCCACATCCATCCAAAAAACCCCGCGCCTTAGACAGACACGATGAGCAGTTAGCGAGAGCAGCGCCACCGAAACAAGTCCCGGTCACCGCGGCGGCGCCGGTGCCGCCTTTCTTCGGGTCCGTCGCCGTGTAGGTTATGTCGCCAGAGACTTGGTCTTTGCGCTGAGAAGACGCCGTATTTTTCACCACGTCGTCGAGAGCACTGCCGAGGCGGGCAGGGAAGTTCTTCTGGTCCTTGGCCGAACCGCAACCGCAGAACTTGGTATCGTCGTCGTCTTTCCCGGAAACGGTGACGAAATACGCCGCCGCTATCATTAGTACTACAACGGCGGATTTCATTGCTAGCGATATGTGTGACTTCGCCATTGTTTTTGCTACTTTGGTATGGTACTCGATTGCGAATTAATTAGCGAGCAGATGAGATGATGAATGTACCGAAGACAAAACCATATATTTATATACACGTACGAGACATGATGAGACAAGGTAGGAGTCGGGCATTTTTTGGACGGCCGAATAATTCTATCGCCGGATAAGCCAAGAAACGGTTAAAAAGAACAACCAGCTTTTTTTTCAGTTGCCGCCGGCCGCCGCCGACTGGTCAGAAACGTCATGCGTTTATAATGGATTTGCATATAATTCATGTCTCGTGGTTTTTTCCCAACAACGAATAATTCTTGCGGCAAGTTTTTTTTTGATTATGAAGAGCCTTAATTAGTTATTCTCCGGCCGGCCGGTGGAACTACGTTTGCCCAAAGACTGTCCCATGGTGGTCGCACCCCTTATTTTGTTTCCATTTTTCCGGTGCCAATTGTCACGCTCACAGCTGGTTCTTCACTATTATTTTATTCCATGTATTCATTTCCTATATATATATTTTTTTTTCATTTTCGCTGCACTCAATTTTTGGTGTGTGATATGCTTTCTGTCTTATAATCGTCATGTTAAGAAGATATTTCATATCGAAACGATCTCAATTCTCATTTCTAGTATAATGGACAAGAAAGCACATGAGTTTACACACAAAAACTCCATTCAAAGTTTAGACTGATTTGAATGATTTAGGATTTACAATTGAGATTTTAGGATTATTGTTTAAAATTGCAAGTTCATAGCTTAGGGTACTACATTGATAAGCTGAGATCCTATGCCATCATATTAGTATCAATCAAAATTCAAAATTCGATGTCTTAATATTACTCTTAGAGTTGGATTTTATGTATACTTTTTTTTTTTGTGTGATGTATACCCTTATTTCTGTGAATCCACCGTGAAATATATGTATTTTAAATCCAAAATTTCATGATATATCAATTAAATTTGATTTTCAAGTTGTGTTGTAGAAAATGTTAGTATTCTAGAATTACGTAGGAAACTGCACATAGAAAAATGAAATTAACAATATAGGCCCAACTTCCCACCTCAGACAACTCCCGGAGCCCTTTATCAGCCCAGGTAAGTCGAGACCGGCCCGGATAGCTCGGTCACATATATGATGATCAGCCAAAGTAAGTTGTAAGTTGTAACTCGCTTGAAAAGAGCAGTTTACGGAAGCTTAAAGACCACCACAAAGAATCATTCATGCAAACAACAAACATTTCTACTAACACTTCATCATCCAACTCTTGCCATCTCCCCTACGTTTCTACAACCTATTACGTTAGAGATTTCTACCGTCGGAACAAACACGCAAGTCACTGGCAGCTTCAACGGAAGATCAGAGTCGATCTGCAGTCATTACGGCGGGTTGGGATTCGCGGTTCTTGCGTGTGAGGTACGGGCCCCTATCAACAGCTTCTTGCAACTGTAGAAATGAACGAAAAGGTTCAGTTAAGGTTTCCCCCAACATTACCACCAGACAAGTCAAAAACACTAGATTTCTATTGCTACTTGTGGAGTGAAGGGGATAATAAAATGATCTCGGACCTTGGCAGCTATTCCAGAAAACGCAGGGTTGCTGCTGTATCTGACCGAGAAAGCTTCGTAGATTGCCTTGCAGCATTTATACTTGGCTTCCATGCCTGCAAATCAGTCACAGATCACGAAAATTCGAGAAAATGCAAACCGAGATGTTAAAAAGCAAAATGAAACCAGAAAGACAGAATGCAGCAGTATAGCGATCTGATATGCAAATTCAAATTCAAATAGGTCGAAATCACTAGTTCAACTCCTATTAGGTGCAAACTTTTTCCCGGGTTCTTTATGACTTGAGAAGCAGGACGAAGTAAAAAAAAAAAAAGGAGAACGCTTAGCTAAGCCAATTAGCTAAGCATTTGGGAACATACCTCCTTTTGTGGACTCTGTACTTGGATCAGTCACTTTGTTAATAACATCTTGTTTCGAGCAAACCTCCATCAGACACCATGGCCGAGCTACTAGCCCGGTAATCACTCTGTAGGCCTGCACATTCCATGGATACAATCAGCAATAACTCTCCAACACCAACCAACGTGCAAGGACCCCGATTCCATCAAACTCCATCGAGTAAAAACAGATTCAAATTGGAATACTTACAGCTAAACGAACTTCTGAATCTTGTTGAAGAACAGAGAGCAGAAGTCCCTACCCAATCAACAAAAGGAGGTTAAGTGAAACAGCAAGTAGAAAAGCCATAGATCTCAAGGAACATATACATTGGCTAGCGGATTGGTTGGGTATTTGGAGCACAACATGATATAAATGCAACAAGCAGTACAAGGCAAGGTTCCCAATGTGATTATTCAAGTGTAGTAGGTGTTCAGGCAAATATGTTCAACACCAGATAAGAAGATCAAGGAACATCAAAGGAAAGCATATTAAAGATCAAATGAATCAGGCCAACACTCACGGATGGAGTCAGTTTTGAACTCCTTGATGCAATCTCATACATCAGTCGTTTAAGATTGTCTTCTGCAACAGCGCTCAGAATCCTATTGTTCTCGGGCCGAGTTTCCCCTGAAATGTTTGCAAAGGAGTGGAGCCCAGCCTGTTCATGGTAGCAAAAGTAAAAGTGTAAAACCACATAAGATGTAGAATAGATAGGTTTGAAATCAGTGGTTTGTACCCTATGGTCTACCCAAGACATTTGAAGAGCTTTCTGAAAGTTGTTTCTTGAGAGAAAAGTGCCAGAACAGGATTTCAGTTACTCACCAATTGTTTACCATGCACTTGCCTATTGAATGCAGCATCAATGACATGTCTTGCTGGAGGTGGTGATAAGGTGAGTATTAATGTTGCTCCTGGGACGGCTTTAAAGTACATGAAAATAGTTGAGGTGGACACATTGTTAGGACTTAGGACACAATATGGATTCAGAAAACACAACTCAAACTCTAGAAGGGATAACATGTGAAGCCTAACAGAAAATAGAAACTCCAAGGTCTAACCAATTAGCTGAAGATGGAGAAACAAATTTAGCAGCGAAGTACTGATTTCATAATTCTGTTTATACGACAACTATTAGAGGTTTCATTGAAATTTAAAGTATATATTCAAGTCCAAGCATATGTTATTCTAACCATCTCTTAAGCAATATCAGGTAATGATCTACTTACATGATCCAATTTGGCCCAGTGCTTCAAGTGCAGATTCACACTCATTAGCATCCAGAGTTTCAGCAAGAAGCCTTCCTTCAATAGCCAAAATAAGGGATTTCACACCTGATTGAAGATGCAACATAGTGGCATGTTGTAAGAAAAGACAGCTTTCAGAAAGCCTACTTTAATCTTTAATTCCATGCTCAAATACATGCATAGCCAAAGGACATGCGGTCAAGTTAATAATGGCAGCAGAAGATATCAGAGCATCAGACATAACCTTTCAAAGAGGGCGAGTTGCAGGTAACACTTCACAAATAAAAATTCTTGGACAACAGATATGTTACAACTAGAGATTTTCTGGGGCTATAAAGAATTCAAAAGTTAGGGGAAGGTTTAACCCGATTCATCGCAGAACTTGAATGCATCATCCGCTGACAAAACCCTCCCACTAATCATCATTGCTCTGGATCTTAGAATTGTGTCCATTGTAACATCACTTCACAGACAATAAAAGAAGGTGTTAGTCCTGAAATGAAAGCATACCCCCTAACAAAAAGTACTCTTTTGGAAACTAAAATGCCTACCTAATCATACGAGTAAGTAACTGGATAAGAGTTGTCCTGGACAAGAGTTCTGTCCCATGCTCAACTTCAGCCAACTTTTTACCCCCAAGAGAAAAGTAAATTAATGGAAGAAAATAACAAACAAAAGCAGACACATTAATGAAACAGTTCACAAATGGAAGAAGTTCGAAAATGCACATGCCATGACCAGTAGCTTTAATGACAATGCCAATCAGTAAAAGCCGCTAAAAGTTACACACACCTCATAAAAAAGCTCCAAGACACTTAAAGTTACAAGCATGTCACTTGAATTGTTGATTTCCGCTTCCAATAAGCCAAGAAGATTGGAGCTGTAAACTGCTGAAGCCACACTAGGGGAAACAGCGAATAGCTTAACTATCAAAGACAAAACTCGTACACGGCCCTGAAATAGGAGTTCACAAGGTTAAAAACACTTTAGAGAGCATTTTTTATAAAGAGAAAGAGTAACTGAACGTCCTTAATGAATGAACATAAATATCATGTCGTGAATGCTACATCATTAGATCTCGCAGACATATAATTCCGTACCAATGATGAACATCGGACCAACAGATTCCTCAGATGTGTTGCTTCACCATTGTTGGACGGGAAGATGATCTCCTGCATAATTTTTAGCAAAAAATGACAGTATAGCACCATCTCCATGATTTTGTTTAATTAAACCCTTACAATGCGAGGGAAGAAACAATAACTACTTCCTTACAATGCCTTTTGGAGAGACAGCTAACTTTGTAATTGCATGAAGTGATGCAGCTGACACTTGTTCGTTGCTACAAAATGAATAAGAGAACCAGGACCTCGCGTTAAGCTACCAACAAAGACGATTCTCAATCCGTTGCTTACAGCATCCGCAAAATTCCAGTTCAAGAATCATTGATCCTACAAACTAAACACAGCATGAAAGAAGATAGGACTATTACCCGTTGATGAGACAATCAAGCAGAAGTGGATATATTCCATGATCAATAATCAACTGTTCAGGCGAGGCGATTCCTTCTTGGTGGGGATTCTCCAGCAGATAAGCAACCTGCATCATACCAAATGTACGATTCAGACACTGATAAACTCCACAACACATTGCAACATGTAGAAATGGACTCATCCCTCACCGTTTTGCAACCCAGGCGTCTGATTGTCTCAGCATCGGCACTCAACGCCATCTGCAGAAAAGGCTGAAGAAAGAAACAACAACAGCAAAGCCACAATGAGGAGTAAATCCAAGCCGCCACACTTCCACTCCACGCCTAATTCAAACAGAAAGCATACTCTACCATGTATTGCGGAATGAAAGACGCTCCATATCTAGTCGAGAACAGCCTCTCCAAACAAGCAACCAAAGCGTCCTCCAATCCAGGCGGAGAGTCCGTTCTGCTCTGCAAAACGCTGCAGGAGCGAACCAGAGCAAATTCGTGAAAAACTGAATTCGAGAAATCAAATCAACACTCTTCCTACTCCCGATATTCTTCGATAATCGGAAGAACCGAACACGTTGCGTACCTGAGAATGACGGGGAGCGGGAAACGGTGGAGGAGCTCCCTCGCGGCGGCGTCGGTTTGAGTGCCGGGATATTGCGCGAAGTCGTTCGCACATTGGAGAAGCTGAGCAGGATCAGGATCCATGGCCGGAAGTAGAGAGTAGTAAGTAGTAGCTTCAGCAGAGCGCTGAAAGCAAGAAGACTGATGAGGGAAACGGGAAAGGCCCTTCGGGAAGTTTTGTGTTGTTCTTCTTCCTCTAGTATCGAAGGCGGTCGTTTTGTCTGGCTTTCGCACCACGCCAACGTGGTCTCCTGACTCCTGAATATAGAGACTTCTTGAAAAACGCCCAACTTACGTAATGGGCTACAAAATTGTTGGACTTAAACGGGCCTGGGATATAAATATCTATATGGGCCTGAAAGGGGACTTGGTTTAGGGTTGGGCTCGTAAGAGCCCAGAGAGTGGCGTACAGCGGAGAAGGAAACCGCGGAATGAAGGATGACAAGTTGAGACCAACTGACACCTGACAGCGTCGGGACTTGCGAAGCGATGGGGTCCGGTGGTCGGCCGGCGTCGTGCATGGTGCTTTTGCAACACGTGTGCATATTGGCGTCGTTTTTTTTCTCTTGTTTTATAAAACGTGCTAATTAAATTGTATTCTTATCTTCTACCAGTTTCTTTCTTTCTTTCCGTTGTGTTTTGGTCTTTTACGTGGAGCAATGGTTTTATTTCTCGCTTTAGATTAGCGTACGTGTATTAGTCATGTTGGTAATCTAACTTGTGTTTGATTTCTATGCTTTGAACCTGTGACTCTTGAGTTACCAAATAATATATTAACTATTACGATTATAAGTCATTTCTTGAACTTTCCTCACTCGTTAACTTCATGGCGGTCTTGGGCTCTTGGCCCAACTGCCTTCTAACTTCTAAGATTAGCCAACTCCACCGAATGCATGGTGGTGATTAAAAGTCAATAATTTGTTGTTAAGGACGGTGGTTATCTTAATGGTCATGATAACTTTGGTTATGGGTCTATTTCTATGGTCATTAATTAGTTTGGTACTACCATGGACTCATGGGTTGGTTGGCATAACCATAACCAAACCCACGAAAACGTGTTTCATGGAAGCATCGCCGCTGAAATTCTTGGTCAAAATTGAAGATTTCAACACCGAAATGAAGTAGTCATGTGATGCCAAATTCTAAGATATATTTGCTTATGAATTTTGATATGACCGAATATTATTCGGCCGACAAAGGACCCTTGAAATACAGGAATGTGTCCTTTTGAGTTTTGACTTCTATATTTGCCCCTTCATTTCCCCTCTGGAATATTTTTTTTTTTCGTAAGGGAAAGATGTTCTTTCTTGCTATACTTGTTGAAGACAGAATTGAAAGTACAACAATCACATAAAAAAAAAAGAAGATAAAATCGTTTGAGAGTTCATTAATAAAGTTTGTAGTCCAAAATAGTTAAAATGATGGATTCAAGCTTCAATGTATTACGAAATTCAAATAAAATTATACGTGATAGGCCACGTGATTTATAACAGTACCAATCTTAACTCTAATTTCATTTCAAAAATATTAGCTCCACTACTTGGAAAATGTTATGTACTTCCCCTAGTATTCGTGACACCGCAAAACAGGTGAGAAGAACGCTACCTCGCTCGCAAAATTTCAGTACGAATCGCAAATAGAGTTCACTTCTTTGTTACGAGAATTACTACCCGACGATCACATAACCATGTTTATAGTGCTCCTTGCCTCCTTTTTTTCGCGACACCTATCATTCGTATTTTTGGTTCTTGATGGATGCCCTTTTTTAGGATGAACTCTTGATAGATGATGCCTCAGTTTGGCTCTTTCATGATTTTTTAAGGAATTGTATATTTATCGCACTCGTGAAACGGCGACAAAAAACTAATATACACTTAATGTTTAAAATTGTATCTTATAAAAGCTGATTTATAAGAGGGATCCACGAACATTAATAACCACAACACGCACGTGAGCTCCCTCGATTAGGTGATATTGAGCGAAAAGAGACGAACAATTGTATTAATAAATACATCCACATTTAGTTTGACTTGATCAATCTATTGGGAGTTCCTTTTTTCTTTGTTACAACCACCTTCACTAGTGTCCATGTACTAATTCATTGTTCATCTTTCTCATTCACACTTGTGAGACAAAATTCGTATTGTTTCGAAAATGTTGATGGCAAGTATAAAGGAGAATGGGATGTTCCCTTTTTAGTAAATGCGCCCAATTGACAATCGACACACTACTTTTGGTTCAATTAGTGATTCAAAATAGTGTAGTTATACAACCTTAATCATTTTCTAAAAGGAAATTACCCCTAATGCAAACAATTTGCCAATTTACATCCCTTAAAAACAATACAAATTAGTTACAACATTATTATACACTAAAAGGGAAAGTGAGAAGAAGGATTTTTTGTATGCTTTTTTATATATGAATAATTCACAAAAGCGATACAAAATCGTTGTAAAATTACGTTGTCGTAGTTATAACTATGTCACTAATTTAAAAATTTGTTGCTTGAATCTTCTATCCTTAGTGGATAATTTGACTCATTGCTTACCTAAGCAACTTGTAACTTGTTCCACACAAATAGTTTGCGGTTTCTTGAAGTGGGATCTGTGATGAAGTGATCCGATTTGGATCCCACTAGGGATTTTACATTCACCAACTCCTTTTGGCTTGTACTTCACCTTTTTTAGAGTGCAAATCCGGCACTTGGCTTGGCACAAAGGAAAGGTTCTTTTATGAAGTATCTTCAAAATCATATTCGAGTAACATTTTTATCTATTTGGAATATGGATTACGGATTACGAATAGTTGTATGTAGAACGAGTCAATTTGACCAATTATCTCATTATATAAAATGAGTGATTATAAAAAGTCGATTTAAATTATTTGTCCTCTATAAATTGACTCAAAATGGATCACAACGAAATTCTCACAACAAGTTGATTCGTCCAAAACTTTAATAAAAATAAGTGAATTTGATCCAACTGTACCAAAGAAGATAATCGAGTCAGATTAATTCGTTACAATTACTCATCTAAACGAGAGTGATCACACATGGTTTTGCATGGAGAAAGAGTGATATGGTTTGCGGTTGGGTTTGATTTGATTTCCAGGATTGGATAACAATAATACAATGAACTTCCTCATTGACATCTCCATGTCGGCTCTATTCTATTCTTTATCCATCCATCCATCCATCTCTCATCAACATCTGTTTGTTTGACTGTAGCCATTTGCCTTCAATAGTTCAATTTTGTCCTTGTTCCCTAGCCTCATTCAATGACCATATATAAAAACAAGGTAGTAGTAAGTAAATTACATGGTGGTCAATCTCCCTCTCCCTTCCATCTTCACCTAGTTTCACTAATTCATTTGTCCATTCCACAAACAAATGAGACTCGTTTGGTTTCGTACTTTAATTAAATTGAACCGACCAGACGTATTTTTAGTTTTTATCATGAACTTAATATTTTTCGTTATTTCAATTTAGAAAAATTCTATCCCGATCTCATTCAATTCGGATCTGACCAATTCGTGTCCGCCGTAAAAAAAAAAAAAACTCATGATCAAGTATGCTAGGGTTTGGAGAGAATGTTTAGGTGAGTGCTTGATTGGTTATATATACATGTTGCCCTTTTTCTTGGGTCTTGTACTCTTGTTCTCGTGTGTCTTTGGGGACAATGAAGAATGATTTTGTTTGCTTGTTGTGGATGAGTAAATGAAAGCCCTCTTCTTCTCCTCTCCTCCACATCTTTTATTGCTTCGTGTGAGTCATGTTTTACAAATACAATCCATCATTTTCTACACACATGGTGGACAAAAGAAAATGGCCCATCATGTTTTCTTGTTTGGTTTCTATTGTTTTCCTCAAAATAAATTATCTAATTTTACCAAATGAAAAGTACCATAATTTTAATTTAGAGTGGCCTTTTGTATATATCTCTTCTCTTATTTTTTCCCTTTTTCTTTTTGCAGCTGGTGTGAATGATGCATACCAACTCGCTTTCCTTGTGAAGTAGGGATGACCTCATAATTTATAGGAAAATATTTATCCAATTTTCATTATGTCTATTGCTAATTTGGATAAATATGATGACATGGGCAGGAACTAATTGAAATCAAAATCCTATTTTCTTGCTTCAAAGGCATACATAAAAAAAATTAGTAATCAAGCAATCATGAAATTACTTGTTTAGTCCTTCTATTCAAATTCTTATAGTTGTTCTTTTTTTCTCCTTTATTATTGAGATGAAGTATGATCTACGTATCGATTTCGTATAATAAATACACATGAATGTAAGTTAGTTTCACTATATATGTTAGACGATAATCATCAAATTGAAACATATAAATCTATTAATGATGTTTATTTTCGAACTAACGTTCAGTTAGTGATCATCCATATATCAAAATATAAACCAAATTCACAAAAGTGTAGTCTACAAGAAATCAACTTTTTTCGAACTTTTAAAGTTTAAACACCAATGAATCTTTCTTGTGGTTAGTGAAACGCCATATAGAATTCTTACACAAATTATTTGTTGGTTACTGACATAATTGAAACATCAACTACTAGTTCAGTTTAATTCAGCTATTAGTTAACACCACTCATTAACCCACTTCACTAATCCCTTGATCGACCCAGCACTAATCCTTTCTGACATTACCAACCAACCATTAAGCATACATCAATCTATACCAGCAATTGAGCCACTTGGAAGAGTTGAAAGTGACTAGGATTAAATAGTAGTGTACCATGAACAATAATAGCACATCATACAACAAAGTCCATCAATCCTTATCAAAGATTTCCCTGTCAATTTTATTAGTTACCACTTACCAGTCTATCAAATGAGATCCAACTCAGCCCTAATAATGAGATGAAGATGCATCTCAAACAATTGCCAAATGCTGATAGTAACTATCAACAGCAAGCAATTCACCTCAATTGAATTTGGTGGTCAATAAGACATGAATCACAAGAGGGATCTTCCCTCTGTGCAACTTCAAATACATCATCTACACTTGTTCTCCCAATGGTTTCTGTCAACTTTGTGTGAGCTACGAAAGATCGGGTTAAACAACAAAAGAGCCTCCAAAAGAAAAGTGAAAAGATTGTTTCTTTCTGTCACTTTTGCCCTTGTTGATTGAAGGTTTGTGGATGTAGGCAGGCAGCTCCTCTCCAGAATCTGAATAACATACACAGGACAGGACTGTTTAGAGACGAGGAGATCCGATGCAGCTCGCGAGCTCCATTTCTTTCGGAAACCAACAACCTCAAGAATGTACTCTTATTTGTTGATGCACGATTCGAGTTATTGGTGTTCTTCTCCTCTTCAAGTTTTCCGGGTTCGGAGAGAAGTTAGAAAGGAATGTAGTATATATCACACAGTGTGATTTGAGTTAAAACTCAACGACGTCCATTAGCCCAATTCCGGTTGCCATTCCCACCATGTCTCATGTTCGGATTTCGATTGCCTGCCATCCCCCCTTGCTTCGGGAGATCGTGTAACTCCATCACCTGTATCGTCCGCTGTCTCTTGGCTGTTTGACAAAGAGGAAACAGAGTTAGGCTTGATGAGAAGTTGAATTTTTTAACTGACGAAATAGGTATAACTGTATAAGAGTGATTAGGTTTGGAGACTGACCATTCTCAACTTGTTGGTAGCTCTCCTGAAGTTTCCTCTTTGTGGCTTCCAGCTTCATCTGGACTGAAACTTCATCCGAGCACTTCAATCTCTATACGAAGAAACACATTTCTACTGTCAGAAAAATATTGCTCGTCGCAGTTTTTTTCCTAACAACTGTTGTGCAAGTTAACAAGCAACTTACGGTTTGTTGCTGTTGTTGGCCACTTGATGGCTTCCTCTGGCTAGTAACAATCTTATCAGTTTTCCTCTGCAATGTCACCGAATTATTAGTATTCAACTTTGGCTCAAGGTTCTGCCTTGGAGGTCTTCCTGGGCCGGAATTATTGCTTGAGGGCTTGTTCTGCTTCAATGTGGCTGCTGCTTCTTGGCTATTTAGAGCATTACTCGTTGGCCTTGGCTTTGGCATGCTCCTGGGATCATGTGATGGTGGTCTTCTTCCATTCCCACGGTTCTTGTTCATTTCCCGAGGATCTGAAACAAAAAATTTACATACGAAATCATTGAGAATTCGAGAGCACATAATGTCATCAGCAGAAGCTAAAGGCACACAGAGAGTAATCAACTCACTTCCATCATCATCCATTCCATCGAAAAACTGCAGAAGCGAATCAGCAGCAGGAGCAAAAGAAGTAAAGATATATAGTCAGCCCACAATTTCAGTCTGTTTTCAGATCAAATAAGGGAACTTTTGACTTCCATGTAAGGAAATGGTAATTACTTGTCCAAGCTCCATCCCAGTAGCTTGAGTCGCGAAGAAGATCCCTTCGTCCATAGGAGGAGAAGGGAGTCCTTCTTCTTCATCAACAACAGACGGATTCATCGAGTCAGGAGTTCCACCTTCATTCCTTATAGTAGTAGTTCCAATAGTCTTTGAAGCACTGTACCACTCATCCACCAGGTCTTTCCACAAACTGCAAACCCAGAAGAGAGAATTTGTCCACAAACATAAGAGCCATGAACTTTGGTCCCCTTAACCAAACTAAGATCATAACCAAAACCATCCATCCCCAAGAGAGAAGAAGGGAAAGGAAGCAAAAATCATTACTCTATAAGAGTTCGCGCCAGCTGACGAATGTCCTTCGATCCGTGCTTCCTCAGAGAATTCACAGCCTTCCCAATCTCAGTAGCCTAACAAAACACACGATTAAAGGTCAAGACCTTCCAAAAACCTCACAAACAAGACTAATTAATATCAAAGAATTCCAAATAATGATTACCTTAAGAGTATCTACAGATAAAGCCATCAATTGAAGCCTCCTCAGTGAATCAAACAACGTTGATTCAGCCTGGTTTGAATAGCCAAACAAAAGGATTGATCGATCAATCCAATCACCCAAACAAAGAGTGTTCATTAATCAGACCAAACATATGCACTTTTTTCCAATCAGAATTGGGCAGAATTCACTCAATTGTATAGTAATACCTCGTCGCGGTGATTCAGAAGAAGAGATTTGATCCTTTGAACTTCAGCAAACACCTGAGACTGTTCTTCAATCTCATCCGTTAAGGCTTCAGCTTCGCCATAGCTGTAATTACTCACCAGCTGATCTCCGTTATCAGTACTACTATTGACTTTACTCTCTTTATTACTCCCACCGCCTTCTTCTTCTTCATCGAAGTCGCCCAATATGTCAATCTCTTCGTCATCATCTTCCTCCTCGACCGCGTTCCCGTCGCTGCCGCCGCCACCGTCTTCCCTAATCTTATTGGGGATTACTTGGTCACCTTCCGGCGGCGGCACCGCCAGCTCCACGCGGTTGCAGCCGGAGCATTGGGCCAATCGGCAGGAGAACAATCGCTCAGCTATTCGATCCCTCCGCTGCCGGAACTCCTTGGGGCAATCGGCGGCCGCCACCATGATAGCATGGTCGATTATCTCGAAGATGTCTGAATTCGCTGCTCGGAAATAGTCCCTCCAGTAATCCACCGTCCCCGGTTTCATCGTCCGACTTGAAAAAAACCCACCACCGATCAATCCCAATCCCACAAAAAAAAAAAAAAAAAGTTACGATTGTCCCTTAATTCCTCTACTAGATTTCTCTACTACCCAGAAATCCAATAGTCGAAATTCATTCAGGGTAATCAACAAAAATAAAAATTTCACAACCCTCCCACCCGAACCCTCTTCGGATTGGGTAAGAAGGAGCTCGGAGTTTTTTTTTTTTTTTGGTGCAACAATGGCGGACAGAATCAAATGGGGAGGCTATCTGTCTGATGAGTAAAAACGTGAGGGGTTTATTTTTGGGGTTCGGTTTCCGTTTGGTTGTCAGGAGAGAAAGAACCTTTTTTCCGGTAGGAAAAGCAAATCAAAGAAAAAACAGATTGAGAGAGAAAGTGTAAGAAAGAGATAGAAAGGACAAACCAAAGAATTATGCGAAATTTTCTTTCTCTTTTGTTGGTGGGTTTTTGGGAGATAAGATATTGTGTAAAATCTATCTGTCTATCTTACACAAGATCAAAATAGGAGGAATATTAATTACAGCCTTCTTCTGCTTATCTCTCTTGGGAAAAAATTTATGTTTTGTTTCCGGGAAAAATTCTTCACATATGGTAACAATTTTTTTTCAATTAGAGAAAGCCCTAGCATGTACAATTAACCAGTTGAGAAGGTTTAAAGACTTTAATTATAAGTACGCGATTGCAGTATTGAATTTAATATCTTATCGTTTACGCCCTGAAATGTATAGGTCTACATAATTAGTATGGTATTCATTCAACAATAACATATCGTAAATATGTCTAATCCGATTACATAAGTATAATAGTCAAATTCAACGACGTGGCATGTGCCCTTGATGTGCAAGAAAAGGAATTGTTTTTTGTTGTTGTTTGTTTAAAAAAATACCAAAAAGCCAAACTACCAAATTGAATCAACAGGACAACAAAAAAACAAGTTATACCAAAATCATTATAACAATCTTAACAGGAAACTAAAATGAGAATTTTGCATTTTGTTAATTTTTCTTGAAGACTAATTCTATTCTTTAGGTGGGAATAAAATATAGCTGATTATGTTGACTTGAGTGTGATTGACTTTCTTGAGGGGTCTCTCTAGTCTCCATTCTTGAAAGCAAGCTAGCAAGAAGAATTTGCTCTGATAAGCTGTGTGCTAAGCAAGTTATAGAGCAGACAAAGGGGGGAGGAAAATTTTGACTTGACCAATCTTTAATTTGTTGGCCTGCTAAGTGATCATGGGTTAACCTAACCAATGGATTGACATTGATGAGTAACGAAGAAATGCGTTTGTCGTGCAATTATGTAAACGGTGTATATTTAAAGGACAAAAAATCTCAACCTGAATACTCGAGAGTTACATTATTGTGCTTCAAGGCTCAAAATACAAGTATATTTGGTATGTATTCATTACACTAGTAATCTTCTCCGCAAGCAAAGTTGTTTGAACAAAAAGAATCGACGAATCGGTGATAAATTCATTTTAAACTCCTGCGCGAGGTTTCGATTTGAACCCAAGCTATATGTCGACGACATTCTTACAATTATGTCGGGAACTCAGTGATAGATACTTTGTAACAGTCTACGAAATTTTCTTATAAAGGAATAAAAGAGATTATGATTTGGTAAGAAAGAAAATGTGTGTGGAAGCTGTCAGAGTGTGGTATAAGATCTATAATAACCTTCTCCCAACAACTCGAGTTATTGGGACCAACTCGTTTATCACATGATATCATAGATGGTTTGGTCAAATGGTCGTGTGTTCGAATCTCCACGACCCCCAATATTAACATTTGATTAAAGCACAAGGTATGGTGGGTCTATGCAAATTTCAAGCACGTGAATTGGCTTTCGTTTGAGAGATTGTGTAATAGCGTGGTATAAGATCCATAATAACTTTTTCCCAACAACTTACCGAGTAATTTATGACAAAAGCAAGTGATGGGTATCAATTGAAGGCAATCTTGTTACAACGTACCCATCCAAAGTCCAACTATGGGAAATGAAAATCTAGTAATGTACATATATGGAGAATAATACAATGGGCTCTTTCTATGGGAGTATTTTTATTTTCTTCAAACTTCAATAGCCTTTGATTTGTTTGTTTCTGCCTGTGCTTTATCTCTTAATTTATCTATGTATCAAAGAAGACAACAATTTTAACTTGCTTGTTCTAAATGTTTTTTTTTTTTTTACTTCACTTGGTAAATTATACAACGTTGTTGCGTGGGGAATGAATGAACCAATGGCGTACGCCGTCGTTTTGTGTCAAGCGGTTTTGGGGCTGTCATCCGTTGGTTGGATAACTGCGTAGTTTTTGCCGACTCGCCCCGCCGCGGGATCTGGTCGCCGGATTTCTTATATCCTTTGTCTGTGTCTCGCCCGGCGGCGGGCTCCACCGCAGTCTCCACCGATCATCTTTGTGTGGGGCTCTTTAGTCTTTCCTTTTCTTCCTATTATCTAATATATATCTAGCTACATTTATAGATAATTGTTTTTTTTTCCAAAGACTGAGATTTCAGCCGGAGGATATGGTCAAGAAGGGAACCTGAGAGGCAAACTTTAATTTATGATTTGAGCCCAAATGATGGATTCAATAAGTTATTGTCAATGACTACAATCGATTCCAAGCGCCGGAGGATAGAGTTATGAAGGGAACTTGGGAAGTAGAATAGGCATTCGGAGGTTCACCATATCAGATCGTTAGTCCGAGTTAGGGTCGGTCTAGAAACTTGAGTGCTAGATGCCCGCACGGAAGATAAGCATGTGATAATAATCACTCGAGTTTCTTAGAGATGACAAATTCATGAAAGCAGTCGAGTTCGGGTACACGATGTTGCACGCGCTCTTAGAAAAGAAAAAAAAAAGAGGATTGTGATGAGAATCATAAGCGACGGAGCTTGCGTACTAGCGCCAACCCGTTAGTTTAGGTAATGTCAAAGATTTTATGGTTTATTTTTGTGTTGATTGAGCTTTTTGCCTTTGGAAACTAGGGACACATCAGAAGACAGCGACTCGAGTTCTATGAATACAAAAAAGAAAAGCTTACGCGGGTAGGTGATTCAGACACATAAACATTGTCGGTGGCTATCAAATGGTTATTTTGGTGGAAATAATTATAACGAGAATGGCGAACCAAGGAACACTCTGTTATTTATAACGAGAATGACGAATCAAGGCATTCTACTGTGTTTACTTATTTACGTGGGATTTAGTGATTTGAAATTGAGTTTTTTTTGGGTTGTTGTTAAAATTGAGTTTGTAGTAAAGAGGTGGGAATTATAATTTTGGAACTTGTTCGGATTTTATTATTCCGTAAAAGGGGATGGGAATATTATTTTAATTATTCTGTGATTTCCAAATATTCGATTGATGGTCCGAGTTGGGTGAAGAATTCTGGGAGTTGTCAGATAAAGGATTGTAAGAATTATTGAAGTACCTACGGTGTATTGTTCTCGTGAGGAAAACAGGATTTTAATTATTAATCATAACATTTCTATTGGTTGATGTAAATTAAACCGAAATTTTCCCCTTCCAATTACGAATTATCATGTTTAAGGAGTTTTCATGACATTATCTAGTGGGGCACTTGCAAGTTCGTACAATTAGACTCGTGGATTAGGAGATAATCATAATTATTATTTTTAAGTGTGATTATTAAAGCTATAGATATAGAGGACAGGGTAATGGGCATGGGTTTAACTAGGTTGCTGCAAGAAGCATGCGATAATGAGCACAAAGTGGACTAATGGTCATCAACTTGCTATGCTCCCACAATCAATGTCTAAATGCTTTACTAATCCATCCCATTACTTAAAAGGAGTTTGTGGATTTGTAATTAGTTTGGCAAAAAGAGAGTGTACATGATCATTTTGTAAACAACCGGTGATCACGTTTAATAAGTTATATGAAATTTCACATTCATACGGTGATTTGTCTGTTTTTTAGAGTCATTTTTTTTACTAACGGATAGTAAGTGAAGATGTTTTTATATCTTATAAATAGAAATGTACTATTTACCCGTTTATATATGCAAGCATATGAATGAATATGCAATTTAATTCAAGTTTCACTAAATCGAACTAAACTTAATCTTAATTGATTATGATCTTGTTATTTCTTAAATTGGTCTCATGTTTAAACTAGATCGATAGCTTGCCCGTTCTAGCTACGCTACAATACCCACCATGACTATGCTACGAGACCTATACAACTCAAACTCGTAAAAGCAACGGAATAGCGATCTACTTTCGGGATTGATCAACTCCATTGCTCGAGATAACTAAATCAGAAAAGATGGAGATTACACATCTTTTTAAATAGAATTTAACCTTTCAATTTGTAAAGATCATCATCAACTCATCACCATCTCCTCCTCTTTGGAAAGATCGAGGTGATAGGAATGAAGCAACTTAATGTGATGAAACTTGGCACATGCATACATTATATATAAGAAGAAGAAGAAATTAAAAAAATGAGCTTAGTGGAGACTTGTAATGCTACCATCCAAAGTTAAATATCAGGTTCTCTCTTTTGGGCCTTTTGATTTTTGGTCAAAATGTGAGTGCGGGCGGCTTAGAAAATGTTTGTCACTGGAAGGAGGGAGGAAAGGTTCTTATTTATTTATTTAGTTATATTATTAAACAAGTGTTTGGTGGGATAAGCAGCACGTGGCGCAAGAGATGATAGTTGAAGAAGTTAATTACTTACTTACTTACTTGTTGCCGATGAACACGTGTCGTCATTCTCACCCTATCCCTTCATTTTTATTTACTTCAAATATTTCAATAAAATATGAAGTGGCAATTTACTAGTAGCTGATTAGGCCTGTTTAATAGTGTTATTTACGGGTTGTTGATTGGGTGGTTTGGTTAGGTAGACCTTCCTCTCACAGTGTTATTTTCTCATTATTATTTATTTAGTGATTAAAAGTGGGAAAATATTTGCGACAGAATTAATAAGGAATAACCAAGAAATAAATGAAGGAAGAAGAGCTAATATTTTGATGACTAGGTAGGTTGTAGATTAGACTATACTTTTCAACCAAACTTGGCCCAAGTTTAATAGGGGAACAAACGATACCAGATCAAGTGAGCCCATAAAAAACAAGATGGTGGATCGACACAAAAAGAAAAAAACAAAACAAAAGCCCACTTCTAATTCTATCCACATTTCCACAGAAAAAAAGCCCAAAATATACTTGTTTCCTAAAACAGAAGGCGAGGCAATAAAAAGAGACTACAAGAGAAACCCAGCAATCCTGCGGGATTGGTTACGGTGCTAATTGTACAATAGTTAGCACCGTCCTAACCAAGGGAAAAACTACTACTAGTTTGAATTAGTAGTGATTTAGCTTAGATGTTGTATTGATTTTATAATAATCCGTAGTGATTTCGTTATTTTTAATAGCGTTTTTTGCTAGTTATCACGGTACTAACCCCTATAAGGGTTAGAACTGATTTTTGACAACGAAAAATGCCTCTGGACATTGGATATCATCCATACGATAATATCTTCCCTCTACCAATCGCCCTCCTCTGCCCGATGCGATGAACTCGCGGTCGCCTGTTCCTCCATCTGCAGGGTGGCATGGCACCATGGCTGCAACAAGTACACTCTTTGATGCAGCCGTCTCAGGTTGATCCCTGCTTCCTGATGCCTTAATACGTATTACATAATAACACGCAATTGGAACAAATAGCATACGTTTCACAAATACAGCCAACCAATTACATTTATGACAGCTCTCGTTGCCAAATTTAATCGATGATGATTCCTGTGTCTCAAAACATGCACGCAGGCTCTACATTGATAAATTTATTGGCAATACTACAGGCACAAAAGGCTCTGTTTTCTTCTGCTTCCCCCCAACATAAGCCAACAAGGCAAAAACAAACAGAAAAAGAGAAATTACAAGACGCTTAACAACGATGAAGAAACGAACGAGAGTTTGTTATGCCACTAGTCTATATGAGAGTAGCTCTGGTAACTCTCCCCAAAGCACAACGTCGACACAAAACAACCAAACAAACAGCACACAGACTTGCTCGCGATCGAGGCAGAGGGCTCTGTTTGCACACTCTTATTGTTGTCTTAAAACAGTTCAAGCAAATGTCATCGCAGTACTGAAATCAAGTTGTGCTGTAAAAAGATAACTGAACGACAGCCGGGTGCGGGTGGCAGCTGCTAGCGGAGATGGGCGGATGATTGGTTCGACCGACCGAGGGGAGGTGATTGGCCGGAAGAACGAATGAGTGCGTTGCTCACTTGCTCTTGCTCTGCTCACTCTGAACTGCAACAAACAATCGAACATACATAATAGCGAATTGAAGCTGACATTGTCACCACTGAAAGAGGGAGAGGATGGGGGCGGGTATTGAGAGACAAGAAGAAGCAGAGAGCACTACTGAATCAAACTTTAATTATCGTATTTCTTCATCGTGATGGTCGTCATCATCATCATCATGTCCTGTTTCTTCCTCCTTCGGTTTGCTGTTAGAGCAGCCGATTCCCGACATGGCATCTGTGATTTCACGATGCAATAGTAATTATGCGGAACAAGAAACTCATTCATATATCCAAACTAACAAGGTACCGTGCTTCGGATGGGAAGAAACTAATTCTGTATTAAAATTTCCTCCACTCATTTAATAATTTAGTCAAAATCATTTAATTTACAAAGTAATTTAAAAGAGTATATCAATGATAATTTATGTAATATTGTGTGAACTGATAATAAAATCAAGTTACGGATAAGTCTCGCATTTTATTAAACTACTATGTAAAATTAACATATATCTTGCGGAACCTTTACGCAATGCTTGTTAATATTGCAGGTAATAATATATAAATTGTATTTAATAATATATGAACTAAAATATGAAACGTCACCTAGATAGTTGGAGAAAAAGAGCTTATGATAACTTTTACGTGTAGGACATGGAAAATATGCCTAAACACTTCACTGTAAGAGCAAAATTGAATTTCATTACCTATCTCGCTCTTGAACACTGTGCGGATGTCTGTGTCATCGAGGCGAATGGTGGGGATGTGAGAGATTTTGTCCCACACCTCATCCGGCACCATTTTGGGATTCTTGGGTTCGAACCTGTAATTCCCCAGCCCGCCACTGTAGTCTATTTCCAGCCGCTCCAGAGTGGTTTTCCGGAGAAGCACATCCGGCACCTTCTCCAGCTTCCCGCACCATGACAGCTCCAAATGACGCAGGCGGGGCATGACTGTGGTCGAGCTGATCAACATTCCGGCTTCCTGATCATTGCTCTCTAAATCCCACACTTCCCAATTACTCATCCCCAAAAAAGAAAGCCACGTGAGCTTGGGGAATGCAGTAATAATAATATCACGGCCTTTGTTGTTGTTACCCATCTTCTTCTTCTGCAGCTGCTGCTGTATCACAGTACTAGTCTCCCACAAGAACTCAACCCCAACCTTCTCCACTTTCTTCATGAACAAGCGAAGCTCTTCGAGGGAGGGCAGGACGCCCAAAGGGGGAAGATGCTCCACTTGATAGCACCCATTGAATTCTAGGGATGTTAAGTTGGAGAGTGACAGTAACCAGCTAGGGAATATGCTCACTCCCCTGTACTCTCCTATGTATAGTCTTTCCAAGCTTGATGATGGCCTTATGGCTTCCAACACTTGTTCTTCCTCATAGACATAGTAGTCTCCCCCGTCGAAATCCAGCATTAACCAAGTCAAAGATTCTTTTTTGGCGAGCTGTGCACGCTTCACCTCCTCGCAATTCGCTACCTTACTTAACCCGCTTATTGTAAGGGATCCCTGGATATGGTTCATGCACTCTAGATCACCAATATTGGTAGCTACCTCCTTATCCTGCAGCTTCACTACATTAAATAGGGTTAATGTCTTTAGGGAATTAGCCAACCTGACCATTGATCTGGGGAGCACCGCTGGGACGCTGCTATTTTCGAGATGCTTTAAGTTCACCAGCTTATTCCCCATTCCACTAGGGAGCATCTTCAAGCTCAAATTTTCATTGAGGAGCAGAGTCTCTAGATTATACAACTCGCATATTTCCTCCGGCAACTCCTTCAAGTATCTGTTAAAAGATAAATCCAAATGTCTCAAATGAATTAGCTGCATGATTGTTGATGGTATTTCTTCCAGACCACGTTGCTGATAGAGTACCAACGACCTTATGCCTCGCAGATGAGCATATGCATCAGGTTCGATGCCACCTCCACACCATCTTGCTATGAAGCTCCGTAGATAATTATTACGCCTTGTTAAAGAGAGGTGCGAACATCCGATGGATCCTATCAGTTTTGTAACTTCCTCGCTACTCAGGTCTTTTACCATAAAATGACGAACTTCATTGTCGATCAAGGGTAATGAGCTATTTGCATCTTGCTTTTCGATGCTGATGCACTCGTTCTTGGTTGTAAGCCGCGCAAAATCATGAACCAAATCATGCATTTTGCAATATAATTTTTCCTTATTCAAATACAGCTCCTTTTCCAAATCTTGGAAGAATGATCGCATAACTAACATTTGAAAGTACTCTTCACCGACTTCCTCCATATCTTGGTTCGTTGTTGCTTTTAGAAAACCCTGTGACATCCACAACTTAATCAATTCGTCCTTCTCCATTATGTAATCCTGCGGAAATACAGAACAAAACTGAAAGCACTGTCTAAGCGTCGGAGGCAAATCATAGTAACTCAAAGCTAGAGGAGCAATAACTTCGTCTCTTCCTTTCTCTATCCGCCACATTTCACTTCCCAGAAGTTGCTTCCAATCCCTTTTAGATTTTTTCACATGTAGTACCCCTCCCAAAACTTTTGCCGCAAGCGGTGAACCAGAACACTTTTTTACTGCTTTTTCACATAGTTCTTCTACACGTTCTTTCTCCTCATCGCTCCATCCATAAAACGCAATTTGTGTGAAAATAGTCCGACATTCACCATCAGATATCTTTTGTAAAGGCAAAATGTCTTTGTTGATACAACGAAACACGTGAGAAACTTCCACTTTTCGTGTAGTCACCAAGATTTTGCTTCCTGGTAATCCGCGAGAAAAAGAACTTATAAGTTCTTTCCACTTGCTTTCACTATCTTCCCACACATCATCAAGAACTAGAAGAAACTTCTTGACCTCCATAAGAGACTTGATACGTTCCAACATGTATGATAATGAACTGTGTTTTGGAGCAGATTGATTGAAAGATTCAAGTATGGCTTTCGCAACTGTTTCTTGAACAAAAACAGTAGAGACACAGACCCATACCCTTTTGCTGAAATAATCTTCCACTTTCTTATCATTGTATAACATTTTGGCCAATGTGGTCTTCCCAAACCCACCGAGGCCTTGGATAGATATACTTCTCACACCCAATTGATTATTTCCATCATCCAATAACTTGCTCTGCAATATTTCGAACTCTCTTTGTCTGACTTTCAAGTCAGAGGAATCGATAACAGAACTAGTTAGCAAACTTGAGTATGAAGTTGTCTGCTTGGAAGTTAAATGGTGAAAATTTTTCTCCTTGTCTATATCGTCTAGACGTTGATTTAATGTTTTGATCCTCGAGCCAATATCATAACGAAGACCAATTTCGTTAGGAGAGAAACAATAAGTAGGGAGGAAAGGGCATACTCGTTTCAGAAAATCAGAGATCTGAACCAGCTTCAACTCCAAACAGCCACCGCCGTCAGCATCATTATCGTCTCCGTCGAGTTGACGCTTGAGGATGTCGGTTCTCCACTCGTCCAGCACATCATCGATCTCATAGGACACGTCCTTGAGCTTCTTCAACCAGTTTTCTATGCTTGCACTCTTCAGCTGCCTCTCTTCCGCATCCAGCAGCAGAGCTTCAATGGCGGTGAAAGTAGAAGTGAGCTTCTCCACATTTTTCTCTGCGCCGAGGACAAGCCTCCCACGTTGCTTGAGCTCTTCAGTGACGATGGAACCTAGCTGGCCCAGGACTTGGGAAACAATGGCGGCAGCCATGATGATGGAAGCTAATGACAGTACCAATTAATCTCTCAGATTTGAGGGAGCCATTGACTGATCCAATCAGGATGGGAAGCTGGGGAAAGGAAAGGAAAGTAAAAGAGCCGTTTTCATTCATCAGATCTCGACTCGTCAGTCAACTTATTGTAATTGAGTGAATAATTAATCATATTATATCAGCGTTAATTCCGATGAATTTGTCAACATGTCATCACGATCAAACTGTGTGATGCTGCACAATTAGCAGGGTCAACTCTCTTTGGTATCGTGAACATGAAGTGGACCCTAAATAACGCTGCAAGTTGAGCCCATGGATCTAATCTAACCATTTTCTTATATAATTAATACATCAGCGAATGGGTGAATGTGTGTCAAGTTAATTGTGGCAAAATGGACAAAAAGTGGTCAACTTTTTCTTTTGACTGCTTACCTTCCATGGTGTAAAGAGTGATTGAAGATCTGGGTCGCACAGCTGAGTAGTTGTGTTTTAAACTGACAGTGTCGATGAAGCCTTGTACAGCAAGTTTAATCTTTTGTTCGACATCATCAGACAATTCGCGGTGTTTTTTTCTCACCCAACTGCTCCTCCTTTGCCACATCTTGGAAGAAAGACCGCATAACTAACATTTGAAAGTACTCTTCACCGACCTCCTCCATATCTTGGTTCGTTGTTGCCTCGAGAAAACCCTGTGACATCCACAACTTAATCAATTCGTCCTTCTCCAATTGGTAATCCTTCGGAAATACTGAACTAAACTGAAAGCACTGCCTAAGCACCGGAGGCAAATCATAGTAACTCAAAGCTATAGGAGCAAGAACTCCTTCTCTTCCTTCTTTCATCTCCCACATTTCACTTCCCAGAAGCTGAATCCATTCCCTTTTAGATCTTTTCACATGTAGTACCCCTCCCAAAACTTTTGCAGCGAGCGGTGAACCGGAACACTTTTCTACCACTCTCTCGCAAAGATATTCAACACGTTCTCTATCCTCATCGCTCCATCTATAAAATGCAATTTGTGCTAACCATCCTGCTCTGCTGCTACTTGCCTACATTCCACTTCCAGAACTGATTTTTCACAACGACATACGCCTCTTGATATCATCCATGCTCACTCTTCAATGCCATTCCTAGCAATCAGCCTCATCACCTCCTTTCTCTGCCCGATCCGACGAACTCGCGGTCCGTCGTCCATCGCCTGTTCCTCCATCTGCAGGGTGGTACCATGGCTCCAGCAAACAAGTACACTCTTCGATGCAGCCGTGTCAGGTTGATCCCTGCTCCTGATGCCTAATAACACGCTATTGAAACAAATAGCATACGTTTCACAAATTCACCGAACCAAATACATTTATAGCTGCTGTTGCTACCAAAATTCAGCCGATGATGACTCCTGTGTCTCAAAAACATGCACGCAGGCTTACATTGATCAATCTATTGATAATAATACTACAGGCACAAAGGCTCTGTTTTCTTCTGTTCTTACCAACATAAGCCAAGAAGGCAAAAAAACAAATAGAAAAGAGAAATTAACAAGACGCTTAACAACGATACATACGGTAGAATACTACCGACGAAGAAATGAGAGAATTTGTTATGCCACTAGATGAGTAGCTGTAGTAACTCTCCAATCTCCCCAAAGCACAACGTCGACACAAAACAAACCAAACAAACTCGCATACAGCAGATAGACTTCCTCCAGTCCAGAGACAGAGGTTCTGTTTGCCAACTCCAGCTCTGGTAACTCTCCCAAGAGCACAATGACACAAAACAAACAAGCAGCACACAGACATCCTCGCAAAACAATCAAGGCAGAGGTTCTGTTTGCACACTCTTATTGTTGTCTTAAAACAGTTCAAGCAAATGTCATCACAATACTTGAAGCATCAATCTGAAATTAAGTTGTGCTGTAAAAAGATAACTGAACGACAGCCGGGTGCGGGTGGCAGCTGCTAGCGGAGATGGGCGGATGATTGGTTCGACCGACCGAGGGGAGGTGATTGGCCGGAAGAACGAATGAGTGCGTTGCTCACTTGCTCTTGCTCTGCTCACTCTGAACTGCAACAAACAATCGAACATACACAATAGCGAATTGAAGCTGACATTGTCACCACTGAAAGAGGGAGAGGATGGGGGCGGGGATTGAGAGACAAGAAGAAGCAGAGAGCACTACTGAATCAAACTTTAATTACCGTATTTCTTCATCATGATGGTCGTCGTCGTCATCATCATGATGTCCTGTTTCTTCCTCCTTCGGTTTGCTATTAGAGCAGCCGATTCCCGACATGGCATCTGTGATTTCACGACGCAATAGTAATTATGCGGAACAAGAAACTCATTCATATATCCAAACTAACAAGGTACAGTCGCTTTGGATGGGAAGAAACTAATTCTGTATTAAAACTTTCTCCACTCATTTAATAATTTAGTCCAAATCATTTAATTTACAAAGTAATTTAAAACGAGAAATTTTACAATGCTATATAGTAATGGTGCTATATGTTTTTGGCTTTATGGTACAGCTTGAAATTGTACATTTAACGTTATGGTACAACTTCATATTGTACCTATACTTTTTGTACAAATTCTTTTATGGTACAACTTGAACTTGTACCTTTGTGTGATGGTACAACTTCAAGTTGTAAAGTTGTACCATAACATAATGATACAAATTCCTTTATGGTACAACCTAAACTTATACATTTAATGTCATGGTACAACTTCAAGTTGTACATTAAAGCACCAATACTATATAGCATAGTAGTAGTGCTCAATTAAAAGAGTATATTCAATGATAATTTCTGTAATACTGTGTGGTCTGATAATAAAATCAAGTTACGGATAAGTCTCGCATTTTATTAAATTACTATGTAAAATTAACATATATCTTGCGGAACCTTTACGCAATACTTGTTAATATTGCAGGTAATAATATATAAATTGTATTTAATAATATATGAACTAAAATATGAAACGTCACCTAGATAGTTGGAGAAAAGGAGCTTATGATAACTTTTACGTGTAGGACATGGAAAATATGCCTAAACACTTCACTGTAAGAGCAAAATTGAACGTATGGTGACATAAGAGTATAGGAGTAGGGGGAAAAAACACCTTGGGAATAGTACCCCGTTACAACTTACAAACGGGAAAAAAAGAGAGAGATAAAAACACGTTTAATAGTAACACCCTCTCCATTTGTAATAAAAAGATAATAATTTTGACTTGATCAGTTTTTATATATAAATAAAAAAGTATAGTAATGATAGTATATAATCTACTACTTAGCAGCTAGGTTAGGGAGGTACTAGCATGGAATTTCATTACCTATCTCGCTCTTGAATCTTGTTCGGATGTCCTCTCCTTGGAGGCGAATGGTGGGGATGTGAGAGATTTTGTCCCACACCTCATCCGGCACCATTTTGGGATTCTTGGGTTCGAACCTGTAATTCCCCAGCCCGCCACTGTAGTCTATTACCAGCCGCTCCAGAGTGGTTTTCCGGAGAAGCACATCCGGCACCTTTTGAAGCTTATTGCACCCGTACAACTCCAAGTAACGCAGCCGGGGCATCACCGTCGTCGTCGAGCTGATCATTCCCCCAGCTTCCCGATCATCGCTCTCTAGATCCCACACTTCCCAATTAGTCATCCCCCAAAAAGAAAGCCACGTGAGCTTGGGGAATGCAGTAATAATAATATCACGGCCTTTGTTGTTGTTACCCATCTTCTTCTTCTGCAGCTGCTGCTGTATCACAGTACTAGTCTCCCACAAGAACTCAACCCCAACCTTCTCCACTTTCTTCATGTCAAACAAGCGAAGCTCTTCGAGGGAGGGCAGGACGCCCAAAGGGGGAAGATGCTCCACTTGATAGCACCCATTGAATTCTAGGGATGTTAAGTTGGAGAGTGACAGTAACCAGCTAGGGAATATGCTCACTCCCCTGTACTCTCCTATGTATAGTCTTTCCAAGCTTGATGATGGCCTTATGGCTTCCAACACTTGTTCTTCCTCATAGACATAGTAGTCTCCCCCGTCGAAATCCAGCATTAACCAAGTCAAAGATTCTTTTTTGGCGAGCTGTGCACGCTTCACCTCCTCGCAATTCGCTACCTTACTTAACCCGCTTATTGTAAGGGATCCCTGGATATGGTTCATGCACTCTAGATCACCAATATTGGTAGCTACCTCCTTATCCTGCAGCTTCACTACATTAAATAGGGTTAATGTCTTTAGGGAATTAGCCAACCTGACCATTGATCTGGGGAGCACCGCTGGGACGCTGCTATTTTCGAGATGCTTTAAGTTCACCAGCTTATTCCCCATTCCACTAGGGAGCATCTTCAAGCTCAAATTTTCATTGAGGAGCAGAGTCTCTAGATTATACAACTCGCATATTTCCTCCGGCAACTCCTTCAAGTATCTGTTAAAAGATAAATCCAAATGTCTCAAATGAATTAGCTGCATGATTGTTGATGGTATTTCTTCCAGACCACGTTGCTGATAGAGTACCAACGACCTTATGCCTCGCAGATGAGCATATGCATCAGGTTCGATGCCACCTCCACACCATCTTGCTATGAAGCTCCGTAGATAATTATTACGCCTTGTTAAAGAGAGGTGCGAACATCCGATGGATCCTATCAGTTTTGTAACTTCCTCGCTACTCAGGTCTTTTACCATAAAATGACGAACTTCATTGTCGATCAAGGGTAATGAGCTATTTGCATCTTGCTTTTCGATGCTGATGCACTCGTTCTTGGTTGTAAGCCGCGCAAAATCATGAACCAAATCATGCATTTTGCAATATAATTTTTCCTTATTCAAATACAGCTCCTTTTCCAAATCTTGGAAGAATGATCGCATAACTAACATTTGAAAGTACTCTTCACCGACTTCCTCCATATCTTGGTTCGTTGTTGCTTTTAGAAAACCCTGTGACATCCACAACTTAATCAATTCGTCCTTCTCCATTATATAATCCTGCGGAAATACAGAACAAAACTGAAAGCACTGTCTAAGCGTCGGAGGCAAATCATAGTAACTCAAAGCTAGAGGAGCAATAACTTCGTCTCTTCCTTTCTCTATCCGCCACATTTCACTTCCCAGAAGTTGCTTCCAATCCCTTTTAGATTTTTTCACATGTAGTACCCCTCCCAAAACTTTTGCCGCAAGCGGTGAACCAGAACACTTTTTTACTGCTTTTTCACATAGTTCTTCTACACGTTCCCTCTCCTCATCGCTCCATCCATAAAATGCAATTTGTGTGAAAATAGTCCGACATTCACCATCAGATATCTTTTGTAAAGGCAAAATATTATCGTCCATACAGCTAAAAACCCGGGAAACCTCCTCCTTTCTTGTAGTCACCAAGATCTTGCTTCCAGGTAATCCGTGAGAAACAGAAGTTATTAGTTCTCCCCATTGGCTCCGACTATCTTCCCAAACATCATCAAGAACTAGAAGAAATTTCTTGTCCATCGTATGTGCGTTAATACGTTCCAACATGTGCGATAGTGAACTACTCTCTGAAGTAGATTGATTGAAACACTCGAGTATGGATTTAGCAACAGTTGCTTGATCAAAATGATTGGACACACAGACCCATATCCTTTTGTCGAAATAAGCTTCCACTGCCTTATCATTGTATATCATTTTGGCCAATGTGGTCTTCCCAAACCCACCGGGACCTTGGATAGATATGCTTTTGACACTTTCATCATCCAATAACTTGTCCTTCAATATTCTTAACTCTTCTTCTCTGCCTTTCACCTCGGACAAATTGATATTGGGACTGGTCTGCAAACTTGTGTATGAAGACTTCTCCCTGGGAGTAAAATTGTACCTATTTTTCTCCTTATCTATATCATCCAGACGCTCATTCAAACTTTTTATCTTTGAGGCGATATCATAACGAAGACAAATTTTACCCGCAGAGCAACAGTAAGTAGGAAGAAAAGAGCATACTCGTTTTAGAACACCGAAGATCCGAAACAGCTTCAACTGATCTCTGCCGTCTGCCTTGAGTTGACGCTTGAGGATCTTGGTTCTCCACTCGTCCAGCACATCATCGATCTCGTAGGAGACGTCCTTGATCTTCTTCAACCAGCCTCGGATGCCTTCGTCCTTCAGCTGCCTCTCTTCTGCATCCAGCAGCAGTCTTTCAATGGCGGTGAAAGTAGAAGTGAGCTTCTCGACATCTTTCTCTGCGTCTCGGACAAGCCTCACATGTTGATTGAGCTCTCCCGTGAGGACTGAACCCAGCTGGACCAGGACTTCGGAAACAATGGCTTCAGCCATGATGATGGGAAGCTAATCAACAGTACCAAGCAATCTCAGTTATGAGGGGAAAAATCGATGATCTAGATGGAAGCTAGCTGGGAAAGGAGGGAGGGAGGAAAGGTCTAAAGAATTGTTTGGTGGATAGATAAGCAGCATGTGGCGTACAAAAGAGATAGAAGAAGAAGAAGAAGAAGAAATTACTCCTTGTAATTGAGGAAGACTTGTGCCCGTGGACTTGGTGGATATTTTGTGGTGGGGACTTGAGAGGCTGCAGAGTGGAGTGGGGCTCGCTATTGTGCCAGCCTTGCCGAGTTGCACCACAAACTTGATGGAAAATCCATTTCAGGTCCAAAGTGATTGCATTTCTATGGCAGAATGGGACTTGACGACGCGCTCATATGGCCACGTCGTTTGGGTATTGTTCCGGCTAGATTATGATAACTATCCTTCTATCTGTAATTCTGCAACGATGTTGTAAGTCAGAAGCCTGTTCTATAATGAAATTCACTCACCTTCTTCTTCAACAACAACAAGAATCGAGCACATGAACAGAGCAGTGAAATGAGAGGTTACCTGCAATGAGTGACAGCCTTCTCCAGTGCTTTTAGTCGTGAATGGATTTAACCGCAGGAACGCCATGAATGAAAACATATATATCAGAAGAGGACCATTCTGGACAGGTGTAATGTACCAGTAACAGTCCATCTCTGCAAAGCCATCAAATTAGTCTAATATGTTGCTACATTTTGACAAATACAGATATTAGATAATACTTAATAACGTATTTTCACAATTACATCGGACGCAATACATTAATGGCTGCCGCTATCAAATTCAAAAGATGATGATTCCTGTTCTGAAAACATGCACGCAGGATGCTACTGACGAAGAAAGAGAATTTGTTATGCCACTAAATAGGCAGTTTTGGCAAAACTTCAGAAAGCACACGGACACAAAACACAGCGTACAACATACAGACTTCCTCCTCCAGAGAGAGGTTCTGTTTGCAAACTCCTACTGTTGTTGTAAACTGTTCAAGCAAATATTATCGGAGTTTCAAGCGGAAGCTGAAAGCTGCGCTATAAAATGATAAATGAAGGGCATCCGGGTGCAGGTCACAAGCTATTGGCGGAGATGGGCGAAATGATTGGACCCAGGGGAGGCGATCGGCCGAAGAACGAGTGCGTTGCTCATGCTCACATCAAACTGCAGAAGGCAAACAAACGTATTAATGAATGAGTTAAACATTATCACCATCGAGAGACAAGAAGCAGAGAGCAGTGAATCAACTTTCATTACCGTTTTTCGTCGTCATGGTGGTCATCATCATCATCTCCTGCTTCTTCCTCTTGCGGTTTGCTGTAAGAGCAGCCGATTCCCGACATGGCTTCTGTCATTTCATGATGCAATATTAATTGCGGAACAAGAAAGTCATTTATCTATCCAAATTCACATAATATATTATTATGCAATCATGTAATGATGCTGTTCAAATACTTGATGAATTGTGAACCAACGGTACAACTTAGCAGCTAGCTAACATGTAATTTAATTACCTATCTCGCTCTCGAATGTCTTGCGGATGTCCTCGTAATCGAGAAAAATGGTGGGGATGTGAGAAATTTTGTCCCAGACGTCATTCGGCATCATTTTGGGATCCCTGGGGTCGAACCTGTAACTCCCCAACCCGCCACTGTCGTTTATTATCAGCTCCTGCAGAGTGATTTTCCGGAGAAGCACATCCGGCAACTTCACGAGCTTCTCGCACCATTCCAACTCTAAGGAACGCAGGCGGGGCATGACTGTCGTCAAGCTGATCATCCCTTCCTGATCATCAAGCTCTAAATCCCACACTTCCCAATTCTCCATCCGCGAAAAACTAAGCCGCGTGAGCTTAGGGAACGCAATAATATCACCTTCATTGTTACCCATCCGCAGCTGCTGTATCACACTAGTCCCCAGCAAGAACTCAAGGCCAACCTTGTTCACGTAAAACATGTTACCCAGGCGAAGCTCTTCGAGGGATGGCAGGGCGCCAAACGGGGGCAGATGCTCCACTTCATGGCATCCATGAAATGCTAGGGATGTTAAGTTGGAGAGTGACAGTAACCAGCTAGGGAATATGCTTCCTCCCCTGTACTCTCCTATGTATAGTCTTTCCAAGCTTGATGGTGGTCTTATGGCTTCGAGCACTTGTTCTTCCTTGTCGCTGTCTCCATATTCACTGGAGTCGAATTCCAGACTTAAACGAGTCAGAGATTCTTTTTTGGCGAGCTCTGCACGCTCCACCTCCTCACAGTTTGTTACTTTACTTAACCTTGTAATTGTAAGGGATCCTTGAATTTGATTCATGCACTCTAGATCCCCAGTATTAGTAGCTCCCTCTGTATCAGCCTCCTGGTCGTAAACTACATTGAATGTGGTTAATTTCTTTAGGGAATTGCCTAACCTGGTCATTGATTTTGGGAGCACCGCTGGCACCTCGTAATTTTCAAGATGCTTTAAGTTGACTAGCTTATTCCCCATTCCACTGGGGAACATCCGCAAATTCTCGTTGTGATTGAGGAGTAGACTCTCAAGATTATACAACTCGCATATTTCTTCAGGCAAATCCATCAAGTGTCGGTTATTGGACAAATCCAAATGCCTCAAATGAATCAGTTGGTTGATTGTCGACGGGATTTCTTCCAGATCACAATAATTGAGGATTAACGATCTTATACCTCGCAAATGAGCATATACTTCAGGTTCAATAGCACTTCCATTTCTCATGGTGAAGCTACGCAGATAATGATTGCGCTTTGTTGAAGAGAAGCGTGAAGAAATGATTGAGGAAATGAGTTTGTTGATTTCCTCGCTACTCAAGTCGCTTACCATCAAATGACGAACCTCATTGATGATCAAGAGTAGTGAGCTATCTTGCTTCAGGATGCTGATGCATTCGTTCTTAGTTGTGAGCCGAGCAAAATCATGAACCAAATCATGCATCTTGCATAATGTTCTTTCCTCGCCCAACTGCCACTCATTTTCCACATCTTGTAACAATGAGCGCGTAACCAAAATTTGAAAGTACTCTTCGCCAACCTTCTCCATATCTTGGTTCGTTGTTGCTTTGAGAAAACCCTGTGATATCCACAACTTAATCAGTTCTTCCTTCTCCATTTCGTAATCCTGAGGAAATACTGAACAGAACTGAAAGCATTGTCTGAGCGTCGGAGGCAAATCATAGTAACTCAAAGCTAGAGGAGCAAGAACTTCATCTCGGCCTTTCTCTATCTGCCACATTTCACTTCCCAAAAGCTGAATCCAATCCCTTTTAGACTTTTTCACATGTAGTACCCCTCCCAAAACTTTTGCTGCAAGGGGTGAACCAGAACACTTTTCTACTACTCTCTCACATAGATCTTCTACACATTCTCTCTCCTCGTCGCTCCATCCATAAAATGCAATTTGTGTGAAAATAGTCAGGCATTCACCATCAGATATATTTGGTAAAGGAAAAATATCTTTCTTGATACAACGAAACACGTGAGAAACACCCTCTTTTCGTGTAGTCACCAATATTTTGCTTCCAGGTAATCCGTGAGAAACGGAACTTATTAGTTCTTCCCACTTGCTTTGACTATCTTCCCACACATCATCAAGAACTAGAAGAAACTTCTTGACCTCCATAAGCGACTTGATCTGTTCCAACATGTATGATAATGAACTGTCTTTTGGAGCAGATTGGTTGAAAGATTCAAGTATGGCTTTCGCGACTGTTTCTTGAACAAAATTAGCAGAAACACAGACCCATACCCTTTTGCTGAAATGATCCTCCACTTTCTTATCATTGTATAGCATTTTGGCCAATGTGGTCTTCCCAAATCCACCGAGGCCTTGGATAGAGATACTTCTCACACCCAATTGATCATTTCCGTCATCCAATAACTTGCCCTGCAATATTTCGAACTCTCCTTGTCTAACCTTCAAGTCAGAGGAATTGATAACGGAACTAGTTGGCAAACTTGAGTATGAAGCAGTCTGCTTGGGAGTTAAATTGTGCCGTTTTTTCTCCTTATCTATATCGTCTAGACGTTCATTCAAATATTTCATCCTCGAGCCAATATCGTAACGAAGACCAATTTCATCGATGGAGAAACAATAAGTAGGGAGAAAAGGGCATACTCGTTTCAGAACATCAGCGATCTGAATCAGCTTCAACTCCAAACAGCCGCCGGAAGCATCATCGTCTCCCTCGAGCCGACGCTTGAGGACCTCGGTTCTCCACTCGTCCAGCACATCATCGATCTCATAGGACACGTCCTTGAGCTTCTTCAGCCAGTCTCGGATGCTTTCGTTCTTCAATTGCTTCTCCTCTGCATCCAGCAGCAGAGCTTCGATGGCGGTGAAAGTGGATATGAGCTTCTGGACATCTTTCTCTGCGTCTATGACAAGCTTCCCACGTTTCTTAAGCTCTTCAGTGGCGAATGAAACCAGCTGGCTCTGGACTTGGGAAACAATGGCTGCAACCATGATGGTGGAAGCTAATGTCAGTATCGATTGAGAAATTTATCGTTGCTCGAATTAGGACGGGTAGCTGGTAGAGGAATGTAAGAGAACTCGTTTTCATCAGCTTGGTCTCGGCAGTCAGATTATTATAATTAAGTCAATAATTAATCTTATTTCAGCGCTAATTGTGATGAATTTGTCACAAATTGCTGCAGCCTGCAAGTTGTTCTCTTTTGGGCCCTTTTAATTTTGGTCAAAAGGTTAGGGCGGCTTCAAATATGTTGTTAGTGGAGGGAGGAAATTCTTTTTATATGTTTTTTGGCACTTACAGTACAAGTCGTTATTGCCTTATTGGGTTGGTTTAATATTCTTATTTACAGGTTATTGATTGGGTGGTTTGGTTACTGCAATAGTGTTGGGGGAATATTTGCTACAGAATTGAAATAGAAGCTTAATGCGTTTATCCTAGCTGGGACTAAAAGATTACTTACTATAATAACAAGAGATCGATATAAACAGAAACGATTACTCACTATAATAAAAAGAGATCAATATAAATAGAAATGATTACTCACTATAATAACAAGAGGCTTAGTGCCTTGATCCTGGCTGTAAGAAAACAATCTGCTGAACTGAGGGAATGGCTGTCTGTGTTTTGAGGGCAATGGTGATTTAATCCACTATGAGAATCAGCTTATCTCTATGTTCTGGCATCCAAAATTGGAGTACATGAACAAAGCAATGGAATGAGATGTTACCTGCAGTGAGTGACAGCCAATTCCTGTCCCCAGCATCTACAGGACGTTGGTATTACTCTTCTCCAGTAGCTTTTAGTAAAGAACGGATCAAAGTGCAGGAAGGCCATCAATGAAAACATATTTGAAGGAGCATTAAAGGAGCATTATGGACAGGTTACCAGCAACAGCCCATCTATGCAAAGCCAACAAAACAAACAAACAACTATGGTAACAGCAAAGCACGGCTGAATAGTTGTATGTCGTCGATGAAGCCTTGAACAACAAGTTTAGCCTTTTCTCCAGCACTTAAGGAGGCAACCAACTCAAGTCTTCTCTTTGGTTCTTCGAAACAAAGAGGTTGCCATTAACACCTGGAATAATACGGGCTACCGTTCTTTAGTATTGTCGGTCATATATATTTGTTGTTCGGCCATGCCATGGGGGCTTATCTTGGATAAAAAAAAAAAAAAAACATGAGCAAGAGAATCAGTAGGTTCAATACCTAGAGCATGAACCAACATTTGTTCTGGATCTTCAACTACAACTATGCTATAGGGTTGTGGTGAAACTTCAATCTCTACTGAAACAAATGGAGAAATCTTAACAACAGCTGATGATCCGAAATTTATTTACAATATTACAGAATGCTTAAGGACAATGTTAATATCTTTCTCCATGGCAAGCCTAGTATCCCAATCCATTCTAAGATTCAGCTTGGATCACTGCAATGGCATCCAAATTTCGAGCACATGAACAAATCAATGAATTGTAATGTTACCTGCAGTTGTGACAGGCCGCCATTCCTGTTCCCAGCTTCTACAGAAGGTTGGTATTAGCCTTCTCATGTAGCTTTTAGCCGAGAACGGATTAAACCGCAGGAAGCCATCAATGAAAACAGATGATAAGGAGCCATTCTGGACAGGTGCAAGTAACAGCCCATCTAGACAAAGCCATCAAATTAGTCTAATACCTTGTTCACATTTTGGCACATACAGATAATCTAATAATAAATAAATAAATAACTTCCAATCACAAGCACATCAAACCCAGTACATTAAGGACTGCCGCTACCAAATTGAACCGATGATGATTCCTGTTCTCAAAACATGCACGCAGGCTTGCATTCATCAGTTTAATCGCAATACATGCACAAAAGGCGAAGTTCCTCCTCGGGGCAGAGGTTCTGTTTGCAAACTCTTGTTGTTGTTGTTGTAAACGATTGAAACCAACACCATGAATGAAGCCTTGTTGTGGATCTTGAACTTCGGCTACAGGGTTGAGTTGAAAGTTCGATCTCTGCCGAAACACAGGGAGAAATCTTAAGAACAGATGATCCATTCTGATACATTCAGAGCTGATCTCTGGAATGGCATCATCCAACATTGGAGCGCATGAACAAGAGAAATGACATGAAATGCTACCTGCAGCCGTCGCGCGACGGACCATTCCTATCCTCAGCATCTACAGGACGCTGTATTAGCTAGCCTTCTCCTCCATCACATTAGTCATTCAATTGTTGTTTTTAATGGTGGTGATCATCATCATTGTCGTCTCATGCTTCTTGCTCATGTTTGCTGCAAGAGCAGCCTATTCCAGACATGGATTCTGCCATTTCATGATTACAATAAATGATTGGGGAACAAGATATGTAGTCATTCATAATAGGCAAACTCAGACACTGTAACTTAATTACCTATCTCATTCTTGAATGTCTCTCGGATGTCCGTGTAATCGAGGATGATGGTGGAGATGTGAGAGATTTTGTCCCACACCTCGTTCGGCACCATTTTGGGATCCTTACTGTCGAACCTGTAACCCCCCAACCCGCCACTTTGGGTTAAGTCCAGCCGCTCCAGAGTGGTTTTCCGGAGAAGCACATCCGGCACCTTGTCAAGCTTCGCGCACCATGTCAGCTCCAAGCTACGCAGGCGGGGCATGACCACCGCCGTCGTCGAACTGATCATCCCTCCCTCACCATCTAAATCCCACACTTTCCAGTTCTTCATCATTGAAAAACGAAGCCGCGTAAGCTTGGGGAATGCAGGAATATCACCCTTGCTGTTAGTACTCATCCCCAACAAGAACTCGAGGCCAACCTTGTTCACTTTATCCATGTCAATCAAGTAAAGATTTTCGAGGCAGGGCAAGGCGCCCAAAAAGGGCAGATGCTCCACTTGACTGCACCTACTAAATTCAAGAGATGTCAAGCTGGAGAGTGACATTAACCAGCTAGGGAATATGCTCCCTCCCGAGTAGCTTCGCACACATAGTTGTTCTAAGCTTGTAGATGATGGACTTATGGCTTCAAGTACTTGTTCTTCCTTCCGACTCGCTTCTTGTTCAAAGCTTCCGAATTCCAGCCGTAAACAAGCCAGAGATTCTTTTCTGGAGAGCTGTGCACGCTTAACCTCCTCGCAATTTTTTACCTTGCCTAACCCTTTTATTGTAAGGGATCCCTGAATACGGTTCATGCACTCTAGATCCCCAATATTTGTACCTCCCTCCTCCTCGTCTCGATCTACATTAAATTGGTGTAAAGTCTTTAGGGAATTAGCTAACCTGGTCATTGATTCGGGGAGCACAGCAGAGACCAAGTAATTTTCAAGATGCTTTAAGTTTACTAGCTTATTCCCCATTCCACTAGGAAGCATCTTCAAATTGCGATTGTAAATGAGGAGCAGAGTCTCTAGATTATACAACTCGCATATTTCTTCTGGCAACTCCCTCAAGTTGATGTTACCGGACAAATCCAAATGCCTCAAATGAATTAGGTGGCTGATTGTCGATGGGATTTCTTTCAGATCACAACCGTAGAGGACTAACGACCTTGTGACTCGCAAATGAGGATATACATCGCGTTCAATACCACCTCCCCTTCTCACAATGAAGCTACGCAGATAATCATTACCCTTTGTTGAAGATAGCCTTGAACAACTGATGGAGGCAATGAGTTTGTTGATTTCCTCGCTACTCGAGTCTTGTATCATCAAATGACGAACATCATTGTTGATGGAGAGTAATGCACTATTTGTATCTTGCTTCAGGAAGCTGATGCACTCGTTATTGGATGTGAGCCGAGAAAAATCATGAACCAAATCATGCATCTTGCAGAATGTTTTTACCTCGCCCCACAACTGCCCCTCTTTTTCCAAATCATGGAAGAAAGAGCGCATAACTAGCATATGAAAATACTCTTCACCAACTGCCTCAACATCTTGATTTAGTGTCGGTTTGAGAAAACCTTGTGACATCCACAACTTAATCAATTCATCCTTTCTCATTTTGTAATCTTGGGGAAATACAGCACATAATTGAAAACACTGCCTAACCACTGGAGGCAAATCATAGTAACTCAAAGCTAGAGGTGCAAGAACTTCTTCTTTGCCTTCCTTCATCTCCCACATTCCACTTCTCAGAAGCTGAATCCAATCCCTTTTAGATCTTTTAAAACGTAAAACTCCTCCCAAAACTTTTGCTGCAAGCGGTGAACCATAACACTTCTCTACTGCTCTTTGACAGAGATCTTCTACACATTCTTTCTCCTCGGCCCTCCATCCACTAAATGCAATTTGTGTGAAAATAGCCCGACATGCATCCTCAGGCATCTTTTGTATAAGCAAAATATCGTCGTCCATACAACGGAACACTCGAGAAACCTCCTCTTTTCGTGTAGTCACCAACATCTTGCTTCCTGGCAATCCTTGAGAAACAGAACTTATTAGTTCTCCCCACTTGCTCTGGCTATCTTCCCACACATCATCAAGAACTAGAAGAAACTTCGTGTCCTTCGTATGTGCATTGATCTCTTCCCACATGCGTGACAGTGTACTTCCTAGAGTAGATTGATTGAAAGACTCAAGTATGGCTTTAGCAACTGTTGTTTGATCAAAATTATTGGACACACAAATCCATACCCGTTTGTCGAAGTGAGCTTTCACTGCATTATCGTTGTATAGCATTTTGGCCAATGTGGTTTTCCCAAACCCACCAGGGCCTTGGATTGAGATGCTTCTCACACGCGGATGATCACTTCCATTATCCAATAACTTGTGTTGCAATATCTTTAACTCTTCTTCTCTGCCTTTCACCTCAGAGAAATCGACATTGGGACTGGTTTGCAAACTCGAGTATGAAGGGGACTCCTTGGGAGTAAAATTGTGCAAATATTTCTCCTTATCTATATCGTCTAGACGGTCATATAAACATTTTATCCTCGAGGCAATATCATAACGAAGACCGATTTCGTCAGGGGAGAAACAATAAGTAGGGAGAAAAGGGCATACTCGTTTAAGAACATCGGAGATCTGAAGCAGCTTCAACTCCAAACAGCCGTAACGAACATGTCGATCACCACCGACAACAACATCATCGTCTCCCTCAAGTTGAAGCTTGAGGATCTCGGTTCTCCACTCGTCCAGTACATCATCGATCTCATAGGACACATCCTTGAGCTTCTTCAACCAGTCTCGGATGCTCTCACTCTTCAGTTGTCTCTCTTCTGCATCCAGCAGCAGAGCTTCAATGGCGGTGAAAGTAGAAGTGAGCTTCTTGACATCTTTCTCTGCGCCTAGGACAAGCCTCCCGCGTTGCTTAAGCTCTTCAGTGACTATGGAACCCAGCTGGCTCAGGACATGGGAAACAATGGCAGCCATGATGATGGAAGCTTATGACAGCACCAACTGATCTCAGCTTTGAGGAAATGGTCGATGATCTAATTGAGACAGGAAGCTGGGAAAAGGAGAGGAAAAGAACAGTTTTCATCAGCTTTATGGCCTCGGCAGTCAAATTATTATAATTAAGTCAATAATTAATCTTATTTCAGGGTTAATTGCGATGAAATTGTCACTAAGTGCTGCAAGTTGATCCCTGCAAATAATTAACTAAGTCAATAATTAATCATATCCCTGCGTTAGTTGCGATGCATTTGTCTAAGTGCTGCAAGTTGTTCTCTATTGGGCCCTGTCACTTTACTTTTGTGTTTTTTTTTTTTTGGCAGGTTTAATATTCTTACAATTCTAGTCGTTGATTGGGTTGATTTAATAGTCTTATTTACAGGTTGTTCAATTTTGGGGGGAATATTTGCTACAGAATTGAAATAGAAGAACATCCAATATTTTTTAGGGTGTCTACATGACTCTCTTCATTTTGAAGCTATAGTATGTTTTCATAACAAAATTACATCTTCAATTGTTTGACGAATGAGTAAGACAATGTGTTCAAATTTGCGTGAAAAGAGCGACCATAATTGGTGCAAAATCGACGAAAGTAGTCAACTTATTCTATCTACTGCTTACCTTCCATAGTGTAAGGAGTGATTGAAGATCTGGGTGGCACAAAGCTGAGTCATTGCAGATCTGGCAAAGCGAAGGATTAAACAAAGGACAGCTGAATAGCTGTGTCAAACTGCGTGCGTCGATGAAGCCTTGTGCAACAAGTTTACCCTTTTGTTCCATGTCATCATACAATTCACGGTCTTCCCCAGAGAGCTCGATATAGCAAGTCTAGGCCACTTTAGGGGGCAATCCAACCAGAATCTTTCTCTTTTGTTCTTTGCAATGAAGTGGTTGCCACTAACACCTGGAATAATAGGAGTAATTGTTCTGATGTATAAGCGAAACCAACATGAGCAAGAGAATCAGTAGGTTCGATAACTAGAGCACGAATGGAGCCTATGATAAAGACCTTCAAATTCAAACTCGGCTATTGGGATTGAAAGTTCAATTGCTGCTGAAAAAAGGAGAAAATCTCAAAACAAGCTATTATGAGAATAAATAAATGGTGCATTATGAGAATCAGCTGATCTATGTATATCATAGATTTAATGCTCTGGAATTTATTCTACACTGTGACAGAATGCTCAAGGACAATGGTGATTTAATCCTTTATGAGAATCAGCTGATCTATGTATATCATGGCATCCAAATTCGAGCCATGACGAAGAACAATAAATTGAGATTCCTAGCCCCAGCACCTACGGGACATTGGTATTAGCCTTCTCCATTACCTTTCAGTGGAGAACCGATCAAACTGCAGGAAAGCCATCAATGAAAACATATGAGAAGGACCATTCTGGACAGATCTACCAGTAACAGCCCATCTATGCAAAGCCATCAAATTAAGCACAGCTCCGCTTTGCTGAGCTTTCCATTCTTGATCACATCTGCGTCGTCCAAGATAACTGTCCACCACTCAATCTTCTCCACAGGAGAATCTCTGAGATTCCTCACACACTCCCTACACCCATGTTCTTCTTCTCTCTCTCTCTCACCCACCAGCTTGAATATTCCATCCAACTCCATAGCCCAAGATTTCGCATCCTTCACAATCACCGACCCAGAGCTACAACTACAATTCCCATCACACAACCTCTATCAATCGAAGCCCTAACCAACTCGAAATTCTCAACACTGGCGAAAATGTGGATGTGACAGGGAATCTTGAACTCGTTGAAGTTACCCTTCTGACTGGCGACGATGCCTTCAATGACAATCCACCCAACGTCGGTCAAGGACGCAAGAACGGCGGACCCCGTCCCCGTCTTCTCGATGTGACCCACTTGGATTGACCTGATGTTAAGCACTCTGATAGCGTTCTGATCGAAATTTTGCCATCGTAGTAACGGAGACCAGTATGTCTTTTTTTTTTTTGAACATTAGACCAGTATGTCGGCGATGAAGAATCCGACCAAGTAGGGATCGTTGAGAGGCGAGCCGGGAAACTCCGACTAACCGTCTTCCATGATGGCCGTGGAGTGGAGGGAGAAGGGAAAGTGGGATGAAGCGATTTTTGAGTGTCTGCGGCTTGGCGCTGACGGTTAGATGGAGTTCTTTCGAGTTGTTTTTGCAGGAGTGGAAGGAAAGTCTCCTTTTTTATTATTATTATTATTATTATTTTATCATTCAAATACGGTGCCGTTTCCCCTCTTCTGGGATATAATCATTGTATTTTTGGTCATCAAAGTTTAACTAGCCGCCTATTTAGCCTCCATCTGTTTTGAAATTGTGTGAGGTGTGCACTTCAACATGAGGGAGTAGAGAGAGGTGTCACTTTTTTTTTGCTTTGGTGCTAGGTTGATGTAATCCACTCAATGTGGCAAGTTTGTGTATTAAGAATGTGGGGGTTATGTTCATATGCAACTATAAGTTTAAGGGGTGGAAGTATGAAGTCAAAATACCGAGTTAGGTTGACGGATTCAGTCAATGCAATAAGGTGTTAGATATCCAAAGAACGTAGATGTGTAAGGATATTTCATGTAGCTGTAAGGTTAATAGTACGAAGTTAATTTCTTGGAGTCATCAAGGCCTTCACTTTCGCAAAATCTATGTCTAGGCCTCTTAAAATTGATTGATTGTCAAATAAATGAGACCTGAGTTTGAATGTGACGAACTCTTAATAGCAATGAAATAATCATTATTGTGAATTAACAACCACGAATCAAACAAATGTTGTAAGTTTGAGAATCGAACACCATTTACTCGTATTTCCATCACTCAAACATAATATAGGTTATGAGTTCTCGAATTAAAGATTGTTACACATTGAGCCTATTTGACCCTACAATTGGGCATCTAATAAACCAATTGCTAACGTATGAAATACACAAACAAATAAATGATAGAAGAAGAGAATCTAATATATTCCATGTGATGTACTTATATGCCGAACGATGACTTCGAATGGGTTGAAATTTAATTAATTAATGAGTGAACAAAACAAGTCGCAATCCATGGGGACTTTGGAAGGAAAGATTATAAGAAGAAAAAGGGAAATGGGGGACCAAAAAAGAATAATAATTAAATTTGGAGGGCTCCTCCCATCTCCGGCACACATGTGCGCCGTGTGCTGCTGCCGCAGTCAGATGCTGCTCCCTGTTGCTTCTCATTCACTGCTCCCCATTTAACAAACCACTAATTAATTAATAATTATAATTAATTAATCATGAGTTATAAAGTTTAAAGAACAAATCATGGAAATTCGTCTCATCTCCAAGTTCCAAGGCCATGTTTGTTGAAAGTTTCTAGTAATCAATTTATCAAAAGAAGTTTATAGTGATCAAGCTTGGGAGTTAAAAGAAGAAAAATAAAGTGTTAAAGTAAAAAGCAAAAGAATGAAAAATATTGTAAAAGTGAGCGATAAGGATTTTATACTGAAACTCTTATGGTTCGATCGTTTCATACAAAAAAAAATACCGTCGATCGATTTTGCTTCCGGTATGAGGTTTTTTGGTCAAACCGCCGATGCGTGGTAAGAAAGTTAAATCTGACTTAGAACAATATTTTGAGTATGCACTTTGGTTCGTTTCCAGTACAGTTGTTTTGGACGAATAGAAGATTTTAGAGATTAGAATAATAGAGAGAGGATGCTTCATCTGAAAATTGGAAAGAAATCATAGAAGAACTTCCCTCTTTCGGAAATTTGGCAATCTTTATACAGGCTAACTGACTAAAGCTTGAGTTCTTCTTTGATTTGGTTCTCATTTAGCCTATTTGGAGCAACATCTAAATATCTAAAGTTAACATTTATGAGCATGACCCCAAAATTCTTGTTTAATGGTTTATGTCCCCTGCAGAAAGCAATGGTGCTTTTTGATGCTAGTTACTTGTTCAGATAAGTTAATTTGCGATAAAAGGTGTAGAGTAAGTGATAAAAATAAGTCACAACACTTTATTTTTTCATTCGTGCTTGCTGTGAACTTTTTTTCTATGATAGCGCACATTATTTACGTTGCCGTAATGATATGTTATGATCTCTAAACAAGGTTTGTCGAATATTGTATTCGAGATAAAAATAAATATGGTGGAGATGTAGAGTACAATGTGGTATATCATAGAAAGGAAATCTTGTAAATGCATGTTGAAATGTAAATAAGACAATTGGTGTAAATTGGAAAGAGGCGCAAATGCCCTGATTCATTTCATGAGCAATGTCGAGCAATTGTTGCACATGTGTTTCTTCGAATGTTGCGTCGAAACGGAACAACTCGCCTCACTCTATAAATGCATAAAAATGACATGACCTCACATGCGCTAAACTGGACAAGAACAAGTACTAAGGTAGTTGGCTCGTCCAGTTCCATCAAATCTCTATAAGGATTTCAAACTTTGATTGTATTGATTTTTTTTAACTCGTAAGACAACATCTATATTTTTCATATATCTTATGAAAAAGAGAATAACTAACAAATTAGGCTCCAAAACAACCTTAAAATCATGTTTTTGTCACTAATATCACTAGACCAATAATACTTAGTTACTCTGTTAGCATACTACACCAAAAATTCTGAAAATCTACCCAACTTTTAATTCCAATTTAAAAGCTAACAACATTACTAATTTGATCTTTGTTTTATTTTAAAATGGTTTATATTTCTATCCTCCTCTATCTTTTTTTTTTTTCTCCTGGAAATAAAAACAAAGCAAAAATTTCTTCGCTCTTTCTTGTTCTTTCTTACTTTCTGTGATTGTGTAACTCTCTGTCCCTTTCCCTCTTCGCAAAGAGAGGGACTTGGCCCCGACCTCCCACCGTCCTCCATTGAAACAAAGCTTAAAGCTTCCCCACAAACTTTCCTTCCCAACCATAACAAAACCCTAAAAAAATCTGAGCTTACCCATTTCCTTCCTCCTCCAAACCAACGGAGGAGCAACCTCCCAATTCCCATGTCCATCCATGATTCCGTTCCAGCTCCTTCTTCACTTCTTTCTCCTAGGGTTTCGTATCCAATCGCTGCTACTCGCGAATCGTAGCTCCGAATCTGGGCTTCTTTCTTCCCTCTATCGTTTTGCATCTCCTTGGTGAAGTTCGGCTCCAGGGTTTCTTATCTGTGTTCGGTTTTTGCTTGGGTTTCTGTGAGAATGGAGCGATCTGCTTCGGGTAAAGATGTTGCATCGAGGGACTTTACTGAGTCTTCCTCCTCCGGTGTGTCTCGATTTTGCTTCCCTTTTGTTGTTGCTTCACTCGTTTTCGTTGGATTGGTGTTCGAATTTGTTGGTGGGTGTTCTTGTTTGTGGTAATGTTGGAGAGCAATCAGTGAGTGAGGGAGAGGAGTCTGATGAAGTTGGGGGAAGTATGAAAATTTCGGCATACAAGTGGCTTCTTGATCAGGTTACGCTTGGAAAGATTACAGATTTATGAGTGACATTGGGGCTAGGTGTAAGAACACTAGTGCTGTTTAGCACATTAGCTCCCAGATGTGTTAGATCATGTGTGCACAGCTTGTTTGTTGTCTCTAGTAATTTAACAGGGACATTTTTAGTTTTGGCGGTCTTTCCTTTCTTAAGTCTGCATTGGATGTTTGTTATCTTCATGAATTTTATGGCATGGATCTTCAACCAGCCTCGACAGTTCTCTAGTTGGCATATGATCTAGATTTAATTCTTTGAACTCTTGATGGGCATATAAACTTCTTTTTGGCGGTGCACATGGGGTATCTTAAATACAAATGAACTTTGAACGGCTCAGAAGTTCCATCTGTATTGCCTTTGAACAAAGCCGAAGTCCCAGTTCATTTTACTCGCATGAGCATCTTGCCTTGAAGGTCAAATGTATTACTATTGAGGTTTGATTAAATCTATATTTGGACTGTCATTCAGGTGGGATGTTTGATGCATCACAGTACGAGTTTTTTGGTCAACATGCTGGGGATGGAGTGGAGTTGGGTGGTCTGGAAGATCAAAATCCTGTCTTTGGATCTGTCGGTGACGAATACCGCTTGTTTGATAGAGATGAAGTAAGATGTTTATTGACAGTCAATGACCTATGTCAATGTTCTTCATGTATATGTGAAAGACCCTCAAGTGTTACCTTGCTGTAGTAATGTGCATATCCTTCAGCTTGTCAAATTTGTTTTCTTGAGCTGAGGGTGCATATTATGCTATTAATAGGCTCTTTAACCAAAATCTTCTTTTGTTTGAGTTATTTGACCTGTGTACACTGACATCATATTTCCCTTGTAGTGCTTTTTGGTCGGTTCTACTCATGGGGATCACTTCTTTAGTGTTGGTGTCTTTCCTCAAACTGGTTTACAGTGTCTACCAGTGCCAGTCTAGATTTGTTAGGACCATAAACCGGCAGTTTAAACTGTATCAAGCCTAAGTATGAGTACCTATGCAAACACTGGAAATGCCGTTACTAAGAGACTTTCTTAGCAGTTCTTAGGAGGAGGATGTCTAGAGGTGGTTGCTTTTGTCTGCTGCAGCGTAAGAGCTGGTTTAACAAGTTCTCTGGTTCTGGTTCTGTAAGCATATGATAGAAATATGTAATGCTGGAAGCTTTTGATTGTTTATGTTGCCTTAACAAGTCACTATCTAATCAATGTCTTAATTTTCCTTCTCACAACCATCTCTCTGATAAGTATTGTGCATGTTCTTATCTTTCTCCAGGGGGCAAGCTTAGGATCCTTATCTGATATGGATGATTTGGCAAGTACCTTTGCGAAGGTAACTTCCCGAACTTCCTTTTTATTTGTTAATTTTGCACTGTGCTTGTCTATTGCTCTTGTGTTATGTTGTTAAGTCTTGTGGAATGATGCAATTTTTGTGTGGCTGTATATTGTATTTAGTTACATCAAGCACTTTTGGACCTGTTCTTTTGCATAATTGTCACTCAATTAGTGGTTTGTTTTCCTTCCTGATTCTTAAGAAATGATTTGTTTTCTGTAAAAAAATGCATCAGTTGCCATTTCTGTGATGGCAGTAGTTATATTATATGCTGTTGTTGATGGATGTTTGTGTTACTGTCCAGAAAATTTGATTCTGAGGTGTTTGGATGGATGGTCTGTTTTAAGTACTTATATCATGCTTGCTTGTTAGGATTTATTACAAAACAATAGGAGAAAGTTATGCAATCTACAAACAGTATTATGTATGCTTGGTATTGGCATATCAGCTGATTATTGTCGGAACAAATTTTTTTTTGATAGTTTAATGTTGTTGACCTTTGCTGTCATGGTTTTTGTTCTTTCTTGTCTTTTTACCTAACCTGAATCTTGTTTATTTTGCACAGTTGAATCGAGTTGTTACTGGTCCAAGGAACCCAGGAGTGATTGGTGATCGGGGATCAGGATCATTCTCCAGAGAAAGTGAGTGAACCTATTTCGGGCTTATGTTGCTACGTTTTGATTCATATTCCATTAGCAGCTCTATAGATTGGAATATCTGATTGGTCATGATGTTGTACTCGGTAGTTTCCCCCACTGTTTGAATGGATATAGTGCAGTAGATGTTGGTGTAAGGATTAGAGTAGGCGGCTGTTATCTCTAGCTTCTATGGACTCTAATGCCAGGACTCTTATCTGAATAGTTTACAGTTACTAGAACGGTACTGGTGTCAACTCCATGAACTTGTCCATGGATCTCATGAATAGACTCTGAATCATAGCTTTCAGAAATTTGCAACTTATCCTAGATGGCTTTCAGTTCCTAGTGTTTACTATGAGTCTTGAATTTCTTCCCTGCTGTATGTGTTCATCAGTTTATAAATATTTAATGTGTTTTTTCTGATGGTCCAACTTGGCCTATTGTCGTTGATTATCCATCCCTGTTCAAAATATCCAGGTTCATCGATCGCTGAATGGGCACAAGACAGTGAATCTTCTTCCTGGTTTGATCAACATGGATATGATTCAGAAAGTTTTCATGACAGCAGGATGTCTTCTTTATCCCTCACCCAACCTTTATCTGCTAGGCTATCAGAATCAAAACCTCTGTACAGAACTTCCTCTTATCCCCAGCAGCAACATGGAGAATTCAGCAACAACTGGCTAGATCAGCAGATATTTGATACAGAAACCGTTCAGGAAAACAAGAGATGGTCATCACAGCCATCTATTCATTTCGCAGAATCAAAACCCTTACACAGGACTTCTTCCTATCCTCTACAGCAACACCAGCAGCATTTCCCAAGTGAACCAGCTCCTTTTCCAAAATCAAATTTCACTTCTTTTCCGCCACCCGGTGGCAGAATTGATCAGCCACTACAACAGTACCATAGTGTTCCTTCTCCTTCAGGGGGATTGCAGTTGCCATATTCTGCTCCAAACATGTCTCCACTATCCAACCCCAACTTCCATTTGGCTGGTTTACATCCTGGGGCACACTTTGCTGGAAATATGTCCCAGCAGATCACATCTCCTGGCCTTTCTTTTAGTAACAGGCCTCAGAAGCAGTGGCTCAACCATGGTGGCTTGCTAAACCATGTCGACCATTCTAGTCTTTTGCAGAGCGTCTTGCAACAACAGCTGTCTCAGCATCAGAATGGGCTCATGGCTCCACAGTTGTTGTCACCCCAAAGCAGGTTGCACTCTACGGTTCAACCATCCATGGCTCATTTTGCTGCACTGCAGTCTCAACTCTATGCTTCGCATCCATCAGCTCATAAATTAATGCTCGGTTTGGGGGATGGTAGGGAGCACAAGCATAAGTCACATAGAGGGCGTCATAATTCTCGGTCTTCAAATCAGGGTTCGGATGCTGGTGGTAGTCAGAGAAGTGACAGTGGTCCATCGATTCAGTTCAGATCAAAATACATGACATCTGAAGAGATTGAGAGCATTCTGAAAATGCAGCATGCAGCTACTCATGGCAACGACGCTTATGTAGATGATTACTACCATCAAGCTCGCCTCTCCAAGAAATCTACCACAGGAGGGTCAAAGTCGAAGCATCACTTCTGCCCATCTCACCTGAAAGAGGTTCCTTCTCGATCACGAAACAATAGCAGTTCTGAACAGCAGCAGTCGTATCATGTGGATGCAATGGGGAAGATTCCCATACCAACTGTACGTAGGCCCCGCCCTCTCCTCGAAGCAGGCCCTGTTTCTACAGATGGCAGTGAACAGATATCCGACACGCCTCTCGAGAAGGAACCAATGCTTGCAGCTAGAGTCACAGTTGAAGATGGGTTGGCCCTGCTTATCGATGTTGATGATATTGATCGGTACCTTCTGTTTAATCAGCCGGCTGATGGTGGTGTTCAGCTGAGGCGGCGGCGGCAGATTCTCCTCGAGAGTTTGGCAACAGCTCTTCAACTCGTAGATCCTCTCGGTCAGAAGAACCCTGGTAATAATACTTCAGCTGGCCCCGCATCAAAGGATGATCTTGTGTTCTTGCGTTTAGTAGCTTTGCCCAAGGGTAGAAAACTCATCACAAAGTTCCTTCAGCTTCTAATCCCTGGTAGCAACCTCGTCCGAATTGTGTGCATGGCGGTTTTCCGACACCTCAGATTTTTGTTTGGTTCTGTGCCCTCCGACCCGGCAGCAGCCAAGACAAGCTTGAACCTGACAAAGACAGTGTGTGCGTGCATCAGTAGCATGGATCTTCATGCACTAAGTTCTTGCCTTGTTGCAGTTGTTTGCTCATCAGAACAGCCACCATTTCGGCCTCTTGGCAGTCCGGCTGGTGATGGAGCCTCGGTTGTTTTGAAATCTATCCTCGAGAGGGCAACTAAACTGTTAATTGATTCTCAGGCGGTGGCTGCCAGCTGTCATCCGGTGGTGCCCAACTTTGCTCTCTGGCAGGCGTCCTTTGATGAGTTCTTTGATCTGCTGACTAAGTATTGTTTGGCGAAGTATGAGACTATTCTGCAGTCAGTCTATGCTAAAACACCAACTGGTACAGAGGATATTGATGAAGATGTACGTGGAGCGACTAAGAGGGAAATGCCGGTTGAGCTTCTGCGTGCTTGCCTCCCCCATACTAATGAACACCAGATGGATCTATTGAGACATTTTGGACAGCAGCGAAATTCTCTGACTGAACTGAGTACACATACGGGTTCTAGCGGAATCATAAGTTCCGAATCAGTCAGAAGTTAAAACTAGATCAGTTACTTGTGAGAATGTTCCTGTCAGGGGTATTATGGGCTGACAGGGAGAGTGGGGGGAAGAGCTGCTGCTACAGAAGCTCTGTTCTTGATTAACGGTTCTAATGTTTTGACGTTGTGGAAACTGTGTTTTGACATTGATTGACCTTAATTGTCATCAATTGTTCAATGTGTATATGCTGCGATCATTTGGGAAATGGTGATTATCAGGGAGATAGGAGTGAGGACACCACAAGGGGTGAACTGTACAGGGGTGGTGGAACTGGAAATAGATCAGTAGAAAGTTTCTGTCTTCATAACGGAATTATGGGCTTCATATGACAGGCGGTTTTGGGGATCCGAAGGAAGTTACTTCTCTCTTTTGAACTTTTGGATGCTTTGGTTCTCAGGCATGACTGAAATATGCTTACTGGGGCTTGGCTATGACTCGGTACTTCCGAGTCTTGTCTTTGTAATAATTTAAACGAGAAGCTGTGGAAGGTGGTCATGGAAGATGGAAATTTTTAGAACAGATTTAGTAACCATAGTTTTTAGTTTTTACTACTGTTGTCGTTTCCCCTCTATCTCCCTCTTCTTTCATGTTTCATCTGTGGTTCCCTTTTGTTTCTCTTTCATATTTTCCTTTTTGGGTTCATGTTATTGGCAGGATCAAGACATCTCTGAGTGTATGAAGAATATGGGTACACTTGTGGTGGTGGGTGCACTTTCCCCTTGTCCACTTATGTATTCAAGGAAAGGGGCAAGAAAGATGCTTTAGTTCTTTTCCTTTTTCCATCTGTTAGTGGGAGTTCAGGTAGTAGTTGAAACCTGAAAGAGCCTCAGAAGGCGATGTGAATCAAATGCTCTCAATGATTGAGGGCCAGTGGTCTGAGTGCATGGATTCTGTTTTTGTCGAATCCTTTGCAGGTTAGGAGTATGTGGCTTGCCTTAGGTTGGTGTCGTCCTGTATTATGTAGAAAACAGCCAGCTGAGCCGCGCAATGGTAACTTTTTCTCTACGGGTTGTAGTTTTGTCAAGAAGAAACGGTTGGCTTGTGTGTTCTTTTGTCGATACTACATAAAGTAGTTAGCTTTGCAAATTGTTCAGGCAGGATCATGTCGATGTTCGATCCGCAGTGTACTGCTTTTTTTTAGTGAAAAGTTTGTACTGGTTCACATTATTCCTGTATATTTCTCTCTCTCTCTCTCTCTCTCTCTCTCTCAATAATGCTTCAAATAGGTTTGGATTGGAAGGAGTGAACTGGTTCTCCCCTGGATAGTCTTTTCTTACATAACACATTACCCTCAACAACTGTGTAAATATCCAGGTATTGTCAATTCCTATATATTGCTTAATTGCTTGCAGCTAGAATGCCAAGAAACTCCAATATCGAAGTGGTGAATGGTGATTCACAAACAGTCTCGGTCCCCTTTTGTTCCCTCTAGCATTATGCCATGACGACATAGTAGGACGACCTGCTTATATCGATCCAGACAGATTGAAGCATTGTACTAGTATGCCAAGTCGAGTTTGAATGCGGAACTATCAATAGAATATAATAAGACTTTTCCAAAAAACAGCTTCACGGATTCAAATTTACCAGCCCCTCAAGCCTCCACGTCAGCAGGGGTTTAAACCAATCACAATGGATCTAAGGAAAAACCGTCTTCCATAAAAAAAAAATAACTCTAAAGAAGAAAAAAAATCTAACACCCCAAAATGCCGGCTCGCCTTCTTCATCTCCTCCGTATCCCGACCTGCGAATCTGTGACGCGTAACCGCCGGCTACTGGCTCTTCTCCGATGACTAACTATCCACTCCCTCTCATCCTCCCTCTAAAACCATACCCCCCCCCCCCCCCCCCCCCCCCCCCCGACACTGCATCTGCTATTCGCCCTAATTTCCAAACTTGCAGCGATGGAGTTTATCATTGATGGAGACGTCGTCGGCCATCCATTTTGTGCCCGTTAATAGCAGGGACGCCTAGGAGTATACCTCTCATCACATTCCAGACCTAAGTTGGCCCCGTCATCTCTTCATCTTCGACCCCAACTACCACCAACAAGACGAACTCACTCAACATCCCCTGTCGCCGTTAAATTGTCCGACAGACGGAGGAGAGCTGCCATTCTCCGTTCCAACGACGTAAGAGACTGCCCCTTCAAGACTCCCTCCGATTACCATTAGCCGTTCGAGTCCTGCCGCACCATTACCGGCCGCTGCCTCCATTAATCCAGTTAAATAGAACCCACTACATAGTTCCTTCCTTTTTCATGCTTGCTCAATTATTTACTGCTACTAATTCCATCATGAATTAACTCTTATGTGGTTGGTACCAAGAACAACAATTATTAGATTACCATCATGTTGGTTCATTGGAATGTTCAACTCTTATGTTCATTGGAATGCTAACACTGTATCAACATTCAACACGGCAACTTTCATGCCTGATACGGATTCTGGAAATATGACAACAATGAGCTTTGATCATCAACAACCAAAAACTCCACTAGCCTAATCTACCTTCAATGGGAGCTTCAAATCCATTAAGAGTTAATAATTTATTTAGTTACATATAGTTACGAATTTTACACACCTAATCACATTCAAACATGTTCTGTGAAATTGGTTGAGTTCAATATGAAAATTACTATTCAGTAAGGTTTTACGAGCTTCATATTCCAAGGAAGTTATATTATTAATGTTCTTACAATCAATGTCATATTTCATACAATTATTATTATGTATCTGTACACACTATATTATGAGAACACCACACACTAAAGAAATCAAACAAATTGGTCAAGTGACATTTGGATTGAACTTTTTTTATTAAAATAGGACATGTCTGACTATCAGTGTAAGAAACCTCGGATCTAGGAGTCTTGCGTCTAGAGTTCTGAGATTAAGATCGATAGGGAATTGAAAATTATATATTTACGAGGGAAAGAGAGGGACGAAGGGGGAAGAGGGTCACGGCCAAGGGGGACCAACGACAATGATGGTGAAGAAAGAGAGAGTTCGGTCGAGATTAAAAGAGAGGGAGAGGAGATTAGGGTTTGACAAAATTGTGTTATGTATTTGCTTAATGAGAAAATACTCATCCAAATATGTTCAAAATTACAAAATAATATCCAAAATTACTCAGACATAAATAAAACGACAAACTTCCAAATGCCAAAACAATCCAAAAATTAGATTTTTAATAATCAATTTATACAAATATTACCCGGCCAACGGACCGGGTAAAAAGCTAGTGAACTAATAGTGGAAAGAGTCCGAGTGCACTCTGGGAAAAGTTGGCCGTTGCCGTACTGATGGGACATTGGGTTACTACTCTCGAAAAGCTTAACCGATTGGATTTCAAAGGTGTTTCCTTGTTGGTCTGCTTTTCTAGTTTTGAGTTCTTTCCTGTTTCCTTTTTTTTTTTTTTAAGTTAAGGGTTCTTTCCTGTTTCTTGGAATGGACACTCTTCTTAAGCTTTTTCCTTTTCTCAGGAAATGGGTGTTACTATGGTTTTTGCGTTTTGCTACCTTGCTTCAAGTAGCGTGGATTGGAGTTTGATTGAAAGCAGCAAACTCGCTTCACCCAGAATAGTCTCTGATCTAATACATGCCCTCGAGGCCTCAACAACAACTATTTTAAAAGTTTTTTTTCCCGCGCCTTCTAGCATTTCACAGCAACAAAAATGCACAATACTTGGAGAGCCTCGCTCATGCTATAACTCTATCGACCGCTATTTCTCTAAAATCTCACGGTGTGCTTTGAATGAGAGTATCACATTCCACGCCAGGGCGATCACATTTGCAGCGAGAACCTGATGAAAATACAAAGCAAATCAGTATTATATTCCTGAGATGCAGCAGCGCCTTTTCAGAACTATGCATAATCAAGAAGGAAGCAAGGCTGAAAACAATACTGCACCAGTTTGAAGTTCAGAGCACACTGTAAGGGAATGCTGCACTACTATTTAGAAAGCGCTACTGATTATACCTGAAACTGCTGCGGCACGAATCTGAAGTTGAGAAACTGAAAGGGGATCCACAGTTGCCAATTTGCTATGACAGAAGAGAACCATTCCTACAAAAAGGGAAAAAGTGGAAGCGCAGTTTCAATGAATAACATAGTCTGCGTGATGCTCCAGGTAATAGGCATGGAATCGAATAATTTAGGGAGCTGATCATGACTGCAAACCTGTTGCAGCCTTGGCATAACTTGTGCCGGCTTTCCTTCAAGCACAGTCAATGCTGATAAGAAGACACCGAGGAACACCGGGGAGAAAAGGAACTGCGAAAAACAAATCAAGGAAGGGATGGTGAGATGCAATGTGGTTTCAAGTGCGGTTGGTAACCAAAGCTCAAGGAAGGAAAAAAAAACTGAGAAATAGTAACCTGGTCAAGTGTGAGACGTATGATTGCACCTGCTACTCCAGGAACCGTCACCAACTTGCTCAGACACAAATACCTACCAAGGGGAGGTGGAAGGTCAGATTAGGCCGAGAATTCTGTAAGAAACATTTAAAGCATAATCTGACCGAATACTCGTAGTTAGCAATCTGAACTTTCAGCTTATACTAAATTCAGCAAATCGTATAATATCATCTACTTTGTTCTCTGAGGAAATAGGAAATAAGAGAAGCATTCCAGAAGTTACCAGAAATGCAAAGTGGGACCAACTAGTACCAGCCCCAGAAAGGCAAATAGGAAAGTCCTCTTGAAGTCTGGAGATGGAACTTTATCAATCACAAGCTGAAAGAAAGTAATATGTAGAAGTTTATAACAACTCAATCAACTTCGCTTCGGATTATTAGCTCATAACAAGTCGTATCACCAAAAATGGATATGATAAGAGACTCAGAAGATGGGATGAGGACAGCAAGAAAACATGTAAAGATAATATTGTCGACTCATTGAAGTCTCACGATACACAAACTGGACATTATGCTAACAACATCAAAAGATTATCTAAGCTAGTCTAATTGACATCTTTATACAGTGATCTTCAGCACTGCAAAACTTTGTGTTTTCTTTGGAGAAAACAGATTATCGACATCGACCTATCCATACATGAACAACCCAACTAATGCTTGTTATTGTGCATACCAAAGACTGACTGTTCAGTCAGCTCTTCAAGCAGATTCTAGATAACAAGATGCTCATCTAAACTACACATGAAGGAGATGATGGCAAGCGAAAGAAACATAATAAGCTGATTGCGTAAATGGGAAAGAACTGTCACATCGTCATTGCCATACCTTCAAAGCAACGAATAATAAATCACATGGATATCTACCTGACAGATTAAATCTCCAAGGAAATTCAGAATTCCTGATGTCACAGCTTTGGTAAGAACAGGATACTTGGCCAGAAGACTCAAATACCTGCAAAATTTTCTCTTTTTTTAGGCCAGCAATTAAACAAAACCCATGACAAATAGCCGGAACTCCATAAAAATGTAAGCTTTTTGTTACCATGAAAGCAAAGACCAGTTATCTCCACCGGGAGAAGAGCCGCCATCATCGGCGCCTTCACCACCCCCGCCGCCGCCAGAGTTTCCGCTACCATATCCTCCTCCACTCCCGCCACCAGAAACCGCCAAAAGTCGAAATCGAGCGAAGCCCAGCTGCCGAATTCCAACTCCAGAAGAGCCCAAATCCATAAACAGGCTTGAGCGACTAGAGTTTAGGGAAGCGGAAGAAGAACATGCGGCGAGTCCAGCTATCCGTACGTGGTTAGCGCAAGCTGGAGCGAGCTTTGGAACTGAAAGGCGAGGAAGAGGAATTCCATCCAAACGAAAAGAGAGCGGGGTTTTGCGGGCGAGAGACACAGGGTTCTGTAGTGGCATCATCGTCAGTCGAACAAAGCCCCCAAATTGAGATGATTTGACGTCTTCAGAGAAGAAAGCAGGAGACGGCGTAGAGTTCTTCTGTAAACGATGATTATGCACAGAGAGAGAACTTGAGCTGAACTGCGAGTGGAGAAATGGCTTAGAAGGCTAAAACCCTGCCCCTTCTTCGTTTTCAGACGGCATGGCAAATGACGGAAGAAGATGAGGCTAAAACCCTGCCTTTCTTCTCTCAAGCGGCATGGCACATAACAAACGTTCGAACGAGTAAAAGTTCTGTTTCAGTCACTGACTGTGCAAATTTTGTTGCTAATTATTAATTAGTCCGCGAAATATCATGGATTTATAGTTTGTGTACTGATATTACTAGTAACTAAAGTTCAGGGGGTAAGTTGAACTTTTTGCTGGTATTTTGGGGGGAAAGGATTAAAGGCGCAGGGGTTAACAGTCGGTCAGTCACATTTCGCAGTGAACGCAAAAACGCCCGCCAACAGCAGAAGCCGCGGTTGCCGATTTTTGCTTCCGCGTCGACCTCCATCACCACATCTCCGCGTCTTGCGTTCTCCGACTCCGGCGATGCATTCCTTTCCGCAGCCAGGCTCGGTCACGATTTGCGAGATCAATCGGCAACTGAGTAAGTATATCATTCCTTTCCGATTTTCCATCTTAGGGTTTTAGGAGGATATCCAGAAATCGAAGCTCACTGGTTTATGGTTTCATTTTTGGCGCACAGTTGCGGCTGAGAGTTTATCGGATGAGCGAGCCAGGGAGACTTACGGGAAGATCCTGGTACTGCTGTCCATCTCCGTAGTCTCTCCTCTCCTTTCGCGCGGTTTCTCGTTTTTGAGCTTGGATGTGTGTTGTTTTAGGGTGCGGTGTTCAGTCCGGTTCCTTTCCAAGCCGATCAGCTGGTGTCGTCTCCCAACGTGGAGCAGGAATCAGAGCATCAGGGGAGAAGTAACGGAGACAGCGTTGGGCGGAAGATTCTCGGGAAGGCGTTTCAGGGCTTTGTCAACATGTTTCAGCCAAATTATGTAAGCAACCTGAAATTGTGCTAGCTCCTTAATAAATTTTTTAGGATGTTAGAAGTTGATCGAGTTTGTCATAGCTATTTTTCACTGTGTGGCTGGTGGTGAATCTTGATGAGTTTCAGGATTCAGTAGGTTGGTTATGCCTGGTTGTGAAGCTAACAGTTAGAGACTAGTTCTGGATGATCCGTGAGGTAGTGAATGTAGGTTAGTGTGGCAATTTCATCGTGTAAAATATTAAGGAACGCACCATCGGAAAGCTTCGATATTTGGTTTGGTTGTTTGAGTGAAGTATCTGAATTGATTCATGTGTTGACTAGATGGAGCCTTCTTCTATATCTTGACGTTAGCATAAAGAAGGGCTATCCTAGGGTGCCACTTACGTTGCTTTGCTTGCTTCTGTTGATACAAGTCTCTTGAATATGAGGAAAAAATGCTTGAGAACTTAATTGTTCTTCTTTTCGAATTAAAATTCCATAGGTAAATTTGTTACCAGAAGTTGGTCTCCATGGTGTGTCCTGGCATCAGCATAAGCACATAATTGCATTTGTTTCTGGCCAAAACCAAGTCACGGTTTGTGATTATGAAGATAAGGGTAAGTTTCTTTTTTATTTGTTCCACCTTTTCTCCATAGAAAAGGCTATATATGTGGTTTCCCTTGAGGTTACTTTTCACGCTTAATGTTTGATGTCTCCACAGAAGGGAAGGATTGCATATTAATTTCCGAGTCCCAGAGAGACGTTAAGGTCTTGGAGTGGAGGCCAAATGGTGGAAAGTCACTTGCCATCGCTTGCAAGCAAGTATCTAAATTTCCTTCCCGTGTTTAGACTTTACAATGTAATAAGTCATGTTGTGGGTGGATGACAATAGCTTATGGAAGTTCTGACTTATCGGACTGAATTTAGGGGCGGAATCTGTATATGGTCTGCATCATATCCAGGAAATGCTGCAGTTGGCAGATCTGGCGTTACATCATATCTGGCAACTGTTTCTGGAGGATCTGGGTATCAATGGGCTCTGGTTGATTTTCTTCGAAGTTCCAATGATGAGCACATTACTTCACTCTCTTGGAGCCCTGATGGAAGATATCCTTCAGAGCCATCCTATTTCTTTCTAGTGTTTATGGCCCTTTAACTTGCAGCCTTATTTTCTATGTATATGGATTGTTTCTTTATCAGTTTGTCAGATAATGGGACAAATCGATTGTTTCAATAATTTAACAGCTGATATTCATGACTGTCATATGTATATGTTGCTCAATTGGCTTCTTTAGACGAAGTATCCTTGACTATGCTTCACATTTTTGGCATCTGCTTCTTATGAGAGCTCAGCATTCACCATCTGGGATGTTGCACAAGGTAATGACCTAGGGCTAAAGTCTAACTCTTCTTGGATACAGTATGTTGATAGTGGGTGTTTATGTACAAAATAATGTCATGTGCACCCATAAGCATGCGGAGTTCATGCATGGACATCTGTTGTTTTCAGAACCGTTTAACTTAAAGCCTTGCTAGATTGTTAAACCCTTGGACCTAAACTATTCTGTCTCGTTTAGTTGTTTACGGATTCTTATGTCTCAAAGATAGTTGGGGTGATCAAATAATTTTGTCTACTGTGCTATGTTAGCTGGAAAATTGTTGGTTCATTCTGATGATGTTTGGCACATTCAGTCAGGTGCATTCAGTGTCGAAGTAAATCTATTGATCTAATTTTCAATATTTTAACGCTTTTGTGGGAAAGAAGGCTCGGGGATTGTTTCTTTTCTGTAGATGCATTTCCATTTAATCGTCCTCTTTGATCACATCGGTGAGTCTGTTTTATGTTCTGGTATTACTGGCAGGATCTGGGACCCCTATTCGGCGTGGATTAGGTGGTATTTCAATGCTCAAATGGTCACCTTCTGGAGATAGCTTTTTCTCCGCCAAATTGTATGTCGTAACTCCTTGCTGTTCACTGCTTCAAGATGAAGCTTTGATCTACGCTATATATGCTACTGCACAAGCCATGTTCTAATCATCATCTTTTTTTAGTGATGGAACATTTTATCTATGGGAGACAAACACTTGGACATCAGAACAATGGTCTTCTTCTAGTGGGTTTGTGACAGTAAGTGCATTATCAAAGTCTAAATCTAGTTGACAACAATCAATTGAATCATCAATCTTATGCTACTTGTGTCTGTGCTTCTGAATATTGTGCCAGGAAGTGGTTATCTAGTATTTCCTTTTTGTTTTCATAGCCTACTTTTGTCTGTCATATGTGACCACAAAATCTGTGCAAGGAGTCTGACAACGAATTCATATATACCTTCTGGAACTTGTCTCTTTCTCCTCGCCCCTCTTCGTTTTCTCTCTCTCTCTCTCTTTTTTTTTTTTTTGGGGTGCTCTGTTTAGTTTGAGACTTGTTACTATTATAGTAAGATAAATGGTAAATCAGGGCACTGGATCCTTTGACATGCTGCTAAGTTTATCTTATCTTCATGAAGTCTCATACAGGTTCATTTCCTTATTTAAAGTGTATTGTTTTGATCTCTCGTCCTATACATGTGCTACATCATCTGAAACCCTTTACATTTATCCCCTGTTACGTTTTCCTGGATTTCTGTGGTGTTTCTCGTGAATATGCTTCTTCCTTGTGCCATCTCATTTTTAGAATTTCTCTTCTGATTGTGCTCAAATCTGATCAGCACTGGTTTTGAATTGTTCATGGTTTAAATGCACTAAGCCTAGAGATTTTGATTCTTGTAATCACAGGGATCACAATGGGATCGCGATGGCCGTATAGTTCTGCTTGGTTTCTCTGGATCTTTAACATTGGGCTCTGTTCACTTTGCATCAAAGCCTCCCTCTTTGGGTATGAAGCTTGACCATTTAAATTCATCCTGAGTTGTCTCTGTCCGGAAAAGGCCACCCAAAATTTTCCCTTTTTAAAAAATGGTGAACTTAGAATCTGTAGTACTTGAATTTTGAACATCCGGTGATACTTCCCTTCCTTTTGTTATCAAACTGGGCTCTGTAACTCCATAATAGAATCTTGATTTTCTTTTTAATTGCCCTTGTAGATGCACATCTGTTACCTGTTGAGTTGCCGGAGATAATGTCACTGACTGGCAGGTATTGTTGACAATAATGTTGTTTCCTTAGACGTAGTAAAGCTAGGAACATTAAACTTATGCTATACTCCAGTGTGTTCTTCTAAGGGCACGTAGCACAATCATTACCTGCATTTTCTCCCAATTGACTGTTTGTGAGAGGTTCTCAGTTGTGTAAGGATTAAGGCTACTGAAGTATTACCTTAGCTTTCAAAATTTTATCATCACTACTTCTGCGTGTTATCGTACGTTGCAGTCGTGGGATTGATAAGGTAGCCTGGGATGCTTCCTGTGAACGATTAGCCGTGTCGTGTAAAGGAGGGGATGAAGCGTACAATGGCCTGATTGCCATATTCGACACAAGGAGGACTCCTCTTATCTCTGCATCTCTAATGTATGTTCTGTTTTTCTTCAATATCATCTCTCATCCTTCAATACTATGAATCTGATTCGGAAATTGCAAGAAGTACTTGACAAGAGCTTGTTATGATCTTTACCCAGTGGCTTCATTAGGGGACCTGGAGAAACCCCCAGGCCTCTCACGTTTGCATTTCACAACAAGTTTAAACAGGGACCATTGCTTTCTGTGGTACGTCTCTCTAAATTTCATCTGAAACATGTCATCTTTTCTCATTAGTTTCTCATCCGGTCATTTTTTTTCCTGCAAACTCTCTATTTGTTTTGCAGTGTTGGAGCAGCGGGTTCTGCTGTACATACCCTCTGATCTTCCATTCTTAGAGGCAACCTTCCCTCATTGTTATCCAAGGTAACAAATCTGGCTATTAAGAGATTTAAAGTTTAAACACTTGTGTGAGTTTTCAAACTAACACTAACACTAGCTCTCCTGTTAGTGTCACACTGTTTGTCTCGTTATCTCCGAGAATCATTCAACACCTCCTCCCATCTTTAGGCAACTTTTCTTTTTGGTAGGTTTGAAACTCGGGGTCAACTCTAGTTGCCATTTGGGAACACCTCTGTTCAAAGGATCAATGGTGTGAAAGGGTGATGTCTGCAAGTTCTTGGAAGGTTCGACATGCATAAGCTCGTACAGAAGAATCAGATCAGATCAATGGCTCATTAATACAATCCTGGTGGTGGTGATTAGGTGCGAATCAACGAGTTCTGTTTCTCTCTACGTTTCGACCAAAAGGTTTGGATTGGCTTTCTATGTGAGAGTTTGCGAACTGAGAGCGGCCCTCGAGAGGGATGTTTTCGGAGCCTATTGATGGACCAAGGTTGCTCCAAAACCAGCCTCAGATTGTGAGAGATGCTTTAGTTAGGAAAGTCCAAACTAGTCAAGGAAATCGTTGTCTCTCCCTTGTCATATATTCCTTTCTCTATGGAAGGTTCAAAAAATCAAAACATAGCTTTCAAGACCCTTCACAGATTAGTTGTTTTCTTCTTCATAGAATCCCTGCAAAGCAAATGTGGATCTCCAGAAATGGACGGCTAGAGCCTAGAAGTGAGAACTGTCACTTGGAGGCGTCAAAGCAAATCATGGTCGGCCTCTCTTCCTTTTGACATTTGGAGCCCGTTTCTCCACCCATAGGAGAATCGATTCCAGTCGACGTTTTGGCAGAAGGTTCGAAACGTTTTTCATCCACCCAAGTAATGTACAATTCTCAAGCTAAAAATCGTATCTTCTTGCGTATCTATTCTCTTTCTAGTCACACACCAGAATAAACGAACTAGAATTATGTTATCTCGTAATTTATTCCAACCAAATTCGACTTGCCTTTAATCGAACATCAATCATCGTACTGTACGATACAAAGAATGACCAACCCTCTAATAACAAACCACCCTCATAGACGCGTGAGTGTAACTGAAAGTCCATTGAGTGGTGCCCTCCACGTTTCATCCTTCGTTGGTAGCACTAACTATCAAGCTTGATGTTTTGGGTTTGTTCCAAATTCATCCAAAAAAGAGAATCATTAGTAGGAATAGTGTAAATACATGTAGATTTTTTTATTATTATATGGAAATGAAATTATCTGTAAAGACAAAGGGGAAAGAAACAAGTGCCGGATTATGATAACTTCTGTTGTATTGTTGATACAAACTAAAAACAAGGGAAGAAGAAGAGTAATAAATAATATAACACTAATATGAGATAAATGAAAATTTGGGAATTAGTGAGGAAAACGGGAATAAAATTTGACCACTTTCCACTTGTGAGATATAAACACACGTACATATACATCAACTACATGAAGACAAACATGATTGTCTTTTAGATTATTGGGATATTACCCATCCTTGTGTATTTAGTATTCACCCATCATAGATTTTGGATGTGTGATTGAACATATTGAGCTATATAGGCTGAAGAGTCTTTATGGTATTATTGATAAGATTATCTACCCAAATAACATATTGCGGATTGCATATAATACTTTACATTGTAATCGACGTAACATTATATTGCGGATAAGTTATTATACTATATTATTTATTCGTTTTCAATCTCCCGATTGCAATAGTCTCATATGATTTCATTACAAGTACGGATCATTTCATGCTTCATAACCATATGAAATGGACTCCTCATTGATTAACAAACCTTTCCTGGCTTCTTATGGTTACAATATGTTCATTTTGGTGAATGTGAGGGCCGAAAGACATATTACTAACACATATAGGCATATCATATGAGTCAATATGGTCTTACTTAAAAAGTGAGGTTCGATACGTATTTGGATAAAAGAAATTTAACGTTAAAAACTAAAAATGATTTTAATAGGATGTCAAAAAATATTATAGAATTTATTGTGTAGACGGGGCATATTCACTAAGACAACATAGTTATAGTATGATGACAGACTAATTTGCAATATGAAAAAAATGTATATTTTAATATTTTCTGTTTAAATCTGGAAAAAATGCCAAGAAACCGCCGGTTGGAGAGCTCCCGCCCGAAAGCCATCGCTCACCAACAATCCAGCCAGAGCCAGCCAGCCGGCTGAACAATGGCCAACCCACTCTCTCTCTCTTCCTTCTCTCACTACATCATCGCCCGCCAGCCCCGCTTCCAGCTTCCATTTCATAGGGCAATACGCCTATTGGCACTATCAGAGACAGAGAGACAAGGGGAAAAAATTGCGGGAACAAAAAGGAAAGAAATTTACAGAGAGAAAAATAAATGCAGCAAACAACATAGAGAAGAGTAGAAGAGGAGGGAAAGACGATCTCTTCTTCTTCTTCCCACACTCACCTTCGTCCGACCCTCTCTCTCTCTCTCTCTCTCTCTCTCTCTCTCTCTCTCTCTCTCCTGTTCGTCTCCTTCACTCGAACGGATTGTGTGGAGGGTTTTCCTTAGTCGAAATTCTCCATTTCCAATTCTATAGCTAGGGATCATAGAGAGAAAAGAGAGAGGGGTTAGAGACTTGGGAGAGATTTTTCTGGAGGTGGGGCGGACGGCTAGCGATGGCCGCCGATAAACCCAAGAAGCTTTATCGAGTTTGGAAAGGAAATAATGTTAGTCCTCTTCGTCTTTCTCTTCCTGTTAATGGGTTTACTTAATTATGGCTTGGATTGAATTGGGTAGGGTTTCGTTTTTCCTTTCCCTCTGTTTGATATGGCTATTTGCTCATGTCATGCAACAGAGTTGATGGTCTGTTGGTTATCAACTTGCTTAGTGGGTTGGAACTGTTTCATTCACCTAAATTCAAACTCTTTTACTGTTTGATTAACTTAGATCCGTATCTCCACGGCTAGTTGTTTAGTAATAGCTATGCTGCAAAGTGATCATTTTAGTGTCTGATGAAACTTTAGTAATCTCTGCCTTCTGGTTGCTGTAATGATTTAGCTGATGATCATCAGGTTCATAGAAAGTACTTGGAAATGTTTGGTTTTGTTGCCTAATAACTTGATCTCTCTATGTATTCCCCAGAGGTTTTTCTGCGGTGGAAGATTGATCTTTGGTCCTGATGTGGCATCAATGTTTTTGTCAATGTTCCTCATTGCTGGTCCTTCGATTGCTTTCTGCGGAAAGTTATATTACACGATTGTGAACGGAAATGTCAAGAATCCAGCCCATTGGTATGCTATATTGATTGGGGGCTGCGCTCTCACCGTGTTGGTAAGTTTTCACTCTGGCTTTTTATTAGCAGCTAGCAATTCTCTTGTAGGAAGTAACTAGTAATTGATTAGTGGATTCCATAAATAATTCCTTAGTGAGATGGGAGTGGTGTAAAATGGATGAACAATTCTTCTTTCTCTTAGGATGTAGCTGATCGCTCTTGTGGAAGGTAGACTACTGATTCGTAAGTCAAAACTTGTTGCAGGATCTGTTGTTTCTCCTATTAACATCTAGTAGAGATCCCGGAATATTGTGTAGAAATTCAAAGCCTCCAGAGTCGGATGAAAATTCAGACATTAATACCCCATCCATGGAGTGGGTAAGTGGCAGAACCCCTCATTTGAAACTACCGCGTACAAAGGATGTGATGGTTAATGGCCATGCAGTGAAGGTCAAGTACTGTGATACGTGTTTACTATATCGTCCTCCCCGTGCTTCTCATTGTTCAATCTGCAACAACTGCGTCCAGAGTTTCGATCATCACTGCCCTTGGGTAGGGCAGTGCATTGGCATAGTGAGTTTGTTTTCTTGTGACTTTGAAGCTTAGGATGCTGGTTTTGATTATAACAGTAGTACTGAAAATGATGTCGACAGTTGAACTTTTGCTGTTCTGCATTTTGTTATTAGGTTAGCTTGCACTCTTTCTGAATCCCAACAAACTTGTTCTTTTTGCAGCGAAATTATCGGTTCTTCTTCATGTTTATAGCAACAGCAACCATCTTGTGTATATATGTCTTTGTGTTCTCTTGGGTCAACCTCCTTCAGAAAGACACGAGGGTTTTGAAAGCTATGTCTCAAGATGTGCTCTCCGATTTCCTCATAGTATACTGTTTTGTTGCTGTCTGGTTCGTTGGAGGCTTAACGATCTTCCATTTCTATCTAATTTGCACAAACCAGGTAAGCCGCCACAGTGCTCTTTGCTCTTGTCTCAACATTATCCAAGTTATGCAATATTTAAACTTCTCTTTGAGCCGTTCGGATCCTTGTGTTGTTGCAGACTACCTATGAGAATTTCCGGTATAGATATGATAAGAAGGAGAACCCATACAACAGGGGAGTAACAAAGAACCTCTTGGAAACTTTCTTCACAAAGATCCCACCTTCACTGAATAAATTCCGTTCACTTGTGAAGGAAGATCCTCCTTCTGTGATGCAACCCGTGGCAGAGAATCATGGTGAAGAGTTTAAGGACAGAAGTGATGTCGAAAGGAGAGCCAAGTATTCAGAAGAGCATAGTAGTTATTCTCTTCCTGAGATTCTGAGGAATTTGGATTATGATGATGATGATTCCGAGGAGAACTCAAAGAACTCCCAAGATGGGCCACCTACTTTTGACAACAGTGTCCCTGATGATGATAACGTGAAAGAATCTCTAGAGATCCCTATACCCGATCGGGTTCTTGATACACACGATGATGGCCGCATTGAGGAAATACTAAGAAGCTTGAGGGAATCTTCTCAAGGATCACATGTCAAAGATGGAGAGACTGTTCAAAGCAGCTCCAGATCCCATGAAGATGGAAATATAGACTCTATCCAGAATTCAGCTGCTGGAGATATGGCTATTGATCATCGTGTTAAGAATCACGGTCAAACCTTGCAAATAGGTAGCCCTCGATAACATCAAAGGTAACTTTGGAGAAAGAAAATCTCTTCCCTTGAACTTCTCCTTCAAGAAAAGTCTTGAACCATTGAGCCATGTAATGAATGCAACTACAACTGCTCTCTGGTTCTTTTTACAGATCGAAACCTCTTCTCTAGCTAGAGCACTAAGGAGAAATGGGAAGCTGGGACCCGAGTTCCTGGTTACCATGGCTGCCAACCAAGCTGACTAAGGTGTAGATACATACATACAAGATTTTTAAAGAGCTAGCTGGTTAGCTGCATTTGCTGTAAGCTGTAAATCGACCTCTCTCCATCATGGGTTTGCCTTTGTTGTTTTCTTTTCTTTTGGGGGGTTCTCTTCCTTTCTAATAATGCAGAAACCCTGGAAGGGAAAGTATCCAACTTGTAAGGTGGATTGGGTTTTCTGAGGAGTTTTTGGTAGGATTATTCTTTCTTCTTGAAAATTTTCTTTTTGGGCTTCACTATTGATTGAAGAACCCACTTGATTGATAGTTTATTTGTTTAGTATAAGGTTGGATACTTCTTGAGCTTAATTTAGTTCCTGAGGAAAATTCTTTCTATTACATTGGAGTACAGTTTCTTTATATAGTACTTGTTCTAGGATGGTGACCCTTAGGTGAAGCTAGGGCACTTTCCATGTTTGACCCTATCAACTCTATCAACTCTATCAACTCTAAACATGTTATTTTCATAGGGCACTGATCTAACCCTATCAACTCTAAACATGTTATTTTCATAGGTCACAACTTCTTCTCCTCCTTCCTCACTTTAACAGCTTCATCCCTTCCTTCCCTCTCTGCCTGAGTGCCTGCATATTTGATTTGGTATCCTTTCACTGCATCTCCTTTCTGTCAGCCAAAACGCAAAGAACAAAATATTGGGAGAAGCTCATACCGCAGCATCAACTTGAACAAAATGTGCAAAGTTTAAGGACAGAGTACTCACCAGTTTCTTGAACAATGGCCTAGGTACACCAATCCAATGACCAGAAGGAATGATCTCCCACGGCCGGCTTGCATTGTCGATAACTCCTCCTTTCTTCTCAACGCAGAGTGACGTTGGGTCGTGAACTAGATCGAGCTACTTCAACACCTCAACAGTGAACGATGGCATGAATGGCTCCAACAGACACGCTAAGAAGATACACCAGGCCAGCTGAAGTCCGTACAACAATGTCGCAACAAGCCTTCTGCTGCTGGTCTCTCATGTCCAACTTCCAGCACCGGCTTTCTTGGAGATATGCATTCCCCTGAATCGAAATGTCCATTGCGGTTTTCAGTCCTTGTCTCAATCTAACCATCTCCATTGCTTCCACATATCCATCCACCTTCCTGCCAACGGCATCGCCCAGTTCCTTTGTCAGGAGATGCGATTCCGCGGCACCTGGAGCGATGTCAGGAACAATGGAACTGTACCGTCCTCCTTTGCTTTGAGGTTTTGCAAGAAAACTCAAAACCCTGTTTATGAAGTGTTGGGTCTGGTATTAACCCGCCTAATACGAGCCCAAGCCCACTACAAAACGTCTCACATTGGACCCAACCTATTTTGGGGTCTAGTACACCGGGAGGCGTACACCACCGAGAGAGTACATCGACGAGAGGCGTCCACCCACTGGATGCCTCGGACTCGAGTGGGTAAAAACCCCACTAACTTATGTCGAACTACTTGTAAACTTCACTGTGAAGAGCATGGTACCTGTAAAATAAAAACAACCCCACAATTGGAATCATGAACTTTGGATTGAAGATCACTGCAAGGACTAATAAAGGAGAGGGGGAAAAAAACAGGGGATTTCCTCAGGCAGAGTTCATAATCATAGATACATCCTTGCGCAAATTTCTCTAGGCGTGCAATTCTCCTGCAAGGCTTTGATCTCTGTGGTAGTTCCATACTCGTCGGTTCCACAGATGTACAACGTATTGTAGCCTCGTCGCCGGCAGCATCTAGCAAACACATCGGCGCTCAACACGCCTGAAAACGGGAAACAAGTATTTTTAAGATTCAAAATTGTTCGTCCTCGCCGGCAAATCTACCCAGAAGTCAAATCATAAAATAATTACAGCCGATGATGTTGCCCAGATGAGGTGCATTGTTACAGTAGGGCAGCGCACTGGTTATAAGAACGTTGCGCTCGCCGTCGATCTTTGTCGGCGACGTCCGACGAGAGATTACCCATCGTTTCTCGAGTGGAGGTTCGATCGATTGCCGGTTTCTGAAACTAGCGGAGAATCAACTGAGAGAACGAATATATGATTTGTTGTGTTTCCTTGCAGATAGGATTGTAATGGATTTGATCGTCTCTTGGATAGCAAGTTAGGGTGTTTTCCTATCCCTGAAAGGCGGTTAATTATTGCGCGCCAAGCTGTAACTAATATGGGCCTTCGCCTTCTTATAAGAGCCGCCTCCCTCAAATCAGATGTGGGCCTTAAATTGAGCTACTACGGCCCATGATTTACAGGCTCCGTGTGGGCCTTTTAATAGTTTCACGCCGGGAGAAAGCCCATGTTCTATTTGGTATTTATAGGTAGAGATTTGTTTTTTGCTGATAATAAGATGGGCATTGCCTTGCCTACAATAAGGTGGTCTTCTTGGATAAATTGCAATAAGAAAAGAGTTACTTATAAGGAGCTATATATGGATTATTTGATAGCCGATTTTCAAATGGGATCAAAGTAATTTTTTTTTATTTTTCTTTTATTTGGGTACAAAAATGAATTCGAGTCCCAAATCGATTACAACTTAAACAAAATAGGATAGGAAAAATAAATGGGAAAGATCTTGAAAAATGTATGTGATCATTTGTTCATCCCGAGCTTCTCTTTGGTGGCATCAGCCGCTTCCTGTGCTTTGAGCTGCACTTGAGAACCAGCCTGCACAATAAATAAAAACATATCAAATACAAAACAAAAAGTAATCAATTTCAAAGAGGGAAAAAAAGAAAAAAGAAATAACATGAAACAAATATATATAGTTTTTTTCCATGATTAAACCAACCTCTTGAATTGATTCCTTGGTGGATTGTGCAGCATTGCTAGCTTTCTCCATCAGACCACTAGCTTTCTCCTATAGATCGAAAAAAATATTAAATATACAAAAAACAAATCATTTATAATTTCCAAATGATTAAGTAATAATTTTATATGGGATTGTGGGCAAATCATATCACCTGAGCTTGGCCCTTGGCTTGGCCAGCTTGGTAACTGGTGTTTTGAGAGCTATTCATGATGTAAAGGAAAATAAGTGTTTTAAGATTCTATAGGTAGAACTTGGATTGCAATGCAAATCTCTGTGTGTTTTCCTTTATTTTTCTTGATGAGAAATACCTTGATGTAGGAATAAATTTATATTAATCGGTATATAACTGAGAGTTGACACGTGGAATAATAGTACATCATTAAACTTGAATGTGTTTAGGCTTGAAACTAGGGTTTGGGTTGGAAGGAAATAGTAACTTTGAACGAGTATTGCTATTTTAACTCATCGATTCTCGAATGTATGGAGCATAATACTAACTTTTTCATTTAATCATTTGGTAAGTGATGGGTTTCCCTAAAAATGACATTATACAAACTACGTAAGCTACATAAAACGTAAAAATAATTAAAACTATAGGCGATCACAAAGATAATATTTACAAAATTTTTTTTGTTTTTTTTATAGGATAATTAGGGTCAACCTTCTATGATTTCTTTTATGTAGTCTTAAACTCATTAAACGTTTCGTTATCTACAAAATACCTAGCACGATCATAACTAAGTTTTTATGAAAATAAATCAAATTTCTTAAACGAAAGCGGGGTCACATGGTTCCAAACTAATCCGAGAGCGTTAAACGAAAAAATCTAGATTGTATAGTAGTAGTAGTAGAAGAAGAACAGTAGTTCTTGTGTAACAACATGAACCAACTTTAGAAGTGCCGAGTTGACAATCAATAGATATTGTTTTAAGGTTTCTTTCCAGGTTTAATCGACCAAACATATATCATACATAAATGCTTTAAGTAAACAGAATAGTCTTGATTTGTAGTCGCGTGGGTCATATCGTCCATTCAACTATGTGCAAATGCAAAATTAACAACCTTATAATTATTTCATGATTCAAATGAACAAGGTGTTAATCAATATAAAGGAAATTCCAATCGAGGAGTAGATATAAAGTAAAAAACGATGTATTCTAAAGAATACAAGCATAGTAACAATCCGTAAGGAATGTGGAAGTAATCATGGTTGTCATAGAAACTAAAAAGCAAATTTTGGAAATAGGTGAATCAGTTTTCTGTCTTTACCAGGGAAACAAATGGTGTTCTCATCTCATGCATGGCTCCAAGCTAATCCGAGAGCGTTAAGGAATGGAATTTAGTCGGTTATGCAGAGTGCCGACCTGTAAAAAGAAACTGCAGGCAATTTGAAACCAGAATCAACCCACATTGATACTGTTACTTTGTCCTGATCGATTCTGCAGAACTTAAGCTACAAAGTAGCTGACTTAATTGATTTCATTTGGAATTTGTTATTCCTAAACAGAGATTTTGTTGACCCCTTTTTTATTAGATGTAAATTCTTCTGCTATAAATTTGGCTCTGAACCATTGGGAGGCAAGGCAATCTCATATCAGGGTTCAGTAACCGTATCACTTTCTTCTTCCGCGCTTAAGATCGAAAGATGGCCAAGGCTCTAAGCTTAGTCATATTGTTCTCACTTCTCTGCAAGTTCACAGTTGGTACAGGAAGAGCAACCGATCTTTCTGCTGCCATTAATGCAACAGCACCAGCAGCTGCTCCATTTGCACTCTCTCTCCGTGACGATGAAGATGGTGGCATTTGTGATCTCCTGGTCACAAATCAAGGCTACATCTGTGAAGAGCACACGGTAGAGTAACGATTGAAACGTTTCGTGAACACCGAGAAGCATGAAATGTATTGACATTGGTCTTATGTTATTGTGTTGTTGATATTTTTTGGCAGGTGACAACTTCAGATGGTTACATACTGAGTTTACAGAGGATCCCAGTTGGGATTTCAGGTGGCATAACCCCAGGGAAAAGGACACCAGTCCTTCTGCAACATGGAGTGTTAATGGTAATCGAATGCTATCTGTTTTTTTTTTTTTACTTTGGATCCCACTTCGACGAACTTCTACTAATCACTGGATGTTGATGTGGTTTCAGGATGGGATGACATGGCTGCTTCTGCCTCCAAACCAGTCCCTAGCATTTGTTTTAGCCGATAATGGGTACGATGTATGGATCGCCAACAGTCGAGGAACAAAGTATAGCCGCGGCCATGTCTCACTCACCACAGATGACAAAGTACCCTTCTTTTCTTCCATCTTGATTAGGACTAAAGGTTTGATCTTTTTTGCTGTTTATGAACTGTTTGTTCAATGATGAACATCAGGATTACTGGAATTGGTCATGGGATGAGCTAGTGAACTATGATCTTCCAGCTACAGTTGGTTATGTTCATAACCAAACTGGGGAGAAATTGCATTACATTGGACACTCACAGGGGACTTTGATAGCTCTTGCTTCCTTATCAAAGGGTCTGTTGATGGACAAGCTGAGATCAGCTACATTGCTTTGCCCCATTGCATATCTTGGTCAGATGACCTCCTTCCTGGCCAGAGTTGGTGTTGATCTATTCATTGCTAAGGTAAAATTTTTCTCAAATATGGAGTAGAAAGGTTGGAATTAAAATCTCATGAGAAAATGACTGAATTTGTTATGTTAACAGGATCTGTACTGGTTAGATTTCAAGGAATTCAATCCCAAAGGGTAAGAAGAAAAATTACTGCAGGTTTCGATTTCAAAGTTTACTTGTATAACAAGCAACCACATTGTTGAAAGTTCTGCTATTTTCAATGGAAACAGGATTGATGTTGCAAACTTGCTTCACAACATCTGCAATGTACCTGGTGTAGACTGTGGAGACCTGATGACTGCAATTACAGGTACATAGGCCTTACTTACCTTGAGTAGCAAGCAATCGAAACCGTTCTCATTTGGTGTAAATGACTGCAATTACAGGTCAGAATTGCTGTCTGCAATCTTCCACAGTGGACCTGTTTCTCAAATATGAACCACAACCTACATCAACGAAGAACATGATCCACTTTGCACAGAGTAATTAAATTTCTCTCCTTTTTTTTTTTAACCAACTTCCCATCTCAAAATCTCACACTGCTGTCTCCTAATCTAATGCCTGCAACGTTTATGAAACCAGTGGCGAGGCGAGGAACGTTGGCGATGTACGATTATGACGACGAATACGAGAACATGAACCACTATGGCCAGCCTAGCCCTCCAGAGTACACCATGACAACCATTCCTGACGACTTCCCTCTCTTCTTCAGCTATGGAGGGACCGACACGCTTTCGGACAAAAGCGATGTGAGGATCCTGCTGGATGTGCTGAAGGGCCGTGATGATAGCAATGGCAAGTTCATGACTCAGTATGTGAATAACTACGCTCATGCTGACTATGTCATGGCTGATGCTGCTAAAGAGGAAGTTTATGATCTCGTCCTGACCTTCCTCAAGCTTCATTGAGAGAGTACAGAGAGACGACTTGCTTGTGAATAGAATGAGAATCCCATTTGGTTTCTCTGTTTCTGTGTGTAAACATGTACAAGAAATTTCATTATGTGATCTAGTGAATAACAACCATGTTCTGTTTGATCTCCAATTCAAAAGAATACTTGATAATATTGGAGTTTTATTGGCTTTTCAGCAATGAAAAGAATACTTATATATGATTACATCAATTGCTATACTGCTATTAGTTTTTTTTTTTTATTGTATTGAAATGTGTCTTAGTTGTTCATTCCAAGCTTGTCCTTGGTAGCCTGAGCCGCCTCTTGTGCTTTGGCCTGCATTTGAGAACCGGTCTGCAAGCACATAACACACACATATATCAACATGATCTGCAGTTGGTTGCCACATTGTGACAAAAAATTTAAGCGGAAAACGAATGAGATATTAATATGAAACATTGATGATATTTGTCAAACCTCCTGGACAGATTCCTTAGCAGATTGAGCAGCATTGCTAGCTTTCTCCATCATGCCACTAGCTTTTTCCTAGAAATCAACAAAAAAAAAAAGGTACAAATATTAGTACATTAATCTTAGTATAGTTCTGCAATTACTTGATAAGTATATCGAATTGTTGGATGATTAATTAGTCATCACCTGAACTTGGCCCTTAGCTTGGCCTGCTTGGTAACTGGCATCCTGAGAGTTGTTCATGTTGGAAAAGGAAAGGAGGAGGATATACTTTCTCTATGTTGAATTAGAAGACAATTGTTTTGTTATTGTTGTTGTGGCAAGGACTATGACATAGAGAGGAATTTATAGGTATTGGCGTTCCATCGAATGTTTGACACGTGGCTTCTCAGGGATATATGATAAAATTTTCGACACAAGGTGGAAAATGAGTGGTTGAGAAGCTGAACAACGTTAATGTTTTAAGGCGTGAAATTAGGGTTTTGCTTGTGAAAAAATAGTAAGGGTTGAATGGGTGTTTTTTTCCTAGTTCCAAAATATTTGGAGTTTGGTCGTGAAGCCGAAAAGATAACTAGTGCTAAATTAGAAAATTTTATCGATTGAATCCGATCGTGACATATGGATTAGAGGTATGTCAAAAATATTTGTTTTACTTCTCAATCATTAGTTATTATTTCTGAAACCAAGTTAAATCTGCGTGAAATTGTACAATTAACAGCTAGTTATCAAAATCCATGAGACTAATGGTTCAAAAGGATAATTATTTGCTTCAACTAGCAAGCTATATAGTAAGGGAGATTACAAAATCAAAATGACATGTACGAGCCACATGAAATGTTGAATTTGCAAGATAATTTCTTCTCTCATAGGTGACTAAAATTTAAGGTATTTTAGTGCTATTAAATACTACTTTGCAATTCAAATAACACCAGAATTTTGAATGACAAGCTTTCTATGACAACATTGCAAGTTTGCAACTATATATCGACAACCTAGGGTTTCCTTTACCATATAGATGCTCATTGCAGTGAGTTAACCACTCATGTTTTACGTAGGTGCAACAATTCTACCCTCTCAACTGATGATATGATCGATCGAGAGACTAGAGGTACTACATACTCCAAGTTTTATGAGCTCCATCCTTAAAATGATTCAGTCGGAAATCTGGATCGAACGTAATAATGGCAGGACTTATGGAGATATCCGTAAAAAAAGTTAATGCTCTGATTAACAAATTTTGTTTTGATATTTCTTCATGGAGTCTCATTATATAGAAATGCGAATTAAGATGGTATTTCCATGACGAGTTAATTACCCTCTTGGCGGGTTATAGGTTTCTTTGGAAGATAAAGGGAAAATGAAATGTTGGTATTCTTTTAACCGAGTTCCATCGTAATAGGAAACAAAAAAAATCATATGGTTGGGAATTCCATGGAATTATAACATTTCATATATAAATCATGAAAAAGAAATATATATACTTTGAAAGTAAAATTTAAAAATTTATTGATAGATCGGTCGCTCAAACCACATGAAAACTCTTCATATAATTCGAATACATTTTATGTCTTCTCTTTGGCTATCAATTATATTCCATTGCTAATATTAATTTTTATTATTGTCTTGAAATGCATGCCTATCTTCATTTCTTCATCCCAAGGGCATCCTTGGTGGCCTCAGCTGCTCCTTGTGCTTTAGCCTGCATCTGACCACCAGTCTGCAAGCACATATATAGCAAAACAACATTCACAATTACTTTGTTTTCAAAGTTGCTTCTGTATCCAACCAACGTTGGAGTTAAGAATTTTTCGTAAAAAAAGGAATAAGATGAAAGTGAAACATATATATACCTCTTGGATGGATTCCTTAGCAGATTGAGCAGCATTGCTGGCCTTCTCCATCATCCCGCTAGCTTTCTCCTGAACTTGGCCCTTAGCCTGTCCTGCTTGGTAACTAGCGTTCTCAGAGTTGTTCATGTTGGGAAAATGAGAGTAAGTTATCGAATTGATGAGTAAAGAAAAATTATGTATTGTTTTCCTCTTCTTGTTGTGGAAAAGAGTAAGTTATCGAGAGATATTTATAACGGTTGGCATCCATTTAAACGTTCGACACATGTCGCGGATTGATGAGCGATTATCAAGTTGCATGAGATTAGGGCTTGACTTGAGGAAAAATAGTAATGGTTGAATCTTGAATGGGTGTTTTTTTAGTTCTCATAGTGCTGAATTTAGTAAATTTATTGAGTGAACCAAATGTGACATGATGCTTGAGGTATATCAATTTTATTAGTTTTATTCATCAAGTTTTTGTTGTTTGAATATCAACGTGTTACAATACAAACAATATAGTAGGTGAAACACTATAAAAAATGATAATGCCTATGAAAGTTTGTGCTGTAACCAATCAAGTGGTGAGACTAATGATTCAAAACGCAATATTGACAAAATTAAAACAAAATTATATCGAAAACATTTATATAATCAACCACTTGAGCGGTGTTTTCATCGGTATTGCTCGATTTCACTCAATTTCACGAACAATAGCCACAAGTTCTTCATTAAGATCTATATATACTTATAGGGGAAGGTCTATTACAAAATTATTGTAAATTATATTCAAAATTAAGTTCACATTATTTTCAAACATGTGAAGTTGCAATTCATTAAATAAAAAATTATGAATTGTACATGAATGATAAGAATAAGTCATACCTTTCGTCCGATTCATGATCCAAAATACAAAAGAATGAAGTAACAATGACACATACTTTTTCTTTATCAAATTTTGAAATGGATTCATAACAAAAAAAAGTTATTAAGTCAATTTACTAAAATTTATGGGGTGAAATGTCCAAGTTCATAAAATGATTTAACCACAATTTCAATTTTTTCTCTCTTCAATTCGTGTCCATGAACTCCACGAGGTCCTATGCAGCTCCGCAACTGCTTGGTTAATAAATTGACGAAACATGTGTTTTCACTAGTTGTAAGTCTTGATACTTTCGCAAAATGTTAATCGATATATACGTGAGAATGATATGAATGTTATGATAGGATTGGAAAAAGATTCGTTGACAAACCAAAACTATCGATATGAATGTTCTGATAACAGAGTACAATTTCACAATATATAAACGAACATAGATTATATTTTATGATATAAAAGACAAGTACATCTTGACCATCAAAGCTTGTTGATCTGTGAGCATATGGTGAGCACTCTTCTTGAAAGGTATACATAACCCAACATTTTCAATACTATTTCATTACATTGTGGAATACTAATCAGCCATAGGGTACTTTGAAATGCCATTCTTCATTTATTTGTTCATTCCAAGGGCATCCTTGGTAGCCTCAGCAGCTCCTTGTGCTTTAGCTTGCATTTGACCACCAGCCTGTAAACATTGAAAAATTGTATTAAATCATTTCAATTTCCTCTTTTTCATATGTTGACTCCTAACAATTCAAGTTTTTTTTGGATGAACTGATCTTGCATTTCAAATTATTATGGCAATTTTTTTTATGTAAATGGGTTATATTAATGAAAAATTTAATAATTATGTTTGTGGAAAATAGACCTCTTGTAAAGATTCCTTAGTCGATTGAGCAGCATTGCTGGCTTTTTCCATCATTCCGCTAGCTTTCTCCTGATAAAAATTTTTAAAAAAAGGAGAAAATAACATTCAATTAGCTAAAAAGAAAGTAATACTTTGATAAATATGTGACCTTGGATAATTCATTCCTCACCTGAACTTGGCCCTTAGCTTGACCAGCTTGGTAACTGGCGTTCTGAGAGTTGTTCATGTTGAAAGGGTAGGATGTTTCTTCTTCTTCTTGGTGGAACTCTAAGAAAATAGTTCACAAATATTATTGTTTGTTTGTGTTATTGTTGTTGTTATGGTAAACACCATAAAAACAATGGGAATTTATAGGTATTGGCAATTCATCCAAAGTTGGACATGTTGTAGATCAACGGGTGATTAGGAAGTTATTTTTAATGTTTTTTCGGGCACGAAATAAGGATTATCCTTGCAAAAAATAGTATTTGTTGAATTGGTAATCAATTTGGTACATGGTTGAGTAACAATCTTTCCTGGTCATTGAGTTGATCAAGCGTAATTTGTCTTACCCTTTTTAGTGTTATGGCCAACGAGAGTGGGGTTGTGTGGTACTAATCTGCACTTAGGTTAATCAAACATCATCATAAATTCATTCATTTATTCTAACAAATAGATTTTAAAAGGGTAATGACAATTTTATTGTTGATCACTTGCCTCATCTTGGACTTGGAGTATATTTTACTCAATTAACTATCACATCATTGTAATGTCTTCACTTGAGATGGAATCCTATAAGTTGTTATGGTGCATTGAAGTGTTGTAGGCACCAATGTCTACTATTGTGGTGGTGGGGAGTAAGTAGTCCTGGTCCATATGTTAGAAGTTAGACAACCACCCAACAAAAGCACTAATAAAAGACTATGGTCCCTAGTTGCATCATATGATGTTTTGGGGTCAATTACAGAAATGGTCACTAAATATTGGAGCCATCACAAATCGCTCACTTAATAATTAAATTCTAACAAATCAGTCACTTAAGTTTAAAATAAATAACCAGCGGAACAGTCTCATTTAGCTTGGTCTCCATGTTGTCCAAGTCAGAGTCTCAACTCTCATTTCTTGACAATGAAAAAAGGCCACAAAGTCTACAATTACTCAGCAAGATCACACGTTCCATCTTATCCAGTCTCAAATTAATAACCCGAAACCAACCTAAACACATCTCCCTACCTGAACACTACCATGTTGTTTCCTGTTTCCATTGTGTTGTCCCTTTTATGATGATTTTTTGTGAATTACTTCGATTTAGAAGATTCGAATGGAATATCTAACTGGCGAAAGTTATATTAGTGATTTCAAACTTTAGTAGCAAGCTAATCGAGAAATAAAGTCGATGTATGGTAGTAACATCAAAGTTTAGTGGCTATTTTTGTAATTGACCCGATTAGTTCTGATGGTTATGGTGGACACCTATTCTTCCAATTATGGGGGTTGTGTCAAAATCAAATCAAGATGTAGGGTTAAATTTGTGTATGTTTGTGGGCTTCCTTAAACGATGGCTTCAATTTTGAAGTGTTGGGTCCCTTTCCTCTTCCTTGTGGCTGGCTCATCCCTCCAATCTAAGGTCACTATCCCTATCCCACTCGTTTTCTTCTTCCCCAACTGCTTCTCACTCTGTCTATCTTCATTCATTTTTTTTTTCCGAAGAGCAAATTGTCAAGTTCTTTGAAAGTTAACTTGTGGCTAGTGGGTTGCCTTCATTTCTATCCCCATATTCCATTCTATGGTTTCTCTCTCTTAATCATGTACATGATTAGCCACCACATGATATACAGAGGGATCATAGATTCATAGTTGCCTCTTTCTTGACTTTGAAATTTGCTGTCGACAAGCTAGGTCCTCTGTTAATCCATGTGAATCGACCAAAATTATCGTGTGAGCTTAAAATTTGGATAGAGTTTTGATACGTTTTATTTTACTTTGGATAGATCATTATTGATGAGCTGATAATAATTATCCGGAATGATCGAGTAGATTCATGAGTTTTAAACATGAGATCCTTTGATAAAATGTTCTAGTATCAAGTCTTTTAATCATGTATTTTAACATGTGGTTTATTGGTTAAGTAACAACGTCTTTATTATATCACCATTATAAAAAGAAACCATTAAAAAATATAACCCAAATGCTTATCTTACAAATTATATTTTTTAACTATAATCGCGCCTTCTTTTCATCTACTTTTTAATTTGGTTCTAAAATTCAAATATAAATCAGTTATGGATCCATCACCGAGGCTAACACCTAGTGCGAGACACATGGTTGTTAAATATATATCGAGCTGGTCGGTTGAATCAATTTTGATAATGAACGAAGTTCCAGATCAGCTCTATACAAGCAATTTGGCTTTAAGTCGGGCTTAATAAACCGATCGTTTTTATTGGTGTAATCGAACAACCGAATAAGCTAAACATTTTTTTCCCTAGTTCTCGCAAACACTCCCCTCTCTATTTTACACTAAATCCAAAGTAATTTGAGCCATCTAATTTAACCGATTAAATTTAATAATTCACTTGCTTGACCGAATCAACAATTGAACCGGTTTGATAATCTTAATAAGAAGCCTTGGAATATTTTTATTATTATTTTATGGGGTATCTAATTATCTTTATCTTATATCTAAGCAGGCAGTAGGCGCTAAGGCCAAGCTGGGCCCCACGAAGTAACTGCGACGATAACGTCCATGCACATCCGGCGGGAAACAGTGACGTGGATCTAACGAACCACCATTGCGCGCCACGTCAAAGTTTCATATATAATTGCCCGCCTTTTTTCTGGTCCATGGATATGGCCGATTGGCCGCATCAAAATCAATCCCATGTGGACAAACTTTTCCATCTTTGCCCCCTCCCAAATTTACATTATTGAATTCAAATTAAGGTTGAAATGGAAGTCCCATTTCTTCACAATCCACGTGTGCTAACCCCCTCATATTATTTTAACGAATGACTTGATAAGCAAGGGATTGTGGAATGATAATAGAATCGTTACATTTGGTCGCCTTAAAATACTGTTGGTTCATTTTACCAAAGAATAACATGAAAATTTCCTTGTACTTGTACACGAACAAAGTGTTAAAATATGAGGGTCTTTATATTCATTTAATTTGAGTCTTCCTAACATGAACAAAGTGTAAAATATGTCGGTCTTTATAGTGGGTTGGTTGTTGGAATAGTTAGATTGAGTTTTTCTAATTATTACGATTCAATCCTGACAATTCGTATGTTAAAATTGATTTATTTAAATTTTTAAAGCATCTAAAAATCGATATAACTCGTGAGGGCTTCGATTGCCACCGAAGTGGGGTGCAAGAGTGTTGTGAATAAATTTAAACATCCTGAGTCCCTAATTTATCGAGATTTAACTCTGATGTCGTTACGAAGTTGGATTGAGTAGAAACTTTTTATTTAAAATATATAAATCAGATAAAATGAGTATTTTTATGTTACATGGTAAGATTTATGTCACTATTTTATTATTCGACGAGTTAAACTATACTATTTATATAAAAAAATTTAAGAGAGATATACAAAGTTATTGGTATTTTAGTCTATAATTTGTTTAAAGTTTAAAAGTTTAGTGAAGATTCATCAGTAACCCCAAAAAGTTATCCCCAAAAAATAAAACAGAATAAGACTCTCTTTTTGTCCCCTTCACTTCTATTTATTGTATTCAGCCATTTCCAGCCACTCCAGTTTTCAAGAGCACCAAGAAAACAACGGCTGACTGTTAGCGAGAGAGAGAAAGAGCTCCGAGCCCATTGGTACGCAGCAAAAACAATGGCGGTCAGGACAAATCTAACGAAGAACCTTTTCTCAGCTCTCAGCGGCAGGATCCTCAACCCCCTGAGATCCGGACACGGCGGATATTCCAATCCGCTTCCAGCTGCGGCGGCGGCCTATTCCTCTTCCGCCGCTGCCGCTCTGGAAACTGCAGGGCCCGAGCCGTTCGACCTTTTGGGAGTGAAAGAGTACGAGGATTACAGGAGGTCTCTGTACGGCGACGTCACCCACAAGGCTCTTCTTGTTGACGCCGTCGGCACTCTCGTCGTTCCTTCTCAGCCCATGGCTCAGGTGAGAAGAATTGAGGCTTCCTGATTTCTCTGCTTCCATTTCTGCAATCTTTACGATTTCGATTGTTTCGAGCTTCTTGGTGATCAAATTGTTTCTGGGTTTTATTTGTTTAATTGGTTCCATAGATATACAAACAAATTGGGGAGAAATATGGAGTGAATTGCTCGGAAGATGAGATACTGAATCGATACAGAAGGGCTTATGAACAGCCCTGGGGTAGATCTCGTCTCAGGTATGTGAGTGAGTGTGGAACTTCAGCTATGGCGGCCGGCTATTTGGTTTTCTTTGTTGTTTCCCCTGTTTGTTTCAGTATTTGGAGCTATCTGTTGTTGATAATACTAGGGATCGCAATGCAATTTCCATTTGAAACTTTTGAAGTTTTGTCTTTTACCCTTTTTTGAGCTTTTGTCTCAGCATCAGGTTCCTTGAATGCTTTGTCATTCTGGTTCCTTTTTAGAGTGGTTTGAGAAAGAAACTGCAGTTGGGTCGAATCAGGCAAGCACATGGCCAGTTGGGTAGTACCAGGCAAAGCTTTATTCCCATCTTATGTCAATTGGAAGTCCTCTTTTTGAGGGGGAAAATGTGGCCTTCAATCTATTGAAAGAAAGAATCCATGGTGGTTACTCCTTTGAACTGTTTAACACCTTAGGCTGGCCCATTTTACCTGTTAATGGTGGTTAGCTGGTCCCAGATATGTCCAAACCTTCCTTTTTGGTTGCTTGTGCTGTGAAAATTGCACCTTGTGTGAATTCATTTTCTTGTTGATCAATGTAACACATGAGGGGGTTTTCGTTATGATATGCAGATATGTTAGTGATGGCAAACCATTCTGGCAACATATAGTCACTTCTTCTACAGGCTGCTCGGATCTACAGTACTTCGAGGAACTTTATAACTACTACACAACTGACAAGGTTTAGCTCTTCCATGGCTGCAAGCTTTAACATTTAGCATAAATTGTATGTTGCCATGGTGTATTAACCTTGATTCTCTTATTGTATTTAGGCTTGGCACCTCAATGACCCTGAGGCTGGGAAAATATTCGATGCCATTAGGAAAGCTGGTGTTAAGGTGGCTATTGTGTCAAATTTCGACACTCGGCTCAGACCTGTCTTGCGTGCCTTAAACTGTGAGCAGTGGTTCGATGCCGTAGCAGTTTCAGCTGAAGTAAGTACACTCCCAAGCTCCTACATACCAAAAACTAAGATGTAATAGAAATCAGAAGGGTATAGAGTCTTCAGTTTGTTGACAAAATCATTCACTGCTGTATATCTCCATTAACAGGTGGCTGCGGAGAAGCCTAATCCGACGATATTTCTGAAAGCATGTGAGCTCTTGGGAGTTAAACCTGAGGATGCTGTTCACGTTGGGGATGACCGTAGGAACGATATATGGGGAGCAAGGGATGCTGGTTGTGATGCATGGCTTTGGGGGAGCGACGTACGATCCTTCAAGGAGGTGAGTCTTCATTATCAAATTTTGCGCACAGTAAAATTGGATCACTTGGCTAAACATATATAGTCATCTTGATACAGTTTCATATATACAATGACCTGCGAACTATACGAGGCATACTGTAGCATGTTCTAGCTACCCTTAACATAGCAAGGATGGCCTGAACTAACACATATCAACACGTTGGTTTTGTATCATCCTTGGTTTGAGTTTGTCGATCTTGTCTCTGTTTTCAGGTTGCACGAAGGATCGGGGTGCGAGTCTAGTCAGTAATCTGCGTGACATGGGGAGGTCACAAATGTACCGGAGGGTTTGCCTTTAGCTACTGCCTTTTAGTCCGTCTTTTCTGTTCATAGGAAGCAGCTTGTTTGTTGTACAGCGCCCGTGTGTTGTTCTCTGTTCTTGTAGTGTATAGATGTTTGCAGGCAAGCAGAAGTTGGAAGGAGGCTTATTGACGTTGTTGTTGTAGACCTGAAGGCAGAGACTGTTGCACAACCTTTGAATAAAATAGGGCCTTATGTATGGACTATGGTGTAAGTTGAAAACTAGTTTCTCTGGTTGGCTAGTAGCTAGTTAATATTTATGTATGGTGTAGGATCCCATCATTAAGCCCCAAACTTAAGGAGTTTTTAAACTTTGGCTGGCCAATAGGAAGAGGAGAAAGAAGGGAGGAAGGTAACAAACTAGAAGGGCAAATGAGTAGTTTGCTTAATTATTTAATGCTATCAATAATAATATTTATTACTGAAAAAATGAAAAAATTCTCAATTCATTAAAACCTGACATTATCTGTTAGTAAATACTATTGCAAAACCTTAACAATGAAAATTCAAAATAAAAAAAATGCTCACACTTTCTGTGATGATATTCCCCCTAATTTTTCTAGATTTGTTGAAATGTATTCAGTTGCAGTTTTTATAATTTTGTGCGTGAAGGTTTTCCAATTTTGAGATAATATTTATTGAATTAATGTTTTTAGAAGTTTTGGGTACCAAAATGTAATTAAAAGCAAGTAAAATTTTGGGTTAGATGGATCGAAAAGATATTATATTTGGATTTTGAAGGCAGCAGATCACGCAGTCGGCCTGAGGCTATTCTCCAACGATGATTGAGTCCATTAAGCACCGATTTGGGCGGATTTATTCCGGGTCAATTTTTGGCAGATTCCAAAGGGGTACCATCACAGATTTCGGGCGATTTATCCGAAATGCCATTTTCTTTCGATTCTGGAGGCTACAGATCACGGAATCAGGCCGAGGCTATTCTCCACCGATAATGAAGTCTATTGATCCTATTCTCCACGGATGATAAGTCCGTTAAGCATCAATTTGGGCCAATTTATTTTCGGATGACATTTTCGTAATTTCTCGAGCGACGAAAGGCAATTTTCTTTGGATATTGAAGGCTACAGATCACGGATTCGCCCTGAGGCTATTCACCAACGATGATTGAGTCCATTAAGCACCGATTTGGGCAGATTTATTCCGGGTGAATTTTTGGCAGATTCCAAAGAGGTACCATCACAGATTTCGGGCGATTTATCCGAAATGTCATTTTCTTTCAATTCTGGAGGCTACAGATCACGGAATCAGGCCGAGGCTATTCTCCACCAATAATGAAGTTTATTGATCCTATTCTCTAGGGATGATAAGTCCGTTAAGCATCAATTTGGGAAAATTTATTTTCGGATGACATTTTCGTAATTTCTTGAGCGACGAAAGGCCATTTTCTTTGGATATTGAAGGCTACAGATCACGGATTCGCCCTGAGACTATTCTCCAACGATGATTGAGTCCATTAAGCACCGATTTGGGCAGATTTATTCCGGGTGAATTTTTGGCAGATTCCAAAGGGGTACCATCACAGATTTCGGGCGATTTATCGGAAATGCCATTTTCTTTCGATTCTGGAGGCTACAGATCACGGAATCAGGCCGAGGCTATTCTCCACCGATAATGAAGTCTATTGATCCTATTCACCACGGATGATAAGTCCGTTAAGCATCAATTTGGGCCAATTTATTTTCTGATGGCATTTTCGTAATTTCTCGAGTGACGAAAGGCCATTTTCTTTGGATATTGAAGGCTACAGATCACGGATTCGCCCTGAGGCTATTCTCCAACGATGATTGAGTCCATTAAGCACCGATTTGGGCAGATTTATTCCGGGTGAATTTTTGGCAGATTCCAAAGGGGTAACATCACAGATTTTGGGCGATTTATCCGAAATGTCATTTTCTTTCGATTCTGGAGGCTACAGATCACGGAATCAGGACGAGGCTATTCTCCACCGATAATGAAGTCTATTGATCCTATTCTCCAAGGATGATAAGTCCGTTAAGCATCAATTTGGGCCAATTTATTTTCTGATGGCATTTTCGTAATTTCTTGAGCGACGAAAGGCCATTTTCTTTGGATATTGAAGGTTACAGATCACGGATTCGCCCTGAGGCTATTCTCCAACGATGATTGAGTCCATTAAGCACCGATTTGGGCTGATTTATTCCGGGTGAATTTTTGGCAGATTCCAAAGGGGTAACATCACAGATTTTGTGCGATTTATCCGAAATGCCATTTTCTTTCGATTGTGGAGGCTACTGATCACGGAATCAAGCCGAGGCTATTCTCCACCGATAATGAAGTCTATTGATCCTATTCTCCAAGGATGATAAGTCCGTTAAGCATCAATTTGGGCCAATTTATTTTCTGATGGCATTTTCGTAATTTCTTGAGCGACGAAAGGCCATTTTCTTTGGATATTGAAGGCTACAGATCACGGATTCGCCCTGAGGCTATTCTCCAACGATGATTGAGTCCATTAAGCACCGATTTGGGCAGATTTATTCGGGTGAATTTTTGGCAGATTCCAAAGGGGTACCATCACAGATTTCGGGCGATTTATCCGAAATGCCATTTTCTTTCGATTCTGGAGGCTACAGATCACGGAATCAGGCCGAGGCTATTCTCCACCGATAATGAAGTCTATTGATCCTATTCTCCATGGATGATAAGTCCGTTAAGCATCAATTTGGTAAATTTTATTTTCGGATGGCATTTTCATTATTTCTTGAGCGACGAAAGGTCATTTTCTTAGGATATTGAAGGCTACAGATCACGGATTCGCCCCGAGGCTATTCTCCAACGATGATTGAGTCCATTAAGCACCGATTTAGGCAGATTTATTCCGGTTCAATTTTTGGCAGATTCCAAAGGGGTACAATCACATATTTCGGGCGATTTATCCGAAATGCCATTTTCTTTCGATTCTGGAGGCTACAGATCACGGAATCAGGCCGAGGCTATTCTCCAACGATAATGAAGTTTATTGATCCTATTCTCTAGGGATGATAAGTCCGTTAAGCATCAATTTTGGGGGAAAAAAATTCGGATGGCATTTTCTTAATTTCTTGAGCGACGAAAGGCCATTTTCTTTGGATATTGAAGGCTACAGATCACGGATTCGCCCTGAGGCTATTTTCCAACGATGATTGAGTCCATTAAGCACCGATTTAGGCAGATTTATTCCGGGTGAATTTTTGGCAGATTCCAAAGGGGTACCATCACAGATTTCGGGCGATTTATCCGAAAATGCCATTTTCTTTCGATTCTGGAGGCTACAGATCACAGAATCAGGCCTAGGCTATTCTCCACCGATAATGAAGTTTATTGATCCTATTCTCTGGGGATGATAAGTCAGTTAAGCATCAATTTGGGGGAAAAAAATTTCTGATGGCATTTTCGTAATTTCTTGAGCGGCGAAAGGCCATTTTCTTTGGATATTGAATGCTACAGATCACGGATTCGCCCTGAGGCTATTCTCCAACGATGATTGAGTCCATTAAGCACCGATTTGGGCAGATTTATTCCGGGTGAATTTTTGGCAGATTCCAAAGGGGTACCATCACAGATTTCGGGCGATTTATCCGAAATGCCATTTTCTTTCGATTCTGGAGGCTACAGATCACGGAATCAGGCCTAGGCTATTCTCTACCGATAATGAAGTCTATTGATCCTATTCTCTAGGGATGATAAGTCCGTTAAGCATCAATTTGAGCCAATTTATTTTCGTATGACATTTTCGTAATTGCTTGGCGACGAAAGGCCATTTTCTTTGGATATTGAAGGCTACAGATCACGGATTCCTCCTGAGGCTATTCTCCAACGATGATTGAGTCCATTAAGCACCGATTTGGCCAGATTTATTCCGGGTGAATTTTTGGCAGATTCCAAAGGGGTACAATCACATATTTCGGGCGATTTATCCGAAATGCCATTTTATTTCGATTCTAGAGGCTACAAATCACGGAATCAGGCCGAGGCTATTCTCCACCGATAATGAAGTTTATTGATCTTATTCTCTAGGGATGATAAGTCCGTTAAGCATCAATTTGGGAAAATTTATTTTCGGATGGCATTTTCATTATTTCTTGAGCGACGAAAGGTCATTTTCTTAGGATATTGAAGGCTACAGATCACGGATTCGCCCTGAGGCTGTTCTCCAACGATGATTGAGTCCATTAAGCACCGATTTGGGCAGATTTATTCCGTGTCAATTTTTAGCAGATTCCAAAGGGGTACAATCACATATTTCGGGCGATTTATCCGAAATGCCATTTTCTTTCGATTCTGGAGGCTACAGATCACGGAATCAGGCCGAGGCTATTCTCCACCGATAATGAAGTTTATTGATCTTATTCTCTAGGGATGATAAGTCCGTTAAGCATCAATTTGGGAAAATTTATTTTCGGATGGCATTTTCATTATTTCTTGAGCGACGAAAGGTCATTTTCTTAGGATATTGAAGGCTACAGATCACGGATTCCTCCTGAGGCTATTCTCCAACGATGATTGAGTCCATTAAGCACCGATTTGGGCAGATTTATTCCGGGTGAATTTTTGGCAGATTCCAAAGGGGTACAATCACATATTTCGGGCGATTTATCCGAAATGCCATTTTCTTTCGATTCTGGAGGCTACAGATCACGGAATCAGGCCGAGGCTATTCTCCAACGATAATGAAGTTTATTGATCCTATTCTCTAGGGATGATAAGTCCGTTAAGCATCAATTTTGGGGGAAAAAAATTCGGATGGCATTTTCGTAATTTCTTGAGCGACGAAAGGCCATTTTCTTTGGATATTGAAGGCTACAGATCACGGATTCGCCCTGAGGCTATTTTCCAACGATGATTGAGTCCATTAAGCACCGATTTAGGCAGATTTATTCCGGGTGAATTTTTGGCAGATTCCAAAGGTGTACCATCACAGATTTCGGGCGATTTATCCGAAAATGCCATTTTCTTTCGATTCTGGAGGCTACAGATCACAGAATCAGGCCTAGGCTATTCTCCACCGATAATGAAGTCTATTGATCCTATTCTCTAGGGATGATAAGTCCGTTAAGCATCAATTTGGGCCAATTTATTTTCGTATGACATTTTCGTAATTGCTTGGCGACGAAAGGCCATTTTCTTTGGATATTGAAGGCTACAGATCACGGATTCTGCCTGAGGCTATTCTCCAACGATGATTGAGTCCATTAAGCACCGATTTGGGCGGATTTATTCCGGGTGAATTTTTGGCAAATTCCAAAGGGGTACCATCACAGATTTCGGGCGATTTATCCGAAATGCCATTTTCTTTCGATTCTGGAGGCTACAGATCACGGAATCAAGCCGAGGCTATTCTCCACCGATAATGAAGTCTATTGATCATATTCTCCACGGATGATAAGTCCGTTAAGCATCAATTTTGGCCAATTTATTTTTGGATGGCATTTTCGTAATTTCTTGAGCGACGAAAGGCCATTTTCTTTGGATATTGAAGGCTACAGATCACGGATTCGCCCTGAGGCTATTCTCCAACGATGATTGAGTCCATTAAGCACCGATTTGGGCAGATTTATTCCGGGTTAATTTTTGGCAGATTCCAAAGGGGTACCATCACAGATTTCGGGCGATTTATCCGAAATGCCATTTTCTTTCGATTCTAGAGGCTACAGATCACGGAATCAGGCCTAGGCTATTCTCCACCGATAATGAAGTTAATTGATCCTATTCTCTAGGGATGATAAGTCCGTTAAGCATCATTTTGGGAAAATATATTTTCGGATGGCATTTTCATAATTTCTTGAGCGTTGAAAGGCCATTTTCTTTTGAAAATGAAGGCTACAGATCACGGATTCGCCCTGAGGCTATTCTCCAACGATGTTTGAGTCCATTAAGCACCGATTTGGGCAGATTTATTCTGGGTGAATTTTTGGCAGATTCCAAAGGGGTAACATCAAAGATTTTGGACGATTTATCCGAAAATGCCATTTTCTTTCGATTCTGGAGGCTACTGATCACGGAATTAAGCCGAGGCTATTCTCCACCGATAATGAAGTCTATTGATCCTATTCTCCAAGGATGATAAGTCCGTTAAGCATCAATTTGGGCCAATTTATTTTCTGATGGCATTTTCGTAATTTCTTGAGCGACGAAAGGCCATTTTCTTTGGATATTGAAGGCTACAGATCACGGATTCGCCCTGAGGCTATTCTCCAACGATGATTGAGTCCATTAAGCACCGATTTGGGCAGATTTATTCCGGGTGAATTTTTGGCAAATTCCAAAGGGGTACCATCATAGATTTCGGGCGATTTATCCGAAATGCCATTTTCTTTCGATTCTGGAGGCTACAGATCACGGAATCAAGCCGAGGCTATTCTCCACCGATAATGAAGTCTATTGATCCTATTCTCCACGGATGATAAGTCCGTTAAGCATCAATTTGGGCCAATTTATTTTTTGATGGCATTTTCGTAATTTCTTGAGCGACGAAAGGCCATTTTCTTTCGATATTGAAGGCTACAGATCACGGATTCGCCCTGAGCCTATTCTCCAACGATGATTGAGTCCATTAAGCACCGATTTGGGCAGATTTATTCCGGGTGAATTTTTGGCAGATTCCAAAGGGGAATCACAGATTTCGGGCGATTTATCCGAAATGCCATTTTCTTTCGATTCTGGAGGCTACGGATCACGGAATCAGGCCGAGGCTATTCTCCACCGATAATGAAGTTAATTGATCCTATTCTCTAGGGATGATAAGTCCGTTAAGCATCATTTTGGGAAAATATATTTTCGGATGGCATTTTCGTAATTTCTTGAGCGTTGAAATGCCATTTTCTTTGGATATTGAAGGCTACAGATCACGGATTCGCCCTGAGGCTATTCTCCAACGATGTTTGAGTCCATTAAGAACCGATTTGGGCAGATTTATTCCGGGTGAATTTTTGGCAGATTCCAAAGGGGTACCATCACAGATTTCGCGCGATGTATCCGAAAATGCCATTTTCTTTCGATTCTGGAGGCTACAGATCACGGAATCAGGCCTAGGCTATTCTCCACCGATAATGATGTTTATTGATCCTATTCTCTAGGGATGATAAGTCCGTTAAGAAACAATTTGGGAAAATTTATTTTCGGATGGCATTTTCGTAATTTCTTGAGCGACGAAAGACCATTTTCTTTGGATATTGAATGCTACAGATTACGGATTCGCCCTGAGGCTATTCTCCAACGATGATTGTGTCCATTAAGCACCGATTTGGGCAGATTTATTCCGGTGAATTTTTGGCAGATTCCAAAGGTGTAACATCACAGATTTTGGGCGATTTATCCGAAATGCCATTTTCTTTCGATTCTGGAGGCTACTGATCACGGAATCAGGCCGAGGCTATTCTCCACCGATAATGAAATTTATTGATCCTATTCTCTAGGGATGACAAGTCCGTTAATCATCAATTTGGGAAAAGTTATTTTCGGATGGCATTTTCGTATTTTCTTGAGCGACGAAAGGCCATTTTCTTTGGATATTGAAGGCTACAGATCACGGATTCGCCCTGAGGCTATTCTCCAACGATGATTGAGTCCATTAACCACCGATTTGGGCAGATTTATTCCTGGTGAATTTTTGGCAGATTCCAAAGGGGTACCATCACAGATTTCGGGCGATTTATCCGAAATGCCATTTTCTTTCTATTCTGGAGGCTACAGATCACGGAATCAGGCCTAGGCGATTCTCCACCGATAATGAAGTCTATTGATCCTATTCTCTAGGGATGATAAGTCCGTTAAGCATCAATTTGGGCCAATTTATTTTCGGATGGCATTTTCGTAATTTCTTGAGCGACGAAAAGCCATTTTCTTTAGATATTGAAGGCTACAGATCACGGATTCGCGCTGAGGCTATTCTCCAACGATGATTGAGTCCATTAAGCACCGATTTGGGCAGATTAATTCCGGGTGAATTTTTGGCAGATTCCAAAGGGGTACCATCACAGATTTCGGGCGATTTATCCGAAATGCCATTTTCTTTCGATTCTGGAGGCTACAGATTACTGAATCAGGTCTAGGCTATTCTGCACCGATAATGAAGTCTATTGATCCCATTCTCTAGGGATGATAAGTCCGTTAAGCATCAATTTGGGCCAATTTATTTTCGGATGGCATTTTCATAATTTCTTGAGCGACGAAAGGCTATTTTCTTAGGATATTGAAGGCTACAGATCACGGATTCGCCCTGAGGCTATTCTCCAACGATGATTGAGTACATTAAGCACCGATTTGGGCAGATTTATTCCTGATCAATTTTTGGCAGATTCCAAAGGGGTACCATCACAGCTTTCGGGCGATTTATCCGAAATGCCATTTTCTTTCGATTCTGGAGGCTACAGATCACGGAATCAGGCCCAGGCTATTTTCCAACGATAATGAAGTTTATTGATCCTATTCTCTAGGGATGATAAGTCCGTTAAGCATCAATTTTGGGGGGGAAAAATCGGATGGCATTTTCGTAATTTCTTGAGCGACGAAAGGCCATTTTCTTTGGATATTGAAGGCTACAGATCACGGATTCGCCCTGAGGCTATACTCCAACGATGATTGAGTCCATTAAGCACCGATTTGGGCAGATTTATTCCGGGTGAATTTTTGGCAGATTCCAAAGGGGTACCATCACAGATTTCGGGCGATTTATCCGAAATGCCATTTTCTTTCGATTCTGGAGGCTACAGATCACGGAATCAGGCCTAGGCTATTCTCCACCGATAATGAAGTCTATTGATCCTATTCTCTAGGGATGATAAGTCCGTTAAGCATCAATTTGGGCCAATTTATTTTCGTATGACATTTTCGTAATTTCTTGGCGACGAAAGGCCATTTTCTTTGGATATTGAAGGCTACAGATCACGGATTCCGCCTGAGGCTATTCTCCAACGATGATTGAGTCCATTAAGCACCGATTTGGGCGGATTTATTTCGGGTCAATATTTGGCAGATTCCAAAGGGGGTACCATCACAGATTTAGGGCGATTTATCCGAAATGCCATTTTCTTTCGATTCTGGAGGCTACAGATCACGAAATCAAGCAGAAGCTATTCTCCACCGATAATGAAGTCTATTGATCCTATTCTCCACGGATGATAAGTCCGTTAAGCATCAATTTGGGTCAATTTATTTTCGGATGGCATTTTCGTCATTTCTTGAGCGACGAAAGGCCATTTTCTTTGGATATTGAATGCTACAGATCACGGATTCGCCCTGAGGCTATTCTCCAACGATGATTGAGTCCATTAATCACCGATTTGGGCAGATTTATTCCGGGTGAATTTTTGGCAGATTCCAAAGGGGTACCATCACAGATTTCGGGCGATTTATCCGAAATGCCATTTTCTTTCGATTCTGGAGGCTACAGATCACGGAATCAAGCCGAGGCTATTCTCCACCGATAATGAAGTCTATTGATCCTATTCTCCACGGATGATAAGTCCGTTAAGCATCAATTTGGAAAAATGTATTTTCGGATGACATTTTCGTAATTTCTTGAGCGACGAAAGGCCATTTTCTTTGGATATTGAATACTACAGATCACGGATTCGCCCTGAGGCTATTCTCCAACGATGATTGAGTCCATTAAGCACCGATTTGGGCAGATTTATTCCGGGTTAATTTTTGGCAGATTCCAAAGAGAAACCATCACAGATTTTGGGCGATTTTTCCGAAATGCCATTTTCTTTCGATTCTCGAGGCTACAGATCACGGAATCAAGCCGAGGCTATTCTCCACCGATAATGATGTCTATTGATCCTATTCTCCATGGATGATAAGTCCGTTAAGCATCAATTTGGGAAAATTTATTTTCGGATGGCATTTTCGTATTTTCTTGAGCGACGAAAGGCCATTTTCTTTGGATATTGAATGCTACAGATCACGGATTCGCCCTGAGGCTATTCTCCAACAATGATTGAGTCCATAAAGCACCGATTTGAGCAGATTTATTCCGGGTGAATTTTTGGCAGATTCCAAAGGGGTACCATCACAGATTTGGGGCGATTTATCCTAAATGCCATTTTCTTTCGATTCTGGAGGCTACAGATCACGGAATCAGGTCTAGGCTATTCTCCACCGATAATGAAGTCTATTGATCCTATTCTCTAGGGATGATAAGTCCGTTAAGCATCAATTTGGGCCAATTTATTTTCGTATGACATTTTCGTAATTTCTTGGCGACGAAAGGCCATTTTCTTTGGATATTGAAGGCTACAGATCACGGATTCCGCCTGAGGCTATTCTCCAACGATGATTGAGTCCATTAAGCACCGATTTGGGCGGATTTATTCCGGGTTAATTTTTGGCAGATTCCAAAGGGGTACCATCACAGATTTCGGGCGATTTATCCGAAATGCCATTTTCTTTCGATTCTGGAGGCTACAGATCACGGAATCAAGCCGAGGCTATTCTCCACCGATAATGAAGTCTATTGATCCTATTCTCCACGGATGATAAGTCCGTTAAGCATCAATTTGGGTCAATTTATTTTCGGATGGCATTTTCGTAATTTCTTGAGCGACGAAAGGCCATTTTCTTTGGATATTGGAGGCTATAGATCATGGATTCGCCCTGAGGATATTCTCCAATGATGATTGAGTCCATTAAGCACCGATTTGGGCGGACAAATTTCCGGGTGAATTTTTGGCATATTCCAAAGGGGTACCATCACAGATTTCGGGCGATTTATCAGAAATGCCATTTTCTTTCGATTCTGGAGGCTCCAGATCACGGAATCAGGCCGAGGCTATTCTCCACCGATAATGAAGTTTATTGATCCTATTCTCTAGGGATGATAAGTCCGTTAAGCATCAATTTTGGGGGGAAAAAATTCGGATGGCATTTTCGTAATTTCTTGAGCGACGAAAGGCCATTTTCTTTGGATATTGAAGGCTACAGATCACGGATTCGCCCTGAGGCTATTCTCCAACGATGATTGAGTCCATTAAGCACCGATTTGGGAGGATTTATTTCTGGTCAATTTTTGGCAGATTCCAAAGGGGTACCATCACAGATTTCGGGCGATTTATCCGAAAATGCCATTTTCTTTCGATTCTGGAGGCTACATATCACAAAATCAGGCCTAGGCTATTCTCCACCGATAATGAAGTTTATTGATCCTATTCTCTTGGGATGATAAGTCCGTTAAGCATCAATTTGGGAAAATTTATTTTCAGATGGCATTTTCGTAATTTCTTGAGCGACGAAAGACCATTTTCTTTGGATATTGAAGGCTACAGATCACGGATTCGCCCTGAGGCTATTCTCCAACGATGATTGAGTCCATTAAGCACCGATTTGGGCAGATTTATTCCGGGTAAATTTTTGGCAGATTCCAAAGGGGTACATCACAGATTTCGGGCGATTTATCCGAAATGCCATTTTCTTTCGATTCTGGAGGCTACAGATCACGGAATCAGGCCTAGGCTATTCTCCACCGATAATGAAGTCTATTGATCCTATTCTCTAGGAATGATAAGTCCGTTAAGCATCAATTTGGGCCAATTTATTTTCGTATGACATTTTCGTAATTTCTTGGCGACGAAAGGCCATTTTCTTTGGATAATGAAGGCTACAGATCACGGATTCCGCCTGAGGCTATTCTCCAACGATGATTGAGTCCATTAAGCACCGATTTGGGCGGATTTATTCCGGGTCAATTTTTTGCAGATTCCAAAGGGGTACCATCACAGATTTCGGGCGATTTATCCGAAATGCCATTTTCTTTCAATTCTGGAGGCTACAGATCACGGAATCAAGCCGAGGCTATTCTCCACCGATAATGAAGTCTATTGATCCTATTCTCCACGGATGATAAGTCCGTTAAGAATCAATTTGGGCCAATTTATTTTCGGATGGCATTTTCGTAATTTCTTGAGCGACGAAAGGCCATTTTCTTTGGATATTGAAGGCTACAGATCACAGATTCGCCCTGAGGCTATTCTCCCACGATGATTGAGTCCATTAAGCACCGATTTGGGAATATTTATTCCGGGTGAATTTTTGGCAGATTCCAAAGGGGTACCATCACAGATTTCGGGCGATTTATCCGAAATGCCATTTTCTTTCGATTCTGGAGGCTACAGATCACGGATCCAGCCCTAGGCTATTCTCCACCGATAATGAAGTCTATTGATCCTATTCTCTAGGAATGATAAGTTAGTTAAGCATCAATTTGGGCGAATATTTATTTTCGGATGGCATTTTCGTAATTTCTTGAGCGACGAAATGCCATTTTCTTTGGATATTGAAGGCTACAGATCACGGATTCGCCCTGAGGCTATTCTCCAACGATGATTGAGTCCATTAAGCACCGATTTGGGCTGATTTATTCCGGGTGAATTTTTGGCAGATTCCAAAGGGGTACCATCACAGATTTCGGGCGATTTATCCGAAATGCCATTTCCTTTCGATTCTGGAGGCTACAGATCACGGAATCAGGCCGAGGCTATTCTCCACCGATAATGAAGTCTATTGATCCTATTCTCTAGGGATGAAAAGTCCGTTAAGCATCAATTTAAGCCTATTTATTGTCGGATGACATTTTCGTAATTTCTTGGCGGCGAAAGGCCATTTTCTTAGGATATTGAAGGCTACAGATCACGGATTCCGCCTGAGGCTATTCTCCAACGATGATTGAGTCCATTATGCACCTATTTGGGCGGATTTATTCCGGGTCAATTTTTGGCAGATTCCAAAAGGGTACCATCACAGATTTCAGGCGATTTATTCGAAATGCCATTTTCTTTCGATTCTGGAGGCTACAGATCACGGAATCAGGCCGAGGCTATTCTCCACCGAAAATGAAGTTTATTGATCCTATTCTCTAGGGATGATAAGTCCGTTAATCATCAATTTGGGAAAATTTATTTTCGGATGGCATTTTCGTAATTTCTTGAGCGACGAAAGGGCATTTTCTTTGGATATTGAAGGCTACAGATCACGGATTCACCCTGAGGCTATTCTCCAACGATGATTGAGTCCATTAAGCACCGATTTGGGCAGATTTATTTCGGGTGAATTTTTGGCAGATTCCAAAGGGGTACCATCACAGATTTCGGGCGATTTATCCGAAATGCCGTTTTCTTTCGATTCTGGAGGCTACAGATCACGGAATCAGGTCTAGGCTATTCTCCACCGATAATGAAGTCTATTGATCCTATTCTCTAGGGATGATAAGTCCGTTAAGCATCAATTTGGGCCAATTTTTTTCAGATTGCATTTTCGTAATTTCTTGAGCGACGAAAGGCCATTTTCTTTGGATATTGAAGGCTACAGATCACGGATTCGCCCTGAGGCTATTCTCCAATGATAATTGAGTCCATTAAGCACCGATTTGGGCGGATTTATTTCGGGTCAATTTTTGGCAGATTCCAAAGTGGTACCATCACAGATTTAGGGCGATTTATCCGAAATGCCATTTTCTTTCGATTCTGGAGGCTACAGATCACGGAATCAAGGCGAGGCTATTCTCCACCGGTAATGAAGTCTATTGATCCTATTCTCTAGGGATGATAAGTCCGTTAAGCATCAATTTGGGCCAATTAATTTTCGGATGGCATTTTCGTAATTTCTTGAGCGACGAAAGGCCATTTTCTTTGGATATTGAAGGCTACAGACCACGGATTGGCCCTGAGGCTATTCTCCAACGATGATTGAGTCCATTAAGCACAGATTTGGGCAGATTTATTCCGGGTCAATTTTTGCCAGATTCCAAAGGGGTACCATAACAGATTTCGGGCGATTTATCCGAAATGCCATTTTCTTTCGATTCTGGAGACTACAGATCACGGAATCAGGCCGAGGCTATTCTCCACCGATAATGAAGTTTATTGATTCTATTCTCTAGGGATGATAAGTCCGTTAAGCATAAATTTGGGAAAATTTATTTTCGGATGGCATTTTCGTAATTTCTTGTGCGACGAAAGGCCATTTTCTTTGGATATTGAAGGCTACAGATCACGGATTCGGCCTGAGGCTATTCTCCAACGATTATTGAGTCCATTATGCACCGATTTGGGCGGATTTATTCCGGGTCAATTTTTGGCAGATTCCAAAGGGGTACCATCACAGATCTCGGGCGATTTATCCGAATTGCCATTTTCTTTCGATTCTGGAGTTTACAGATCACGGAATCAGGCCGAGGCTATCCTCCACCGATAATGAAGTTTATTGATCCTATTCTCTAGGGATGATAAGTCCGTTAAGCATCAATTTGGGAAAATTTATTTTGGGATGGCATTTTCGTAATTTCTTGAGCGACAAAAGGCCATTTTCTTTGGATATTGAAGGCTACGGATCACGGATTCGGCCTGAGGCTATTCTCCAACGATGATTGAGTCCATTAAGCACCGATTTGGGCGGATTTATTCCGGGTCAATTTTTGGCAGATCCAAAGGGGTACCATCACAGATTTCGGGCGATTTTTCCGAAATGCCATTTTCTTTCGATTCTGGAGGCTACAGATCACGGAATCAGGCCGAGGCTATTCTCCACCGATATTAAAGTTTATTGATCCTATTCTCTAGGGGTGATAAGTCCGTTAAGCATCAATTTGGGAAAATTTATTTTCGGATGGCATTTTTGTAATTTCTTGAGCGACGAAAGGCCATTTTCTTTGGATATTGAAGGCTACAGATCTCGGATTCGCCCGAGTCTATTATCCAACGATGATTGAGTCCATTAAGCGCCGATTTGGGCAGATTTATTCCGGGTGAATTTTTGGCAGATTCCAAAGGGGTACCAACACAGATTTCGGGCGATTTATCCGAAAGGCCATTTTCTTTGGATATTGAACGATACAGATCACGGATTCGCCCTGAGGCTATTCTCCAATGATGATTGAGTCCATTAAGCACCGATTTGAGCGGATTTATTTCGGGTCAATTTTTGGCAGATTCCAAAGGGGTACCATCACAGATTTCGGGCGATTTATCCGAAATGCCATTTTCTTTCGATTCTGGAGGCTACAGATCACGAAATCAAGCCGAGGCTATTCTCCACCGGTAATGAAGTCTATTGATCCTATTCTCTAGGGATGATAAGTCCGTTAAGCATCAATTTGGGCCAATTAATTTTCGGATGGCATTTTCGTAATTTCTTGAGCGACGAAAGGCCATTTTCTTTGGATATTGAAGGCTACAGATCACGGATTCGCCCTGAGGCTATTCTCCAACGATGATTGAGTCCATTAAGCACAGATTTGGGCAGATTTATTCCGGGTCAATTTTTGCCAGATTCCAAAGGGGTACCATCACAGATTTCGGGCGATTTATCCAAAATGCCATTTTCTTTCGATTTTGGAGGCTACATATCACGGAATCAGGCCGAGGCTATTCTCCACCGATAATGAAGTTTATTGATCCTACTATCCACAGATGATAAGTCTGTTAAGCATCGATTTGGACCAATTTATTTTCAGATGACATTTTCGTAATTTATTTTCGACAAAAGGCCATTTTCTTTGGATATTGAAGGCTACAAATCACAGATTCGGCCTGAGTCTATTCTACAACGATGATTGAGTCCATTAAGCACCGATTTGGGCGGATTATTCCGGGTCAATTTTTGACAGATTCCAAAGGGGTACCATCACAGATTTCGGGCGATTTTTTCGAAATGCCATTTTCTTTCGATTCTGGAGGCTACAGATCACGGAATCAGGCCGAGGCTATTCCCCACCGATAATGAAGTCTATTGATCCTATTCTCCACGGATGATAAGTGCGTTAAGCATCAATTTGGGCCAATTTATTTTTGGATGACATTTTCGTAATTTCTTGGGTGACGAAAGGCCATTTTCTTTGGATATTGAAGGCTACAGATCACGTATTCGGCTTGAGGCTATTCTCCAACGATGATTGAGTCCATTAAGCACCGATTTGGGCGGATTTATTCCGGGTAAATTTTTGGCAGATTCCAAAGGGGGTACCATCACAAATTTCGGGCGATTTATCCGAAATGCCATTTTCTTTCGATTCTGGATGCTATAGATCACGGAATCAGGCCGATGCTATTCTCCACCGATAATGAAGTCTATTGATCCTATTCTCCACGGATGATAAGTCCGTTAAGCATAGATTTGGGCCAATTTATTCGGAAGGCATTTTCGTAATTTCTTGGGCGACAAAAGGCCATTTTCTTTGGATACTGAAGGCTACAGATCACGGATTCGGCCTGAGGCTATTCTCCAACGATGATTGAGTCCATTAAGCACCGATTTGGGCAGATTTATTCCGGGTAAATTTTTGGCAGATTCCAAAGGGGTATCATCACAGATTTCGGGCGATTTATCCGAAATGCCATTTTCTTTCGATTCTGGAGGCTACATATCACGGAATCAGGCCGAGGCTATTCTCCACCGATAATGAAGTTTATTGATCCTACTATCCACAGATGATAAGTCTGTTAAGCATCGATTTGGACCAATTTATTTTCAGATGACATTTTCGTAATTTATTTTCGACAAAAGGCCATTTTCTTTGGATATTGAAGGCTACAAATCACAGATTCGGCCTGAGTCTATTCTACAACGATGATTGAGTCCATTAAGCACCGATTTGGGCGGATTATTCCGGGTCAATTTTTGACAGATTCCAAAGGGGTACCATCACAGATTTCGGGCGATTTATCCGAAATGCCATTTTCTTTTGATTCTGGAGGCTACAGATCACGGAATCAGGCCGAGGCTATTCCCCACCGATAATGAAGTCTATTGATCCTATTCTCCACGGATGATAAGTGCGTTAAGCATCAATTTGAGCCAATTTATTTTTGGATGACATTTTCGTAATTTCTTGGGCGACGAAAGGCCATTTTCTTTGGATATTGAAGGCTACAGATCACGTATTCGGCTTGAGGCTATTCTCCAACGATGATTGAGTCCATTAAGCACCGATTTGGGCGGATTTATTCCGGGTAAATTTTTGGCAGATTCCAAAGGGGGTACCATCACAAATTTCGGGCGATTTATCCGAAATGCCATTTTCTTTCGATTCTGGAGGCTATAGATCACGGAATCAGGCCGATGCTATTCTCCACCGATAATGAAGTCTATTGATCCTATTCTCCACGGATGATAAGTCCGTTAAGCATAGATTTGGGCCAATTTATTCGGAAGGCATTTTCGTAATTTCTTGGGCGACAAAAGGCCATTTTCTTTGGATACTGAAGGCTACAGATCACGGATTCGGCCTGAGGCTATTCTCCAACGATGATTGAGTCCATTATGCACCGATTTGGGCGGATTTATTCCGGGTCAATTTTTGGCAGATTCCAAAGGATTACCATCACAGATATCGGGCGATTTATCCAAAATGCCATTTTCTTTCGATTCTGGAGGCTACAGATCACGGAATCCGGCCGGGGCTATTCTCCACCGATACTGAAGTCTATTGATCCTATTCTCCACGGATGATAAGTCCGTTAAGCATCAATTTGGGCCAATTTATTTTCGGATGGCATTTTCGTAATTTTTTGGGCAACGAAAGGCCATTTTCTTTGGATATTGAAGGCTACAGATCACGGATTCGGCCTGAGGCTATTCTCCTACGATGATTGAGTCCATTAAGTACCGATTTGGGAGGATTTATTCTGGATCAATTTTTGGCAGATTCCAAAGGGGTACCATCACAGATTTTTGGCGATTTATCCGAAATGCCATTTTCTTTCGATTCTGGAGGCTACAGATCCCAGAATCAGGCCGAGGCTATTCTCCACCGATAATTAAGTCTATTAATCCCAATCTCAGCGGATGATAAGTCCGTTAAGCATCAATTTGGACCAATTTATTTTCGGATGGCATTTTCGTAATTTCTTGAGCGACGAACGGCCATTTTCTTTGGATATTGAAGGCTACGGATCACGGATTCGGCCTGAGGCTATTCTCCAACGATGATTGAGTCCATTAAGCACCGATTTCGGCGGATTTATTCCGGGTCAATTTTTGGAAGATCCAAAGGGGAACCACACAGATTTCGATCGATTTTTTCGAAATGAAGTCTCCACCGATAATGAAGTCTATTGATCCTATTCTCCACGGATGATAAGTCCATTAAGCACCGGTTTGAGCCAATTTATTTTCGGATGGCATTTTCGTAATTTTTTTTGCGACGAAAGGACATTTTCTTTGGATTTTGAAGGCTACATATCACGGATTTGGGTTGAGGCTATTCTTCAACAATGATTAAGTCCATTAAACCCCAATTTGGGTGGGTTTATTCCGGGTCAATTTTTGGCAGACGAAGGAACCCACGGAGTAACACTCGATAGTGAAGCTCTAAATAAGAAGATGCTAAACCTATATGAGCGAGGTTTGATGAGTCGACGTTCTTCTTGATCAATCGAGCATTTCGAATTAGCTCGTCATATGACTTTTGTTGCTATAATTACAAACGACACAATTCCATCATTAACTACAAACATGTTTGTAACACCTCAACTCTATGTTGAGGTGTTTCAGATGTTATCTCCCTTTTGTTACGTAGCTGTACGTAGAGACCTAGAGGTAAATTAGACTAAGACCCTGTTACTTGTTAGTTAGCAGAGTGAACGTGGTACGTAACTTCTTGTCCAAGAAATCCTGTAATATATGATATCAAGACTCGAGTGGGAAATCAGGATGGTTGTGTATTTTCTGTTACAACAGAGCTCGATTATATTTGTTTGGATAAGGAAACACGATCAAAGAATATAAAGGCAGAAACAAAAATAATTATACCCCATATATATATAATATCATAGCATCCGATTCCTCGAGAGAAGACTAATAACACAGCTGATCAAACTATCCCAAAACCAGGTGAGACGTAAAGATCTCAACCCATCAGCCTCTCCTCAAAAGTCAAAATCCAAATTCCAAAAGCTAAACAGAAAGTAGTACCAAATGGAAACCAGACAAGCCTACAACTAGAACCGGCAACAAGATTGCAGAAAACTAACTACTACCAATGTCGTTCATAGCTCTCCATCGAAACACAAACGCCTTAGTCGACCTCCTCCATCTTGCTCTCCTCGTTGGCATCATCTTCCAACGGCGGCATCTCAGAATCGGCAGCTTCGTCCTCGTCAATGCTGAGACCCAGCTTCAGCATCCTGTGAATCCTGCTGGCAAAAGTGTTGGGGTCCTCGAGGCTGAAGCCGGAGTTAAGCAGGGCGGTGTCGAACAGGAGCAGGACAAGATCCTTGACGGACTTGTCGTTCTTGTCGGTCTCGGCCCTCTTCCTCAGCTCCTCCATGATGCCATTGTCCGGGTTGATCTCCATAGTCTTCTTGCTCGACATGTAGGATCCCATGCTGCTGTCCCTCAAAGCCTGTGCCTTCATGATCCTCTCCATGTTGGCAGACCACCCGTATTCTCCAGTGACGAGACAGCAAGGGGAGTCGACGATGCGGTCTGAGACAATCACCTTCTCGACCTTGTCGCCGAGGATGTCCTTGATGGTCTTGCAGAGCTCCTGGAAGGATTGCTTCTTCTCTTCCTTCTTCTGCTTCTCTTCCTCAGTCTCATCGTCCAGGTTGAGCCCTTCCTTGGTGGCGGAGACCAGCTTCTTCCCGTCGTACTCCTTGAGCTGACCAACAGCATACTCGTCAATTGCATCAACCATGAAGAGGACTTCGTACCCTCTCTTCTTGAGGCGCTCGAGGAAGGGAGAGTTCTCCACTGCCTTCTTGCTCTCTCCTGTTATGTAGAAGATATCTTTCTGCCCCTCCTTCATGCGGGTGACATAGTCCTTCAAGCTGGTCAACTCTTCACCGCTCTTGGTGGAGTGGTATCTCAGCAAGTCAGCCAACTTAGCTCTGTTCTGGGAGTCCTCATGGATGCCAAGCTTCAAGTTCTTGGAGAAGGCCTCGTAGAACTTGTTGTAGTCCTCCTTGTTCTCAGCGATCTCATTGAACATCTCAATGCACTTCTTAACCAGGTTCTTCCTGATGACCTTCAGGATCTTGTTCTGCTGGAGCATTTCACGGGAGATGTTGAGTGGGAGATCGTCAGAGTCAACCACACCCTTGACAAAGCCAAGGAACTCAGGGATGAGCTCCTCGCAGTTGTCCATAATGAAAACACGCCTGACATAGAGCTTGATGTTGTTGGCCTTCTTGCGGGTGTCAAAGAGGTCGAATGGGGCACGCTTGGGGACAAAGAGGATGGCTTTGAACTCAAGCTGGCCCTCAACAGAGAAGTGCTTCACGGCAAGATGGTCCTCCCAGTCGTTGGTGATGCTCTTGTAGAACGAGGCATACTCTTCCTTGGTGATCTCCTCAGGCTTCCTCAGCCAGATGGGTTTCTGCTTGTTGATGAGCTCCCACTCATGAGAGACCTCCTTGATTTTCTTCTTCTTCTTGGATTCAGTTTCCTTCTCCTCATCAACTTCCTCGACTGCACCTTCTTCTTCCTTCTTGGGCTCATCTTCATCTTCATCATCGCTGATCTCCTTCTCAGTTGTCTTCTCGGTCCAGAGGTAGATTGGGTAGCTGATGAACTCGGAGTGCTTCTTCACTAGATCCTTGATCCTCCTCTCCTCGAGGTATTCAAGCTGATGCATACAAACAGAGACAGAGTAAGACTAAGCCCATAGCATTGACACTTTACTAATACGCATTGAGCTAGCTGCTACAGCTTTCACAGATTGTAACTACTCCCTGCAGAATTTTGCATTACACAAACATCCATCTATCTAGCTTACATGAATATTCTGCAAATTGCTACCTAGACAAGAGAGTGGGCATAGTTTTCTTATACCTGGTCTTCCTTCAGATGGAGAACCATTTTGGTTCCCCTGCCGAGCTGCTCACCATCAACATCTCTGGTCACGGAGAAAGAACCACCGGCCTGAGACTCCCAGATGTACTGCTCATCATCATTGTGCTTCGTGGTCACAATAACCTTCTCGGCAACAAGGTAAGCCGAGTAGAAACCGACACCGAACTGTCCAATCATGCTAACATCAGCTCCAGCCTGCAATGCTTCCATGAACTCCTTGGTTCCAGACCTCGCAATCGTACCCAAATTGTTCACCAAATCTAAAACCAAGCAAAACAACAAACACATTCTCAATCAAACGCCCACACTAAATTCATATAAAACCAAAACGAAAGCAATTGAAACCGATTCTCACCAGCCTTAGTCATGCCGACGCCACTGTCGACGATGGTCAGGGTATTGCTGGCCTTATCCGGGATAATGCGGATGAAGAACTCCGGCTGTCCATCGAGCTTGGACTTGTCCGTCAAGCTCTCGAACCTAATCTTATCCAAAGCCTAGTACAGAGCACATAATTGCGCAGATCCATAACCCTAATCAGCCATGCAACTAATCGACACCTACAACAATAGCGAGTATAACGAAAAGAGATTTAAGACTTACGTCGGAGGAGTTGCTGATAAGCTCGCGGAGGAAGATCTCCTTGTTGCTGTAGAAGGTATTGATGATCAGACTGAGCAGCTGGTTGATTTCCGCCTGGAAGGCGAACGTCTCTGCTTCCGCGGCCATTGTTGTGGCGATGCAAATCCCAAGAATCACCGGAAATTTTCACAGATCGTGAACAAAAATTTGAAGAGCGGAGTAGTACTGAATTGACGATCGGGTTCCTGCAGTGCAGTTATTTATAGCTGCACTAGGGCAACGACGACGGGAAATTCTAGATTGTTCTAGGACGCTCTTCGTCACCGTGGCCGGTCAGGAATTCTGTTCCTTTACCAGAATGGAAAACAAAGTATCATTTTGGTACCTGTACTGTATTTATGAAAACGTTTATGGGCTTATTGTGTTGAAGCCCATATATCCGGTGGAATGTTTTTTCAAGTGGATTTCAGACCCATCGGCCCAATGGGTCTTGGATAAGAATTTAAAATGATTACTGTCTTTTTCTTTTCAAAAAGCGCGCTGACAAATAATTACCTCGGCGCCCAGCAAACGACGCATCTTTACCCTACAAACGCGGCCTTACAAAAGAGCGCTAAACTCCATTAACGACCTTCACTTCCTTTCACACTTTCCTCTTCCAGGAAATGCTCCCATAGAGATTCCTTTCCGTTCCCTCCACCAAATCTCCATTTCCCACCCGAATCCAAGCTCCGCCGCAGAAATGCCCCTCTCATTTCTGCTCCCACTCCTCCTCTTCTCGCTGCTATTCGGTGGCGGAGGCGCCTCCGGTTCCTCCACCGGCGCCTCGCTATCCGACTGGAGCGCCGCTCGGGCGACGTACTACCTCGCATCCGACCCGCGGGACAACGTCGGCGGGGCCTGCGGCTACGGAGACCTTGTCCGGGCCGGGTACGGGATGGCCACCGTCGGGCTCAGCGAGTCGCTGTTCGAGCGCGGCCAGATCTGCGGCGCATGCTTCGAGCTCCGCTGCGTCGACGACCTCCGCTGGTGCATACCGGGGACTTCGATTATCCTCGCGGTGACGAATTTCTGCCCTCCCAATTACGGGTTTCCTTCCGACGGCGGGGGACACTGCAATCCTCCCAACAAGCACTTCGTTCTCCCCATCGAAGCTTTCGAGAAGATCGCCATCTGGAAGGTCGGCAACATGCCTGTTCAGTACCGGAGGTAACCCCTTTCGTTTTGAATTTTGATGAATTGTTTGGTTCTCTTGGAAATTGGCACGGATGCGGATACTTGGATGACGAGATGCTCTGGGGAAGCTAAGTACTTCAAAGAGTAGCTAAATTAGGCACTTTCTGGATCTGGTGCTAATGGTGTCATCGTGAAGGTAGGGTTAGCGTTGGTGTGGAATTGGTGTTGGTCTGTTGGAGTTGCCAAGAGAAGGAAAAAGACTGTTGATTGAATGTTGCAGTACTGCTATTCTGCCCAAATGGTGGGCAATTCACATTGTGTCATCTATTGTTTATTGTAGTTAGTTAGCTTCAGTTTGAAGGGAAGAGATCAGGTGAATGCATTCTTATATGGGTAGAAGTTCAGCTACAGGTTGAAAAGCCAAACACTTTAGAAGAAGCAGAAGAAGAAGGCACCTGTAGGCATGGGCAGAATGCATTGCTGTAGACTCTAATCTGTATGTTTCGTCGGTAGGTCTTAGCTGGAGTTAATGGTTTGTAGCTATAGTATTCGAGTTATGGTTCGTGTATGTGCGACATTAGGCATCTTCATCGTGGTTGTTCTTGGTGCATGAAGTTGATTTTTCCTGAATGTGTACACTCTTCCCATATGGCTGAAACAATGTTGTTTCTCTTGGTTCTGCCTCTTTTTTTTATCAGAATCAAATGCCGGAGAGAAGGGGGGATAAGATTCCAGGTCTCGGGGTCGACCATCTTCATCTCGGTGCTGATCACCAATGTGGCCGGAGCTGGGGACGTCACTGCGGTGAAGATAAAGGGTTCGAGGACCGGGTGGCTTCCAATGGGCAGGAATTGGGGACAGAATTGGCATGTAAATGCTGACTTGAGAAACCAGCCATTGTCATTTGAGGTCACTAGTAGTGATGGCCAGACGATTGCCTCTTACAATGTTGCCCCTAAAGACTGGAACTTTGGGCAGACCTTTGAAGGTAGTAAGCAATTTGAGGCTTAAAAGGTTGGAACTTGTACACGGCCAAAGGCCAAAAGTCCTCCAGTTTTTTGTCTACTCCTTTTGGTATTTTTTTAGTTGGAAGATGTATGGAACTTAGAAGATGTATAGAATGGCAAGACTTAACTTATTGATCGAGGGAATGCGTTGGTGCCCTAAATTAAAGAAAAAAATACATGTAGTGATGGGTATGGTTTGGTTTGGAATTAGTTCGAGTAATATAGGATCATATCGGAAGTGAAAGAAAAATGAGAACTAAGAATTGCGTCTAAAGAGTATTCGGTTTGGTACTATATCATTTGGATTTGAACTTTTATTTGTTTCATCAAAGGATCAATTATATGAGAAATGAAAATTTTGAATTTGAGAATCAAAATCGAATTAAATCGTATATTAACTCAAATTTAGATTAAATCGTATATTAATTTGGTCTCGGACAAATCGAATTCAAATATCAAATTGAATCTGGTATGGTATAGATTGAAAGGAACATCTAGATATTTTGAAAACGGCTCACTACTATCCCTACCGTTAAATTCTTTTCCAATTTCCATTCACCATGAAATATTCAAGTCATCATATTCAATGGTTGAAAGCCTGAACTTATATTTACCACTATTTTAAAGCGTTTCTAAAAATAAAACTCATCTCATAATCCACTCAAAGTTTAGAATTTACACCAAATTTAACCTTACTCAGGTGGCATTATAAGGGAAGGAACAAGATCAAAGCAAATCAAGGCATAGGAAAATAAGAAACAAAGAGTAAGAGAGAGGGAAGCCCCGAAACACAAAAAAGAGAAAAGGACAGGAGCAAACAAGTTCTTGCTTTCTGTTCCTTTCTCTTTTCTGTTTCGTCATATTTTTTTCTTCTTCAGGGGCTCTCTCTCCCTAATCTTGATCTGTTACAAATGGCCTCCAGTGCTTTTGCCGGAACCCAACAAAAATGCAAGTCTTGCGACAAGACCGTGTACCTCGTCGACAAATTGGTTGCGGATACTCGCATCTACCACAAGTCTTGCTTCCGTTGCCACCACTGTAACAACACCCTTAAGGTACATCCGAATTTATCAATATGAATTTACAATGTTATCGATGATACATGCACCTCTAATGCCATAAAACTTTTGCAGCTGAGCAACTTCTGTTCATTCGAGGGAGTTCTGTACTGCAGGCCTCACTTTGACCAGCTCTTCAAAAGAACTGGCAGCCTCGACAAGAGCTTTGAAGGTTCCTTTAAACATACATTACCATCTTCTCTTCGTTTCAATAACATTACACTGGCTAGTTAATTAATTTCATCCAAAACAATTCCCAGGAACTCCTAAAGTTACCAAGCCTGAAAGATCCATTGACAGCGAGGTAAAAACAAATCAATTCTCTTCTTTTTTTTCTTCTTCTTCTTTAATGACGATGGTTAACTTAATGACGATTCGACATGTACAGAACGCGAGCAAGGTGTCAAACCTGTTCGCGGGAACAAAAGAGAAGTGCAAGCAGTGCACAAAAACTGTGTACCCAATTGAGAGGGTGACAGTGAATGGAACATGGTACCATAGGAAGTGCTTCAGGTGCTCATATGGAGGATGCACAATCAGCCCATCAAACTACATTGCACATGAAGGAGTATTGTACTGCAAGCACCACCATATCCAACTCTTCAAGGAGAAGGGCAACTACAGCCAGCTCGAGAGCGATAACGACGAGGATCAACTCCCGGTTGGCCTGAAAACACTGGCTCCAGGGATTGCTGCTGCTTGATTGACTGGTTGGGTTTTGATGGGTTGATGTTGGTGTGGTGTGATTTAGGGTTGGACATTGCTAGTAGGTGGAAACTTTTGTGTTTTCTTTTTTGGAATTGGAAACACTCTGAAGATGGTTGTAATGTGTAGGCAAGTGAATTGGCCATATAGGACCTATGTTTTTCAACCTTTAAAGAAAAATAACAAAAAATTATGTTCTTTGTTCTCAATGTGTTTGTTCACTTGCTTTGTTTTGTTTGCTATACGCTAACTTACTGTTTCGAGTTAGACAACATTATGATTCAAGTTTATGGTATCTTCGGTGTTCTTGATTTGTGGCGTACACACATTACATTCTTACATAAAATTAAACTTTGCCTATTAGTTTAATTCATAAACAAAAACCTTGACTATTAGTTTGTACATTTTAATCACTTTTGTTGTTATCACCTAGAATTCCAATAGTGACTATATGAAATTATAAAGCTATAGCCTATACCAAACAAGTATTAGAAATACATTAAAAATAATTGTAAACCATTTTTATATAAATTCAGAAGTTTTTTTGTTCATAGTTAGTTTGTTAAACAAATTGTGAAGATTTTAAGACGGATTGGATCACAAAATGATGATTATTAGTATTACCAAAGGCATACCATAGAATAGAAAACGTACCGACAAAAGAAAAAAAGAGAAACAATAAAAATGTGAAGATTTTGAAGGATATATATAGGCATATCAATACATTTTATAAGAATGTGAAGATTTTGAAGAAGTTAGATCATTGTTTATACTTCATACTCATTAAATTAAATTGATTTCTGAGAAGTAATTTCTTTATGAATGCACCAACATGAACACAATCCCAAAACATATTCACAGAACAACTAACTGCACCTCATCTCCTTCACCAGTTTATACAGCAGTACAATACTACAACTCAAGTCTCTATCTTTGCATCTCAAAACCCTGTTTTATCCCCCTTTCCCGGTAACATTTTACACGATAAATCGCTTGATGCACTCTTCCTGAAGCTGTACTATATGTAGCCGTGCCCTAGGAAGAACTTGGGCAGCAATCTTTTCCATTCTCAGGAACTTTGCAGCTGGTCTCTTTCAAAACTTGAGCAGCAAGTATCAGAAGTTCCACCATCTCAAACCCGGCTGCAGACACAAAATCCATCTTCTCATCAGTGGTATCAGCCAAAGGCCTTGATGGCTCGGTGGAGAATCTTGGACTGCTTGGCGCAACGTCCACCTCTGCTGACCAACTGATTGGTAGTGAGCTTCCTAGTGCGGTCTTCACCAGTTTAGCTTCGGAAATAATGCCGTCCAGAGCTCCAGACAAGCCGGGTTCTGTGCTTTTCTCTGCCATCGACTCTCGAACCTGCAATGCCATGTTAGAGAATAAACAGAAAATTTCTTAGCTCATTCCACCATCTCAGAACCACCAGTTCTGAAGTTCTAACATTTATGAATGTTACCCTGGTGAGTGCGAGCCGGAGTCTATGAGTTGAGGAAACCAAATGCTCCATACTTTCCAAGCTTTCTTTGAGAGTAGCATTTTCAATCTTCATTCTGAAAAACGACAAAAAGTTATAGATTGGCAAGCATAAGTAGTTCCAATAAGCACACACCAGTAGAAAAATATGGACCTTGCAACATTCATTGAGTTTGACTTTCTCCCCGATAAGTCTCCTTGACTACTTGAGTGAACGTCAACTTCACTTCTACCAGTAGAATCCAACGTGCCAAGCCACCGTCTCAGATAAGTTTTCTTCAGCACATTTTTTATCCCTACATCTCTTTCCTGATTTGTTTGCTTTTTCTCTGCTAAAGAATTTCCTTGCCCCGCCTCATTAGCGAGCTTCCTGCAACATAGCAATAGTCTCTTCATGACCTCAAACTTAAGAAAGAACCAGTTGGAATTTAAGGAGGAGCTGATATCATACTCTTGTAGTTGTTGATGCTCCTGTTTTAGCTGTGCCAACTCCATAAGAGCTTTCACCTTCTCATGAGTAACCTGAATGTTCAAACACATAGTACCAGCCCATGAACATCCATCCGAAGAAGAAACTAATGTTTTGGAAACTACAGCCAATATGCTGTAAATGACTTCCAGAGGAATTTACTTGCAGTAAATTTCTTTGAAGCTCCTCTATCTTTTTCTGAAGCACTCCATTCACATTTCTTTCCAGCAATTGTCTTTCCTCCTGCTGAGACAATAGCAACAGTGTCTGAACCTGAGAGATGGAGGAAAGGTGGAAGATCAAGAAATTAGGACTCTCAAGCATTTAGAATACACGATAGCACTGATGCTTGAGACTCGCGGGGGGAGGGGGGAGGAAGCACTAGACTGGCAGAAGAAAACAATAGGGAGGAAAAAATAGTATCCGAGGCAAGTAACCTTTTCTTGCAATGCTTGCTTCAGGACTTCAGAGGCTTCAACATCTTCATTAGAAGCTGCAACAATATTTGAGGCAGTGTCGTTTCTCTGCAACATATAAACCACAAATAAACAAGAAAGCTAAACCTGTAAAGATGTTCGTGGGAGAGCAGCTTCTATTTTTAACCATGGATTTATGCTAATAGCCCAACATCAACTGTCTGCATTTAAGAAACTAAGTCACAAAGGAGGTGTCATCAAATCACAATTAAGGAAGTGTAAACAAACCGTGGATGCTGAGGGCATGTCAGTGACTGTGCTTACATGCACATCTCGACATTCAGTTTCATCTGAGCTTGCAACTACCTCAGAAACCACAATATTCTGTTGTGTCAGGTTAAACCCTTTGATATGCTCTTCAATCATATCAACTGTCGACTTGAGTTGAGATTTTTCCTCGGCGAGTAAATTTAGAATTCCAAGTCTATGCTGAGCATAAAATTTGTGTAACTCCAACATTCCACTCATGACGACTTTGTTAAAACGAATCTGTGAAGAACTCGACGATCAGTAAAAGGAATTTAAGGATCAGTTAACAAGGTTCGTATCTCAAACATAATAATACCCACTAGGTTCTTTTCGACATCACAAACTTTCTTCCTCAAGTGTTTTTCAATGTCCAAACCCTGCAAGCAAAAATAAAAAGTAACACTCCATCAACTCCCAAAATGGAGAAAAAGGCCCCCTAACCCGATGGTCTATACATTACATACCATTCGCATCTTATTCCGGAGATCATCAACAGATTTTCTCACTGTCTCCAGCTCTTCTTCCAATGCACTCTGTCTGATGATAAGTTAATCACATTGCAAGAGCAAAAGTATAGAATCCACAGACAATGCTCGAGATGGAAGCAAATTTTGGAAGACCTATACCCACACTATCAAATTCACTTCAAACTGATGGAATATGCAATATTTTATTCAGTCACCAAGATGAACAGGGAGTGATAAAAGTTCAACAGGCAATCCATAGCTTATCATGCAAAGTAACTGGTGGTAAGTTGTTAAAATCACAAATTGGACTGCAGAAAGCACTATAATAGCAATCAACAAGAGATATCATTAAGTTATGAACTTTGTTTAAGGAGTAATATTTGAGATTCTTACAATGTAGTCAGAGGTTGAAGGATCGTTATAATTCCAAACTTCAACTGGATCATGTAACAGACATTCACACTTCTCATCACAAGTTGTTTTAAGCGATCCCTCAGATGATTGCTGACGAATCTCAAAGAACTTGTTGACGACCTGCCATTTCCCAGTTCAAGAAGCATAATTTATTAATTATTATCAGATGCAAAAGCAACAGCCAGTAGCATAAAGATGCACATCTATTTTTTGGACAGTAACAGTACAGACTATTAAACAATTTTCAGAATATGGAAGTTTAAGTGGGAAAGATAATACCTTCTTCAAGTTTTCATTCTGCTGTTCCTGCTTTGCTAGATCAAGCAGCAATTCATCATTCCTTCTCTTCTGCTGTAGAAGTTCCGAACTCAGCTCTTCAAATCTGCATACCGTATGTTCATATATTAGAACTTTTTCCAGTGAGTCACTATTTCATCCAACTGTGGAAGGCCATACACTGACTGACGGGCATTGAAAATGCTGAGGAAACGAACGAACGGATACCCTCTATAACAAGACAGCAGAAGCACAAACTTCAACAATATAAATCCTCAAACCACTCCTAGACCAACATGGGAGTATTCGCCATTCTTCCAAGAGATCCAAAAAGAAATGAAGAGCAGAAGAGAAGACTCGCGGCCATGTATGTCTCGTGGTAGCACAGGATGGACTACACCATCTAAGTTTTGAAAAGAATTATCCAATGGGAGAACTTCTACTTAAACACATGAAACAAATATACAGCCTTCACCAGCATTCTTGCTAATATTTACAGGTATTGTGCCACAGGTTAGAGTACCTAAAAGAGAACTCCAAAGAATGGTCATCTTTCCGATTACCAGTTAATAAAAGACATAAACAATGAAGCCTACCTAGTCTGCATTGGAATAAATTTCTGTGACATGAGCTCCTCTTTCTCCTTAGCTTTTTCAGCCTGCCATGAACGATGACCAAGCTCAGGTGCCTGAATGGATTCTTTCTTAATGAATGCTTTAATCATCTGTGAGTTACCTCTAAGAGGGACTGATCACGTTCAGCGAAAGCAGCAGCTACACTTCCTTGAAAAAATTTGACTTGTTTATCTGCTTCAATATTCTGAGAAAGAAGTTGAAACAATGTAAGAATAATCGGGAAACTCTGAGCACAAGATCTTTAACAAATTATACCAAATTTCTAGCTAAAGTTATATGAATGCCTTCAAAATAATAAAGTTATTTAGAGTATGAAATCCTGTGCCCCAGTGCCACACTCTGACAGGCGCACAAAATAGACACATTCACAGGCAAACAAACAGCAACACAGGAACCCAGAAACAACAGAGAGAAAGAAGGACAAGAGGGAGACCTTTGCCACTTCAGCTTGGTGCAGCTCCGCCAATTGGGCCTGGCAACAATAAGTCATTAAGAACTTGTGCAGAGATGGGGGGGGGTTGGAATTATATATGGCACAAGAAGGCCAAAATCTCACTTTAATTCGAAATGCTTCTGAAAGCTCTTCTTGAAGATTTCGACTCTCTCTAGTACTGGCAGCTAACTTCATCTTCAAATTCTCTATTTCCTGCTCCAACCCAGCTGTCCTAATAAGGCATTAACAATCTTTATGCTTTCTTAACTCGTGGCAAACTACACATAAAAGGAACTCCCAGTGTCTCCCACCAAAGACCTAGACCATACCCCCAGGACCAATAATAGTGAAAACAGATATGAGGGAGGAAATTTGCCCATCTACTGAAGAATGAGAAGCAATAAAATAAAATGATACCTCTGGAAATGCAACCGAGTTGCCACTGCCAGGTAGCCAGGTCCAGCTTGCTGTATGCATAGTTGTTCTATATCTTTACGTAACTCATCACGCTCTCTGCGCAGTTCATCACACTCTATAAAACAAAAGGATTCAAACAGTGTTACGATGTCACTTACTAGTAAATTATTTAGCAACCCACAGCACCAAAAAAAAATAAAAAAATGAGAACCACTGCGTAATACAAAGGCACAACTCGAGAAATTAATCGAGCAACATTATAATCAATAACCTTTCGCACACTCGCATTATTGTTAGCAAACAAACATCACAAAAGGACAAGTATTACAGGCTCAGAGAGGCCAAATGTCACCAATTTTCCAAACTCCAACTCCTAAGTCGATCCCTATATAAGGAACATGAATGCAATTTTCAGATTGCCCTGGTATGCATAGGAGTATTCCAATTACAAATGAGTACGTCACTGGAGGACATGGCAGTAGAAAGCTTGCAATCAAAGTAAGAACCATTACCATACTCTAATTGCTGGATGCGAGCCATCGACGGTTCATCGTTACTATAACTCCTCTCCATATCTGAAAATTAGAGAGTCCATAAACAGTCAGCTACCACGCAAACCGAGGAAGATGTCAAAGCAACCAACGGAACACCAATGCCCAAAACCCCATTTCAGACAAACTTGAGCAACCTTAATTCAACCCAGAAAATGAACAGACTTTTGCTCAGGTAAAAGCAACTAACGACTAGATTTTCCCGCGAATTTCCAATAACAAGAAGCAAAACCCAGAAGCGAAAAGGAGAAACAGACCAACCCACCAATCGAAAAATGAAGAAAGAAAATCAGCAAAAATACGCCTCGGAAAGATGAACATGAATCAGAAGAAACCCCAAGAACAGAATATGCTTCGTACACATCCATATCAGAAGTTGGCTTGCCTAGAAAAAAGGAATTGGAAGATACTGCCGCGCGAACCGAAAGGCTATTGGATGGAAGCCAAAACCAGAATCTGAGAAGGACCAATTGAGATTCTTGTGGCGGAATCGGTTGCAGAGGAGGGAACCGGGAAAGAAAGGAGAGCCGTTGTGACGTCTCTCCCTCTCCCTGCGCAGGCAAGATTCTTCTGTTCTTTACGTTACGAGCTGGCAAATTATTTTATTAGTTGTTCTCGTTAATTGACATTTAATACCCGAATTCTTCTGTCTTCAATCATTCAGTAATTAACTAATTAATAATTATTTAGCAGGCCCGGGCCTTGTCAATTTATGGGCCATCTAATATTTGGCCGGCCACTCTCCACTGAGTCTGGTTTTCTTCCATCATGTTGGGCTGAAATGGAGGATCAATATGTTTGGAAAGATTTGCATCCTGCAAATGGATAACCCCGGCCCATATTTTGGGGCCTGGTTCGTGCTATAGTTTTTTGCTCAAGTAAGCTCGAGTACAATAACCCCGGTCTGATTTAGAATCGGATAACAAGGAGCTATACGTTACATCTTGTGCAAGAAACAAATTACCCTAAACTATACATTTCTGTGCAGCACATTTGCTCCCCATTGCCGTTGCCAACCATTAACAATGGCCTCCGCGGCTTATTCCCTTCTTGTTACCACGGCCGACTGACCTACGACGATGAGGTCGACGGGAAATAATCAAATTTCTTGGTGTCATGCCATTGCCATGTTCCTGCTGCTGCTGTCGGATAATCGTTTCAACAACTGTGTTTCTACACCTTAAGCAGACTGAAAGGTGACTTGGTCTGCGGCTGTGGCCTCGTACAACGCACAAGCCTCGGGGGTGTCCTCTTCGCTGGGAGGTACCAGCTGCCAGAAGAGTGGGAGGTATTTCTCCCATTCCTCGAGGATAGCGGCGCCTTTGGCGCTACCGGTCTTTTCCTGGATTTTAATCAAGATAGTGAGCTTGTGTCAGCAGAAAAAACTAAGGTCATAGCTGGATCTTAGCAACCTAAGAGTTCCTATTGGTTTGGGGAGTGAACTTACAACATGAGCTTCAATGAGGCTCTTCAGCTGCAATTGACCAACTGGAGCAGTCACTCTTTGTACCTTCACTATTTCCTTGTTTATCTGTTTGGATTCCGAGCCTCAGTAAAAAAAAATACAAATTTGTTGATGGAATAGGTAGAGAGAATTGAATCACCCGCAGTAGAGAATACAAACCTTGGGTATCAAGGTATCGTCCTCATCGAGCATGTATGCCAAACCTCCAGTCATGCCAGCAGCAACATTTCGCCCAACCCTGCCGACCAAACCAGGTCATAAGCTTTAATCGTCACAGAGCAGTTTACTGTTTATGTTACTGAAACGACTAGTGAAGGAGAGTGCGGGTGCATTCACTTACTTTCCCAGTACAACTACGCAGCCACCGGTCATGTACTCGCAGCAATGGTCTCCGGTGCCTTCGACGACAGCCTGACAGAGCGAGTTCCTAACAGCGAAACGCTCCCCAGCTTTCCCTCGTACAAAGACTTGGCCACCAGTGGCTCCGTACAGACAGGTGTTGCCCACAATGGCAGCTTCCTCAGGGCAAAACCCTACGTTGTCTACTGGAGTCACCACCAACTCTCCTCCGGCCATACCCTTTTAGCATCAAAACACATATTGTTAGTTTCGGAAACTATATACTTGAATCTTGGTTTTAAGCAATTTTGATGAAGGTCCATTGCCATACCTTTCCAACATAATCGTTTGCTTCTCCTACAAGTCGGACATTCATCCCGGGAGTCATAAAGCATCCAAATGACTGACCTGCGCTCCCATTAAACCTGGTGGTACAAAAAGGAAACATTCTAGCATGAGTATTCAAGACTCTAATAAGTTTTTCTTATGTGTCCCGATACTGTAATATTGGGAACTAGTAAGCCACATCTTACGTTATGTTCAGTTGTCCAGCGAAACCAGTATCGCCATACTTCTTGGCGATTGCACCTGCTATCCGCCCACAGACAGCACGGTCCACATTGTATATGTCGAAAGTCTTGTTAACAACCTTTTCGTTCTCAATCGCATCTGCAATCTGAACATGTAAACGAAGGCTTATAAGGAAAAGGAGCAAACAACCAGTAGTTGCTGTAAAGTGTAAACTAGTCAAAAGCAACTGATCAGAACGAAGGCATAAGATTACATTTTCTGATCAATAACTCCCCACGTGCCGAACCCACGAAATGTTAACCTTTGAATATTTGTCCAAGTTAGCTTCTATTGCTCTTAACATTTTATACTTGTTATAGATCAAGAAGTTTACAGTGATGACCACCTATGATACACACTAGTAAGGATGAAGATTCTTACAACTGGATCTGCGAGTATCTTGTCATCCAAAACAAGACCATTAGTGTGAACATCTTGATTCCTTATCTCTGTACTGCTCAATTTTGGCAACCCGGCACTCTGGAAATTTAAATCGAAAAAAACAATACAAAGTTTACTTAAAACAAACATGGAAACCGTGAAGCCAATGAGAAATAAAGTTGCTTTAATACTTACCGAGAGCACATAACTTAGATCAAGATGCTGAGTTTTCACAAGGGAGATGTCTCGCTGTTTTAGTATGTCTGTATTCCCAATTATATCATCTAACTTCTGGTAACCCAATTCTGCCAGCACGCCTCTTACCTAGCAAAGACACGAATAATTGACGAAAGTGAAAATCGGCAGCATAGTAACAAATATGAAAAACAGTTAACATTTTTCACAAAGAACGCACCTCCTCAGCAACATACAGAAAGTAATTAACCAGATCAGCTGGCACACCAGGAAACCGAGCACGTAGTTCTTCCCTCTGCAGTTAAGTAGGAATCCAAGGAATTGATTAATAAGAAACATTTCATCCGAAGTAAAGCCACACAGAGAAGTCAATCCAAAAAAAAAAAAAAAGAGAGAGAGAGACAAAAGTTTCCATTATTACCTGACTGGCAACACCAACTGGGCAATTATTCGTGTGGCAAATACGAGCCATAACACAACCAGTAGCAATCATTGCAACAGAACCAAATCCATACTCGTCAGCTCCCATTGCTGCAGCCATCATGACATCGAAGCCACTTTTGAAGCCACCATCGACACGAAGAATTACCCTTTCTCTCAATCCGTTACTGATGAGGGTCTGGAAATTGATAAACCGTTAATAAGGGAAAGGATTAGTTTCTAACAAGAGGAGCACATAAAATAATAATGACCTGGTGAGTTTCTGTGAGCCCAAGTTCCCAAGGACCACCAGCATGCTTGATGGAACTTATGGGGCTGGCTCCTGTTCCACCATCATGTCCTGATATCTGCATAATCAAGAGGAAAATGAGAATGCCAGTAAGCAGCTTGGATGCACATACTGAAAGCACTTTCTTGTCCCTTTCAGTTAAGCTGAAACCTTTCATAAACCAATAGTTATTACCATTCAGTGCAACATTGTACAAGAGGAAATTTATGTATAAGAGGATTGATTCTGTTCATAAACCAGTACCTGAATAATATCAGCATTAGCCTTTGCAACACCAGAAGCAACTGTGCCAATACCAGCTTCTGCTACCAGCTTCACAGAGACCTTAGCCCTAGGGTTGACCTGCTTGTGCAACACCATCCGCTTAACTCACTAAAATTCATAAACATTCTATAGTGATAATGAGTAAATTTACAGACATAAAAAAAACACCTGATGGAGATCAAAGATCAACTGGGCAAGATCTTCTATGGAATAGATATCATGATGGGGTGGTGGAGAGATAAGTGGGACCCCAGGCTTTGAATTCCTCAATCTTGCAATATATGCACTAACTTTCTGCCCGGGCAGCTGGCCCCCTTCACCAGGTTTGGCGCCTTGTGCTATTTTTATTTCTAGTTGATCAGCATTAACCAAGAAAGTTGGAGTGACACCAAAACGTCCTGAAGCAACCTGAAAATGATAACCGGCCTCAGAACTATATTATAGAGTAGTATAGAAGAAGACCTTAGGTAAGTTGTCTACACCAAAGAGAACAATTTCCTCATTACTAAAACCACAAATGTTTTGGCCAGATGATTGACATAAAATCTAGAATTTAACTATTTTATAAATCTTACAGATGAAAGTAGAAACCAATTCTAAAGTACAAGTAGGTTGCCATAACCTGTTTAATAGCACTTGTAGCAGTATCTCCATTTTGAAGACCTTTGAGATGTGGCAGTGTGGATGAGTATCCATCAACAACATCTGTCAGTGGATTCCATCTGATAGGGTCCTGATAAGAATATGATACACAATAAACAAATACATCTCGAGTTAATGATGCCACATTCAATACATGCCATCACCTCGCACAGTAGTCATTCTAAGCTTAGATGCAAATGCAGGAATTAAAGTAGGTAATATATACGGACTACTTAGCCACTCACGCTAGAGAAAAAGATGAGACAAACAGTTAGATGTTTAGCAGACTACCTCACCGCCTTCACCAGAATTTGACTTTCCGCCAATTCTGTTCATTGCAATGGCAATTGCTTCATGAGTTTCTCGTGAAATAGCCCCAAGTGACATCCCACCAGTGCAAAAACGTTTAACTATTGATGTAGCAGGTTCCACCTTC